CCACCCGCCACCCGCCACCCGCCACCCCGCCACCCCGCCACCCCGCCACCCCGCCACCCGCCACCCCGCCACCCGCCACCCGCCACCCCGCCACCCCGCCACCCAACTTGGCTTCCTCCCTGCCCCCTGCACATCCCTACACGGCTTCTTCTTTTCTCGCCACCACAAACTAGTTGTCGCATTACCCGGACACATCTATTTTTTTGCTTGTCTCTGCCTACCCCTACCTACTACTGCCTACTACTGCCTACTGCCTGCACCTTGCCCGCTCTCTACTACTGCTTTCTCCTACACTGTTCATGCTGTTTATCTCTGCCCTGCTTGTGTGGTGTGGTCTGTCATCTCGTCTGTTCCCCTCCCCTTCTTCATTACTCTCCGCTCCTGCCCCCTTCTCCATGTTTTATTATCTCTCCTATTTAATCTGCTTACTCCGCGATCATAATCTTGAGACACATATATTTTGGAGATAAAGCTATGAAGCATTTATCTCTACATGCGACCGCCTAGACGAGCTCCGCGACCAGAGACGCTCACAAACTAACTATAGATAGAAATATGTTACATTGCAAAATAGCAATAACTAGGCAAGATCGTATGTATCGCCATCATGTCAAATCTTTCTCGTCAATCACATTGATATATGTCCACATCCTTCTGTACCATGGCATGGAAGTGTACGTCTCCATTATTTTTACTTCCACGTCTGTGAGAGGTCTGTACCCTTCCAATAAGTCTATTGTAGCGGATCTCGCAAATCTTGTTTTGAAAACCAGTTTGTAGCCAAGATAAGTAACGATAACTAATGGGACGCCTAAGTAGGTTGTAAAGAAGTCGTAAGCATTTGGAGTCCCTCCTGCGGGAAAGAGTGAGGCATAAAATAAACCCAAAAGAATGAGAAATGAGCCAAGTGACACAAATATTGGACCCACAGGAAAGAGTTTGGACTTGTATGAAAACGTGGTATCAAGAATTGACGATTTTTGCTTTTTGACTGCCATCCTAAATCTGATTGATACGATACCCATTACAAGCCACACCACCATAAAAATTGTGGTTGTAATGGAGGAAAACCACGTAAAAACCGTAGCACCAGTACTGGCACAGTTCATATAAGTGAAAGCAATGGTAAAAACGCACGTAACCCCTAAAGACCATAAAGGTCTTCCTTTGTTGTCTACCTTAGCCAGCAATCTGGGTAGCATTCCTCGGACCGCAAGGTGTCTCATGCATCTGGACGCTATGTATATAGGTTCGAGACCTCCAAGAATGAGAAATATGGCCATGAGCGCATTTATAAAGTCTGGTAGCACTTTTATACCTGCGTCGTTCATTGCAATGATAAATGGGGAACTAGCAATAGAGCCCGCTGTACCGTAAAGTCTCTCGTCTGTTTCAGGAACGAGAAGTGTGATGAATAAGACAAGCACCATGAAGAAACCTAAAATTCGGAGCCCGGCGCTTTTGACAGTACGAGGCATGCTGAAGCGAGGGCATCTAGCTTCGCCTGCCAGCATGCCAACAAAAACCTGGTCACCCACACCCCAAAGACAATACAGACAACAATAAGAAATTCCACGCACTCCATTTTTGAAGAGATCGTACTTTGTGGTATCCCAGAATTCTCCTCCGTGGACAGTCCCAGTTGGTCCTCCTCCAGAGCACATCACAATACACGTAACTGTGATCATTACCAGCATAATCATTTTCAAAATCGATGTAAGATACTGAAATTCTGCGAACCAGATATTGGGTAGCAAGTGAATTCCGAATGTGACCACCACAATTATGCTCATCCATGCAGCAACAGGAACAGCATCTGTCCAGTAGCTAATAAGCGTTGTTGTAGCTGAGCCTTCTGAGGCCATGACTGTAGTCCATGCAAGCCACTCCCCCAGACCAAGTGCAAAGGCAGCTGCTGGATCCAAAAAGCGTTCGGTGAAGTCAATGAAATTTCCACTTGACGGATATACAATCGACATCTCAGTGATAAGGTCCAGCACACATATAACCATACAACAAACAATGCTGTAGCCAATAATCATGTTTCCTGGCCCTGCATAACGGAGAGCTTTACCAGTAGAAATAAAAATTCCAGACCCTATGTTGGACCCTAAAGCGACAATCTGTATATGTCTCGTTTTGAAAGACCGCCGGTATTTACCACTTCCCTCAATCTCACCAATGACTGTACCTTCAACAAGAGGTGAGAGCTTACTCTCATGAGATATATCATCTCTGACTTCCAAAGTTCCTATTATGTGACTGTCGTCCTTCATTACTAAAATTCATGGTTTCTAATTCAGATTAAGTATCATATCAGAAACAAATGAAGTTCAGATAAGATAAAAGATAGAAGGTTACCGGAGAGCGGAAAAATCCATTTTAGTCTACGGGGACAGCGACCCTTATCTATGAAAAAATATGTCGTGGGGTTCGGGATTGGTAGCAGAAACCCAATCTCTTATCTCTTTCAAATCTTTCACCACACCTTCCCCGCCGTATCGAGCCTGGCTACTATTCCTGGATGACGCGGACTCGGGCCTCCATCTCCACGTATTGTGGATTTGTTCACCCCTCACTAGTTTGCTCATATATTTCCCGATAACGGGCATCAGCATAAATGAGAGGCCGGAATCTCCGGAGGCAATAAACAAATTTGCATAATCTGGATGCCGATCCATTATAAGCTGTCTGTCTGGAGAGTCAGTGCACCAGCATGTTCTGGTCTTCACGAACTCACGATCCGCAAACTCTGGCATGGTTTCCCGTAAAAATTGACGAATTGCCTTAGCCGCTTCCAACGGAATCTCCTCAACAAAAAACGGGATTGATTCGCCTTTATCATCCAAGTGCGTGTATCCCGGAAATTCGTTGCATATTTTGACCTCGTTATTTTCATCTGGCTCAAAGTAAAATCCTTGTTCAGCATTGTAGATTACTGGAAGATTTCTAAATCTTCTGGCCTCTTCGTCACTAACTTTAATGTGGGCAAGGGTGAAACCTTTCGCTTCCAGCTGGAACTTGAAATCAAGAATCGTAGCTGCATTTGGCCCAGCTGCAAGAATCACCTTATCTGATTTGTATTCCTTTCCCGATTTGGAAATAACTCCGGCAATAGAGTTTCTGGAGGTCGATAATGAAATAATTTCGCCGTCTGAGCCAAAGATAAACTTCACACCCAAACTTTTGCACTCCTCGTAAACCGATTTCAAAGAGTCCCGGGCATGAACCCAACCATCTCCCGGGTTCAGTTTGACACCTCGCCAGCCCGTCAATGGACCTGTAAGCACAGGAATTTGCTCGGCGATTTTTTGAGGACCATCCAGATACGTTGCCAGAGGGGACATTCTATGAGAAAGAGCTTCGTCAGAGCATGCTGCATAGATGAATCCAACCGGGTGGTAGTAAGGTGAATAGATGGGATCTGTTGCCCAGCAATGAATTGCCTCTGCTCGTATTTGCTTGGATGGGACCAATTTTTCATTAGGGTCAATTATACCTCCGTAATTGATTATCTTATTACTGTCGTTACCTGCAGCAATGGGAGAGGGTACCGGATATTTATCAAGGCAAGTGATATCCTTGTGCCCATTTCTTGCAAGCTCTAGTGCTATCGAGAGACCAAAGGTGCCAGCTCCAATCACTAGAATTGACGAACTCATAAAAAATCACTAAACTTTTTTTCTACTTATCTTGTCTTATACCCAAATCAAACTTCCGCGGAAGCGGAGCCTCAACATTGCCACATTGAAAAAACAACTTTTAATTTTTTTTTCGAGTATCAGTAGATGGTGTCTCATTACTTTTACCCGGAATCAGCGTGAGGACGTGTAGCCTGAACTCAGTTTTAGAAGGAAGGTCCTTTTATCACAAACCGCTCCAAACTTCTGGTTCCTCAATGATGAAATGCTCTGAGAGAGCATTCCCTAAATCCGACGAATTTCCAACAAACACCGAATACTCACCTTGCTCAATGGACCATTTTCCCTTTTCAACATCAAAGTAGGAACATGCATATTTGATAGGCACGGAGATTGTTGTAGTAATTGTTTCATGCGGCTTTATGTATACTTTACTGCAACCTTTGAACTCCTTTATAGGTCTTGACACGATAGTCGTTGTTGATGGAGGTGAAACATATAACTGAGCGACCTCACTTCCAGCAACATTCCCAATATTCGTAATTTCAAGAGTGCAGTTCACGTTCTTGCCATCAACTTTCACTTCCAGATTCTGGAATCCAAAGCTGCTATAGGAAAGACCATATCCAAATGGGAACAAAGGGGCCGTTTGCAACTTGTCATAATATCTATAGCCAACGAAAACGTCTTCGCCATAGACAACTTTACCATTGTCAGATTTAAAGTTCAAAAAGGAAGGATTGTCTTCACAACGTCTAGGCCAAGAAAGAGAAAGCTTTCCGGAAGGATTAGCGTCTCCGTATAGTACGTCTGCAATAGCATTTCCTGATTCCATCCCATTAAACCATCCGTGTAAAAGTGCAGGGACGTCATCTATCCAAGGGAGAGTTACAGGCGTGCCAGATAGATTGACTAGAATCACGTTCCTGTTGACTTTCAGTATTTCGTCAACAAGCTTATTTTGAAGTTTTGGAAGATCCATGTGAGGCCGGTCAAATCCCTCGCTCTCCAATTCGTTGGAGGTTCCAATACAAAGTATGACCTTATCGACCTTTTTTGCGAGGTCTACTGCATCTTTAATTCTGACCTCATCAGGGATCCTTTCTCCAATTGCAACAGTCAACGAACCTCCGCCGTTTGATCCCACCAGATCAAGGGTCTCCAACGTAAAAGTAGGAGCAGATCCAAATTCAATTTTAAACTTCACTGTTTCGTCTTTCTTAATTTTCAAAGACTTGGTCTTGCCGAGAGAGCTCGCACCTATTGCTGCAAATCCCAACTTTTGGCTTGTTTTATCATCTATGAATAATTTGCCGTTTAGATAAAGCAAAGATGTTCCCAAGCATGAGCAATGTATATCATAAACACAATCTTTTTCAGAGGTAAATTCGCCCTCTATGTCAAAATAAAAAAGGGACGAGTTTATATCTTTGTGCTTGTAGTCAAACAAAGTCAGCTTCGTTGAATCGTACCTGAATTCCTCCACTAAAGTTCTGTGAGAAGCCTCTGGTGGTTCTTTATAAACCTTTATCCAGACTCCTGCCCCGCCACCCGCCACCCGCCACCGAACTTGGCTTCCTCCCTGCCCCCTGCACATCCCTACACGGCTTCTTCTTTTCTCGCCACCACAAACTAGTTGTCGCATTACCCGGACACATCTATTTTTTTACCTACTACTACTGCCTACTGCCTGCACCTTGCCCGCTCTCTACTACTGCTTTCTCCTACACTGTTCATGCTGTTTATCTCTGCCCTGCTTGTGTGGTGTGCTTTGTCATCTCGTCTGTTCTCCTCCCGTTCTTCATTACTCTCCGCTCCTACACCTGCCCCTCCTCCGTGTTTTATTTTCTCTAGTATTTAATTTCTTATGTTGTGTTTGGCTACCGAATCAAAGATAGAGCACGGAGCGTATTGTACTTGGTAATATGGTACTCGGTCAAGTTTCACTCACACCAGCCTTGCCTGCTGCCTGCCTGGTGGCACTCTACAGGTCTCGGTATTGCGGCCCATATAAAGTGGCATGGGCGATCTAAAAACACAAAAGAAGCAACTTTTAAAAAAGGATCATATAAAGACATCCTGTCTTTGCAGTTGGTGGAGCACAGTATGTCCAAGATTCATTCAAATGCGACCCAACATTCAGATTGCTGATTTCCAATAGCTCACCTTCTATGAAATCAAAGTCATTGATGTTCAATTCTCAATGAGCTACGAGTCCAACTCAATTAAAAAACCAGCCGCAAACGTCACAATTGTTGACGACAAATTGAATCGTGTGCATACGATCTGAAGGTTACGTGTGAAGACGATATTATAGACAGGTATCACATTTAATAAATCAAAGGGGTACAAAAAAACTAGGCAACAGCAAATCATTACTTGATTCTATTTTGTGGTCGATCTCAAGCAAGCATTTCATGTCCACGGCAAATGATATGGCAAGAACATTACGAAGTATTGCTCTAAGTGCCAACATCAAAAAGCAACTGGAGCTGTACAGACTTCCCTAGCGTTGAAGGCACCACTTTTCTGATGTCACGAGAATACCACCAGTGCTTTACCAAAATGAAATTCAATTTGTGGTTGCGGCCAAAGCTCACCATTCCAAAATTGATGGCTCTTCACCGGGGTATCCTTGTTGTATGCAAGAAAGACCTGAAAAGAAGGAGTGGACATTGAAAGTTTGGAAAATGGTGCAAGATGGTAGCAAACTTGACCATGATGCACTCGGCTATAACTTTAGCAAAGCATGGGGGTATGACCGGCCTCAATTTTGGATCTGGAGGAGAACATAAAAACTATGACCTGATCAAAGGATTTGGGTAACACAGAGACCATTGGGCAAGGCAACTATGCTGGAATTATTGAGGAAAATGGAGTCAGAACTGGATTCCATGGATTTTCCGCAAAGATAACTGACTCGGGAAGTTCTGAGCAGAGGTATCAATGTCTGCTATCACAGTACTGCATCCGCAAAAGAGGTGGCGGCTGCGGAAAGTGGAAAGGTGCTGATCGGGTAATCCGCAAATTATAGTTTAACTCCCCTGTGCAATTATCTCTGGTTACTCAGCGGCCTTCTTCTCCTTGGGGAATTTACGGCGGACAGATTGGGAAAAAGAGAAAATAACCCAAGACACAATCGCGGTAATGGGATCGTTCTGTTGATCCAGTTCCCCCCCTTAGCTAGAACAGCAACTTTAGAGAACACTACATTGAAGGAGTTAGCTTCTGGAAAAGGCAGTTTCCAAAAGAAGAGGATTCAAACGAGCTCTGGAGAGTTGGGGCAAACGACGAAATGAATAAGGTCACGTACACTCCTGTACCCTATGTAATAGTGGAAACATTTGAAGTGCCATTAGATCGTCGCAATGATGTGGAGATCTTATCCAGCAGTAGATGTGAGCTTATTGGAATCAGCAGGTTGATTTGTAAAACTAGGTGGACCTTTATGCAACAATAGCTTTTTGTGGCTTACCCGGCGAAAAATACATCTTGCATCACTACGTTGTTGACCTTATTCATTTACCATAGAAAAAAGGTAGGTAGCTATGGATACATATAAATCCCATTTTCCTACCCTCTTATAAATTCCAACAAATCGTTGTTGACTTCATCAACATTTATGTTATGGATGGCATGCGAGCCTCCTTTGTAGACTTTAAGAGTCCCTTTCTGCAAAAGTTTCACCGATTTGAGTCCAGAAATTTTGATTGGCACCACTTGGTCATCATCTCCATGAAGCACCCGAACAGGTACATCAATACGCTTCAAGTCTTCGGTGAAGTCGGTCTCGGAGAAATCGCGGATGCAATCGAAAGCAGATTTGAAGCTGGTAGCCATACCCTGCCGCCACCAACTACAGATTTGTCCCTCACTCACCTGAGCGTTCTCTCTGTTGAAGCCAAAAAAAGGCCCCCTAGGAATGTCAAGGAAAAACTGAGCCCGGTCCTTGTGCATCGCTTCACGAAAACCATCGAAAACAGACCGGTCTAGACCATCGGGGTTTGAAGCAGTCTTTACCATCAATGGAGGCACAGCACAGACAAGAACTGCTTTCTTGACCCTGCCTGTCCCATGTTTTCCAAGATAGTGAGTCACCTCGCCACCGCCATGGGAGTGGCCGACCATGACTGCATCTTTCACCTGTAGATGCTTAAACAACTCTTCTAAGTCATCCACAAAGGTCTCCATATTGTTTCCATCCCAAGTTTGCGTCGACCTTCCATGGCCTCGACGATCATGAGCAATCACTCGGTAGCCCTTATTTGCCAGAAAAACCATCTGGTTCTCCCAATTGTCACTGCTCAAAGGCCATCCATGAGAGAACGTGACAATTTCACCATCAGCGTTACCCCAGTCTTTGTAGAATAGTTCGGCTCCGTCGCTTAGCTTTAAAAATGGCATCAATGAATGATTAATGGAAAGTTAAGATAAAATTGATCTGGGTTGAAGTTAGGTTGCTAAATGGTCGTGAATTTGTACCAGATCTGCATTGCGCCAATTGACATACCACCTATGATTAGGCCATGAAAAGGTCTTGTCATTTAACAAACAACACCAAATTTGGATAAATGGCCTAAGCACTCCTCAGACTTCAGTTGACTTCCCATTTGCGAAGAAGAAGGCAAATTGTTTGACATGATGTATTATGTAATCAACATGCGATAGTGGTTATCTCAAAAATTTTATGCAAGAGCAGAATTATTAAAAGGTGCACGACGAGCCGGAAATAGTAGTTCATGTTCGGAGTTAGTTGCAAAATCCATGTGGAGGCATAATCTGAAATGATACTTAAGGGCGTAAGATTTACAAGTTGACCATCTTGCCATGTCCCAAAAATTTATTTCATTTGCGTGGAATACTATTCCTGAAGATATTCATACTCGTCTTGGGAGTTCAGGTCTTCAGATTTCCAAAATAATCTTAGGATGCATGTCCTTCTGTTGAGATATTAGTCTATAATATGTCACGTGACTATGCAGAGATATGCATCTCCTGCATAAATATTATGTGAAACAAATCCTAATCAGTTAGGATTAGAGATAAGTTTCAGAAAGCACACTAAAGATTTAGAGTGGTATTAGAATCTACTATAAATACAGTTAGATTCTCCCTCATCTTAAGTGAACATTCAATTGGTAAGATTTACATATAAATCTTATAAATATAAGCTTATACAACTACTGATATAAGGTAGTGAAAGGTATATTAAATTATCCAAAAGATGACAACTTCAGATCAGTTAAAGTTAGCATTCCAACACCTTCGGCAAAAAAAGCTGGGTCGATTTTGTCCTCGAAGATGAAGACCAGGTTTTCAATATTATGAAAAAAGCATATGATAGTGGCATTCGTACTTTCGATACTGCAAACACATACTCGAACGGGTTTTCTGAAATTTTATTAGGGAAATTCCTCAAGAAGTATAATATTGATAGAAGAACTGTCGTAATCATGACCAAGTGCTACTTCCCAGTCAACGAGTCAGACCCTGATGACAATATTGCGTTCTCCAAAGTTACTGAGGGCTCGGACTATATCAATCGTGTTGGGCTCTCTAGAAAAGCCATATTAGACGCAGTTGACAAAAGCGTGGAAAGACTAGGCACCTATATTGATCTTTTGCAAATTCACCGTTTTGACTCTGAGACACCGATTGAAGAAACGATGGAAGCATTGCATGATGTTGTAAAGTCTGGAAAGACTCGTTATATTGGGGCCTCGACAATGAGAGCTTATCAATTTATCGAAATGCAACATGTTGCTGAAAAGCATGGTTGGACAAAGTTCATTTCCATGCAAAGCTATTATTCCCTGTTCTTCAGAGAGGAAGAAGATGAATTGATTGCATACTGTAAGAAAACAGGCGTGGGATTAATCCCATGGTCGCCTTTGGCTGGAGGAATACTTACTAGGCCATACGACAGGACATTGAATACAACCATCCGTTCGAGCAATCCTATGGTGACGGGGATGTTAGGCCTCAACGAGTTAACTGAAAAAGATAAGGTGCTTCTTGACCGAGTTGAAGAGCTTGCTGCCAAACACGAGGTGAGTATGGCCACCATAGCAACAGCTTGGTGTCTTGCCAAAGATCATTATCCGATCCTGGGAATCAATAAACCTGAAAGAATTACCGATGCTTTAGCAGCCATAAGCCTCAAACTCACAAAGGAAGAGATAACCTATCTTGAGGAACCGCAGGTTTCCAGAAAACTTACTCGTATGTACATTTGACTTATGTTCTTTGCCCAATATTTGCAGTGTTTTGCTTCCTTGTTTTTAATTTTAACTCCATAGCAGTGTAAGTATCTTCCATCCTTTAAGCTTTTCAACTGGATCTTCTGGCCTTGTTCTGTAGTCTTCTAATAGAACAGGAATAATTATCTCTTCAATTGGGATCTGAGGCGACTTCTTTACCAGCTTCCATGCTAGGTATAACACTGTAAATAAAACTGGAGAACAATAGGCTGAAACAAGTGTCGAGACTTTCCAATGTCCATGGATGAAGGTGGTAAAGCCGCCAGTGATCAACAATATTATGGAAGCTATTAAAGAAATCCATGCTCCAGCAGGGGCTATTCTGTTTTGGTATGGCAAATCGGACCTTTGGAACCCCTGAGCTTTGAGGGCCCTATTCATTCGAATATGATTAATGGAGATCAATATCCAATTGAGGAGAAGATTGGATGAGGTAATATTTTGGAACCAGCTGAATACCGTTGCTGCGGTGCTATCAACAGACATGTAAGCCAATGCCAAGAATACCAACCCCAAAGCAACCCCGACAAAAGGAACTTTAAATCGATCATTTGTTTTTAGAAATATACTTGGTGCTTGTTTCTTTGAAGCCAAAGAGAATAGAACTCTTGCAGTGTGCGTAACACCAGAGTTGGCTTCAGACCAGGCAGAGCATAATGTCAGAGCATTAACGACGTGAGGTAATACTTTAATTCCCGCCCTTTCAAATGCAATAACATAGGGAGAGTGTGCAGCAGTTCCGTCGCTGACAGCTATTCTCTTATCGTTGTACGGCACGATCAGGCTCAATATGAATACAGCCACCATATACAGTCCCACGACTCGGTACAAGATTCTTTTGGCCGCACGCGGAATGTTCGTTCTTGGGTTCTGAGTTTCTCCAGCTAGCATAGCAATTCCCTGTACTCCACCGTAAGCATAAACAACTGAGGAAAGGGCTGCCCAAAATCCAACGAATTTTCCAGTATTTCCTGTTGTGATGAATTCTGCAAAAGGGCCAGGGTCTTTCCAGTAATGGAAACCTAGCCTTTCTTGTCCCTTGACTCCACCTAAATCTAGAATAAGACCTGCAAAGACCAAAATCAGGATGAGTCCTATTTTGAGAAGAGCAAATACAAATTCTACTTCTCCATACACTCGGATAGAGAAAATGTTGGTGAGCGCAATTGGAACGAGTAAAACACTAATCCAAACTGCGGGATTAAGACTGCTCCAATACTGAATCACCAGGGCTGCAGAAACAAGTCCTCCTGGAAGAATGGCTTGCCAAAGAGATAGGTATCCCAAAGCAAAGCCTACAGCTTCGTCAATGAAAATTTCCGCATGTCTGATAGTAGAACCCGTTAGTGGAGCCAGGGAAGCCGTCTCGGCAAAAGCCATTTGGTTCAGCCCTACAACAACTCCTATAATAGCATAGGCTAGTATAATACCCACGGGCCCAGTTTTGGCTAGCGTACCGCCACTGCTAAGAAACAATCCTGTTCCGAAGACACTCACAAGAGCTATCATTCCGATGTGTCTGTCTTTGAGAGATCTCTTGAGATGTACATCATCGACTTTAAAAAGATCACTGTGTGAGTCCTGACCTGTGATGCTAATGGTCTCCAGGTTGGTGTCAGATTTGTTAGTGCTAATCGCGTGGTTGTAATCCTCTCTCGACATTGCAGATGTCAAATCTTATCGCTTTCAGCACAATTTATACTCTTCTTAAAATAGAGCCACGGATCCACAATAGCCACAACTGCCACCAAATTTTCGTCAATGTCAAGAGGATACAAAATTCATGCTTTTAAAGAATAGAGTTACAGTTGAGCTATTGATAGCTGCTAAAGTGTAACATATCCATTAATACTGTATCTCAAGATTCATCATTCTCAATTTTATTCTTTTCAGATCATCTTTTGATCGAAATATATTTTTTTGAATCATGTGGCACATAGCTTACCTCTCCAGCTATGTGCCAACTTGATGTCACAGATTAGTGGAAATTTGATTACTGCGCCATAATAAATTGTGACGTACTGATTCTCCCGAAAATTATATGCAAACCTCGCACAGCCGAGATTTCGTATGTAAAGTTTCAAAAGAATTTTCACCACACAACATACTAAATAATGACGAAAGGACGGCCAACCGGTTAAACCATGTACCTTTTCCATAAAGAAATAAGACATCTCAGACCTTCTCGCGAAAGGAATACAACACAGCATGTCAACATTGGCGCTTTTATTGCTCCACGTTTCCAATTGGCGGGGACTCAATTGGCAACATTACCTTTAAGAGATTGAAAGAATTGACAAGTATGCAAGGGCTTTCGCCTCGGAGAAGATTTTGAATGCGCAGCTACCATGCCAATTAAAGCTTAGTACACATTGATTATTAATGATTTAGCAGATAACGTGAAAATGGTGGGCTCATTGAACACAGTTGTTGCATGAACAGCTTTAGAAGCGGGTAACCTACACTATCTTGGCGCTAACAGTGGTGTCATACGTGACAGAGGTTGTTTTCAACAAATTGGCGAAAAAGTTATGTTTCAAAAAACTATCACGGATTAGCTTACGGTGCATGAGGTGCTTGTAGAGCTGCTATTTATGCTCTATATAGTTACCTGGGAGGCTTGACGGTATACTCCATGAATTGCTTTGCCTTAAAAGCTTACAGTGTGGCAACCAGCATGAAAAAGAATGGCTTTAAAGGAGAAATAATTCACGTATGCTCTTTAGCAGAAGCACGTCGGTTGGAATTCCCTAGCTTTGTGATACTTAATGCACCCAACCGTGAGCCAAGTGCGGTTAAAATTTGGTTCTAACAATAGAAAAGGCAAACTTGTATGCCCTTCAGGCGCGAACGTCCAAAGTTAGCAGCAGACTAATGTTTTGCACTAGAATATCCGTTGTTTTTAAATACAAGATTAAAAATACAATAACTGCAACAACGCCTCCCATATTAAAGAACAAGAATACACTGAAAGCGTGCACTGAAATAATCATACTTTTGATAAATTGTACAAAACTGAATTTCCAGGTCAGTTGAAACCCTTTCCTGATGTGTGCTACCAATACCACGTTTTGATCAAAACTTTCTGAAGAATAGACACAAGGTACGCTGGACATCAAGAGTGAGTGGTCATTGCACCTAAATTGGAACGTTGCCATCGTTGCTTTCCCGCCTAAGTTTACACCATCATGTTTTATGTGATCTCCAATCTTGATATCGGCTCCAATTAAAATCAAACAACATACGCATACTGCATATCCTATGACCATGAAAATTTCGCTTCCTAGCTGGTGAAAGACAAATACTACCTAGAAAGTAGGTGCAATTTCTTTCAACACACTAAAACCCTAGGTGAAAGTGGCACGACTGATGTATTATTTGTTCCAATGGCCTGGAGAATGGTCGAGCTGTGGTAGTTTAGAAAGTTGATGCCTGAAATTTCTTGCAGAATCACTGCGCTAGTGGAAAGTAATTACTTGTATGGTAAGTTTCCCCTTATTGGAATTGATTTAAAAGGTGGAAAACTTCCTTGTCTGATCTTCCTGTGTGCCTCTTGTGCTTCGTTTCTCAAATTACTTGCTATCTGATTACTAACAGGAAAGGCATTCTCTGTACGCAGATATCACGAATATGTTGGTACTTTCCCCCCTTCATCTCTTATACTTTTGAAAAAGCGGCATGTTGACTCAACAACAAATGCAAGTCCCAGTGCAATCATAATAATACGAGAGCGAATAAACTGAACATGAATTGGAATTCGCCAATTGCGATTTCCCTAAATGTTCTCATTTGTTCCATAATTAACACAGCTCCCAGCAACTCCGTCAATCTGACAGACATTTTGCATAGTTCCACTAGTGCCCGCAAATATTTGGAGGAATTTTCTCTGCTGTATACATTTACATTGGAGTAATATTACTCACATCCCCCTATGCAAATACCTAAAACAGATGGGCATTATATTGGGAGGGCGGCTAGCCCAATTGTAGAGATGGCTTTCAATTGAGTTGAGATCCCACTGTGATAAAGTAAGATGCAAACTAAAAATCAAGATTTCATTTTGAGCAGAGTGAGATGACAGAATATATTGTCGGAGACCAAAAAGTAGACTAACCCCAAATTAGGATATGATGTTAGCTTTTACACTTATCACAGATGACATAGAAAGCGGGTCAATTTCAAAGTTGTTCTCAAAAAGATCTAGAACTATTGCTCCGCTGATAGATCCAGAGGCGTATATACGCAGAACACTTCGACCCGTGAAGCAATTATAGCAACTCAATATAGTTTGTAGTTGAAAAAACTTCCCGGGAGAAGTGCTTCTTTTGGCTCAGAACAGGTATTGATTTCAGTCAGCTTTTCTTTTACCTTGTGACCTCAATGTTCTAGTAGAGCGAAAACTATTACATTTGTGGAAAAACAATTTCAATCAATAATGGAAGCATGACCAAGAAAGGCAGATTGTCTGCGTAAATATCCTTGTCCTTTCTCGTGGGCTGATTGAAAATGCGCAGCCGCATCCAATTGGTTTTCTCTTAGGTTCAATACCGTATTGGTCCCTTTGACCATGGCGTAATATATTAAAGCTTGAAATAGAAGGATTCTTTCCGTTACGGGCAGTATGCTGCATGAATGTGGGGAAATTTTAAGTGTCCTTTTAAATTAGCATGAATGGTTTGTAATTGCTCTGTGTTTTCCCATGAACAATAGACTTCAAGCGTTATACTGTAATCTAGTACTGTTACCAAGAAGCTAAATGGTGGGGCTCAATCCAAAGAACAGTAATATTATATCTGGTACTTTAATTAGACAAGTATTAGTTTTATTGTTTATACAGATGAAAAACAGATAGAGAGCACATGGTGCCCAATGTCCGCTATGTTGCTTCTTTCGATGATTGATACTGGAACACTACAATGTGATGCATTACCACGTACACGCAGTAAAGACCAGCTAATTATTTGAAAAGCAGCTGCATGCTACCTCAAGTATGCATTTCTATATTTCCGTCGGTCTATCTGAAGATCAGGCTACAACGTTTAATCAGCTGGGCATCATTTAACAAGGTAAACTGCACCAGCATTGTTTTTCGAACGTGGAAGATGACATCTGGTCTATATGACAAAAGGCATTTGACTTGTACTAGGAAATTATACTATTTTTGAGATCTCGTGCAAGATCTCACAGGCAGCGAGCTAACTACACGTGCGTAATTTTTTTTCGAGATCTGGGCACCCTTGATGCATCTAATTTCCGACAATGTTCAAACACAGCAGTAGCACTACGTATATATAGATGTAGTTAGCCATGATCTAGTCTTTATAATTAACCATGATTTTTAAATTCTTCTTTTTAGTTGCCTATTTTGCTTTCTCGGCAGAGGCTTCCATTTTGTCACCACCATACCCACAAACATCGACCGATCAATCTAATGTGTTGCGGTACTTGAATGGGGGACCGTTTGTGGAAAATACTGGGTTTGGTTTACCTCTTGACCCTCCATACGGCTGCAAGATAGAGCAGGTTCAGCTATTCATGAGACACGGAGAAAGATATCCTACTAAGAGTGCCGGAAAAACTTTTGAAACGCTATATCAGAAGTTGAAGAACGACACCGTCACGTCGTACTCGGGTCCGCTGGCTTTTGTGAAGGACCTAGAGTACTTTGTCAACGATCCGGAAAATTACGAAATGGAATCTACTAAAGGAGTTTACTCTGGCCTTCTAGAGGCGTACCGGTTGGGAGCTTTCTTTAGAGAAAGGTACGAATCCCTACTTGATTCTAGCAGCGTTGTTCCAATATTTGCGGCAAGTCAACAAAGAGTTGTCGATACTGCACGCTCCTTCGAAAAAGGTTTATTTTTGGATCAATACAATTCGTCCTGTTCCATACAGATAATCAACGAGGTTGGAAAAATGAACGGCGCCAATACCCTTACCCCAATAACCAATTGTCTCAGCTACAACACATCTCTGTATCAACATACATTTGGGGAAAACATATACCAGGCAGAGGCGGAACGGTTAAATGCTCTATCTCCGGGGTTCAATATCACACCAGATGACATTTTTACAATGGGTGCTTACTGTGGATATGAGCTTAATGTGAAAGGTAAATCGGATATGTGCCAGGCATTATCCATGGATGCTTTCCAAGCTTTACAATACCAAGATGATCTTCAAAAATTTTATCAATTCGGACCTGGCCACAACATGAGTGCCGTCAGTGGTGGACTTTTAGCAAACGCTTCTGCTCAGCTTTTGCAAGAAGACAGAAAAGTTGTTTTCTCTTTCATGCACGATAACGATCTTCTGACCTATTTCACTGCTTTGGGTCTGCCAACTGATACCGAACTGAGTACAGAAGAAATTGAGTTCCATAGAAGCTTCAAGACCTCTGAGTTCATTCCACAAGGCGCACGACTGATTATTGAGAAACTCAATTGCTCGGATTCCGAAAATGTTCGTTTTATTGTCAACGATAAAGTTTATCCTTTACCTGGATGCTCATCGGGTCCAGGCTTCACTTGTCCATTGGAGGAAACTATTGAATTACTCACTCCCGAACACGAATACGCAGAAGCTTGCGGCTTACCTGATGACCGCCCTCATAAGCTAACATTCTACTGGGACTGGGAGCCAACGTTTACAGATAATTGAACAAGAATCTCATTTTTTAATCTTTTTTTCTGCAGTCAAGATTCCTTACAAATAGGTTACGTCGTATAGCATGCACTAGCTCTATTGCATATACTCCGCCTATTGACAAAATTCCGCTCCTGCTTGTAGATTCTTTCAAGTGGAGAGGACATATGTAATAGAAGGCTTATTTTACTTTTAGTGTTTTTTTGTGCGTGGAAATTTGCTCAGTTGCATGTAGTAAGTATTCAAGTTTGTGTTCACCTTGAAAAAAAATTCTAGATCCTGTGCCTGTTAGTTCTCACCGTACTGAGCTTCTGGTTTGATTCCCCCGATCAGAGTGGGAGCTGAATAGACAAGGCTCCATTTGATTGAGATACTTTGACTTAAATGCCGTTTTAAAATTAAATCTTACTAAATTGAGTGAACAATAAAACGCACTTGTATTTCTTTTTTTTAAGACCCTTAAAGTAAGCAAAAAGTCACCGACAAACCAAACGCCCCAAATCCTGTTAAACAAAGCGTAAATGAGCTCAAACCTGCTGCGTGTAATGTGGTGAGCAATAATCAGGCATGTTGCTTAAATAGCGTCTTAGTGTATCTGAACCAAAATTGGAGTGGTTATAGCTAATCCATCAAAATTTAACAAATACCGAAATGCATGATACCTGCATGCTGGTATTTGGGCTTTGAACATATCGGAAACATCTAAACTAGATAAAAAAGCTTGGTTCACAATAATCTTGGCATGGTCAGCTATAAAAGACGGTGAATTGAACTTGTCAACTTTCAAAGTGGGATCAGAATCTGAGTTTTTATCAAAATAAAAAATGCTACGACAATCGCACTGATGTGGTGGAGGCAGATATCTGCTTCCACAGATTCTGGGTAAAAAATGACGATACGAACTGCATAAATTGTTTTAATCTTTGCATCTTTTGTTGAAACGTGTGCAGGTGACTTCACCTCAGGATTGGATATCTATGCAACATCCAACTTCAATGCACACGTGGTCGTCTATACTGCTGCAGTTGCCGATAAGATCAAAAAGATAACTTCATATTAAATCATGGCAAACGCTAACGATCTTTTTGGTCTTAGTGAAGGATTTGGCTTTTTTGTTCTTGCTTATACGATGTCTTATGTTTTATATGCCGCAAGTCAAAGTGTGTAGACTTGTGTGTGCTAGAATACTTTACGCGTTGGTAGAGTTGGATACAGAATTTTCCAGCAGGTGTTCATTGCCAACACATAATCGTTCATCTATCGGGGATTCATGTACAAGCTTCCACATGCTATAGCTGCTGTCCCCTCGCCCTATTTGTGCTCGGTTATTCAGAATGCTGTGATGAAGCATACAACCTGGAGACGGGGATATATAATGTTTGCCATTGTAATGTTCGCTTCTTGCTCAGTTCTTACAGCGATGATGTATGTCATTGATAGAAAATAAAGTTGACTAGTCGAGACAAGATTATCAACCCTCTTCAGAGTCTACCAGTAGGCAGGATTCTCAAACAGACTTGGTACTATTTGCTTGTTAAGCTGGATCTCTTTGGTGGATTGGATTACTCATGGCTGATGGAGTGGTTCTATTTTCTTCATCCATCTGACCCACACTGGAAACTTGTACCCTTACAGATGGCATCATCCAAAACTCATTGCTCTTCCTGTTATTTGGTCTGTGATATTTTGTGTGTTCATTGTTTGGAACACTGAACTTGCAAAATTCCCGTTTGTGCAACATCAAGGTCTTTTGCAAAAGACTACTGTGGTTGTTTCATTCCGTCAATACCGGAGATGGAATGGCTTCAGAGCCTTTGCTATATATTGCTGAAGTCATCATTGGCTCGGGAAGAGAACTATAGCAACATGCCTTGTAGCTAATCGCTCAGGCTGTTGCAGGAAAGCAGAATTTAGCAATGTCCTCAGCTTTCTTTCTTGCATTCAAGTCAATTGAGGCTCTAGTAGGCTCGGCTGTCCCAGTGTCTATTTGGAACGCTGTAATCCCGTCAAACTCAGCAAATAGTTCGTTGGGTCGCAGTTGGTGTCATAACACCAATGGTGTTTTTACTATTGTTCGTTCATGATAGTAGGCTATCTGGAAAATCAGATGTTTACGAGAATGAGGTAAGCTTGGAAATGGAGTCAGGAGAGCATGATACAAAGAAAGATGATAGTCTGTCATCAACTATTGAGCGGACTAACTCCTTCAAGAAATGGAAATTCAAGTCCTGGGAAATTAAGATTTCAAATGCAATCAGATTTTAATAAACGAGAAATTAAAAAATGCCTGTTGTAGAGTTTTACGTTTTATGATATAGCTATGCGACTTTGATTCAAGATTGTACAATACACTTGACACAAGAACCCCAAAACTAATGTGTTTGACTAGCTACTAATGGGCAGCAACTAAAATCAGTTGCTAGATCAATATTGTTATTACTGGGGACATTGGAGTCATACCCCTGAAGGCAAGGCTATAATATTCCTAAAATAAAAAGAAAGTTTGGAGTCTGTCACTAGGACACATTCCGTTCCTGTGCCTTCATTTCCTCCCGAGGAGGAGACAACAGTGATCCCCCGCAAAAAGGGGTCCGTCAGGATGGAAGCTGTCAAAGCATATATGGACAATATGGAGCATGGGGCTTGGGTGAAAGCCTTATTCTGTATTCTTATTCTTCTGATTGCGTGGGTGTATGCACTGGAGAATAGCACGACATCGAGTTTCATACCCCTGGCCACCTCATCATATAATGATCATTCGAGCGGTCTGGCGGCTGTTTCTATGTCAACCAGTATCATCACCGCTGTGGCAAAACCTTTTATTGCCAAGATTGCCGATTCTACTTCAAGACCTTTCACATACATATTTACTCTGACATTTTTTGTGGTTCGTTTTACAATCGTTGCTGCGTCCCACAAACTTTCAGCATATGTCGCAGGTGTTACACTGGGTGCAGTTGGATTGTCAGGTATCACTCTTATGGACAGTCTGATTATTGCTGATTTGACCCCTTTGAAGTGGAGAGGTGCAGTGATTTCCATCCTATCTACCCCATACATCATCAACGTTTGGTTCGCAGGTCTCATAGTTAACGACCTCAAAGCCTCAAACTGGAGATGGGGATATGGTATGTTTGCCATAATGATGTTTGTTGTGGTTCTTCCTGGTTTGATTTTGATGTTGCATCTTGACAAGAAGGCCAATGCCAAAGGTGATGCAATTGCAAGATCTCAAAGAGCTACCACCGGCAGAAAGAGAGGAATCGCAAAAAATATCTGGATAGCATTTATTGAGATTGACGGTCCTGGATTGCTGATAATCGGATTCGGCTTTGCTCTTTTCTTGCTTCCCTTTGCGATGCATAACAAGAACTCTGTGCCATGGAGCAGTACCAGCATTATCGTTATGCTAACCATCGGTGCAACTCTGCTTGTATTCTTGATTCCATACGAAATGTTTATTGCTCCCTACCCAGTCATGCCAAAAAGGGTCATTAACCGGACACTGATCTGTTCTATCATCATTGACTTCTTTTATCAGTTTGGTGGAGAAATTGGTTCTATCTATTTCTCTTCCTATACTTATGTTGTCCTCGATCTCTCTTACAAAAATTGGTCCTACTTTTCCAACACGCTTACCTTAGGACTTTGTTTCTTTGGTGTGGTTGCAGGGCTCACCTACAGATTTACACACAGGTACAAACCATGGCAAATTTTGGGTTTGTCAATTCGTCTTATTGGAACTGGTATCCGGCTGGATGGCCACAGCGGGTCCACCAGCTTGGCTGCACTGGCCTGCGCACAACTATTAAATGGTATGTCAGGTGGATTTTCGGTGGTGGGATCGTCGGTGGCTTTGCAAGCATCGGTTCCTCATGAAGACCTTGCTGTTGCTATTTCCATTCTTAGTTTGTGGAGTAACGTGGCAGCATCTATAGGTTACGCGGTTGCTGTGATCATCTGGCACGCCAAAGTTCCAGCAGCTTTGAGAAAGCACCTGCCTGACACTGTTACAGATGCACAAGTTACTAAATTTTTCAACAGCATCGTTGCTATTAGAGCTTACCCATATGATAGCGAAATTTGACAAGCATGTATTGCAGCATATAAGGAAGCATCATACTACTTGTTTGCCCCTCCTGTCGGAATAGCAGCTATATCACTAATTGCTGGATGCTTCCAAACCAATTATTACCTTGGTAACAGACACAATGCGGTGGAGGAAAAATCCACTTCATTTGGAAATACCGGCTCAGATAAAGAGAGAGAGGAAAGGGAAAAGGAAGCTCGTACCTGGGGTCAAAAATTGCGCTATTTCTTTTTCTAGGCCTGCTTAGATCTAGCATCGTTTGAACTCTAGGGTTTTTGTGTAGGTATATAATTATACTCACTTGAGTTGATTTTGACATTGTCAATTACCTTCATCTTTCATTTAGGTCTATCATCAATTTATTTACTCAGTATATTTGTCTAAAAATAATGATTCTATTTGACTACCAGAACAAATACCAGCCTATGTAATACTGACGAAGGTTTTCCACCAAGGTTGCATGTTGTGTCAACTTGTCCACCTAATTGGACATTTCCGCTTTCTTGAATTGCTTGATGATATTTCCAGTCAGTTTGTCTGCAATTCTCTTCGACACATACGCGGCACGAGCACCCATATGCAGTATCTTTAGTCTGCCACAAGTCCATAAGCCATTGATGGGCTTGATTCAATTCTTTTCAAAAAACCTTCACAATGGCACTTCACCAATGGTCTCCGGACCTAGTTCTAGCATATCATGCAATGGAGTGAGTATCTGGAAGATTATATCAATATTTGTGTCCCCAAAATAGGAACGAGAGGCATCTTCCAGCCATTGGTACCATATGCGTGCGACAAAATGGCAACTTTAATCAGCTCATTACCTGCCAAATCTGCCTGATGGAATTAGGTTTTTCTGTTTCTCTCATATTTATAAACTCTAGGAGCGTCATCGCATCACTGGAGTTTTTCATACCAGGTCTCCTACAATTGCAAACAATGGTGATTTTGAGCATCTTTCAATATTCCAATGCGACATCTGGTCACTGGCCATCATTCTCACCAGTTTCATCACTGTGACAAACGTTTGACTCAATGCTTTGCTGCAGGATATACATTCGAGGTGTTCATGGAAAACCCAAGGGCTTTTTTATTGCGCATTGCACCGATTTCCGAAAACGTGTTCCACTTTCTTTATAAATACCTCTGTCTCAACAGGCACCTAGCAGGCGGTAGTTACACTGGTCGGCAGAGCTTGGGTCGTACGAACTTATTGACAGATGCTCGGGGGCAAGAACGGGATCCGATACAACAATGCCACGCACCTTGACAATATCGCTGTTGGGCGGCCAAGCCGCGCCGCAGACCCACCCCGCCACACCGCGAGAAAGCTACATGCCCACATTCCCTCCTCAAAGTGCTATCTACACCAGACTCATGTTTAGTGGCTACCGCGCACTGCCTATACTCTCTTCATCTACATACACGGATCAAAAAAGTCCACAGCGGTTCATGACGTTAGCCACTCCCTATCCTGATTTTAGTGCCTAGTCTTACGTAATGTGACAGCGCGCTAAAAGTGAATTAAATAATTTTTTTTCCTTTAGGATGTCGTGTCTTGCTTGTCGTTCGCGCAAGATTCAGTGCGATGGTGCCAAGCCGCGCTGCTTACGCTGCCTCAAATCAAACGTTCCATGCTATTACAAGCCACAGCCCACTGACTTTCTAGCCTGTATTTACTGCAAACGTGGACGACGTCGCTGCTCGCGGACAAAGCCTGCATGTGATAGATGCAGACAATTAGGTAAAAAATGCGAGTATCCATCGGCTGTGGCAGTTCAATCAATTGAAGTCCTTGATGCCCTTTATGAAGCTCCAATTTCCGAAATCGATATGCTCTGCGAATCCACAATTCGTCGAGATCCGCCTTTTTTCGCTGGCAATTTTCTTGATAGACGATTTATCTCCAAACTGCGCGGCGGCCAAGTTTCTATCCACTTGCGAAAGCTGTGGCCGGACTATCGCTCGACCTCGTGGTTCCTGAGCACCGTCTGGTAAGCTTCTCCAATTACTGGTACGAGAGACTGCTTTCGGACTCTTTACTATCTCTGCCGTCACTAGATCATCTTCAGGCACTTCTTATAACACTGATTTCCGCACGTAGCTCGATCAAGCACTTTCTTCTCATTCCCGTGCTTTCCCGTATGGCTTATGGACTCATATTGAACCACGAACTTAACTGGATCAAGGACCCCTTTGAAAAAGAGCGTCGTCGCCGCATGGTGTGGAATATTTTTGTTCTAGATAAGATATATGCGGCAGGAGTGCCAGAATTTGTTTCGTGCGACATCAATCTCGTATCGATACATCCACCATCGACGAATCCTACCTCAGAGCCCTCACCGTTTCGCACCCAGCTTCCACGCTACGTGGCACCGTTTAATCTCTTTTCATTAGTTGTGCATCTAGCTCAACTACAATACAACACAATGAACGCAGTGAAACTTGTTGAGCGTGGTTCTGGATCCCTTGAAGACGTTGCTCATGACATGCATCTGACATTGGATTTGCTTCCGGATAATCTTCGTTATTCTGCTGCCAACGTCGAGGCACTACCTGCAAGTCAAAGATCCCTCTTCATTAACATGCATCTTCTGCTTCTGCTCAATCAATGCAACTTGAATAGACTTGAGGGGCCTGCACGATCGCTCGATCTAGCACTTGCCATTTCTTCGATTGCACGCGATAACAGTGACATCCTTGCAAACTCACGCACAACTATCACGTTGGCATTTGCACTATTCGAAGCGTCGAGAATTATGCTTCATGCTGGCATCGATATGAAATCAAATATGGATGTTATTACTGGCGCAAAATGGGCAGACCCGGACGTTGTCAACATATTCCTGCGAGATCTCGGCGCCGACCGCCATTTTGGGGGTCTTCTCTCGTTTTCCGAGCTCCACCCAGCCCACAATCTTTCTTGATGTATTTAGCAGCAGACATATGTTACTTCACCCAAATTTTATAAGTAGATAAATAGTTGCTGACAGTGTCGCAATATATAACCATAAACGCCATAGCCTCATATATCAATCATCTACGCTTCTCCAGCTGCTTTCCGTTATTCAAACCTCTGGAAAAATCCATGCTGCTACTAGTATAGTTCCAATAGATATGTCGAGCGACATCACATCGTAACTTAAACTATGCAGGATGGCGTGCTTGAAGATACTATGTGACATCCAGATTTTAAATTAGTAGCTGGTAAAGATTCTACATTCAACTATGATTATCATCTTATCAGCGACGACGCGTGAGCTGGGTATATTGACTACAACGGGCGGGTCACAGAGGTTTAGATTCCTCAGTTGACAAATGTGGCTATTATATCTTCATTTGCTACGGTTTGTCCACCTTACGTGTTTGGGCCTGTTTTGATGGCTGCTCATAAAGTTAATGAACCCAACCAGCTGATTACACACTTAATCAGAGCTTCGCGAACCACCGAATTCGTGGAAAAACCTAGTGGTCTTTCTGTTGACGTGAGAGATGTGCCAAGGATCCACAAGCTTTCATTGGAAAAGAACGCTTCATATGGAAGCAGATTGTTTATTGGCTGTCAAACGTTCACGGGCCATGCATTGCTCTATTTACGGAATAAGAATATCCCAGAGGAAAGAAAAACTTGATGTTTGAGCCCCGGAGAAAAATGATCAAATCAAAGTATTTGGACTCGACATTGACCACATAATTGAATCTCTCGGAGTCTATGAGCTCATCCCTCTTCGACGGTCAGTCGTTGATACGATCTCCCAAGACTGGGCTATGACAGATTCGTGGGAAAGGCATATAATTTCTTCGGTAGTTGCATGAACGTATCAGTACAGGGATTCATTAAGGCTATGAACAAGAAGGATTTTTTTATTTTTGTGCTAATACCCCAGAATATGGCAATAAGTGAAACAATGCAATGCACTCTGTATTACTAGTGTCTCAAGACAAAAAAGGGTGTTTCCAACTAATCTTGCTATTTCTGGATTCCCATTATACAACAGAATAATGACGTCACCAATTAATCATAAAATTCAAGACTGCATTCAGATACCTCATCTGGCTTCTTTGACCGTGATCTCCGGCAGTCTGGAGAGCAGGAAAATAGTGCCCCGCATGTCCGTCAGCGGCCATATGAGTTAAATTTTGCCATGGCGCTGCTAGGTCCCCGCAAATTTCTTGATTTATCGCGTTCCCCGTGCATACATATTAGCTCCACAGTATATATAGCCTCAGGAGACCCAATTTCAGCAAACACAAGCATATGATCTCGTTAGACTTGGAGAAGAAAAACGAGACTGAGCATTTTGAGGGCGACTCCGACTCCGATTCGGGAGTTCGCATTATCCAGATCGACGCTGGTAAATACCTAGAAGTGAACGATGCCAAGATCGCCGAGGGCATCGATACATTGGAACAAGAGTTACAAGCTTCAGGAAAAAAGCCATTTTTGTCAAGTAGATGGCTCAAAAAACCAGAGAGGTTTATTTGGTATTTGGCCAGTCTAGCCTCTGTCGGGGGGTTGTTGTTCGGTGTCGACCAGTCCTTGATCAGCGGAGCTGCATTGTATTTGCCAAAAGATCTCAACTTGTCAGATTCACAAGAGTCTATGGTGGTTGGGTTTACGCCATTGGGCGCCATGGGAGGTGCTCTAGCTCTGATGCCCTTGAACGACATTTTTGGAAGAAAAGGAACTATTATTATATCCTCGATTGTTTTCACAGTTGGTGCGATTCTGGAAGCTGCAGCAAGGAATTTTGCCGTCATGCTGGTTGGAAGAATCATCTTGGGACTCGCACTTGGCCTTCTTTCTGGAACGGTTCCTGCATATATTTCTGAGAACTGTGCTCGCAGATGGCGTGGAGGCCTGGTGTCGCTATACCAGGTGATGGTGGCTTTCGGTGTTATGATGGGATACGTGATTGCAGCGATTTTCAACTCAGTGAAGGGGAACTGGAGATATATTTTGGGAAGTTCTGTGGTGTTCTCTACTATTTTGTTCTTTGGAATGTTGACCTTGCCCGAGTCCACAAGGTGGCTCATGAAACGAGGCCGGAAGCTGGACGCATATCAGGTTTGGAAGTATGCTCGCGGACTGGACTCTGTGGATGAGCGACAAGAGTTCTACATTATGGAGCACGTTCTGCTGTATGAGAAGGAAATGGCGCAAGACAGATGGCTCATTTTGGACCTATTTGGCACAAAAAGATGTTTACGGGCAATATCGGTTGCAGTAACGTGCAGTTTGATTTGCCAACAAATGTCTGGTGTCAATTCCATCGAGTACTATCAAGCGACTTTGGTGCAGGCCGCAGGGCTATCGCCGCAGAATGCCGTCTACACAAGTTTGGTCGGTGGAGGAGTCATGTTCCTCTCCACAATTCCCGCTATTTACCTTATGGACCGCCTTGGAAGACGTACCTTGACGTTGACACTTATCCCAGGTATTGCAATAGGACTAGTTATTACGGGCTGTTCCTTTTTGGCTACAAATCTTGGTGTCAAACTAGGAATCTATTTTTGGGGTATCATCACTTACACGGTTTTCTGGTCCCCAGGACTCGGTCCAGTTCCTTATCTTCTTGCTGCGGAGGTCTATCCTACATACCTGAGAAGTTATGGAATGAGTCTTGCCTCGTTTTGTAACTGGACTGGAACTTTCGTGACGACCTATCCTTTCCAATACATGGCCAACTCTATGACTTCGACAGGAGTCTTTGCAGGGCTTTACTGTGGATTGCTTCTTTTGGGAGCGTTTTACTTAACTTTGTTTATGCCCGAAACCAAAGGTTTGACATTGGAGGAAATAAACGAAATTTTTCAACGGCCGCTGACACATACCATGCATACCAATGTGCGCAATCTGAAAAAGACTTGGAATGCCCTAATTCGCTTGAGACTCAGAGAAGTGTGGAAGATCGACTCACATTAACACCGTTGTTGTTTATTTACTGATAGTTACTGACCTTTCAGCGAATCCGATTAGTCACCAACATGCGTCTCAATTCGGGGCTCTTTGACATGTATCAATCAGAACGATTGATAAGAGTATCTGTGACGATGTCTTCAATTTCAGCCAGTACTTTCATCAATGCAGTACCAGAGATTGTGCGTTTAATACTTCTTTCAAATGATCTGCTTCTGTGAAGTTTATGAAAGCCAATTCACCAAAGTCGTTGATTCAATTGCTCCCGGAGAGACACATGACGGTCTTTTTGAAGCAAACAAAACACTGAGGATCAACCCTGTTGTGGCTGAAAACGTTTTGTCGGCATTCAGATGGAAGGGAAACGTTGGATATGACATATACAGTTAGGGTCCAACCCTACGGAAGACGGCAAAAAAGAATTATTACATAAGGAGGTCTTCGGCGATTGCTCAAAGACCCGCTTTTATACTTTGTCGGAGATCTGAAGAAGGATTTGAAGCATATACTGAGGTTTTGAAAAGTAAGAGCGAAGCTTGATAATCAATATAAGTACTGGAACTCAGGATCGCCATCAGAAGAAGTCTGCTGTCTCTTGTTTTGGATGTATGAGTTGATGGCCATCGCCACAGCAGCAGCGACATTCAAGCAAAAGCAAATGACCCAGGATCTGAAAGCGTAGGTGTATGTTGGGGCATCTTGGCTGCGGAAAAGTTGTGGTCCGGCAATGTTACTGGCACAGTAAATGAGGAACATAGAATTGCTTACGACAGTCTTTCTCGTTGAGCCAACGAAATTTGAGGAAGCCATCGACAGCAGTAATGGGAAGGTTGCGGTCTGAACTAGCACGAAGTAAAATCCAGTCAATTTTGCTCCTAAAGTTTGGCCCTTGTAAATGAGAGAGCCTCCAACGATTGCAAAAATACAGCACACAGAGATCATCAAGCATCTGAGCCCTTTTTTTCTACTGGCAATCAGTCCAGATGCAGTGATAGCGATCCACGCAATTATAGAACCTGGCAAATTGAGCAACGTGGTGTTTATAGCGCTGAATCCAAAGTTGTTCAAGATAATATTTCCGTAACTCTGGACTCCACTGTTAGGCAAGATAGAGAGCACAACGGATCCAAGAAGCAGCCAGAAGTTGATGTTTGTCATACAGGAGAAAAATTCGTCCCAACTCCAGTCATCCTCCACCTTTTGGTTCTTCATATTTTCGGCGTAATATTGCTTCTCGGATTCTGTAAGGAAGCTGGCCTTGGATGGAGAATCTGGGAGGAAAAAGAAGATAGCGAAACTCCACACAAATGTGATGCACCCATAAACGATAAAAATATATCTCCATGGGGACAACTTTCCGGTGATGTGACCCAGACCAAACGATAAGAAAGATCCCACAATAGCACCGGCATCGTTACCGGCAAACCAGATACCCGATCTGGCAGATTGCTGTTCTGGCTTCCACCACATACCCGTGATCAGCACAAATGAAGGACTGACAACACTCTCAAGAAGGCCTAGAAAGAATCTGGCAGCAAGAAGTCCTGCATAATTTTCACAGGCTCCTGTGCAAGCTAGCGTAATTCCCCACAGACAGACGGAGACTGAGACAAACTTTCCAATTGGCACAATTTGAAGCACTCTGACACTCGCCAAGTTTCCAAACATATAACCGAAGTAGAAGATCGATGAAGTCCATGAATAATCTTGACCCACCAGCTCTAGATCTGTTTTGAGACCGAAAACAGAAGACTGACCCAAAGCCAGCTTATCCATAAATTGCAATCCGTAAGTGACTATCATAAGCGGGAGAATACGAAGATCCACTTTGCGGAAGAGCTTTGCCTTGTCGATGTAGACGGAAGCTTCAGAAACATGAAGCTCGTCCTTGTCACTCATGGTCTCTTCTTTGATATAGTTATCCATTAACTGAATACGGATTTTTTCATCACTTAAATACTTTTTTTTTGTTAACGCGAGATTTTTATCTGCAAGTCTTATCAGCCTTAAAAACGAAAAACCTATTGGTGCCAGTTTTGATGATGGGAAATTCGAACATTTGGGATGGATAGAGCTAGTATCCTCTTGTGAGTATGTAGCCACTTTTCTGGTGTCTCTAGGACTTCTAGTTCATTAGAAATCAAGAAAATAAAGCTCGGCCGAGACTCATATCAATCATGGCTGTGCTCGTCGGCCGAGATTTTAGAGTCAAAATTGATTAGATGCAGTATTTATCCTAACAGGGCTTCTTTTTTTTTTTTTCTCCTTATGACTAGAAATAAGACTTCGTTGTATGAGATCTGTCATAACCTACCCAAGGTTGAGACTCATTGTCACTTGTATGGCACCATTTGCAAAGACACAATCACCTATTTTAATAACCGGGCTGGCAAGCCTTTCACAGATGAGCAAATAGAGCGCTTCTACATTAGAGGTACCAAACCAGTTGGGGTGCTGGCAATTTTCAGAGGACTCGATTCTGAACTGATCAAGTTCCCTGAAGATCTATATAGGATTACGAAGGAGCATTTAGCGGTCGCGAAGAGCCATAATGTCATTTATATAGAGCTCTCCTGGAATCCTACGGGAACGGTTTTGGAATCTAAAATTCCGTTCGCTTTAGCGCAAAAGGCAATCCATGACGCTATGATAGACTCAGAGAAAGAGATCGGAATTATGAGCAGGCTCATATGCGCTATTGACCGACAAGCCGAACCAGAAAAAGCTGCACAAATGTTAGATTGGATGCTGGAGTCTCCGTCGCCAATGACGATCGGCATCGGAATTGATTACAAGGAAGATGGCTTCCCTCCCGAGCTATTTGAGGATACTTTCAAGCGTGCCAAGAGAGAAGGGTACAAGATAACTGCTCACGCCGGTGAGTTTGGCATGCCGTGGAATAATATCGATTACGTTGCCAACACTATCCACGCAGACCGGGTTGATCACGGATACACAATCATCGATAATCAAGAACTGGTTGACCAGTTTTTGGAAGAACAACGATCAATTAGCGTTGTTCCTACAAATTCGTATTATCTTAGACTGTTTAGTCCGGAAGAATGGGCACAAAAACATCCAATAAGGAAGATGATCAAGCTTGGACTTAATATCTATCCAAACACAGATGATCCTTCGTTCCACTGTGTTGAGCCTACGAAAGCATGGATGATGATGGTGGAATGTTTCGGTGCAACCATTTCCGACCTCAAAAGGTTTGCATTTAACGCGATTGACAGCGCGTGGGTGGACCACGATTTGAAATCCAAGTGGAAGCAGGAGTGCAATAAATATTTCGATTCATTATAATAAATTTTTCTTATCTATATAAGCCCCATAAAACCTATGAAAATCAAGAGTCGTCCGTCTCTTGCGTGCATTCCCTGTACTATACGAAAAGTCAAGTGTGACAAAACCATTCCTTGCAAGAACTGCATAAAGAGGAAGACCACCCATGAGTGTCGTCGACGAGACTTGGTTCCATCCCCTGAAGTTCCCGAGTCAAATACTGATACTGGGTCAAACCTCTTCAACAATAGACAAATAGTACATTACTTGTACTCTCTCAAACTGCTGACATATGGAAGAGCCCAAATCAAAGGTCTAGTCCCTGTGGAGGATCTGCTCAAGTACAATAGATGGGATCAGTATATGAACCAGTTTCCGACATTAATTAATAAATTGACTCCTGCGCTTTCTAGGAAGATATGCGAATGGGCATGTAATTATACAACTTTTATTCATCAAGGAGTTGTGAACGAGCTATTTCTCAAGGACCACGACAATTTCTGGGAAGCTCATGTATCTAAAAACCCGGCTTGCCTTAACCACACCATTAATAATACCCTCAAGACAAAATCGTCAAAAGACTACTACTATTGGATGTCGCTACTTTACGCCAACTTGTCCACAGGCATGTACTTTGGAGTCCATGAGATTCAATCAGATCCTACTTACACAGAAGCAGAACTCTCTGAGTTCTCGGCAGTTTTTTTCCGAGCCTCACTGGATTGTCTTTTCAGAGCTGGGGCATTGGAGCATGCCGACGTGCGATGTATCCAGGTCTTCTGTGTTCTATCAATGTGTTTGCATGCCCTAGGCAGCACATATTTGCACAAGTCTCTTCTCCGCATTTCTGTTGAGGCAGCAAAGAATTTGGGATTGGACCAGCTGCAAGCTGACAATGCTCCAGACTATCAAAGCGAGATCCTGAAACGTCTTTTCTACAGCCTCATGATTATAGACTCATTAAGCAATTATCCCAAAAGATACATTGCTGACTTCTCAACTCCATTGCCATCCATAATCTCATCTGACGTACTTCTGAAAAAAGTGAGTCCCATCCCTCTTACATTTCCTGAAGCCTGCAAGAACGACGAAGTTGCAGGCATAATGTATGAGCGCATGATGGTGGAACTCGCGCAGTTGAAGCACGAAAGTTACGAAAAGCCCACTGCTACAGAGCTGATCTCCTGTCTTGAAAAAATGAAGGTCCTGAGGTCCAAATTAGACACATACTTTGGTTCGAAGGGATTCTCTCCTGAGGACAAATCAATCGCTCAGTATGCAAAATACCTTTTATTTTCCTCCATCACTCGTGAACGGCTAGAGATCGGTATTCGCCTGCAATCTCTTGTTGGCACCCAAGACTGGGCCAAACAATACCGCCCCCAGTGCCTGGAGGTTGCAACCCAGCTACTTTTTCACAGCACATCTGCTGGGATACCTGCCTTTTATAATCGTTACTGGATCGTTGCACAGCATTTGATTTATGCATGTTTGTTTGTGCTCTTAGACATGCTACTTTTCAAAAGCGACGACGACAAATACAAGCTTGAATTTGTCAAGCGTACGTTCCCTACTATCAAAAAATTGCAATCATACTTTACCGTGAAAATTGGCTTTGCCATAATCGAAAAACTCTGCTATCTCGTGTCGAAAGTGCGATTGGACCATCTGGAAAATGAAACTCTCGAGGCAATATCACTTCGCGAGTTTTTGAAAGAGATGGAAATTGCCAACCCGTACAGCTCGATACTTTCCAGAAACCGTATTGTGCCAGACATCACCGAGTCCCAATATCTACGTTTTGGCAACGAAACAACGCACCCTCACAGCACAGATGGAGATTTTGCGCCTAATGAAGGAGATTCTCTGACAGAATCTGAGAACGGCTTCAACGTCACATCAGCAATGCTGGATGACAAGGGCTGGTACGAGTTCTTGGACTTCTTTTTTGGAGGCGAGACTGCTGCCTCCATATCGGATACCTGATAAAAAAAAGCACTCCTCGAACCACGAAGATTTCCCGAGAGACATTTTTTTTAATGCTACCTGGTATGTATCTCTGAGTAAGATGGGTAGAAAATTCAACGCCGATGGCACAGTGAACAAGTTTCCAGGCAACACTGTTGTGTGCCATTTGCCTCAACAGGGTAATGCGCGTGGGCTATTCAAAAGGCTGCTGGACTTCTACAGGGCCTTTCCTATTTTACTTTTCAAGAATAAAATAAGCATGCTGCCGTCGTCGAGTCTTCATATGACGATTTTTGACTGCATGCACGAATACAAGCGCCAATCTGATACTTGGCCAAAGGAGCTACCCCGGAATTTACCTATGGAACAGTGCAATGCATGGATGGTGAAGAGGCTCACCGAGACACCGTTTGAGATTGACTTGCCTATACGGCTTCAGGTCGACAAGAGCTACGTTGAGCAGACGTCTCATGGGGGGATGGACACATGGAAAGTTTGTTTGTTGCCTCTGGATGAGAAAGAGGAACTGAAGATCAAGAAGTTGCGCGTGGACATTGCGAACGCATTGAATGTCCCGCTGTCCAGTATCGAGTCGTATAAATTTCACTTGACTATCGCGTATTTGAACGAGGAATTTACAGAGGAGGAGTCGATGCAGCTGAAGAGAATAAATGACGAATTCCATCAAGAGGGCCACGTTGTGGAACTAGGCCATCCCGAGATTTGCCGATTCGATGATATGTTCTACATGGAAAGATTGGCATTTCTAGGACAGAAGCAGTAATATAAACTCCGGTGTTTCCCATTCTGGAGTAATTGTACGATTGGGTTAGAGTGCGGCGCCCCACGTTCCTTAATTTTGGCCCTGCGTCATGCACGCATAACAGATGTCGGAGTTTCCAGCAACATACCATTCGTCTTGTAGAGGGTGCTGTAATGTGTCTCGAATCGGTGCTCGTGTCGAAAAGCGGAAGGAGTCAGATCCAATCCCGGAAAGCGTTTCTCAATTTGCAATTTGTCTGCGCACATGGTACACAATAAACATTAATGGGTGGCAGGGCTTTTTTTACATGTATAAAAGAGCGGTGCTGGGCTTGGTATAGCAGACCTAAAATGAGGTTGAGCTTTGCCGCCCTATTAGTGGCAGTCCAGGCATTCCGTCTCGGTGATTTGCAAATCGAATCGAGTAACTGGCCTGCTGCAGATTCGGTGCCTTCAGACGACGATCTGATCAAAATCTCGCTTGACGAGCTTTACTCCATTGGCAATAGTACCAAGTTAAGCGATTGCGACAAGTGCAAGCACAGATTGCTCTATGCCAAATCGCTGGCCCTTGTCAAGCCTACATTAATTCCTTCAATTTTCACCGAGTGGTGCATCGGGACCAATGCATTGCAGAAAGATATGTGTTTGCGGATTTTTGGCAGAACTACTGTTCAGAACTCATATGCGGGCTCTAATTTTGCCGACATGGTGTCTTTGATGGACCCAATTTCCTACGACGGTGACTATTACTGTCACTACACTGAGTCGGCATGCGATTATGTCTCGCCACCAGAGATTGATGGGTCGGAACTCTGGGGTGGCAGCAAGCCGGAGAAGTCCAAATATGCTCCGGAGGCCGGAAACGAGACGTTCTACGTGCTTCAAGTGTCAGACTTCCACATTGAAAACGATTATGTTGTCGGCGGAGAAGGTAACTGTTCTGTCAGTATGTGCTGCACTCCTCATTCATTCAACGACGATCCCGTTCCTCAAAATTATGACATCTCCAGCAACGTGTTTCTACAGGATGGTCCTGGCGAGGGCTGGTCGTTTTACAAATCGTCATATGTGGACAATATTTTTGAAAAGGGCCCGTACGTTGGGTACAACGAATCCACTTGGTGGCCGGCAACCAGCTTTGGCCACTACAACTGTGATGCTCCTGAGCTGTTAATCAATAGCACGTTGAAAGCAGCCACCAGTCTCCAGCAGCAGCTGAACCTGAACTATGAGTTTGCTATTTTCACCGGCGACCTGGTCGACCACGATGAAACGCAATATATCACGTACGAGTCCACTTTGCTGGCAGAAGAGTCCACTTTCAGAGACGTTAAATACCAGCTTGGCGACATTCCGATGTTTCCGGTGCTTGGAAACCACGATACATTCCCTTACGGACAGCTGGCGCAAGAGAAATACGGGTTCTCCAACAAGTTCGACTGGAACAATGAACTGATGGCCGAGCTTTGGAGAGACTATGACTGGATCGATTTTGACGAAGAGCAGCAGGTCCGTGAGCACTACACCGGCTTCAGTGTGAAGACTAAACGCGGCCTCAAGATCATCGCTCTCAACTCCAACTCGTGGTACATTTCCAACCTGTATGCTTTCATCAACATAAGCCAGGACTACGACTCATTTGGCCAGTTCCAATTTCTGGTTGACGAGCTGCTCGACTCCGAATCCAAGGACGAAAGGGTCTGGTTGATAATGCACGTGCCGGCAGGGGCAGATATGCTTCCTGTTGCGTCTCAGGTGTTTGCACAAGTGGTCGAGAGATTCTCACCGTACACCATTGCGGGAATCTTTAACGGACACACCCACAGAGACGAGTTTAAGGTTCTGTACTCGGGCTTCAATGGGTCCAACCTGGACGCGCAAACCGCCGAAAACGCAATTGCAAACACGTGGATTGCTCCGTCCGTGACCTCTTGGATTGGCCTGAATCCTTCGTTTCGGTTTCTCGAGGTGGACTCCAAGACATTTTCCGTGATGAATGCTTATACCTACTATTTCAACCTGAACGAAACTTTCACCAACAATGGCACGGAGCCTGAATGGCGGCTCGAGTACGACGCCCGATCCGCTTACGGTGTGAACTGGCCGCAATTTGCCCCGCTAAATGCCACGTACTGGCACGAAGTGTCGCAAAAAATTGGCAGCAGCAGCTCGTCGCTTCAACAGTACGAGAACTTTGCCACCAGATACTCTCCGTACACTTACAAGTGCTCGGAGTCAGACAACTGTGACACTTTTTATTGCTATGTCTCAACGTTTACAATTGACCAGTACGTCAAGTGCTGCGAGCACTTTGGACTTGATTCGGATATTTGAGTACTTATATCGTCCCCAGCAGTTTAATATGATTTGCTGCCAGAGTCTAAAAGCAACACACAGGAATGTTTGAGTCGCGAGAGCGAAGCTGGCCTTTTAGCGGATAAGTAGATGCAATTCATCAGTAACGTCATAGCATCAGCACTTATTGAGCCCTCAACACGCTACAAGGGCAAGTTTACATATGGTTTGTGGCTACTGCAACATCTTGGTCATCTACTTTGATGCCACAACCTTCACGATATAGCAGTTCAAGAACAGTGCTGCTCCGTTCAATTGAAAGGCCCTGCCAAAAGCCACAATGCAACCGCTCTACAGAATTAGCAATGGATTTGGCAGTAAGGAGGGTACTGCTCCCAAAACTGACAGAGATCAATTATCGGAAAAAATAAACGTCATTTGACCGTGTATGGGAGGAAAGCTTCAAATAAATTTTCCTGAATTTTGGATGCCATCGGCAGGGAAAAGACATCATGGGATTTGTCTCCTTACAACGGTGTCTTGTTTGTGCTAATGCACCTTTGTTGCTGGAACAATTGGAGTTGAGCAACAGTGGGTTTTACGACATGCTCCGTTATTTCCAGAGACTCTGGGCTGTGAAGTGCTGGGCTATGCTCAAAAGAAAAGACGTAGCTGGTTTTAGCAAATTGGAGCCTTGAGGAAAATCAAACACAGATTCATACTGATAACGCAATAAAGTTTAATTCACACAAATCTCAGACCAGATGACTACTAGAGTTCTCGCCAACATGCTTGGAAGCAGAGCTGCTCCAAAATCCTCTTTTGGACACAACTGGCCCGCTACAAGACGTTTTTCTGCATAGCGCGGATGCACGGACACGGTTTCCAACAACAATAAACACAAATTCTTGTGCCTTATTATTTCTGGCATCCATATTTGGCAACTGACCAACAGTGCTTTCTTTGCATTTGAAAATTTTCCGAACTTCCATTTTACTGCTGCACGTGAGGGGAAATGGAGGCCGCACATGTTTTCAGATTATAATACTCGGCCAGCTGTACAATACTGGTGGTGCATAATTCAGGGAGGAGGCCCTGCCGCTAGGAGTCAGGATCTTTCAATCCAGGCCCCTGATTAATGTTCTCGAACCAGTGCACTAGAAAGCCATGCACTTTTGCGCAATGAACGAATTTTGGCATCGTGTTTTAGCGCAAGAACACGCCGGTTTTCCAAAACACTGCGCCCCTGACAATATTTCCCAATTGGGAAGACTTGATGACTACAACTTCGCCGGCCATTTATCGGACTGCTCTACTAAAAGTACACTAGTTTATTCAACTATCGAAGATGTATATTGTGACGTATCGTCCTCAGGTCTAGTCACCCCGTCGGTGGTTCCCTGTCGGTAGTTCTTATCCCTTTGTTCCTGTTTCCGTAGGTGGATCTTGTGGTGTCGGATTAAATTTGACCGCACGGAGAACGGTTTTCCACAGTTTTCCCACTGGCATCTAAACGGCTTTTCGCCAGTATGACTGTACATATGAATCTTGAGCCCGGAAGGCCTGTTGAACACTTTTTTGCAGATGACACAGCATCTATTTTTGCGAGACAGCTTCAATTCCTCTCTTTCCTTGCTTATGGCAGATCGTTCGGGGAACGTATTTCGGCGTCTAACCTTCTTCAAAGCTTCTTGATGGGACTGTGTTGCTAGTGAAAACGATTGGATTCTCAGAATAGCTCTGTGGTCCAGTAGTCCGTCTATTCCAACGTCGACGGACGTGTGAAGCTGCGGATGTCCAGCTACTGGCACCTGATGCGGCGAAGGAGTGTAAAATGCGTCAACAGTAGGAAGCAATGTGCTTTTCTCAAAAGAAGGGGTTTCGTTGCTTATCGATTGTGGAGGTGTGGGGAGCGGTGGATAATGATGGGATTCTGTGGGTATGAAGGCATAATTCCCCTGTGTCTGGTTCTGGCCGTAATGAAAAGATTCAAGCTGGCCGAGATCCAAGCAAGAGGGAGTGTTTCTTGGTCCTTGCTGATAATTAACTCGAAATTGAGGAGCATTGGTGCTGGTGGGTCCTGAGAGGATGAATTCGTGGTGAGCAGGCTGTGTTGCGTTTATATGCTGTGGTACAAACTGGCCAAATGTGAGCACTTCATTAAACTCGTTATAGGGTAGAGATACTGATGGATCCATGAAGCGTATGGGCTATCATTCAGAGCTGTCGGGCCAAATGGGAAATTATCAGTTTATATATTGGCAAATGTGCACGATGTCGATAGCTAACGGTTTACACTGCAGGCCAGGAAGGTAATATACAAATTACGCTGGCTGGCAAGTAATTGGGTGTCGCATACATATGCCAAGTTGTCACAATAGATGTCTCCAATCTTATCTCAACCTAATGGCGCTCCATGCATAGTGCCGTGGGTTTCTTTTGTTGCGGAAGCTACAGGCAGGGGAACGGTATAAAATGCGTATTGCGCCGCAATAGCGCATCTGACGTTCTTTTTCTTCTTAAAAGAAAACCTCCAACATGCTAGCAGTCTGTTGGGGCTACATCAGATATATACCACGCCTGGCAATCTCGCAGGCACACCGACTATCACGGTCCAGGGGACAGCCTCTGCGTCGGATTGCTAAAATTTCCGCACCTGAACCATGTGGCGCGGTGCAAACTCCACTCCCCGCACCTGCATAGGGACCTTGATGATGCGTTCAAAATCAGTCTCTAAACAATCTCCAGATTCCGCACGCACCTGAAGCTTCCTTAATTGGACTATCCTCTTTGGGCACCTGGATTAATACAAGCTGCATTACCCAATTGGGCAGTTCTTATGACAGCTTGCAGATTGTTGTTCTAGGACCAAACTGCTTTCAACTGCCGGTGTACAGGTGGCTTCCCGCTCATGAATCACGCCGGCCAATTTAGGAGTCGAGGTCACCTGGCGCCTCAAATCGCACTAGCAAGTCAGTTTCCCTGCTCCAATCCCGGCTATACTGTATTAGAAGTGCCATTTTGCCAGCACTGGCGTGGCCTTGCCAATATGATCCTTGCTCTGTCAACAACGATTTCCTGGCCAGTATCAACTATTATCTGCCAAACACACACACATTGCGGGTCTTATCGTACGGCCACTCTGGGGCCAAAATATCCAGGCCTGCAATAATGTGATTACGTAACCCATAGAGAATGATACGGTGATTTATTTTTTGTATTCATCTCACCTGTGCACCGGCTGGTAAAAAAACTTATAAAAAATTTTAGAAAAAATTTTTAAATCATATCTCCTATCATGCAACTCACCTGGAAAGACATTCCGGCGGTTCCCACGTCTAATGACATGTTAGACATTGTCCTAAACAGGACTCAAAGAAAGACGCCGACGGTTATCCGTCCAGGTTTTAAGATCCAGCGTATCCGTGCCTTCTACATGCGCAAGGTCAAATTTACGGCTGAAGGGTTCACAGAGAAGTTTGAGGATGTCCTGAAAGGATTTCCAAACATCAATGACGTCCATCCTTTTCACAGAGACTTGATGGATACGTTGTACGAAAAAAATCACTACAAGATCTCTCTCGCTGCTGTTTCTCGTGCAAAGACGCTGATCGAGCAGGTTTCCAGAGACTACGTGCGACTGTTGAAGTTTGGCCAGTCTCTTTTTCAGTGTAAGCAGCTCAAGCGTGCTGCTTTGGGACGGATGGCAACGATTGTCAAGAAACTCAAAGATCCGTTCGCGTATCTTGAGCAAGTGAGACAGCATTTAGGTCGTCTGCCGTCGATCGACCCAAACACCAGAACATTGCTTATATGTGGATACCCCAACGTTGGTAAATCCAGTTTCCTCAAATGTATCACCAAGGCCGACGTCGAGGTCCAGCCGTACGCCTTTACAACCAAGTCACTGTACGTGGGCCATTTCGACTACAAGTATCTACGATTCCAGGCTATCGACACCCCGGGTATTCTGGACCGTCCGACAGAGGAGATGAACAACATTGAGATGCAGAGTATCTACGCCATTGCGCACTTGAGATCGTGTGTCTTGTACTTTATGGACCTGTCTGAACAGTGTGGTTTCAGCATTGAGGCCCAAGTCAAACTATTCCACTCGATCAAGCCTCTTTTTGCTAACAAGTCTGTGCTGGTTGTTGTGAACAAAACCGATATTATTCGCATTGAGGACCTCGAGGAGAACCAGGCGCAGCTGGTGAAGAGCGTGATGGACGTTCCGGGTGTCGAGCTGATGCAGACGTCTTGCTACCAGGAGGAAAACGTGATGGAGGTGAGAAACAAGGCCTGCGAGAAGCTGCTCACGTCAAGAATTGAGCAGAAGCTCAAGGGCACTGCTAGAGTGACAAACGTACTCAACAAAATCCACGTTGCAAGACCGCAGGCCAGAGACGACGTCGAGCGCGTGCCATTCATCCCGGAGGAAGCCAAAAAGCTCGACCGCTACGATCCACTGGATCCAAACAGACGGAAGCTGGCACGTGACATCGAGGCCGAAAACGGCGGTCCTGGTGTGTTCAACATCAACCTGAAGGAGAAGTATCTCTTGGAGGACGAGGAGTGGAAAAACGACGTGATGCCGGAGATTCTCGACGGTCGCAACGTGTACGACTTCCTGGACCCGGAGATCAGTGCTAAGCTGCAGGCTCTGGAGGAGGAAGAGGAGAGACTGGAGAAGGAAGGATTTTACGACTCTGATGAGGAGATCGAGGACGACGAGGTGGCCGAGCTGCGGGAGAAGGCCGAGTGGATCAGAAATAAGCAGAAGCAAATGATCCAGGCTGCTCGGTCGCGCAAGGCGCTCAACAACAAGTCGATCATGCCGCGGAGCAAGATTACCAAGAGCTACTCCGAGCTGGAGAATCACATGTATCACGTGGGCCACGACGTGAGCAAGCTGAGAGAGAAGCGCGAGAAGGCCGGCGGAGCCAGAGAGCTGACCGGCTCAGACTATGTGCGTGCGCTGGATGAGGACAGAAAGGCTCCTACTCCTGCCAACCAGAGTGACAGGCTCAACAGCGGGCTGAGCGACGGGGCTCTGCGCAGCAAGGCAGAGAGAATGGCGAAGGCAGAGAGAAGAGAGAGAAACAGGCAGGCACGGGCCGGAGAGGCCGACCGCAGAGAGGTGGCCATGATGCCTAAGCACCTGATGAGCGGAAAGAGAGGAGTGGGAAAGACCGACAGAAGATGAGCGCATAATATCGACAATACATGCCACTACAGTTATCTAGTAACTAATCCAGTACTTGCAGTACTTTCATTAATTTTCCATTGCCCCTCCTGACCTATATTTGCGTGCCTATTCCATTACAAACTGCATCTTCCATAGCTCTCTGCCACCATTGATCCGATCGCGGAACTCTCTAAATTCGTTTCTCTCGTTCACGAGCTCGTCTGCCGGCTTGCTGCGACGTCTCAGCTCCTCCGTCGTGAGCAGCTCGCTCAAAGAGCCCGGCACAAAATCCTCCAGACTGTCCATATTGTCGTCCGACTCAACTGCGGTATCGTCCACTGTGGTGAGCGATGCGTACAGTGCAGGACCTAGTCCTTTTGGCGAGCCGGCCGTGGAACAAGACCATATTGATTGCGTGAACGGCGAGTCAGGCAGACTTAGCCGTGGCCGGCTCCACTCGCTCGTCTCGCTGGACGTGCTGGACGCAGACGTTCTAGGCCGGGTCGGCTTCGTGCTTTTGGAGTTCACGCGGCGACCGTCCGGCAGCACGTGTGCCAGCGCACACTTGGCACCAAACCGACAGTTGCCCTTCTGGAAGTACTTACAAGCGTTAGTTTCGCTTGCCGACTCCGTAGAGTGCGAAAATGGGCAGGAGTTGCCAGCCTGACAGGCTCCCTGCTTGAAAAACTTGCAAGGTACGTGGGATAAATCTATACTATTAGCAGGCTGCATGTCCGCTCATACTCACTCTTGTTAGGAGGGCTCTTGTTGATCTCCACCATCAGGACGGATTGTTTTTTAAGATAGATTGAGATAAGAGTAATTTTTGGCAGAAAAATCTGTCACCTAGATAAGTGAAACGGTGTGTATTTTTAATTGTCAGAGAGCCCATATCACGTGCGCAGAAGCACGCATACAAAACAGCCAGAGAGACGCACACCTCTAGCCACAGCCACAAGTGGTGGACCCGTGGGCCAAGAGCCATAGATATGCATATTATGTGTGGACGATGACATAATGACTGCGCGTGCCGATGTAATTTGACAGAGAATTAGGCTGCTTACATAGACGCGACGTTTATGCACGCTCACTCATTATAGTGGTACACCAGGTAGTTTGGCAGCCCAAACACCTCGTAACCAAGACGTTTGGCCATCTTGGCAAACCCTTCTGTCTCTATAAGGTGGTAGAACGGGAAGCTAGGAAACATCGCGCCGTCTCTATGAACATCGGCCTTCACAAGCAGACACGTTCCTCCCACGCCGTCCAGCTGCATTTCTGTGTTCGAGTCTCCGTTCGGGTCGTAAAAATGTCCCATCAGCGGCCTGTACGTGGCCATCTCCGCGTACGCCTCCACTATGATCTCGTCGTCGCTCATTGTCGAGGCGATCCTCAGTCCCTCCTCGCTCTCGACCCAGTTGTTGAAATCGTACGGCCTGATCGCATCCTGCTTCTTTTCCTCATCGTAGTACCGCTGGTAGCAATTTGCAGCAATCACCGGCTTATCGTGCGACGCCAGGTCCTGGATCAGCGTTGGCGGCGTTTCCACGATATCGCCGTCTAGCCACAGCACCCACGACGTGTAAGGTCCAATTGTAGTGAACAGCAGCGAGTTCCGCGCAACGGCCATCTGTGAGCGTCTTTGTTTTTGAACTTTGAACGCGTGTCTGTCCTTCTCTGATTGCGACTCCAGGGCCTCTGTGTCTTGACGCAAAATGGTCACCTTCGCAAACTTGGCATCCTTGGTGTTCTTAGGGTTCTGTATCTTCTTGACGGCCGTCTCCAACTTGCGCAGCGCCGCGTCTCCGTCCGCCGTTCTGGGCACAATGAATCCAAGTTCAATGAGCTCTCTAGGGTACGTCAGCTTCAGTAAATTATCCCAGTACTGGTCCAAGAACTTTGCCATAGGCGTCAAAATCAGCACCCGTTCTTTGTTGTATGCTGCCATCGGAGTAGAAGCCAGCTTGTTGAGATCATAGTGGGAGATGTGGTCGGCCGGCAAGTTGCGAGGAATCATGTCGTTCTTCTTGATTTTTTTGTATTTGTAGGGACTATTAGGCTTTGTTTCATGGCTGGAGCCAAGTACCAGCCAGAGAAAGCCGATCAGCGCCAGCAACGGCACCACCAACCGCAACGGTTTATGTACAAACATGACAACAAGAAGTATAGAAAAAAAACTTGGACTCGAGGTGTACGGATTTTCGGAGAGGGAAAGAATCTGCGGTCGACGAGTGGAGAACGTGGGTCGATGGGTCGGCCCGCTTACCACCACTTGCCACTGCAGGTATGCGGCCCCCTCTTCCCCTCTCTGGCTTTCCGGAGGTAGCCTATAAGATAGCAGAGTCGTGAAAACGGCAGGACATGTAGTTTCCCAGCACGGTGGACAACACCACTTTCGCATCAACGGAGGTTGGGCGTTCTCCAGTTGACGACAGTGACAGGACAATGGGGGGTGCCGACGCATCATGAAGTGGGGCAACTACGCCGTGGATACTAGTGGAATTCCCGGCGCACGACCGCATACCCCGTCAGTATCGACTTTTTTGGGGTGCGGCTTTAGCCCAAAGCGGCAGAACGTGGGTGGAGTCCGAGGGTGCAAAAGGTCTCCTCACCTTTTTTTCTTCTATTGCGGAAACAAAGAGGAGATGGACTCCGGTACCCCTATAAATACTCGCGCGTCTCGCTCTGCACTACAACAGACTCGGCCATGTCTAATTCGGATGCCTTTTCTCACGACATTGAAAAACAAACCTCGATAGATGCTCTGCAATCAAAACACAAGCCTTCCACAGCGTCGGCTTTCCGTCACGATGACCAGAACATCTACATTAACGACCAGCCTATCGACAAGAATGATTTCATCTACGCTTTCGGCGGCTCGCTCAACGTCGGTGCCAGAAAACAAACCGGCAAAACCAGAGAGCTCAGCGATCCGGTGCCTGCTGGTCTGGCTGCCTTCAGTTGTTCGGCTTTGTCCCTCGGCCTAGTCCAGTTGCACGCACGTTCCGTGCACTCCCCGAACGTGCTTCTGGGTGCTTTCCTCACCACTGCAGGGCTCGTCGAGATCATTGTTGGTGTGCTCTGCTTCATCATTGGTAACACCTGGGCCTGCTGCACTTTCCTCATGTTTGGGGGCTTCTGGAGTTCCTACTCGTTCCTGCTGATGGATGTTGGTGGAATTGCTGCTAGCTATGCAACCACCGACGAGTACAATCAAGCTGTCGCGCTCTACTTCCTTCCTTGGGCGCTTTTCTCGTTTGCTCTGTTTGCCTGCACGTGGAGATCCACGTATAGCTTGTCATTGCTGATGTTTTTGATCTGGCTCTTCATTCTTCTTTTCACCATCGGCCAGTTTGCCACCTCTGTGGGAACGTTCAAAGCAGGAGGTTACATCTGTATGCTGAGTGGAATCGTGGGCTTCTACAACATGTTTGCAGGGCTTCTGGACGAGACCAACAGCTACTTCACCATCAAGCCGTTCTACATGCCTAATGCCGTTAGACCAGGAAAGACCAAATAAGGATGCTTTCACTCGGCGTCCGGACTTTGTGGTTCGTTCCGTAGTTACGTACATTTATGACTGCGCTATTACTTAAATCAATATATTGTTTTTTTACCATCCCGATGCCGAAATATTTTCTACCGAAATACTTTTCCCTATTTCAATGAATTCTTCCACCGTCCACGCCTACCACGCGAAAAACACCGTTAAGCTACAGCTGAAAGAGTCTGGGCCTGGCTCGCAGATTCCCTTTGCTAGCCTTGTCACCTCGACGCCTGAACTCAGGGATAAACACCGCTTCAGCCTGCATCCGCTGCTGTTCAACAATGTCCTCCAGAACATGTATCTTGGCCAGGCCGACTTTTCCAAAGTACACACTGTGTACTACGGCCGCCGGATTATTGAGTCGACATATTTGCCCGGCCAGTTTACGCTCGACTACCACGTGGACCCTGAAGATCCCGAAGTCTTTGCCCAACGCTCCTTGGCCACACAGCCCGAAAACTATCCGAAACTGCATCCCAGAACCAGATACTACACGGAGCAAGAAATAAGCCAGGTGCACAAGAAGTGGCGGGAAAACATGCTTCCCATAGTGCTGGTGTTGCATGGGCTTTCTGGCGGCTCTCACGAGCAGAATATCCGCTCGATCGTGAACCATCTGGAGGGCACCGCTAACGTGGCTGTTCTCAACAGCAGAGGCTGCGCGCGGTCTAAAATCACCACTCCAACGCTCTTTTCGGGCCTGCATACCGACGATCTGCGGCAGACCGTGCAGGATCTGCGCAGCCTGTTCCCAGACAGACAGTTGCATCTCGTTGGTGTTTCTCTAGGTGGACTGATTTTGAGCAACTATTTAGCCGAGGAGTCAGACAAGTCCCTGGTCACGAGCGCGTTCACTGTTGGAGCACCATGGAACTTGCAAAGCGACATGGAAGCGCTAACCCGCTCCGTTGCAGGCAGATATATGTTTGAGCCGTACATTCGAAAGATCCTACTACGAGTGCTCAAGTCGAACATTCAGGGCCTAAAGGCCAATCCAGACTTTGACGAACAGGAGTTCCTAGATCTATACAAAAACGCGACACACGTGTCCCAGATTGACGACCGCTACACGTGTCGCGAGGCAGGTCTTCCTTCGGCCTCCACGTACTACATGGCAGCGTCTCCGCTGATCAGGATTTTCAAGATTAAGACGCCAATGGTGATTTTGAACTCGCTGGATGACCCGTTCCTCAGCTGCAACTATCCTATCGCCGAAGTGCAGCGCAACCCGTATCTCTACATGGCTAGCACTGATAAGGGGGCCCACTATGCCTATGTGGACCCCAAGGGAGACATGTGGTACTCGCCGGTCATCAAGAAGTACATTGAGTCTTGGAAGGACATCAAAAACGATCGTCCAGACGATGGCGGATTCACTGTGAAACAGACCAAATTCAAAGACGTTATAGATTTATACTGAGCATGGAAAAATAAATATTTTTTGGTAATCAAGATTTATTTTTTATTTTTCATGGAATTTTCTTGCGGCTTGTGCCAGGAGGTATTTGGCGGGTTCCGCAAGGCCCAAAAACACATCAGCGCCAGCAACCATTACCGGTTTAAGGCTGGGCCCAATGACGTGGCGTGCGAGAAGTGTGGGATGATGAACATTGCAGATCTGGTCGTGCTACAATTTGGAGGCAATAAGCTAGATCTGATGTGTAGACGGTGCGCAGGCAGCGTCAAGAGCATGCGCGAGTACGCTCTGGGGAAGACGGACAATTTCATGAAAGTTGTTGCGGATTATTTTATCGTCAAGAAGACCGGTCCTGGCGATGACGACGACTATCTAGCCAAGGTCACGGGAGATGATCAGTATCGTCTGCGAGACCGCAAGAAAGGCAAAGGCCGCTCATTTGGAAAACCATCCCGTTCAAGCACCAAGCGAGAGGCTCCAAAGGGTTTAAAGGGCTCTCCCCAGCCTGAAAAAGCCTCACAGAAAAGACAGAATGAAGCACAGAAAGACGGCACAAAACCGCAGGAAAACCCATCCTTAAAGCCTGAAAAACCTGCCAAGGACAAGAAGGTCTCCGTTAAGGGGCAAAAAGGCCCAAAAGGTCCCAAATCGACAAATGGAAGGCACGTCAAGAGCCAGCCACCAAAAGCAAAAGCCAGGGCCTCAGAGAGAGGAAAAACTCCCGGAGCAAAGCAAAAACAGTCTTCGGCGCCTCTTGTTTCTGCTCCAGATCTAAACTCCCAGATCATGCTTGTGGAGCAGCTCATCAAGTCGTCGGCCACGGAAATTCCCCTCAAGTATGAGTCTCTGCCTGAATATTTCCACCACCTGTGCTACGGACTTTTCCTTGAGGAGTTGTTCGAAACCCAGTTTTTAACAAGGGTGACAGTGACGTGGTCCCGTGAAAACCCTTATGGAGAGTTCACTGCTGAAGTCGACAAAAGAGAGGCCGAGGAGTATTCAAAAAACGACCCGTTGTCTCACCTGAAAAACGGACCGTTCAGCAGAGGCCAGGCGTTTTTCCTGGTGCGCAAGTCTGCGGTCAAACTTGCGGAGAGGCCGGAGTTTTGGTGCTGTGCAGCGCAATTCTCCAAGATGTCACGCAACTCCAACAAAGTTACTATTCCGATGGACGTCTACAAGTGGAACCTCGAGCCTATTCCGTCGGGAGCGCCGGTGTCGGGTTTTGCGCTGCTTCCCTGCGGAGCTGTGGTCACAAGAGTTATGCAGGCGATCGAGAGGCTGGAGAACACCCACTTCAAAGACATGTTGCTGGGCCAAAAGCCTATCCGGCAGATCTTCTTCAAAAACAGAATCTCGAGCCTCAAAAACACCCTGAACGAGTCGCAGTCTGTTGCTTTACAGTCGGCTTTAAACAACCAAATTACGATTCTAAAGGGCCCTCCGGGGTCGGGGAAGACATCGACTATCTACGAGATGATCTTGCAATTGCTGGACCAACTGCATTACCACCCAATTCTGGTGGTTGCAGCTTCCAACATTGCCGTGGACAACATTGCCGAAAAAATGATGAAGGACCACAAAGATGACATCATCAGAGTGCTCTCCATGGCCAAGGAAAGCGAGTATAACAAAGACCATCCGCTTGCGGACATATGTCTGCACCACAAAATTAGGGATCGTCTGCCGTCTCATGCTCAGGAAACGTTACGTAATCTGGCAACTGGCAAGGCTCACAAAGTGTCCAAGAACCAGTTCAAGAAGCTGATCGAAACCAACAAGGACTTGAGCAAGCTGCTCATTGGCCAGGCGAAGGTGATATTCTCGACCACGGTGGCCATCGGAGGCCCGCATTTGCGTGATCTCGCAAACCTGCCGGTGGTCATTATTGACGAGGCCACGCAATCGTCCGAGCCCAGCTCGCTAATTCCGCTGGCCGCTCCAAATGTCCAAAAGGTGGTTTTCGTTGGGGACGAGGCCCAGCTGAGCTCATACACCCGCGTGAAGTCGCTGGAGATGTCTCTTTTCGAAAGAACGCTCAAAAATGGCACGTATCAATCTCCGCTAATGTTTGACACACAGTACAGAATGCACCCAGAAATCAGCGAGTTCCCACGGATAGAGTTTTACGAGAGCAAGCTGAAGGATGGTATCACAGCAGATGACAGAAAAGTCGCTGGTATCTCGTACCCGCTGTTTTTCTGGGACCATGCCGGCGAGGCCAGAGAAAGCAGGGTCCGCTCGCTTAGAGTGGGCGAGGAGACCGGATACACGTATGTGAACCGCGGCGAAGTCGAGCGCGTCTCGAGAATCGTGGAGAAATTGATTGTGGACAAGCAGATTGCTCCGTCGCGGATAGGTGTGATCACGCCGTATGCCGGCCAGAGAGACCTAATTTCTGCCAGTTTCAAAGAAAATTTGCTCATCAACCCGGAAAAACAGGAAGTCCAGGTCCAGGTCGACAAAGAGGATGTTGAGAGCGACTCCAAGGCCGCCACGGTGCACCAGGTGAACGGTATTCTTGTTGCGTCGATCGACGCGTTCCAAGGCCGAGAGAAAGATTTCATTGTCATGTCGTGTGTGCGGTCCAACAGTGAGCGCAACATCGGGTTCCTAAGAGATCGCAGACGGCTTAATGTGGCTCTAACCCGTGCGCGGTGCAGTCTGCTGTTTGTGGGCGATGCACACTGTCTGAAGGGTGATCAGCTATGGCAGTCTTACATCGAAAGTCTGGAGCGGAAAAATTACGTCCAGCAGAAACTGGTGTACTGATGACTTTATAGATTAATTAATTATACCAATTATTCAACTAATTTTTTCTCTGCTGCCCAAGAGATGTGGTGCAACCTCCTGCAGCCATTCGAGCTCGATCATGGAGACTGCCCGTGCGTAGCCCTTGACCGTGTAGACGTACTCGATGTACATGATTGCCGGCTTCCGCTGGCCAAATAGCAGCGACGACGGGTGCACACTGACCAGGTCGCCAGTGGCCACTGTGCGGTAGCTTCTATCGGACATTCCGATGGCTGTGTTGGTTAGAAATCCGGAGAGAAACGCCTTGAGCACGAGCTTCGCATCGAGCGAACTGTCGCCCTCGTGCATCTTCAGCATACCCATGTATTCCGCGATTTGTCTGCGCACACGCAGAACGTCCTTGAAACCTTTGAAATTAATGCACAGTTGTTTGCACCATTCCTTGCGCTCTGTATTGTCAGCGAGAGAGGTATACAGGTCGAACAGCTCTTTCAGCATCAAAAGGTCGCCGTAAATAGTGCCTAGCTTGCACGTATCCTTCCTGCGCTCGTTCACTTCGTCTCTTCTCTCGCTCGGAGGAGACATAAGCAGATTGTCCACGGAAAGACACGCCACAATGTCTATGACGGGACCTAGACACCCCAGCCCGTGCGCTCGGATCAAAACAGCGGCCAAGTGAGGCGCGACAGGCAGAACCACCATTTTCTCGCCCAGCTCTGTGATCTGGCCCCTGTCGTTCAAAGCGTTCAGAGAATAAAGTTGCTGCAACGCAGCCACCAGACTCTCGCGACCCGGGTTTTCAAGCCAGTGCCAGCCCAAAATGTCGTTCACACCCATCTTTTTCAGCATGAGCACCGGCGAGATCACGTCCGAGCGCAAAATCTCCGGCTCTGTGTTGTCGCTCAGCTTGAAATAATCTGTTTCCCGGTACAGCCTGTAGCATTTTCCAGGCGCCTCTCTGCCAGCACGTCCTGCACGCTGGGCCGCCGACGCTTTCGAGATCGGTGCTATGAGAAGCGTCGATAGTCCCAGCTGGTGTCTCCACACCTTCACCTTCCGCAGTCCGGAGTCCACCACGTACCGGATGCCGGGCACTGTGACCGACGTTTCGGCGATATTTGTGGCCAGGATGACCTTTCGCTGATTTGTCTTGACCGGTCTAAACACCTCCATCTGCACGTGGGACGGCAGCGCAGCATAAAGAGGCATGGGAACCAAGATAGGCGCCTCTTTGGGCAAAATGGGAGCAAGTTTGTTCAGTGTGTCTACCACTCTGTCGATGTCCTCCTGACCGGCCAGAAAACACAGAATGTCTCCGGTCGGCTCCGTCTGATTCAGTTGAACAACCGTCTTAATCACCGTGTCCACTATATCTTCCACAGGTTGGCCTAAATAGTATCTCTCGACAGGATACATTCGCCCTTCCACAAAGAATATTGGTGCGTTTTCGAAAAATTGAGAAAACCGCTCGGCATCCAACGTGGCAGACATGATGATTACCTTGAACTCATCGTCTGCTCGTTTATTGAATATGAGATCTTTCAAAAACCCTAGCAGCAAGTCTGTCAGAATAGTTCTCTCGTGCGCCTCGTCAATAATCACCGTGCTGTATCTAGACAAGATCGGGTCCAGCATCAGCTCTCTCAGCAGCATACCGTCCGTAATGTACTTCAGTTTCGTCTGACGGTTAGAAACATTGCTGAATCTCACCGAGTATCCAACTTCTCGTCCCAGAACACACCCATACTCCTCAGAAACTCTTGTTGCAAGATTGATGGCCGCCACTCGTCTCGGCTGCGTCACAGCAATCCCCTTCTTGTTCTCGTCCATCAGAAATTGCGGGATCTGGGTGGATTTTCCCGAACCGGTCTCTCCAATCAGCACGCACACCTTGGCAGAGCGGACCTGTGCCAGAAGCTCATTTTTCACCTGATAAACAGGCAGAGACTCGCGCACAGAGAGCAGCTTGGCCGCTTTCTGTTTTATGAGCCGCATATCCACGGGCTTGCGTCCGGTTGCGAGCTTCTCGTTCTCCTCCTCGCTATTATCCTCGTCTGATCCAAAGTCTACCGTCACAGGAGCTTTGCCTATCCGTTCTCTTTGGCGCCCCACAAGCTTGCTATATGTCTTTGCTTGCGTATTCCTCATCGTTTCGGCCTCCTCCACTGCTCCACCAGACGCATCGTCCCCAAACTTGATCTTCCTATTCTGTCTATTGACCATAAAAAATTTCAGAGGCAGTGTTAAAAAATATAAAGTCAAAAATTATTTATCTATGCCCCTATGACATGTTGAAAACATCGTTCCAGCGAAAGCTGGTCATTGTTCAGTCCAGTCTGTTGCTGCTGTCATTTTCGTTCCAACTAATAGCTTTGCTATCGGTTCCGCTCACCCAGTCGATTTACCTCTGCAAGTTCGAGGGCTACAAGTTTGGGGTTTTTGGCCTCTGCGACGCCAACTCGTGCACAGAACCCAGTCTGGGCTACAACCCGTCCCAGCTCACGAATCTCGGGGGCTTCTCGCTGCCCTCTAACGCAAGACACAGCATTAGCTATCTCCTGGTGGTGCATCCCATCTCGCTCATATTCACCTTTATCCAGATGACGCTGACGCTGCTGCTGCTCAATCCCCGCTTCTCCAGCTCCTCCAAGTTTCTGCTAACCGTGCTTCTGTGGTCCCTGCCCACCTTCCTGCTGTCTCTGCTGTCCTTTCTCGTCGACCTCATTCTGTTCATTCCGCACCTCGAATGGTGCGGCTGGACAATCCTGATGTCTGCGCTGTGCAGTGCCATTTGCGGCACGATGCTGTGCATCACACGGAGGACCATCACGTCACGTGAGGAGTATTTGTTGCTCGATAACCGCATGGGCAATATGTACCGTCTCGATGACCTCCACAAGGACTCCAGCCAGTCGGTGATATCCACATTGGCTCCCACGCTGCTGCGCTCGCGAGCCTCGAGCTCAATGTACACCCAGGACCCCGACATGCTCAGCGACGACGAGCTTGTCTCGATCGACTCCGACCGACGCGTCGATCTGCGCTCCAACGTGTCATGACGAAAAATATTTAGCTTGTTCGATATATATACAGTAATGAGACTGATCCCGCTTGTTGCGCTCATTTGCTCGTTTCTCCTTGCCGTCCACGCACAGGCGCCTCCACAAAGCTGGGAGAACGTCAAGTATGAGAGACTTGTCGACGTGCTCAAGTCTTACGTCAAGGAACGCCATGTCATCCATGCCCGAAACATAGCCTCGGAACCCACCAGCGAGTATTACTTTGCCGTTCCTGGGTTTGTCAGAGATGACGTTGCCCTGTTCATTCCCACTTTGGAGGTTCCTAGACAGCAGGATCCGCTGCTCCAGGCCCAACGTGTGCCTGAACTATCGTCGCCCGACGTTGTCTACTACAAAATACAATTGCCGTATCCCATTGCGCCAAAATCGCAGATCCACATCACAGTGTCGTACGTCCTGACCAACCAGCTGGAGCCGGCTCCTGAAAAAGGCCCCATGGGTGCCGAACAACGACTTTTCTTCAAGACTACCAAACTTGCGCTCTCGGCCTACGACACCCTGAGCTACGAGCTCAAGATCCTCGGGGCCAACAAGCCTCAGGAAATGACACTGGAGCTGCCAAGCGACGTCGATCCAGAGGAGTTCAAGGCCTCGGGCAGAGATTCGTTCCTGGTTTACGGACCGTACCAAAAAACATTCAAGCCTTTGAGCAACCTGCCATTGGCACTCATTTTTACCAAAAACCAGCCCTTGCCGTTTGTCAATTTGCTCAAGAGAGATATCTGGGTGTCGCACTGGAGCGACTCGTTGCAATTGGAGGAGTACTACGAGCTCACAAACAAAGGTATCCAGCTGGACAAGGGCTTCTCCAGAGTGGACTGGATGAATGGGAGATACACAATGAGGCCCTCTCCGGTCATCACGTCGATCCAGATTCCACTCCCGAAGGTTAAGACCTCGGAGGTGTATTTCGTGGACAAGGTGGGAAACGTGAGCACCTCGCTTTTCCACAACAACGAGCTTGTCCTCAAGCCGAGATTTCCTATTTTTGGAGGCTGGAACTACAACTTCACCATCGGCTGGACCAGTCCACTGTCGAAGTTTTTGAAAAGCGAGGGCGACCGCCACGTGCTTCGTGTGCCGCTACTGGACGGTCTGAATGATGCTACCTACGACAGAGTCGAAATCTCGTTCTTCCTGCCAGAGGGCGCCAAGTTTGTCGGCTTCGACGACATCCTGAACCTCAAGGAGTGGAAGATCGACCACAAGTTTTCGTACCTCGACATCACGACCGGCCACACGCAGGTCACTTTTGTGCTTGAGAACATGGTGGACGAGATGAGAAACGTGGACATCCTGATTGAATACGAGTACGGGCTAGCCGACATGCTGCGCAAACCGGCCACCGCCGCTGTCTACATATTTGGCGCTCTGCTGGGCCTGTATTTGCTGCGTAAAATCGATCTCTCTATCAAGCCATCCGCATAATGCGTCTGCAGTGTGCAAATTTATAAATGCTGTGTAATGATAATGTATCAGTTGTCTTTCCCCTTGCTCGGGCTCAGAGTCTCTGTGATAAGATACGGGATCATGCTCAGCTTGTCTGGCGAGCCCTGTGTAGACGGGCTTTGTCGCGGAGGCGTAGAGGGCGGCAGGTCGGGCACGTTGTCGAGCCGTGGCAGATTTTGCAGAATTTGCAGCGCCTTGGCATTGATGTCCTGCGTTTCCGCGTGCTCTGGCACCTCCAAAGGTACAGACGGCGCCTTTGTGGTGGGTTTCTGTGTGCGCAGTTGGTCCAGGAGCGACTCTATCAAGTTGTCCTGCGGCTGCTCCTGCTCGCACTTGCTTTTCTTGAACTCCTCCATCATGCGCTTCCGTTTCTCGTACGCTCTCTCTTCCTTTTCCAGGCGGGCGTTGTCAGCCTGGGCTTTTTTGTAATCGTCCACAAACAGTTTGAACTTGGAGAAGAACGAGGTGCGCGCGCTTTCGTCTTTAACGCGTTCCCCAAATTTTTCCATCAGCTGCTCAAAACTGTCAATAACGATAGTCAGCTTGGCGTCGAATTCTTTTATTTTGGTCTGCGCCACAGCGATCCGCGACTTGGCGAAGCTCATAATGCGGTCGTCCGGGTGCAGCTTCGCGGGGTCGCTTAAACACCCGTCCGTGAGCGCGTTGTTGCAAAACTCGACGTTGCGCAGCAGCTCCTTAAATTCACTTGCTAAAGTATCTATCGAGACATTGTGGGCTTTATGGACGGCGCTGATCTCGTCTGCAAAATTCGCGTACTCACTGAACCGCGTCCTGATCACTTTTTCAATGTAGTTGAGCAGAGTAGTGGTGTTTTTCGAATCTTTCAAGTATTTGAGTCTTTGAAGTGTGCTGAGTTTGAACCCGTTGGCCGATTTCGAGGCATCGTTCATGAAATTGCCTAGGCCCTTGATGATGTACAGAACCTGAACCAAAGATGTGGACCCGCGGACCTCTTCCACAGCATTCTCCAACACCTGGAGGTCGCGGGCCATGTCCTCCAGATCGCGCTCGTAGTTGTAGCACACTGAAATGCATTTGGACCTTTCTGTCCAGTAGTGGCGCAAATTGAAACACAATTCCAGATATATTCTGTCCAGACGGTCGAGCTCCGATGGGTCCTTCTTGGGCTTGTGATTCTGGATGTAGTTTGTCGAATACGGAGCAAAATCTCGCATCAGATTCGGCGAAATCTCCGTCAGCGCGTCGTTGCAGAAAAAGTCCACTAAGCTCGAGTTCTGTACCAGGCTACGATCGCATCGGAGCATCTTGGCCACAAACTCCATCTCCGGTATCGCACTATACTGGTACAGATTAATTCCAAACTGCTGTTGCAGGTCGCGCGACAAAAAGCTCCGCTTGGTGTTCTTGGCTACCACCGCTTTGGGCTTGAACGCTTTGCTCTCGACAGCATAGAACTGGCTCTCCAGATCGTCCAGAACGCCCAGTTCCTCCAGTTTGGACGACAGGGCAGCGTCATCCACAGTCTTCCAAATTGTGTTGGTCACGTCGTCCAGCTTGTCCCAATGCACTTGTTTCAGTTTGGAAGTTGGTCTTCGCAGAATCGGTTTTGGTGTGTCATTCTTTCGCTTGCCTAGCTTTTGGGGATCGGAAGTGGGCATTTTGGGCAGCGGCGGCGGCACAGGCGGCTCGGACGCTGCCGGTTTGAGAAACGAAGGGGGCGGCGGAGGTGCAGGAGCAGAAGCTGGTTTCGGGGGTGTTGGAGAGGCGGGTTTCAGGAACGAGGGTGGTGGTGGCGGTGGTGGCGGTGCATTGATGGAAGCCGCACCTTCAAGTTGAAGGAACGGCGGCAATGGCGGAGCAATGCTGTTTGGCGAAGCACAAACCGAATTGGTGTCTTTCTGGTGTTCCGGCGAGCTGATCTTGTAATCATCGTATGGCTCAAAGTAGCTGCCACCAGAGTTGCTTGCTCTGGAAGTGCTCGAGCCAGAACCCTTGACGGAGCCATCCCTGTCTCTTATTTCCTTTGCAGCAGGTTTTTCTGGTCTATGGCCAACTTTGTCGCTCTCGCTTTTTTCCCTATTTTGCATCCCATTGATCCTCACCAAGGGACGGCGCAGTTTGCGCAGAGTGTCTATTTCGTGCTGCAACGAACTGATTTCCTTTTTATACTCTCTTAACAGTTTCAAAGCATGGCGCGACTCGGTCGTCGCGCGCATTGCAACCTCGTCTGAGCTTAAACGATCTAGAACTAGCTGGATTGAGAATGACAGGTTCTCGTCGCCAATGGTCTTCATCTGGGTTATATGGCTGACTAGAAGGCTGATCAGGCGGAAGTAGCGTTCTGCCTCGTGTGGTGGTTTTGTCTGGCTGAGAAACGACAGCGAGCGTAGAATCTCACGGGCGTGACGCTCCAGACTGGGATTCTCGAAGCATACAGTTTCCGGTTGCAAAGAGTCGTTGGGCTCGTCCTCGTGCTCAAAGTAGTTTCGCACCAGGTCGTTGATCGCGCTATTGTTGAGTGTTCCGGCGAGCTCGAAAAAGGACAGAATACCATGGTGTTCTAGATGGCGTCGCACATTTTTTGTCGCCGTAACCACAGAGAGCATTAGGAAGGTGGTTAGTAAAGCATATTCGTTTGCAAGATATGCAGGACTCGACCGAAAAGCTGCCGTTTGACTGCGATTGCCCCACAGATCGCTCACCATGGAGCACGCAGCAGATATCCACGATCCAAGGCCGATAGTCTTTGATATGGCGCTCAAAATTTGCTTTGCACTGGATGCTCGGTGCGCAATGACCAGCGTGAGCATGCCAGTTGTCAGATTCCGCGTTACCACGCTGGGAGAGATCAAAGATGACACAATCAGAGTTATCACGTCGTAGTTCATCCTGTCAATGACTTCGTTGCAACAAGAGACAATGTGCTTCATACATGTCAATGCTAGAAACTCAAGATCCACCCACTCGCTCTTGTCCCGTCTGAGCTCGCCCACGTTGATCGCAAGCAGCTCTAGACCTCCTTTTTGCACAAACTCTGAGATCCATCCCTTATTCCGGTCGAAATCTGCAAGCATCGACTCAAGAGTCTCAAAGTCGCGCTTCACCATGATCTTGTTGCGCAGTTTGGAGGTAAACTGGCTCACAAGAGGGGCATCTGGTTTCGAAGGCCTGAAACCTGGCTCGAGCCCTGATTCCAGGCCACGGCCCGCAAGACCCAGACCCAGATCGACAACATTGGAAGAGCTCACTGTGGCTCGAGTGGGCGACATCTGCGTGCCATTCGTGGGCTGGGCAATTTGGAAGAATTGCCAGCAGCGGTCGATGCTCATATTGATTTGAGACTGTTTACTTTTCGATATGTTTCATATATATTTTTTACAAATCCGTACACCACATTTATGCAGCCCGTAGCTCCTGGTTAAGCGTCTCGTTGGCTCCCAGCCAACGCGCAAAGTCCGCGGGCGGACGAAGGAACTTTTCGATATTCTGAACAAACATGTTGATTTGCGACGTGATACTAGTGTTTTTCGCTTTCACCATTTCCACGGACGCATGGCTGAAGTTGGCGTTCATGTTGCTGATTAGCTTGCCGAATATCAGCTTGAGGTTCTTATCTTCGATGGAGTTGATCAGCTGCATATTGCTGCTGTTGGAAAGGTCTATTTCCAGTTTAATTCCGCGTTTTTCGTTCACGGGATAATCTTTCGGTATGCTGAGTTTCACAGCAAGTCTCTGGATCACAATGTCCTGGAGATTGTCTATGGCGATGGTGAACGCGTCATCCTCAAACGGCAGCTCAAACTTGTAGATCGAATTCTGGTTGGTCTCCTTGAACAGGTTTATTTGAAGAGACTGCAGTCTCGCGAGAAACCGGTCTATTTCGGCAGCCCTTAACGAGTTTTCCACAGGCTTCTCCTTTTCCGTCCTCTCCTGTTTTTGCGGCTTAGGCTCCTTCCTGACTGTCTTCACAAACTTAATGGTGTCTTTCTTCTCCATAGACAAAAACCTCTCCAAATATTTGTCCAGGGTGGACACCATGCTTAGCAAGTCGTTGCCAGACACCAACTGGAGCTCAGACTCTACAGGTCTCTTTCTCCTTCGCTCCATTGCCAGCGTCGCAATCTCACGGAACCCGATCTCCACGTTCACACTGTATCCTCGCGGAATGTCGTCGTTGAGAACCACAAGCGACGGGGGTTTGCCTTTGTATGGGTATGTGCCAGGAATGCAGAGCGAGAGGTTCAGAAAGTCCAGATCGTAGGGAAAGTCAGGATCCGACGGTTTTAAGAGAAAGGAAAGATAGAGGTCGTTTGACTTGTCGGCGGTGGCTATGGTTAGGAATTCATCCAGGGGCTTGGAAAGCGAACTAACGGGTATGCCATTAACAGTGATCGGCTTGAACTTCTTGATTAGTTTGTTGATCTCGAGCAGCTGCGGCGAGACGCGGCTGTCTTGGCCATCCTTCTGCTTCTTTGATGACCTTCTAAACCCTCTTCCACCAGGTTTGGGCTCTTTCTTATTATTCTCTGCCATGAATATTTAAAAAAATTGAAAAATAAATTTAATAGATGCAACTTACTCCCTAATAAATAGTGCGGCGGCACCCTGGCCGCCAGCAATGCACATACTCGTGACTCCCATCTGGCCGGGCGAAAGTTCGCGCAATAGCGTGCACACCTGACGGGCTCCTGTAGTTCCCAGGGGGTGTCCAAGGGCTATTGCTCCGCCGCGAGGATTGACTTTTTCCAGTGGAAGCTCGTTATAGCGGATACTAAATAGCGCCTGTCCGGCGAACGCCTCGTTGATCTCAAACACAGAGATCTGGTCGGCAGTCAGTCCACAGGCTTTCAGGAGCTTGGGGATCGCATACGCAGGGCCGACACCCATAATGTCTGGACTCACTCCCACAGTGGTGGTGGCGACGTATCTGCCCAGAATCGACAAACCCAGCTGCTCTGCCATGTCGCGACGCATGAGCAGCACGGCAGCAGCGCCGTCGCTGACCTGCGACGAATTGCCTGCGTGCGAAGTGCCGTCTTTCTTGAATGCAGGCCGCAATTTGCCGAGAGACTGTGCGGTGACGTTTGGCCGTGTGCCCTCGTCGGTGGCGACGATGACTGTTTCGCGCGTAACTTCATCCTCGTCATCGTCATCGCCATGCTCGATCTCGACCTCGATTGGCAGGATCTCGTCCTTGAATAGCCCCGTCTTGACGGCCTTTTCTGCTTTCTGGTACGACGCGGCCGCAAACTCGTCCTGCTCTTCCCTGCTAATGTGGTATTTCTCGTTCACGTTCTCGCTCGTGGTGCCCATTGGCAGCAGACAGCTTTTAGCATCGTAGCTTGCGTCCTGGACACACTTGCTGATTTTGGGTGCAGCCTGGGGCCCGTAGTTCTTCGACATGCTCTCGACGCCGGCCGCCAGCCCGCACTTGATCTGGCCAACCAGGATTTTGTTTGCAATGTCGTTGATTGCCATCAGTCCCGAGGAACACTGTCTGTTGACCGCCAGAAACGAGGAGCTAGCAGGCACTCCTGCCGCAAGCATTGCCGCACGGTGCTCATTCACTCCGGCGCCAGGATTTAGAACGTTGCCGACTACCACCTCCTCAATCAAATTGGCGTCAATCTTGTCCTTTGCGAGAAGCCCAGAAACAAGCTTCATGAGCAGCTCGTCCGAGTTGACGTCCTTGAACTTGCCCTTGCCGCCTCTGGTCAGCGCGGTTCTGTAAGCGCTCACGATTACCACGTCGCTAGCCTTTTTTTCGCCTGCTGCCGGTTTGGCAAACAAATGATTGCTGATCTGTTGCAGTCTCTCCATGCTGGGGAAGAAGGGCACTTTTGCTTCTTATAGTGTAAAAGCACATGCTTTGTGGGGAAGACACCCTGCACCGGATTAATTTTTTTCCATGATCGGACTGGTGTATTTTAGTGGTCAGAGCCTGGACGCGGTGGATCTCCTGCCGTCGAACGAGGGGCGCCAGTCGCTGGTGCAACAGCTGATGAAGGGATACGGCCTGCTTGACCACGCGAAAATGCAGCTTTTGGCGCCAAGGCCTGCGTCCGTAGACGATCTTGCGAAATTCCATGACCGCGACTACGCCGTCGAGCTGCTCAGGCCGAGAAACTGGAAAGAACACGAAAACGAGTTGTCGCAGCTGCAGCGGACGATCCTGAAACGACGAGCGACACGAGAAAGTCGCGACGATCGACGCGCGCAAGCTCAGGCGCCTTGCGCCTCGTACGGCCTCGTGTTCGACTGCCCGATATTCCCCCACATGGATGAATATTGCTCCGTAGTGGCGGGCGGCTCAATCCAAGCTGCCGAGTTTCTTATCAACAACCCCACAGTGGCAATTAATTGGGGCGGCGGACGGCATCACGCACACAAATCACATGCTGCCGGGTTCTGCTACGTCAACGACGCAGTGCTTGCTATTCTGAGACTGCGTCGCAAGTACTCGCGTATCATGTACATAGACTTCGACCTCCACCACGGCGACGGTGTGGCCAATGCGTTCAAACTGAGCAACAATGTGCTCACAGTGTCTGTGCACCGTGCAGATGCCGGATTTTTTCCCGGAACTGGTTTGAAGCCTGTGGATGGGCTAGGCAGGGGAACGGGCTATGAGATTAATATACCCACGAAAAAAGGTTTATGCGACGCGTCACTTGAATGGATTGTCGCGCATATTGTCGTACCCAAAATTGAGGGGTACAGACCACAATGTCTAGTAATCCAGTGTGGAGCAGACGGTTTGTGCACTGACACGGAGTTTAGAGAATGGAATCTGACCATTTCCCGATTCGGGACGATGGTTTATCAGCTTGTACGCAGGACCGGGATACCATCTTTACTTCTCGGTGGAGGGGGCTACAACTCACTTGAAACATGCAAGTTGTGGTGCTACATCACCGGATTAATTCTAGGTGAAGAATGCCAAGCCTGGGCACAGCTGCCGGACGACCTGGACGACGAGCTGGTGGATTTTCGTGAGCTGGAGTTCTGGACACACGATACGCCGCGTAGTATGGCAGAGCAGAATACGCACGAGTATCTATTGTGTCTCCAAAGTGCAATTCTCGGTTGCTAAAAGAAAAGTGTCTCATCCCAGGCGCGGCTCAAAAGTTCTCCTGCACATACGGCTTTTCCGTAAACAAAATAAGGGGCGGGGCGGGTGTTTTGCATGCTAACTGTTTTGCCCGCGTTGCAGCAATCTTGATCTATCAACATACATAGCGAGTTTGTACGAGCAAGGAAAACCAGCAGCTCGTCTCGGAGTGGCAAAAACAAACACCGCGTCGTGGGCTGGCCTCCCGCTTTTTTTAGCGTCTTCACTTTGCCAGATTTCCTATACGTCATGGTTACGTCATAATTTTGTTTTCTGCACAGGAACAAAACTTTTTATTGTGCACCACCCACCCTAACTTTGCATTTTTCAGCAAAAAAGAAAAGACCTACTTGCCATATAAACCCAGACGGGCCCACCACTTTTTTCCCTCTTTCATCCATCATGTCTCAGACATCATCCACAGACAACTACAAAGAGGCCAACTTGACTGTTGGGTATTATAGCCTCAGAAATAAACACAATACATTTGGTCTGAGTGGCAGAAAGCTCAGATGGACTATCACTCTCACCTCTGTGGTGGGTTTCAGCTTGTTTGGCTATGACCAGGGCCTTATGAGTGGTATCATCACCGCCCCACAATTCCAGGAGGAGTTCCCTGCCGTCAGTGGTACCTCCAGACACGCTACTGTCATCCAAGGTATTGTGACTGCTTGTTACGAGATTGGATGTTTCTTTGGTGCTCTGTTTGCTATGATTTGGGGTGAGCGTCTGGGAAGACGTTACGTGATCATGCTCGGCGCCCTTATCATTAACATTGGTACCATCGTGTCTATTTTCCCATTCAAGCCTCACTGGCAATTGGGCCACTTCATCATTGCTAGATCTGTCACTGGTATCGGTAACGGTATGAACACGGCCACCATTCCTGTGTGGCAATCCGAGCACTCTAAACCAGAGAATAGAGGTCGTCTGGTCAATCTTGAAGGTTCTGTCATCGCTGTCGGTACTCTGATTGCCTATTGGGTCGACTTTGGTTTGTCTTACGCAAACAGTTCTGTTTCGTGGAGACTGCCAATTGCTTTGCAAATCGTGTTTGCTCTGTGGCTGCTTTTGTTTGTGACCGGTTTGCCAGAGTCTCCAAGATGGCTCATCCACAAGGGAAGAATGGAGGAGGCCAGATTCATTCTGGGAGCCATTAACGGCGTTGATGCCAATGACGACAGTGTCATTGCCGAGTCGACCATGATTGCAGACGCTGTTAACAGATTCGATAACGCCCAACTCGGATTCAAAGAGCTTTTCAGTGGGGGAAAGCATCAATACTTCAGAAGAATGATGTTGGGAGCCAGTTCCCAATTCTTCCAGCAATTCACTGGCTGTAACGCATCTATTTATTACGCCACTGTCCTGTTTGAGAACACCCTGGATTTTGCCAGAAGAAAGGCCCTCATCATGGGTGGTATCTTCTCCATTGTCTACGCTGTCTTTACCATTCCATCCTTCTTTTTGATTGACAGACTCGGAAGAAGACCATTGTTCTTGATTGGTGCTGCTGGTCAGGGTGTTGCCTTCATCATTGCATTTGGTTGTTTGGTCAAGGAGAACGAGCAGACTGCCAAGGGAGCCGCTGTTGGTCTCTTCTTGTTCATTGCCTTCTTCGCCTTCACCATTCTGCCACTACCATGGGTGTACCCACCAGAAATCAATGCATTGAGAGCTAGAACCGTGGCCACCTCCATCTCCACGTGTACCAATTGGATTTGCAACTTTGCCGTGGTGATGTTCACTCCAATTTTCATCAACCAATCCAAATGGGGATGCTACTTGTTCTTTGCCATCATCAACTTCATTTACGTTCCTATCATATACTTCTTCTACCCAGAGACAGCTGGCAGATCTCTGGAAGAAATTGACATCATCTTTGCCAGATCCTACACGGAGGGTACTCCGGCTTTCATCGTGGCCAACAGACTGGGCAAGCTTTCTGTCAGAGAGGTCGAGGAAGAAGGTAACAAGCTCGGCCTGTTCGACATGGATGATTCAAAGCCTACGGCTGAGATGAACGAGGGCATCTTGGAGAAGCCTCAAGAACCAACAGCTTAAATTAATTCTTTTTGCTTTATTGAATAGAGTGTTTACTACATATAGTACCAATTATTGTATCAGAATATTCTTGTGTTCCGCCATTCTTGGTCCCATCTCCGTGTGCTTTCCCGCAAAGCCCCCGCTTTGAGGTCTATCCTGTAAAGCAGCTGGTAAATTTTGTCGCAAAGTTCCGAGGCATCTGAATTGTTTTCCATCACGAGACCGTTTTCGTTGGTCACCAATTCATGCAGCGCGGGAAAATTCATCGACACTACAGGTATTCCGCAGCCAAAGAGATCGACAATTTTCATTGGAAGATCCAGTCCCGAGGACGAGTAATGTAGCGAAACCCCCGCGTCGGCCACTTGGAGTAGTTTTGGATAGTCCGAGACCGACAGCCACGCATTTCGGATGATCATATTTTCACTCCATTTATTTCGAGCCACTAAATCCAAGAACTTCTTTTGTAGTGGTCCTTTTCCTGTAACCACCACGTACACTCTGGTGTCAAGCCTTGAGTCGAGTTTCTTGAGAGCCTCCACTAGCACGCCGAAATCCTCGTCCTCGGTGAACGATGTTGCTGACACAATCAATTTATCAGCATCTTGGAATCCGTCCAGCACAGCCAGCTCTTTGACAACCTCCATCCTGTCTCGTTCCAACGGCACAAACTCGTCGCTTGGACGGTCGTGCACAACGCTGATTCTCGCACCATCGATTCCAAACTCTTTTTGCAAATATTCTCTCAGCTTTTCAGTTACTGTGAAATGGTAATCAGCGAATTTCCCCACATATTTCTCATAGTTTCGGAGTAGTTGCACAGCAGGGTGATTTTCGTTGTGGTATTTGAGATTGAGGATCGAAAAGTTCAAGTTGTGCCAGTCGACGACTATCTTGACGTGCGGACAGATTGTTTTTCTCAGAATGACGACGACGGCCAGCACAGGGATGGAAGGAGGATTTTGCACAAGCACGTATTCTGTATTGTCGTCGATGACCCTCGCAAGCAGTCTTGTGAGCTCAAAACACTGGGTTGCAACTTTATAGACCGCAAACACCAGATACGGCATCCACGCGCGACGCCGAATCACGGGGATCTCGTAAAGGTCGACAGTGTCGTCGTCATAAAGGAAGTCTGGCAGTGTGCTCTCCAGGTAGCCGCACGCGTGGACAAACCGTCCATTTCTCACCAAACTGCGCACGTGATATGCCATGCGGGGCGAATGGCCAAGGTCGCCCAGGACGATCACGGCAACGTCGTTCCCCAAGGGCCCAGCCAAGCGTCTCTGGCGGACCCGCCAGAGATACGTCGCGTGCGCCATGCAAAAATAGAACAAAATGGGTACACATAGCCACAGCACAATGAGTGTCCACACGGGCCACCCAAAGTCAAACTGTCCCGGCTGGAACCCCTTGTAAACTATCCAGCTCATGATAATTTGTGTATTTATTTTTTCACTTCTGGCAGTGCAGCGTTTAGTTATCTCCCTTTTCTTTACCATGGATAGCGACAGCGAGGCCAATCAAATTGCCGACCAGGACTCAGTGATCACCCAGGACAGCGATAACGTTGAGGACGAGGCATTTCACTCCGAAGACCCGCCGATTCCGTCGTACGCCAGCGGAAAAAAAACGGTAGCATTTGACGAGAATAAGAACCAGATCAACGAGAGACCGCTGAACGACAGCGAGTACAGCGTCTCGGCCAGCTCGTTTGTGGTCGATACAGAGTGTCAAAAGGCTATCGACGCAAGATTGGCACTGCAACAGGTGTTTGAGCCAGAGGAGTTTGTGACTTCGTCTCCTATCAAGCAGGACGAAGTGTATTTTGAGAATAGCACGATCTACGATAACCCGATGAACTCACCGCAACTATCTCGCCACCTCGAAACAAACTACAGCTACATGGGTCCGTTCTATCAGAACGATGAGTCGAGAGATTCGTCGCCGACGAAAACCTACACCAGAGCCTCGCTTGGCGACGACATTCCTGTTCTAGCACATGGCTCGCAAAAACCGGTGTCCAAGGAAAATATTCTAGAAGAGCAGATCCGGCAGGAAAACGAGTGCGCGATCCAACCGTACGATGCTCCACCTCGTTCAAGACAACAGGCAGAGTCCGTACAGCTCCAGGAAGTCAACGCTGCCAGATTTGTCAACGGCAGCGTGCGACTCCCCTTCGGCACTTCGTCAGAAACCAAGCTAAGCAAACCGGACATCGAAGCCGTGATCAGCCATTTCAAGCTAGAAAGGGAGCGGGCGATGGCCGAGAGAGACGCAGCGTTGCAAGAGCTCGACAGAATCAAGTCAGTCCAGACAGAGCCGGAAAACGAAACCATGAGCAACAAGCTCGCACAGTTCCTCGAAAGCCTGTCGTCAACAATCCACACGCTGGAGTCGCACGTGGAGAAAGACCTAGACGACGAGGTGAGAAAACTGCGCTCAGACATCGCCCAGGTGCAGAAGGATAAAATGGAAGCCATGTTCAATGCGGGCGAGTACTTGCGCGAATGCAACAGAAAGGACACTATTATGCGGCAGATCAAGCCGCAGCTCATATATCTCTACCAGGAGCTGCTGATTCCCTTCGTGAACTGCGGAGTTGCCGACAGCCTGGTGGCCGGGACGCAGAAACACGAGATCATGAAATTGTACGACTCCGTGGTGATGGGGCCGCACAACTCGCCAGAGACCAGCAGCAGCAGCCATGGTGGACATGCGTTCGACCACCAGCAGTTTTCTGTGCTGAACAGCAAGCTCACGGAGTACTTTGCTGACCTGGCGTTTGCTCTTAAGAACCTGGAAATTGTTAAGAGGCCGATCGACGCGCCCATTTAATTTTCGCCCAATTTTTTTCCAGGGTAGAGCAGAATAGGACAAAAAAAAAAATCTCGGTGAGTCAAAAGTATAGAAAAAGGGGCATATACACTACTCGCTGGCCATGACGACTCGCGTTGAAAAAGTGGAAATTCTGGGTGCGGAAACCATCCATGTCGGGTACCAGATGAGAGAACACGTGTGTGAGGAGATCGTTGCAAACAAGGCCTCCTCTACATATGTGCTCATCACTGACTCGAATATCGTCAGTGCCGGCCATCTCGATGCTTACAAGTCTAGCATGCTCGAGGCCATAAATAGATTGAGACCTGAAGCACGGGTGCTGACTTATGTGGTGTCGCCTGGCGAGTCCAACAAAAATCGTGCCACCAAAGCCGCGATCGAAGACTACCTGCTTTCTCAAGGATGCACCCGAGACACCTTTATAATTGCTATTGGTGGAGGAGTTATTGGCGACATGATTGGATTTGTGGCGGCAACTTTCATGAGGGGCGTTCGGTTTGCCCAAGTGCCAACCACACTTCTCTCCATGGTCGACTCCTCGATTGGAGGCAAGACTGCCGTGGATACTCCGTTGGGCAAGAACTTCATTGGCTCTTTCTGGCAGCCTGACTACGTTTTTGCAGATATCTCTTTCTTGGAGACGTTACCGGAGCGCGAGTTCATCAACGGTATGGCCGAGGTGATCAAGACTGCTGCTATTTGGGACGAGGCCGAATTTGCAAGACTGGAGAAGCACACAGAGGTTTTCTTGGAGGTTGTGAAAAATCGAAAGCCAGACAACACTGTGGACCTCAATCCTATTCTAGACCACATTTTCAAGCTGGTTTTGGGATCAATCAAAGTCAAGGCAGAGGTTGTCTCGCTAGATGAGAGAGAGGGCGGTTTGCGAAATCTTTTGAATTTCGGCCACTCCATCGGACATGCGTACGAGGCGATCCTGACACCACAAGCTCTCCATGGAGAATGTGTCGCAATTGGTGCTGTGAAGGAAGCCGAATTAAGCAGATACCTTGGTATTTTACCTCCTGTTGGAGTTTCCCGCCTCGCTAAATGCCTTTCAGGCTATGGTCTTCCTATATCTCTGGATGACAAAGTTCTGCAGAGCAGAATTAATGGCAAGAAGTGTCCCGTGGAAGTTTTGCTCAAAAAGATGTCTGTGGATAAGAAGAACGATGGATCCAAGAAGAAGGTGGTTTTGCTCAAGAGTATTGGCGAGTGCTACGAGCCCAAAGCCTCTTATGTCAATGACGAGGATCTGAGAGTGGTTTTAACCGACGAGATCCTGGTGAAGCCATTTGAAAACGTCCGGCAGGACGTGGTGGTCACTCCGCCAGGCTCCAAATCCATTTCCAATAGAGCTCTGGTCATGGCTGCTCTGGGTAAAGGTGTCTGCAAAATTAAAAACCTGCTACATTCGGACGATACCGAACATATGCTGACGGCATTGACGGCATTGAAAGCGGCCACTGTGTCATGGGAGGACAAGGGCGAAACGCTGGTTTTGAACGCGAACGGCGGCCAACTCGTGGCGTGCGACGAGGAGATCTACCTAGGAAATGCTGGTACCGCATCGCGATTCCTCACGTCTGTTGCCTCGCTCGTGGGTGTGAATGGTGACCTTGATCACGTGGTTCTCACGGGAAACAAATGGATGCAGAAGCGGCCTATTGGTCCTTTGGTGGACGCTCTTCGGGAAAATGGTTCGAGCATTGAATATCAGAACCGTGAAGGCTCGCTGCCTCTCAAGATTCGGTGCGGGCAAGGACTCAAAGGCGGCAGAATTGAGCTGGAGGCCACCATCTCATCGCAGTACGTCTCGTCAATCCTGATCTGTGCTCCGTACGCCGAAAAGCCAGTTACGCTGGCCCTAGTTGGTGGCAAACCGATTTCCCAGCTCTACATCGACATGACCATCAGAATGATGAGCGCATTCGGAATCCACGTGACTAAGTCGACTACGGAAGAGCACACGTACCACATCCCGAAGGGCAGCTATGTGAATCCACCGGAGTATGTTATCGAGAGCGATGCTTCATCTGCAACTTACCCGCTGGCGTTTGCTGCCATGAACGGCACAAAGTGCACTATTCCCAACATTGGCTCGTCCTCGTTGCAGGGTGATTCTCGGTTTGCTGTCGAGGTGCTCAAACCTATGGGCTGTATCGTGACACAGACAGAGACATCTACGACCGTGCAAGGTCCTCCAGTGGGCCAGTTGAAGCCTCTGCCGCTGGTTGATATGGAGCCTATGACAGACGCGTTTTTGACGGCGTCGGTGGTTGCTGCCATTGCGAACGACCAGACTCAGCCGACCTCGATTGTGGGGATTGCAAACCAGCGTGTGAAGGAGTGCAACAGAATTGCAGCCATGAGGATCCAACTGGCCAAGTTTGGGGTCAAGGCAGAAGAGTTGGAGGACGGTATCAAGATTTATGGAATCAACTACAAAGACCTCAAGACTCCTGAGAAGCCAGGAATATATCCATACGACGATCACAGAGTTGCTATGAGTTTTTCGCTGCTTGCTGGATTCTGCAAAGACCCAGTGATCATCCAGGAGAGAAGGTGCACTGCCAAGACATGGCCTGGCTGGTGGGACGTTCTGCACACCCACTTTGGAGCCCAGCTGGACGGCTACGAGCCGGAACACACGAAATCTGTTGTTGCAAAGGGTAATGGCGACAGAAGCATTATTGTAATTGGTATGAGAGCTGCTGGTAAGACGTCGATGTCCAATGTGATTGCGCAGCGTGTCGGCTTCAAGTACGTTGATCTCGATGACGAGTTCGAGAAGATTGTTGGAAAAACCGTCAAGCAGTACGTGCAAGAGACCAGCTGGGAGGAGTTCAGACGGAAGGAGCTGGAGCTTACCAGAAAATACCTGACGGAGCACGGTAGTGGTCACGTGATCGCGACTGGCGGAGGCATTGTGGAAACGCCAGAGGCCAGAGAGTTGCTCAAGGGCTATGCCAAGGCAGGCATTGTTTTGCATTTGCAGAGAGACATTGGCGAAACCATCTCTTTCCTTTCGGAGAAGGATACCTCGAGACCAGCGTACCAAGAAGAAATCCAGTCTGTGTGGCTGAGAAGACGCGGGTGGTACGACGAATGCTCGAACTACCGCTTTTTCTCGCCACATTGCGGCTCGCCGCAGGAATTTGACACGTTGAAGCGGTCGATGGCGCTCTTCATCGAGGAGATCACCGGAATCAAGCCCGTTGAGGTGCCGCAGAAAACTTCTTTCTTTGTGTGTCTTACGTATCCAGACTTGAAGGAGGCTCTTGCGGATCTTGAAGATATTACCACCGGCTGTGACGCGGTTGAACTGCGTGTTGACTTGCTCAAATCGTACGACTTAACATATGTTTCAGAGCAGCTTGGACTTTTGAGAAATCACACTAGTTTGCCAATTGTGTTCACTGTGAGAAGCGTTTCGCAAGGAGGAAAGTTTCCAGATGGTGACTACAGCACACTGCAGGAGCTTTGTGAGCTGGCCTTCAAATTTGGCGTCGGTTTCTTGGACCTCGAGCTATCGCTTCCGGAGGGCCTATTGGATACCTTGAGCTCTAAAAGACGGTTCACTAAGATCATTGGATCTCATCACGACTTTGCCGGTGTCTTCAAATGGGACTCTGCCGAATGGGAGAGCAAATACCTGCTGGCAACACGTCTGAACGTCGACGTGGTGAAATTTGTGGGAATGGCCAAGGAGTATAAGGACAATTATCTTTTGGAGCAATTCAGAGAATCTCACACACAAAAACCTCTTATTGCAATCAACATGGGCCAATACGGACAATACTCGCGTGTGGTGAATCCTGTGCTTACCCCTGTGACTCACGAGCGTCTGCCAAATGCCTCGGCTCCAGGCCAGTTGAGCATCAAGCAGATCTTCCAGGCACGTTCGCTGATTGGACTGGAGACTCCAAAACACTTTTGTATAGTCGGTGAGCCAATTGGACACTCACGGTCGCCGGCTTTGCACCAAGCAGCCTACAAAGTGTTTGGCTTACCTCATACCTTTGGAAAGTTTGAAACTTCGGACGCCCAACTGGTCAAGGAAAAAGTGCTGTCGGACCCCAACTTTGGTGGCTGTGCCATCACAATTCCACTAAAGGTCGACATGATGAAGTACGCCGACGAGCTTTCTGAGTCTGCCAAGACCATCGGTGCCATCAACACTCTGATTCCTCTTGGAAACGGCAGATTCAGGGGAGATAACACCGACTGGTTAGGAATCACGCAATCGTTCACCAACAATGGCTGCACCTCACAAATTACCGGCAACGGCCTGGTAATCGGTGCTGGTGGAACTTCACGTGCAGCTGTATTTGCTTTGCATCAGATGGGTTGCCAGAAAATTTACGTTTTGAACCGAACAGCTTCCAAGGTTGCAGATATCAAGGCTCATTTCCCGGAGTCGTACAATATCGAGATTCTCGATTCTCTCGAGTCTGTGAAGAGAATCGACCAGATTCTGCTTGTCGTGTCCACTGTTCCAGGCTACAACGAGATCGAGCTGGCTTTCCAGGAAAAGATCGAGACTGCCCTGTCGAAAGGTGGCAGCCCGAAAATGCTTTTGGAAGCCGCTTACAAGCCTCACGAGACCCCGATCATGAAGTTGGCTAGCACGAAGTACGGATGGAAAGTTATTCCCGGTAGAGAAATGCTAGTCAACCAGGGCATCCACCAGTTTGCTCGTTTCAACGGACTAAAACCGCCGTTCGAACCAGTCTATGAGGCGGTGATTAGATAATCAAACAATAATAAGTAAAGGACCTTTTTCAAGTTAAAAAAAAACAAACTAGATGAATGTATTTGATCAGGACAGAAACCGAACGTTTTCACAGGGAACGGCACGGACTGCTGACGCGCAGGTCTCTCGAACAACAGTATGAAGAAGAGGCGAGTAGACCTCCTTCTGAAGAGGCTGGCCTGCAATTCTTTCCTGATATCACCGGGTGGGATATCATCGAAATTCAGGAATGGGCCGGGTGCGTCGACCTGAAACCTGCCTCTGTGTGGTCTGTGGGCGCCATCAACACGTTTTATCACCTACTGGAGCGCAGGTCTAATGAGAAGCAGAAGTTCGGGCATCTTCGAGGGTTTGCCCTATTCACTAATGCACCCATAAATGCGATAATCGAGATTGCCAACAAGTCGTTTGGATTCAACCAGTGGGAGAGCTCTTTGGTGGAAGACACAGGACGTATAGTACGATACAAAAAGCACGAGTTCAACGACGAGCGAGGCTATCGCTACGACCTTGAGTATGCTATTGACACATATCTTAGACTAGCAGATGGGACGGTAGCACGAAAAACAGGGTTTGGGGTGGCGCAATGGATGCCGTCAAAGGGGCTGGCATTTTCTTATGCCAAGAAACAGGCTGCCACAGACGGGCTGAAGGCCTGCTTTTATGCAATGGTTGCTCTTTTGGAACAGTATGAAGAAAAGCTTGTCGAAGGTTATTATGATTGACTTGGTGAATATCACACGATGTTGGCATCCATCGTATGATTACCGCATATAGGGCAATAGAGTTCTTTATAGAAACTGAATGGGATTATTGGGACGAAAAACACAGTGATGAAATTCCAATTGCGAACATATTGCATGGAGATGTTATGACATCTTGGGCAGTATACTCTCTTACCATCATATTGTTTGAGCTCTTTTTTGAACGATTTAGCTGATTGTTAGCGGCTGCCACTCAAATCTACTCACCTCCAAATAGAAAGAAGAAGAACATATTAAATTCGAAATGGCTGTTAGATAAAATATTGCTATTTTTTCACTTATATCTTAAACTGTCAATCAGATCGTCACCGGTAATAATTCCCGGGGTAAGAAAAATTACCTGCTTCGGTTTGGTAACAGGATTTTTCTTTAGGACGAATCGGATAGTCGAGATTTCGCTGTAAGTCATTCCGCCCACGACGGTGATAATAATGAGATCTTTCCGGTCGGCAAGTTGGCTTGCTTTGGGGGGGATCGATGAATTGAACAAGGATTTTTTAGTTTCTGGAACCAGAAACTCTTGCTTTAGCTCTCCATCCAACGCACTAAGATCCAAATTGTCCCAGCCGTACTTCCTGATTCGCGTGTCGTGCGGTGCCGCAAGAAACTCCCGAGAGTATATTGCCTCGACCAGACGGGTAATAATAGGAACATACCCAGGAAGCCCAAAGTCTGCATCCTGAGGGTTTGCTGGGTCCACCTTATCAGACACGGGCATAAGATTTAGGTTGTTGCCAATCGACAAAAAATCCCTGATGAGCTGATGCGTACTAGTAACCACCTCTTCGCTCATACTCGTGGGCAAAAACGAGAGACTCTCGCGAGGATACACCATTTTCAGCTCTTTCATTCTGAGCAGAATTTTGAACGCATCCATTCCATACATGTGGTAGATCTCTGTTTTCATGTGTTCATATTCCGGTTCCCTGATGCCTCTCTTCACAATGCTTGTGAGGATCATTAATCGTAGCACCTCCGATAGCGGTGGCTCAAACTGGTACATGTAATTCAGGATAGCAGCACAGTTGCGCTTGTTGTCTAGACTGTCGCTCAATATTTCTTGCTGTAGCTCCAAAAACGCATTGAATTTATTACTGTTCGGCATTTCGACCTCCAACCCGGGAATCTGACGTTCCTGGTCACCATCCTTCACAGATTTTAATATAGTTTCTGCGACCACGGTGTGTTTTTGGACCCATTTTTGGCTTTCTTTCAAATTGTTTAGCTCTCCAACAAACTTCTTCATTTCTTCGATATCCGTAAGGTTGTTGCGTTTGTCATACTCAGCTTGCAATGTGCGTGCTTTAGAGTTCAGCACCGAGCCCACCATTGAAAAATTGAGATCTCGCACCAACTGGTAGATCTCATCGTTGAAGTCTCCGAATCTAAGTTTGATATTTTCTTCTGGTACTGACACCATGCCCAGCTGCACTCCCAAAACCTCATGGCATAGCCCCGTATAGGTGAGCTGAGTAAGCACCGCGCTCACCAAGTCGACTGACCGGTCCAGACAAATAAAGTCGACATTACGGTTGAAAAATGAGTGTTGGTCAACAAACAAAGTCTCGTCCTGATCCATGATCAGCTTTTTAACTTTTGGCTCGACTTTTGTGAGGTGAGTTTGGTACTTGTGTTGGTAAATGTCCCAAAGTTTGGCAGAGTTTTCTCCCTTGATAAATGTGTTTGTAATGCGCACTTTGTAACCTGAATTTATCACCACGTCCAAAAGAGACCCAGCTAGCTGGTCTAACGGATTAATTGAACCTGAAAAGAGCTCGCCCAGGCCACCCTGTGGCAAACAGAGATCTAGGATATCAGATTCTAGTGCTATGGGCCTGATGCTCGACCAATGGTAAACTTGCACGTCTCCCTTTATGCCAAGATTCTCGATAGCAAGGTCTGTGGTGGAAGGTAGCCGACTAGCGACAATTAATGAGATTTTTGAGGTCTTGTTGAAAGGAAAGATTTTCCGCTTCAAAATCCCAGCAATGGCATCCAGAATGTCAAAGCTACCATCGCACAAAAACACTATGCTGGGAGAGATGGTCTGCATGTGCTCATGGCTAAAGTTTTGCTCGTCAATCCATACGACCCTGTTGATTTTGGTAAGTTTCTTTAAATTAGAAAAACTGGTTAGTGAGTCTATCAGTCGAGAAAGACTATGTTGCAGCACCAATAGATGGTCATTTGCTGCCCCTGAGACGCCAATTGATCGAAAGATGGCCGTCAGATCTCGCAAAGATGTCTGAGGAACCGTTTTGGTATCAAACAAAACACCCATAAGTTTTCAGCTACGCATCCTTACACGTTTTTACGGGATTAGGTCAAGTCCTAGTGATCAGTGTATTGCCATTTAATTGTTCTATACCCATTAGGTTTAAGCAGAATCTTCAATCTCCTTCTTCTTGGCCAACTCAGCATAGTATGCTTCTCTCTTAGCAACAGCCGGCTTGTGGTATCCCCACCACCACAGACTTCCAAAGAATAGACCAGAGCCGATACCTAAAAAGTTAGCGAAAGCCCATCTTAAACAACAAGAAATGTGGCAACTTACCGATCGAGATGTCTGTGATGATTCTTCTTTTCATGAAACCTTGAATTGGAGCGATAGCCATGTTTGCGATAGACCTATAGATGTACTAGTGGTGAAAGTTTGTTTTAATTTTTCCACGGTAAGGTGATACTAGCCACACCACACCGCCACTGAAACTGCTGGAAAATCGTATTATTTTCTTCTGAGCCAATCAAGGGGAGGGAATTTTTAAAAGAGCACAGCTGAGCATAGGGAAAAAAATGCCTGCGAAAAATATATGGTCGCGGATTCGCGAGCTTGTCCTGCCTGAGCATCCGCCTGCCACCAAAACAAATTTCTCTGTGGCTAATTTTTCTTCTTCCCAAATATGTTTGCCAGAGCCATTGCAAGAGAGTCCAGACAGAGCACCAGACAATTTTCGTCCTCGGTGGCCAAGCTTAATGGCCACCACTTCCCAGAGGGCCCATACACTAACTTGCCTTTCAAAGTTCACAACAGAAGAATTCCATACGCCATTCCACATTTCTTGTTTTTTGGTAAGTGTTTAACTCTTTCGTGGCCCCGTCACTAACAACAAGCTATTGGATTTGGTATCCCTGTTTTTGCTGCTTACGTTCAGTTGAAGAGATCTGGAAACATCTGAGCTGATTTAAATATGATTAATTGATACAGCCAACGTTACACTATTATTATACACTCAGTCCAAATCCTCTTGGAGCTCGCCCATCTCATGCAGGTTGTCTCCGGTCGATGATTGCGCTGGCTCGGACTGCTGTGGTTCAATCTGCGTCTGCCCCATGAAATTCGAAATTCCGCGAGCCATTTGGTCTGCTAGATTCCCTCCTTGAGGCTCGTTCTGGAATTGAGACGTAATGGTAGATGCAAGGCTCCGTGCCAGCGCCATCGGCTGCAGAGGTTGGCCCTGCTGTTGCCTCATGAAGTTTTGGACCCTCTCGTGTATCTGCCGATGAGTAGTTTCCACGTCGGAAATATCCACCTCTGGATCCTCGTCCATTCTGTCCGCCTGATTCTCGTCACGTGATGTTTGCCCCGTCTCGACCCTGATCGAGGTGTTCACCCCACGGTTTGGTCCCTGGCCAAAAAGACTGGCCAAAGACATCGGCGTGCCCGTGATTGCCGTGGCAAAAGTGCGCCCACGAGGTATTGACGACTCTCCCGATTGATTTGTAGGATTACTTGACACTGTACTGTGTCCGGTGTCTTCGCTCGCCAAACCTCTGTAATTGTCCAGAATTGCTCTCACTGTGGACGGGATGATGCTGTCAATGTAGCTCTGAGAATAGCCCTGTTGTTTTGCGCGACCTTCTGCCAAACGGACTGCCTCTTTCAAGCGACCTTTGAATTTGTCGAGTTGGTGTGGTTCTCCAGCACAAACTTGGACGGCTCTCACATAGTTTTCCAGTGACTTAACAGTGTTTCCCTCGTACAAGTAAAGGAACCCAAGTCTGCACAAGCTGGGGACGTAGTCTGGGTTGATTTCCAGGGATTTGATCAGATCCTCTTCTGCTTCCTTCATGCAATCCAGTTTGATCAAGGCGGCCGCCCTATTGCAGTAGATTGCGTAAGCGTTTGAATCAAGGTTCAGACACTCCGTATAGTGGATTAAAGCTCCTGGATAGTTGCAATTTTTGAATTTCTCGTTGCCCTTTAATCTGAGTTCTTGTACCGACATGCTGAATAATATGTTCCAGCGGATAAATTCTATAAGCACAGCCTGGTGTGGACGGTCTAAGGGATACTGTTGATTCTAATACGAAAGGGTGTTCTTCGATGATGCTAATAATGCCGATACAAATAGAAAAGCTTGTGTAGGGAGAAAATGGAAAATCAAATCCGTTCGATTCGATGCTAATTTCGATGGCAACGAAATATAATTCAAAAAAAATATTCAGTTAAAATAATGTGGACCAGAGGCGGTGCCTCAGAATTAGATATAAATCCTGAGAAAGAGATTCCCGTGCCTCCCGAAATTAACCGCCAATTATGTATTGAATCGTCGCGCTCACTACAGGACTTTTTGCGTCTCTCAAGAACTCTCCTTGACGATACATTACGCACCAGATTGAATAGCATAACTAAACATCACGAAGACTACACCCGCCGCTCAATTTTGCCCCGCAGAGACTCATGCCAGCAGTTTGTGGACGAACTGTTGCTTCCACAATGGCAAGCAAGAGCAAGCCGCATTAAATATTGTCTACGCCAGGCAGATGAAATGGTGAAAGAGGTCGAGACGCAAGAGTTGGCAATGGATGAGGAAGAGAGAAACAGGCTTTTGAGAATTGACCCATATGCATTGAAGGACCTGACGCGAAGCCTCAGAGAGAAAAGAGCTTCTGCTGAACAGATCAGAAACCGTTACCAGAACGAGATCGAGGTGGAGGAGATAATACAAGAACGAAGCCAGTCGTTGATCAAGGACGTCTGCGGACAGGATGTTCGATTTGACAGGTAGATAAGGCGCCCGGCATTTGTACATAGTAACTAACGGTTATCTATCCAATGAGGCTGTACATGTGGCTATACATGTGGCTTGACACATATATTTCTATTTCGCCCCAATCGGGAAACTTGTAAACAGTCAAAGTAAACAAGAATATTTTATTTTTCCTATTAAGGACGTCCAATTAATACTTAAAAAGAAGCGTATTTCACCCAGCTGCGTCGATCTCGACTCCTTGTACTAATGAGCACCGGAAGAGCCTTGCAGGCGTTGAATAACGTCCAATTGAATGCCAAAGCTACACCGTCTAATGGAATCATTAAGACGCCGGTTCGCAGCTCTATTTCCAAGCCCGAGACAAAGACCAAAAAAAAGAAGGAGAAGCTGAGTTCGCTTTGTAAAACGCCGCCAAGCGTCGTGCGTACTAGAAATGGAAGAGGCTACCACAGAGGTCTCTTTCTCGGGGAAGGTGGCTTTGCCAGATGTTTCCAGATGAAAGATGAATCTGGACGGATTTTTGCAGCCAAGACGGTGGCCAAGGCGTCTATCAAAAATGAGAAGACCAAGACAAAACTCCTCAGCGAAATCAAGATCCACAAGAGCATGTCTCACCCTAACATTGTGCAGTTCGTGGACTGCTTCGAAGACGATGTAAATGTGTACATTTTGCTGGAAATCTGCCCTAATCAGTCGTTGATGGACCTACTAAAGGCTAGAAAAGTTCTCAGCGAGCCAGAGGTGCGTTTATTCATGGTTCAGATTATTGGAGCCATCAAATATCTTCACAGAAGAAGAGTTGTTCACAGAGACTTGAAACTTGGGAACATCTTTTTTGATCCTGACATGAACGTCAAAATTGGAGATTTCGGTCTGGCAACTGTTGTGAGCCCATCCACCAACAAGAGATACACCATTTGTGGAACCCCAAATTACATTGCTCCCGAGGTTCTGGGTGGTAAAGCAACTGGCCACAGTTTCGAGGTTGACATCTGGGCCATTGGAATCATGATGTTTGCACTGCTTTTTGGCAAGCCTCCGTTCCAAGCCAAGGATGTCCAAGTTATCTACGAGCGGATCAAGAATAACGAATACAAGTTCCCTGCCGACTCCTCTGCGTCAGCGGAGTCCAAGAACCTGATCACAAAGCTGCTTTCGACCGACCCCGCCCTAAGACCTTCGCTAGACGAGATCCTTGAGCACGAGTGGTTCAAGTGTGGCCCATTCCCTGCCAAAATCTCGACCGAGTCGCTCAAACAGATCCCAAAGAATCTTGCTTTCATCACCAAGGAAGAATCTTTGATCAATTTTGCTACCTGCAAGCAGCGAGTGGGAATAAACGATTCCTACAAGAGCCCTGTTGAGATTCTCAAGACGGATCTCGAAAGTGAGCAGCCAAAAACGCTTCTCCCTCATTCTCTGTCGCCTAATAATACCAAAAACAAGTACAAGGAGATTCCCCCGGTTGCCGTGAGAAACACAGTTAGAAGCCGGATCACCAACGAGCTGGCCAATGCTCATCCGGAAAACCAGATGATGCGCATTTTAAATGATACTTTATCCGCCACCTTGATGAACATGAAAGAGATCGAAGAGCAGAAATTGAGGCCGGATGCTAGGGCCATGAAGAAGCCGATTGTCGTTAGCAAGTGGGTTGATTATTCCAACAAACACGGATTTTCGTACCAGCTCTCATCCGGTGCCATTGGGGTTTTGTTCAATGCTGGCCAGACTGTCCTCAAGATGGTTGACACGACGGATGTCTTCTATATTTCGAGCTCAAGCGAAGAAGGCTGGAAAGTTGCGCATTACACTGAGGAAACCACGCCGCCTTTGTTGTCCCGTGAAATCGAAGTGGTGGATTTTTTCCGCAAATACATGACTGCTCACCTTTCCGATGTCGCGTCTGGAGCACGCAAGTCCTCGAGCCGCAGCAAAGACGTCTTTTTGCGCAGATACACTAGAGATGATAACTACATCATGTTTGAATTGAGCAACGGTAGTTATCAATTCAACTTCAAGGATCATCACAAGATGGTGATTTCCGAGCTGGGTCAGTACCTAACGCATATCACGCCGTCCAAGGAGATCGAGACGCTTCCTTTGGACTACGTTCTCAGTAACGGCAACTTTTATGAAAGTCCCGACGAGTACTTCAGTGTCAAGTATGACTTTATGAAGCACGCTCTCAGAGATAAGATATCGATATGAAAGGCTGAATAGTTAGCATGTATAACAAAATGCGAAAAAATACCTTGAAGTAAGCAATTAAATTTTGTCTATATCTAGTGTACATTATATGTCGTCCGACTCGCCCTCGGCAAGCAAGGCCTTCAGCTCCCATTCGCGTTTGAATTTGTCATTGAGAATGCCCAGTTTCGAGATCAGTCTAGTGCATGCGTTCTTAAGAGCAACGCGCGGTTTGTAACCTTCTTCTGTTTGCAATCTCATCACAAAGTTCGCAAACAGAGGATGTTCCACTTTGTAGGCCACAAAGAGCACCTGTGGGTCGTTGGCGAGTTCTTGTTTCAATAAGTTGCCCAGCGTGTGGTCCTCTCTCTCGAACTTTATCAGCACACAGCTCGGCACTTTTGAGTCCGGGGTGATCTGAAGCCTGGCCAGTTAGATTTCTGAGGGTCAATACTTACTTTGGCACTCCATCAGGAAGGATGAATAGCTCGAACCGATCTGGGGCGTTCATTGGCGAGCAAAAGAAGTGTTGATAAATTTTTGAGCGGGGTGTAGAGATGTGTAAATCATCCGATGTAGGTTTTGCTTGGCAGGTAGACAGAGTCAAGACAGCAAGCCGACCAAGCGTGTCAGAAATCACATCTCGACAGCCTCCCTAGTTGCGCAGAAACACAGCAAATCCTATCGGCTCTGCTACAGCCCTGTAGCTCGACGCCCCTGTCACCCGGCCTGTGCTGTCTTTCCTTGGTAGTGCACGACCTGATAGCTCCCGCTTCACGCACACGCTTTTTCGAATATCTTTTTCCGCTTCAGACGAACACAAGTTTCATTTGAGTGAAAACTAAGTTGCAAGCTCGTATACAACTCTAGTTATTCTTGGGGTGTGTCTTGTGTGTACTTTCAGTGTTTTCCGATCAACTAGCACTTTTTTGCCCAATGTCAACACAAGATTCGTGGCAAAACAAGGAGTCGTCAGACCATCAGCCTGCGAACTTGCAGTCGTATAGGTATGTTACGAACCAGGAGTACGCTTACTAACATCGGCAGTCGTCAACAAGGTGCACCTGTTCTTCCCCCTCCGAGCTCGCTCGAAAATGGCGAGTACCAGATGGAACATAGACCCATGACAACGGGCCAGCCGCTCTACTCTCTGCCCTCCCTCCCAGGAATCAACAATCTAGGCAGATACTCGGTCCAGAATATGGACAACCAACACGTAAGTAAACCCCAAAGTCGCTATTAGCGAACAGGACTAACAAGGCAGCTTTCCGAAAATATAAACATGGTCTCTCCGTCGACGCAGCACCAAAACCTAGTCTCTACTGCGATTCAGCAACACACGCAGGATCAGTCGCAGGCCCAGAGACAGGCAGAGCATCAGGCGGCTCAACAGGTCGCTGCCACCACCCAGTCGTATCGGCCTTTGAATGTCAAGGACGCCCTGTCCTACCTTGACCAGGTCAAGATCCAGTTCCAGAACCAGACCGACGTCTACAACAACTTCCTGGACATAATGAAGGACTTCAAGAGCCAAAAGTAAGTACACCTTGCACCGCTAGGTTTTTTTTCTGGTGGGTCCGGTTTGGCGTGGTTTTTTCTTTTCTCTCCTCCCCTTCCCCGTCACCGTCCCAAACTTGATCCACCATTGTTTTTCCTTTTTTACTAACAGTTGTGCAGTATCGATACTCCTGGGGTGATTGAAAGAGTGTCCACACTGTTCAGAGGTCATCCCAAGCTGATTGATGGATTCAATACATTTCTGCCTCAAGGTTTTGCCATCGAGTGTTCTTCTGCCGATCCAAATACCATCATTGTTACAACCCCAATGGGGAAGACTGTGAGACAGGACCCAGGACCGGTTCCATATGACCCTCAAAATCAGCATCCTGCTGCTCAGCTCGAGTACCAATATCCCCAGCAATCCCAGTCGCAATATCACCAGATGTTAGGTAATGTCGGCCAACAGCCTCCATATTACCAAGCACAACAGCAGCCTCCATCTCAGCCACTTCATCAGCAGGAGGTGAAGCAAGGATCTCCTGCTGAGTTTGATCAAGCAATTAATTACGTCAATAAGATCAAGCAGAGGTACGCCAACGAGCCAGACATTTACAAGCATTTCCTCGAAAATCTGCAAATGTACCAAAAGGGAATAAAGCCTATTGACGAGGTTTACCGAGAGATTTCGGTTTTGTTCAGAGATGCCCCCGACTTGTTGGAAGATTTCAAGCTCTTCATGCCGGATACAACGGCTCCTGTTGTGGACCAACAGGGAAGGATGCAAGGACCGCAGCTAGGTGAATACAACAACTACGGTCAGGTGTATTATGATGGGAAACAGGCGGGACATCTAGGTCAGCCTCATTCACAAGCCCAACCACAACAGTCGAATGTTCAACTCCCTCCTGTTGGAAGTTTCCAGCCTCCAACTTTCCGCCAGCCTGTGCCCCAAATGCCTTCTAAGGATAAAAAGAAGAAGTGGGGTTCACAGCAGCTATCTCAACCTATCCCCTCGCAAAAGTCTTATCAGATGACGCAACCATATGATGAACCTCCAGTGTCCAACATACGTGCTTCTTTGCAACCTAGACGGAAGGACGAAAACCCTTCTTTGCTACCTGGTGTTCCGGAGCCTGTTTATCCAAATGCCGTTGAGTCTGATCTCACCGACGAGGTTACATTTTTCGATAAGGTGAAGAAGGCCATCAACAATAAGCAAACCTATAACGAGTTTCTCAAGTTTCTTAGGCTTTACACAAGTGAGGTTATTGATAAGGACACGCTGGTTGAAAAGGCGGAAGGATTCATCGGTGGCTTCCCTGATCTGTTTGATTGGTTCAAGTCCTTTGTTGGGTGGGAAGAGAAACCTCTTCATATTGAGAATATTGCAATCAAGAAACAGCAACTGGATCTCATGATGTGCAAAGCGTGTGGTCCGTCTTATAGATTGCTTCCAAAGTCACAAACATACATGCCTTGTTCTGGCAGAGATGAAATGTGCTGGGAAGTTCTGAATGACGAATGGGCAGGACACCCAGTCTGGGCTTCTGAAGAGTCTGGATTTATTGCTCATCGTAAAAATCAGTATGAGGACATTCTGTTCCGAATTGAAGAAGAAAGACACGAATATGATTTCTACATGGAAGCCAACCTTAGAACTATTCAAACGCTTGAAACGATTGCCAACCGACTTGCAAATATGACGCCAGATGAAAAGGCCAAGTTCAAGCTTCCACCAGGGCTTGGCCACACATCTGTCACGATATACAAGAAAGTGATCAGAAAAGTGTACGATAAGGATAAGGGCTTTGAAGTCATCGAGGCTCTTCATGAAAATCCTGCTGTTGCTGTTCCGGTTGTTTTGAAAAGACTAAAGCAGAAGGACGAAGAATGGAAGAGAGCTCATCGTGAATGGAACAAGGTTTGGAGGGAATTGGAACAAAAAGCTTTCTATAAGTCTCTCGACCACCTTGGTTTGACATTCAAGCAGATAGACAAGAAACTTTTGACCAACAAGCAGTTAGTTAGTGAGATTTCCACCATCAAGCAAGAACAATTGCAAAAGAAGTTACATCCATTGATGCCTATCCCAGCTCCGCAATTGAGTTATCATTACGATGACTTTGAGGTTTTCATGGATATTCTCAAGTTAGTTGACTGCTACTTATCTCACAACCAGACGTATTCCCAGTATGATAAGGAAAAAATCGAAGGATTCCTCAGATCATTCATTGCCAAATTTTTCTTCCTAGACTCCAAATTCATCGATAATGCTATGGCAAGAAGATCTGTCGGCCAAGTGAAGGAAGTCCAAAAAGAAGATCCCGACAATAAGGAAACTGTTCCAGCTGTTCCTACTTTGTCACAGTCAAAGAAGAGATCGAGAGAAAACGATCTACTGAGGGACGTCTTGAAGAAAGTCAAAAAACCAAAGAAGAACGAGGGCGATGAAGAATCTGACTCCGCGGGTTCTGCTCAGACGGCTTCGCAGGGCGAAGAGAATGATGAAGTTGAGAGAGCACAAACAAATTGGATCACGAACGACAGACCGAATATCTCTTATGGCGACGATCGCACCGAGTTCAACATGTTTTGTAACACCCAGCTCTATGTGTTCTACCGCTTTTTGAACACTCTTTATGAGCGTTTACTTGAAATCAAAAAGATGGCTCCAAGCGTGAACAAAGAGATCAAGTCTAGGAAGGTGACGCCCTTTGCTAAGGATTTGGGTTTGATCAATGATCAATTAGAGGAGATGGGTATCAACATTAAGGGCGATGACTCGTACAATGAAGCTCTGGAGCTTTGCGCAAAAGTCATTGAGGGCTCTTTGGACCAAAACAATTTTGAAGAGACCCTCCGTCAAGGATTCCGTAACAAAGCATTTAAGCTGTTCACAGTGGACAAGGTTATCTCGGGTCTTTTGAAGCACTGTCACAACATTGTTAGTGACTCAAAGTGTACCGAAATCGTTCTGCTGATGGAGAAGGACCGTAATAATTCCAAGACGACTGCAAGAGACCAGATCATCTACAGAATGCAGGTCCGCAATTTGATGGCTTCAGATGAGAACATGTTCAAGATTGTTTTCAACAAGGCTGCCAATGACACGACGATCACATTCTTGGCATTGGACGATACCACGATTCGTGATGATTCGAAGACCCCAGAAGAGAAGTGGAACTACTATCTCACCAGTTACGCCATGTCCCATCCTACGGAAGGTATTGATCCTAACGCAATCTTGCTTCCTTTCCTGAAGTCCAACGTCGAAGAGGAGGAGGAAGAGGAAGATGAGATTGATGGAATCGCAGACTCCAAGTTGAAGGTCAAAATTGATAAGGAGACGTATAGATTAGTGTTTGAGCCGGGCTCTTATGATGTGTTCGTGCGGGACACTGCATTCAGCAAGGACGAAAAACGTTTAAGCAAAGAAGTCAGGATGAAGAGCTTGCAGGAAGCCTTGGATGGCGAATTCGGACTTGGAAAAGAGTTGGATGAAGGCGAGATTGAAGAAGCTAATAAGCAGTTCAGAGCTTGGATCGAGCAAGGTCCGCAAGCTTTCCAACAAGCGGGCAGCAAACTGAACGATTCTGCGGGAGATACAGTGAGCACTGGGCGGGATACTGTTGTTTCCGCGGGCGCCCCTTCCCAAACCGACCACACTAGTGCCGACACTAACAATGATGGCGAGTAATGGGTTTTTGGCAGTTTGTGTATAATAAAGTATGTCAGACTATGACTAAATATCTTTTGGTGCCTCGTAAGGTTCGGTGGCCAGGTCGACGCCAAAGTCGTCCAGAGTCTCGCCAAAATCGTTAATCCACGACGAGACCGTAGTTTCATCTAGAGGATCGTTATCGTAGTTGGAGCCATCCGGAGGCCAAGGCAGATTCAATTGGTCTTCGTCCTCACTGACCTTTTCAAAGTCAATACCGTTTTCTCTTGGTTTTCCCCAAGGCCAAAGCCACAGATGCACCGGGCCAAGAGCCATGCACAGATTTCGGAACGTGGAACCTGAGTCGTATGGAAAGACTAGGTCATCGTATGAGAAGTTTGGAGGAATCTGCGAGTCTCGTCTCAGTTCTCTGTAATTTGTTTTCCAGGACGTCAGTTCTGGAAGCGGTTTGCCGTGCACTCTGTGGTAGTTTGCTCTCACCTTGGCCCAAAACTTTTCAGTGTAGAATTGTGAGTGGATTCTTTCGCGCTCCCAGCTTTCTATTGTGGTTTCGTTGCTGATCAGATTGAAAAGAGTGCGCAAGAAGAGGATTCCTATAGTGAAGAGGATAAACGCACATAGCAATGTGCACACAATCACAAGAGCAAGCTCTTTCTTGCCGACCAAATAAGCTGGTAGGTTCCTGTTTCTGTAGTAGGAGGACAACTTTCTCACTAAGAACGAAAACGTGTAAGAGACGGCTACGAGAACCCAGGTGAGAAATCTCATGAAATGAGGCATGTTCTCGTGGCCGATGCAGTTCATTGTCCATGGACAGTGGTGGTCCATTTTCAGGATGCAGCGTCTACATGTTTTGCAATGGTGGGTCCTCTCTGGTTTGTAACGTTTGCACTTGGAACAGTACTTGTACCATTGTTTCTGAGGCTTCTGAGACTTATCCACGGTATAGCTGTTGGGTGGGTGTCCTGGCGACGTATAGATGGCCAAATAGTACGAGTACCAGACCAATGCAGCGAGAATTACTAGCTTCGTTTGATCGACGCGGTCTTTGTACAACAGGTAATGGGCACACAGTTGGATGGAAGCGATAAGTAGACTAGGTATCTATTGAATTAGAAGCCGCTTGTACGCGTACTTACCACTATGCCCAGCCAGGGCCATTTAAATACGATGGCCATTTATAGATCTGTTGACTAGTGAATAAACATTTAGAAAAAGAGCTTTTTAAATTTGGCTCTGAAAATGTCAGATTCCGAAGTCATCCCATACGATGTTCTGCCAACGTTTGAGACCGACAACGAGCTACTCAACCGCACATTGACTCAGATCGAGCAGTTTTCGCGTGCTGATGGACTGCCGGACTACCATACTGCTGTCAACGAGAATCCTCCTTTGTACAGGCCAAATAATACTATGCGCAATCAAGAAATCCTCCATGTGCGTGATAACGAGAGACTGCTGCTGAACAATCTGGACCAGCTGGACAGAATCACGTCGTCCGTCAAGATCACCATCAAAGTCACCAAAACCTTTCCTCAGATGGGAAAGAGCATTGAGCGTGGTAATCCACTGAAGGAGTTCCACGCAGGCGATATCGTCACTGGCTGTGTCACAGTGCACAATCCCACGAGTACAAGGGTTCCCTTTGAAATGTTTCTAGTGTCGCTCGAAGGCTACGTCACTATTCCATCCATAATGACTAACAAGGTGACCAAGCGCACATTTCTAAAGATGTTTGATTTTGGAGCATGCTACATGGACGGGTTCTATCCGACGGCAAATTTCCCCACACCCACGCAGTGCACGTACGATCCGTTCGACGAGACGTACTACGGCTTCCCCGAGTCGAAGGTGCTCGAACCAGGGAGCAAACACAAAAAATTCTTCTACTTTAGACTGCCCGAGACACTGCTCGAAAACTCCTGTGACCACCACATCTACGAGCACTTTGAGAAGCTGCCACCATCGTTTGGGCTCGACCGCGAGAGTTTCAACGGTAGAGCCAGACAGATCGCAATCAATGAGTCACTGGGATACGGCCGGCTGCAGGACATCGGCTCGCCGATTCTGCTCAACGACCAGAGCGAAAATGGTCAATCGGTATCATATGCCATCACAGTGCGAATGATTGGCAAGCACCAAGACATTTACAAGAACGATCCAATGAAAAAATTCATCATGATCAAAGACGAGCAGTATTTTTTCAGATTCATCCCCGACGAGTCTCTCGACTTACCATCTTACAAAGATAACCAAAATCTGGGAAGGCGTTCCACCAGAGAGCAATTGGATCGAGTTTCCAAAGCTGCCAAGGAGGAGATAGAGAGGCTCACGAGGATCAAGTTCTTGCAATCAGCAGGAATCGAAAACGAGCGCGAAGTCAACGAGCTCAGCTCAGCCTCCGAAATGCTCAAGAAAACAAATCTAAACTTATCTGCAGAGCCAATAATTTCGCACACTACAGACAGGTACCAAAATAGCACCACTTTTCCACTCTATAAGAAAAAGCTGTTTGGATTTCCAAATGCCAAATCTTCTGAAAAACCTAACCAACTCAGGTTTGAGGCCTCGATAAGCAAAAATGTGCGGCTAGGCTACATTGTGCCCAGCGTGCTGTCCAAGATCTCGTCGACAGAGATCGAGCAGCAGCAGGCGTCAGTTCTTTCGCAAGTGCCGCTTCAATCCCCGGTCCTGAGTCCCGTGACATCTCCGCATGGAGGCGAACTTGCTCCTGTCAGCTCGCTCACCAGTTTAAGATCGCTGAACGACGAGACACTTAATGCGCTGGTGTCCAAAATGGAGTCTATCTCTTTTTCCAACGAGGTGGAAATCCAACTGTATTGCACCTTATCTCACCCCCCGGAGATTGCATATGTGCGTCCAGCATTAAAGTCATGCACAATATCCTCGCCATCGCCCATTCCTGTCACTTTTGATCCAGACTTCCTGCTCCACGCCGAGACGCCTGCGAATGCTATAATAGGTGTGAAGGACGAATTTTCGAATTATCTTTCAGAGCTAAAATCGCTCGCTAGACAGACGGGCCGCGGCATAGAAAGGCAACTGTGCCACGATCTGATCTCTCTCTCAAACATCGGCCTGGCACAAAAATCTCTGCCAGTCTTCGAAGAGATTATTTTACGGAGCCAACCAAAATGGGTGAAAACCAGTGAGGGCTGCTCAACTAAGTTCAAAATCCAACTCAAGTGGGACTACGCTACTATAAGAAAGCTGACTTTGTTACCTAGCTTCAGCATATGCTACTTCACTAAAATGTATTACCTGACGTTAAAGCTGGGCTTCAAAAAAACACTCAACCAACAACGCAGTGCTGAGCGTGCCCATCGAGGTGGCCAAGATCAGTTTCGGGAAAAATTTGCAATGATAGTATTGTCATTATAGAGCCATTATTATATGTAAGACGCTCATCTCATTTGAAATCGCCAACTTGCAAGTTTCTCGTCATTGCCGGCAAAGCCACGCGGATGCCATCCAACTCTTTGGTCATATGCACCTGGCACCCCAAACGACTCGTTTCGGTCAGTCCGAAAGCCAGATCCAGCATATCGTTCTCGTCATCATCTGGCTCGGGGATTAAATCATAATAATCAGGATCGACTATAATATGGCACGTGGAGCAGGCGCACGAGCCTCCACACGCACCTTCCATGTCAATATGGTTAGCCTGGGCAATGTCAAGGATCGAGTCGCCCTCAGCCACCTCAAATGTCTTCTGTGATCCGTCTTTGGTGATGAAAGTGATGTGCAATTCTTCTCCGGGGTTCGGCTTTTTGATATGTCCGTGAAAAGCAGGAGTGGTCGAATGCAGTGGTCGTATCCACTTCGTTTGTGTATACGGAATCTTAAGTATCACAGACGGCCTGAACAAGGGCCTGGTGCCTTTTAATGCTGCGATTCTCATGAAGGAATTTTTATATATAGAGATAGATTACTTTAGTCCTGAAAATTATTGGCTCGGGTCCCGGTTATGGAGCACTCGGAGAAAAGAGGCGTTGATCGGCTCTAAAAAAAAGTACAGCATTATCTGGAATAATTCCTTATGTCTTTGTTTGATAATTACGAGACCGACTTCAAGCTGGCCTACTCGGAGGCCCAGCAAAAACTGGGTCAAATATATGGGCTTGCAGATCAAAATACACGCGTGGACCTCATGAGAGAAGTGGAAAAGCTTATAGACGATGGATATGACCTTATCGACTCCATGTCTCTTGAAGTGCACCAACTTCCCACGCATCAAAGATCTTCTTACAATGCCAAGACTAGAACATATAAACAAGATCTAGAAAGACTCAAGTCGGACCTCAAATCGCTAATGGATGACAACGATAGAGTGAATCTTCTGGGAGTCGGCAGCCAAGAAGACTACAACCAAAGGCAGAAGCTGCTTAACTCTCATTCTTCAATTGACAGGTCCACGCAACGGCTCAATGAGGCTACGCGAACAGCTTTGGAAACCGAAACGGTCGGTACCGGTATTTTAGATAACCTTCGTTCGCAGAGAGAGCAGATCTTGAACGCGCGCGAAACTTTATCAGAGGCCGACACATACGTCGATAGATCGCTCGCTACTTTGAAAACGATGACTCGCCGCCTTGCAACAAATAAGATGATCACCTATGGAATCATTGCTGTCCTTATAATGTTGATCTTCCTAACAATTATCAGCAAATTTAATTAAATATATATATATATATGCTCATTTCTTGGTTTCGAATTCCTCACTTGAAACAACAATGTCGTCTTCCACTTTATAATTGGCCATGGCATCACGCACTTGCTTCATCAGGTCTTCGTGCTGGTCCAGATTATCGGAATTCATAGTCTTGATTGATGCTTTACGGCTCAGACCGGGAACTTTGTGTGCGGCCTTCTCGTCGTCTTCAATGTCCAGCTTTTCTGCAGTAAGGTTCAATAACGACTTGCCAGACTTGCGTCTAACAAGAAGCGGAAATGGAGATGGTCTAGGTGTATAGTTTTTAATCTCATCCTCGTCGTAATACGACCTCCTGTGCCGAGGCCTGTTCGGAGTTCTACAGGCAACTCCCACATCCTGAATAAACCGAGCAACCAGAGCTGTCCAGCCACATTGCCATTTGGTGCCCAACCCACGTCCAGTGTCTCCATCAAAATATTCGTAAAAGTTGACAAGCTCTCTGAAGTATTCGCTGGTCAATAGTGGGTCTTTCACTGGACCATGATATGGACGTTCATACTTTTCATTTGGTAAGAAAAGAAGAATTAGGCGCTGCTGGATCTCTTCAGCAGCTTGTGCTAAGTTCAAAAATTGACCGCTGCCCTTTGGAACCTCGACTTTGAGATCAGAACCGTAATAAAGATAAAATCTGAGCAGCGATTCGATCAGCAAGAAGTTTGTAGGAAACCAAATCGGTCCTCTCCAATTGGAGTTTCCTCCAAAAAGACCAGAGTCAGACTCTCCTGGTAGGTAATTGATGGTATACACTTGGCCATTAATATTCATGGACACTGGATTTTGCTCGTGATACTTGGAAAGTGACCGAATACCATAAGGTGCCAAGAATTCATTCTCATCAAACAGTTTCTCCAGGATTGCAACCAAACGCTCTTTACTAACTAAGGAGAGGAGCAGTCTATCGCCAGAACCTTTAGTTTCCATGGATGCAATATTTCTTTCAATCAGGTACTTTTTGTTCTCGATCAGCCAGTTCAGTCTTTTTCTGAAGTTAGGGAATCTCTCTAGCAACTCAGGCTCAAGAGTACAAGTGGCAAACAAAGGAATCAAGCCGACCAAAGAGCGAACCTTCATGGCAGAGGTTTTATTTCCTCCCCAATGAATTTTGTCATAGAAAAACTGGTCTTCTTCGTCCCACAAAGATTCTGGGGTAGGAATCAAAGTCTGTTCATTGGAGACACCCGGAGGGGCCAAGTAGGACATTGCATCAGCAATGAGGAGGTAATGTTCAAAAAATTTGGATGCCACATCTTCATAGACGGGATTCTCTTTAGCAAGCTCTAAAGCAATATTCATCATGACCAGAGCATACCAGGCTAGCCATCCAGAGGAGTCCGATTGAAACAGTTCAACGTTTGCGGGAGGCTCAGATCTATTGAAAAGACTGATATTATCTAAACCCAGAAAACCGCCCTCAAAAATACCATTTCCGTCGGGATCCTTCCTATTCACCCACCAAGTGAAGTTGATCAAGAATTTTTGGAACACTCTTTCCAAAAATTGTCTGTCCTGATGGTTGTACATCTTCTTCTCGATCTTGTATATTCTGTAAGCAGCCCATGCTTGAACAGGAGGATTTGAGTCAGAAAAGTTCCATTCGTATGCTGGAATTTGCCCTTGAGGAGACATATACCATTCTCTGGTGAGTAAATCAAGCTGCTTCTTGGCAAAATTTGGATCTATCATTGCAAACGGAATTGTATGGAAAGCGGTGTCCCAAGAACAATAGAAAGGATATTCGAAATCATCAGGCATCGATAAGATGTCTTCATTGTACAAGTTTTTCCAGTCCTTATTTCTCCCGTTGGCCCTGCCAATCACGGGAGCAATATCAGAGTTAGGGTCTCCTCTGTACCAAAAGTCGTGAATAAAATGGTAAAACTGCTTATTCCATAGCAATCCACTAAAAGCCTGTCTCTGCACGTTGCGAAGTTCCTGGGGAAGTGGAAGAGGCGAAACATTCCAGTAAAATTCATCTGCTTCAGACAAACGTTCCTCAAACACCATATCAAACTCCTCCTCGTCAAATTCTATCTCCTTGCTTTTTGTCAGTTTGTACCTTATGGTCACAAAGTCACCAGCCGGAATACCCCCGTTTTCGTCAAAAACAAACCAAGCGCACGCTTTTGTTCCCTTTGCATCTGGGTTGACAGCTTCTTCGACTTCGTCAACGATGTAGTCGTGGAAACCATCTTTAGTGTACTTTGTTTTATTTTCCACATCGTAAAGCCGCTTGAAGTTTGTTTCATTGTCACAGAAAAGAAGTTTCGGCTCAACGTCCTCGGAATCCTCATTTACGCCTGGGGCAGGGGCAAAAACAAGACGACGATCCCCTAATTTAAAATGATCCACCTTAATGGAATACTCAGAGTCAGGGAACTCCTTTGAAAGTACTGGTTTTTCAGCATTTTTGTTTTCTCCCCAGGCCCATGTGTTGCGGAAAAAAATCTGTGGCATTATGTGCAGAGGAGCTGCTGCCTGAGAGCGGTTATAGGCGGTGATTCTAAAATTCAGTTCCTCAGGATCATCTGCATCCTTAGCCATTTCAAAAAAGATGTCAAAGTAGTTGTTATCCTTGAAAGCATCAGTGTCGGTAATCTCATACTCAGGCTCCAGTTTTGACCTCCTGGAATTCTCTTCGTAAATCTGCTCGTAGGGAAATTTGCCAATTGGGTACTTGTACAAAAACTTGGCATACGAGTGGGTTGGTGTGTTGTCCAGGTAATAGTACATTTCCTTAACATCCTCACCATGATTGCCACTCTTTGGAGAAGCGCCTCCAGGAAGTCCAAACAGTTTCTCTTTGAGAATGTCGTCATTTTCATTCCAGAAGGCCAAACTCAGACAGATGTATTGGTGATTATCGCATATACCCCCTAAGCCGTCTTCTGTCCATCTGTAGACTCTGGACCTAGAAGTTTCAAAATCAAACTGCCATGCGTCTCCATCAGCTGTATAATCCTCCCGAGGTAGCCCCCAAGCCCTCTGGGCCATATAAGTTCCCCATCTCCTCCAGTATTTGGAGTGATCTTTGTCTTCGGCAAGACGAATCTCCTCCTTTGTTGGTTTTTGACCCAAGGGCATTAATGAGCTGGGCAATTGAAAGATTTCAGGAACAAAATAAGAAGCAAATTGAGCTAATTGGTCAGATCAATCCACAAGTGAAAGTAGATCAATTTGCGGAATTATAAATTACACAGCTGCCCCCCACCCCTTGCACCGCGAAAAGTTACGTCAGATAACAAATGCGATTTTTTTATTTATCAGCTAGAAAAATGCTTTAAGATATTCATCGTCTCTCAGAATTCTCTCCACCAGTGCGTAGATCTCCATTAACATGTTCGGGAAGCGGCCAGCAAAAAATGCGTAAAAACCATCCGGAAGAGGGCTCATTTGCCTGGCTAGGTTAGGTGGCAAGTCTTGGAAATGATGGTATTTGTTTCGTAGAGCTCGGAGCAAATCCATCAACCTGTCGTCGTTGTACTTTCTGTACTTGCCAAGATTATCTAAAAACGACGAGTTGAACTTTCTGAACCACCCCTTGCCAATAATGGAAGGTGCTATGCTTTCCAGCTCCAAAAGTAAATCTGACGGAGGATCTCTTCTTTCAATCTCAAAACGGTCAGACACCCGAAGCAAAAACTCCAGTTTCTTCTCGATGGACCAGAAATATGGGTGTTTCAGAATAAGGCTCATATCAGGCCTATTGGCAGGGTCTTGGTCTATCATCGACTCAATCAGATCGCGAACCTCGTAGCGGTCCTCCAACGTGTCCAGAAGATCCAGATTATACTGGTTTTTGATGATGTTGCTTTCGCGCGAATAACGGTCACCAAATGGATGCTGTCCTCCTGTCAGAATGTAGTAAAAAACACACCCAGCTGAGAAAATATCAATCGACCTCGTTAAACGACGATCACTCATTAATGAGAGCTGGCTGAGCTGCGACTCTGTCTCCGCGACATCGTCCACAAGAAGTTCGGGCGCACGCCAGCCAGATGTTCCAGCAGCATGTGCAGTGGTGGCCCGGAAAGAAGACTGATCGTTCTCGAGTTTCTTGCATAGCCCAAAATCAGAAATAAGCAGTCGTAAAGGCATTTCCTTATCACCACTGTTTATCTTCTTTGGTGGAACAACCAATATGTTTTGCGGTTTGATATCTCTGTGAACTATTTTGAGCGAATGCAAATGGTTCAGACCGTTGGCTATCTGCCAAAGGACGTTGACTGGCTTCATTTTACCCAGCAGCTCGTTGGAGTCCTCTTTTCTCTGCTCAATGACGTCCTCGAGTGACGCTCCACACAATTCCAAGGCAATATACAGGAATCTGTCACTCTGTTGCGAGCAAAAGTAGCGGACAACATTGGGGTGATCGTCACTTTCTTGAAGTAAATTTATCTCGTGGGATGCGACATCGTAGAAATCCAGCAGCATCCGCTTAACAGCGACTGGGCGGTTTTCAAAGCTTCCTTTGAACACAACAGTTCCGTGAGACCCATAACCCAGAATCTCGTCTGAAATAGTCATATTGCTGGTTGACGTAGGAATAGTTATAGCAGAACTTGCCAAACTCTTTTGCGAACCGCTTCTGCTCCGCACAATGTCAGTTCCATCTTCCAAAGTAGCGCCTACGATCTCCTTCTTCTTGTTTTTCTTCCCTCCACGTGTGCCTCTTTTGCGCCTACGTGGTTGAGGCTGTTGACCGTCTTTGTCTTCGGATTGAGCTGTCTCCTCATTGGGCTTGAAAGAGTTGTAGGACGACGAAGAGGAGTTCTCGCTCTTGTTGTCTGTCTCCACAATTGTCACCTTTTTTGGCATTTTATCTGTCTCGATGTCCCCGAACCGCTCCTTTTTTATCAGATTGAAGCTCTTCTCTAATTCAACAACATCGTCCTTGAGCAACATGTCGACAATCTCCACAGCACTTTGGGTCCTCTTGAAAAGTCCAAACCGGCTCAATATTTGTGTCAGGGGAGGAAGAATGCCTATTCTCGATAAAAACACGAGAATCATCACTCCGATCATTGTCATGACAACGTTCTCAAATGCACGGTATACAAGATTGATCAGCGGCGTGCCTCTCCCCGTCGAAGAGGGCAATGTCGCTATGTCGTATTGCGAAGGTGGGTCGATGGCAAGGTATTCCTCTGCTTCGGGCAAGCTCGGACGGGATTTTCTAGGTCTTCTTGGTTTGCGATTCAATGGATCTTCAAGGATCGTCGAAGAAAGCGATGCAGGAAGTCTCGGGCTTGTTAGGTCGATCTGGTTTTGCGATTTGTCCATGGACTTGTCATGGACACCGGAAATGGCGATTCCCAAAAGTTCTGCATTTGCGAATATCGACGGCGTTCTCCAACGCTCACTGGAGACGTACTTTGCCAACGGGGCCGATTTCACTAGGGAAGGATAGTTTGTCTCGCTCATGGCAAACCATGACCCGTCCTTAGTTCTGTCCACAAACGTGGAGTCACCTGTAGTGGTTGCATTTCTGTTATTGAGTGGGTGTGGAAGCACAATAAAATTGTTACTATCTCCGTCCTCAAGGAACACATCAAACACATTGACGGTGACGAACGGCAAACTCGAAACCCATTTGACAGACTTCGTGCTGGCATCAAGAGCAAGCAGCGAGTTGTCATGGAACGGCTGGATGTACAGATCGTCGATGCTGTGGCGATTTTCGGCGGCGAGATTGGTGTGCAGATTGTTGACACCCCACGAAGTGTACGTGATGTTCCAGGCTGTGTTGTTTTTGGAGTGGATGCTGAGCTCGTAGGTAGTCTTTCCCAGCAATATGACAGGCTGGACGGGGTCGGTATGGTGTTCCACCGGACATATTTCCGCAGACTCGGGTATCCCAAAAGAATCTATCAAATCACCGGTGCGCGCATCGATTCGAACGATTCCCGTCCGTTTGACTCCCGTGTATATGAACTCGTCTCCGATCGAGAACGGCGACTTCGAAACCAGTTGCTGGACAGAAGCAGGCAGTTTCTGTAATCCTGTTTCCTGCGTGAAGTAGTATATGGAGCCCTCCTCTAATGGCTCGACCATCCACGCCGAGAACTGAGATCCCACAGAAGGGTCGGCCCCCGATATGTTCGGGTCGACGCTTTCCTTAATGGCTACCAGAGGGGTGTTCCCCACAAACGTCCACACCACTTCGCCTGTCACTCTATTGAGAGCATGCAAGTTTCCTTCGACATCGGAAGCCAACAACAAATTGGTGACAGTGAAGTCTCCAAGCGACTTTTCGAGCGGGTGATCCGAATAAGGAGAGATCTCATCACCAGCGGAAACAAAAGTCAGCGTGAACAAGAATGCAAGACCTAAAAGCCATATTCTTGCCAATACTGAGCGAATCCGCATAGCTTTTCAAGGGTTTTATTTTTTAATTTGTCTTGAAAATTCCGTGACTTTTCTACGCTTAGTGCTACAAGCCCCATTTTTCAAAAGACCCAATTTACCAATATGCAAATCGTGAAGGATTTGCTGGACGAGTTGTTCCTTTGGTTCTGCCATCTTATCATCGACACCTTTTTCCGTGAAGTCCGTGTCCGTGGCTCGTATAATTTACCCTCCAAAGGGGCGACCCTTGTGGTGATCGCTCCACATCACAACCAGTTCCTGGATGCAGCGATTGTTACCCATGCGATACACAAGATAAATGGACGTCGTACGCTTTTCATAGAAGCCGCTGCTTCTGTCAGAAGGCCTGTTATAGGTCAACTAAGTAAATGGAGTGGAGCAATTCCGGTGGAAAGGGCGCAGGACCTGTTGACCAATAAGCAGGGTAAGATCCGTTACGCGGATTACAGCAACGATGAACTGACCATTGTCGGGGAAGGGACGAAATTTACCCAAGATTGCGAGGTTAAAGGGCTAATTGGACTCCCTGAGAGTGCGGGAAACCAGAAAATAGCAGAAATTATCAGCGACACTAAGCTGAGACTCGCCAAGCCGATGACCAAAGCTAAGGGTATCGAGATGCTTATACGCGGTACCGCATATAAGAGTGCCCCTAAAGTCGACAACCATGATGTTTTTAAGATAGTCTTCCAGAGACTCAAGGAAGGCGAGCTCATCGGAATCGCGAGCGAGGGCGGCTCTCACGATCGTACCGAGCTTCTGCCACTAAAGCCTGGGGTCGGAATTATGGCATTGGGCACGGTGGCCGAATATGAAGGCACTGAAGTTAATATTGTCCCGTGCGGAATGAACTATTTCCATCCACACAAATTCCGCTCCAGGGCGGTTTTGGAATTTGGAGAGCCGATCAAGGTGGGCCCTGAGGAAGCAAGTGCTTATAAACAGGATCCAAGAAAAACTGTTGACGCCCTTATGGAAAATATCACCACCGCTTTGAAATCTGTCACCACCCAAAGTCCGGACCTCGAAACGTTGCAGGTCATCCAGGCTGCGAGAAGACTGTATTCCAATCCAAGTAGGCCTCTTCCATTACCCCTGGTTGTGGAAATGAACCGCAACCTGCTTATTGGATACAGCAAGTTCAAAGATGACCCAAAGATCCAGCATTTGAAAGAGAGTGTGACCGGCTACAATAAACGACTGGGGTACCTGGGATTAAAAGACTACCAGGTGGAGACAGTTACCAAAAACCGTTGGCGTACGTTATTTTTACTTACGACGCGGCTAGTGCGACTAATGGTGTTGCTTGTGTTGAGTCTTCCTGGCACAGTGCTATTTTCTCCCGTGTTCATTGCATGCAAAGTTATATCAAAGAAAAAACAGAAGGCTGCTTTAGCGAACTCCAGTGTGAAGATCAAGGCCATCGACGTTCTGGGGTCATGGAAAGTTCTTATCGCTTTAGTGGCTGCACCAATATGTTACTTTATCTATTCTGCCATTGGCACCGTGCTTGTCTTCAAATATGAGTTGGTCAGATACAACTCCTGGAATGTTCTTGCTACTTTTGCCTCCTGGTGGATTTTGCTTGTTTGCACCACGTACGCTGCATTTGTAATGGGAGAAGTGGGTATGGATATTTTCAAGTCCATCAGACCGTTGATCTTATCTCTTTCCCCAAGATCCACTGATTTAGACGAATTACGGAAAGAAAGGCAACGTCTCTCTGCAGAGATTACAGAGGTGATCAATGAACTAGGACCTAAGGTTTTCCCAAAGTTGGACAAGCACAGTCTGGCCCGGTTGGAGAAAGAATACGAAGCGGAGGTAGAAGAATTACGCTCAAGATCCAGATCAAGGTCGCAGTCTAGATCGAGATCGGGGTCTCGGTCATTGTCGCGTGCGTCAACTCAATCTGGATTCACCGAAAACACAATGCCAAACCTCTCGGACGTCTCCATCTTTCCCGATGCGTTGCAGCTCAGGGATCAGTCAAGCTTAAGTCCAACATCGAGCAGCTCCAGCTTCGTGCATCTTGAAAGCACTGACAGGATTTCAGCAAGTGGAGTAAATGATCACGATGCAAGCCTGTTGTCTAAGGTTAGAACTGCGGTCCTGAAAAAACGCAATGAGGAGGCCAGACTCGAGGGAGAAAAGTCGGGTTAACTCATAGAAATATTATTTTAACCTAAAAAATACTATACGCTAATATTTATATGAATGAAGAGAGGAAAAACGCAGGAACCATAACTCGAATTAACCGAATAAAACCACAACATACAATTGCAGCCTTGGCTACAGCTCTGCTAGGCTACTATGTGTGCTCGCACATCTTTCCGATTCTGTTAGGAACGATAGTTCTTATATTAATATTTGCTTATATGATATGGCGAGTGGGCGGTCACCCGCCAAAATCAATTGGGAGCCTAAACAAAAAGCTTCAAACAAGGTTCCCACGATTGAAGTTCACTGAGTCGCATAATTGGGCAAAAGAAGTTTCAGAGCTGAATCAGGAAGCAGATCCAGGCCGCGTTAACCAACTTTATCCTGAAAACTTCATAATCAGCGACACTCTTCATAACTTGATATTGCTCATAACGCGAGACTTTGTAGAGTCATGGTATATGCGCATCACCCCAGATAGGAGATTTTTGGTTGAGGTACAGGTGCAATTAGGCCATGTTGTGACTCAATTGCAGCAAAGACTCAGTGAGATAGATCTTACAGAAACTCTAGTCTATCGTATCCTGCCATTGATCACAGACCACTACACAAATTTTGTCACTGCACAAGAGATCGTGAAGAGTAAGAAACTTGGCACAATCAGATCCTTCACCAATACATGGGACCTTGACAAAATTGTTGCATCCTGCTACAATAAGGGAAAATTGCACCCGGCAATCAAGTTGAAAAGTGTTGATCCCGGAGAAGATATTCAACGATGGCTTTCGCAGCAGCTGTCCAAGATTCTTCCTCTGATAGTCGATGAAAAAGAGATAGAGTCTCCTCCTATTTTTTTGCTTCTTCGAGAGATTCTGGAAAAATGCGTATTATTCCAGATCGTGGAGATGCTTTCCGACCCCGATTTCTACAACCAGGTCGTTGAAAAGAATCTCGGAAATGCTATGAAGGACCGTTTGAACGTCAAGCGATTTCGAAGCGCGCTCAGTAAGCATAGTGTTGAGAATCTCAGAACTTCCAGGACGTTGATTTCAAGAGGAAGGTTGAATTCAACAAGCGATACAGCCAAGTTTCAACGTATATTGCGCGAAATCAACAAGTCCCAGTCTGTGGCAGACCTCAAACAGTACAAGTACTACGTGACTCTACAACTGAATAAAGTCAGTCGGGGTGAAAACGCCAATAATCAGCTGTACAAAGAGAGACTTGCTACCCTACGCAGCGCGACAGATAAACGTCTCCTATACTTGCTGAAGTCATCCTCCACGTTGGGCGGACAAGAGCCAAATGTCAACGCCAACTTGGACATCACTTTTGCCGAGATCCTAAATAGCCCTGCAAAGCTGTCAGTGTTCACAGAGTTCATGGAACAGAGACGACGCACCCCTTTGCTGAAGCTGTGGCTTGTGGCTGAAGGACTGAGAAATCCACTCGAGGATAATTACGATCTCTCAGAAGAAGACAGCAGTGAAGACGAATCTGATCTAGAATACTCTATGACAATGTCTCAGGGTGATGACCTACGTCAAATATTCGTTGAGTTTTTTGAGAACCCAATACTCAAGATAGACTCAAAATGCTATTCCAACGTTTCAAGATTTGTGGAAACAAAACCTGCGGATCCTGCACTTTATCACAAAGCTCGCAAGTCTTTATTCAAGCTACAGAATGAAGTTTATCAAAGAATGCAGAAAACCGATTATGTTGCTTTCAAACAGTCTGATCTTTACTTGAGACTAGTTGCAGCGGAAGAAGAACCAAAAAGTGAAGACATAGAGATTGACGAAGATGAAACTAATGGCGATCCGTTGGCAGACTATGAAGAGACAGGAAATGAGGAGCAGAAAGTGAGCGACGCTGTTCTTCGCGCCGTTGAGGACGTGCTGGCCGATCTGGCAGATGAAAAACGAGAAAGACCAAGCTTGTATCAATTTAATTCCGGTTTCTCATCCTCGGAGGACCTTTCGGAGACTCCGTCAGGTACCAGTACTCCTCGAGTGTCTCGGCTTCTAAGTAAGGATGTGCAGCGCGACCTGTTTGGGGAAGACGCGGAAAAAAATGGACTGTTCGACAACAACGGTGAATTATCAGACGATAAGGACTCAGCAAATTCAATAAAGATTTTTGATGACGAAGAAAGCGAAAGTTTCTTAGATGATGATGTGACGATGTCATCATCTCAAGAACTGCGATTGGCTGCTCCTGGCAATCTTTATTTGGGAGACGAAATTGAAAAGCTGGGAGCGGAGATTGATAAGCTGGAGCAGCAGTTACGCATTATAGAGCCACTTTTGAACAAGGCAGAACTGACCAATAACGTTTCCGAGCTCAAGATTCTGAGAAAGACTCAAGCAGGGCTCAGGAAAGAGATGCAATTAAAGGAATTACAGAAGCAACAGTACGTTGTCCAAGAAAGCGACAATACACTGTTTGGGAAAAGTCACGTGCGGATACAGTCATACCTCAATGCATTCGAAGATGGAAAAGAGTGCATAATGTACATAATTGAGGTGCAAAAGCTGACGACTGATAACACTGTGATTGCAGGCTGGATGGTTGCAAGACGGTTTAGCCAGTTTTTCAAACTGAATAATTATCTCAAGAGCAAGTTCGCCGAAGTCGGAAATTTGGACTTTCCTAAACGTAAGGTGGTTCTCAAATTCCAGCAGCGATCACTGATCGTCGAGCGACAGCGAAAACTCGAGCGCTACCTGCAATCACTGATTGAGAACCGTGACGTTTGTCAGGACAAAGTCTTCCGTAGCTTCCTGTCTTCGGAACTTTTCGACATCAATCCCGACAACTCGCGGCAGAGACTGGGAAAGCTAGGTAATCCGGGGAGAAGTGCAGTAAATATGGCCTCAAAATTGTACAACAACATTTCCAACCAGTGGCAACTACAATACAAGGCTCCCGTGAATGATGTTGACAATAAGCCATCTTTAGAGTTGCAAAAAGAGCTCTCTAGCTTGGATGAAAATTTTGAAGGACAGGAAGCGAAATTTTCCTCATTTGTGAGGCCTATTAGTGACTTTCTGATCGCCGTTTTTGGGCTCAAGAACTCAAAGGCCTGGCTAAGAGGCCGGGCTATTGTGCTGGTTTTGCAGCAACTTTTGGGCTCCACAATTGAAAAAATGGTGAGGGTCAGCATTGATGGGAGGTTCAAGGACTCGTCGACAGTGGCCGGCATTCTGACTATGTTGCAAGACTCATTGTGGCCAAATGGGTCGTTCCGTAAGTCAGGACCTCCTCGAACCTTATTGGAGAAATCTAAAACTAAACAGCACGCTAGAAGAATTTTGGAATTCTTCATCATTGATACGTGCTCCAAGATTTTTGGAGTTTCCAATTCCAGATTGGCTGCAGAAACAACGTTTCAAATTCTGCAGAACCAGACATTGAACAGACACCTGGTTCTAACGATCCTACAAGAGGTTTTGGAGACTGTCTTCCCAGAGATTGAAAGATGATCACTTGATTTTTCTGATAGGTCTCTCTCGCGAGTTCTTTTTCGTGTCCCATATTTTGAGTTTGCGGATCTCGAGCTCTGCGCGCTTTTTAATGAGCAGCTTTTTGAGCTGATTCTTTCGTTTACGATGTTCCAGCTCCGCGGCCCATTCTTGGTGACGATCCTCTTGCTGTTTTGCGGTTAGTGTCTGATCAAACACAGGTTTTTTGAGTTTAGGATATTTCAGACTCATCAATTTTGCCATTTCCAAATACGCATGGTAATCTTTAGCCTGCTGTGCGACACTCAACCAGTTCAAAGGACCAGTGTTTTCTGAGCTCACACAAGCTTTCCTTTGCTCAATCAACTTGTCAAAAACGTTGTTGATCTTTGTGAATAGCTCTGTTTTAGCTTCTTGCGGAAGATCTACCGGGGGATCGAGAACGGGAATATACTTGACTGTAGAAGCATTTTTGTCTCGAGTTCGTGCCGCCGCGTTCGAAAGATTAAAAGCATGTATTTTATGGTATATTTTTTGCTGGAATACTGCTCGCAATTGCAGCTCCAGTTCCTCTTTAGCGTCGGTAGCAGGTGGCACATACTCCAAAAATTGCTCCTTAGGTGTCTCCTTATTTTCGTTGCAGATTTCGCGAAAGGGTACTGTATGGCGTTTTCGTGCGTCACCATGGATGTTACACTCATCCACATACTCCCTGCTTGCCATAGGGACCGGAACCTGTTTTTTGGGTAATGGCCAGCTACTGAAACGTCCGTTGGCGACAAAGTAGTCTCGCGAAGCTAGCATTTTCACCATATACAGGTGTAACGCGAGGTCAGAACAGAATGATGAGTCCAGGTTGGCAATCACTTCGTGAGAGTCCTTTCTAATTCGATTTAAGTGCTTGTCATTGCTGTGGTGAATTTCTGGGAAGTCCTGGATATGCTCCTGAGCATCTTCAAAATTGTCCGAGTCTGAATCAGACATTAAAAAATACAAGTTATATCTTTTTTTTTTCCAATGCCTAAACTCGAGGATATAGAAGACATCGAAGATGTCGACGATTTGGATATGGATTTGGCCGAGTTCGATCCTGACTTGAGAACCCCCATTGCACCTGCCAAGCCCAAACCAAGCGTGGTGAGAAGTCAGGACCAGGAGCCTCCAAGTTTTCAGCCTTCGTTCAACAGCAAGACATCTGACATCCGACAGCAAATGAGGACCCACGACCAACTTTCAGAGGAAGAATTGGCAGAGTTGAAAAGCATGCAGCTGATATACCCATGCTATTTTGACCTGAACCGTTCAGTGAAGGAGGGGAGACGGGTGCCCTTGGACCACTGTGTTGAAAACCCTCTTGCGAAAACTATTTTGGACGCATGCCGCCACCTCAACCTAGCAGCTGTGCTGGAACCTGAAAAATCCCACCCACAAGATTTTGGAAACCCAGGAAGAGTCAGAGTGGGGCTAAAATACAAAGGCCAACAAGTCAATCCTACCATTAAAACCAAAAGAGCTCTGTTACTCAAAATTTCAGAATACCTGGAAAATCATCCTACCACTTTGGACACTGTCAAGGAGCTTCCAGGTCCGCCAGAGCTAATGCAGGGATACGAGCCTATGGAGGTGAGTAAGGTAAAGAAGTTCAAGATGAACACCATTGTTCCACTACATTCTCCCTTGACGATGAAAAATCCTCAAACGGCGTCGGCATATATCAAGACTCCACAAACAGGGACATCTGCACCCAAGATTCCAAAGCCAAAGGTGCAGAGAATCAGGGCATAGAGAGCGGTATATCAGAATCTATTTCTCAGTACGATTATTTAGCAGTAGCAGGAACATATTGCTGACGGTACCCTAAAATCATGTCTAATTGCTCTTTTGTGAGCTGGTCCTTTAGATTCTCAATTATGTCGTCCAGACAGACAATAGACAAAACAGGAACGTTGTATCTTTTGGAAACAGCAGCGGTTGCGCTTTGGTCGGAGTCTTTGACCACTTCCTGTCTGTCCAAAGCGATAATGCAACCAATGGCCTGGCCATTTTCGTTCTTGATGATGTCAAACGCCTCACTGATGGCAGTTCCGGCGGTCATAACGTCGTCAATGATCAGGATCCTCTTGTCTTTCAGCGGACAGCCCACTATCATTCCACCCTCTCCATGGTCTTTCTTCTCCTTTCTATTGAAAGAGTAGCCAACATTGGCGTACTTGTCGCCACCGAGTTCATAAAGTTTGACAACAGTAATAGCCGCAAGTGGAATTCCCTTGTATGCTGGACCAAACAGGACATCAAACTCCAATCCCGACTCAATGATGGTCTGGGCATATGCTGTGGCCACATTGCTCAGAGCAGCAGCTGTTGAAAATTGGCCCATGTTGAAAAAGTATGGCGACGTTCTGCCAGATTTCAGAGTAAAACTGCCAAACTTCAAAGCCTGCACATCAAGAGCATCTTTCAGGAACTTAACTTTGTAGGACATATTCGAAACTAAAATATTTTTTCATAAATCTCAATCAAATAGGGGATGGACGATACGGCCACCACCTCCGCAATCCTGGACATTCTGTCTTCAATATGCCTCTCTTCAGGACACTCCAATGTCAAGAAGCATGTCTCGCCTTCCTCTTTACGCTCGCATCTTCCACACGTTTTGCCCCAATCGACTCCAAAATCTGTGAACAAAAGGAAATTGTCAAACTCTTCGGACCCGCTCATACTGAACAAATCGCCAAAAGTCAACAGAAGCGGAGGAACAGACCCATTCAACAAGAATACGCTTGATGAGCGAATCAACTCGTTCAATATCCTTAACTGGTCCTTCGAGGACGATAAACTGAATCCCCTCGAATGCGCGGTGAACGGCTGGCAATGCCACAAGCGAAAAAACGAACTTCTTTGCCACTACTGCAATGCGGTATTGCTGATCCGCTTGAACGAACAGAATGACAAGAATAAAATCGTTACAAACTTTCTGTTTGTGGAAGACGAGGAAGCAGAAGAGCAGTTTTTCAAGGTGCGCGAACAGCTGATAAGCTCGTATCTTCGTCGGCTACGTACAGATCACTATCCGGGGTGCATGTGGAGGAACTCCAATTTGGATATAGAGCTGGTCAGAAAGCAATACCATCTCAAGATTAGTGACATGAATGAAATATTAGAGCAATATCAAGGTAATCTTGAAAACCTGATCGATCACCAAGACATTATTATGCTGAAAAGCTACACCACAGACATAGTAAATAAGTCGCAAATTGAGATTTTGCAAGCTTATAACTCAACAAACTTGATACTTTCCATGGTTGCTCTTTTTGGATGGGAGCTAAAACAACAGAAATTTGGATCAAAGAATTTGGCACTCCTCAAATGTCATAAATGCACAAGGCGAATACTGCTGGGGGAATCTGAAAATCTTGACCACACGGAGCCGCTCAAGTCTGTCAGCTATCCAGCCGAGATTAGCAATGAAGACTCTGACATCAACCTGCTCGCAGAACATGAACACTGGTGCTGCATGGTAACTGAATTTAATAACTTGAAAGGATATGAAGTGGTGTTGAGAATCCTGCAAAGCGTGTCTTTATCGGACGGCTACGAAAGCATGGAGGTCGAGCAAGATCATTCGTACACTTTCGACTCCACGATGGCGCTTCTTCGTGAGTTCAGCTAAACATATCAAGCATAAACCATAATCATCATAATACTACTTAATTTCTCTTTTGGTACACGTCTTCAGGATTCAAAAGCGTGCCAAACACACGATCCCAGAATTTGCTGGTGACACCAAAACCAAGCTCATAGTTTTTATAATGGTGCTCCAAATGGTAAGTCTTGAGATCCTGGAGGTATTTTGGGAGCTTGGCATGATGGAGAATATAATGAGTGCAGTCATAAAGAATATAGCCAAGAAATCCTCCAGCGAATCCGGAGCAGGCAGCATAGTAAGGCAAAATTGCAAACACAAGCTTGTAGAACGGATAGCACAAAACAATAAATAGTGTTGGTGGCATCACCAGTCTTTTCTTGTCCATAGGTAGGTAGTGGTGGACACCGTGCAACAGAAAGTGAACAGTAAATGCAAGCTGGTGTTCTGGAAGGTAGTTATCAATGTGGAAAAGGAACCGATGCATGACATATTCAATCAAAGTCCACACGAATAGACCCAGAGCCCAGAGAGCCAGTGCCAAGAATTTGTTCTGGTTGACAAATCCGATGTAGAAAACGTAGAAGTTGACTGGAAGCCAAATAAGTGGAACCACATACCAAGGTGTCACCGAAAGAGGCTCCAAAAAGTTTCCGAAAAGAGGGGCCGAGCCTTTTCCGTAGTGTCTAGGTCTGTGAACCTGGTCAAGGTAAAATTCCTTGGTCCAGTTGGCAGTGAGGACCTGAATCAGTAACGGTTTGTTGAGATCCAAGAATTTGTGCTTTCTATAATCTTCGTCAACATCTGTCCTAACGCTCAACAGCTGCTCCGAAGGCAGCTCACCAAATTCAGTCAAATCAATTGTGTCCGGAATCACTTCCATGTTCTGATGCTTAGAAAGAAGTTCCTCTTCCTCTTCTGGTGTAGCCAAGTATCCGATAAGCATTTCGTCATTCAACATCTCGTAGACGCTCTCGGAATGTGTGTGACTGCTAGGATCGGCAAGAATTTGGGTGATGTCTTTGCCAGCATATTCCAAAATTAGTTCACTGCCGGCCGGGTGTTCATCAAGAAAGTTAGTGACATCGTAGATATTTCTATTGTAAAGAGTCACCCAGCATGACTTAACAGTAGTATGGGCCTCAAACTGTTTGCGAGACACGAGTGGCAAACGTCTGTTATTCATCGGGCTATGATGTGAAAAAAGATCACGCTATTTTCTTATAAGCGAGGGAGAACAAGCAAATCAACACCGATGACGTTGAAATACGGTGACAGATGTTTGTATGAGGTGCAAATCAAGAGTGACTAGATAATTTGGAATCAAGAACGGTCCTTGATTTTGTTTCTTGATGAATAAATTTCTGCTGTTTGTTTGTATTCGCTCCGCCCGGTATCTACAGCGAATTTTTTTTTTATTTTTTTTGCAGTCGCGACGATCGGCTTCGCCCTTGAAATTTGAGTTTCCGTTACGAAAACTTTGTGAACATGATGAATCATATCCTTGCCCTAAGCAGACAGCCCTCTCGGCGTGCTCTGAGCACCATATCGCAAACAAAGATCAAAACCTTACCGAGTGGGATCAAGCTGGTGGTAGATGAGACTCCCAGTCATTTCAGTGCTGTCGGACTATATGTTAATGCCGGCTCCAGATTCGAAGATAGATATGATCTAACAGGGTGTTCTCACCTGATGGATAAAATGGCATATAGAAGCACTACTGAAATGTCTGGAGCGGAAATGGTGGAGAAACTTAATCACTTGGGTGGCAACTATATGTGTGCGTCATCAAGAGAGACTCTTATTTATCAAGCAAGCGTATTCAACCAAGATGTGGACAAAATGTTTAAACTCTTGAGTGATGCAATTGCCAGACCAGCATTGCTAGACGAGGAGATAAACGAGCAAATCAACAACGCGCGGTATGAACTGAATGAGCTGTGGCTTCAAAGCGACATGATACTGCCAGAACTCCTACAACAGACGGCATACAACGGCAAGAATCTGGGTTGTCCTCTGCTCTGCCCTCAGGAGGAGTTGGACAATGTGACATCGGCCAAATTGCGCCAATATAGAGACTTGTTCTATAGACCCGATCGACTGGTGGTGGCTATGAGCGGTGTACCTTTTGAAAAAGCCGAAGAACTTACATTGAAAAATCTCGAAGATTTCAAAGCCAGAAATAGCACAGAGATTATCAAGGACCCAGCAGTGTATACAGGGGGAGAGTTCTCGACTCCTTACCCTGAAGAGCTTGCTTACATGGGTCAAGAATTTCATCACATCCATGTTGGCTTTGAAGGTGTGCCCATTCAAGACGAAGAGGTCTACAAGCTCGCTACCTTGCAAATGCTCATTGGGGGAGGTGGCTCATTTTCTGCTGGTGGTCCTGGAAAAGGAATGTACTCTAGAGCATACACGCGAATCCTGAACCAGTATGGATTTGTGGAGTCGTGCAAATCTTTCATTCACAACTTCAGTGACAGTGGGTTATTCGGCATCTCTTTGAGTTGCATTCCACAGGCGAACCGTGTGATGGGCGAGCTGATTGGATTTGAGCTCTCGCTTTTAATGGAGGATAATGCCAGAAATGGCGGAATCACAGATAGCGAGGTCGAACGATCCAAGAATCAGCTGAAGTCGTCCTTGATGATGAATTTAGAAAGTAAGATGGTCCAATTGGAAGACATGGGTCGTCAAGTCCAGATCTACGGCAAACGAGTCGACGTACTCGAGATGTGCGAAAAGATTGATAGAATCACCAGACATGACCTTATAGATATTGCCAAGAGGGTGCTTACCGGAAGCAAGCCAACCATTGTTATCCAAGGCGATAGGGACTCTTTTGGAGATGTTGCGGAGACTCTGGCCAAGTCCGGTTTGGGAACTGATAAGAAAACAAAGAAGGGTTGGTTCGTGTAAATAGTTAGTTTTCTAGCCATTCAGAATCATTCAATGCTTGATGGAAATGTTTTTCTATATTTTGGTGAGCTTTTTGTCGTTCAGAGCTCTGTTTCTCGTATTTGTGTATAGTAGTCTTTAGCCCGGTTTTGAAGGAAGAGAAAACCTTTTCATCCTTCTCTGATACCTTTGTCGTTATTTGCACCATTTGATTCCCCACATGAGCACTCGGAACTCCATGTATCTGGCGGCTCCAGTGCGCCTTTTCGTCCTCCTTGAATGACATCGTAGTCGACTTTAGCAAATCTGGGTGAAAGGTAAATTCTACGGTCACTTTATAGCCGGACTAAGCGATTACGTAATCATGACCCGAGGATGGTATGAGCTAGGACACAGGATCTGGAACTCGAATGGTGATATCGTTGAGTACATAGTTGCAATGGCAGCTGGTTGACCTTGCCAACAAAACGGAATTTTTATCATCTAGATTAAAAGTGACGCTTAACTATCAAACCTATCAATTCTATTCTTTGATCTCCACGCACCGTCCTACGCTAACTACTCTACAGATAGCTCCATCTGCAACAATAAGAACAATATATTAACTTGGTAGAGCGCTATGTGGTATTATGTGCTCAAGCCCTGCGTTTTCTTCCATTTAGTGATTCTCTTCTTCAACTCACCAGCACTGTGCTGAAAAGGATTGAGTTTCTTGTCCCATTTCATCTTTTCATAGTCGTCTCCATACTTATTGTACAGATCAGCTAGCCAATCAATCTCTCGCGCGCTCTGTTTGCGTTCCTTTACCACCTTGTGCTGGGCAAGCTCCTCAAGTTTCTTGACCACTTCCGTTGGAGGCTTTTCCTGTTCAATCTCCTGCGTTATTTTCTTTGTACCATAAATGACTTTGATAACATTGCCTTGATCATCACGGATAAGTTTAGCTGTTCCTTCAGGGATGTCTGATGGGTCCAGAGAGTCCTTGGATTCGTCTTTCTTTTCTTCTTCTTCCTCAGTCTCATCAACGACAAACTCATCATCGCTTTCGGGGAGCTGAGGGGTGATTTTCTTTTCGACTCCACCAGTTTGTTGTGACAGTCGCACTTTCAAACCCATTTTATCATAGTTCTGTGACAGAGACAACTTTGGATCCCAGTTTGCCGCAATGATGGAGTTCCCAAAATTCCTCACTTGCCTTTGTCTGTCCTTCAAGCGTCTCGTAGCCTTTTTGACCGACGATCTGGCCATCTTACGCTTACGAACGGACACCATGATCAGAAATGAAAAATAAGTTAGCACTTGAATTTTTTTTTTCTCCTGTTCCAGTCGCGTCGATCGTCGAGGACGCCGGCTGCTGATAATCTTCTACCCCAGATCATCTTGTGTCAATGTCAGAAAGCGAACAGCTTCCACAACAACCCAGACTGGCCCCTAACCAGCCTAGTAACCAGCAGGAAATTGATTCGCGGTCTGTTTATTTGGGCAATGTGGACTATTCCGCACTACCCGGGGATCTGAAGGAGCTACTTGATGATTGTGGGGTCATAAACAGAATTACCATCCTGTATGATAAACACACTGGAAAGCCTCGTGGATACGCTTTTGTTGAGTTTGAAACGCACGAAGGGGCTCAAAAAGCTGTTGCCATGAACGGCACAGAATTCCGCGGACGTGCTTTGACAGTTACTCCAAAACGGACTAATTATCCGGGAATCACCAATGCCAGACAGTATTCAGGTGCACCCCCACACAGACGCAGGGGACGCAGTGGCCGCAGTACTGCCTGGAGAGGGCGTGCACACCATTTGAGGGAAGACGATGCTAATAACGAGGAGCCCGCGAAGACGTCACCCGATTAAATAATGAGCAAGTGGCATATATTTCCTAAAACAACCAGACCCACAAAAATATCCAAAATATAACTGTGAAGAACAGGAGCCATATTTTCCAGCTTATTCCTGTCTTGTCGGCCATTATGGCCATCCGATTTAGGTTGGCCTTGATGCGGTTTTTGCTCAGTTCCATATCGCCTCCGAGAGCAGAGAGGTTGAATCTGCTTTTGTTGATTTCGTCGCCCATCATCATGGAGAGATTTTTCAAAGCTGTTATTTTGGAACCCAGTAGGTCCACAGTCTCGTCGTTCTGAGACTCGAGCTGTGACATTAGCGAAGCATTGTAGTCTCTTTTTTTTGCGTCTGCTGTATCGTAGGGGGAAGACGATCTAGCAAAAGGGTCCTCCTGACGGCGTAGATTATCCAGCGACGTGGCCGAAGATGTTTTGTACGTTCTTATTGGAGAGTGTGCAGCAGATACCGGTTGAGACACCGTGGAAAAAAGAGCTGTTCTTCCCTCACGCTGGTGCGCTTTTGAGGAATACCGACTAGACATTAGTTGAGGAATAATAATACTCACTTTGTGCTCATAAGAGTATCGTCGCGTCGAGAAAATATTATTCTTTTCTCCTATGAATTTACGTCAACAGCTGGGTTCGGGTCTGAGCATGGCCATGGTTTTAGCCAGCGCCTTTGCGTTCTGGAAGCTGTTTTCCATCGTGACCATGTCTAACTCTCCGATTGTTGTGGTTCTTTCTGGATCCATGGAGCCAGCTTTCCAACGAGGAGACGTGCTGTTTCTTTGGAATAGAGAAGAGTACGTCGGAGTAGGAGACGTTGTTGTCTACAAATTGCAAGAGAAAGATATCCCAATTGTGCATAGAGTTGTTAGAGAACACAGGGTGATGGAGAAGGATCGGAAAACAAAGAAAAAAGTGCAAAAACAGCTGCTCCTGACTAAAGGAGACAATAACGAGCGAGACGATTTACCATTATATGCTTACGGACAGCAGTATCTCGAAAGAGACAAAGATATTCTTGGAAGAGTATTTGGATACGTCCCTCTAGTTGGGTATGTTACGATCCTCATTACGGAGAACGTGTACTTCAAGTACGCCCTGATGGCATTACTCGGTCTCTCTGCGTTAGTACAGGACGAATAATAGTACACATATCTATATATCTCATTAATTTCTAGCCACCCCGTAACCCAGCGTCATTAGTCGTTTTCTGCGGTCCCCTTCGCCTTTTTGTCTTCCTTCTTCCAAAAGCATCTCTCTTATGAGTCGACAGTCGCTTTCTGATACATTGTCCACTTTCTGCGAAACAACTCTGGTGAACTCCTCAAGAGACATGTTTTCAGCAGTAGGAACTATGTGTCTCACCAAATCTCGCTTGGCTTTCAGAGTTTGGTTTTCCTTGTCAAGAATATCCCAATAGAAATCGATTGGAAGTGAGCCTTTTCTGCCGCAAAGATTGATGAATCGCGGATCATCCTTTATATATGGGAGAAGCTCATGCCATTTCAATTTTGCTGTGAACTCGATTTTTTGGCTTACCTCCTCCAAAAGCTGTCTGAAACCGTCTCTGGCCTTCCTATCTGCTCTGTGATTTTTTTTATTGTGCTCAGCGACAGTGGCCTGGAATGATCGCTCCAACTCGTTCATGATACTCTCATAAATTGTGAGCACATCTAGTTTGTTCAAATGGGGCAACCGCTCCATATCCAGCGTCTTGAAAGCACCGTCCACCTGCGACCTCGGGGTGAGCTCTGCTCGCAGAATGACCTCCACTTCCTCGAGCTGTTTACGCCTGGCTTCCCTAATCTCCGCCTCCCGCGCACGCTTCAACTTACCGACGTACTCCTCAAAAAATTCCCGTTTCATCTTGGGTGGTATAAGTGAATAAATAGGCTCATCCATGATGAGTTTCGCACATGTGTTCCATCGGGTGTAGTACTTTATATCGTAATTGTCCAGAACCTGGAAAAATGCATTTCTGTAACTCTCGCGCGAGTTTTCCTTTTCTCGAAACTCCTCATCGGCTTTTCGAAGCAAATAAACCTCAAAGCATTCCTTCCTCGTAATCGAGTCAGGTAAAGTCCAATACCGCTTATCCACAATGCACCGCTCCATCACCTGCTGGAATGTCCAATCTGTTCCTACAGAGTATTCGTCCAGCATTTGAACAAATTGATCTGTTTTTGCGTCTGCATTCTTCTCCCATCTGAGCTCCTCGTCCGTAAAGAAACTGCTTAGATCCACAATCTTTGTAGAGTCAAATACCTTGTCACCATTCTCCTGGGCCGGTTCCGGCTCTTCAGCAGCTGTGGGGTCTAAGAGTTTGCGCACCTCGTCGGGAAGTGTCCAAACACTCTCCTCTGTTTCCTCGTTGTAGTAGTAGACCTCGCCCTCGTCAGTGAAGTATCGCTGCCATTTTGACTTCTCTAAGGCAGCGTCAACCCTGCTCTCCTTCAAGTCTTCAGGCCTCTCCCACTGCGTCTGCTCAGTGTCTGAGTTGTAGTAGTAAACACGGCCTTCCTCGTCTACCACTTCGCTCCACATACTCAAGGACTTGGAAAATTATTTTTTTCGTGCGACACCCATCTCTTCCGAATAACAGCAAATACCTCTTTATTACCAAATGGTAAGTTTAGGCATCTGTGGTGCTAACATCAGTCTCAATCCCTCAAACCGTATCTCACAGCAGTTAGGCACTCGCTGAATGTGGCACTCTGTCTGGAGAACTTTTCTTCTCAGATCGTTGAGCGTCACAATTATCCCGAAGTGGAAAACAAGAAGACAACAGAGGTGCTGCTAAACCCTATGATGATATCAAGAAACGAGAACGAACGCGTACTCATTGAACCAAGCATCAATTCTGTGAGAGTGTCCATCAAAATCAAACAAAGCGATGAAATAGAGAGTATCCTGGTCGACAAGTTCACCAGATTCTTGACCAAAAGAGCAGAGAACTTTCTAATTCTCAGAAGAACGCCAATCCCAGATTACGATATCTCGTTCCTGCTCACAAATTACCACAACGAGGTGATGATGAAGAATAAATTGATCGACTTCATCATCGAATTTATGGAAGACGTCGACAAAGAAATCAGCGAGATGAAATTGTTCCTCAATTCCAGAGCGAGATTTGTCGCAGAAGCATATCTGAGCGTGTTCGATTAGCCATATAACCTCCTTAGAAAATCAAATACAATCAAAACTAAAACATGTAAGAACCGGAGAATTATCCTGAACAGCCTGCAGAGTACGGACTTTGCATCGCACACCCGGTCCACCCTTCTCATAAGTACCCGCAGGCAAGGGCTTTTAAAGTGCCCTTTTCATTGTAATCGTAATCCTCTTGGCAGGCGTAGCTGCTAACCTCGATTCGTATATTTCCAATCTGTACGTCGTGCTCCCACTCTACAAGCTGGACGAACTTGTTGTGGCGATAAGAAGTTGTGCCGTTGGTAACCCGGACTTCAAACTGGCCTGGCGGAAAATGAAGCTCTGGTAAGTAAATCACGGTCGGGGCCATTTTTTGCGACTGGACTCGGGTATTTATTTCCATCACAAATGTGACCGTTTTGAGGTCAAACTCGCTGAATACCACTATTCCATTCACCAGAACACCATACGGCCGCACAACAGCGGTCGCAGCACGGGTTCCATTCAACAATGAAATGACCTTGTTTTCGAGCTCGATCTCTTCCTCGAGAGCTTCTGATTTTTTAGATGTGGTATCCAGACTGGACGATGAATTTGTTATCCACTCTAGATAAGTGCCAATTGATTCGGTACCATATGCTCCAGCCCGCATCCAGTATCCATTTTTTCTGTCATCTACGTCATCCTTGGAATACAGCGAAAAATCCTCCAAGTTCCAGTTGTCTCCCCATTTGTGACAATTGCGCGAGTTATAGCACCAATAGGTACTGTTGAGGTTTGTGTGTTCGAGCGCTGACTGTAATGCATCGTTTGCACTTTCCTGAGAGCTGTAATCGCCATCAGAGTACGCTTTCTTGCAATCCATATCAAAGGGCATTCCGGTTTCAGTGACTATCACTGGCACACTTGGACCAACTGCTTCATTTGCCTCTCGTTTGAGCTGTGCAAATTGATTCCTGAGCGACTTGCGAATGTTCTTTTCACCAAAAACCAGCCCGAAAATAGGATTAACGTATTTGCCCCGCAAAATACCCAATGTATCCACGTTGTATCTCCGATTCCATGTCTGGAACATAAGTGACATTCCATCATAATAATGCTGTGCAATTGCTGTTCTGCTATCAATATGAGGCGTTCCTTTCACAGCAGGAGGAATTGCCATGACTGGATGCTGCATTATCACGTACAAATCACCGTCGACTTTCCTCACCATGCTCTTCCATTTCCCCCAAAAATCAACAAAAAGGGTATTGATGAACGTTTTATCATCCAAGGTCTCACCTGTATTTGGGTCTGTGCTAAAATAGTTAGGAATGAGAGCTTGGCCTGACTGAGGATCCCATACATGGTGCTGTGCAAAAATACACTCCCCAAGCTTCCAGTCTGGACTTCTTTCGAATTTATAATGCTTGTCCATTTTATCGTCACTGACCCATGCCTTGACTCCGTTTGGATCAATAAGCTTGGTGCCATTTTTGCGGGGCCCAAACACAGAGAGCGAATAAACATCCACTTCTTGTGGCAACCCCATTCCAAGCCTCATACCCTCTATTGGCTTCGGACATGTTCCCAGCCTTAATTCCTGGGATGGGGGGTATTGCTCAAGATCAGGATACCCGTAGTAGCCAGAGTTTGGCTCGTTTAACGACTCTACTCCAAGTAACGTTTTGTTCAAAAGCTCTGGTGCTTTTTGCCTAATGGAGGACAATAGGAAAGACATGGAGTCCAGAAAATGGGATTGCAGAAAGTCCTGAATGTTCATTCCGTTAATAATGGCTTTGGGAGCGAACATAGAACCGGCAAAAAAGAGCGTAAACATGACTTGGGTTGCCATCCTGAAATAGTTTGTCGCCCAAACCATTTTTTGGTAATTCTGTGGATCAGCAGCGAAATTGTGTATGAGGGAGGCTTCAGTAGTAGGGAAATTGCGAGGTTCAAGCCCAGCAGCATACAGAGTCCAGAGTGGAGCACCGCTGCCGCCAGTGAACCTAGACCAAACATCTTGGTGCGGATCGATGAACACGTAGAGACCGCCAATTTCATTGATCTTGCGCAGCAGCTCTATAGTGTAGTCAATATAATCGGTATCATAAATTCCGGGGCCTTCATGTTCAATTGCTTCCCAAGTGACAATGTATCGGATCGTGTTGTAGCCCCAAAGTTTTATACGCGTCAGATGTTCATAAGCTTCTTCCAGTGGAAAGGGCTTCCCAACAAAGGAAACACGATCTGCCTCCTGCCAGAAACCACACTTATTAGGCTTCGAATAAGAGTACTGCAATGGGTTCTGGGGCATTTTTGAGGAAGAGTCAAGATTGATCCCGCGTAGAAGCACTCTTCTCTTTGTGGCCGCTTCAACAAAATTGCCGTAGTTGTCATGGGACAAGGGCTTCGTTTCCAAAACACTGTTAAGAGAGGCAATAGAGTGTTTGTGCATCGGAAGTGGAGACTCTTTGTCGGGTTGTGATGAGTCTGAGGAGTTAGGTAGGGGTATATATCCCTTGGAATTCATAAAGTGGCTTCGAAGTTTAGAATGGAAAGATCGTAGACCCAAATTCAAACTGCAGTTGATGACGGCAATGGATCGGTATCACAACAATAATCTGATTTCCCCATCTTGCCGCTTCAAAATCGCCGCGTCGATCGGCTCGTACTTGGTATTTCTTACTTCCTATGCTCACTCGACGAGTTTTAGCGGTCAGCACCATTTTGGCCCTGACATCGCTGGCAGGCGCCAGCACCGCAAATTCTACCTGCCACCTTGTACATTCATTGCCAAATTATGAACAATGCAACTACGCTTTACAAAACTGCGCCGATCACCAGGTAGGACAAATCAATTATTTCTACCTCTACTACTGCACCAGCTCTTCAACGGCCATAAGAGACTGGATCGTTCTTCCTTTCATCTTCGCTATATTGTTTTATTTGTTTGTGTTTTTGGGCATTACTGCTGGCGAATTTCTCTGTCCTAACCTTTCCGTTATTTCCAATTATCTCACTATCCCGGAGAATATATCTGGGCTGACTCTGCTGGCCTTCGGAAATGGATCCCCAGACATTCTGAGCACCTACAGCTCTTTCCAAACCGCAAATGCGTCTCTGGCTATTGGTGAACTTATTGGATCTGCATTCTTCATCACCGGTTTTATTATCGGAGTTATAACGATTACAATGCCATTTGAAATTCTTCCTCAAGTCTCGGTTGCGGATCAGGTTTCGAACAACCTACTAATATCGAGTGCCAAATTCGTGTATTTACGTGATTTACTATTTTTCCTGCTTTCAATTACCACGCTACTTGCTTTCTTATCGAATGGACATTTATCGAAAACAAAGCTGAACATCCTCGTTGCCATATATATCTTCTATGTGCTTGTGGTGCTCATTTGGCAATATCTGATTACAAAGAAAAGGCGAGAGCTTGTCCAGGACTATCAGATCAGAAACTTATACAACGATGAAGCATTTATCACGATGGATGGAGACAATTTGGAATTTGAAGACTCTTATACCTTCAATCCAAGAATCCTTAACAGCATTGAGTTTGGAAATGTTCTGGAGATGCTAAGCGAAAATCAGTCGGTGCCCGTCAACATCTCACGGCTTGTAAACGACGCGCAAAACTACGAATCAAGGCTGCTGGAGCACGAAATTAATCTGGAGGAGGAGCCCGAGTATTCATCAAAACCACTGAAAACCATCTTTGGCTACATTTCATACCCACTGGTTCTCCTACTAAAGTATACGATCCCAATGATGTCACTGTCGGACTTCAACCAGACAGTCAAACCGTCATTTACCAGACTAATGGAGCTTTTGTGCTCTTTGTCATGTGCACAATTTATCATCATTTATTCGTTCGCTGAAAATGCTTCATGGGGCACGTACGCCATCTTTTTAGTCCTCACTACCTTAACTGTTGCTGGCGTTTACTATAACGTCACCAGGGCTAACTCACAATCCAATTTGGTCAAGCTTTCCATCTGTATTATAGGATTTATTACAGCCATTGCATACATAGCATTCATTGCGGACGAACTGATCAACGTGCTCAAGTTCATCAGTGTACTGACACAGCTTTCTGACGCAATAATGGGGTTGACTATTTTCGCAATAGGAAACTCTGTCGGAGACCTGATCTCTAACCTTGTCATAGCCAATGTCGGCTATCCCTTGATGGCACTGGCAGCATGCTTTGGAGGCCCCTTGCTGAATTTACTCCTTGGGATTGGTGTCAATGGGAAGATCATTGGCGAAGTCGACGTCAACATGAAACCCAGCTTGTACTTGACTTGTCTCTGGATCCTCGTCAACCTCGTGTTTATGCTCATTTACATTCCATACAAGGGATGGAGATTCACAAGGGACGCTGGAATTTTCATGGTTTCCGTGTGGGTTATCGGAACTTTCCTGAATATCGTGCTAGAGCTTGTTTAGAAGAAATCGTCCTCTTGTAAGTACTGTAGTAACTCCTGTTCACGTTCTTTCGAATCCACATCCGTTTTCACTTCGCTTCTATTGGTGTTCATCGGATAACGCATGGCCCGCACACAGTCATTATGCAAAGACATGCAGAACTTAATTCTTCTGTCAAATTCTTCCTGCGGTGCCTTGGTCGAATAAATGTTCAGCATCTCATTTGATTGCATGTACCCATCCTTGTGGTCAATCGTGGCATCAACGACTCCATCCTTAATAGCTTTTGCAACAATGTATTCAGCACTAAGTTCGCTATCAAGATGCAGCTTGATGCAGATGTCTTTGAGAGAAATCTTCTTGTAAGACAACGAAATAATTCTAATACCTGTCTTAATCACATTCTGCCTCAAGCGCAACACAAGGTTGTAATTGTCATCCTTCTTAAGTGCAGAGCCAAACTTGCTCAGGGCTTCGCTGAAAAGGTTCAAGTCGCCCAATCTCACAGCCCTGGTCACAGCGAGGTATGGGATGAGGCTCTTCTCGAGAGAAAGATCGCGAAACGTTGATAGCTCTGGGATCTCACCCGTCAGTAACTGGATCAGAATATTGAGTTTGGTTGCTGCTTGCAAAAATCCAAGAGCAGATTTTGTCTGTGGACACTTTCTGATAGCGGTAATGGCGCATTCACCTGCGGCAGAGTAGTCCAGCTGAATTGTCTGGATTCTGGCCAAGTAGTAGTAGTATCTGGCAACGACAGAGTTGGACACATCTTCCGGAAACTCGGTCTTTTCGACAAGGTTGTATGCTTGATTAATGTCATTTGAAAGAAGATATGATCTCAAAAGCAAGGTGATTGTAACAGCTCGGGTCTCGTTGTCGTATCTCAAAGTAGAGGTTCTCAAGGCAGACTGCAGTGCAGGACGGATTGAGACTGTATCTTTGAGAACTTCTTTGGATCTGAAAATGTAGAACCACATTTTCGCAGAGATGTGATCAAGGGTTCTCTCATTGTGGCTAGCAAGTGCAATGATGCATTTCTCGTTAAATAGTTCCAACCTATTGAAGTCCTGCTTGTCGTGGAGGAAGATTTGCACCAACAGATGAATGAACAAGTCGATCTCTGGTCTTGGAGCTTCCGCAACGTCTTCCTCAACCATTTCGACATCCTCAAAATCAGACAAAACCTGAATGAGATATTCGTAGTGAGGATGAGAGCTTGGGAATGTCTCCTTGACAACTTTGATCAACGATCCAGCGTCTAGCTCTTTCCTCACGGGAGTAAGCTCACGAAACACCTTCAACACGTATCTTGGATCATACTTGACTGCAGACTGCTCCACGAGTGCCAAAAACTGATGAATTCCTACAGATGTTAGTGAGACTGCGGTTACATCTCGGTACTTACTTTCCACAACGTCCATTGAGGGCTCAGTATTCTGCATAGTTTTGTATTTCTTGTAGATAATTATTTCAGTGGCGAACTTCGACAATTTAGTATGATTTACACACGACCCAATATTTTTATGATATATTTACCATGAATCGGAAAGGATTGCTGTCGTTTGATCGCAATGCAGACCAGCAGACTAAGTTCCAAGATCTGGGACAGGCCATGCTGAGGCAGCGTGAGGAGCAACTGAGAACACAGCTCCAGGTGTTCCAAAATGCGTTGGTCAGCTTTAAACAGGAGCACAAGAAGGAATTGATGAAGAACCCACATCTGCGAGCGCAATTCAGCCAGATCTGTGAAAGTTTTGGAGTCGATCCACTCTATATGACTGCCGAAGACGACCTTGATCCTGAAGAAAGAAATAATAGACTTGCCATTAGAATATATGAGATATGTCAAGCAACTAGAGACCTGTATGGGGGTATAATATCTGTGGATGAGGTGATCCAGCTGTTGACTAGCACTATCCAGGATGGCTGGCAATTCAAACTGGACCACCATGATGTGCATGTTGCCGTGGAGAGCCTGAAAGTGCTGGGAAATGAGTTGGAACTGGTCAAAATCGGACCCAAGATGTATATTAAGTCAGTGCTCCAGGAGTTTAATGCTGATCAAAGCCAAATACTGACAGCTGCAGACAACATTGGGTATGTCACGGTTTCGATCCTGCGCGACAATTTCCGCTGGAAAACAGCAAGATGCAAATCAAATCTGGACGACCTACTTTCCATCGGGCTGTTGTGGATTGACGATCAAGCAGATGAAAGATGCTATTGGTCAACAACATGGATTAACAAAGGTCATTAGTGCGAAATGTACTCGAAGGCATAGCTGACAGAATCGTATTGAGACTCATTTTGCATCAAAAAGTCATCATTCTTTGCAAGATCTTCACGATCGATATGATTCCATGTGGTGGCATCTCCATACAACATCGCAGCTGACTTCACTTTTTGCTTGCCGCTTTGACAGCGCTTGCACTTGTAAGTATCATGCGTTTCGCAGGGCGTTTGATCATTGTACAAAAACAACTGTTTCAAATTTTCGCTGGAAAACTGTCTTTCCACGTCTTCGTTGGAGTCCACAACGCATGTCGAGAGTTCCATCTTAGCTGATTGACGTTGGAAGATCTTTTCCTCTATAGTACCCGTCGCAATAAATCGATAAATAAAGCAATTTTTCTTCTGGCCGTCTCTCCAAACTCTTGCCAGAGCTTGTTGGTCGCTGGCAGGATTCCAGTCGGGATCTAATAAAATCAGCCTATTGGCACCAATAAGGTTTATACCACACCCTCCCGCTTTGGAACTTAGCAAGAAAACAAATTCATCAGCGTTTGGATCGTTGAACCTGTCCACCAATTTTTGACGTTTGTTGATTCCCAACGACCCGTCTAATCTCACCGTTCCAAATCTATGGTGTCTGCAAAGTTTTTCTATTAGATCCAATGTTTGTGTGAAGTTGGAAATAAGCACAATTTTGTCATCTGTTTCTTTGCGAATTTTGAAGAGGAACCGCTCTAGCATGGCAAATTTGCCGCTGTACCATGTTTGAACGTCTTTGTTTCTTCCGTTCCCAAAGTCGTAGTCATCCGGTATAATATTCTCGGAACCTGAGATGTCGTTTGGCAAATCAAGCAGACGAGGGTGTGTGCATAGTTTCCGAAGAAGGCCAATAGCTTTCAGAGGCTGGGATCCCAAACCTCTAATGAGCTTATTGATTTCTGGAGAAGTGACAAAATGACGGTACAGCTTAGATTGGAGCTCGCTAAGGTTGCAAAACACAACGTATTCGTATTTGACTGGCAAGTATTTTGACAAAATATCGTTTGTTCTTCTGATTATGAAACGTGAGACCAATTCAGTTAGTTCCTGAAGCTTTTCGTCTCCTTTTTTCCGTTCTTCTTCCGTGGCAAGCGAATCTCTGCCACGAAGAATATCCAGCTCGTAATTCTTTCTGAATTGTGCACGGGAGCCCAGAACACCTGGATTCGAGAAGTTCAGCAACGAGAAGTATTCTGACAAATCGTTTTGGATAGGAGTACCAGACAGAATGACACGGCGTTCGCAGTTGAGAGAGTTCAAGGCCGTAAACGTCAAAGAGTCTCCGTTTTTGAGTCTGTGGCCTTCGTCTGCCAATATAAGACCAATCTCAGTTCCTTCCAAGTTCTCTACGTTTCGGCGTAACGTTTCGTAACTGATAATCAGGACAGGTCTGACAATGGATCGTCCTTTGGCACGAGCCCACTGTCTGAGCACCTCGGCCATGTCGCCGGCTCCTTTGGATCCCTTGCCATCCATTGCGAGGGAGTTCAATGTTCCCTTTCCAAGCCATTTGTCGATTTCGTTGGCCCAGTTTTTCACCAACGATGATGGACAAACAATAACGCATTTTTCAATTGTCTTTCTGCCTCGCGGTCCTTGTCTTAGAAGTGTCCACATAAGTGTTAGGCATTGAAGCGTTTTTCCAAGGCCCATTTCGTCAGCCATGATGCAACCTTTGGCTCTAGCATCCACCAGCCCTGCTGTGCAGCGATACAAAAACTTGACTCCTGCCACCTGGTGAGGCCTGAGAATCTTGGCGAGCTTTGGATCAATGACGACGGGGACGTTCGGGAACTGTTTCATGACTTCCTCCTCTGGACGGGTACTGATCCCCAAAATCTCGTTCAGCGACTTGTGTGCAGACTTTGCCGGTTTCTGCGGCTCTTCGGCAGCGGCTGCTGCCTTTGCCGCGGCCAAAGCAGCTTCTTCTTCCTCTTTCATGCCGGGAATCACGTCCACCGTAGGATCATAAAGAACGATGGCGTACTCTCCGAGTGGATCGTGGAGCGGTTTTGGGGGAAAGTATAAACGTTTTCTGTTTCCCAGAGGTGGTGGGGGCTGAGCGTTCATCAGCTCATACTCGTTGTCAGCACCCGACTTAATCGGGGCCTTGAACTTGCGCGTCAGAATTTTATTGGTTTCATCCATAGAGCTAAAGACATTGCGAGGCAATAGAGCACCTTTTTTCTTGTTCAGCCCATACTGCTCGTCTTCGTCTTTGGTTGACCCAAAAGGAATGTTCTCCTGCCCCAGTTCCGCATAGGATTGGGGACCTTTGGCACGGGCTGTGCGGATTTGCCTACCTGCAGCGGAGACAGCTGCAGACACCAGTATGGGGCTCTTGAATGGCTTGCAAAGTTTCTGCGACGGGTCCTCATACAGACGCTTTCGCTTTAGCGTGGGGGAGATTCCTGCACCGATACCGAGCTCGTTATCGGGCGAGATCTTGAACCTTCTATTATATGTCATGGGATCTGTAAACAAACACGCGAAAAATAATTTATCAACTTCACATCCATACACCGCGTTTCGAGAGACTGAAAAACCCCCCAGCTCTTGGCAAGCTGGCATCAGGTTAGGATCTCTAGTGCGGGCGAACCTGACTTTACGTGCCGAGAGGGCTTCCGGTGCCCTTGTTGCCAAGAATGGCAAGAGCCGCTCGTTAATAAGTTAACGACGCCGAGCCATGTGCCCTGCAGCGCTGCTGTCGGATACACGTGGGCTTGGATCGGGAAAAAAACAAAGAGAGCCGCTTGGCGAAAGCTTGTCGGAGATTGGCATTTATCTGGCACGGGCCACAGTTGGCAAATCATCTGCGTACACGCCTGTACGTGGCCCGCTTCACAAAGGAGATACTTTGTGAGATTAATTTGCGTTGCCGTGCATGGCTCATATTAGTTAAAGCCATGTGGGGTCAATTTGAAAATTCGATGATACCTCTCTCTGCTGCTCGCAAGAATATATAGCATGCAGTCCGCATTTGGAATTTCACTGCAAAATGGAAGACTCAAAAGCGGTCGAGGTCCAAGTGGAGACCTTCGACGCGGGATCTCATGTGATGGCGTACGATAAAGAGGGCAGATCCACCCGATTCGCCAAAAAGAAGTCTCTTAGTGACATCTTCACCATTATCTGTGCCGGTGCGGCCTTGTTGTCGGACGGGTACCAGAACAACTGTATGAACATGTTGAACTCTGTGTTTTCCCTCAAGTATCCCGAGACGTACGACAGCACGATGAAGACTCGGGTCTCCAACGCACTGCTCGTTGGAGCTGTGCTGGGACAGGTCGTGGTGGGCGTTACCGGAGACTACTTTGGCAGAAAATGGGCCATTCTCACCACCACCTTGATGATTGTGGTGGGAACCATTTTGGCGACTGCCTCCCACGGCGTCACTACCGAGGGCATGTTTTGGATGATGATCGTTGCAAGAGGTATTACCGGGTTTGGTGTTGGCGGAGAGTACCCTGCCAGTTCCACTGCTGCCTCCGAGTCTGCCAATGAGGCTACCAAAAAAAGAGGAGGCGTCTTCGTTTTGGTGACCAACTTGCCGCTCTCACTCGGTGGTCCGTTTGCCTTGATCGTGTTCCTGATAGTCTACCCTGCCACCGGCAGCGGTGCCCACCTGTCCACCACCTGGAGAGTCATGCTTGGAATAGGCTGCATCTGGCCGCTCGCAGTGTTTTACTTCAGGTTCAAGATGGCCACGTCCGTGCTCTACAAGAAGGGAGCTATCAAAAAGAACGTGCCCTATTGGCTCACGTTTAAGTACTATTGGCGCAGACTGCTGGGAACCTGCGGCTGCTGGTTTATCTACGACTTTGTCACTTTTCCGAACGGTATCTTCTCGTCCACCATCATCTCGTCGGTGCTGGACGACACGTCTGACCTGGAGAAGGTTGCGGAATGGAATCTGTTGCTCGCGATTATCAGCATTCCTATGCTGTTTGTCGGCGCATTCCTCACGGACAGAATTGGAAGGAAATACACCATGTGCATTGGTTTTGGTGGCTACCTTGTCATTGGTCTCATTATCGGCTGCTCGTACAAGAAAATCACCAAGATCGTGCCGCTCTTCATCATCTTCTACGGCATTTTCAACGGTTTCGGAAACCTGGGTCCCGGAAACATCCTGGGGCTAACTTCTGCCGAGTCGTACGCCACGCCTGTCCGTTCCACGTTGTACGGTCTCTCCGCTGCCTTGGGCAAAACTGGTGCTGCCGTTGGAACTCAAGCGTTCACCCCGATCCAGAACAACCTCGGAAAGCAATGGACGTTCATCATTGCTGCGCTCCTGGGCCTTACCGGTGTCATTCTAGCCTTCCTGTGTATTCCCCACGGTCTCGAGGATGACCTCATGCTGGAGGACATCAGATACTTCAGTTATTTGAGACGCCAAGGCTGGACGGGCGACTTTGGCTCCGAGGGCGAGATCGACAGCTACGAAAAAAAAGCGTCTGGCCTGGGTGACAATGCGATAATCGAGAAAACAGAAACCTTGTCTGAATCTAGCTAATATGTGAGTGGTGTCTATTTAATGCTGAACTTTTCAGATGACGTTGACCATCGGAGTGTAGTTTCTTTCATATTGGAAGTCAGGAACCCAAAGCTTGACTGTCAGACTGCTTAGATCCAGATAACTGTCGTCTAAACAAGACACGTTACCGGCTCCCAGAAGTTTCATGTCTCTGGTAATCTCCTCCTTGAGTAGCTGTGACGCTTTTTCAACACCTTTTTGGCCGTACACCTCACTATAGAGCATTGGCCGGCCAATTGCAGGTATTGCACCCAGACACAAAGCTTTTATCACGTCCGAGCCACGACTGAAACCTCCCTCGACAAAAAGCTGAAATTGGTTCCGTTCGATCTTTTTCTCCTTCAGAGCCTCGTGTACTTCAGCAAGAGTCTCAATAGCAGGTTTTGAGAAATCCAGCTGGCGGCCACCGCTATTGGAAATTAATGCACCCCGAAATCCTAGCTCTGCAGCTTTCAGAATGTCCTCCTTTCGTTGCAGTCCCTTGAGAATGATTGGCAAATTGGTGCTTTTCCTGATGGTCTCAAAATCTTGCCATGTGGCAACGTACTCCGGTTCCGAGCCCAAAAGCCCCGCAAGGTTCGCGTTGGTTTTTCCGGCTTCCATTTCTCTAACCTTGTACTCCTTCTCTCTGTGTCCTCGTGCAGCAGTGTCCACATTCACAAAGATAGCCTTCACTTGTGGCATCGTAGCTTCTATATGCTTGAAAAGTTTAGGAGCTTCCCTAAGCTCTTCTGCAGATTCAAACTCATGCTGGTAAAAGAGTACCTGACCATGAGCCGTTTCCGCGTGCAGCTGCTCCAACGAGACTGAACCGCGCTTTGGGGCCATATATGCAATTTTCTCTTCGGCAGCAGCACGGGCCAGAATCTTTTCTCCCTCAGGCTGGATTAAATCCGATCCCGTAAACGAACTAATGAAAAAAGGAGCAGCGGTCCGGACACCAAGAATGTCTGTTTCAATGGAGAATTTGCTGATGTCAGTGAGGCAGCGAGGACGGAAGAAAATGCGGCCAAGCGCGTATCTGTTCTCGCGCAAAGTGAACTCATCATCTGCGCCGGAAGAGACGTATACTAGGGTAGCTGGAGAAAGAACGTTTTTTGCAACAACCTCAAAGTCAGAAAGCGAAAAGATCTGGGACAGCGTTGGCGGAATCAGTTTCACCACCTGTTCCTCCTGCTCTTCGATCTCTATCAATTTTTGCTTTTTTCGGGTGCTTGTCTTTTTTTTCTTTGTAGGAAGGTCATTTATTTCTCCAACCAACGAGCCGTCCAAAAACGTCTCCAAGTATTGTGGATGGTGCATGGAATGGAACCCTTTGGTGGCGTCGTTTCCGGCGTATCTCAAAATCCGTGCAACACCGCCCGGATGCGTCTTAATGAACTCCGTCACGTCGTAAACTTTCTGGTTAATGGCAATCCAACAATCATCGGGCTTGTTATGTGTCTGCAGTTCCTCAAAGCTGACAACCCGTTTTTGGTCGCTACTGAGCGTCTGGCGCAACTTCCAGGACCAGAACACGCTTGCTGCTCCAAAGAAGCCGACGCTTCTAAATTCGCGAATCATAATATTTCATTAGTCACGAGGACCCAGATAATTTTATACAATATTAACGTCGCTATCGATTTCTCGTGCAAAATCCTTATCAGAATTTCCAAACCGGGAAAATTCCGTCTATTTTATTTTAGATCGGCCTCAGAAACACCACTCTTGTTGCACATCGACCTGAAAATGCCTTTCTGGTCGTACAATTTCCGCGGAGTGTCGAACTCAGCAATCTGCCCCTTGTCCATGACCAAGATTCGGTCATAGTTCACAATAGTCTTTAATCTGTGTGCAATGCAGAGCACAGTGCAATCACTAAACTCCTTGGTGATCGTTGTCTGAACTTTGGCGTCGGTTTCGTAGTCAACGCTCGATGTGGCCTCATCGAGAACCAGAATTTTCGTGCCTCTAACAAGAGCTCTGGCCAAAGCGATCAGCTGCTTTTCACCAAGAGAGAAATTCGAACCGTCGTCCTCAACAGTCCGACTCAGATGGAATTTGTGCAGATTGGGGTCCCCCTTCTTCTGCTCCTTGACTTGAGGTAAAAGTCCTCTGTCGATGAGACCTGCCTTGCCTAGCGACGTCCAAAGGGTTTCGTCGTCGTGCTCGTCAAAAGGATCCAGGTTCGAGCGCACAGTACCGCTAAACAGAACAGGGTCTTGCGGAATAATAGACAGCCGCGATCTCAGCTTGTGCAGTCCGATTCTCGATATGTCGACCCCGTCAATCAGAATTTGGCCCTCGAATTCCGCCAACCGGAACAAACAGTACATGATGCTCGACTTTCCGGCTCCCGTGCGGCCACAAATACCAATTTTCTCTCCCCCCTGAACGTTGATGTCGAGGTGTTTGACGGCCAGAGGGAGCTCCTCCCTGTATCTCATGCTGACATCGACAAACTTCACCGCTCCTACAGCAGGCCAGGTCGGCTCTGGGTCGTTCTCTGGTATCTCGAAAGGTGCCTCCTGTTTGATGCTGGTTGCATAGTAATTGACTCTTTCGACGGAGTTCATCTGGTTTTCAACTTCGGTCAGCGATCTCAGCATGAAACTCAACAGGCCTGCAATGGTCAAGACATAGGTAAGCAGCAGCCCGGTGTAAGCGCCGCTGATGTTGAACACACGGAAACAGCAGAGCAGTGAAACGATCAGACACAGCAGCGTCGCGACCGAGTCCAGACTAATGGCAAGCCATCCCTGGATGGCAACAACAACGTAGTAGCTCTCGTTCATGTCGTCTATGAGTTTTTCGTTAACCTTGAGGAACCGCTCCGTGGAGCCGTGGGCCTTGATCGTGTCCATTCCAGACAGTGCCTCGTTGAAGTGTGAGTACACCACCGATCTCTTCACGGCTTCGAGCCGCTTAACCTCTCTCGAGCTGGACAGGTAAAATGAGGACACCAGGAAAAACAGCATTGCCAGGAACGGAATGGCTATGGCAAACCACGGAAGGTAAATAATGCACAGAACGAGGGTGCCGATGATGGTGGCTGCTGGATTAAGGAACATTCTGAGCTGGTCCTGAATCTCGTTGTCCAGAGAGTCGGTGTCCTTAGTAAATCTATTGAGAACGCGACCCATAGGAGACGTGTCCATGAACGACATTGGGGCGTGCAACACTCTCTTGAAGGCCATAATGTTTAATCTCAGCGCTGCTCTGTTGCAGAAATACACGAGGATCATAAACTGCAGAACGTTGAAAACCATAACCAGCATAGTGAACATGATGTAGAGGCCCTCATAGAACCTCTTTGGGCGGTGGAATCTGTTGACAATCCAGAAAGACAGCCAATTGTTGGTGAATAGAGTGAGGAAGGTGGTGAGAGCAATCACGAGAAAAAATAGCATGGGGAGCAGGACCTTGAGTTTTCCAGATCCCGTGCTAATGTACGACTTGTACACCTGCCAGGAGATAGCGTTGACGGCCTTTTCTTCCGCCTGGACAAGCTTTCCCTTGTCTTCGTCGTCGAAAAAGCCCTTCTTCTCGTTTTCTAACATCTCCTCGTCATCGTCTTTCTCGACGTCATGACTAAACTCCATAAGTCTCACAAACTCGGTGTTTCTGCTCCTGAGCTCGGCGAACGTTCCGTAGTCAACGGATCCGTCGCCGTTCAAGAACACGATTTTGTCCGCAGAGCCAATCAGCGAAAGCTGATGGGTTGCAAGAATGCGTGTCTTGTGCTTGAGGTATCCAAGAATGCACTCGTCCATTATGAACTTGCCCACCTTGGCGTCCACAGCACTCAAAACATCGTCCAACATGATGATGTCTCTGTCAGCATAGACTGCTCTGGCAAGGTTGATGCGCGCCTTTTGGCCCCCAGAGAGAGTGATACCACGCTCCCCCACCTCTGTGAGCTCTCCTCCTGGCAGCTGATCAAAGTCTCCCTTCAAGGAGCACACTTTAACAACTGTGTCGTACTTTTCCTGATCGAAAGGCCGGCCAAACGTGATATTGTCCTTCACGGTGGCATTTTGCACCCACGGGACACCGCAAAGCATCACACTACCATTTTTGCAAACTCTTCCCTCGGTCTTGGGCATGAAACCGCATAGTGCGTTCAATAACGACGACTTTCCCGACCCAACAGAGCCCGTAACAACCACGAAATCACCTTTTTTGATGGACAGGTTCAAATTTAGCAGCCCGGGGAAATCCGTCTTTGACAGCTCGTCCCGCTCGTGGGACTCCTTTTCCACAACCTCCTGCTCCTCGGACATTGTCGAGCTTTTGATGCTTTTGGTGCTCTTGACACTCTCATTCTTGTCCTCTCTTCCATCGTCCTCAAACGTGTGCCATTGGAAGCTCGCATTCTCGACCTTCATTGCGAGTTTCTCGTCATCGAGGTCATCAAAAAACCTCTCCAGCTCCTTATCCTCCGGACAGGAAAGTAATTGACAGACACGTTTGAGTCCGATAACCATATCACTGGACATGGCAAGACTGGCAGGGACCAACAGGAACTGCTGTGTGAGAACCTGAAAAAGAGTCAGTGATGAGAAAATATCTCCAACAGAACGACCACTCTTCAGGTTGTGAAGAACCAAAAATGCCACCATAGAAGCAGCCAAGGGCATCCAGAGCGAAATTCCGATCAAAACGTTCTTGCCGCCCTGCATCTTGAAAAGCGTCGACATCTCCTGAGAGCGGACTTTCTGAAAAGAGCGCAGATACGAGTTTTCCCAGCCGTACAGCTTGATCATCTTGAAGTTTTTCAGGAGCTCCTTGATTAAATTGACCCTTTGGTCTGTGAACACATTTGCACTCACCCTCAACCTGAAAAGGTATCTAATGAGAAACCCTGTGAATAGCGTGAAAAAGACAAACACGGCAATACCTGCAAGAGCAGAAACCCCGATATTAACAATCAGCATCACAACGACAATGATAACCGGAATAGGAAAAATGAACAGGAAGGGGAAAAATCCGATAGCAAGATCAACTCTTGCGAGATCTGTTCCCATAATGGAGTTGATCTTACCCACAGGGAATCTATGCTTGCCCCGAGCATCGAGCTTGAAACTTTTTTCCAACAGGGCCTTCGTCAGAACGGCCTTCACCTTCGCTCCGGTGGTGATGGAATTATAGAAATAATGATTAATGCAAATACCGGAAAATAGAATCATAGCACACGCCCCGATAGCGTAGCCGACTCCCTTTCCTGTATTGGAGTTGGCACCGTAACCCCTGGTCTCCACGAAGTCTACCAGTTTCTTCTGAAGTAAGGGCATGAGAGTTGCAGCAATATCAGCTAGCACCTTCACAAAGGCTGCTCTCGAGTACTGCCAACCAAATGTGTAAAACAAATGCTTACCTAGAACAGACACTTTGATTTCAAAGTCGTCCGCATCGTCTTCTGGAGAGACCGAGGAGGTCGCTGGTGTTTCACCGCGCTCTTGGCATTTTCGAGCAATATGCTGGGCAAGAAGTTTCTCGACCTCTGGCTGGAAAGTGCTCTTGAACTTCGTGTACATGTAATCAATCGTCTGCTGTTCATCCAAAACAAACAGATCTTCCGGCTGGAGCGTCCTCTTGTACCCAACGCGAAGAAGGGGTGTCAAATACCAGAAAAAGCAGCGATAGAGAGGATTGGTCTTATAATGCGGGAACGTCTTTCGCTCCTCCTGCAACGGCAACGGAGGAACATTCTTGCTCAACAAAAACGTCAGCGGCCGTCTTTGGAGGGCAAGGTGTTTCTCGTATGCTTGCTCGGTATTCATAAAATATGAAATTTTGTATATCGGGAATCAAGAATTTCGGCCCTAAACTTTAGAGCCGTGCGAGTCGATAAACCATGGATGTTGAATTCGGTTGACCCGAATTTTTAAATGCGGACTTCGCCGTTCTCCTCGGGCCCGAATCGAACTCGCCGGAGCAAGCAACTCAAGACCGTATATTTGTTGTAGCTTTTCCGCCGTGTGGTGCCGTAAATGCCTTGGTAAAGATCATTTCTGGTCACGTGCTCTAGCAGACAGACTTGGTTCTGCTCTTGCTTGCTTAATCAGCCATGCTTCCGGCGCCGAGCTCCTTGCTAGATGACGTAATCATCGAGAGGTTTGGAGAAAAATTCTGGATTCTGGCGGTCGGTAGAGGTCGATAGAGGTCGATAGTCTGCGAAATTAGTTTGTCTTCATCATGTCATCGTCTGCAACAGCATCAACTGATAACACCAAGCAGCACGATCTGCTGCGCCAGCGGCTACAGTACCAGCTTCAGGTGGTCAATAATACGCTGGAGGCGGGGGAATACGACTGGTTTCTCCGTGAGGCACCCACAGGTTCTATGTTATCTCCAATAAAATCTCCATCCCTGGCTACTTCAAGCAACAACAAAGCATTGCCTTCTGTCTCTGCCCCTGACACAGATATTGTTGCGAGCAACCGCGATCTGCTTCCTCTGCGCAGATCGCGCACAGTGGATGGCACGACGTCCCACACCAAAGAGGATTTTGGCACCTCTTCGCTGACCCGGTCGTGCACCAATGTGCTTTCGCCATCCTGTATTCCGGAACCAAAGAAGCATGGAGGCTTTCTCCGCAGGATATTTGGCAGGGAGGAGCGACCACGGTCGCGGTCGTCCTCGGTTAGCGTCTCGTCTGTTTCCGCGCCCCCAGCTTCCGAGGTTCCACGTCCAAGTAGGCAGTCAACGGAACAACAGCCAAAGGAGGAAGTCAAGCAGCCACAAAGGGCTCCTTCAGAGAAACTATCCAGCAAATACAAGGACCTAGACCCCAAATTGTACGAATACTTGAAAGACATCGAGGATACTATGGACTATGTGGATTCGCCCGAGTACAATGTTTTCGCTCCAACCATAGAGTCGCACATCAAATACAGCCCTGAAGAAATTCCGCCGCACCCTGACAAACCGAAACTCCCCTCGGCATTTTCACTGCACCCGAAGTACAACCATCCGGTGGAGGAGGAGGAGTGTCCGTCTACCAGAGACACCAAAGAGAGTGTTTTCGGGTCGTTCCTTAAACTCTCTCGCAACAAGGATGCGAGCCATCTTTCGCCGCACCCGTCCAGAAGGTCATCCATTTCTATTTCATACGTACCTCCGCCACCGAAAGTCGAGAAGTCGCCTCCGATCAAGGCTCTCAGAGACGTCAAGCCTATTCGGAAAGTGGCTTTTGCAACCACCACTTTTGTCAACGACCCCCCACAACAAATTCCATCCAGACACCCACGTAAGGGAAATGTCGAAGTGGGCCCTGACGGAGAGCTAATCATCCACAAACTCAGCCCAGAAGAGCAAAAGACCACCTCTTCCGGTATCGTGGTGGGTGGATCCGGCCATCTAAGGCTTGTCCACCAGGATTCATCCGAAAGCATGCAGAGAAGTCCGTCAGACCAGACAATTAATCAGCACGACAAAGTGGTGGCAGCAGAGAAGGCCCGAACTACCGGAGACTCGATGGGACCGATCGACGACATTAAGATCGACAAGCCAATGGTGAGAAGAAGAAAGCCAATGGAAAAGCCGGTCGTCACGCTCAAACTGGACGAATTGTACACCCGCTGCTGTCATCTGCGGGAAATCCTTCCTATTCCTGCCACTCTTAAACAGATCCCCAAGGGGTCAACGGATCCGCTGCCTATTTTGCAACTGCGCAATCCGCATCCTTCGCTGATTGAAGTGCTTTCTTTTGCTGATTTTGTTCGTATTGCGCCTATTCACTGTGTCTCTCTGGACGGAGTCTCGATGACACACGAAATGTTCCGCACGCTGTTAGCGGCGCTATTGAGCAAGCGTCACCTTGAGAAACTGTCTCTGAGAAACACTCCGATCGACGCTGAAGGCTGGAAGATGCTTTGTTGGTTCTTGTCGATGAATAAAGCTCTCACAAGACTAGACCTCACACAGTGTCCATCCCTTGACCTCAACCTCCAAAAGCTTCGTAAACCAGCAGACACCAGAGACCGGATGACATGCAATATTCAGGATCGTTCTGATATGGATTGGTCTTTGCTGACCGCAACATTGATGGTACGTCGTGGAATTAACGAGATGGTTTTGAGTGGTTGCAAAATCAATGATCTGGCCGTGTTCAGAGACTTTTTGAAGCTGGGACTCAAAAACACCATGAAGATCGGTCTTGCTTTCAACGATCTCAGTTTGAGCCACATCGAGATTGTGGTAGACTGGATGAAGGAGAGCTCGAACGTTGTTGGAGTGGACCTGGGCTACAATGACCTGTCGACCAAGCTGCGTCCGTTCATTGAGTACACAAAACAGGAGAACTTCCGGTCCTCTCTGGCTCTCCTTTCGCTCAACAGCTGCAATCTCCGCGACAACGAGGACACTGTTGCTGTGTTTGACGCATTTTCCAAGTTCTCGCACCTCAAGTATCTGGATCTTTCCAACAACAAAAAATTGTTCGAGACGTTCATGCACAAGTTCGTGGCGTACCTGCCTCTTTTCCAGGACCTGCATCGTTTGAATTTGGACGGCAACGATTTCTCGCAGGTCGCGCTGATTCAATTGAGCGAGACGTTGCCGCTCATGAAAAACCTCAATTATCTATCCATCAAGCAGAATGTGTTGACAAAAGCATGCTGCGAGTCACTCTGTCAATCTCTCAAGTACTCGCGATCGCTATTCAATATTGATTACGACCTGGAAGGCGTTCCTCCAGAGTTTCACCAGAAAGTGGGGCTGCTCACCATGCGCAACATGGAAAGAGCACTGTACGGAGACACGGACGGTAGCTCAGACCTAAACCCGCTCCTGAAAGTGACTCAGAACGGCAAGCCGTTCACTCAAATGGCTATGGACATGCTGCGCAAGTCTGATAGCCTGACCGAACAAGAGGTGAAGGAATTTTTCGAGTACACGGACAAGTTGCGCAATGAAATGCATGCTGCTATCAAGGAGTTAGTCAAATTGCAATTGCAGCAGCGACTCACGATAGAAGGCAAGGAGACCCTCATCAGACTCATCATGGTGGACGAGTCTGTCAAGAAGTGTCTGGAATTGCTTGCAAAAATGCACTCTGAGGTCGGTGCTCCGTGCCATAGTGGAAAAACTTATGACTTTTTCATTGAAAATAAGGAAGAGTCAAAACGGCTCTCTCCGCAGCTGTTGGACTCGGAGACCACAGAGCTCAAGTCTGAGTCATCGCCAATGGTGGCTAACAATTTGGTGTCGAGTCTTAATATGGCTGCTGAGGAGGCAAACACATTTAAAGCGTCCAGCACTTTTAAAAAGGCCAGCCTTGACCCAGACAAGTTGCAGGAGAAACAAACATCCCTACTTGCGGCGCTTTCTGGATCAAGCGACATCCAGAAGTTCCTTGATGCACTAAAGAAATTACAGGATAGTGGCATCACGCTGTCTGACCTGTACTCTCACTCGGATACGGAGAACAACACCCTGATCAATACGAGAAAGAGTCAGACAGACCTCAAGTCGCTTGGGTCCGGAGACGAGCAGGCGCGTTCTCTGAGGGATGCACTAGACATTGTATTGAACGAACTCGGTAAACGCAGAGACGCCGATTAATTGTATAATATTACAGATTCAAGAGTTTAAACATATTAGTGATTTTCAGAAGGCTTGGTTTTCATGGCTCTCGTCGTGCCATATAACTCTTTTTTGCCCTTACATAATCATTTTATTTTCGCTACGTATTCTTCATGTTACAACTACAACCGCAGAACTTGCTCGTGGAAGAGGCAATTAGCCAAGCGTTTGCTCCGGACTACACGCCAGTGTTTCTGGACAGAATCATCACCGACTTTGATTTCACCACCTACCACTTGTCTACTCCAGAGTCCAAAACAAAACTTCTGCTGTCTATCAGCATCAAGTGCTGGAACGACCTCGTGAACTACGGAGTGAAGGAATTGCTCAACTCAAAGTACTCAAAGTACCCATTCATTCAACAAACACAACCCGAGTATGGTTATGACTACAGTCTTTACATCGATGTGGAGCAGGCGACGTTCTCTAACGAAGACGAAAAACAGCAGCTAATTGCCGAGCTTTCCCTTCTGAAGCGCAACTGTTTCGCCGCGCCATTCCTTCAGGCGTTCCAGAGATATGAGGTGCTCTCGAAAGAGCAGCCTGTGGACCCTAACAACTTGTATGGAGAGGATTCTCCCAACAACTCGAACGAACAGGTTCTGCAATTGCACTACAGAGATATGGAGTCCATCTACATCAAACCGTCGAATGATAGAGTGACTGTGATTTTCTCGACTATTTTCCAGGACGACACAGACAAGATCTTCTCGAAAGTGTTTTTGCAAGAGTTTAGCGATGCCAGAAAACGTAGCATCCAAAAGGCCCCGCAGGTGATCAACTCGCACCAGGAAATTCCGCTCGAGATTAAACATTTGGAGGCTGCCAACACCCACAACAAAACATACATCACTTTCGTGCTGTTCCCAAGACACCTGAGCACCGAGGACGTGAAGTGGAACTCCATCACTCACATCCAGCTGTTCAGGTCGTACTTCCACTACCATATCAAAATCGTCAAGTGCTACCTGCACCAGAGAATGAGATTCAGGGTCAATAGTTTCACTAAAATCCTTAACAGGGCCCGGAGAGATGTGGACGATGAGGAACACAGGAGTGAGAGAAAGACCGCGAGCGGAAGACGGTTTGAAATGAGAGCGTGAGCCCGCGAATATGTAAAGTGATAATGCACTGATTTTAGACACGAGTAAATCTAGGTCGTGCGTCGTACCCAAACTCTTCGTCGAAATTTTATGAGGCAAAAACCAGCCAAATAAACACAGTCGGTACTCTATCGAACCATTGCACCATGTCCTTTTTCGGATTCGATCCATCAGGACCTCCTTCATCTGGAGAAAAGGACCAGAAACTGGACACACTCGATTTTGAGGAAACCTATGAGGGACTCGGAGAGCAAGATGAGGACGCTTTTAATGACGAGACGTTTGGAGCCGACGTGAAGGAAATCGGGACCAATTTCGACTTCACAGGCGGTCTTAAGCCGGCCTCGAAACCTCAGACAGTTGATCCCAATTTGTCTTACGCAAAGGCGGCCCAGGTCGACCAGGTGATCGCACCAATGGCCTCTTTGTGGAACGAGGAAGCGAAGACAGCTAGCTCTGCGTCCTCGCAGCCAGCTTCAGAACAAAGGGTGTTGTCTCTCGAAGAGATTGAAGCTAAGCTTCGTCAGCCTCAACAACAAGTGCCCCAGATGCCTCAGATGAACCCTTACATGTATCAGCAGCAGCAGCAGCTTTTGGTTGCGGCCATGGCCTCCGGACAGTTCCCTAACCCTGCAGCCGCTGCCCAAGCATTGGCGCAAGGCTACTTCCCTCCGTTCCAGCCAGGAGTCATGCCTTTTATGCCGTTCCAAGCACAGCAAATGATGCAGCAGGGCGCTTTGGGTCAAGGACAACAGCCCCAGCAAGTGCACCCACCTCCTGCCGGTGTTCAGGTGCCTCAAGTGCCTCAAGTGCCTCAGTCGGCACCCGCTCCAGTTCAGCAACAACAGCAACAGCAGCCAGCATTGCAAGTTCCTCAGGCTCTTCAGTCCCCCCCTGTTCCAAATGCTGCTTCTCCATCTTCTCACTCTGCCCAGCCTGTGCCACAGTCAGTTGAGCACAAGGTGCCTTCTTCGGCTTCTGCACCTTCCTCATCTGCTGTATCAGCTCCCCAGTCTGTCCCACAGGCTGGTTCAAGCGATGCTACGGGAAACTTCCCTCCCCTGGGATATGACGAAAAGCCGCGGAAGCAAAGACCTCAGAGACAAAATCCAGAGAATCTGACACAAGAAGAGAGAGAGAAGCTTTGGAGAAGACAGAACAAAGTGTCAGCAATTATCAGATGTTCTGGATTTATGAACCCTAGAGATAAGGACTTTGTGACCAGGGTTCAGCTTTCTCAGATTGTCACTGACGATCCGTACAATGAGGACTTCTATTGTCAAGTCTATCGAGTGCTGAACTCCTCTGTCGGCGAAGATGACATGAGCTCCATTGCACAGAAATATTTAGACCAGTCTGGACACAGATTGGGGGGAAGGGAGAAACGGGCCGATGTGGCGCTCCAGAGAATGCAACAGCAAGTTTCCAAAGCCGTGACTGTTGCTAAGGAGCGCGGAGAAAGAACCGGAGTGCTTGCAAAGGAAGGTGCTCTGGGTAAAGTGTCTGTTGGCTCCGGTAAACAGCCAAGAAAGCAATTGGTTATCAATACCACGGGCAGCTCCGACGAGGTTGTTGTTCCAAAGGAAAACGTGTACTCTAAGTCTTCAAGGGCTTTCCAGCTATCTGTGATTGAAGACATCTACTCCCAGGTTTTGAAGCTTGAATCTCTGGAGCGTGAAAACCAAGAGCGGGATTCCAAGGACCTTTGGAACGCTCTTCGTCTCAACGACACGATTGAGACCTCCAACACTGTCGTTTCTCCATTCATTTCTGTACTGTCTATTGACAAGGCGATGAAGGTGTTTAACAGACTGTTCCATTTCCTCAATCCCGAGCAAAAAATCAAGCTGATGGAGGCGATTTTTGCCAATCTGCATAATATCGACGTGGTCATGAAGGGCTCGTATGCCAACTACGTGAACGAAAACTACGAGATTCCAAAAACAGAAAAGAGTAAAATTGAGCTTTTCCAGATGACCGTGATGAAAACGCTAGTTTTATTTGTTAGCGAATCGGACTTTCAGCAGGTTCTACGGTTTGTGGTTTTGATCGTTAAAGGCGGGAATAACAATGTGCTATTTTTGTCCACCACAAAAATAGGACTCTCGCTGATTACCATACTTGTTTCGAGACTGGAGCTGATCAAGCAGGAATTCTCTGCCGGACTCAGTCCGCAAGACCTTGCTCAATGGCAGACTATCTACAACCACCTATTCCAAGCATTAGAAGGCAGACTGGCTACTATCTTCCCACCGTACCTTTCGAACGATGACGCGCGCAAAGTGCGTAATTCCGAGTCGAGCAGCGACGATTCTTACATTTGGCAGTTCTTGGCGTCGCTCTCGCTTGCGGGTCTACTAAGTCATCAAAGAATAATTGTCGATGAAATCAGGAACGAAATATTTGGCAGCATGGGTGTGAGCAAGGATCTCAAGGAGTCTGGCGATTTGCAGGGTGCTGAGAAACATCTTTCGAATCTCAATCTGTTCCTCAATGTGATGGGACTGAAAGCTTCGGAATCAGATATCACCGAATTATAAGTGCCCACAACGACCTTATTTCACTTCCGCCTCACGATTTTAAAAACACGTCATCTCTGACAGCAATTTTCGGCCAATCTATAAGAGGGGTGTGGGGTGCAATTGCTTTCATTTCGTGCACTCGATAAAAAAAAGGATAATTGTATGCATGAAATTGCCCTCTGCCCATAAAGAGACTGTAGTATTATATACTTGTCTTAATGGCCAGTTAGATAGATTTCCATGGATGGACTGTCGTTATTGTAAGTATATTAAAATCAGAAACTAATTCGACCAGCTGTTACGGTCCAACAGGCTCTCCGGACGTTGTATACGAAGTTCTAGATACACATCCAGACTGCTCGAATCTTCACATATACAAGGCGAGATTGCCTGATCACAAACAGGTTGCTGTTCGGAACGCAAGCTACTCTGCGGTCATCCCACATCAGGGGGACTACGTGGACGGTCTCTTGGTCGATGGACTTTCCGACCAAGACCTCCGGCATATAGACTACTTCGAAGGTTACGAGTTCGCTTCCGTTCCGGTAAAAGTACAGCTCATTGATCCGATTGACATACGCCACGGCGACCATGAGGGCAGAATCGAAATCAACAACAACACCTTCAAAGCCGGCCTCTGTTACATATGGAATGACTCTTACGACCGTCTGGAACTATAGTTCCAAACAGCAAATAATCTGATTTCTAGATTTAGTAATAATATAATACTAAATTTACAGCCCCATCCTAGAAACCAGCCATCTACTAATTTTGATCTCTAAGATCAAAGTAAACTTAATTTTTGCTTTCTATTACAACATCCTAATCATGTCGGAACGCTCCAGTGTGTATTCCGAAATGCCTATGCAGAAGCTCACCGTCACAAATCCAGACCTGGATGCAATTTCATTGAGAAGTCCTGAAAATAGGCAGCTTCCACGAGATGATAGTCCCCACAGTAGCTCTAGTCACCACAGCTCGCCAACGGTTCCCAAACATTGCGTCACTGAGCATTGGAGTAGAAGAGTCTCTAATCTTTCCAGTGCCCCAGGTAATAGGTCATCCATGATGTCTGAATATTCAGGCATTGTGCAGAACGTCGACATTGATACCGTGAAATACGTGGTGGACAGAGACTCCGACACGTCCACCACTGTTCCTTCAGAAAGACTCTCGGAAGTGAAGAAAGTCAGCGGCTCAAAAATGCAGAAAGACCTCGCTGGCTTTTTGAAAGAAACGTCTCCGGTTATGGAAGAAGACGATAAAGAGAGTATCAGAAAGCCCCAGATCATCCCAGTTAACCGCCCATCCCAACTGCTCAGCGATGGGTTCCCACGCGTGCCAGATAAAGAACAGTATACCGAATTGAACTTAACCATTCCAGCAAGATCTCCTAGGCGGCCTCTATCTGGAGGCTTCCACTCAATCGATAAGATTTCCGGCAAGCCTGAACGTCCATCGATGGACTCGGGCTCCTCGGGCAGATCTAGCGGCCGCGCCAGTGGGAAATTTGACGACATCATGAAGGAGTTTGAGGATCTTCGGAGCGAAATCGAAGCAGAGGCCGATCAAGAGCAAAACAGCCAGAAATTCGGCATACCTCCTTTCTATGCTCACCGATACTCGCCCTCGCAGGCCACCAGTTCCCGTACAGGCGCAGATTCTTTCCACACAGCAAGATCCATCAGTGAAAGCGAGGAGGATAACGAGAAAGATGAGACGGAACCATTGAAGAAAGTCAATTCTGGCTCTACCGTTTCGGAAGAATCTATATTCGACCAGACTGCCAGGGAACAAAAGCTGGAAGGTACAGAAGGTGTTCCAGAAGATGACTATGAAGACATTGAAGAACCACAGGAAAAGCCCGTGCCGCGAGCCTCAACTAAAACGAAAAAGCGTGCAAAAAGACCAAAGTCTAGAATTAAATCGTTTTCCTATGATACACTAGCACGTCTCCTGAATGCAACTGATGGAATTGTTATAGGTCAGGAATTCGCCGATCTCGATATTCCTGCTGACGAGAAGTATCTCATCGAGCAGGTTGTCGATTCCCTCTCCAGACTAACTGCAAACATGATGCTCAATCCAAACCACTACCAGCAGGGATGTGAGCGCTTGGAACGAGTTTTGGGAGCTCTGGAAGGCTTCGACTGATTTTATTTTCTTTTTGGGCCTCTTATTGGAGCTGGTGGTTTAACGTGGTTGGGATCAAACATAGGCGCGTGTTTCAGAATCTCGGGCACAGCGAAAAATCGAATCTGTGACCCTCTAATGAAAACCTGTGGCTGGTATTGGGTGGATCCGTTAGTATTGGTCATTGTGGCGTCTTTAAGTTGAACGTTCATAGTATCTTCGGATTCAATTAATTTACCTTTATACGAGACTCCCGAAGTCAACTCCACTGTAATAACATGTCCCTGCTTGTTAGAGTTGGTTGCTTGAATTTCTTTGTACCTACCTGAGCTTCGTTTAGTAATTTCACTGGTATACTGATCGCCATTATATCAAACAGTTAAATAATTTTTTAGTGTATATATTCAAGTCATCTTTTGGTTATGTGCCAATAAATAGGACCAAAGACTGATGTTTAATTTCGAAGAGGTCCAACTACAGTTCCAGATCCCAGCGCCCATACAAAAGCTTCTTGTGAAAGGCAATGTACTTTATCTAGTGCTCATCAATGGTTTAGTGTACCGGATATATCTAGACAACCCGGAGAAGGTCGATAAGATACAGGTGGATTCGAACAACGTAACCGTTGCGAACGCTTACTTGGACCCCTACGGTTACCATTTGGTGGTCCAAACGACTAAGAATGAATATTTCTACCTGAATATCCAATCTGTTCAATTTAAGTCATTATCGAAACTCAAGGGAAACATTGTTTGTTCATTTGTGTTTTTTGCTTCACATGTCACAAAGAAAAGTACTGGTCCAATCCTTGTGGGAACCACTACTGGTATCATTAATGAGTACAGAATAGATCAGAACAAAGAGAGAAGCTTTAAGCAGCTATGGAGAGGAAAAGATACATTAACGGCCATGTACGCTACACAAGACGAGAAGGGCATAGTATCACTTGTTGTTCATCTGGGCGAGCGAAAACTTGCGCGATTTCAAGGTTCACTCGGAGACTCGTTGCTCAAGAACAATCCTTTGCTGTTGTCTTTTGGTGTTATCTCCGTGTTCACTGCTAATGAGTCGACATTTGCATTCATTGAACAAACAGACGATGGCAGCTCACGTTTGGTGATTGGTGATTTGGTCTTTCAAACTCGCAACGAACTTCAACGATACGAAATTTTGACAGCCGATTACAAAAGTCTGCTTCTCACCAAGTACCATGTGATTGCATCTTCTCGAAATGAGATGGTTATTTTCAACCAGCTAAATGGAAAGCAGGTGTCGCAAGAACACTTGATTTTCGATGTCTTAGATACGACGGCTGACTATCGTATGCAAACTTACTGGGTGTATTCCTCTTCAACTATTCACGAATTGGTGGCAGACGAAGAACATTCGGATGTTTGGAAGGTGATGATGGAGAAAAAAATGTACGATGATGCGTTACAATTGGTCGGAAGTGACCAGCTCAAACGCAATATTGTGCTCATAAATAAGGGCTACGATTTGCTTGAGAATGGAGATACAGACGAAGCAGCGAGGGTATTGGCGAACACCTCGGAGTCCTTTGAGCAAGTGGTGCTAAAATTCATGAAAAGCCCAAGCCTATTAGTGTACTTGGAAGCTAAGCTCAACAAACTACCCAAATCAATGTACATGCAGCGTGTAATGCTGACCAGCTGGATGGTAGAACTTTATGTGAAGAAAATCAACTCTGGCGAGTCTCCGGACCTTGAAGGGTTTTTGAAACAGTACTCTGACTCGGTCGACAAGGAAACCGTTTATCAGATATTACTTTCCCATAACCGGAAAGAAGAGCTAGTGCAATTTTCATTAATGAAAGAAGATTACTCATTTTTGCTGAAATATTACCTGAACTTACAGCAGTGGGACAAAGCACTGCAAATCTTGTCTAAGGAACAAAAACCAGAACTTATCTACAAATGTGCAACAGCATTACTCATCAACTATCCTGCTAAAACTGTGGACTTATGGCTGCGTCTGGTAGATGATTTGGATTTCAGGAAGTTGCTTCCTGCCTTATTGACATACAACAAGTCCATAGCCCTAGGACACGGGATTGCTCCTAAACACAATCATGCGCTCCGCTTTTTGAATTTTCTTGTTAAAGAGAAACAGATCAAAGACAAACTTGTGCACAATACACTTCTCTCGCTGTTAGTGACCTATCCGTCGGATGATGAGAAGTTGGTATTGAATTATCTCGAAAGCAGATCAAAGACTCTATTCAACCGTGAAAAAAGTTACGAAGTGCTGTTCGATGCGGACTTTGTACTTCGACTGTGTTTTGAGTACAACAAAATTATGAGCGCCATTTTCATCTACTCCATGCTGGAAGATTACGAAAGCGCAGTTTCACTGGCCTTGAAACATGGCCTGATCGAGTCTGCTATCCTCGTCGCCGACAAACCCAGTCCATCGTTACAACGCAAAAACTTGTGGCTTCAGATATCCACCATTCTCATTCAAAGAACGGTTAACAATCAGCCTGTGGCTTTGGAACTTGAGGGGGGTACTACGATCCGCAGTTTGCTGAGCTACCTGATGAAGAAATGCGATCTATTGACGATGAAGGACCTGCTTCCTTTATTCCCTGACTTCGTGGTCATTGACGACTTCAAAGACGAGATAGTGCGCTCTCTGGAGTCGCTTTCAAATGATATGGAGAATCTATCGATGGAAATGACAGCATCGCTACAGCAATCAGAAAAAATCAGTCGCAAGATGGAAGAATTCCAGCAAGATAGATTCCAGATCATTGAGCCAAACGAGTCGTGTGGTCTTTGTGGCAAGATCCTTGTCATTCGGAAATTCATTGTGTTCCCATGTCTACACTCGTTCCACCAAGATTGCCTGGTGAGAGAAATATTGGAGTCCACTGATTATAAATCTAAAAACGCTATTTACAAGCTGCAAAAAAAGCTTTTAGCAGCAAAGGGTAACAAACCGATGATGGAGGAGCTCAAGCAGGAGATAGACCAGTTATTGTCTGCGAAATGCTGTCTTTGCAGTGACATCAAAATCAACAGTATCGAAGAGCCGCTGGTTAAAAGTGCTGATAAAGAGCAGAGCGAATGGCTTTTGTGACTTCTATGTACAATTAACGCGCACGCCACCTTTCCTGCATCTGTTTCGCATAACTGACATTCATCAACATTTCTGAGATTTTTGTCTCAACCAGAACAACCAGCTTTGTAGCCAGCTCGAGGTGAACAAAATTTTGTGGGAATCGATACGTAAGCCACAAATAAGCGGTCAGGAGCCTGTGAAACTGCTCCAGTCTCATCAGTCTATCCTCTATAGGGTTGAAATCACCAATGTAGGTCCTCTTGCCAATAAAAGGATTCTCTTTAGTGCGTCGGGCCGCGTTTTCAAATTTTCTCTTCATGCCCTCGGGCACAGCTTCCACCCCAAACGACTTTGTGAAATTCTTGTGGAGCTTAGGCTTTGCCGGATCCAAAGATAAATGGCTCGTTGTGGTCAAGTACAACGGCATTGACTTGTAGTCAAAGACAGAGCGCTTCAGTCTCTGAGCAACTGTGATCATGTAGTTTTGGAAGACGTCGGTAAGGATAGCATGCATTGGTGAATCTTTTAATTTCAAAACTGAAGGACAAGAGATGAAACGCAGCTGATCAGAGATGGCAAAATCGTCTTCCAAATGCCGTTCATTGATGAATTTGGCCATGGACATCTGGTCATCCATATGTTGTATGCGAAAGATCGATTCTTTAGGATTAATGCGCATGCCCTTGTCCAAATCGGCCTCAAACTTACGAAACATGGTTATCAGTTTCGTATTCTTGGGGAACATGGAGTAATAATGCATCCACTGCGGGTCTGACGGCCAAAGAACGGCTTTGTCGAGATACTCTATAGGTGCCTGCATCACCACTCGTATCTTGTTGAGGTCGGATTTTGTTAGAGCAGTGATATGGCCCACACCTTCTCCTATTCCAAACCTGCCTGCACGGCCACCAATCTGTTTGATACTGGAGTTGGACAGTGCTGTCATTCTCCGTCCATCGTATTTTTCAAGTGTGGTGAACACCACACGGTTGATTTTCAGGTTCAGCCCCATTCCAATGGCATCCGAGGCAACCACAACGTCGTACTCTCCATCGTTAAACATCCTGGCCTCTTGGGATCGCGTCTCTGGGGGAAGAGCTCCGTATATAACAGCACATTTGAGATTGGTGTCACGTTCGATCTGAGCCTTGATCGTCAAGATCTGCTTTTTGCTGAATGCAACTATACAATCTCCACGCTGGACCTCCTCTAGCGAAATAGGTTCACTGTCCACCACAAGCTTCCCAAGACGGTTGTAATTGTTGATCTCAATATCATCTCCAGTCATGGCGACGAGCTGTTCCACCAGCGGCACAGCAGAAACCTCTCCACAAAGATGTATTTCCTTGGCCTGTGCTCCCAAAATCACGTTTGTCCACGCAGATCCCCTGAATGGGTCACCAATCATCTGGATCTCGTCCACAACGACCACGTCGAACGGTTCACTCATAGGAATCATCTCAATGGTGCCAGAAGTTAGGCCTGCTTTGTTCCCGTACTTGTCAGCGTCAAGAAGAACTTCCTCTCCAGTCATCAGATTGCATCTTATGCCCTTACTTTGGAACTTTTCAAAAACCTCTCTGGCCAGCAGCCGTAAGGGCCCAGCATAATACCCTTTGGAGCTAGTCTCAAGCCGTTTGAGAGCGTTGTATGTCTTTCCACTGTTGGTAGGCCCAACATGCATGATGATCTTCCTTTTGAGTTTACGTGCTTCCGGGTACCATGCGTAGGGATTGTCCAGATTTAGCGAGTTCAAAGTCATATTCTTGTTGTAATTCTGGGAGTTTGACGAGTCCTCGTAAACCTGCTGAGCATAAAGCGGCTTCAGTCTGTGATACGCCATTTGTTCAACAATCCTCTGGATTGTGCAGTGCAGCGTTGAACGACCGTCTTTGCCTTGAATGACCGTGATGGGATATTTCTCTAGCTTGTCTTCATTTTCAACGAGGTGGTTGACAAGTTTGTTGGCATTTTCATATGTGTATTGTCTAGAAAATAGCAAGCGCTCGTTTGTCACTGGCTCCGACTTTCGAAGAAGCTCGAACCTCGTTTGTGACAAAATAGTTGAAAATAAGGAATCTTTTTTCAGGAAATCAGACGGCATCGCCTTCAAAGGCGGGTACTGAAGGGGTTTGCCTGCTTCCCAGTCTCTTTTTAGATTCCCTATAACATCCCTAACAACCTGTTTCGTTCTTGACGTCCGTGTGGACAGATGTCGCACGAAGAGACGCAGCATTATGGGACTAATATTTTTCAGATGCAAGTTTGTATTTATTTTTCCTGCACGTCGATCGACTCAAGTGTTGGAAAAATGGCCATTCTAATAGTTGTTGGCGGCCCCTCCGGAACGGGGAAATCCACAGTCGGTGAGCGTCTGAGCAGAGACCTAGACTGTCCGTATGTGGAAGGAGATTTGTATCATCCGCAGCCAAATATCGACAAGATGTCGCAGGGCATTCCATTGACAGACGACGATCGTTGGGCCTGGCTAGAGAAACTCACTAAGGTGGGGGTTGACGCCATCGGCGAGGCAGGAACTGCTGTAGTGACCTGCTCGATGCTAAAATTGAAATACCGCGATTACATCAAGAAAGTCGCCAAACTGGAGAAGCCAGATATCAAGGTATTGATGCTATTTCTGTACAACGACTACGATATAATATACCAAAGAATGAGCCAGAGAGCAGGTCATTTCATGAAAAGCAGCATGCTTAAGAGTCAATTTGATGATATGGAGGTCCCGAAGAACGAGGAGGGGGCATATGCGATCTATTGCGGTGAGAAGTCGCAGGAAGCGATCGGAGAAGAGGTCCTTCAAATAGCTAGACAAGTAATCGCGACACGTGAGTAGTATATATTAATTGGTGTTAGCGTCTTTTCCTTGGATCGTCGTAGGCTCCAAAAGCACGTTTCCCGTTGTAATATGTTTGGGATGTGCCGCCCAGGATGTCGTTATCGTCCTTTTGAATTTTTCGCTGCGGATATTTGAAGGGTGAGTTGGCGAAGATGTTATCGACCGGCTTGGGCGCTTCCTGGAACCATTTATGGTCTAGCGCCTCAAGCGCATCTATGCGCTTGGCAGGGTCGTATTCCAGCAGACTCGCGAGCAGCCGAAGACAGTTTTTGTTGCTTCCTCCGTTTGACTGGTACCATGCTTTCAGGTTTGATGGAAACGTCGAGATCTTGGACAATTGCGGGTATTCTGGGTAACTGTTCAGGCTGGGCCACTTATCCAGCGTTGGAGTCCCTAGGATCTCGAGGATCTTGATCACTTGATTTTCCTGGAACGGTACCTGTTTCTTGTTATCCATTTTGGTTTCTTCGCCTTTGAACAGGGGACGTAGCGAGAGAAGCTCTGCCAGGATGCATCCCACAGCCCAAAGATCAATGGCTGGCGTGTAGTGACGCGCCCCCAGCAGCAGCTCCGGCGCTCTGTACCAGATAGTGACCACAACCTTGTCGCCAGAGTAGAGACTTTGCAAAGGGTTGCTGAACTTCCTAGCCAAACCAAGGTCTCCAATCTTGACCACTCCATCGTTCGTAACCATGATGTTTGCCGGCTTCAAGTCTCTGTGTAATACCCAGTTCTGATGTAGAAATGAAAGGCCTTCCAGTATTTGGTACATGGCCGACTTCAGTGTCTGTTCTGGGATTTGTTTGTGGTCCGGCTGCGAGTGATAATGGATGATTTGCAGAAGATCGTGTTCTGCAAACTCAAAAACCATGTATATACATCTCCTTTCGAGAATGATCTCTATCAATCTCGAGATATTCTTGTGTTCCAGCTCCTTGCAGAGCGACATCTCTCGTATCGCACTCTGGCTGATTCCTGTGTAATGAGTTACCTCGTTGTCTTTGGAGTCTGTCTTGAACTTCTTAATGGCATACAGACCGTTGCCTAGTTCCTTTGTCTTGCCGCGAGCTTTGTACACCTTACCATATGTACCCGCAGCGATATACCCCAAGATTTCGTATTTTTGGACAACAGACACTCTGGCCTGATCACGCCGTCTTCTGTATGGCCCAATGGTGAAAAAGTCCGCTGATGCGACACGCATCGGCTGCCCGGCAGATGCGTACGGATACTGTCGATAGTTGTCCATTTATCTATTTTTTTAAATCTCAATTTTCTACATGAAAAATGTACAGAATTATTTGGGAGGAGCTTTATTGGCCGCCCGCTTTGCCTTGGCGCGCTCCTTCAGTCTCCTCCAGGCCACCTGGACAGGCTTGATGCACCATCGGTCAAAGAATGGGGCTAGTGCAAAACAGACCGGTAGTCTTACTGGCAGAAGCAGCTTAGCAGCGGCGTAGGCATTTGCTCCCGCAGTGACGATCTTGGTCTTTTCCACCAGGTCCACGTCCAAGTTTATAAGACCTTTGGAGAGTACCTCAGCGCCTCTGGCCAGTAGATCCTGCGGTACGTTTAACGGAACCCAATTGTAGTGGAGGAAAACCCACCAAAGTCCCAGAAATGGCACAATAGCAGTGATCTCGTGGAGTATGGCAAAACTGATACCAAAACCCAACGGACGCATGGTCATACTTCGAGCATAAGGCTTGAGTATCCTGGGCGTCCATCTGTACCATCTACTCTGCTCGAGTCTGGCCAATTTGTCTGCGTCTTTGGTATCTACCACTGGACTATTTGTCTGCTCTGCCTCGATTGCTGGCTTTGGTATTTTTGGCTGCGACTTGTATATGAGCGTCCGGGACACGCTGACAGAGAACCCCCGTTTCAAGTGGGCCTGCACAATGTTTGTAATTCCGAGTCTGCTTCTTATCATTACGGAGTGGAGTCAAAATGAAGAAAATATTATTTCCAGATAATGAATAAATATACCCGTACATAAGATTGCAATTACTTGACGCTCACACTGCGAAGGTACTCGGTTCTCGAAAAGCTCGACTCGGCCTGGTCGGTTCCACGGTCAAGAGCCACCCACTTTGGCTCGTCCTTGAATAACCTCAAAGCTCTGACGTACTTGGAATTAGACAGGGTGAACCGATGATAGATGCCGGCTGGCAGAATCAAAAGGTCACCCTTGGTCAGCTTTGCGCGAATCCATCTGTCGTTGTCATCTCTCACATCGAAGTAGCCCTCACCATCCAATATGTACCTGATCTCTTCGTCCTCGTGGAGGTGTTCTTTGTAGAAAGCCTCAAGCTTGGCCTGAAGCGCTTCTGGTCCACCAGGGAAAGTTGCTTCTGAAAGAACAATCTCGTCTCTATTCTTATAATTGCGCTCTTTGGCCACAACGTCGACCTCTTCCACAGTCTCAAAATGTCTGTAAAAAACGCCGATTTTCTCCATCTGCTCCAGGCTAACAGGCTTTCCCGAGTTGTGCTCGTCAGTGAAAGCCCCCGGAAACTCGTCGTGGTAGTAGAATGCACCCATTACGAATTAACAGTTCAATAGTCAGTGTAATAAAAGTCTAACTTTCTTTTTTTAGCAAAATTCACGTGCTATTTTTACATACTTTAAAACCTCACTCTTAATGCTCTGGTTGAGCTTCCAAACCTGTTCATCATCCACAGCCAAATCGCCTACCTGGGATGCAAACGCTTGGACCTCAGCCTGCAGCCGATTGCTGCTAATCCCACTAATCCTTGACCATCCGTTGTAATTCTGCGGGAGACCGTCCGAAAGCATCATGGAATACAATATCTGCTGGAAGATGCCATCTGAAGACGTTGACTTTTGTAGAATAGCAATCCCCCTCAAGAATCGAGTCATTCCTAGCCCCGACCGCTCCAAAATGCGTCGTATGAACCTCTGCAACGAAATCTGGTCTGTGCCGTAGCGAAGCGAGATTGTCTCGCTCACAACTTGCACAACCAAATTCATAATCTGGGTCCGCTCGTTATTTATCTCTGTGTAATTGTGCACATAGGCACTCTCATAGGTATAGTTGCTCATATCGTCGTCTGTGTCTGAGGTGTCGCTCACCAGGTCGGGAACCGTATCCATAAGCATACGTTTGCTGATCTCCCTACCTGCTCTATAATCTGCCTGATGCATGATTAATTGAAGGTGGACACTGCGGAGCTCATTCTGACCATCTCCAAGCCCACTAAAAATCCGACCAACGCAAAGTGCTTATATATAATAAAGGTGACTAATATATTTTTTTTTGACTCATCCGGAGAAAACAGGCAACTTGGAACGGTTACGTAAGCATAAAGGTGCCACTTCGAAGCGGCTCTTTGCCTGTTAGTCATATGGCAAGTGGCTCCATCTGTATTTTTCTATATAATAACTCGCATGGCTGTGCCGCTTGACAATAGATATACATTCGATTATGACCATTTCGCGGCCAATGTGTCATTTAACGCTCTTTTGGCATCAAATCTCCGTGCCCTTGGTGAAATCGTAGCCAAAGACAATAGCGTCCACGTATCCGTGGTCTTTCAAGTAGCCAGCACCTGGCACCCTTCCAATCCTCTCAAAGCCAAGGTCGTCCCAAATTCGCGAGCTGGCCTTGTTTGTTTCATAGACAAGGTTGAAAACGCTGTAACGGTAGCCTAGTTTCGGTGCATACTCTAGGTAGCTTTTCCCAAGAAGCTTGCCGATTCCCATTCCTCTGTGCTTGCTGGAAACGAGAAACCCTGCATTGCAGTTATGCGACGATCTCCCCGGGTAATTTGGTTTTATGTAATAAGACCCCAAAAACTTCTCACCGAGATCACTGTCTTTCGCTATCTCGATAGCGTGAGATGTGGACTGGAATTCCCCTTGGAGCATGATTGCAAGGAATTTGGGGCAGTAGTACTCCAGAAACTCCTGTTCTGTAAGAGGCTCGATCTGGGCCAAGGTGTTTCCTTGCTCGACTTCGTAGTTGTATTCCTTGTGCAACTTGTCAACCAAGGATTTTGGAACCTGGTTGACAGACTCAAACGGCACGATTGTGGCGAGCTGGCCGTTTGACAATGTGACTGGTATCACGCTGAACATAGCAAAAGATTGAGGGCTACAATGGTCCCTTTAGTACTGAATGGAAATCCGCTCAGACGGAGAGCTAGGTGGACTAAAAAGGCAGTTGCGCCTGTAAAACTTACGTACACCAGATTACTACTCGATCACGAGCGAAAAAAAAAAAACCATCAGGCCTCCGATGATTACATAACAATCGATAAGGAATTCTTTACCCGATTCAGGAAAGCACTTTTCGGTCACAAGAGACATTTTTAGCTCACTCTCGTTCCTTTAGCAACACTTGTATATGGGCCAGAAGTCTTCCCCTGGTATCCTCTTTGATCCCGTGGAGCATCTGGCTTTTTCAAAGTCGAAAATCTGCCGCCCGACAAATGTGCACAGCTTTCATTTGGATCCCACGCTAAACTCCCTGGAACTTGTTGGCGAAGGCTCATTTCCACTGTTTTCTCGCAAATGTGTGGATCTTTTGCGTCAGGAGGTTGAGCAGTATTCTCAGGTTGTGCTTGACAAGGAAACTGAAAACGCTTTCACTTCTCCCAAACTAAGAGACTGCGAACAACTTCTTCCATTCGTGTACCAGGCCTGGACCCATCCTGCCACTGTCCGTGCGATTAGTGTGATTTCGGGATTCGAGATGAGACTGTGTCTTGACTACGAAATAGCGCATTTTTGTCGTTCTCGCAATTCCAGCCAGGTTCTGGTCCGTCAAAAAAGCGTGGCATACCCTTACGTTTGTGTCATGGGCTTGAATTCCGCAGATATGCAGTCATCGGGGTATGCCACCGTGCTCAAGGGAAGGCTTTCAGAAAACCTGGCAACAAAACAGCTCCAGGAAAAAGACTCCCTAACGGTGGTGCTGTGTGCAACGTTGCAACCAGAAAATGTTATATGCTACGAAGACGCAATTTTCTTGGAAAAATGCTCGCTTCCCCAGGCGCAAAAGCTCATCAGTGACAAGGAAATGGTGCCTGTGTCGAATTATGCCGACTTCAAAGATTTCGGAGTCTATCAGTCCTGGCTCAACGACTATTATGATAAAGAAAACCACGCAAACAGCATTAATAAATAAATTAGTATTGATATCCATCGTCCAGTCCGTAGTTGAATTCATTCAGAGCTACGTTTCCTTCAATACCAAAAGGCCTTTGATCGCTGATTATTTGCCATAGCTCATCGAAATCATCGACTATCGGGCTATTGAGCGACTCGTTTAGGTCCAGCTCCGAGTATTTCTGTTCCTGAAAGAGAGGGAACTCCAATTCAGTAGGCTTATCGAGGACGTTGATGCCTCCAATGCGGTAATTTTTTGTCTTGTTGTTGGTCTCTTTCTTCGACATTTGCTCCATTGTTTTGTTCAGCACGCGTTCGTAAGCGTCGCGCAAAAACGATTTCGTGAAAGGCATCCGCTCCCCAACGACAAATAGCGCGGTAGAGCACGATTGCAAACAGGTCGAGATTTCGACCGTCCATTCCAGACGCCCTGTAAGAAGACAGTATATCAAAGTCATTGCGCTCACAAATAAAGTGTGTATAGCGATGAAGCTGTGGCAGTACCAGTCTAGCTGTATAAGACGTTTTGCAAGCAAGCATATAGTACCGCATGACTTGACGCACTGGTCGACAAAGAACTGTGCCTCGGGTGAGCTTGAGACTTCGATATCTTTCGAAATTAGAGGAACAAGCAGTATCCGTATAGTCTTGTGGTACAGGAGCGTCATGAACAACTGGTTGTGCTCTTCATCAAAAGCGGGCAGGTCGTTCTTCCATTGCTGCACTCTCTCGTACATCACTCCGATATCTTTCAATAATGTCACAATGTCCCGTTCCTGGTCAACCCGGTAGATGCTGTGCTGGATAACAGAGTCTATTCGCCGCAGCTTGATGAGATTGATGCCAACCGTCATGTCGGTGATGACAGTCGAGCCCATTTTTTCTGGGTGTTTGTTGATGATGTCGTCCAGCTCATGACAGTCTGTCACAGAGTCATCTATATTGTATGGTAATTCCGCATCGATGTCGTAGTCGGAGAGACACATTGGTCGTCCAAAGTGCATGCAAATGCTTCTCTCCATCACATAGGCGCTCCAAAAGACACGACGGCGCATCACAGACTCGTGCAGCTCTTCAATAGGAACAGGCCCGGTCTCACGACGGTGCAAATTCAAGTCCACACAGAGACGTATAATAAGACCACACAGATGCCATATCTGGTGACTGCGCGAGGAGCGGAGCATGAAATATGCGACCAGAATCAAACACCTCACCGCGTCGATATCCACAACGGCGCAAATTCGGTCCAGATCCTGTGAAGCATCCGCATATATGTCGTCAGCATTATAGTAGGTAAAACCTTCTAGCGTGTCTGCCTTGATCATCTGGGTGACGCGCAAACCAATGGCGTATATCATAAGCAGGGCAAACCTATTGACCGCGTCCTGTCTGGTTTCTGGTTTCTGTAACAGTTCTTTTCTATTCCGGTGTAATTGGTAAGCATGATCTCTGTGAAGAAAAGGAAAGCGAGAAAACATTAGTTTCATGCATGACTCAATGAGACGTTTGCCCATTTCGTCGTCTTCAATCAAGCGCGTGTAATCTGGCGGGCCTGTGTTGGAAGGCGGAGTTTCCAAAGCTTCTGGCACAAATTTATCCTGATGTTCGTTCAAAGGAGAGCCATCAAGGGCTCTGCGGAATATAAATGACAGATTGGGGCCAAAAGAGGACTTTTCCGGGGGTTCTTTGATGCGAGGAGGATTAGACGCCAACTTGAGAGCCGTGTCTGCGGTTTCTGAGTGAGACTTCGACTCTAGATACTTGATCTTAGCCTCCAACTGCGCGATGTATTTCGCCGTCTGCTCTTCGTGGTGCAATATGGAACACTCCAAGCCAGCCTTGCGACACACCGTACAACCTTTCACGTCAGGAATTCCGTCACATTTCCGCTTGGAACGTTTGCACCGTTCACAAGCAAATCGAGAGCGGTTAGACATGAAGAGATAGAAGGTTACACCATTATTTTCAATTTTTAAAGGTTTGAACATCCTTGCACAGCTATGGGTATTTTTTTTTTGATAAAATTATGACATTGGAATTATCGGTCCTAGGATATATATGATGGGAAGTCCAAATCGAAATTATTCATTCTTCTTATGAGTTCCCCATCCATAGCTCCCAGGACGAATCAGGCGATTGCACCGTCAACAGGCTCAGAAATGCCCAAGATTACCAAGATCATGACGTCGAAGGATTGGGTCCTGCCTCCCAGGCCTAAGCCAGGGCGTAAACCAAGCGTTGACACGCCAGCAACTAAGCGAAAGGCACAAAACAGGGCAGCTCAGCGTGCGTTCCGGGAGCGCAGGGCCAACCGTGTGAGCGAGTTAGAGACACAGATTCTTGAACTAGAGCGTGAAAAGAGTATAAAAGAAGGCATATTGACCAACACCATTAAGAGACTGGAAGCACAGAACGAGAGTCTGAAAAAAGCGCTGGAGGAGATGCGCGCAGGTCTTCAGCATGTGCAACGACAGGTCTCCTCTACCAGCGGCGCTTCGCCCGGAATATCGCCAACTAGTGATAGTCCAGCCACTCCGCAATCACAATCCGCTCTGTCGACTCGTCGTAAAGTGACGTCTATTCCAGATGCCGATCTGACTAAAGCAGCTTCGATGATGATCAACTTCAAAAACAGTTCGCGACATAATAGTGTTTCGTCTGGATCGTCTGGCAGAAGAGACCGAGATAGCAGCAGCCTGAGTCTGCAGCAGATTTCGCCTGCTCCGTCAAATCCTTCGGACAGTTCGCGGACGTCGGCTTGCGGTATGTGTTTGAAGGATGACTGTCTGTGCGAGACAGTGGGAATCCGCAAAAGAGAGAATTCGATAAACCTTGACGAGTTTGTTCCTGCCCCCGCCGTGCCGTTGAAAAGAGTCAAGGAGTCAGAGCAGGAGATCGACTTCACCAACAGTTTCAAGCGCGCAAAGAAGCTGCCTGTGCTCAAACCGACTGAACAAAACGATATGCTTTTCAGATCCCCGAATTCTGCTTCGCTGGGCGAGGAAAATCCCGAGTATAGTAAATCAACAATTGCACCAGAAGACCAATGTGGTTTTTGTTCCGATGACACGCCGTGTGTGTGTCGAGAAATTGCAAAACAAAAAGAGATGGTTCAAATGAAAGATAATCTGATCACCAGCGAATTGAACAAGAACGAGAAGCGTGCAGAAAATGATGTGGACAACGAGTCTGAAGAAGAGCAGCCGGCGTGCACAGGCAACCCAGGAAATTGTGCCCAATGCCAGCAGGACCCTATGTCTACGCTTTTTTGCACCACGATAGCTCAGCAAGCCAAGCCGGAGCTCCACACGCCGCCAACTACAGCCCCGAAACTTGACTTCCCACGCCGCGCAAGTAGTGTCACCTCGCTGCCTGCATTAAACGAGCTCGAGATTAACCACCCTGGTAAGCATTTTATCCCTTGCGCTGATGCCTACAAAACGCTGTCTAGACATGTTAACTTCCAAACCGCAGGATTCAACAACATCATCAGCAACTTGAATACCAAGGGTATGTATGTCGAGGTTGAGAGTGTTGTGAACTGTCTGAGGGAGATGGATAGAAAGTTCGGTAGCAACTAGCTAAGTAGTAAAATAGATACGAGACAGATTCATGTCGTCAGATAAATGGTTTATTGTCATGTGTAAAAACGAGGCCGGATTTGGTAATACTTGCACCCCACCAATTCGTCAAAAGTCGTTCTGAAAAATACATTTTGAAAGGAAATCTTTGAAAACAGGGCAAAAAAGTTGGTGTTTTTTTACAGGGGATATTTTTAATTGGAATACCGCCATCCCCATGGACATCACACATGAGTGCAGAGCCACCTGTTCCCGCTTTTGAAGAGACTAGCTTGGCTCGCCAAAAAGATCCAGACCCTATGACTTCATCCGACACCCCGCACCCCGTCCTTGGGCATTACCGACTTCGGCTTACAGACAATCAAGTAGTTACAATTGCGGGTGGACTTGCCGGATTTTTGTCTGGCGTTGTTGTATGTCCATTGGATGTCACAAAAACCCGTCTTCAGGCACAAGGATCATATCTCAGAAATCTCCAAGACGAGGTCAAGATCAATAATTTTGAGAAACGCAGATACACAGGAATACTAAGGACCTTAGGAACCATTTGGCATGAGGAAGGAATACGTGGATTATACAGAGGCCTGGTGCCCATCACGTTTGGCTACTTTCCAACATGGATGATCTACTTCTCGTGTTATGAAAAGTTCAAAAAGATGTATTCATATATTATTAAGGACGACACTATAGGCTATTTTGCCAGCGCCATTTCATCCGGCGCCATATCTACCACCGTCACAAATCCAATATGGGTGGTAAAGACAAGATTGATGTTGCAGATGAATAAAGGAAGGACTATTTACGACAGATTCGGCGACACTGTCGGTGCAGCTGCAACGCCCGGCGGCATCAAACGAGAATACTACAACGGAACCATAGACGCATTTGTGAAGATGTATCACAGCGAGGGAGCGCGTTCGTTTTATAGAGGACTTCTGCCGTCCTATTTCGGACTTGTTCATGTTGCCATTCAATTCCCATTATACGAGAACTTCAAGAAGGTGCTCCACGTTCATGGCGACACCTTCGACGGAAAAACCATGAATTTCGATCAATTTTGCAGATTGGTTCTATCTTCATCATTATCCAAGATATTGGCTTCCGGTGTCACTTACCCGCACGAGATATTGCGCACAAGACTGCAAATCGTCAATAGTGACTCGACTAAGCCCAGTGCTGGATTGCTGAAGACTCTTTTGTCAATCTACAAGAACGAAGGATTTCCCGGGTTTTATTCCGGATTTCTTGTCAATCTCGCAAGAACGCTTCCTGCCAGCGCGGTCACCCTTGTTTCTTTCGAGTTCTTCAAGAGTTACTTACAAGCTACAACTAGATAAATAGAACCTTATAATATTCCTGGTGTACGGATGCATACACCACTATGCGAAAATGCTATTTCCATTTTTGTTTGTCCAGGATGGTACTCTACCTGGCACTATTAAAGTTAGTGGTGTTCGCGGCCATTGCGGCCGCCGAAGTGGACGAATTTTTCCCTGAGCCACTCACAGTCGCCAACTTTGACAATGTGTTGTCCAAGGGATTCCATTTTGTCGAATTTTTCTCCCCACACTGTTCCCATTGCAAAGCTCTGGCCCCAGTCTGGAAGGAGTTCTACGACACATTTCATGCCGAGGCTGAATCTTATGATGTTTACATCAACCAGGTTGACTGTGTTGTCAGTGGAGATCTCTGTGACCGCGAAAATATCTATATGTACCCAACGCTTAGACTTTATGGACCAAACGACAGAGGAAATGGGGGTAAGCTCTTAGCGTCGTTCAGCAAGGGCTACGAGAGAACGGTCGAGGGATTGACAGCTTTTGTGCGTGAACAGGCAATCGATTCGAGAGAGGAACTTTTGCAGTCCCCAAAAGAGATCACCGATCTGATGAAATCCGCAGACATTGGGGCATTAAGCAGTGCCGATATGATTAAAATCCTCGCAGGACAAATTGAAAAGCCGTACCTAGTATCGTTTTGGCCCGGAACCGATGAGGAACTTAACGTCAATACATTCTCTCAAGATGTGAAGGACAACAAATTGTTCAGCAAGTGTCCTCGGTGTTTAGATTTCCGCAATTTGTGGAGCATGGTTGGGCGTCGTCTTTCTCCGCTTATCAAACAAAATGAACTCTCGGTTGGTTATTTGAATTGCAAATCCAACAAGGACATTTGCTTGTCTTTAGGAATGGACGATTTGCTTGCAGACAATTATGGCACCTATGATCCCAAAATTTTCATGTTCTTGCCCGGTGATAGAGGTGGCAACAAAATACGGTACAAGTCTTTGACATTGAACGGAAAGCAGATAATTAATTGGAGCAAGCGGCTGCTAGATATCGCCAAATTTGAAGACATAACGAAAGCCGATTTGACCAAGAAAATGAAACTCAGATCCTCGCCCTTTAGAAAAGAGGATTTTACAGAATTAGATGTGGATCCGATAATCACATTTGTCTATCTCTACTCCAAGGAGACGGCTGTGCCTGAGGACTTTTGGCTTCTTGATCATTTAGTCCAACCCCTGATGGATTTACGCTCAAATGTTAGGCTTTACAAAAGCTCTGACATGGAATTTATGGATCTTGCCAAAAAACAGGAGGAGACCTTAATCAAGTACGTGAATCAGGAGATTGCCGATCCTGCAAATCAACTTCATTTTGACGAAGAGATGTTCACAGCTCGCACATTGACTACATACCCAATGCTTTTATGCTTCAAAGACGACTCGTTAATCTCACATGTTTTCCAGAGTTTTGGATCTCATGACATCAGAGATTTTAATGTTGTGATGGACTTTATCAAAGTCAATGCCGACCCCTTTGTGGAACAGATGACTGATGCCTCGCGTGACGCTATATTTCCAAGGAGCTTTGATCCAAGTATCATGTCAAAAAACGAAAAAGTGGTATTGGTTGTTACCGATGCGAATGACCACACAAAATTACACAGACAAGGGTATGCGCTTTCTCAAATTGGACATAGGTTCCACTACCTCAAGCAGATGAACCAGTTTGAGAAACTAAAAAGACTCAGGGGAGAAAAGTATGCCAAAGTTGAAAAGCTGAAAGCCAAGGGAAAGGACAATGTGGAGATCATTCGCGCCTTAAGAGAGCAGGTTCCAAATGTATTCGAGATCAAGGACAATAATCTACATTTGGTGTATGTTGAACAGGCTAAGCTCAAGTCGATCTCTGAGAATCTGGGCTGGTCTAAATTCAACGCGCAAAATTATAAACCCGGAGATATTATAATAGTCTCACGATTCACCAATGACTACTGGGATACCTCTTTGAAAGGACAAAAACTATCTAGTGACACCATCTCTGAGGTAGTGGACATTTTGTCTGCGGCAAGTTTCCAAAAGCTTGCAGGAAGGCGGCTGCGGTCTAGTCTCTCTATTCCTGCAGCTTCCACATATTTCGTTTTGTTCTTTTTCATCGCAGTTTTGATATTAGGATTGTCCAAGAGCCGGGCAACAGCTCGTTTTCGCTCTCCACCAGACAGGTATAGGAGCTTGAAACCCTTCTTTTCCGATACTGAAGCCAACGTTGGCTCCGGTCCTGCACTTGGTAAAGTTGATTGATGGTGTAGAGGTGATATTTTAAAGGTATAAATAAATAGAAAATTGTAATTAATAGTTGAATAAGCATAAGGCCTGTTGCTAGAACTATATCGCTTATTTTTGTCAATTTGCTTTATAGCGATTCAATCATTGAAAGGAGAACTGTCTATAGAAGTTAGAGTATCACCAGTGGCAAGAGTGCGTCGCGATCATGAGTGAAGAAGACAAGACATCGAGCATAGATGTGGCCTCTAGCGCAGGAGTTTTCGAAAAGGCATTAAACTCATGGGCTGTGATTGACCTTCCGAGCCTGCAAAAGGAGATGGACGCAAAAGGACTAGAGATCCAGGCTTCTCAGAAAGAATCACTCCTTAGTAGAAAAGATCTGGCCACGAAAACAAAAGCATTTAAAAAGCTACCTGAGGAGGAAAAGCTGGATCAAATCAACCAATTGGTCAAATCATATCAGAATGAGGTAGACAGCTTGACGAAGAAAAATAAGAACGTCGAAAACGTATTTTTTCATATATATAGGGCCCTTGCCGAGGCCCCCGATCCGAAGAGATTGCTCCAGATCAGTCTGGAGGCGGTTCTGAGCATCAAGGACGTGGAAAAGCTGAAGGCTGAAAAAGCGGACCTCGAGGAGAAGCTTTTAGGGTATGCTGACTACGAACAGCTGAAGTCCAAGATTGCAAGGATTGAAGAGGAAATGGCTAGGGCTGTGGAAACTCAGTTGCAAGCCAAGGATAACGAATGGCAGGCTCTGCTAGAGGAGAAAGAACTAAATTGGAGGAAGAAGGAGCTTGAATTGGGAGACACTATTGGAAAACCAAAGAAGGAGGTTGAGGAGCTGAAAGTGAACGATGAGATCATGCGTCTCCGGTTGAAGAGTCATGCCCACACGCTGAATACAGAGGATGATGGAGATGACGATACATTAGCAGATGGACAAAATTTGAAGGAGCGTGCTGCTGATACTGTTGAGTTGCAAATGCTGAGTCGGGACGCGGAGACGGCCAAGTTGCGCGTGATGGAACTGGAACGCCGCAACGAGGAGCTGCGACGGGAAATCAGCTCAGCGCGGAGCGACGTGGAGATTGACAAGCTGAAGCAAATGAACAATAAACGTATCAGCGAGTTGGAGAGCGAAAACGCATTGCTGGTTGCACGGCTGGAGCACGAACGCAAAAACGCTGACAAACTCAAATCTGAGATCCAATCCAAAATTGAGGCCTCGCAGAGAGAGGTGGCTCAGCTGAACAGAGAAGCTGAACAGTTACGGCAGAGAATCAGTGAAACTCAGGATTACGACGAAATCAAAAAAGAGCTTGAGGTTTTGAGACAGATAGAGCTGGGTGACGATGACGAGGTTCCTCAGCTGGATTCTGCAATTGTTCAGCGTAACAAAAAGCTCAACAATGAGTTAATTGAGTATCGTTCAAAGAACGAGGAGCTGACCAAAAAGTGTGAGATTTTCGAGAAACAAGTATCCGAGCTTGCAAAGCAGGTCGAGCGCCTGAGTGAAATGAACTCCAAGCTTGAAAACGATCTCATGAATTTCGAAAGCGGCTCTTCCAACAACGATAAGTGGGAGACGATGTCGATGATTTCCTCAGTTGCGCCGTCTGTGGCGGGAGGCTCGATGATTTCAGGTGCTCCTTCGCGAGGGGGAAGACTGTCGCCTGCATCTTCTATTGCAGGAGGCTTCGAACCGGGTGCCGTTGCTACTCAGAATAACTCCATCTTGCCTATCATAACGCAGCAGCGAGACCGTTTCCGTATGCGCAACAAGGAGCTGGAGGAGGAGACGAAGAAGCAGTTTTCGAAGATTGTCGAGCTTCGAAGAGAAATCAACGCGCTGAAAAATGATAACAAGGGTCTTTACGAAAGAATACGGTTCCTCCAGTTCCACCAGGACGCCAAGCAGACGCAGACTGCTGCTCCTTCGCGCGATCTTGAGAGCAAGTACAGAGACAGCTACGAGCAGGAGTTGCATCCAATTGAGCAGTTCCGCATCATGGAAAGCCAGAGAATCAGTTCTCGCATGTCGCCGTTTGAGCGGATATTTATCCAGGTAACAAGGTTTGTGCTGAGCACCAAGTATTCGCGACTTATGTTTGTTGCTTATTGCTTTGGTCTACACATGCTGGTGATGATGCTTATGGTGTATGTGCTAGGAAGCACAACTGCTGGCGGCAGCAGGCCTGGCACCAGCATGACAACAAGCACAGGTGGTGTTGCAGGCGGCATTGCAGGAGGTGTAAAGAGTCCGCGTTGATGACATATGGATGGATCGTCCATGGCACATTGTAGGTGATTTCAAAGTAATATGATCAAGAGATCGAGGCATTTGAAGCCGTGGGCCAGTGTACTACTTACTTTGTACTTGAGTGTAAAGCTTGCTATCTGGAAGTGTCTTGCAGAACCAGCTTGAGAGGAAATCTGGTGTTCCGCCTAGGCTTACAGCTCAAGGAAAGCGTTCGCGAAATCAAATAATTTATCGCGATTTCCTAATCAGGACGCCCGATAGCGATATATATTCGGAGCAGTGAAGAAAAAGTTAACGGAGAAATAAATATACAGGAAAATGTCTAAATCGAAAGTTCTTCTTGTTGGAATGGGCGGCGTGGGGTCCATTGCCGCCTACTCGCTTGAAAGAGCCGGCAAGAGTGAGGTGACTGCTGTCGTCCGGTCTGACTACGACACTCTGACCAAGGAGGGCTTCGAGCTGCAGTCTTGCGACTTTGGCAAGGTCGACGTGTTCCGTCCAACCAATATCTGCAAGAGCGTTGGCGAGGCCGTTTCCAAACATGGCCCGTTCGACTTTGTGGTGTTCACCATGAAAAACACGCCGGACGTGCAGCCATTGAACCCTTTTATTGAAGAGTGTTACCACGACGATCTGGGAATCGTGCTTTTGCAGAACGGATACGGCATCCACAAGGCTGTGCTCGAAGAGTTCCCTTCTGCGTACGTGATCTCCGGGGTGACAATGATCTCCTCGACATTGTACGGACGCACCGTCAAACAGGTCGCCCCGGAATCGGTCAAGGTCGGTGTCTGCGACAACGGAAAAACTGATTACGGCAAGCAGGAACAAAAATGCAAAGAGTTTATCGAGCTGTACTCGACGGACAAAAACGACGTCACATTCGACGAGAATGTCAACTACACTAGATGGCGTAAGCTGGTTTACAACGCCACCGTCAATTCGTCGTGCGCATTGACCAACGTTGATATCGGTCGTTTGGAGCTATTTGGAGGCATTGACTCGATTGTGCGTCCTGCTATGGCCGAGGTCCTCGCCATTGCGAAGAGCGACGGCGTGGAGCTGCCAGAGTCGATCATAGAGTTCATGATCCGCTCAGACGACGGCGAGTGGTACCCTCCCTCCATGCTTGTGGACATCCGTAAAGGCAACTACACCGAGTACCAGGTCATTTTGGGCAACGCTCTGGACGTGGCCAAGGAAAACGGCATTGCCGCTCCAGTGCTGACAGTTCTGTATAACCTGCTGCACGTGATACAGTGGCGCACCATGGAGGAGAAGCACCGCTTCACTTTGCCAGAAAAGAGACCGCTGCCGCAGGATAATTTCAAAATAGAATTCAAACAATGATTTAATAAATTCCAATTATTTTCTCCCCTTTTTTTACGTGTTTTTTTGTTTATGTCTCACCGAATAAGAATTTCGCAGAACCCGCCACTCGACACATTGGATGCGCGGCTGAGTCTGGTGTCGGCAGACTCCGTGGCAACGAACGAACGGCTTCTGGACAAATTGGGTCTTCCTGACGAGGACATTGAGAGTTTCGAAGTAGAGCATGAGGCCAGAAACTATGAGCCTGCCAGCCAGTTCCAATCGCTAAAGCCGTTTTGGTACGAGCAAAAGCAAAAAGACGTCAACACAACGCTCGACTCGGACTCGCACAGTTTTGACCTCGGCGATGACGTGGTTGAAGACCGCCCAATCCTTAAGCAGCCGCAACACAGACGAATAGCTTCGATAGAAGAATATTACGTGACCAGCCATTACCTACAACAGACACCAATAGATGCCACGCCTACAAGCCAGCGCACGTTCCACTTTCGCTCGGAGTCCAACACGAACGACTCTGTGCGATTCCGACCCCTATCGCCTCCCCCCTCTGCCGCTGATGCAGTACCAGACGCAGTGGCAGAGCCCTTGAGATCGCCAAATTTCATAAAATCGCATGGGTCCACAGGCTCAGGATCATCGCTCTCGTCGCTAATAAAGTCGCCGTTGAAGGCTCTTCGTGGGAAACAGTCTTCGACACCAGACTTGCAAGACCAGGGGCTTTCGCAGCATTTCCATTCCTTGGAAAATGCGCAAGAAATGCTATCCTATGGGCTTGGTCTGCGTAATGGAGACGATAAGTCTCTCGCCCAAAGCTTCATCTGGATATGTAAGGCTGGGGCAGTGGACACTAACCACAGATACAGCTTCCACATCGATCCACGGAAGCTTGCTTTGCGCCTGCCAGTCCACCCACAAAGCACCATATACTATGAAATTGGGCGTGCGCTTGTACACGGGTGGGGGTGCACAAAAGATCTCGGTCAGGGACTCGAGTTTTTAGAGCTGGCTGCTTCGTTTGGTAGCATCGACGCTATGGAGCTCGCCGCGAAAATTACAAAGAAGCAGCGTTCCAAAGCATGGAAGAAGTTTGCAGAAGACGCTCGGCGGCTTGCTAATAGCCGGTGATCAAGGATAACGTAGCACTAGCAACAGTAAAATGTGTCATAAATTTAATTGTACATTTTTTTAAATACATAAATCACATTAGTCTGTGCTGATAAATATAGGTACTTTTTCGAACGTTGAACCCATCCTTCAGCAATTCCTGCACCTCCTCCAGTTGCAATGAGCCCAGTTCGGGGTAAACAAGAAATATGAACACCCATGAGGCCAGCGAAATTCCAGCAAACACGAAAAATGCGCCTGCTGGAGAGAGCCATTGCATTAGCGACAAGAAGCAAGCGGAAACCACCAAGGATCCGGTCCAATTGGTAACGGTCGCCAACGAGGTGCCCATACCACGTACAGATTGTGGAAATAATTCTGCTTGCTGCCACGGAACATTGCCCAGTCCAACTGCGTAGAATGCAACGAAGAGAACCAATCCCAGAAGGATCGACCATTCCCAAATCCCCAAGTCTTCTTGTTGCACTTTCACGTCGATATGTAGGAAAGCCACGGCGCAGAGAAGCTGGGCGCACATAAGAAACGGAATGGATATCAAAAGCATCCTCCGTTTCCCAATCTTGTCGACAATAAGAAAAGCCACAATGGTGAACAGAAAATTCGTCCCTGCCACAAAGCAGCTGACGGCGGTACTGTTTGTGTATCCGACCATCTTGAAAATCGTTCCTGAAAAGTACATCAGCGAGTTTATTCCGACCAGCTGCTGTATTGCCTGGAGCCCGCATCCAATGACGAGTGCACGCTGGTTGGACGGAATGCTGAAAAGCTGGGACGCGGAGTTCTTGAGACGTTCGAGCTCGGTCTTTCCCGGCACAGCAGCGTTGAGTAGATGGATTTCTGCGATGCTGGCCTCGATAAGGTCTGACGGACACCCCAGATACACTTTGCGGAGCACCTGGCGGGCAGCCTTGTGCTTGCCGATGGAAATCAGGTAGCGCGGCGTATCTGGCAGAAAAACAAAGGCAATCAGCTGGATGGTAGATGGAAGCATCGAAATCGCCACAATGGCTCTCCATCCGCCGTGGTAGCCACCTAGTACTGCTCCTATCGCGTAAGCCACTAGCTGGCCACCGGTAATGGCCAGACAGTTTATGATAACCATTCGTCCGCGGAACTTGGCAGGAGAGAGCTCACTAATGTAGAGTGGAGCTATAAGCGACCCGATCCCCACTCCCAGACCCATGACCAGACGGCCCGCAATCATGGTCACCACCCTGGCAGCCAACAGCTGCAGCAGGGCGCCCAGTACAAACAGCACGTTGCAGAGGATGATGACCAGCTTCCGCCCGTATAGGTCGGCAATATACCCGGCGAACACGCAAGCCACCACGGCGCCAAGTGAGGTCCCACTGGTGATCAACTCTTTCTCCGAGACTAACAGCTCACGACCGTCGAGATCGCTGCCGATGGTGACCAGAACTGATGAGATGTAGCCGGTGTCGTATCCGAACATAAACCCAGAAATTGAGGCCAGCGCCGTCAGGCCCCAGACAAGCGGGGATGGATGGTGTATAAGCGTATCCAAATGAGTGCTAGCAGATTGGGTGTCTGAGCCGGACAAGCCGCGGTATTCGCTGCGGGTGCGCAGGAACTCAGCGTGCTGTCCTGCAGAGCGCAGGTCAAACGAGTTGGTGAGCGGCTCCTCTGTGCTCGGTCGCGAATCCCTGATCGCCATGGTACTGGATAAATAAATAAATAAATATTGATTTCTATATATAACGGCTGTGCAGCGAAAAATAGTAATGCAATTTAGTACCAATCAAAAGAGGTACTGATGAGCAGTCTGTTGGGGACCGGTTCCAGTTTTGTTTCGGCTGGCAGTTCAGTGGTCTGCTCCACATCATAGATCAATGTACGCGGAGTGTCAGTCTTGGCCAGAGCACAGTCCATGGCAAGGTTCTTACTCGTGAGAACTTCCTTAATTTCTGGTTTCAACGCACGCAGTTGGGACTCGCCAAAGTCCCCATAAATCACAAACGAGTCCATAAGCCACTTTACAGACAACTCTTCAGGAAGCTCTGCTGCGAGCTTCTCTGCAGTCATGCCCATGAACGGGTCTTTCACGACTATGGCGTTGAACTCGGCACTCTGCTGCCGCAGCTCTTCAATTTGGAGTGCGCGCTCGCGTTTTTTTCTCTCTTTCTCTTTCATCCTCTCCGACACAAACAACGCCTCCTTCAGCCCGATCTTGGGCAGTCTTGAGCTCGCCTGCAGTCTCACAAAAACGCTCCTTTTGGGCTCTGGGTCTTGGCTCTCACTGTAGAGCTTGTACGTTTCGGCCAGCTCATGGATGAATTTCCGCTGCAGCTTTTTCATCGGACGGAAATGGTACGTCTGCCTGCCGAGCTCGCGCGAAACGAGCTTTTGCAGAATCTGCTCTATGCTCTCGCACCACACTTTTTGCTGCGAGTACAGTGACAGAACGTACGGTGTATAGGTTTTTTCGAGAAGCAGGAACCGCGACACAAGGTCGCCTTCCATCGGCGCGTCGGACACGTCTGTGAGCGCGCTCAGTAGCTGTCTGTTTCTTTGTTCCAATTCGCACTCCTCGTCGCACTCCAGCGGCTCTGTGTTCAAGGAGCACAAAACGGTGCGCGAGAGCCGTTTGCAACCGCAATGGACGGTGACCCGTTCTTGGCATGGGATCGACTCGTTGCACTCTTTCGGTGCGTGGCACACCTGGCGGCACGGATGGCCGCATGCGCGCGGCTTCCCGCATTGGCTTGTGCATTTTGTCTGGCACTGTCCCGGCGGATGGCATATTTTAGGGCATCTGTGGCTGCCACAAGGAAGAAGCTCGTTGCAGACACGGCCGCACGAAACAACCGTCTGGTAGCACATGGCGTTGTTGATCTCGATGCGTTTCGAGCATTGGCAGTACTTTGTCACGCGCTCCGTGCACCGAGGACACTCCTTGTCGTCCTCGTGGCAGTTGTGGATCTCAGGCCGGTGTCCGCATTTAGTTGGCCGTTGACACTGGTTCAAGCACACGGGGAGTTTGGTTCCGCACCGCACAGGAGCGGAAACAATCGTCTGGCCGCAGTGGCACACCAGGTCCTCGGACGAGGACTCCAGACACGGCCGACAGGGCCCCAGATGGCAGGTCATCTGACAGTGATGTTTGCCGCACGAAAGCAGCTTGCCGCACTCACGCGTGCACACATGGACCGCCTCGATCGTCATCTGGTCTGCCGTGCTGCGCGCGTCGATGGTGTTCCTTCTAATTCCCTTGAGTCTGTTTCGCTCGCGCACAGCAGCCACCGGCTCGTACTCGCAGCAGACTTCCAAGCATCTGTGGCGTCGACAGCTCATTAAAGCCTGGCATTTGTGGTTGCACGCAGGGACATAGCCCTGCTGCGCCAGTTTGCAGGCTACCGAGTACTGGGTATAGTTGCAGCGACACTTAGAGTCCACCACCGCGTAACAAGGCGCACACTCACCTTCGTGACAAGGCCAGTAGCACGTATGGCCGCATTCCAGCTTTTTGCCGCATGTCTCTCCGCACGTCGGCACGGGTTCCAAACAGGACTTTCTTGGAGAGGCGAGCTGATCCAGCTTGTGCTTTCCACATGGACAGTGGGTGAGCAGGGCTGGCGACCGCGGACACTTGTGGCCGTTGGGTGTCTTTGCATGACAGGGTTCTGTGCATCTGTGGTTCCCGCAGTCGAGCGAGTCATCGCAGACCTCGTCGCACTGGAAACAGCCCGTCCACTGCGCAGTTGCCGTGTGAGACCGCAGCGGAGCACGCTCGTGGCACTTGAGCGAGGCAGTGTGTTTTCCGCAATAGCATCGGCCGGTGATGGGTTTTTCACAAGGACCACATAGACCAGCGTGGCAGCTGCGGCCGCATGTGTGCAAATTGCATGGCATCAGGTCGTCGCAGGGCCGGGAACATGACCAGCCCGTCTTGTAGGGAGTCAACGCGCAGGGGAGCTGCCGTTCGGCAGATCCACAGCTGCATTTCATCACAGGTCCCATGGCCGTGCACTTCTTGATATGCGGTCCCGGGTGGCAAGGAAAAGAGCAGCCATGGACACAGTTTGGTAGCGGCGAGTTGCAGGTCTGGCCGCAGGAATGGGGCTCGAACTCGTTTTCGGGCGGGTTCAGCACCTTGCCGCACCAGCAGGTGTACTGTTTGGGGAGCTTGAAGTGGGTGTTGTTGCAGGAAGGACATCGCCAAGAACGGTCTTTCGCGGTGGATGATCCTCTTTTGGCCCAATCTCGGATGCAGGACAGATCGAAGGCCCTGTAGCAGTGGTGGCAAGACCAGATCTTCGAGGATTTGTCCATCTCACCCGTGCAGACCAGACAGGTGTACTCGCCGCGTCTCAGCTCACTCAGGAGAGACTCTGCGATGTTGTCAGACATGACAGATGGAGTTGAAATATTTTTTTTTCATTATTTTTCGCACCTTTAGATTTTATTATATTTTTAAGCTAAATTGAGGGGATGGCTCAACCAAACGATCCTTGGACGAAAAGGTAATTATTTTTTCGAGTGGCTACTAACGCAGAGATGCATGGAGATACGAAGGAGTGTTTCATAAGACACAGCGGTTTAAAGGCGCACTGCCGGGACTTGGACTCGGCGTGGCTGCGTTTGTGGTGGTGAGTGTCTACGAGGATTTTATAGCCCCCAGGTTTGCCAAAGAAAGCCAGGAACACAAACATTGAGGTTTCTGCCGTACACCAAGACTTATTTATTATCCACTCAATGTGACTTTTATTATGACTACTTATCTATCGCGAGGAGAATTGGGAGCACAGGACCCACACAGACTTACTTCCGCTCAGGCGACCGGTCTCTGAGGTTGCCCTTCGTCTCCACCCAGCAGCTATAATGGTACACTCTGCCCTTTTTCTCTATGGCGTTACGCCATATCCATTCGCCCATCTCGTCGTCAAACACTCCAACTAATTTTTCTCTACAGATTCCACACACCGTCTCGTTATCGCTATCTTCCGGAATGGCAACTATCTGCTTGTTGACCTCCTCCTCGGACAGAGCCTCCTTAACCACCACTCGGTTGGTTTCCAGAGTGTCTGACGTGTACCCCACTATCTCGTCTTCCTTGAACTCGATCCACTTTGCGTCGTTCAAATACCACGCCCTGTTGTAGAGCTGTTTACCCGTGTCTTTCAATTTCTTATTTGTACGAAAGTGCCAGTCTAAGTGCTGCTGGCGTGCTATGGCGCCTTCTGGCGTGCTGGCGAAACGCTTCGGACAGTTCGAGCACTGGTTCGGCTTGGAAGAGTAGATTAGAGAGATCTCGTCTGCCGTTGGCTTGTGGTTGTTGAGTAGCACCTGGCTCAGCTCAATCGACAACATCACAAAGCCAGAAGACGCGGGAGCCGGCTGCTGCAAAGACGGCTGAGGAGTGAGAGCTTTTGCTGGGTTGAGTCCTAGAAGCTTCTGCAACTCAGGCGTGGAGAACACGGCAGGACCTGGGGCAGGAGCTGCGGTCGGGGCCGGCGGAGGGATCTTTGGAAGCGATGCTGGCACAGGAGGGATGTTGGGCAGCGACGCTGGACCCGGTGGGGCTGTCGGAACCGGCTGAGCAAACGGCGGTGGCTGGGCTCTTCTGTACTCGTCTTCACGGATTCCTGCGAGCTGTCTCCGTACCACTTCGAGCTGCTGGACGGGGATCTGAGCCGGCTGCGAGATGATGTTGCGCAGCTGGTCAAGAAGCTCGAAGCGCTGCTTTGTTTTCTGGTCGGCGCCTCTGTTGAGTCGCTGGCCAACCATTCGTTTCAGGTCGTCGATGTCCTTAAGCAGGACTTCTTTGGAAAGCGGCTCCTCGACCTTATTGTTGGCGGTGGCACGAATAAGAAACTTCTCGATGAGGTCCAGCTGGTCATCGTTGAATAGGGGCATTCCCGTTACTGGGTTAGCCATCTTCCATGTCTTGAATAGCTTGATCATTTTGACGCGGGTCGGGTCGTCGACAAGCGAGTATGTCTGTGTAAACGTCTTATACAGGTTTATGCTAAAAAGCCGAGTATACGGACTGCCAACCACTTTACATATCGAGTCTAGAAGATAAAGGGCGAACAGTTTCTGTGTGGGAATGGCTTTTGAGATCCGCTTCTCTACAGCCTTAACGATTTCCGCCGCATGCTCCACGTTCTCCTGCGCCAGCTGCGTGTGGCTCTCTATGATGGGCCGCGAATTGAACGTGAGCGTTTGGAGTGAGTCGTAGTAGTCGTTTCCGAACTGAACAGAAGACATGCCGGGTAAAAAAAAAACAAGAAAAACATTTCACCAATATTTTCTCAACCAGAATGTGGGTCAGAGCAGTCAGACAAGGAACAAGAGGATACCGTGGTTTTTCGACCGGTCGCGTGTGGCTGAACGAGGCCAAAAACGAGGCCAAGAAGGAGGCTGCAGAGGCTACCCAGGCCGGCGGCGAAAAGTCGATTGCCTCTCTGGAGTCGGAGCTCGCCTCCATCAAGGAGAAGTTGCTTGCCAAGGACAAGGAGTGTGCCGAGCTCAAGGACAGATACGTGCGTTCTGTGGCTGATTTCAGAAATTTGCAAGAGACCACCAAGAGAGAAATGCAAAAAGCCAAGGACTTTGCTCTGCAGCAGTTTGCCAAGGACCTTTTGGAAAGTATTGATAACTTTGGACATGCTCTGAACGCCGTCAAGGAGGAAACTTTGAAGAGCAACCAGGAGGTCTCACAGCTTTACGAGGGTGTGAAGATGACCAGAGACGTTTTTGAGAAGACGCTCGCCAGACACGGTCTGAGCAAGATCGACCCTATCGACGAGCCGTTTGATCCAAACCGCCACGAGGCCACTTTCCAGGCGCCTGTGGAGGGCAAGGAGCCTGGCACAGTGTTCCACGTCCAGCAACCGGGATTCGAGCTCAATGGAAGAGTTCTCCGTCCTGCCAAGGTTGGTGTCGTTAGAGAGAACTAGCTGTATATAGTCTAATGATCAGATAATTGCGTATGATTGTATTACACTATGTACTTGTATCCGTCCTCTTTTTTCTGCGCAAATCCCACCTTGAGCCGTCTGTCTTTCAAGAACAACGGACTTTTCTTGATCCTCTTGATCGCCTCAAGTGCCAGCTCGGGGCTCAAAAACCGCACAAACCCGTATCCCAGACACTTGTTGGTGATCGGCGCCTTGGCAAGCCCGCATCGAATCGCATGCAGCGGCGCAAACAGTTTCATCACCTCGTCCTCGGTCGCCTCATAAGGCAGGTTTCTTACCATCAGAATCTCGTACTTTTTCTCGTCCAGATAGTTGCGACGCTGTTCCACCTCGCTGCGCAGATCCAGTCGGATCGGCAGGTTTTTGATCACACGGCCCTGCATCTGCACTTTGGCGGCACGGGCCTGCTCCTCGCTCTCGAACTCAACGTAGCCGTATCCCTTGAACTTGCCCTTTTCCTTGACGAGCCGCACGTCGTGAACCCCGCCCAGTACCTTGAAGACGTCGCCGACCTGCTGCTCCGTCACGTCGAATGGCAGCTTGCTCACCAACAGCGTCCTGTTGAGACTGTAAAACCGTCGCCACATAGTAAAATTTTCCGGTGCTGAGATGTTTTTTGTAATATTCCATGTCAGCTCCTCCGCCACCACCTCCTCCTCCGGCACCGCCAATGGGCGGGCCGCCTTCACAGGCGCCGGCCAAACTGCCCAAGGTGACTCCAGATAGAGACGCACTGCTTGGCGACATCCGCAAGGGCAAAGCCCTCAGAAAGGCTATCACCAACGACCGGTCGAAGCCCATGGTCGGTGGCCTTGTGGAATCCGCCTCGTCTTCCCCAGCAATGAGCACCCCCAGCGCGCCAGCTGTGCCCTCTGCGCCAGCAGTCCCGGTCGGAGTGCCGCAATTGGGCGATATCTTTGCCGGTGGAATGCCTAAACTCAGACACAGAGGTGACACCGCTAAAGCGTCGGCAGCCCCAGCAACACCGGCGGTGCCCTCGGCACGCCCCAGACGCGACTCCAAAAGCAAGAGTGCGCCTCCCGTCCCGGGAATTGCGCCTCCAGTGCCAGCAGCACCTGCGTCCTCGGCACCTCCTGTTCCTGGCCCACCGCCGCCAATACCCTCGTCTGCGGCTCCGCCGCCGCCTCCCATGCCTTCCTCAACGGCACCGGCGCCTCCTCCGCTTTCCTCTTCGGCTGCTCCGGCACCTCCCTTGCCGCCCACGTCTGCTCCTCCCCCACCTTCGTCATCAACAGTTCCTCCTCCACCACCAATTCCATCTGCCCCAGCAACACGCCCACAGAACACCCCTTCCGGGCTGTCGAAACTGCCTACTCCGGCTGCCACCTCTGCACCTTCTCCGGGCGCTCTTCCGTTCCTAGCAGAGATCAACGCCAGAAGAGACGACTCGCACGTTGTCAGCGAGGAGGACATAAAGATAGCAAAACCACCGCAGCAACAGGCCCCTGCCGTGCCCTCCATGGCCGCGCCGCCAGTACCGGCTGCTCCCAAGGAGCTGGATAAGAGTCCAGCCGTGCCTCCCGCCCCGCCTACCCCTGCAGCAGCACCTCCGGCGCCGCCAGTGCCTGGCATGCCAAAATCATCGGCCCCACCTACGCCTCCGCCAGCACCTCCAGCACCTCCGGCACCTCCACAGCCACCTGTTCCTGCTTCCACAGCACCATCTCCTCCTTCTGCGTCCGCTGCTTTGCCGACTCCACCGCCTCCTCCAGCTCCTGCACCGCCAGCGCCGGCCCCCCCCTCGCCGACGTACACTCCATCTGTGGAACCGACGGCCGCGCCGGCACCCCCAAAAGTGTCTGCTCCGGCGGTGCCAGTCACGAAAAAAGCTCCACCGCCACCTCCACCGTCAGCAGAGTCCAAACACAGATTCACGTTCTCGCGCTCGAAAGTGTCCGACGAGAGCAAAATCAACACCCAGCAGGCGGTCGGGTCGGACTTGCGCAAGATCGACGCCTCGATCTACACCATCGGCGCTCCGGCCACCTCGACGAGGATCCAGATCGACGAGTCGCGGTTCCACTTCACAAACGAGACAGACCTGCCAAAACCAAGACGTTTCGAAAACAAACAGAAACTATACCCATCCGGGAGGGGCAGCTCGGTGCCGCTCAACCTTTCTCTCTACACCTGATGTATTATCCCTGATATATTATCACCTATGTACAAATATAATTACAGTTTTCATCTAATCACATCTGCCGTCTTTCCAGCCGTCTTTCCAACGCTCTTTCCACAAATTGCAGTCAAACTTCTTCTTTCCCAGCTTCTCGTTCACCTCGTTGTGCGCGTCGCACAGCCATTTGCCAAATTCCTCCTGTGTGCGCACCTTGGGCTTGTCCTTCTCCATGTACTGTCTGAAGTCTTTGGCACAGAACCAGCATGGGTAAATGTTGCCAAACACACGCAGAAACGTCTTCATGTCCTCCTGTTGTTCTTCCGATGCCTGTTCCGGATACCTGGCAGCAACAGAGTGCAGAAACGTCCAGGTGGACCGGCCCAGCTGCTCCACGTCCGGAGGACAGTCGTCGGCCACGGTCTTGGTCGTCGACTTGGTCACCGCCTTGAAGTCCAGCAGCGTGTTACACGAGCGACACGGCTTGCCGTCCTCATCTAAAATAATCTTTCTTCCAGAAGGCCCCACTGACATTAAACTTTATTTAATTTAAATTACTTCATTTTCTAGATTCTCCATATACTGCCCTCACTGGCCATGACAATATTTTCGGCCTCCATCCTATCAATTGCTCTTTCCGCCTCTTGCACAGTGAACTGATCCTCCTGTGACAGCTCGGTGTTAATCATCTGTAGCAAAGCATCGCTCTTGAACTCCTCAACGCCAGGGTTCGCCATGAACACCGAAGAAACAGTCTTCTTGAATAACTCGTATCTGGCCGGCGAAAGACCCACGGTGTTGACGGCCCGCGAAACCGGAACCTCTCCCAGATGCTGCGACTCGACGTCTTTGGCCAGATCCTCCATCTCGTGCTCGTTCACCTGCTGGTCCTCGTGGATCTGCTGCAACGCCTTCTGTCTTCTTGTCAAGATCTTGTTGCCAATAACCTCGTCGGCCTCGGTCTCAGACTCGAACTCGCTCTCCTCGTCGCTATCGCTCTCGGCCAGAACGTCAACGTCGACCTTACGCTTCTTTTTCTGCGGTGCGTTGCGCTTGCTCATTTTCTCTTTGAACAGAGCAAATCTCAGCAGTTCCTGCGCCACCTTCACGTCTTTCAAGTCCACGGTCTGCGAAAGACGCACCTTGGCGTGCGCGGTAGACAGTCTGATCAAAGTCTCGAGCGTTCTTGCCGTGATCGGCGTCGTTCTGGCGTTCTTGGTGTTGTCGTCGTTCCGCAACTCGGCGTAGATGTCCACAATCATGTTTGTGGCATTCTTGGTCAAAACAGGATGGATTCTCTGCTTGGCGTACTGGATGTACTTCTTCAGAAACGGTATCGTCACTATCTGCGGGGTCTTGCCCTTCGAGGCCTCGGCAGCTCCCGCGTGGAGTAGCGGGTTGAACTTTTCGAAAACATCGGTGTTTTCTTCCTCTGGCTCCAAAGGCCGGTCACCAACAGCCAGGGTCACGGCAGGACGCTCTCTGATCGGTTCTCCCTCCGCGTAGCCATTAGGAAGATACCTGTGCATCCGCAGCACGTGCTCACTGATCTGTCTGTCTCGTTCGTCCGAAATGTCGTCTGTCACCACAAACAGCAAATCGAAACGTGAGAGCAGCGAATCGGGAAGCGCAATATTCTGCTGCGGCGACTTGAACGTGTCGTACTGGCCGTAGACCGGGTTGGCAGCAGCAATGACCGAACATCTGGCATTGAGCGAGGTGTGAATCCCTGCTTTGGAAATTGTGATGGTTTGTTGCTCCATAACTTCGTGGATCGCCACACGGTCGACGTCACTCATCTTGTCGAACTCGTCGATACACACCACTCCCCTGTCTGCAAGAACCATCGCACCGGCTTCCAGCCGTCTCTCGCCAGTCTCTTTGTCGGTGGTCACCGCAGCTGTCAAACCAACACCAGAGGAACCACGACCAGTGGTTGCAATGGCTAAGGCCGCAGTGTTGAGCACAAACCGCAGGATCTGCGACTTGGCGGTGGACGGATCACCCACCAGAAGCAGGTTGATATCTCCACGCAAATGTGTGCCGTTGGGCAAGTTCTTTTCTTCTCCACCAAGAAGCATTAGCAAAACAGCTTTTTTGATATACTCGTGGCCGTAAATGGACGGAGCAAGCGACTGCGACATGATTTCGAAAATATCTTTCTTTTTGGCGAGCTTGTTGATGTCTCTGATGTCATAATCGGTGATTTTCTCAACAGCCTGAACCGACGAGGACCGGGCATGTAATGGGTATAGAGAGTTGCCCAGAATGACCACTCTGAACGCCGAGCTGTTGTTCTGCCCGCCTCCTAGCGACCGGAACACACCGATCACCTGCACTCGGTCTCCCGGCTTGACTTTGTCGACCAGATCGTCATCCAGAATGACATCCACCGAACGTGGCAACTGACCAGCAGGTGCAAACTCGGGCAGTTCTTGGATAGCAACAGTCTGGTGGTCTCTGTACTTGGAGTAGCCGTATTCGGTTATCAGCTTGTTTCCGTCCGGGTCCTCTGTCGGATAATTGGCCGAGGTGGTAATTGGGTTGAAACTCGTGGTTTGGTCGCGGTATTCTCTGGCGTGGAATTTTTCCGTGGCCTCACAGTAGTGCACAGATTTTATAATCTTGGGGCGAATAAGAGAAGCGCGAGTCACAATTCCTTCCACAGAAACCATCTTGGACAGGAAAGAGGAGTTAATAGAGCGAGGGGTCAGCTGATGAGCTCCGAAAGCGCCACGGAAAGCCAGATAGAAGTCAGAGTCCTGTGTCACCTCCATCTGCGTGTACTCGTACGCGTTGAAAAGAGCCAGAACCGTTTCTCTCAAAGCCGTCTCTGCAGCAGGCAGATAGTCGGCCGGGTGGTTCAAGAGTCCGTTGGCAAAATCCGCATTAAACTCGCGTAACTCGTCGATCGACACGGCAAGACGACGCTCGCCTTTTTGCAACATGAGTTTGATGGCATCTTTATAGTCTGTTTGTGAGTCGAGGTCTGCGTCCAGAAACTCCTGGAACACTCTCACACGCTCACCAAAAACAGCGTCGGCAGCTTCAACGATTCCGTCCATGAGAAGAAAGGAGGGAGAAGATTTTGTTGCAAATTTCGTGCATATTTCCAGATTCGGGAAATGAGACGCGTGAGATACTGGCATGGCCGACGCGTCGCTGCCGTGAAATCAGCACACCCGTACACCACATAGCCCTTAAAAATATAAGGTAGTTGATCGCTCTTCATCTCTGCAACATGTGCGCCTGACCGGTCACATCTGCCCAACGGGGTGGTGGAGCAAGACTGTAGTGGTCACAGTACATATATCGCAAATTCTGGAGGTGTTCGGCGATTGTCTGCTTACATAATCACCAAGTGACATGACGCAGCTATCTCACTAAGCCGGTGTCTTCCACGCACAGACCCGGAACATTATTCCTAAGCGTGTTTCAAAGTTGCAGACTAATCTCGATACAAGCAACTAGCCTCACAAAAAGGTTTGGCCCCCCCTTTTTTCTTCCTGGATTGGCAAAAAATAAACAACCTTTGGCGTATGTTTATGTTTTTCCCTCCCGAAAAATTTGAAACTATTCCCACCATAACTCCCTTCGTCGATCGTCCTTGATTCACTTTACAACACCTCTTTTTGACTCATAACAACAAAACACTATATCAACCAGGTGAAACCTACGCAACATCCGTAATGAGTGTGCCTCCGACGTCCAGAAGCTCTCGATTGAGCATGAGTTCTGGGACAAAGAGAAGAACTGCAAAGGAAGTGAGATTTGGAGCCTACGTCTTGGGATCTACTTTGGGCGAAGGCGAGTTTGGCAAGGTGAAGCTCGGCTGGCGCAAAGACGGCAAGCATCCCTCGCAGGCCGCCATTAAATTGATTCGCAGAGACTCAATTCCAAAGGGCTCTGAAAAGGAAAACAAGGTCCATCGTGAGATCAATGCCCTGAAACGGCTTGCCCACCCCAACATCGTGAGGCTAGAAGAGGTGCTACAGAACGAGAAGTACATTGGTATAGTGCTTGAATACGCGTCTGGTGGGGAACTCTTTGACTATATTCTTGAGCATCGTTATCTGAAGGAGTCGATGGCGTGTCGCCTCTTCGCACAGCTAGTGTCTGGTGTCGATTACATGCACTCGAAAGGCATTGTGCATCGAGACTTGAAGCTGGAGAACCTTTTGTTGGACAAGCACAAGAACATAATCATCACCGATTTCGGGTTTGTCAATACTTTCAGAAGCACAGACCTTATGAAAACCAGCTGTGGGTCGCCATGTTATGCTGCCCCTGAATTAGTTGTCAGCAGCGAGCCATACGAGGGCCGTAAGGTAGACGTTTGGTCCTGCGGTGTGATTCTCTATGCTATGTTGGCCGGATATCTCCCATTTGATGACGATCCTCAAAATCCCGATGGTGACAACATCGCCAGACTGTATCATTATATCACCACGACTCCATTGACTTTTCCAGAGTACATTCAGCCAACCTCCAGAGATTTGCTCCGTAAGATAATCGTCCCAAACCCAAAGAAGCGGATAGATTTGAAGCAAGTGAGGGCGCACGTGTGGTTGGCTCCACATGCACCATTCTTGTCTGTGACGCCTTCTGAATGGGATAGAAACTACACAAGAGCAAGACAAGCCGTGCCTCAACAGGACAAGATCAACAGAAGACTCTCCCTTATGGAAAACCCAAGCTCAGCTTCCCTCATGCTTAACAAGCCGCACAGCAGATCCTTCGCACCTAAAACTAACTCATCGCTATTGTATTCGAATCCTGCTGCTCCCCAGACCTCGCATACGGTTGCCATCTCATCGGGATCGGATAATTACCACTCTCCTACCACTCCACATGAGCTCTACCGCAGCGGCCGTGAAAAAGCCGGATCATCGGCCAGCTTGGTACTGCAAGCTGTCGTGGAAGCAGACAAGTTCGAAGTGTCACGCAGAAAAAGCATCCAGAGCGACTTCAAGACGTCCGTCCCAAGATCTGCCACGTTCAACGAGGGTACAAGGACATCGCGTAGCAATAGCATTATTTCAAACAATATTCCTCTCAGCTTCGAGACTATAGCGGAGTCCCCAGCCCAACAAACGGAAAGAAGCATGTTGCCACCTTTGCTCCCGCCAATTTCGAGGTCCACTGGATCTCACTGTCCGAACTCAGCTCAGACAACAGCGTCTATATCATCAAAGCTCCCTTCAAGGGCCAACAGACCACGACCAACATCATACCATCCTGCAACAGCATCTTCGGGCTACATGTTCCCTTCTCCAGATCTTTCATTCCTTGTCCCTGCTAATTCCTCCGAGACAAGCTTGACGCGCCCCCTATTCGATAGAGCTAGCTCAAATTCCTCGTCGCCAATCAAAGAGCATCGCAACTCATGGTGTCAGCCGACTGAGCCTATCCTTGACAAGGCCAGTGCTAGCGGCGTGCTGACAACATTGTCTGATCACGGAGAGAAGGAGGAAGAAACCGAAACCATGAAAGACTCTGAGAAACGCAAGAGCGCAGCTTTGGACTCCTTGTCGAACGCAATCGACATTTTCTCCATTTCATCCACCACCACCACTCCGAACTCTCCAATTATGTCCTCTGAGTCGACTGCCAAGGTGGAAACGGCCAGAGAACAGAAAGTTGAGCATGCAGGAGAGGTGAAACAAGTGCAACTTATTACGGCAGTGGAAGACACGGTGAAGAAGGTTTCAGAAGACGACGAGTTGGCGGAGCTTAAGACAGGTATAATGGCCCCTCTCAGTGCTCCTAGTCGCCAGTCGAGCATTTCTGAGCGCAGACACGAGAAGGAGAATCGCAACAGCCGAAAAAGTGTTTCTGCGTCTGCTACATCCGCTCCAAAATTCAAGCGGTTCAGCATGCTAGGGTTCTACTCGAGTAATAATCTTTCGCAAGAGCTGCAACCCTCAGAGTCTATTATTCCACCGCGCAAGGTGCTAGAACCAAGCAACAAGAGAGACGATGTTGCCGAAAGGCGCATGACTATGGGTGCTCGTCGGGAGAAGGACTCGACAGCCAAACGGGTGATGGATTTTTTCAAACGGCGGAGTGTGAGAATTTAGGTTATAATAAATAGGTCTAATGACAATAAATAAGCATCGAGCACACCTCTAGCTCTTCTTCATGCCCCTTAAGAAATCTTCGTTCATGGACTGTATGTTATTGGCCTGTTCTGGGTCGTATCTGCTCATCCACTTGGAAGGAGTGTTGCGCATGATGAGGTGTTTTCTCACTACCCAAGGCTTTTTCCGTTCGCTGGCAAAGACTAGCGAGTTTGTCTCGAATGATTCGTGTGCCTCTGGCTCAGCTTGTTGGCCTCTAAAGGAACCGGTGAGTCTCAGGTCTCTAATAGCCATGTAAGAATCCCATTGATCGGTATTGAACCTAGGCCTCACAAGTATACGATCGTTGTTATCGTCAAGCTGCGGGGACTTCGACGATTCTGTGCTTCTGGTGATGGAATTGACAAAAAGGACATTCATGGCACCACCAGACAGCCCAAAGAACGTAAGCATCAGGCCAAAAGGCCATAAACCTTCCCAAGGAATCATTGCGGGGAAAGAATTAAGGATTACAAAATTGGGTGGAAGGATTCAGCATTATATGCTGGTGTAGAGTTGTAAACAGTTTTAGTGATTACTCTACTTGGGGCACAGAAAAGCGGCCCGCGAGATGGTCTAACATAAAGACGTTTATTAGTCTTACATATCCTCTTCAACTCTTCGTTGTGTCTGCTTCTAATTATACTTCATAGCTCGCTATCATTCAGCTGCTTAGATGTTGGATGGGTACAACATGATTCTGACAGAAGCACCGAAAGTCTTTGCTGGCAAGTTGTTCTTGAATTGTGCTCTCACCAGTCCGTTGTTTCCGTGAGTTCTGGTAACCTTTCCCCAGATACATCTGATCTTGGAACCTCTAACCTCTTTGGTGGCTCTGTAAACGTAAGCGATTCTCTTACCGAGGTAGAACTTGGCCTCGTCAGCGTTGGCAACTCCCTCAATCTTGATGAGCGAGGTGTTTGGGTTGGTGACGTGCTTGGATCTTTGGTAGGAGATGTGCTTTCCCTTGACGTAGAGTCTGTGTGATTCAGCCATCTTGATGTAGAATTATGGTAAATAATTTTTCAATATTTTATTCGAGCAAAAGTTTTCTTAGGGCACAGGTCACATCACGTGAAACCCTCGTACACACCTAACACCGACTATAGATATGGTAGCTGAACTGGAAGTCAGCCTCGCGGTTGTCTTGTGAGAACTCGTTTTCAAGCCCTTTGCTGGCCAGATACGACTTCCACACCTGCGGGTCGTCCCTTTTCCAGAGCGATCCGACGTTTATAAAGGCATCCATTTCTAGTTCCTTCTCGGTGCTGACTTCCGTCAAAAGGAGTCTATCCACCAGCTCTGGCGTGGTTCGAAGCACGTCGTTATAGAGCTCAGCTCCGCCAATCACAAAAACCTCCTCAATGATGTCCATGTCCAGCGTCTGGAGCGCGCTTTTTAGAGAATCTGCTATTTTGACATTATTCCCATGCTTCGCCACTTCCTCGGAATATTTGCTTGAAAACGCGCTCAAATCACGCGTAAGAACCACATTTACTCTTCCTTTCAAAGGACGGAACCGTTCCGGGATCGATTCCCAAGTTTTCCTGCCCATTACAACCGCGTTTTTCTTATTTTTATCTGCCGTCTGCGTTGTAATTCTGCGAAAATACCGCATTTCCTCCTTCAATGCCCACGGCAGCTGGCCCTTGTAGCCAATTCCGTACTTGGGAACCAGCGCTGCCACTATCAGTGACACTTTAGTCATGGTGGAAATTACCAACTTTATTTTCCAATTTTTCTGATTACCTAATCAGTGAGTCCAGATGCGCACCATTTTATCCTTACCACCACTCACCACTCTGGCCCCGTCTAAACTCCAATCGACCGCATAAACCTCATCTGCATGGCCGGGCAAATCTGAAAGCAATTTTCTGGTGCGCACATCCCAGACTTTGAGGGTGGTGTCCTTGGAGCAACTCACCAGTAATCTATTATCAGAGGACCACGCTGTTTGGTAGACAGCTGCAACATGGCCGCGGAAAGTAGCTAGAAACTTTCCATCCCGTCCATCCCACAGCTTAACCGAGTTGTCAAACGAGGCAGACGTGATGTAGCGGCCGTCCGGCGAGAAAGAGACATGGTTGACCAGTTTTTGGTGGCCCGTCATACGGCAGATCGGCTTGTTGGATTTTGCCGGCTCCCAAAGGAACATGGTAAAATCGTCACTTGCGGAAACCATTCTCTCGACAATTTTCCCGCCCACTTTGGCCACTTTTTCATAGTTTTTCAGGGCTCTGGCCTGTCTTTCTGTGTCGTCTTTTGGCGCGGTTCCCGTATGGTCAAACGGTCCGCTTCTAAGGGCAAAGTCCGTCGAAAGCGCTATGTGATTAATCCAATGTCCATGCGCCTTAAGAGTCTGAACGCACTTGCCCTCTTTGGCGTCCCAAACTTTGATAGTTTTATCGTGAGATCCGGAATATATGAGATTGGTGCCACCCCATTTGACACATGAGACCGACGACGAGTGGCCAGAAAGCGTCATCTCGCAACGCTTCAGAGCTGTGTTCCATAATCTCAATGTACCATCCTTGGAGGCAGAAACAAGCCGCGGGCTGTCTCCTGGTTGAACCAAATGTGCTGGCTCCCAGGCTAGGGAAGACACAAATTTTGAGTGGCCAGTAAGCGAGGATCCGATTGGGGCTCCAGTCTTGCCATCCCAGAGCCGCACACTGCCATCCATCGAGCCAGTAGCAACAACGTCTCCGAATGGAGAGTACGCAACACAAAGAACCCAGTTAGAATGGCCACTCATGGTGGCCTTGATCGTCTGCGTGTGGCAGTCCCAAAGTCTAGCGGTGGAATCGCCCGCACCGGTCACGAAGTAGCCGCTGGTGTTTGGCGGGAACTGGGCTGCCAGAATAGTGGCCCCGTGTCCACTGATGGTCCCCGCAGACCTCGTCACCGGACGCACCTTGAAGATGGCCCTGGGGGTGAAAACCAGTGTAAGGGTGTCCTCTGTGGTTTTGATTCCGGGCTTGAGCACTGAAAAGTAGAGGTTTTCTTTCACATCTATGAGGTTCTCGCCATTCTGGACGGCAAATGAGTATGCGACTGGTTCATCCGTGTTGTTCTGGAGTTGGTTCAGTAATTCCTCGAGCTGTCTTTCTGTGATGCCTCCAGGCACTCTAATAGAGCTTCCCACGGTCTCGCCCGAGTCCGACGCCTGGAACTTAATCAGCACATCAGGCAAATCCTTGGGAACGATGTCGACCTCTCGAGGCAGCTGGGCCTCCTTCTTCTGTTTCTTCGAGGGCGGTGGAATTAGCGTAGCCATGCTAGATAAATAATGAGAGAAAAATTTAAAGAATATTTTTATCGCATCCCTGCACCGCAGAAGGACTTGCGAGATGATATATATTGACAGGATCTATCTTTAGCACTTTCACCGCAATTTGGCTTGCCTCCAAAGAACTCAGCTCCGTCATGTCAAGGAAAATAGATACCGTATGGATACGTTCAAACGACACGAAGCGAGCCCCAGTGCCCCGCTAATTGCTTCCAACCATGCCTTTGTCAAAGACAAATATCCAAGTATCACCTATGGCATTCATTAACGTTGTTGAAATTGCGCTTATTATAGAGAAACTTCCAACAAAAGGATGAAGACCACACGCGAAATGAGGACGAGACTCAATATTCTTTTCAATAGAGTGAATGATATTCCACAGCTATACATTATATCCATCTCTTTCAGCTTGGTTGTGTCATGCTACATTATCGCCAAAACCATGGGATTTTCTGCTGCTTAGGGCAGTCGGGTGGCCGCAGCATACAACGGGTGCCCGAAAATCGGAAGAGTTCCATTTGGGTACGCAGACGACCGTTTTTCCCGCGTGAGTTTGTCTGTGTTTCTTGCTTTTCTGATGCAGATTTTGGTTCTAGCAATGTGGACTAATTCCACAACTGCAGCTTCCATTTTTGCCTTCGCAGTGCCTTCTGGCATAACTTTTGGCTCCTCATAATCTCTGAACCAGCAGATTTTGGCTGACAGCATTGCTACGGACCTCTTCCCCGCGGGTCGTACAGGGCTGCTCCGAAACTGAGAGACGTCAACATCGCAAGGCCATTTCTCAAGGCGCAAATTTTTGGTTGATTCTTTGCTGCTGGTAGTATGTTGCCAATCATGGTCCTTTGCGAACGGAGAAGTGATCGTTAGTTGGCCAGAAAATTGGAGAAGACTCAAAAGGAAATGGTGGCAAGGCACCAGACCTTGCTTCGAAAATAGCCAAAATTCTACATTTTTAGAACGGTCTATCCTATAGAGGCATGGACTAGCTATATTCTGATTTTGTGAGGGTATTCCTCTTCTGCAGCTACATACTTGTGTAGAAAAAAAAAAGCTCAAGAACTCAGCTCTGCACAAGCTACCAAGCTCGTCTCATGCATCCAGTCCAAGATTTGGCAGCAGCGTAACCAATACATATTTTCACTCCTACAAAAATATCTTCTTGATCCGGCGATACCCGCAGATTGGTGCTCCCGAAGTATCTATAGCCGTTCTTGGAAATAGCGAACGACACCTCGCACCTGCGATAAAAATTCATATCCTGACCAATGCTCCTGAAAATCCCTTCAACATGGATAATAGTTCTCTTTCGTCGCTAGATTCCGATGTGGGGAGGTGCGACTCGCTTGAGCACGTATATCGGTATGCACAAACTCCCTCAATAGCGACACAGATTAGCAGAACACGCACAGCAGTGTCGGCGGCCTCCAGTGTCTCGCGTAGCGTCCGACAGATCGTTGAGCAGGCCCACGATGACAATGAGCAGACGGCCCTCGAGCACTTGGAGCACCAAGACTCCAACGACAAACTGAACATTGAAAATATGGGTATAAATAGGGCTATCAGAATAGCTACCAACAGAACTGATAAGACTTTGGAGGCCCAGGTTTCGGGGCCCGAGACTCCAGAAAAAGATAAAGGGTATGCGTGGGTGGTTTGCGGAACAATTTTCACTGTTTTTCTTTCTACATGGGGTGCGAATGGCACGTACGGTGTGTTTCTGAACTACTGGATGCAGCACAGCACGTTCCCTGGAGCCAAATCGACAGATTACGCTCTCGTCGGCAGCATAGTGCTCGGCTTGGCCCAGATCCTGGCCCCGCTCGCTCAGATGACCTCTGCCATCATTGGTATCAAGCCTGCCATGCTAATAGGTCTAGTAAGCCAGACTCTGGGGTATTTGCTTGCATCTTTTTCCACCAAGCTGTGGCAACTCTACCTGACCCAGGGAGTTTTAGTTGGCATAGGATTTGCATTTCTGTACAACCCGTCCATTGTGACTGTTCCGGACTGGTTCAACAAGAAACGAGGACTTTCGTTTGGCATCATTGCCTCTGCCAGCGGTATTGGCGGAGTGGTCTTTGCGCTGGTGTCGCAGGCAATAATCACAAAAACCGGGGGTCCACCCTGGGCGCTGCGTGCCATGGCCCTCATTACATTTTTTTTGAACGTTTTGAGCATTATATTAATCAAAGAGCGGATTCCCTCGCAGCGACTTACGACCGTGCACGACATCAAGGTGCGCGTCAACATTCTATTCAATAAGGAGGTGCTGAAATATCTCCAGCTCTACCTTATTGTTTTCTGGTTCGCACTAATTGTCTCCTGCTACGTGGTGGCTCTGTTTTCGCTCTCCGCGTACGCCGCCTTCATGGGCCTCTCCGACGCCCAAGGCAGCCACTTGACTGCAATTTTCAACGCGTGCCAGGCCGTCGGGAGAGTTGCCATCGGATTCACGGCAGACTATACGGGCCGCGTAAACTTGGCGATCGTGTTGTCTGTGATCATGGTCATTCTGGTTCTGGCCATGTGGATCAATGCCATCACAGAGCCGTCTATTTTCGCATACGCCGTGCTCTCGGGACTGACTTTCGGGGCGTCTTCAGTGCTCAACCAGCCCATTCTCGCAGACACGCTGCCGCCGGAGCTGTTTCCTGCGGGATGGAGCTTCCAGGGCGTGATCCTGGGCTGTTTCACCCTATTCTGTGAAGTGGTGGCGCTCAGGCTCAGAGACGCAACCAAATCAAAGCCGTTTATTAAGGCACAGATTTTCTGCGGCTGTTTTGCAATCGGCGGCTTCGTCTTGATCACCGTTGCCCGCGAGTCTAGCGTCAGGAACCTGCTCGCCAAAAGACTCTGCGAAACAGAAAAAACCCTCGAATATGAAAAGGAGAACGAGGTTTTGGCAAGAAGACACGCCACGTATCACGAGCTGCTCAGGAAAAGCCCGCTCGGGTTCCTGCTACGACTCATCTACCCAATCAAGGTTTAGCTGTGGCTACCATTGCCACACCTGACACCGGGGAAAATAAAAAAAATCAGTCTTATCGACTATTACCAGTTTTGGCAGTAGAAACTAATTCCGGCTTATGGACAATAGCTCTATTTCCTCGCTCGACTCCGACATCCGGGACGACCAGCAGTCCGTGGGCCTTGTGAACGTTGTTCACGCCTACTCCAACGGGTCGCGAGTGGCCAGAACGAGGACCTCGACGTCGCTGGCCTCCTCGATTTCTAGAAGCATCCTTAGCGTTCGCCAGATCGTCGAGCAGGCCAGAGAAGACGACCAGGAAATGGTACGGACCGAGACGCAGCGAGGCGAGACGGTAGATCTCAACGAGGCGATTCGGATTGCCACAAACCGCTCAGAAAGCACCCTGTCCCAGGAACCTCAAGCGGAGCCTCCACTCCCGCCTCTGGACTCTGGCTACTCGTGGGTGATCTGCGCATGCGTGTTTTTGATGATGTTTGCAACTTGGGGCGCCAATGGTTGCTACGGCGTCTTTCTAAACCACTGGCTCCAGGTACAGAGCTTCCCCGGCTCGTCGGCCACCGATTTCGCTCTGATAGGCAGTATTGTGCTGGCACTCGCTCAGGCGCTCGCTCCGCTCGCACAGATGGCGTCTGCAATCCTAGGAATGAAAACTGTCATGCTGGTGGGCGTCGTTTTGCAAACCGCAGGGTATCTGTTGGGATCGTTTGCCACGAAACTATGGCAATTGTACCTCACCCAGGGCATTCTTGTGGGGTTGGGTTTCGCGTTCGTTTTCAACCCGGCAATTGTCATTTTTCCAGAATGGTTCGACAAGAAAAGAGGCCTTGCCTCGGGGGTTATTGTCTCTGCTAGCGGTGTAGCCGGGGTCGTTTTCTCGCTGGCCTCCCAAGCTATTATATCCCGCACAGGGAGCCCGGCATGGGCGCAGCGAATGCTGGCATTTTTCTCTGTGCTGGGAAACACGTTAGCAGCGTGCCTGCTGAAGCATCGCATCCCAACACAGCGGCTCCGGACCCGCCGCGAAATCGTCACCAGATTCTACGTGCTGTTCAACGTCAAGGTCGTCAAACTGCCGCAGGTCCACTTCATCACGCTTTGGTTCGTGCTGATACTGTCCTGCTACATTGTCGCGCTATTCTCGCTCTCCGCATACAGCACGTTTGTGGGGATGTCGTCGTCGCAAGGCAGTCACGTGACCGCAATTTTCAACGGGTGCCAGGCCATTGGCCGGTTCACCATTGGTTTTGCGGCCGACTACACGGGCCGTGTGAACCTAGCGGTGCTTCTGAGCATCAACATGGTGATTCTGCTCTTTGCCATGTGGATCAACGCCATGACGGCCGGCGTGGTCTATGCGTACGCTATTCTCTCCGGACTCACGTTTGGCGTGGCTTCCACGTTGAACCAGCCCATAGTGGCCGATTCTGTTCCTGTGGAGCTGTTTCCCTCGGCGTGGAGCTACGAAAATTTCTGGATGGGTGTTTTTTGCATGTTTTGCGAGGTGGTAGCACTAAAGCTCAGAGACATGACCCTCGCGAAGCCGTTCATCAAGGCACAGATATTTTGTGGCTGCTTTGCGGCCGCCGGCGTACTGTGTATTCTGCCAATCCGCGAGTGGAAAATCCGCCGCATGCTCGTCGCCAGGCAGGAAGCTCTGGAGGCCCTCAAAGAGCACGAAAAACACACGGACGAGTACGAGCGCCGTCTGAAGACCTACGACATCCTTCTGCGCGGCGGGTTCAAGGCGTACATGGCGAGACTGCTGTATCCTGTGCGTACATAATACATTTATTTTTTCGTAAGCCGTAGTGGTCTTCCCATGCCAAGCCTTTTTTTTCTTGGCTTGGAGATCTTGACTGCTCCGTCGGGCAACCGCGACACGCCTGTGAGGCGGGATGCGGTCTGGAAGCCGGCGCCAAGCACCAATGGGCCCATGTTGAGTTGTGTGTTCTGCTGAAACGACGAGAACAGGTTTGGCTTGCTGACGACACTGTCGTCGGCTACCTTGAGAAGGCCCTTGGGGAGGTTGAGGAATCGGCTTTTTCTCTTGACTGGGTCCCCAAAGCCAAATCCTAGCGTTTCTTTGAAATAGCTGAGATACAGCTGTTCCTTGGCCCGTGTCACGGCAACGTACATGCACCGTCTCTCCTCGTCGAGAGCGGCCTCATTTTTCTTGGTATCGCCAACGTCGTTCGTCGCATGCTGCGATGGAAAAATGCCCTCGCACAGCGACGGAACAAATACGACGGGCCATTCGAGCCCCTTGGACCCATGCACCGTCGTGATGGTGACCTTGGATACGCTTTTTTCGGCGCCCTTCGTCTCCTCGTATAGATACACCGAGTCGAGGAATTGCGCCAGTTTCTCGAGACTGGTGCTAGCCGTGAGGTCGAACGACTGCTCTATCACCTCCAGTTCGTCCTCCTCGGCATACGCGTCCTGTAAAAGGTCTTCTTCCTGGAGATTGAAGCTGATCAGCTGGCTCTTCAGTTCGTTCAGGTTCGCCTCGATCTCCTCCTGTGTGTCGCCCTTTCTGTCCATGCGCTCTTCGTTTACAGCACTCACAACACGGCTGTGCTGTACAATGTAGTCAAACATTTTTCCCAGCTGTTCCTGCTCGGTAGCGTCGCTAAGGAGCAGCTCGCGGGCATTTTTGATGAGTGCAACAAACTCGCCAATTCCGGCGCGCACCTTGGCCGTGATGCCCTTCATCCCATCGCGCACAATGCTCTCCAGTATCTCGTAGACGTTTCCCGGCTGATTACGCGCCCGCTGAGCGGAAAACCGCTCCTCAATCAAAAGCAAGCTTTTTGCTCCCAGACCGCTCACTTGGAAATCTAGACACCGGCTGTACCCCAACCAGTCCATGTCGGACGCCACCGCACGCAAATAGTCCATCAAAAGCCGTATCTCGCGCCGTTCCCAGAAAGAACGCCCATGCACCACCTCGTACGGTAAGTTTGCGTGGATCAGCTCCTGCTCGATGACACGGGACAGAAACCCGGACCGCAGCAAGATGGCAATGTCCGAGTACTGCGTGCCGTTTGGCTTAACCACCTGCTTGATCGTGGCGGCGATCCTGCTCGCCTCCGCCTTGTTAGTGGCGCATGCAAACATCTGCACCGGAATGTCGTCCTTTCTATGGGCATGCAAAAATTTCTGCTCCCTGCGAGCAAACTGCTGGCTCATCAGGTGCTCTGCAAGCGCGAGAATGTTGCTGGTGGAACGGTAGTTCTGTGTGAGAGCCACTTTCAAAACTGCCAGACCTTTTTCTCGGTAATAGTCCTCCATCCGGTAGAAGTTCTTGGCCTCTGCGTTACGGAACGCATAAATGCTCTGGTCGGGGTCGCCGACAGCAGTCACGTTGTGCTTGAAGTTTTCGTTGAATCCTGACAGTTGGTACACCAGCTCCAGCTGCACCTTGTTAGTGTCCTGAAACTCGTCCACCAAAACGTGTTTCACACGGCCCATACATGACGGGTGTTGTGCAAGCAGTTTGTGCACCAGCAGCAGGCAATCGTCGAAATCGATCACGTTGTTGCGTACAAGCTCTTCCTGATACAAAGTGTACGCCTCTAGCTTGGTTCTGACGTCGTCTGCCTTCTTGGAAAGGGGTACCTGGTCCGGTAGCTGGGCCTTATTTTTGCAGGCCGAAATGTACGCTCTGTATTTTTTGATGTCCGAGTCTTTGAGCGAAACGTCAAATCCGCTCTCAGCCATCTCCCGGAGCACTTTCTTGATCAGCTGTTTGGCGTCCGTCTCGTCTGCGATCTTGAAGCCGGTGTTCAGACCGACCAGTCCCCCGAATTTGCGCAAAATCCGCACACAGATCGAGTGGAACGTCCCGATGAGCAATTTTTTGGCGTCGATCTCCGGATACGGCTGTAAAAGTATACCCAGTCGCTCCACCATCTCGTTGGCGGCCTTTTTCGTGAACGTGGCGACCACAACGTCCTGGGGAGGAAGCTTGTGGTGCAGAAGCAGATATGCAACGCGTGCGGTGATAACCTTGGTTTTGCCGGTTCCGGGACCGGCAAGCACCAGAACTACGCCATTAGGAGAGGCCGTGACGGCCGCGCGCTGGTGCTCGTTCAGATCGTCCACGAACTTGTACATGAGATCAGAGGTGTAAGGAGTAGGCGCGTCAAGAATAAACTTTTTTTTATTATTTTTTCGCTGGTCGGTGCACAGGTGCCGAAATATTCTTATCAATATTCTGTAATTATCAGATTTCTTTTCCGATGATGGGTTTCAAACCCACTCCATGCGCACCAGGAGCAGACGATATGAGTAGCATACCGCTCCAGCCTAGTTTCCAATGGCACGTTCCTGACATGGACACTCTCATTGGCCTTCTGGAGGCCGAGATTCTGCAGGGCCTCGAGTCAAACGTGACCATGTTGTCCACCCTGACCCCCGTTCCGAACTCGCACACGTACGGCCGCGTCTTGGTTCTTGACCTGGGTGGATCTACTTTCCGCTTGTGCATTTTGGAGCTTTTTGGCGAAGGCCGGTACGAAATCCTGTGTTCGAGAGAATGGCAGCTGGACTCCAAGGAAATCAACGTCTCGTTTTTCCAGAGTCTGGTGGACCGCGTGTGCACGGCTACTATCGACCGCTACTTTGCACACGCTGTCACCGTCGGTCTCTCAATTTGTTTCCCGTTCAAGCAGACAAAACCAAACGACGCGTATCTGGACGTTGTGGGCAAGGGTTTTATTTTGGCAGACGAAATCCGGGGAAAGAATATAGCTCTTTTGCTGCAGCAGCAGCTGGAGACGGCGACGAAAAAACAGGTCTGCGTGAAGGCTGTGATCAACGATGCCGTTTCTGTATATGTTGCTGGCGCTTATTTGTACGAGTGTCGTTTGGGACTTGTCTTGGGCACAGGGCTGAATGCGGCAGCCAGCTACCAAAACCGTGTGCTCAACACTGAGATGTCCTGTTTTGGCAGCAGTCTGGCCGGGCTGCTAACGCCGTGGGACTTTGAAATGCAGCCGGCATACCGCGAGAGACGAACAGCACACTGTCAACTGCCGCTTTTCCAGCCCCTGGAGTATATGTGCTCAGGCCGCTACATAGGCGAGCTGTTCCGGATCGGAGTGCTGGACATGGCGCAGCGGGGGCAAGTATTTATTGGGCAGCGTGTGGTGCTCGGGAGCGCGTACGAGCTGACGGGAGAGACACTTTGTCGAATATACGAGGGCAGCATAGACGAAATCGGCCGGATTTTTGCTAAATACAATGTTGCTGTCACAGACCAGGACCCTGGTGTTCTACGCAGCATTATACGAAGTCTGATTACCCGGGCGGCGGCAGTGCTGGCGAGCTGGCTGGTGGCATTCTGCAGGATACAGACACCCGGAACACACGACACGGTGCGCATCGGATACATAGGCTCGTTTCTGGAGCATTTCGCGTACTACAGGGAGCAGACACAGCTATTTTTGGACGTGTACTGCGCCCAGCATTCGGATCTTCGTTTTGACATCCGCCTCATACCGCACAGCACGGCGCTGGGCGCTGCTATTTCCGCAAGCCAAAAAAGCTGAAAAAAAAATACTCGATCCTGAGGCTCAGCTGGTAATATATCGGATCGGGAAATACTTACTCCTTTGGAATTGTTTGGTAAACAATGGATCACAGAATTAACAATCAAGTTTAAAGCTGTTTGCGGAAAGTTCACAACACGTCTGCAAACGGGGCCAAGTCTGATGCAAGCATTTTCAATCTTATAAATTCACATCTGTGGAACGCTCTCGATCTGTCCGGCACCGCATCCATCCTCCAGCATTAGTCGATGAACATCCTTGCATTGCTCGTGCTGAGCGCTTTGGCGCAATCCTTCAGCGTGTCCGTGCCGTCGTTCCCCGACACCAAAGACATATACCCTGTCGCCTCGGTCGAGAAGCCGCCACACGACTTCCTCGCCAGAATCAAGTCGCACACCAAACAGACGGTGCTTGCGTCCAACCAGTCCGCCCAGAACACGCTGGCTTGGCAGCAGGGCATGGCCTTTATTTACGCAGAGTCCTCCAACGAAGCCTACACTGTCAACGTCACTGTCGGCAAAGATACGCTGCCGCTGCTCATTGACACCGGCAGTGCATATCTCTGGGTGTACGGAGCCAACTGCACCGATTCCAGCTGCGAAAACAAACAACTCTACCAGATGAGCTCGGCCCAAGACTCCGGGTCCTCGTTCAAGCTGTCATACAGTTCGGGATCGGCCTCGGGTAGCGTGGTGTCCGACTCGCTGCAGCTGGCTGGAATCACAGCAGACAACTTCTCGTTCGGCGTGGCGTCCCAGGTGCCCGATCTGTTTGAAGACTACTCGTTTGCGGGCGTTTTGGGCCTGCCAGCCACCAACACGACCGACGGTATGACGAATCTCGTCACGTTTCTCCAGAACCAGGGGTCTGTGGAAAAAGGCGTGTTTGCGCTGTGTCTGGGCACGTATAACACCACGGACGGCGACTCGAACGCCGGGCTGCTCGTTCTCGGCAGTGACGTCGCCGGGCTGTACGACGGGAGCATCACCTACGCCCCGGTGGTGAAAAACACCAACAATTACTGGCAGGTTGCTGTCGACTCCATTTCTGTCGACGGCTACGCGGTGTCTTTCGACACGGCCTCCGTCGACGGAGACGAGTCGTCGACAAAACGGCTCGCCGTGATCGATAGCGGCACCACGTCGATCGTCACGGCCTCTGCAGACGCTACCAAGCTGCACTCCTTTTTCAACAACTCGATCACTGATGGCAGCAACTTCGCCCTGCCGTGCAACACCACGTACGAGCTCGCGTTCGAGATCGGCGGCCAGAAGTGGACAATCGGCCCGGAAGATTACCTCGGCTCGGCGTACTCGTCCGGCTCCCAGTACAGCGGGTACTGCGTGAGCAACATTGTCGGCTCCTCGTCGCTCGACAACGGCACGTGGATCCTGGGCTCACAGTTCCTGAAAAACTACTACGTCTCTTTCGACCTGGACAGCGCCAAAGTCGGGCTCGCCAATAGGTCCGACGTCAAGATTGACCATTCCGTGTCCCCGAGCTCTGTCTCCAGCCTGCCGCACTCCCAAACCACCGTCGCGGCCAGCGCTGCCGGCCACAACTCATCGACCACTCCCTCCTCGCACCAAACCCTCACTCCTACAACGTTGAGCATTGCAAGCAGCTCTGTTGCAGGCAACGCGTCGGCCAGTTCGAGCTCGAGCTCGTCTATTATGTCCGGCTGGGCCGGCAGACACCGGCTGGCGCCGCCAATGCTGCTGCTGTCGCTACTGTGTCTGCTGTGACGTCTGCTTGCCCATAAATATACATTACTTAATGACCGCCCTTGTTCAGGCGCCGCCGCTTCTTTCTCTCCAGCCGCGAGATCTGGATCAGGTCATCCTCGGACGGCTCGTAGATATGCCATATCGTGTAGTGGGGTAGCCCGCCGACGCGGAAGCCCATTTGCTTGCTGAGTTTCCCGAACGCCTCGGTTTCGGCGTGATTCATGAACGTGAAGGCCGGGAAGTTCGAGCCTTGGCGGAACACCTTGGCCTTTGCGAGGATTGAGACGCCCCCGACGCCGTCCATGTCGACAATCTCGTCCGGGTTGCCGTTGGGCTCCCGGATATACGCGAGATGAACACGCCAGGTCGGGTACTCGGCGTATCCTTCGACGATCACGTCGTCCTCGTTGAGCGTCTTGGCGAGCTCGAGTCCCTCTTTGGATTCTATCCACGAGTTGAGGTCATATGGCTGCTCGTTGCCCAGAAACGTCGGTAGCGGTCTCCAAACGTTGGGTACCACCACGTCGAATGCTGGTGAGAACTTCATCATGTGCTCCAGAATGTCGCCGGGCGAGGTCTCAATGTCCACGTCTCGCCAGTATACCCACGAGTGGTACGGCTTGAGTGCCGTGCTCAAAAGCCAGTTGCGGGCGCGTCCCATGAGCTTCCGACGGATGCCCTGCACCTTGACGTCGTGCCTGTCGCTGAACCCTTGTCCAATGACCTGCCCGAAGTCTTTCTGGTATATCTGGACCGATCGGAAAGGTTTCGTGTATTCGGAGTGGTAGGGCGGCGAGTACGCCTTGCGAACGTTGTCCACGTAGTCCTGTGGCATGTACTGCAAATACAGGTCGCTCGAGCCAATGATGGCTCCCGACGGCGTGTTCGACTCCTTCTTGTCGAGCAAATCCAACAGCGTACCCTTCTGCATCGCCTGCGAGTACTCAAAGAGTGTCTCCAGCGTGGTGTCGTCCTCCGAGCAGTCGCTCACTAGAAACGCTATGTCTATCAAACTGTGGTCGTATGTCATGTTCATCATGTTGCGGAACATCAGGGGCAGCACCTTGGCGGCGTTTCTTAGCGGCACCAGCAACAGAACAATCTCATTGTTCTCCCTCCCGTTTGCCGTGCCTTGGTATTCTTCAAGGTCATAGAACTCGACCGTGTCTGGCCACGCGTCGTCTTCTTCTTCGGCAAGACCCGTCTCTTTCGGCCACATTTTGCTTTCTGGTGGTGCTGGCTCGGAATTCACAATATTTGGCACAAATTTCGCCGGTTTGCGACCCCGAATCAGCAGAAATACCACCACCACCGATATTGTGATGCTTATGGTGTTGATCCATTTTCTTCGTCCGTGCGGCCTCTTTTTCGGCTTTATCTCGTGGTTACTGGCCCTGAGTATTAGCAGCGGTTCCTGGTGTCGTCCCCATACTTACAAAGGAAGATCTGTTTTCTTCGGATGCTGTCCAAATCGCAGCATGCTCTGTGTCAGCTCGACTACAAGCCCTTCTTTATTTTTATTTTTATTTTTATGTATTTTTTTTTCGCCATACAGGATCTGCAACGGTGCACGACGCCCATCAAACACGTTCCACGAGGCCGTGCAAGTCCGGCTTGAACCACTCTGCGCGCAAAAGAGCCCACACCTGCCGCGCAAGTGCGTCTGCTTTGGCCTCGCTCGAGCTCTTGGCTTCGATGTACACTTTGAGCTTTGGCTCCGTGCCAGAGCCGCGCGCCGTGAACCTGATCTCGTCGTCCCCGTGCTGCAAGGAGACGGTGATCATCTGCGACGAAACGTCGACGGGCAACGTTGGTTTTGAGTCGGGAGTCGTCGAGTCGTAGCCAACAGTCAGGTCGCGCCATTTGGTCACGGTGAACTCTCCGATCCGCTTGGGATACGGATTGCCCGCGCTCCTGATGTGCTGGAAAATGATTTCCATCGCTCGCGTGTCGGGCACCACGTAGTATCCATTGCACTCTTTGAAGAAGCCGTACTTTTCGTACCCCTGCTGTAGTGTCTGGAGCGCATCGGTGTCGTTGTCGAGCCAGTGCTGGTACATCTGCAGAAACATCACCAGTGCAGAGATCCCGTCCTTGTCGTGGACCACAGGGAACAGAAACCCTATGGCTTCCTCGAACGCAAACGGGCAGTCGTAGCCCGCGTTCTCCAAATCGATGACCTTGTTGCCGATCCATTTAAAGCCCGTGAGAGTGTCCTGGAAGTGGAACCCCTCGACGGCGGCCATTGCGGCGATCATTTGCGACGAGACAGTCGAATTGACGAGATACACGTTGCTGCGGTTTTTTTTCTGGAACACCACATATTGCGCAAAAAGATAACCGAGCTCGTTGCCCGACAGCTGTCTCCAAACGCGGTTGATTTTCACTGCCGCGGAGAACCGGTCTGCGTCAGGGTCGTTGGCTACCACCACTGAGATGCCCTGCTGGTCAGCCTGCCTAATGGCAAGGTCCAGTGCTCCTTTTTCCTCTGGGTTAGGGAACTTGACTGTTGGGAAGTCTGGGTCGGGCAAGCACTGCTGCTCGACAGGTACGAGCACTCCGTGGGGGACAACCTGCGAAATGAAGTCTGCCCCCACGCCGTGCATTGCCGTGTAAACGGCTTTGAATGAGAAAGAGGTGTTTTTTAGTAGCACGGAGTTGACTTTGCGTGAGTACCGGCCAATAATCTCGTCTCTCACAAACAGCAGCTTCTCGCTGTGCTGCTCAAACACCCGCGCAGTGTCCCAAGTGGAGTCCCTGAAGACGATGTCGAGATTCGCTAGGATGCTTTGCTGGATCCGCTGGTCGTGGGGCGGGATGATCTGGCAGCCATTGCTCCAGTACACTTTGTAGCCGTTGTCGTTCTTCGGGTTGTGGGAGGCGGTGATCATGACCCCCGCACTGGCCAAGTACTGGTCCACGGAAAAGGGAACCAGTGGGGTCGCAGCCAACCCCCCACCCAAGTAGTAGACTGTGAAACCTTTGATAAGGAACACTGCAGCCGTGAGCTCCGCAAACCTTTGAGAGTTATGGCGGTGATCGTGGCCCACAACCACTGACGGCTCATCGACCACGCTCTTCACGTACTCAGCAAGGCCTTGCGAAGCCTGCACCACGGTAACGTCGTTCATTCTGCTGAAGCCAGCGCCCATCGGGGCACGCAAACCTGCTGTGCCAAACGTCAACCGCGAGCCCAGTCTCTCCTCCAGTGCAGCGGTGTTATTATCAGCCACCAGTTGCTCGATCTCGCGCCGAGTCGTTGGGTTGACGTCAATTGCGAGCCATTGATCTGCTAACGACATAAAATATTATTATCAAACTACTTACTAGCCACATAGCATTGCCACATGGCCTTGACAAAATTATTCCACGCGTTGACATTTCCCTAACAAGAATATTTCCAAACTGGGCTAATTTCGTGCATGTCCACGACAGCCTCATTTTTTGCCAATTTTCATTCCCAGATATCGCCCATCTGTTGTCTCCCTCCCACTGAACTCATTGGCACAGGTTGTCGAAACGTATAACCCATTTTGTCCCGATATTGACACCCTTACACAGTACACCACCACGGCTGCACAACGTCAATTTGAAACGGATAGCATGTCTGAAACATTTTTTGACGAGTCGCCCACTAAAAAAAGACGCAGAGGAAGACCTCCTACAAAAGCTAAAGCGGACGCTACCATAGTCGGCGAAAGCACTCTTACTTTTTCTATCAACCCCAGCATGAACGCCTACAGCAACTCTGCCGCCACTATTCGCCAGGGGGCCGTGTGCTCCACGCCGGTCATGAAGATCAGCCCCAGTCGCCGAAGGGGTGGCGGGTCGCAGTCGCAAACGCCCACTCCCACGCCGCGGCGCAGACAGCCAGTGCCTTCGCTCAAGCCGATCCAGGAAATCAAGGTGGCAAAGGCGCACCACGAGCTTGTGTCTGTGACACAGCCGCAAAACGGGCTTGACTCGTCGCCGGTGTCATCGTCGCGGTCGTCGCCATCCGACAAGAATTTGCAGAGCTCACAGGTGCATACGTCGCCGCTCAACGCGGCAGACAACATGCCCAAGCCAGACCTGAACCCGTCGCTCTTGCAGCCGACAGACATCTTTGCACCAAAGACGCCGAAAATGCCTGGCACGCCTTTAGCGAGGGTGCCGCCCTCGACGCCCATCTCGCATTTCTCGCACGTTCTGAGCTCGTCCCCTATGTACACCCACTGGTACGCGCAGACCCCGCACGGAAGAGTGGCGTCGACGCCGAACAGCCTGGTGCCCAAGCCGCTGCGGTTCGAGGACGTCAGACAACCTGCGACGCCAGCAGCTCCAGCGCGGCACAACCAAGGACTCGGGATCCTGGCCTCGCGCCACCGGTCGCTTCCACCAAAGCACGATCTCGAAAAAATCACACAGCAACTACAGAGCAAACTGCGTAAGACCCAGTCCCTCGGCGATGCCGCGCAGGGCAAGGAAAAAAATGGCTTTTCTGCAGATTACCAGGTCACGGTCCAGATCAACAGCGACGGCAAGGCTGCTGTGGTGACGAAACGGCGCAAGCTGGTGCAGCCGCTCACGCCGGCCACTTACGGCCCCCATTTCACGGACGGGTTCATGTATGGCATGGACCCGCCTCCAGGGCTCAAGATCGGCATCGACCCATATGTGGTGGGTGTTTCGTCGACAGAGTTCGAGATGAAGTCTCCCTACTTGCTGGCCGAGGGCGCGCAAGACGCGGCCAAGACCCAGAGCGACGCGCGGTTTGCGTTGCGTGAGCTACTTAATGATCTGTAGTCACTGACATAGGGTGTCATTTGATGCAGGCGTTGCGGCGCAAGCGAGCGAAAAAAATAATCCGGGTTTCTCCCTTACGCCGCAATTTGCCCCTCATCGAAATTACATGCCTTGCGCCTGCCTACTACTTAATATTCCACCTCCCCACAAACGTGCTACTTCTTTGGCATGCGCCCTAGCTGACGTGCCCCCAGACAAAACTTTATGCTCGCGCGGGCTGATGTTCTATTGTTCGTGGCTGTGTACTATCGCTGCAGCAATTTCCATATGTCATTTCTATTATGCAGCAATGCCAAAGATCTCCATGTATGGAACTCGCCAGGCTATGTATAAATATTCCCCACATCCTTTTCTCCAAGATATTTTTTTTCGCACATGGTCTCCCCTTATCCCAGGCTCGTCCACCAGTTTATGGACGACAACTTTCTCCAGGAGTACGGCCGTGAATCGTGCACCAAGCTGCCGCTGATTCCCGTGCTGTCGTCCTCATTCCACACCCCGCTGGCGTCGTTGCGAGCCGTGGATTACTTTTCGGCAGAGCTTTCCGAGGACCAGTACTTCCGGTGCTGGATCTCCATCACAAACAACCGGTTTATGAAACCGTACGAACTGTCCAACTTCCACAGTGTGCGCGCCGCCAAGCCAGACTCGCTCGTCGAGGACCTCCAGGTGTTTCTGCCGTGCACATCGTCTGCACGCCTCGAGAACGCCTGCTGGCGAGCATGGCAGAAATCCAGAAACAGACTGCCGGAGCTGGACCCGGCAGAAATCAACTGGCACAAGGAAAACGACATCACCGCGCTCTACGGCCCGGTTCTCGAGTGCTCTTTAAGGCCGCACCTTGCCGAGCCGTCCGGCGACGAGCTCTCCGACGACGAGCTCTTCAGTTGCAGCAGTGGTTCCTCGCTCACGTCCGTGTCCTCGCTTCCCACGCGCGGCCGACAGCGCATCTGCAAACGCCCCAAGAGAGTCTCTTTCTGCGACCAGATCGCGCGCAGAGACATTGTCGGCGACGCCGTTTTCGACTGCACATACGCAATGGACACTCAATGACGGGATGTATGTAGTATTAGCATGAGTTGATGAATCACAATCTATAGCTCCTCCAGATGTAGCTGGATCGTGTTGCGCACAACGTTGGCCAGCTTGTCTGCCGCAGGCTCCTGCTGTTGGCGGAGATGCCGTCGGAACAGGAACCGTGCCGACTTCAGCGCGATCCCGCAGAGCTCTTTGCACTCGTCCTTACTGAGCCGCGACTGCAGCCCCAGACGGCGCATCTCGCGTGCGGCCAGCCGCTCCACGGTCCGGTTGAATTTTTCCCCCACGTTGTGCTCGCGCGGCGCCCGCATGAGACGCGGCACCTGCGGCTGCTGGCTGTTGCGTTTCTGCAAATAAGTGTCCAAGACGCTATTTTCCCGTCGCAGACGCGGCGATTCGATAATGGCGGCGCTGTCACTGGGCACCTCGCGATCAAATGCTGTTGCAGCAAGCCGCTCAGCGCGGCGCACAAACTCGTTGTCCAGATCCAGCACGACGCCCTTGATCTCCACGTGATCCTCCTCGAGCCGTGGATACAGCACGACGTACCGCTGGCTCTGGTCCGTTTCCAGCAAAAACCCGATAATCTCGCCGCGTTCAAAATCGCAGTACACCATGATCTCCTGGAACACGGCCTCGGAGTCCTTATTCGCCGTGCACACGCTGAAAACGCCCGTCTTGCTAGCCCCGACAAGCCAAACCGGCAGCCGGTGCACCTCGACAAGGTCGACAGCCACGAGCCGGCGAAATTGCGGGAGCTCAACCGCGTCGTCGACGTGGAACTCCAGGCCGTCCAGCGGCGCGCGCATGCCGTCGACCTCGCTGCTGACGTCGTAGCAGCCGCCTAGCTTCATCCCATGAACGAAATAAGAAAATATTATTTCCACACCCCTGCACGGTCGAAGTTATCGTCCACACGGCCAGCGTGCACAAATTTTTTAATCCCGTAAGACACCTAGACTTATTGGAAAAGCCTGCTGTGTCCGCCAAAACGAGTCTGCAGCACGCCACGATGTCTTCCAAAGTCTACTCCGTCGCCAGGGTGTACGCGGACGCCAACGAGATCCGTCCAAGAGAGTACTGGGACTATGAAAACTACAAAATAGAATGGGGCAACATCGCCAACTACGAGATCATCTCCAAGATCGGCAGAGGAAAGTACTCGGAGGTGTTCACGGGCGTGAACGTACTGAATAACGAGCCTTGTGTGATCAAGGTGCTCAAGCCCGTCAAGCTGAAGAAGATCCACCGTGAAATCAAGATCCTCAAGAATCTGACCGGGGGCCCCAACATCATCAAACTTTACGACCTCATCCAGGACCACAACTCGAAAATCCCTGCTCTGATCTTCGAGAAGATCAACAACGTCGACTTCCGCGTGCTGTACCCGAAATTCACGCTCGATGACATCCGCTATTACTTCACGCAACTGCTGCGTGCCCTGGACTACTCGCACTCAATGGGCATCATCCACAGAGACGTCAAGCCGCAGAACATCATGATTGACCCTCTTACCAAGACGTTGAAACTGATCGACTGGGGGCTGGCCGAGTTTTACCACCGGGGAATGGACTTCAACGTGCGTGTCGCCTCCAGATACCACAAGGGTCCGGAGCTGCTGATCAACCTGCAACAGTACGACTACTCGCTGGACCTGTGGTCTGTGGGGGCCATGATTGCGGCCATCGTGTTCAAAAAAGAGCCATTTTTCAAAGGCGACTCCAACACCGACCAGCTGGTGAAAATCGCCAAGGTGCTGGGCACAGACGACCTCCACAAATACTGCAATCGGTACGGCATCAAACTGAGCAGCGACTACGACGACATTCTCATGACGTATCCGAGAAAGCCATGGAGACACTTTATCAATGAGAACAACAGACACCTTAGTGAAAACCCGGCTGTGATTGATCTCATCGACCATCTCGTCAGATACGACCACCAGGAGAGGCTCACCGCCAAGGAGGCCATGGCGCATCCGTTTTTCCGCGGCTCGTGAAGCTGGCGTAAATATAATCATATAGCCGACGCGTCGACTCTGGGTCGATTCCTAATTTGAAACATGCAAACTATAAAAAACCAAAATGGTAATTTAAATTAAAACAAGCCTCCCAGCTTATTGCCTTCTTTTCATGTCCGACACCCTGATCATCAAGTCCATCTCGTCCCACGACGTGTCGCTCAAGGATTGGATACAGGTGCAGGAGAAGACGTTTTTACGTTGGATCAATTCCAAGCTCCAGACCCACAACCACCCTCCCCTGCTTTCTCTTGCCGATCTTGGTTCTGGCGTCGATGTGTACCATCTGCTCAAATGTCTTGACCCGAACTTTAGCCTGAGTCCCATCTACCAACGACCTAAGCTCAAGTTTCAAAAGATGGAGAATCTTAACCGCGTACTGGACTATCTCAAGCACGGTCAGGGCCTCCAGATCCACAATATCGGCGCCGAGGACATTGTGGACGGCAACTTGAAGCTCACGCTCGGGCTGATCTGGCTGCTTCTGCTTAACTACACCGTTTTTGACAACTCGGAGGAGACCGATACGTTCAGCAAAAAGGAGCTTCTGCTCCGATGGTGCAAGAAAGTGACTGCTTCCTATGCCGACATAAGAATGACCAACTTCACATCGAGCTGGTCCAGCGGCCACGCCTTCTGTGCACTGCTCAACTACTTCAAGCCAGACCTGCTGGACTACCAGAAGGCCGCAAAGATGACAACCCTGGACAGACTGGAGCTGGCCATGGCGGTGGCAGAATCCGTGGGGATCTCGCGACTGCTCGACCCGGAAAACGTCGACTGCATAAAGCCGGACGAAAAGAGCATTGTCGCGTACGTCAGTCTGTTCTACGATCGTTTCAACAAGGAACCCGTGCGAGACACCGTCAGCATAAAGACGCGACTGGAGACGTTTCTGGGCGTGGTGACCGAAATCACGGGGCTCAAAACCGACTATCTGGACAGTTTGGCACGGCTGATCGAGCGCATGCGCGAGACGCTGGACGCGATGCAACGGCTGTGCGACGACGTAGCGGCCAAACACGCGTTTCTAAGGAGTTTCCGGGCAGGCAAGAAGCGGCAATTCTTGGAACAGTACTCGAAGCTGGAGTCGACGCGCAGCAAGATCAATTTAATGTTGGTGGAGTTTCATTTCAGCCAGCTGTCGGAGCCGCAGGGCTGCGCGCTTCAGGACGCGTTGGCGCTGCTCAGGAAAGTTGTTGCACAGGAGCAGGCGCTGAGCAGCGACGTGGCTGCGCAGCTGGCACACTTGAAAGAGGATTCTTTCAGCAAACTGCGCCACCTCAGCCACAAAGTTAGCGCGGGGCTTGACCTGATCGAGAACGACGTTCTGCATCTGTCGGACGTGGCAGAGGCGCAGGTCAACGAGCTGCCCGAGATCATGGGCGATCTTCATACCATGGAGAAGCTGTATGAGCGGCTACACGGCGCGAAGGAAGAGTTCTGTCGCAAGATGCGGGTGATGGACCAGAGTTTTGATTTCAAAGAGACGGAGCAGCTCTACAGGGTGGAGGAGCTGGGGTTCCGCATCAAGCTGGTGCGCCACATCCTTGTGGACAAGCTTACTTTCATTGAGACGCAATTTGACAAGAAGGAGCGCATCGTCAAACGGATGAAGACGTCTAGCGAGCTGAGCTCCGTGCAGTTGTGCCAGCTCGAGATGATCTTCGAGAAATTCGACCAAGGCGATAAAATGTATCTGAACAAAATCGAGTTCCGCGAGGCGATGACGTTCATCTACCCGTCTTTGAGCACAAGCGAGGCAGATAATCTATTTGAGTATCTCTATGCGTCCACCTCCGACATCACGCGAGGAGTGAAACTCAAGCAATTTCTGGAGATACCCGGGCTATTTGGCGAAAAACCCGACAGAGAGAGCGAAATGGTGGATCTGACAAGCCGATTTTACTACGAGGCATTTGAGGAGGCCAGTGGTGGCCGGGGATTGGTTGGCAAGGCTGATCTGGAGCGACTGCAGCTGGATTCCCGACTGGTGGCAGGCATAAACGAGGTGTTTGAGAGGGAAGATGACAGTTTTAACTACTCGCGCTTTTTCGACGGCGACGATACGCTGCTAGCTGGGCGGCCCTTGCAGCTGGACCGCGTGCTAGACGGGCTTGGCAGCGTCAATATAGACGAAGGGTCTGTAGCGAATGACATTTAACGAATAAATATGCATTTTCTCGATAATATTCCCGTTTGGGCAATCACAAAAATTTTTTCCCCGCGGGCAAAATAAAGGCTGGTACGATTTTTAACTTGTGATCTTATTGATGTCTTTTCAGATCAATTGGGAGGCCATAGAAAAGCAGTCGTTCTCGTCTTACACGCGGGAGCTGCTGAACGAGGCTCTTAATTCGGGAAAGAGACCCAATATTCTGTCGTCGGACATCAAAATAGTCGACCTCAACTTTGGGCACATCTCACCAGAGTTCGAGATCCTTGAAATCGGCGACCTGGCCCCAGACCGGTTCAGGGGCATCTTCAAGTTCAAGTATGACGGCGATGCGTCTGTGACTGTCAACACAAAGGTCAGCGCCAGTCCGCTGAAGATATACAACAACAACATCTACGACGAGCTGGTGGAGAAAAACAAAGCGTATGCTAGAGACTGCAAGCAGCTGGCGGAGTTTGTGAGTCCGCAGTTCAACGGTTCCGATTGTAATTTTGATATTCCGTTGAATCTGACACTGGGAAAGTTCAAGTTGAGCTCAATAATTATCATTGTTTTCAATAAAACAAAGGGACTCACACTGGTGTTTAAGAACGATCCGCTGGAATCCATCGAGGTCAGCTCCACGTTCGACCGGATCAAGCCGATCGCCAAGTTTCTACAAAAGACCATCGAAACGCAGATCAGCGAGCTGTTCAAGGAGTTCCTGCCCAGCTATCTCTACAAGTTCAGTCTCAAATACACAACACAGTCTCTCCTGCAGTTTCACCAGGACCTGCTCAATGAGGAGCAAGACCTTCAAGAGAAACGCGTTCTGCTGAAGGACGTTGACCCGGAGTTTCCGCTGCGTATTTCTCCCGGCAGTTTGATGCGTCTTACCAGAATCACCAGCTCGAGACAGACGCTTGCTTTGGGGGGCTCGCTTTCTTGTGACCGCATGAATGACGATGTGGTTACCAAGAGTTTCGCCAACGCCATTCTGGCCTCAAGTAATACCGTGAGCTGGAATAGAATCCACCTGAGCAATGCCGACATGCAGTACGGGTCCATGGGCCGCAAATTGGAGGTCATCAAGGATTTCCAGTCTCGGTCGTTTTTCAAGAATGCCCACGACGGTGTAAAACCAAAGAGGAGAGTCATCAAGCTCAACAAGTCCAAACAGTCTCCACCCCAGGAAGACTCTTTCGCAGAAAGTACCGAAGAATCTATCCCAATGTCTGAGAGCAGTCCACCATCTACAGCTTCTACGCTGGTCGAAGAGACTGCTGAAAAGCTTCCAGACGCTCCTGTTTTCCCGAATAACAACTATTTGTCATCGCTACAATTCAAATTGGCTAAGAAAACAGAGCCGGGACCTCCATCTGCTTTCAAAGTGCCAGAAAAGCCCACGCATCACATTGACCAGCTTGAGCATCTTGAGATCCAGTCTCGCAGGCTCAAGCTGGAAAAGCTGCTGGCCAACCACCACACAACGACGCCTTTTTACGACTCGCCTCCTCCATATTCTGTATAGTGAACATATATTCAACGCGTATTAACTATCACACCCCAAACATTTTCTTTTGTTCGTCCCACTCCTCCTGTGTAAACACCTTCTGGGTAAATGCGTGGATGTTGCTAATCTCCTCTTTCAATGCCCCGTTGACCATTCTATGTCTCATCAATTTATTCTTTCCCCTGAACACATCACTGACAATAATCACCGCGAAAGCCTGTCCACAGCCGCCGGACATGTCCTGGACCTCCACCTCCGTGGCGTGGAGCCGTTCTTTTATAATTTGTGTCAGTTTATCTGCTGTGAGGTCCATAAAAATAATAAAAAATGTGGCTAAAAAAATAATTTAATTTCACCTCTATTTTTTTCATGTCTTGTCCAGCAAGATTTCAGCGAGTCATTGCCGGGATCCAGAAACTGTATCCGATTGCGTATGCGGACAGCTCCTGGGACAACACTGGTCTGCTGGTGGATGCTTCAGGAGTTAACAAGAGCGAGAAGTTCCACATTCTCCTAACGGTCGACCTGACCCAGTCTGTTGTTGAGGAAGCAATTAGGGCCCGGTCGAGTCTTGTTCTGGCGTACCATCCTTTCATCTTCCGCGGCCTGAAAAGCATCACTCCGAATGATCCTCAGCAGAGCTCGCTGATAAAACTAATCCACCATGGGATATCTGTATACTGTCCTCACACGTCTGTGGACGCAGCCAAGGGAGGAGTGAACGACTGGCTGGCCCTCGCATTGGGCAAAATAAAGGAAAAGGCCGTGATTGAGAAAAACCCCGCTGATGAGGACGTGGGGATGGGCAGGCTCGTGACCCTATCGAGTCCCGCCAGCCTCAATGAGCTCGTGCCTAGGATTAAAACCCACTTAGGAATCAACCATCTACAATTGGCTACAAAATTAGACCCGGACGCCGCGTCCATCACCACTGTTGCCGTGTGTGCCGGATCGGGAGGGTCTGTTTTCCGGAATTTGGACGCCGACTTGTACCTGACGGGAGAGCTTTCGCACCACGAAGCTCTTTATTTCAAGGAGAAAGGCTCGAGCGTCATTATCTGCAACCACTCCAACACAGAAAGAGGGTTTCTCTCCGTGCTGAGGGAGCAACTCGCCCGCGAGTTTGACGATCCGGAAATCGCCATTGATATCTCTACCACCGACGAAGACCCGTTTATTATTGTGTAGTGCCGCTTTTTGGCGGTGCCTATATATCTGCTCTGCACTGGCAAAACCATGTCATTATATATTTTGCCACACGTCACCCCCGCACCAGGCGTACATATCTTGCAAAGAATTCCAACTTTTCTGCAAGACTACACATGTCGGAGCTGCCGTCCGACTCGTCGCATCAAACGGGACATAGTGTGCACACGAGTCTGTCTTCAGCGTCGTCGCCGGAAAATTTGCACAAGGTCAGGAACCCTCTGTCGAAACTCAGCAAGGCCGCATTCCACAGACCCACGACACCGCCTGCTCCCTCAGACACAACAGTTGGTGCATCGAGGGATGCCGACATCGTGCCCATGTCAAAGCAGCCGTCGCGTCTATTCAAAATCACAAAAAAAGCTGGCAAGCTGGCGACAGAGATCGCCAGCGACCTTGCCTTTGGGACGTATAAGGAAGGTGAAGTCGACACGCAGTTTGAGGAGTACAAGCTGAGGAGATTGCACGAACGAACGGCCAAGGACAACCCGGACGTCGAAAAGGTCAAGCGGGAGATCAACGAGAAGGGCACCGAGGTGTATTTGGATCACCTGAGGTTTTTCCTCAACTACATGGATCAGAGCGAGTTCAACGATCCGATCGACTATGCCATCACCAGAAGAGACCTCTGGCTCAACTGGTACAAACAATTTCTCATCAACTTGCGTGACGAGGTCGAGGACTACGAGCGACTCGTCGAGGAGCGCAAGGAGATGCATTCCCATCCGGAATCAGCATACCAGCACATCAAGCACCATGCGGACTATAAACTCAAAACGAAGCTCCACGAACTCTCATCCATGTCGCAGCCAGCACTGATTCAGAGCCTGCAAAGCTCCATGTTCAACGACAAGCGGGTGGTGCTCCTGCTGCTCTGGTTTCTGCAAATCATCAAGAAACTGCTAAACCAGCCAACGATGATTAACAAGGAGGTGCTGGAGGCTCTGAAAGATTTCCAGGAGACCGTCGACCCGTCGCTCGAGGCAGAACTGTGCGAGGTGTGCGTCGTCACGAGCAACAAAATGATATCCAGCAATCTGAAAGACACGCCTGCCGAGGAGATCCAATACATGGCAGAAGGCTCAATTCTGGGCGCGCACGTCGAATTTCTCAACGGGTGGCAGGTCAGACATGACAACCCGCAATTCCATACAAACTTCGTCAGTGTGACCGACAGTCTACGAAAAGTCATTGACCGCACAAACAAGGGCGTGCTTCCGCAAGTTTATGTTGACCAGTATCCGAATTTCGACCATCCAATCCTTGATGACCAATTTTACCAATACCATCTTAGCAGAGACGAAAAAAAATTCGCCGAAGAGTACTCTTCCTTCACCACCATCGCCAGCGATGTGCTGCCCCTGCGCGACGCGTCCCAATCCTGCGTCTGTTGTCCGGACTTTGCACTCACAGTGACAGAGAGCAACCTCAAATCCACGTTCGCCGAGTTCAAAAGAGTCCTCAAACCAAACGGATATCTCCAGCTCTACCTGTGGGACGTTGAGAACGAACCAAGCGACCCCAAACATCAGACTGACAACGAAATTCTGCGCCAGTGCGTGTGGAGACAGCTAGCACAGTATAATAAGGGCCGCAGCAGCGTGATCAACAATATCAGCTCTCAGGTCGTCCCGCTTCTGCGGGAGCTGGGATTCAAAAAAATCCGTTTCTGCAACATCGGCTACCCTTTGATCTCCACACTCTCGGAACACACAGACATAGCAAGCATGATGCAAACGTCGGATTCTGAACGCACAGCCTCGACAGGGTCCACGACCCAGCTGGGCTATAAGGATCCACGGGTCAATGCGCTTTTCGAGTTCTACACCAACTACATCGAGTTCCTCATGTTTGCTAAAATCCTGTCGGTCTTCCAGCTGGTAGAAACGCTCAAGTACCAGGCTGCTAAGGAAAAGGTCACCAAGCTGGGCGACCAAGAAACACTGGACCTGATAAAGTTGTTCATCGACTACAAGCTCAACGGGTGCGCTGGAGAGGTTGTGCAAAAAAAATTCCCAGACCTTCCTCATCGACAGGACGCTGTCAGAAGCGAGGGAGTGGGCTACTCTGTGGTTCTGATCGCGGAAAGATAAATAGCTAGGATTCATTAAACATGGTCTTCGTTCTGCTCTCGAATGCGTCTTAGTAGCCGTTCTTCTTCGGAGTCCTCTTCCAGCTCCGGCTCGGCTTGTGAGAGTTGACGGATATCGTGCACCACAGGGTCTCTTCTTCTGTCCCCGCGAATGATTGGCCGCGAAACTAACGACGATGGAGGCACAATCATCTGTTTCGGACTGTAGATGTACACCTCATCCGGCAGATACGCGCTGGAAGCGGTGGTGCTTATCTCTTTTTGTTTTAGTGACTTCTTGAACTTGACAAATTTCGGTTTGAGATTGAACCTTTTGGAGTATCGCGAGTCTGTTTCCTCAAACAGCTGGCGACCCAGAACTCCCTGTTTTTGGCGGTACTTGTCCAGCTGGTACATGCGGTTGAGCCACTCCCAGGTGACCACGTTGACAAGCAGCGAGCACGTGATGTTGAATATTTCGGCGAGCCGACTAACCCACGGATTGGCCAGGTCGGCAATATAAAAGGCGACAGCCGCGTTCGCACAGAGCTCCATCAGCAGCGTCAGGGGCAGAACGGTAGGCTTGAAGGCAAGGTCTTTGCGGGAAATAGCGTACACCTGCAAAAGACAGTCGTAAAGCACCGATAGCGATATTCGCAGCAGATACATCACCACGGGCAGAATGACAAGCGCAACATTCTCGTCCGCAGAGCTATTTGCCTTGGACGCCAGTGTTGAGGCTGCCCAGATGATTTGCGATATGATTGCGAGACTGACTCCCACCACCAGGATCAGCTGCTGTTCTCTTTTACGTGAAAACATTTTTTTGATCACCTCGATCTGGGTCAGAAGCAACAGAAAATAGCTGATGATGTACACGATGTTAAATCCAAGCGAGTCGGTGATGGATTGGACCAGCTCTAAGGCCGAGACATGCCCTTCTGCGTGTTGTCTGGACAAGTAGATGAGCGAGTAGATATAGATTGCCATCAGCTGTCCGGTAGCCAGCAGACTCGATATCTTCATGATCCACGTCGGTTTCAGTGATCGGAGGTGATGCTTGTTGAAAAGAATCGCTGTCAAAAACACCGCAAAAACGGCAGCTGTGCTGATCACGAAGATCGCAGGATACACAGAGTCGCGGAACACCAAAGACGGCGAGGTTCTTTGCTCGTCTACGTACTCTGTCCAGCTCTCCTCAAATATCGGCAGCCTTGGAATGCCCATTTTGGTCAGAAACATGTTTGTGGTGTACAGCACTGGTTGCTCTGAGACGCACAAGTGGCTGAAGTACGAGTCTTCGTCAACGGCGAATACTCCACTCGTCGACACTATAAAACCCTGCCACAGTTCGATACTATCACAGATAGCATAATCGGCCGTCTTTTGCGGATTTCTCCACAGCACTAATTTCTCATGGACCGGGACAGTGTCATTCAGAAATCGCATTTATTTAAGATTTTTTATTTTAATTTTTTTCTCTTGTCAAATGGACACGGAAGTCTCGTTTTCCACGCCAAACCTGGTGGAGGAGCACTCTGACGCGCTGGCGCGTCACAATTCTGACGGCGGCTATAGCCTGATAGACTACTACGCGGAAACGCGCAGGGAGGAGCCCTTCACGCTGGTAAATCCACCCCATAAAAAGACCTTGACTCGAACAGAGTCGATCCAGTCGCTGAAGAAGTCGCGAACGTCGCTGGAGCGGGTCCAGAGCAAAATCGGCGAGTCAATCAATCAGGAGCCAAACCGATTGAATGCCATTCTTGCCAGCGACAGAGACAGGTATGGGTTCCGCAAAAGCAATCATTATGTCAAAACCGAGGACTACAACGAATGGTGGACGCAGTACTCCCACTACCTGGCGCGGAGGAAAAAGAAGTGGGAGAAATTGATGGCGAAAAACGGTTTGCTGGTTACCAAGAAGGGCAGTCCGACTAGGTTTCCCGCCCGATCTGAGGAGCTGCGCCGCTACGTTCGCAAAGGCATCCCGGCAGAATGGAGGGGCGACGCCTGGTTCTATTTCGCAAAGGGCCACGATAAAATGAAGGACAACAAGGGTGTTTACGACAAGTTGGTCGACGAGACCATGAACATGATCAACGAAAATACAGAGGCTATTGAGAAAGACTTGCATCGAACGTTCCCGGAGAACGTTCATTTTAACGACATCACGCGCAACGGAAGTACCGAGGAAAGCCCGTTGCTGCAGACCTTGAGACGCGTCCTCAAATGTTTTTCCAAGTACAGGCCCTCGATCGGTTACTGTCAGTCGCTTAATTTCATTGCCGGGTTATTGCTGGTATTTTTAGACGAAGAGCGTGCGTTTTGGATGCTCGTCATTGTGACCGAGAGGTATCTCCCTGGAATCCACGAGTTTGATTTGGAAGGAGTTAACGTGCACCAGGGCGTGCTGATGTTGTGTTTGAGACAGTATCTGCCGAACGTTTGGGCTCTGATCAACGAGAGCTCGCATTCCAACAATAACTCGTTCCTGTACGATCTGCCGACGCTGTCTTTCTGTACAACCAGCTGGTTCATGAGCATTTTCGTCGGTGTGCTTCCGATTGAAACCACCTTGCGGGTCTGGGATTGCTTGTTTTACGAAGAGTCGAAAGCTATATTTCAGGTTAGTCTGACGATATTCAAACTGTTGGAGCCCCAAATGGTCGATCTCAGTCACAAGCGGTCCGAGGACGACGGCATCTTGAGTGCGGAGCTTTTCCAGATGATCCAGAACGCCCCAAAGCGGTTATTGGACGCCAATGCGTTGATGGAGGAATGTTTCAGATTTTCGAGCTTCAGTAAGCTTTCGCAGGAGGAGATTCAAAATTGCAAAAAATATGTCATTGAGAGCCGCAGCAGGTACAATGAACTGATCAAGCGGCGCAGTGCGGTTGGCATGGACGAGCAGGAACGCAAGGAGCTGATGCGCACTGCTGTTCTCTTGGAGAACAAGCAGATCGGACTCAAGAGCATGAACTGGAATGGCCGTCTAAACAGCCGTATGCGGCGTATCCAGCAGCGCATCCGCTAGACTGGCCCATTTGGCCGTGGCACCAGCACGTCCAGACTTAGATACCCGCTTCTTCGAGGACTCACAAATTCGACTGGGATGCCGCGTTTTTTCAGATCAGCATTGACATCCCGGATGTATATTTCTAATTTGTCTGCATACGTTTTATCCCATCGTAATCTCGACAGAATGCCGAACGTGAGGGTGTCCAGTAGCAGATAGGGGCCCCATTTCCAGGAATACTGGTTCTCTAGCAGCTTGTTGACGTTGGCGATGACTTGCTCCACCTCTTCCTGCTCCAGGTACAAGGCCAATGGCGTTCCGAGGTCTGTGCCGAACCATTGGTCGTCAACAAGCACCTTGGGCTCAAAACGGTTGTACTGGTCGAGTTTGAAATTTGGATGGTCGACCGTCGCGACGCGGGCAATTCTAATTACTCTTAAATTTGTATCGTCCGAATAAACGTTAGGAAAGTGTGTTACTTTTGCGTCTCCAACGGAATATACGTGATAATTGAACATGAGTGTTGTTTCCGAGCTCGAATTTGCCAATAAATTCCAGAGCTTGATAAACTTTGTCTGTCCCGAGAGAATAACCAGGGAAATAAAATACACAAACGTAAGTTGATTGCCAGATGAAAAATTGCTAACTTTAGTGTGGGTTCGGACATATCAATACTCCGGTGTTTTACCGTGGCGGCGAGCGGTCCATCGTCAGCCTGACTATCAAGTCACTCCGTGCTCCTAAATTCGAGTACGAGTTCAAGTTCGATTCTACCACCTCGATTTACAGGGTCAAGGAGGAGCTGGCAAAGACGATTGGCAGTTCTCCGGACCATCTCACATTGATGCTCAAGACGAAGACTGTACATGATGAAGACCTTCTGGAAAAGTACGCAACGGAAGGAACGTTGAAATTGAATGCCATAGTGAAGGCCAAGCCAGAATCGACAGAAACGACACACCAAGCTCCCCAGACTACGTACAGCCTATCACCCGAAGCATGGGCCAAGATCTCGCAGATTCTCGAGTTGGAGATCCCTGATGAGACTGCCAGAAACCAGTACCTGCAGAAGCTGAAGAGAGTGAGAATTTGAGCACGTATCAATAGCCACGGAATACAAGTGATTTTTCAATTCTGGGCAAAGCTGCTGTTACTCTGCAAGCCCATTGCTCGTGCTTGGCTCTCTCTTTGGGCGTGTATCCACGCTATTGTGCACGCTATCGTACGCCAGCCAGTTTATAGTGTGGCCGCTATGTTGCGAAAGCAACTACAGTAGGACACAGGTAGCTCTATAGTGGCTCTATAGCCCGACTAATTCTCTAACCATTAACTGTGGCAAGCGTCAAGATAACGCATCGTCTGCAACGGTCAAATGGCTGTCTGAAGATAAGGCAAGAACTGAATAGCAGCTGGCAGATTGGTGGCCATGTCACACTACAGTCAGGTCCGTGGCGCACTCCAAACGGCAAAAAATCCCAATTCTTCTTGGAAGCTCCATCTGTCGGTCGACAATGCCCGTCGCAGCTTTCAGAAGCGAGCACAAAATTTATGTGTAGATTTAATTTTATATTTTTTGATCTGGACATGGTATGTCCCACTCTAGTACGCTAACCTTGCTCCATTTCGGCGCAGGTAACCATGCCGAAGATCCCGAGAAATTCAAGCGATTGTTCAAAAAGGCCCTGAAGTCGAGAGCTGTGCAGCCTGAGGGAACGGACCGCGGTGTCTCGCAGATTCGCCAGCTGATGGCGGTTTCTTCAGTTATAGAGGACAGTTCGCTGACCAACACAGGCATGACGTCCTCAGTTGCTCGGGATGGAACGATCCAGTCCGATTCAAGTATCTTTTTCTATGACCGAATAGCTAAAAAACACAACCAATCGTCGCTATTAGCTAACACGGCAGCACGGCCCATTGCCGAATGTGCATATCAGTATTTTGCCCAGCAGAAAAAAAACGACCTTGGGCTCACGCCCCCGGTGGCCCTCGTGGGGGTGACCGACCATAATATCGAAATTAGCGACCGCATGAGCCAACTCTACGAAAGGTACAGAAACGACCTACACCGAATAGACTCGATGGAGAAAAAAATAGCGTCCTCCATAATTACAGACACCATCGGCGTTTCGGTGATCGACAAGCACACAGCGTCCACGGGGGTCTCCTCGGGCGGCAGTCTGTTCAAAAAACCCGGGCGAATTGGATGCTCGGGCGTAGTCGGGGCTGGCTGCTACACCGCACAAAAAGATGGGGCCCTGGTTAATGTTCTATGCTCAGGAAACGGCGAAGACATTATCCAGATGGACCTTGCGCGGTCTGTATGCCGCCATGTTCTTGCTAATTGCCACCACGGGCGCCTGGTGTGCGATCTCGCGGCAGAGGCGGTTTACAACGCGGCGCAGGAAGTGGATCTGCGTGCGCTGGACGACAATTTCAATCCGAGGCTGTACGTCGGAGTCGTTGGCTATTTTGAGTCGCCGGACCAGTTCCGCACGGTTTTCTATTTCCACACCACTGAGACATTCGTGTTCGGCTACGCCACAGGCCTCTCTAATGAGTTTTGCTTCAGCAGACGGCCGAAGTTACAGGCTGCCACCAAAGGTCAGATGTACGTTAAATAATAAAAATAGATCCGTGGCTGGTGATAGTTGGGGCGGAACTTTTGCACAAAAAATACTCTGTGGCTAATAGTTGTTTTGCGTCTCTTGATGGACTTGTCCAGACTTCTCCCTGACTCTGGACATTTATCCTGCCTTTTCGAGCGCGAAGAGGTGGGACAGGAGACCTATACGCCTGGCCAACGACATTTGATTCGAATATGCTCCATCAGCTCCTCGTCCACCTCCATAGTCTGTGGACTGGTTGCCTTCTACACACTGGGGATGATACACCCTAGAAAACGGATGTTCCGCCACATCCTGATTGCCATACTGATTGCCTTCGACTTTCTCAAAGCCATTATGTTGCTTGTGTACCCAGCAATATCCGAGAATACCAATGAAGGGTCGGTGCAAAATATCAAATTTCTCAACGCCATAGGGTGGCTAACGTGTTTCAGCATTGAGGGCGCTGACCTCATCATCGTTTGTTTTGCTGTGCACATCGCGCTTCTGATATTCCGTCCCGCTGTTTCCCAGCATTCAAACGGTGAAGGCGGTCTTCACACGGTTCGAAAATACGTCTATACTTTGACGTTTCTCATTCCCGTGATTCTCAGCTCACTCACATTCGCAGGGCACGAGAGTTACGTAGACCAAGTCAGCTGGAGTTACATGGAGCCGCTTTCTGCGGTCTGGTATCTGACCTGGATAATCCGGTACTGTATTGCTGTCCTGATCGCCACAATCTATGTTTCGGTGTATTTCTACGTGATGCGCCAATATAGGGCCGTGAGCAGCAAAATGGATTTTGTCAGCAGTCAGAAGCGCGGGCTCGTCTCTGAAGTTCTGGGAGACTCGGTCATGTACAAAGTCGGCCAGTTGCTGCTGATGCTTGTTTTCCCAGACGTGCAAATAAGTGCCAAATTGCATGGGAAGGACCTCAACACGGACACAGACATTGAAAACATGGACAATCTCCGCCACCACGATCCCGAGCTCGCGGATTATTGCCCTCCGCAGTCTCCACAGTCGCCGAACCCAGACCGATCGAGACACGAAGTGGGTTTGGATATCCAGCAATTGCTGCACGAAGAAGCAATGGAAAGACTTCGAATACGACAATTGCAGATCATGCGACAGATGAAGGTGATCTTCATCTACCCCGTTTCCTATATCCTGCTCTGGCTGTGGCCGTTTGTGGCCCAGTGCTACCAGCTGCAACGGGGTCGTCGAGCATACTACCATTTATGGGTGTTCTGCATCTCCTCCTTCTTCCAGGCATTCAACTGTACCATCGACACATTGGTGTTCCTGTTTAGAGAGCACCCTTGGGACCTGCGAGCCAGCAAAGTGGACCCTTACGCTGAACACAACTACGGTTGGCTCCGACGCAAACTCTGTTTTTTTCCCGGTTATCAGCTCGGCAGTGCCACGATACGAGACGCTAATAAGACTTCCACGCCGAACGTAGAACACCACGGCTCAGAACTCGACATTCACGCCTCCGACTCCAGATCTAGCTCGATCGTGGACCCCAAAGAAAACTCGCACAATAATACGGTCAGCATGGCGGATTTCCTAAACTCCTCCGTCCCGAAAAGCTCTCAAGTAACGGCAAATCCTTCGACACGACGCAGCTCAAAGTTCAGCTGGCGCGCGTTTTCGCACATAGGCTCGTTGACCGAGTCAAACCACTCTGATGATCACAAGGATGCGCATAAAGAGCCGGACTTCCGCAAAGGCAGCGTCACCAGCGGAAAAACGACCTCTACAGACGACAACGTCGAGATGGACCTCATATACTTTCTCAAAGAAGGGCGTCCATGACGATATATGCAACTCTAATTTAATGAACCATTTTTTATCTCTACTCAGCTTATCTAGGTATTCCTCTTCCTCTGCCCATAGGCTGTTGAGGCTGGGGCTCATTAGGCTCATTTTTGATCGTCTCGTCCACGCTCAGCACCAGAACAGCGGCCTCTGTAGCGCTCTGCAATGCATTCATCTTCACCAAAGCTGGCTCCCAAACAAATTTCTCGAAATTATTACTGATGGTCTCGCTCTCGAAGTCCAGTCCGTACCACACCTCTCCCTTGGAGTGCTGTGCTCTAAGGTTGTTTAGAAGATCAGTTCCGTCAAGACCTGCGTTCTCACATAGCTGTCTAGGAATTACCTCCAGAGCCTTAGCATAGGCCGCGATGATAAGCTGCTGTTTTCCAGCAATTTGTCTAGAATAGTTTCTCAGATGCTTGGATAGCTCCATCTCTATGGCTCCTCCTCCAGCCACCACGGCATTGTGTTTTAGGGCCCTCTTCACAATCATGATGGCGTCGTGCAAAGAACGCTCAACCTCGGCAATCACCTGATCGGCTCCTCCTCTCAGAATTATGGTACAGGTCTTGGCAATTGGACAGCCTTCAAAAATGTTGTATCTTTCTCCGCCAATCTGGACTTCTTCGAACTTTTCACAGGAGCCCAGATGCTCTGACTTGATATCTGAAACTGTCGTCTGGATCGACCCTCCCACAGCATGAACCACTCTTTCCATGTCCTGGGCAGGAATTCTTCCGGCACAGAATATGCCTCTATCAGCGAAATATTGGGTTGCTAAGTCGCCGATAGGCAGTTTCGAGAGCACGATGTTGGCTCCGGTAGCCACAATCGCGTCCAGTTTGTTCAAAATAATCTTCCACTCGGCATCCACGATTTCCTGGTAGTCTGCCACCTTGTCGATCCTGACCTCTGCATTATCTTTTTCTGCCTTCAACTCCAGTTCCACATTCAAGGACAGGATCTTGGGATTGCTGAACTTCTTTGGCTGCTGCTCGAAGCCGGCATACGAGAAGGCCTTCTTGAAAGCGACACCGTGAATCAATCTGGACTCGTCCATCGATCCGCCTGCAACTTTCTTGATTCCAATCAAGTCTTCGTCTAGATCGTCTCTATCCAGCACCAGCACAGCATCAACAGCCATTTTGGTGAAAAGCTCCTTGTTGTTTTGGATGATCTTGGAGGACATGGCCGTTTGAGCACATCTTTCCAGGAGCTGTCTCATCTCCGCGTCACTGTGATCGGTGGCCAATTCCACCTGCAGCTCCCTTATTTTTTCACATGCAAGATCGCAGGCCTTACGGAAAGCTTTGGTGATCACATGCGAAGGCATACCCTCTTCAATGAATTGCTTACTCTCCTTCAGAAACTCTGCCGCCAACAAGGCCACAGAGGTGGTCCCGTCTCCGACCTCTGCATCCTGGGACCGAGAAATATCCACCAAAATCTTGGCAGCGGGATGGACCACATCCAGGAGCTTGAGGATGGTGGCTCCATCGTTCGAAATCGTCGTACGTCCGTTGTTCACTATCAGAATATCTGATCCCAACGGACCCAGAGTGGCCTTCAAAGTCTCCTGGATCGCCACACACGCGTTGATATTCGAAATTATCTGGCCACGGCCCTGCGAGGTGTCCGTGCCCTCTTTCAGCACAACTATGGTAGGAGTGGACATGAATAAAAAATGGCGAATTAAGAAATATTCGAACAAATATTTCGCGTCGACGGTTTTTCTTCACCAGAGTCGCGTCGATCGTCTATATACATTATATCTTCCACACACCGATGCTACCGTTGTCACGGCCTTCCACCAGATAGCTGTCTGTGTAGCGGCAGAAGGTCACTACCCCAGAGCCCTTGGCCACGTCCGTGTGAGCCTGGTCAATCCGGTCGTACAACTTCACCGTCTCCTCGCCCGCAGCACAGGCAACCCGTTTCTCGTCGAACTGCAGTGAGCGGATCTCGTGACCGTATGCAAATGAGTCGACCAACACCCCTGTTCTCAGGTCCCATATCCGGACCGATCGGTCCCGCGACCCCGTCACGATGCTGTGTTCATCAAATTGAAGGCACGTGACGGCGCTCGTGTGACCAACAAGCTGGCGGATGATCTCTCCGCTACGCAGATCCCACAGACGAACAACGCCATCGCCTGTTCCAGAAGCTAAAGCGGCATCAAAGCACTGTAAAGCACCAATATATGGGGTCCCCATCTGAGCTGGGGCCTGCTTCCAGTTCCTTGAGGCTGCCCACATCACGTCAATTGTCTGGATGCACTGGCCGGTAGCCGCATCCCAGTGTCTTATGGTTTTGTCGGCCGATCCTGACACAATAGTCGGCCCCGACATGCTCACGGCCGTGATCTCGTCCATGTGTCGCTCAAAAGTGTGCAACAACGGCTCTTCCTCGCCTACCTTGGTGTAATCCCAAAGTCGCAAAGACGCGTCCAGAGATCCCGTCAGAACAAGATCTTTCTCCATCGCCAAGCACTCCACGCTCGACAGATGTCCCTCTAGTCTTCCAATGCACTCGTTTCTATTCAGATCCCAGACTTTGACGGTGTTGTCTAGCGAGGCAGACACAAGAGTACCAAATGGAGCGTCGAATGCAAAGCAGGTCACTGCATCGTCGTGGGCCTCTAATCGCACTATCTCGCTCCCTGGAGTGTAATATTGGTTCAGCGTCGAGACATGTTTGCGAACAGTGGCCGGTTCTGGAGCGGCCCCTTCTGTCGCCTGGGCGCCTTTGTTTTCGAGGCTTTTCTCCACTATCCGGAGTAGTTTCTCCAGTTCCGACTCCTCTTTCTCGTACTCTGCCACACGGTCAAACATTTTCTTGCGCAGACGATATAGCTGCTCGATTTTGGCGTCGAGCTCCTTGATGTCGCTCTCGGCAATGCCTTTTCTGATCTCCAACAGGTCCAACTTATAGTTCACGTCGTCCTTATACTGGTGCAACTGAGCTACGTTCGTTGTCGACTTAATGGTATCAGCGTTCAGTCCCGCGGCGAGCCGTTTCGAGGGCGCAACTGCTTGCTCCAGGTCTGGCAAGATAGCACTGAATCCCTGGTATAAGGAGAACACGGTGTCGTCTTCGTCCTGTGTAGGAATCTCTGCCAGAAGCTGGTCGCTTACTATCTCCAGCCCGTCGTTTCGCGTAGTCTTGGACCGCCTTACAAGAGAAACACTGGTCCTTGAGTTCTCAGCATGTCTTTTTACAAGATTCTGGCTCTTGAGGCCTCCAAAAGTGGACAATGCATCCTTGTAAGTCTTGTTGTTGAGCAAGCCTGCTTGGTCCTTGCTCACCAAAACCGACGCCGTCGTCGTCAACGACTTGATCTGATCCGACATGGAAGGTACAAGTGAATATTTAAAATATTTTAGACTTTACGCAATTTTTCGCAAGGAAACGACAAACCTGGGTATAAAACATTTGACATAGCACTTAGTTTCTGTCTTCCGACAAAGCCGCCAGCTCCGCTTCCTCCTTTTCGATCAGTCTTGCGACATCCTCGCCCTCCTCGGCCGCGACAGCCACCACCATTTCGCCCTGGACTCCTCCCTGGACGCCTAGATGATTCCATATCACAAGTTCGTCTTGCATGGCCTCCAGCGCAGTTCTGTACTCGTTTAATGCGGCCACCGCGCTCGTTGCTTCGTTGAGGTTTTCCTGGATCGCATTTCTTTGCGACTCCTCGATTTTGTATATCGACGCGTACTGCAGTAGTCGTTGGTACATCAGACTGAGTCGCACCATCGCATCCTCGTTTGGATCGTCCTTGATCTGCTCCAAAGAGCTTTTGACGGCTGACAGTTGTGGTACGCTGCCCTCGTCCACGTCCAACTGTGCTAACGATTGACCCCTGAGCAGGAGAAGCTCATCTTCCTGGATGTCGCGTATCTGCTGCGTTGTATCGAGTGATTCCAGTAGCGAGTTGCTGAAGATCCCTCCAGCACGGTAGTACAGCGTTTGTATGGACTGGTTTATCTCGTTTATGCGTCGTAAATTGGTTTCCAAAACACTCATAAATAAACACAGAGATCCAAATAGTAAAATATTATCGTGCTTTAAATATTATTTAATCTTCTCGCCAGCTCACGAAAACCTCGTCCGTTCTAAACCTCTGGGTGCAAACGCTCCGCTCCAGTGTGGTTCTTGCGCCTGTTCTGTAAGCAAGAAGGCCGGCGTGGGCAATCATGATCCCGTTGTCAATGCAGAAGCGCTCATCGGTGGCATATATGCTGCCGTTTCTGTCCTTGGCCATTAGACCCATCATCTCCTGCAACCTCTCGTTGCATCCAACTCCACCAACTATTAACACTTCGCGCGAACCAACATGGGCCATGGCTCTCTCTGTGATCTCTACCAGCATCGCAAAAATGCATTCCTGAAGCGAAAAACACAGATCTTCAACCGTCACTCTGCTGCCGTCGGCACGAATCAGTTGTTTATTCTTCTTTCCTTGAAACAGATCGTGCGCGAGACTGTCAACATACTCCAGAATCCCACTCATGCTGAGATCCATGCCTTTCACGGTGTATGGTAGCTCGACTAGATGACGGCCTTTTTTCGCCAGCTGCTCTATGTTGTAACCGGGAGATGGGGCGTTGGGGATTCGCAGCGTTCGTGCAAACCGATCCAAACAGTTTCCAACAGCAATGTCCAGCGTTTCTCCAAAGATCCTGTACCGTTGCCGCGAATACGCAATAACCTGAGTATTTCCCCCACTCACATACAGCACAACTGGATTCGTAGCTCTAGTGATTTCTCTGCCCATTTCGATATGTCCAATGCAATGATTCACTCCCACGAGAGGCAAGTCCCACATCTGTGCAATTGTTCTCGCAGCTATCGCAACGCTTTGCAAAGGAGCACCCATCCCTGGCCCCTGCGTGAAACAAATACAGTCCAGCTGATCAGGACGTATATTTGCCTCCTTCAACGCCTGTTTGATTAGCCTGACCACCCAATTTCGATGGTGTCGAGCAGTGTCTCTAGGAAGAAAACCTTCTCCCGGAGGCGTCACATAAGTATCCCGCACATTAGAAAGCACGTTAGCATGATTATAAGCGCTGATTTTCTCAAGAGGGTGTTCAATAACGCCGACACCCAATTTGTTGGCCGAGCCCTCCAGGCCCAGAGAATAGTAAGGCATATATATCTATCAGTTTAAATTTTATTTTTCTTGAAAATAAATTTTGTGCCGTTTCACAACAAACTATATGTCGTATAATATTAATACTAGAACGTGATTGTTCTTTTACACAAGCCCGACAGCTAAAGCCTTGAGCTTGCTCTTTTTGAGACTTTCGTCATCCTCCAGCAGCTCTTGCTGCACCTCTACTTCAGGTAAACGGTCACTCCCTCTGATTTTGTCCTTGAGTTTCAAGACGGAGATCCGAATGGCAGCACAAGCAAATCCAATCAGACAGCCACCAATAGGAGCAATCACAAAGGCACCAAAAGCACCCCAGTCTTCATCAGAGTAAATACCGTTCCAAACTAAAAGCAGACGTGCGCCTTCTTTGGCGTTGCCATAATAAATTGTACCATAGATGAAAACCGCAACCAAAGCTCCTAGACCACCAACCATCACATCAAGACCGCGCAAAAAGTCAAACCTCTTGGAAAGACCCAAAAAGATGATTGGAATGACCGACGCAGAAACTAGATCGGCAATCAGATAAATCTGAAGAACATTGGTAGCAGCTTTCACTGCCACCACAATCGAAGGCACCATAACGAGAATGACGACGAATCTCACCCACATGATATTGACTTTGTTTCTGAAAATATCGTTTGAAATCGAGGAAGTAGTGGCACTCTGCAACGAGTCGAACGTGGCAGTGGAAATCCCAATCGAGAAAATGAGAATTACACCAATGACCCAGTTGTCCATCTTGGAGACAAGGATGAAGAAAGCGTTGCTTCCATTCTCATCGTACACTGTCATGTCTCCGGTCCACACAGCGAGAATGCCCGGAAGACCAACAAGCGTACAAACAATACCCGCAACAACTGCGGCAATGGAAGCACCGATGTACAGGTCCTTATCTGTCTTGGCCGCGAAAGTTCTAAGCCAGAATCCAGAGAGGAAGCAGTCATTGGTGATGATGGCAACTGGAAGAATATACAGGAGCATCCATCCCAGCTTGTTCGCATGCAATAGTTGGTCTTCTGTAGCGTGCTTCAGGTCCATGTTGATGTGTATACTGGTGGCATAGCCGATAACACCAATGACCAACAAAACCAGGACAAAAGCGGCCTGGAAGGCATCCGTGATAAAAGACACATGGAATCCTCCCAAGAAGGTGTATATCGTAGTGACCACACACTCAACCACCATGGCCGGTGTGGCATCAAGACCAGTTAATGCCTCTATGGCGTACTCGATAGCTGTCAGTTCAGACAACATGAAAAGAAACATGGTGAAAATGGTGAATGCCGACAGATACAAAGCAGTCACCGGCCCAAACCTTTGGAATACCCATTCGGTAAGCACGAACCCTTCAGGACACCGTCTTCTGATCATAGGGCCGAACAGAGAGAACAGGAAGATAGGAATGGCTCCAGAAATGGTGTACACCAAAAGACCGTGAATACCGGCAATGTTGGCAATCTGGGTATAGGTGGTCAAGATTCCACATCCCATCGCTAAAAAAGTTAGTACTAGGAACAAATGTTCGCTCCTATTTAACAAATTCCATCAATATCAAATAATCCTCACGCAAGTATTAACTTGTTCGAGTTTGACGGTATAATCTCAGCCTGGTATTACACAAGCACCCGTATATCAATATTGTGGAAAAAAGAGTAGTTTGAAGATGTGATATTTTGATTGGAAATGCTAAACTTTAGCTGCTAGTATACTAACCGCTCGCAATAAAGTTCAACGCCAACGGAAGACCCGTCCTTGTACCATTGGAGGACAAGAATGTCTTCTTGTCATTATGGTAAACTGCAATCGCAACTCCCGTCACTAACATAAACCCGTAGGTTAGATAAGTGATGGCATTCGCTGCTTGAAAAGAGAGCATGATTTTTGTTGGGGTAAAAAAATATGTGGTTTTCGGTTATTTATATTAAATCCTGTTTAATTAATTAACTACATTATTTTTTTTCTTGCCGCATCAACGCACTCCGAGACAATCGCAGGATCGAAAAATTTTGGGTGGTGCTGCAATTTACTCAGTCATCATCCGAAACGAGAACAATTGCCGACGTATCCCCCACTTCGTCCTCGTTTTCTTCTTTGAGTGGTAATGTAGCTGCTGGATTATCATCTTCCGAGTCCGAGAACGATTGGCTTCTTTTCTTTTTCTTCGATTGACTTTTCCTGCTCGATTCCCCCTTCACCTTCTTACCTATCAGTCCTCCATCCTCACTCTTTACACGCTTCTTGTGCCTAGGTTTTTTAATTTTCGATTCGCTAGCTGTCTTTTTAGGCTCTTTCTCCTCATCTGGAAGGGGTGCAACCTTAATTTTTTTGGTTTTTTGGTTTTTTTGGCTGAAATTTTCGATTTGGGCCTCGAAGATTTCTTCTCTGCTTCTTCTCGCGTTTCAGGAGATGCGGACATTTGGTGCAGTGCAGGATACTCCTCGTCAGAAGTGGAATTTGTGACCGGTTCAAAAGCAGGCTCATCAGATAGCTCTTTTTCAGAAACAGCTGGTAATTCAAAAGCAGGCTCCTTAAGTTCTTCTTCCTCTTTGTCCATTACCTCATTTTCCTCTCCCTGCTCCCCCTTTTGCTCATCGTGCCTCTCAGTTTGTCCACCGGCTTTTTCCAGACATTCCAGTACATATTCCGCAAACCTGCTGTATGCATTCCTAGAAGGCTGGTCCTTCAAAGGCTTTTCCAACACGCCTTCCAATTGCTCCATTGAAGTGTATAGTTGTTCCAGTTTCGCGACATCGCATTGTTCCGTAAATGTGAGCCGCGGAAGCGAGGTCATGATAGCCTTGAAAAACGGCTTGGTAACCCCTGAGTATTCTAATTTTTCCAGCAAAGACAACAGTTGGAGCCCAACCTCGACCTGGACCGAGCTACTGGCTGCTTCACCTGGAGACTTGTTAACAACTCGATAAGGATCAGTCCAGTACATCAGTTGTTGAACAATGGATTGTGGTGTTATCGAGGAAGCACAATCGGCTTCTGTCATCTCGCCCCACCCACTGAATAGTCTGAATAACGTGTCGCAAGTGACGCGAGCAATTCTCTCCTGATGCGATTCATGAGAGAAAGCATAGACAGGTATACAGAACGAAAAACACTGTTTCAGCTGCTCATTGTCGTTGATCGCAGGATTGAAATAGGAAAGCAGCGTCGTTTCGAACAATTCATCATCAGTGATAACTCCACACAAAAAGAGTTTGTACAGGGCTTCCCCTGAAGTGGCCTGCGCTTCTTTGCGGTTGGAGTCTCTCAGTGTACGATAGAAAAGCCGCGCTATAGCAATTGCATCCACGCTATTAGCAGTTTCCACCTCCAGTACAGATATTCCATGAACCGCGAGCAAGTCTGAAATAACCTTGATACCAGTGACAACGAGCGACTCCTCATTGCTTTTCGTGACAAAAATAGCGCAGATGAAAATGCTGTCAGCAGCCAATTCTTTGTCGAGAATGCAGCAGAGGCCTAAACAAATGAGACCCAGTTTTCTGATTTCGGTTTCGGATCGACGAATAGAAGGCCGAATCAAACTATCGAGAATCGACATTAAGGTGATGTTATCCTTCAAAGGCTTGTTTACAAGCTCAAGCATACGGCGCGCAATGGTGAGACATTCAATCAGGTTTTCGGGACTCAATTCTGCGACCTGTTTCAGTTCCTGTTGCATCGATCTGTTGGCGCTATCAATCAATGATCTGGACAGATCTCTTGCGGAATGGAAACTATTCTCATCATCGTCATCGTCTTCATCGTAATTTGCAGCCAGATCGTCCTCCACTCGGGAGCTTTGTCCCGCGATGCCTTCTTCCAGCGTGTTCTGTTTTTCGTAAGCCGAGTCTTTAAGGTCATTAATAATTTCCACAATCATCTGTGTGAAATCGCGCTCGCTGATGGACAGTTTATGTATACAAAGCATGAGGACCTCAATCAAGTTGTCTGACAAATGATCACCCGTGAGCACGGCTCTTAGGGTGTTCAGCATTCTGCTTCGTCCAAACTCATCACTATAGTCATATTCGGAAGCCACAATCAGCAATTGTCGCAGGACGAAGTCCAGATCGTCGAGCTCTGTCATGTCAACCGAGCTCTCTGCCTCTAGTAATGGCTTCTGTTGATTTAAAACAATGAGGATTTCTTTTCGCTTTGCAAAATAGCCACTCAATATATCCGCAAACTGAGCAGCTTCCGGAAAGTATTTTTCAATCTGCGTGATCTTGTTCGTATCATTGCAATGCTGATAATAAACCCTTAGCAAGAGAGAAGTTTCTGGTGTCAATGCGCGCATAATTTGCTCGTCAAAGGTTATCTTGGCCACAACATCCTGCCGATTATCAAGGAAAACACGGACGGCGGTTTCCGCGATCTCACTTTTGGTAACCTTCAGACGTTCTAGCAGCTCCATCACGTCGTTGTTTAAAGTCTGCATCCAATTTTCAGTGAGCCACTTGATTGCAGCCTTCTTGACGGACTCCTCGCGATCTTTGAGACCCCACTTGAGCAACTGTTCCCGAGCCTTGTAGTCTATGCGTCTGAAATCTTTGAAGTCAGGCAGCACTTTAGAGTACAGCAACCTTCTGTTGACTGAGTTTGTGTCCCTTGCCCTCTCGAATATGTACGGCTCTGTATGTCTGGTTTTTTCGATTTGGCGCAAGCATGCTCGCCTCACCTCTGGATTTGTGTCATTTTGCATCACATAACGAATTTTCATTGCTGCGTTGCTCAGCTCCTGGCTTCCATCTGGCTCTTGGAAGCTTGCCAGAGTTGTGATGGCCTTGATTCGGATGTGTGGCTCCTTGTCATATATCCTGGCAAGCAGCCCCTCGCTCAGGGCTTCGTACAAATCAGTGTCAATCGAGGTCATATTGTTCATCAAATGTGAGAGAATATGACAGGCTCTGTACCGAACATTCTTATTATTAGCTTCCAGGCCATTTAACAAGTGACGGGCAAGTCTGTCTATGAATTTGTTGTACATTTTCTCGTCCTGCTTGTCCACGTTGGCGTTGTCGTCCTCTGATTCAGGGTTGATCGAGTTCACAAATGACGATATGAATTTCACTATACGGTCACCAACCGGCTCGTTACGTTTTATCGGCAAAACCTTGTTCACCAGCTTACAGAACAGCTCATTAAATTGCGACTGCAGCTTCTGTTCACGACATTTCCGCTGGAGGGCTCTGAGAATAGCGATCTGCTTCCCATGGGAGGACACGGACAGCTGGGACTCCTGGAAGCATTTGCGGATAGCAAGCTCAATTTGCTCTGGCTCAGAGATCTCGTGTACTGATTTCAAGTATGGTCGAGCCCCCGGGGTTGTACTTTTAGCGACGTCCGCCATGATCTGCAAATCTTGTGTTTCGTTTTGTTTACAAAATAAATAAAATACAGTATTATAGACGGGGGCGCGTCGTTATCGTCGCGTCGATAAAAAATATTGAAATAAATCATATATTCCTTCCTGAACATGTCTCTCAATCCAGACTTGTTCCTGTACAACCTGACTATTCGGCCCTCAGTCACGGCTGTTAAGTGCTGCATAGGTAATTTCACCGGTAATAGAAGACAACAGGAGGTTGTGAGGGCTACAGCCACGACTCTTGAGCTGTGGAAATTGAATAGAATTAATGGTGATTTTTACAAAGTGGTGGCACAGAACACCTTCAGTCATATTAGATCGATAGAGACTCTGAAGAGCAATGGATCAGATAAAGATTTGCTGATTATCACCTCGGATAGCGGAAATTTGACTGTCATAGAGATGAATAATGAGAAGGGACGGTTCGAAAGCGTATCTAACGAACCGTATTTCAAGACGGGTTTGCGAAGAATTTCTCCTGGAGAGTACGTTGCTGTGGATGGGCGCAGCAGAGCTGCCATGATAGGCGCCATCGAGAAAAACAAGTTTGTCTATAAATTCACGTCAGATCACAGAAATAGACTCCAAGTTTCGTCTCCATTGGAAGCGAATAAGTCCAAGGTCTTGACATTTGGCATCTGTGGAATGGATGTCGGGTTTGAGAATCCGCAGTTTGCTGCCTTGGAGTGCGATTACTCGGATTTCGAGGAAAAGTTCGATAAGAAAATGCACAAGACCTTATGCTACTATGAGCTCGACATCGGGCTCAACCACGTGGTGAAGAAGTACAGTGAGGAGGTCAGCTTCTCTTCAAACTTCCTGCTTCCGCTTCCTGGAGGCACCCAGGGTCCTTCGGGGGTGCTGCTCTGCTCGGAGGGAATAATCCAATATAAATGCCTGTCCAAAATGACGCACACAGTTCCTATTCCAAGACGATCCGGAGACCGGAGACGCTCACAAATTGTCTGTGGAGTTGTGCACACGCTGAAAAACAGTTTTTTCGCACTATTACAGAGCGAGCTTGGTGACCTGTTCAAAATCACTCTAGACTACGTTGTCCAGGACAGCGACGAGTCTCGAGGGGAGGCCGGCATGGTGAACTCGATGGAGATACAGTACTTTGATACCATGCCTGTGTGCACGTCGCTGCTGATTTTTAGAGCCGGATTCCTTTACGCGAACTGCGAATCTGGCGACCAATATCTCTATCAGTTCGACAAGCTGGGAGACGAAAACCAGAGAAAATTCAGCTCTCAAGATTATCCGGACGAATATGCTGTTTTGAGCGACGAAACAACTCTGTTTGAACCAAGGCCGCTCGATAATTTGAATCTTGTGAATATAGTGGAGAACATCAACCCGCTGATCGACGCAAAATTATACAATTCCAATGAGACCACCAGTTTGCCTGTGATATACTCTCTTTGCGGCACGGGACCCCGTTCGGCAATAAAGGTGCTGAACCACGAGCTGCCATTTAGCGAGGTCGTCACCCAAGAGCTGCCGTCGGTGGTGCAAAAGGTGTTTGTTTCGAAGCTCAACAGAAACGACGAGTACGACAAATACATCGTTCTCTCATTTGTGGACGGGACTTTGGTCTTGCGGATCGGCGAGGATGTTGAGGAAGTGGAAAATAGTGGCCTGGTGCTCGATACAAACACGCTGGGCGTTTTTCAGGTTGGAAGTGCCGCGCTTGTCCAGGTGCATCCAAACGGCGTGAGACAGGTGTTCTACGTCGACGACACGCCCCAGAAGACCATTGACTGGGCGCCCCCTGCTGGAATCCGCGTTCTGCTCTGCTCTGCAACCAACTCACAGCTTGCTATTGCATTGTCGAACCGCGAGATCGTGTACTTCGAGCTGGACGATCTGGACAAATTAATAGAGTACAACGAGCACAAAGAGCTCGCTTCCCAAATCACTGCGCTCACCTTGGGAGAGGTGCAGGCGGGCACTGCCAGGTTTCCGTATCTGCTGGTTGCGGGTCAGGATAAAACGCTCACGGTATTTTCTACGGACCCGGAGTCCACTCTCGAGGTTGTCAGTGAGGAGATTTTGAGCTCTGCAGCTTCTTCTCTAATGGCCTTCTATATGAAAGACACGGCCATCGTGCTCAACAAAGACGTTGGAGAAGACGACGAAGACGAGCCGGAGCTGGCTACGTCGCTTCTGTACGTCCACATCGGCATGGAGAGCGGTGTGTATGCACGGTTGCAGATGGACCCGCAAACGGGCGAGCTGTCGAATCCGCGAAACAAATATACGGGTCCACGTCCTGTGCAGCTGTCCAAGATTGAGGCCGTGGGCCAGAATGCAGTCTGCATCTTCTCAACCCGTACTTATTTGGGGTACACTCGTCCTTCTGAATTCAAAATCACTCCGTTGACGAAACCGGTGTTTCAGCACGCCTGCTCTTTCAGAAGCGAAGATATTCCAGAGAACGGAGTGCTGGCTGTCTACGGCAACAGTTTGACAATTATGACCATTGATCAGCTGGAGAATGACACCATCATCGAGAGCATTGCGCTCAGAAACACTCCTAAATACATGTGCGACTGCACCGACAAAAACGGCATGATGTATGTTCTGGAGGGCGATATTGACACCAAGCGCGACATTGACGAGGAGCGAATCGAGGAGTATCAGCAATTCGGCTATCCAAGAGCGCTCGGTGAGTGGGCCAGCTGTATTCAGACGGTCGTGGTGGCAGACAAATCAGTGGCGCAGACCATCGATCTCGGCGACGAAACAGCGTTCAGAGCGTGCTGGGTGAACTTTGAGAGCCGCCCGGGGGAGCCGTTTCTGGCTGTTTCCTCAGCCAAGAACCAGCATCTCAGCCCGCCTCGCAATGACGGAGCGTTCATCCATCTGTATCGCATCTCCTCGAACGGCACTCTGGAGCTTTTCCAAACGACAAAAACCGAACATCTCTCGCTGGCCCTTACGGCCTTCCAGGGTAAGTTGCTGGTCGGGGCCAGGAACGAGCTCATCTTGTACGACATCGGCCAGAAACAGCTGGTGAAACGGTCCAGCACCAGACTCGAATGCTCTGAGATTGTCGACCTCAAAACGCAAGGATTCCGGGCCATTGTTAGCGACGTGCGCGACAGTGTTCGATACACAGTCTACAAGCCCTTGGAAAACTCGTTTGTCGACTTCATCGACGACACCATGCAGCGGCACGTGACCCGCACCTTGCTACTCGACTACGACACAGTTGTGGTTGGCGACAAGTTCGGCAACATTTCCGTTCTGCGGTGTCCCGAGCAGATTTCCGAGATGAGCGACGAGGACAACCACGGATTTTTGGTGAAGATGCGCAGGACAAAGCTGGACAACCCTGTGAATTACTACGTTGGAGACATGCCGACGGTTTTCCAGAAAGGCTCGCTCACCATTGGAGGCGCCGAGTCGATCATTTACGGCTGTCTACAAGGACAGATGGGGTGTCTGTATCCAATGAAGAGCTTGTCCGAAATCAACTTTTTCAAAGAGTTGCAGAGGCTGATCATACACGAGTTTACGTCTTTGACAGATCGCGAGTATCTGAAATTTAAAGGCTACTACAACCCGCCGAAAAACAGCATTGACGGAGACCTGATCGAGGAGTACTATCGTCTCGGCCCCGACAAACGGGTCCGCATAGCAACCAAGATGGACAGGTTGCCGCGGGACATCGATCGCCGCATAAGCGACATGCGATCGCGGATCGTGTACTAGACGATGGCGGTGTGAGGTGTTGTTATATATAGTATGAAAAATCCCGATAACGAAGAAAAAAACTTGAACACAGCTATATGTCCGCACAGAGAAAACATAACGAGAGAAACCAGCAGATTCTCAAGACATTGCTGAGAGAGCCTGCCAACAAAAACTGTGCCGACTGCAAGATCTCCAAAAACCCGCGCTGGGCGTCGTGGAACTTGGGCATTTTTGTTTGTATCAGGTGTTCAGGTATACACAGAAGCATGGGGACGCACATTTCGCGGGTGAAATCTGTTGATTTGGACTCGTGGACCGACGAGCAGGTCAAGAGCATGGTAATGTGGGGGAACGAGCGGGCAAATTTGGTTTGGGAGGACAAGCTGCCGGACAATTACGTGCCTGACGAGAGCAAGATTGAGAATTTTATTCGCACCAAGTACGAGATGAAGAAGTGGAAGAGCGACAAGGAACCGGGCGCTCTGGCTGCTGCCAAAAAGATGACGGAGCAGCGCGAGTCTCCAGCACAGCTTTTACAACAGACTGAGTCCACTCCTTCTTTGCTGGACGGTCTTAGCACGCCTGTCAGCGCCTCCACAGCCCAGCCGACTCCAGCTTCGACCGCACCAGCACCCCAAAACTTGTTTTCGTCCGACCTGTTTGGATCGGCACCCGCGCGGCATCCACAGCCAACGGTCCAGAACAGCAGACCGGATCTCAAGAAATCGATTTTAAGTCTTTACTCGAAACCGTCGCCGCAAAGCCAGTCGCAGACACAACAGCCGTTTCACTCGCCACCTTTCACGCAGCCGGTGCAGCCTCAGTTCAACTACACGTCCGAAGACCCATTTAAAAATGTCTGGAGTTGATTATCCCTCATCTGTAGAGAATAATATATTTAGAAAGGAGTTTGCAATGGAGAAATCAGGTTCTTACCCTTGAAAAATTCGAAGGTCTGCTCACCTCTCTTGGCAACACCCTCTGGGGTGAAGTCGAAGAACTTGTACACGTCGGCAGTCTTGCCGGAGGCACCAAATCTGTTGAGGCCGAAATGGGCGTGGGCGTACTTGGCCCATCCAGAGGTGGCCATCACCTCGACAGACATGATTGGAACACCGTCTGGTAACACAGACAGCTTGTAGTCAGCTGGCTGTTGGTCAAAAGTGAAGAAGTCTGGGATGGAAACAACAGCAGTTGGGATACCCTTCTCAGCAAGCAGCTTGGCAGCGTCAATGGACAGAGAAACCTCGGAACCGGTAGCAACCAAAATCAGCTTGGCGTTGTCAACCTCGTGAACGACGTAACCACCCTTCAAGGCCTTCTCAACAGAAGAGCCAGACAGTTGAGGCAAGTTTTGTCTAGAAAGAGCCAGCACAGATGGTGTCTTGGTGCTCGAGATGGCCTTGATGTAAGCAGCAGAGGTCTCGTTACCGTCTGCTGGTCTCCAGACCATCAGATTTGGAATGGCTCTGAAGTGGGCAAGGGTCTCAATAGGCTGGTGGGTTGGTCCGTCCTCACCAAGACCAATAGAGTCGTGGGTGGCAACCCAGATGACTGGGTGGTGCGAGAGAGCAGACAATCTCAGCGCACCAGAGGCGTAGGACACAAAGTTGAGGAAAGTGGCACCGAAAGACTTGTAGTTGGCACCGTAAGCAGAGATACCGTTGATGATGGCGCCCATACCGTGCTCTCTCACACCGAATCTGAGGTACTTACCGGAGTAGTTACCCAGACCAGTGGACTCAGGTTGGAAGTCAATGGCACCAGACCATCTGGTCAAGTTGGATGGGGTCAAATCGGCAGAACCACCAACCAATTCAGGAAGAACAGCTTGCAACTTACCCAAGCAAACCTCAGAAAGCTTTCTCGAAGCAACAGCAGCGTCGCCTGGCTGGTACGTAGGGAGGACGTTTTGCCATCCTTCTGGAAGCTCGCCTCTGAGTCTTCTAGCAAGCTCTGCACCCTCCTTAGGGAACTCCTTTTGGTAGGCCTCGAAGAGCTTGTTCCACTCGGCCTCGGCAGCAGCACCGGCCTCAGAAATCTTGTGGTAGAAGTCGTAAACCTCTTGTGGAACAACAAACGACTTTTCTGGGTCGAAGCCCCATTTCTCCTTCAATTGAATAATGTCGTCTTTCTTGAGAGGAGCACCGTGGACGGAGTGGGAGCCAGCGTTGAGTGAGCCGTAACCAATGGTGGTTCTGATTCTGATACAAGAAGGCTTGTTGGTCTTCTTGGCCTTGGCAATTGCCTCGGAGATGGCGGCAACGTCGGTGTCAGCGTCAGGAACCTCGAAGATGTCCCATCCGTACTTCTCGAGTCTTCCGCAAACGTCCTCGGTGAAAGCAACCTCAGTACTTCCGTCGATGGAGATCTTGTTGTCATCGTAGAAAGCAATCAGGTTGCCCAATTGCAGGTGGCCAGCAAGAGACATGGCCTCGGAGGCGACACCTTCCATCATACATCCGTCACCAAAGAAACAGTAGGTGTAGTTGTCGGAGAGAGTGTAGCCTGGCTTGTTGTAGGTGGCAGCAAAGTTAGCCTGAGCAATGGCCAAACCAACGGCATTGGAGATACCCTGACCAAGCGGACCGGTTGTGACCTCGACACCTGGGATGCCCACCTCAGGGTGGCCCGGGGTCTTGGAGTTGATCTGTCTGAACGACTTGAGGTCGTCCATGGTGAGGTCGTAGCCGAACAGGTGCAGCAATGTGTACAAGAGCGCACATGCGTGACCGTTCGAAAGGACAAATCTATCTCTGTTGATCCAGTGTGGGTTCTTTGGGTTGAATTTCATCTGGGTGTAGACGGCGTGGGCGGCTGGAGCCATTCCCATTGGGGCACCAGGGTGCCCGGAGTTGGCCTTGGCGACGATGTCGGCAGCCAGGACTCTGATTGTATTAATGGCTTTTGTTTGGATATCTTGGGACATTTTCGGAAAGAGAACAAAAGTATACGTTGCTACGAAAAAACTCCTACGGTGGATTCTAAAATTTATAATGGCATGTTGGGGAGCGCAAAGTCGGACTTTGCGCGGAGGACCTGGCGCACAGCATCCGCACGTTTTTTGGCGTGGATGTATGTGGGGTGCGCTGGGGACTCCGATTCGAGGTCCACGAAGCAGCCAATAGGCGGCCGTAGAGAAGTGTAGATTTTACTTTGGGCTGGATGATTTGTTACGGGGTGTAATGGGCCGGCCGGTGAGAATCTTGAAGAATGCGGACAACAGCTTTCCCAAGCCGGGTAACAAGAGTTTAAAGAAAGGAAAAAATAACGGAGGCTGGCTGGCCTAAAAATTTTCCGGTGTCTGGATGTGCCCCACAATTGGACGGATTAAACCGTTAGACTAAAGAGAAATGCGGGGACACAATGATTTGTAGCAAAACACTCCGGAGAGCACAAAACGTAGCTACAGTGTAGACAGCCCCTCGTCTCCCGCCACCGCCGCGTAGTTTTAGCGCCATCCTTGACAGCAGGCCGCTAGGCCGTTTCCCATTACCCCATGTTTTCTGAGTGAAAAAAATTTATCTACATGTCTTCCAAAATTCCTCCCGAGTCTCAAACTACTTTTAGAATGGCAACAAGCGTCAGTTCGGTGGCAACTCCCGACCGCGCGGGCGACGCCAAAATAAAAAGAGAGGCTTCTGCGGAGCCCCGTCCCGACACCGACAGGGCCAGCCCGAATGGCTCTGCCGTGACTCCGGCAACACAGAACCCCAGTGCCAACGCCAACCTCAAGAAGAAGGTTCCGCCCAGCGACCTGCCGCGACCGTACAAATGTCCGATGTGCGACAAGGCGTTCCACCGGCTCGAGCATCAGACCAGACACATCAGAACTCACACCGGCGAAAAGCCGCACCAGTGCAACTTCCCTGGTTGTTTCAAGCGGTTTTCGAGGTCCGACGAGCTCACCAGACACTCCAGAATACACACCAACCCCAACTCGCGCAGGAAAAACGCACACAACCCAGACTGGGAGCTCACCGACGCCATCAATCAGAGCTCGAGACCTGCATACATGAAAAAATCGAGTTCCACGTCGCGGATCCCGAAACAAGCCTTGGTGACCGAGTCGAAGCCGGCTGCGAAACAGAAAAAGGACGAGTCCGTGCTGGAGCAGCCCCAGCCGCAGAAGCCGCAGCTGCAGACCGCCAAGTCACTGCTTGACATCAACGTGCTGGCCACGGCCGCCTCGCAAGAGCTCCAGAACCTCCAGCAGCAGAAACAGCAGGCCCAGCAGGCCCAGCTGGCGGCTGCGGCGCTGGTATCGGGCCCATCGGAGCTTCAGTACGTCAAGTCGCTACCCTCGCTCAGCGAGTACTTCCACAACAACCACCAGCAGCCGCAGCCGCAGCAGCCGCAGCCGCCGCCATCTGTGTCCAGCGGTGCGCACGCACGGCCGCCGCCGCTCAATTCGCTCTCGACGCTGCGCCTGACGCCGCTCAGAACACCGTCCACCGGCTCGCTGCCCCAGCTGCACTCCTCAGGCTCCGGCTCCGCCACAGTCTACAATAACTCTGCGTCGTCCAGCAACCTGTCCAGCCTGGCCCGCTCCTTCTCCAGCACAGACCTCTCGTCGGCCGATCACAGGCTTCCACAGCCGCAGTTCAAGAAATCCAGGCCCAACTCCCCGGCGATCCCAACGTCGCCAACGGCTACCATGATCGCCAGCAAGGACTCCTCGGCGGCGTTGCACTTGCTGGGGCTGAGCAGCATGCCTCAGGCGCCATCCTTGCACCAGCGCCAGGCGACGCCGGACGGCACGCCGCTCCAGACGCCGTCTGTGTCGCCCAAGCTATATCCGTCCGCGTCGCTGAGCTCGATCCCGTCCGGAGTCAATCTCAACAGCTCGTTGGCCACGGTCTCGTCGCTGATGAGCAGCTCGCTCAACTCGAAGTCCACCGTCCAGCTGCCGTCGCTGCGGTCGCTCAAGCTGGACCTGCCCGAGGACATGCTCACCGAGGAGAAGTCTTAATATCCGTCTAATTAGTCGTATTCAGTTCCTTAATGCTATTCTAGAGTACTCTGGGATGCTCTCTGCCGCACCCTTGCGCTGGATCACCACCGACGCGGCCGCCGTCGCAAACTCGACTGCCCGGGCCAGGTCTGCGCCAAAATACAGCTGCGACACCACGGCGCCCAGAAACGTGTCGCCGGCGCCGGTTGTGTCTACCACGCTGCGAACCTTGACGCCTGCCACACTCTCGACAGTCTCACCGCTCTGGAAAATGCACCCGCGGCCCCCCAGCGTGATGATTAGCGTCGGACGCGGGAGCAGTTGGTGCAGAGCAGCAAGCAGGTCTTTCTCGCCGCCAGAACGGCCTGTGATCTGCTCAGCCTCTCCCTCGTTCACCACCAAGTACGCAACCTTGTTGAGCAGCTCGGGGTCCAGCAAACTTTCCCGCACCGGCGACGGATTGTACACCACGGAAACGTCAGGCTTGTTGGCGTGCAGCCACTCAATCACCTTGCGAACACCGGGAAACTCGTTCTGCAGCACAACAAAGTCGCCTGGCTGGGAGTCCTTGAAATTTTCCGCCAGTTGCTCGTCGCTCGGCTTCAGTTCGCCGTTGGCCCCGGGAATAATGATGATTCTGTTCTCTCCGGACTCGGTCTCCACAATGATGGTTGCACTGCCCGAGCTGACGCCAGGCAGCACAGAAACCAGTCCTGTGTCCACGCTGGCCTCCTTCAGAGCGGCCACCATTTTTTTCCCGTGCTCGTCGTCACCAACGTTGCCCCACATGCGAACATGGCCCTTGGCAACAGACAGTCTTGCGGTTGCAATCGCCTCGTTCAGGCCTTTTCCACCAAGATGTTCCTCGAGCTGTTCACCCTGCAGCGTCTCACCAGCGCGTGGACAGCGCCGGGAGAATGTCACGAGGTCGTAATTGAGAGATCCAATAACGGTAATCATTAGAATAAAATCAGTATGCAATAAATAAATAAAATATTCAACATTGCACAAATAAATCACCACAATTACAGAGCACCTGATTCTATGCTCACGAATTTGTTATGCACCTGCCGTCTTGCACTGACTAATTAGAAATAGAACCTCCCAGTGGTTCTAGAACGCAAAACCGTTCTCAGCCTAGACCACGGCCCCAACGTCAGGCCGATGTATCACATCTGTCTCAGACAATTGCCAGACACACCGGGGGTATATAAGAAAATGCGCACTATTTTTCCGCCATGGCCTTCGAGATAGCAGACTACAGTCTTGTCGCGGACGACGACATCACCACTGTCACAACAACCGTCGTGGCTACCTACACGCTGTTCTCCAGCTCTATAGCCGGGATCGGCCTCCAGAAACAGACACAGGCAAAACAATCACAGTTGTCCCTTGCCCTCGGGCTGGCGCTTCCCCTTGCTGCCGTTGCCGCAGCCATCGCCGGCCTCTACTTGTGGCATCTGCTCCGCAAGCGGAGAAAACACAGCTACACGGCTCCCACACTAGCTATTTCGCGGACGTCGACAGTCAGCAGCACAGACTTGTCGCTCTCCAAGCTTTCAATGTACAGCTCAGAACATAGCGTAGCGGAATCGCCCCAGGTGGTGCGGTTTGGCCCGCTAGAGACGCAGTGGATCAGCACGCCGATTGCCGCGTTCAAGGGCATGGTGCGCAAGAGCACTTACGCTATCGTGGACAAGGCCGGGGCGGCGGCAGAATACTCTCCCGTGTTTCTGAAATCGTTCAATCTCAAGGCCAGAGACAAAGCGGCCACAGAGCCACAGACACCACCAGGCAGTGCGCCGTTGAAAAACACGCAGCTGCTGAAATTTGCGCGCCACCCAGCCGCACACGGGTAGCAGCCATTTCGTCATGCTGGACAGCCAGCACACAGCATAATCTGTCTATAGTCTCGATACACAAGATACCCGGAAGGATTCGGCCAAGACACGGCTGCGTTCGTTGCGCCCGCGCGTCCAACTCTTGGCTTATTGCGCCTCTTTAAATTCCGTAGCGACGGAAGTCGCGTCGTTGTGGTAATTTTTTTTATCGTCGAAATTATAAACACCCTTTTTATTCTCATGAACAAGCTTCGGAGCTTCTCTCGCAAAGAGGCGGTTTCACCGCCCAAGGAAAAATCCTCACTTCCCAGGCGCGTGGAGACGGCGGAATCCCGGGGCGAGCTGAGCCCGGCCCTATCGCCCATCGCCACTCTGCTCACTGCGCAGGCCCATCGCAGATACCACGAGGGAGTATTTATGATTTTGAAGGATTTGGATTCTGAGGGCCAGCCTGCGGAGCGCAAATGGGAGGAGGTGTACGGTGTTCTCACAGGCAACCAGCTCGCGGTTTACAGAGTGGAGGAGGTGGAGCAGGTGCCGTCGGTCGACTCGGCTAGCAAGCCGTCGTACATAAATTTCACTGACGCTACATTTAAGGCGATCGACCAGCTGCCGTCCTCGGGCGGCAATTTGAAAAACGTCATCATCGTGTCGACTACGCTGAAAAATAGGTACCTGATCCAGATCTCGTCCACCGAGCAGTTCCGACGGTGGCACGCGGCCTTCCGACTCGCGGCGGCCGAATACCGACTGTTGCAAGAGGCGTACACGGGAGCGCTGCTGAGCGCGCGCGGGTCGCTTTTGTCGGACATCAAGGTCATTTTGGCAGAGACGAAGTTCGACCACGAGGAGTGGACGAGCGTCAGATTCGGCGCCGGGATGCCCTGGAAGCGGTGCTTCACGGTGATTGAGCCTCCAGCGAAAAAGAGCAAAAAGAGGTTTGTGCCGGGCCGCGTCGTCTTCTACGAGTCGGAGAAAAAGGGCAAGAAGCTGGCCATGGCCACCATCACCGACGCCAACTCCATCTATGCCGTGTATCCGCAAAACTACGCGGTCATCGACCACAGCACAATGATCAAGCTGGACGGCTCTATTGTGTTTTCCAAGTCGGAAGGCACTAAGGACTGCTCCATCTTCCTGATGCCCGACCAGCACTCGTCGGTGCCGGGTTACGACACGCTGATCCGGTTCCTGATCCCGCTACTGGACGCTTTCCATCTGTACGGACGCCCAAAAGGCCTTAATGCCGATAAGCTCGACCCCAAGTCGCTGCTGTTTGCGCTGCCGGTGCTGCCCAAGGTGCACTACCTTGAGGTGGACGATCTGATGCAGCTCACAGCCAGCGCCACGACGAGTTCCTGGACGTCGTACCAATGGCAGCAGGGCGTGAAGGACATCTTGAGGCCGAAGGTGGCCATGGGCTACGACGGCTGCGGCTCGGTCGAGGGCACAGCTGGAGCGGTGGGGATGCTGGAGTTCTCCAGAGACCTTGCTGCGGGCAAAGTGCGGTCTTTCTCGAACCCGCAGTCTCCTACGATGACGCCAAAACCGCAGTTTGGAATTGACAGAGGAAAACATATGTCTGGTCTGGCCAAGGAGATTCCAAAGGCAGAGGAAAAGACCCCATCTCAGAACGTGGTGGACGTGAAAGACAACGAGGACGGTGGCTCATTGTACTCCGAGCTGCGGTTTAGACAGCGCGAAGAGCAAGTACTGACCCCTGAGCTCCAGCCAGCCAGCGAACCACAGCAAAAACAGTCGTCACCGGGTGGCCTGGCAAAGATTTACTCCAAGTACGCCCAGCTGCCTGACTATGACCAGCTAAACGACTCGCTGGCCAACTTGGACGTCAACAAAGACGCAATTGAGGACCTGTATCCTAAGGAGGAATCGGATGGGGACGAAGACGACGAGGATGACTACGACATCCAGATCATCAATCCAAGCACCAGAACCCCCGCTGTAGTCAAGTCGTCTCCGTCGCCGGGCCCTGACACCCCCCCAACCACGAGGCCGCACGCGCCATATGGCCAGCCGAACCCGCGGTTTGGCAGCACACCCTCGCTAGCTTCGTCCACAGACTCTGGCGAGTGCTCCGAGAAAAGAGGTTTTTCTCAGGAACGAGTCGTATCGCCGTTCACAGCGTTCAACAGGTCGTACCAAGAGGCCATCCAGCCCAGCTTTGCGTACCAGGCGCCTCCTGAGCGGCAGGAGTCCAAGGTTCTTGAAGTGCCGAGACAGAGGCCATTTAGACACGACGCAGAGAGCGGGAACTCTTATGCTCCGGCAGTAGAGCTGCAAAACCCGCCGCAAAGACCGTCCCAGACATATTACGACCCACAACGATCCGGCTCCTCGGGCTCTGTAGAGTACAGACCAGCCCAGCAAAAACACCATTTCCAGCGAGCTCCTCCAAACAACATAGTCTCGCAGCAGGTGGCGTACGGCGGGTATCAGAACCCGCAGCTACAGCCTGTGCCGGGCCAGAAGCTGCAGTCTCCGTACAACCCTCAGGGCCCTTCCATGTACGACTACCAGTCTGCTCCGCGACCTGCACCGCCTCCGGCTGCCGGTTATGCGAACGGACACCCGAACGGCTACTCTGCTCCGCAGGCGCCAGCGGCCAACATGTCGTCTCCGCGCCGCAGACCGCCGCCGCCGCTGAACCACTCCCAGCAGTACTATCCACAGTCGCCGAACATGATTCCGCAGCGCTTGTATCAGCAGCAGTACGCCAGACCGTACGCGGAGCCGTCTAACCAGCCGCCTAGCCAGCCGCGGAGGGACAAAAACAACCCGTATGCGCTGGCCAAGAGCGCGCACGAGACCACCGTTTCGTACCACAAAAACCCGTACTCCAGCTAAATATCAATTACTTGTCTATCTCGTTCACTATACTCAGGACTTTTTTGATCTGGCCGATCTCCGGGTCCGGGTCGTTTTCCACGCTCAGCAGTAGGCTGCTAAGCAGCTTTTCGTCGATTTCGTCGACCGAACTGCCGATGCACAGCCCGATCACACGCTTGAACTGCTGCTCGAGCTCCTGGCTCGAGGAGCGGCGACTCTTGGTGCGCTCGATCAGCATCGCGTTGTTCTTCGTGTAGGCGTTGATCCGGGCCTCCAAGATGACGGCGGGCGGAAGATCCTCCAGCTGCTCGGACGCAAGCAGCGTAGCCGGGTCCAGCTCGCTGATAAAGTCGGCCACAGACGTGGCCGGGTCTTTGGTCTCCTGCAGCCGCCTCTCCACCTCGTTATACACGGACCAGACAGTGAACGGCTCGTCGGCGTCAAAGTCGCCGTCGAACGTCTGGGAGTTGACGGGCAGCTCTTTTGTCTCCTCGACGAACCGCTGCTCCTCCTCGCGAATAGCGTTGTTCAGGTTAATGATCTTGGTTTTGTAGTCGCCAATCTTGCGCACGAGCTTATCTAGTTCCTCGAACTGCTTGCGCTTCTCGGACAGCTTGTACGTTTTTTCGCGCAGCTTGGGGTGGATCTCGTCGACTTGCCTCGTTTTCGACTCCAGCTCCTCTCTGAAGTCCCTGCCCAGCTGGCTCACAAACGTCTGCAGCGACTCCAGAATCTTCATGCTGCTCAGCTTGGGCGTCTCAGGCACGCTCTGCACCGTGGCCGGCTGTGGCAGCCGGGTCCGTGCGGACGCCACGTCGATGCCGCAGTCCACAGGCTTCACGCCCGCCTTGTTGGCCTTGTTCGGGTCTGCGCCCACCTCCAGCAGCTGCTGGATGATCTGCTTGTTGCCCACCATCGCCGCGATGTTCAAACACGTGTCACCGTTGCGGTCCGGAATGTTCACCACCTCCTGCATGAACGAGGTCAGACTCATCTGCTGTCCTGGAGGCAGGTGTGGGCCGCGTTTCACCACCCATTCCAGCAGTGTCTCCAGGTAGTAGTTGCACGCCTCGTTGCGGCCCTTGCGACCACACGTGTACGCGATATGGTGCAGGACAGAACGGCCCTTGTGGTCCAGCACAGTGATGGCCGGATACAGGTAGTCGAGCAGCTGGTCGAAGCACGAGTGCTCGAGACAGTTTGTGGCGTGGACGGCGCGGATCAGCGCTGTCTGGCCGTCGTTGTCGCCGCGCAGACGGTTGGCGCCGCGCGAGACCAGCTCTTTGACCAGCGAGATGCGGCCCAGTGTGGCGGCAAGATGCAGTGCTGTCTGGCCGTTGTCGTCGATCGGCGCGTCGATAGCGACTGCTTCCAGCGAGAGCTCCTTCTGGTTCGGCAGAAACAACGATGACAGCACGACCTTGCTCTTCTCGTCGGCTTCGTCGTCGCCGAGCGGGGCCAGCGCGTGAGGAGCGTTCGGGTTGGGCACTCGGGTGTCGTGGTCGAAAGTCTGCAGAGTAGGCAGCTCGGGCGCAATCTTAGCCTTCTTCGTGGGTGATGCAGGCTCGTCCGCCTCCGTCAGCGTCGACATTGTGCGTGCGAGGTCCTTGGGGCCTTTGTAGTTGAACAGCGGCGTCAATACGCCGTAAATGTCGTATTCCTTGCAAAGCGATTCCGCACGCTCAATCGACACCCAGACGCCCTTCAGCTGGTCGGGAGCGTCCTGCACAATCTCGTGAGCGCCCTGTTTTGCCTGGGCCTCTATTGACCCACTAATCTTGGGCCGGACAACAGAAACCAGTCGAGCCAGCTGCGTCGCGTTGACCCACGAGTCCTGGGTCCGGCGCATCACCGTGCACCCTTCCACGTCAAACTCCACGACGGTAACATCGCCGTACGTAGCAAGTCGCGGCACAGGGTCGGGACTGGCCAATTCCATAATTTTGGGCTCGTTTGGTTCCATTTGCAAAATACGAATTTCGCGTCCCAAATGAGAAAATTAAAGCTTGTTACTTTTACCTATTGCATTTATTAATAATTATTTATTATCCATGTCAGTTCCGGAAGGGTTGAAAATAATTGAGCCGTTCGTGAAGCGTGCGGGCGAGCTCACAGGCGTGCAGCCCAGCATCGCGTACCTTTGCAAGCTATACGCGGCAGAACTGATTCTGGATAACCAATTGCACCAGAAATCAAAGGAGATAGAACAGTACGCTTTGCAGCTGCTGGACGACATCGAGCAGGAAAAGGTGGCGATCAAGGAGTCGTCATCGAAGTCATTTGAAATAATCAATGATCCGGCATCCAGCTTCAAGCTTATATGGGGGTTTGCCACTGCAATTTTCGACCGCTCTTTTAAAGAAGTTGCCAACCATACGGCCTCCAAGAAAACCGTAGAGAACTTCAAAGCAGCGCTGGACTTCTACCAAGTTCTCAACCTGTGGCCAGAACAACTCAAGGACAAACAGCAGGAGCTCGAAAAGTACCAGAAATACGCCAAATTCCACGCAGCACGGATCCTCAAGGCTATCAAGAACGGAGAAGACCCCAACGACTACGCGACGCCCGAGGAGGAACGAGAAGTTGCCAGCTGGGAAGAAACCGGCGAAAAGAAGCCGGAGACGCCGTCTCTGGCACTTCCCAACCCTCCATCGGAGATCAACTCGCCCGAAAAACCGCCAACAGACACACCCGTTGAATCGTCCCCTCCAGCTCTGCCGTCGGCTCCAGACTCGCTGGATGACTCACTCAATTTGCCGGCCGCGCCAGCAATCATTAAGGAAGAGCCCAACAAGCTCGGCCTCCCCAAGACACCTGCAAAAGTGCCCGATCTGCCTGCTCCAAAGCCAGAAGCCAAGTTAGAGCCCCAGTCTCAGCCAAAGGCCCCAGCGAAACCTGTCCTGTCCAAGCAAGATATCCAGCAAATGATGCAGACGGACGAGATCATCGCCCAGGCACAGAAACGTGCCAGATTCGCCATCTCGGCGCTCAATTACGAAGACATCGAGACCGCCATCAAGGAGCTCCAGCTCGCTCTCGAGTTACTCAAGGGAAATTAGAATCACGTATATGTATTCACTGTTCGCTGGCGTCCTGGAACTCGTCTGGAGACTCGAACGTTTCGGACGCCTCGTCATGCACAGAACCGTTAATAAACTTCTCGTCGACTTTATCCTCCTTCTCTGCCTCTTCTTCCTCCTCCTTATCCTCGATCAACGGATTAGGCGACATCGCACTGGCCTCCTGCTCTGCCAACGGGTTGCTGAGGGCCTGGCTCGCCAGATCCAGCCGCGAACGGCTGGTTTTGAAAGACTCGGACCGCGAAACCGAGTCAAAGTCGAGCGATGTGATGGAAGACGTACGAGAGCTCTGTTGCAACCGTTTCTTCATCTTGTCGCTCAACTTGAGCTCAGACCCGTTTCCTGAGTTTATATTCACTGCCGAGGAGGAGCTCGATGCCGGCGGACTGGAATCGTCGACAGACTGCTGTGTCAGCTTCATCAGCAGATCGTGGGTCTTCGACCGCAGATCATCCTCGTCGTCCTGGTCAGACGCTTTCGACGGTGACTCCAGAGCAGAAGCAGAGAGCGCTGTGTGCTTCTTGGCCCATTGCTTGATTTTTGCAGACGTAGGCTCCGAGCGCAACGGACCTGTCTGTCGCAGCTGCTGGAGGAACTTGTCCATGTCGGAGTTGATCTTCGGCGCCTCCTGCTGCCTCTCCTTCTCCTTCTTGCTTTCCTCAAACCGTTTCATGCTCATCTCGTATTTCTTGTTGCGCTCCTCGAGCTCCTTGTTTTCCTTCGAGGCACGCTCGAAGTTCTCGACAAACTCGCTGAATTTCTTGAGGAACGAGTTGCGCACAAACTCGTCGCTGTTTGGATCCTCGCCGAAATAGCGCATCATGGAATCAAATTTCTCCATCACAAGCTTTGAGCGGTCGCTCAGCAGCTCGGCCTTGGCGCGCGCGTTCGGCAGGCCGCGGAAAACAACGTGCAAAAACTTGTCCATCGGGTGGAACTTCGACGGATCGCTCAAGTTCCCGTCTTGCAACGAAGCGTCAATATTGCGGATCGATTGTGAAAACATCTGACAGTCGTTCTTCAGTTGCTCCACGGAAATGTTTGCTGCATCGATCGTGGGCTTCAAATCGTCCACAAACGAGATCAGCTCTGGGTAGTTTTCTCTGATCACTTTTTCCACATAGTGCAGGAACGAAATTAGGTTTTTGTGGTCTTTTAGGAAACCGAGTCGTTGCAACGTACTCAGCTTGAACCCATGCGCCTGCTTGGACTTGTCATTCATGTAATTACCGACAATCAAAATAATGTCAAAAACTTTCCGCAGAGTCTTGGAGTTCTCAAGACTCTCCAAAGCCTTTTCAAGCATCTCCAGCTTCTTGACGTACTCCTCGTAATCCTTTTCATAGTTAAGAATGGCGTTCAACGCGCGCATTCTCGACTTCCAGTAATGCTGCAAATTGTAAATCAGCTCCAGGTATATCCTATCTGCTCTGGCAAGCTCGCTCGGATCCTTGTCATGCTTGGCCTCCTTGTCGTTCTGCCAGTCTGTCGAGTACGGCTCGAAGTTCTTAGCCAATGTATTGGATATCTCGTTCAATTCCGGCTTAGCAAGGAAGTCTAGCAGCGCGCTCTTGTCCAGAACGTCTTTATCACACCGCAGAATCTTTGCAACCACCTGTTCGTCATCAAGCCCGGAAAACGAGTGAAGACAGATTCCAAACTGCTGTGAAACGTCTGTGCTCAAAAAAGAAATCTTCTTCGCATCTTCTTTCTTCTTGCGAGCAATGCGCTTGGCCTCTTTGGCGGCAAAGATCACTTCGATCTCGTCAAAAATACCGTTTTCCAGAAGCTGTTTGGCCATATCCTCTGAACCCATGTTGGCCCAGAACGAACCAACAGGGTCGTCAATTTTCTCCCAATGCAGCTGCTTGAGCTTCTTCTTAGGACGGGGAAGCATGTCAAACGGCCCTGGAGCAAGGAACGGCGAGCTTTCTGGTGTTGCAACTGGCTTCTGTCCTGCAGAAGGAAGTGGGGGTGGTGGAGGTGGCATGCCCATGCCCGTGGCGGGAAGAGGAGGAGGCGGAGGCGGAGTAGGAGGAGCAACTCCTTGCGAGCCTGCAGAAACTGGAAGTGGTGGTGGAGGAGGAGGTGGCGGTGGCGGAATGGCAGACTCAACAGGTGCTGGAATTTCCTTCTTAGGTGGCTCTTCCTTACTTTCTTCTTTCACCACCGGCTTCTCAACAGGCTCCGTATTTTCCTTCTCGTCAAGAGCGGGCGACTTGCCCACCGTCCTCTCCAGCTCTCCCAAAAATGGCCTCATCGAGCTGGTATCGATCTGTTTCACCGAGTTACCAACCATCACCGGCGGAGCAGAACTTACAAATGATGCCTTTGGCACCTCTTTCTTGCCTCTCGAGTACTGGTCCTCGAACTTCTGCAAAAGGGCCTCCTTGTCGACTTGTTCGTTGTTGAGACTCAACTGGAACCGTAGATTGCTGCACAAGGTTTCCAACTCACTGAGCTCGCTCTTCAGCTTCTCGGCACGCTCGTTCTTGACAGCCCGTTGCTTTGGATCTAGGGTGCGACGATCTGCCGAATCGACATCCTCCAACTCCTTGATCTTCAGCTCCTGCATGGTTTTCTCTAGCCGTTGAAGTCTGTCCAGAGCCTCCATCTTGCGTCTTTCGAGCTTTTCCTGCGTACTCAAGTTGGCCTGTACCTTGATCACCTTGTTTGCGTCGTTCTGCAACGACTCGAGTCTGGCCCGCAGCTCGCTTAAGGTCTTGACGTCGTCGACCTTGTTTGGGTCGTGCTTCTGCGCAAGAATGTCCTCAAACTCTGTGTTTTCTAAGTCCCTGGCCTCTCTTTCCAACAAGTCCATCTGGAACCGCAAATCACGCAGTCGAGCGTTCGGCTCCACTCCGGATTGACCAATTCTCTTGACCTCCACCTTGCTTTTGTCGACCTGCGACTTGAGACGCTTGCGGAGCTCCTCCACGGTGGACGATCCTTCAGTCTTGATAGAGGAGGACGCCGTTCCAGAGGATTCTGGCGGACTGGAGAGCAGCCGCTGGCTATGCAGCAGAAGCAACATCTCGCGCATTTCGGTTTCCTGTTGGTGCTTGTCCAAAACCCGCAATCTGCGCAGCTCACTGACCTCGTTGTCCTTGGCCTCGAGCTTCTCGCGCAGCCGATCGAGAATCTCGTCTCTTTCTGCAATGTCTCTGTAGAGTTTTTCAATGACACCCTTCGAGCCCTCATTGAGCTTCTGCAGCGCATTGTCGCGCTCGGCCTCGGCCTCTTCCGCGCGCTTCTTCGCCTCGCGCGCTTCCAGCATCGCCTTCCGTGCAATCTCATCCGTCCTGTACGATGATATCAGCCGGTTGATCGAGATGTTCATGTCTGTGTCGTCTTCGCCGGACGCCATGGTGATGTTCGACACAAACGTGTCCATGAGTTTCAGGTTCCTGTGCACCTGCTGGGGATCCAAGGTGTGCAAATTAGACGACTGGCTGATGAACATATTCTGAATCATTGACGTCAGATACCCTTCAGCCTCGGTGCCCTTGGCTTTGTTCAGCATCGCCTGAAACAGCGACAGCGGGTCGTTGAAGTTGATGTTGTTGTTTTGAAACTCCTCCATCTGCTTGAGCTCCTGCAAATCGGCACGTTCCGAGTTCTCAATGTTAGCAATACTATGCTCTATGTCCACGTTTTCCAGCGGCCGCAGATGCTCAAACAGCTCGGTCATACCTGCAACTTGGAACAGCCGGCGCAGCTTGGTTCTGTCTCCAAGGTCTTTGGAGTACTGGAGAAGCGTGTTGATCAACAGGAGCGTCGAAAGTCCGTATTCGATCAGGAAATTGTTCGAAATGGGCCCACTGAGCTTGAATTCCTCATAAGAGCCGACCCGGCTGCCCATCTTGCCACGGCCTTCAAACAGCCTGATGACAGCCCAAAACCACGCCTCGTACTTCTTGACCCGCTCGGCATTCGACAAAATGTACTGCGACTTCCGGTCGAGAAGATTGGGCCGCGAGATGTAGAGCTCCTTGATGTACGCCAGATGGACGTTGTCGTTGACGGGCTTGTGAATGGTCTTGTATATTAGCGGGCTGCAGTTGGTCTTGTGGTAGAAATATGTGATGATGTCGGTGGCCCACTTGCGGACCTGCGGCCGCGTCGAGTAGAGCCCGCCCAAAATGGCGGGAATGAAAATGTCTATTTTGCGCAGATGATCGATTCCGACGGTGAGGTCAGCTATCACCTTGATGCAACGGAACAACTTGGTCTCCTTGTCCAGCACGGTCTCGTAGTCCTCTGCAGGGTTCGTGAAGAGGATCTGCGCGGGCGACGGAGGCTGGTGGCGGTTGGGCACTCCCTGGGTCCTGATAAGCGGCTTGGTCTTGTACAGCTGCATGAGCACGTTGCAAAGGGCCACTGCTCCTTGCAAATTAAGAAACTGCTCGGTCCAATGCAGCTCTTCGGAGCTCAAACAAATGTCGAGCTCCTTGAGCTGGTCATTGGTGATCTTGTTTCCAATCAATTGCACCACATAAAATTGCGCGTCAAATGCCTTCCCAGCAGACGGAGTGGACCGCTCTGTCACAGCGGTGCTCGCTGTGGAGGCGCTTCGGCTCGGGACGGACGAATGCGGCTGCTGCAGCTGCATCATGCGCTGTTTCTTGTACTCGGCCAGCTTGTGCTGTCTAATAAGCATCCATTTCCGGTCCGCAGGGTAGTTTTCCATCTCTTTGCGGGCCTTTTCCGGCAGACTGTTGAAGTCTCTGGAGATCATCACCTCCTTGAACATGATCTCAATCTCCTCCTCGGATTCCGGCGGCTCGAGCTCGAAGTCGTCGGAAATTGTATGTCGGTGCGTTTTCTTGAAATTTGCACTGCTGAGCTTTTTGGCATGGGATGAGGGCAAAGAGTACACAGAGGTGGTGGACGGCCCGCCAATACTGGTGTTGGTAGTCATCCGCGACAGCGGCGACTCTATGCTGCTCGAGTCGGAAGCCTGATGGGTTTTTGTGCGCGAAAAAAGCCCGTTCTTCGTGGGCGACTCGTTGATCGAGTACATGGACGCGTTGGTATTCATCCGCGACAGCGTGCCGGTTGGCGAGCTGACAGAGCCCTGGTCCACCGTCTTGGACCCCCTGCGCAGCCCCATGAAGGAGCTCACGCGCGAGGCGGGACTGTCGGTCTGTTTCTTGGACGGTTTCATAATTAAAGAGAAATAGGAAACAAATGATTTGCGCTGGAAAACGGTGCGAGGCGGGATAAATAAATATATACATATTAGATTATTAAAATAAATTTATCTTGTCATGGCGCAAGACCCGGGCGAGCAGCTGCTGCTGGAGGACGCGACAGACCACCAGGACACCTTGTTACACCATCTGGTGACAGAACACGGCAAAAGTGACCTGCGGGCGGCTTTTTTCAACATGTCCAATTCGATCCTCGGAGCAGGCATCGTGGGCATACCGCGGGCGTTCCGCAACGCTGGACTGTTGACAGGGCTGGTTTTGCTTGCCCTGCTCGCCATTGTCAACGACTGGACGCTCCGCATGATCATCGTCAACACCAAGCTGTCGGGAGCGAAGACGTACACGGGCTTTGTGAGCCATGCGTACGGCGATCTGGGGAAAACCGCGATCCTGCTGGCCCAGGGTCTGTTTGGGTTTGGCGGCAACGTAGGATTTGCCGTGATCATCGGCGACACGATCCCGCACGTTCTGAGGTCTGTTTTTGCGCGCCAGGTCGAGTCGTTTAGGGTGGTGGACTTCCTGCTCGCGAGAAACACGCTGATCGTGTTGTGCATCACGGGCATCTCGTTCCCGCTGTCACTGACCAAAGACATCGGGCGGCTCGCTAAGGCCAGCGGCATTGCGCTGGTCAGCATGTCTGTGATCCTGCTGATTGTGGTGTTCCGCGGGCCAGCCATGCCGGCCGATGTTCGTGGCCAGGTGTCTGGAGCCGGCTGGTTCGTGGAGCCGGGGATTTTCCAGAGCATCAGCGTGATTTCGTTTGCGCTCGTGTGCCACCACAATACCACGTTCATCTACGACTCGATCAAAAAGCCCACGCTCGACCGGTTCAACCGCGTGACCCATGTCGCGTGCGCGCTCTCCGGCGTGGTGTGCGGCGTCATGGGCGTCTCGGGCTACCTTGCATTTGGGCCAAAGACCAAGGGCAACGTGCTCAACAACTTCCCCTCGGACGACTGGGTCGTCAACGTTGCGCGGCTCTGTTTCGGCCTCAACATGCTCACCACGTACCCGCTCGAGCTGTACGTGGTGCGCGCGGTGGTGCGCGACCTGCTCGAGATTTACCACAGACGCGAGATCCCCGAATTGTCCACGGCGCAGCACCTGCTGATCACGTCTGTGCTGGCGGGCGTGCCCATGCTTGTGGCGCTGTTCACGTGCAATCTGGGGGCCATTTTGGAACTTGTCGGTGCCACGTCTGCGTCGCTGCTGGCGTTCATCCTGCCCCCGCTATGTTTCCTTAAATTGACCAAGATGAAGCCGCTCGGAGAGAAAATACCTCTGTACCTGTGCATAGCGTTTGGTCTGTGTGTGATGGTGCTGTCGTCCACGCAGACAATACTGAGCGCGCTGCGCAGCACCGACGACGACCACTGTGTGGTATAGAATTTTTAATGCTGGTATACAGACACTGCTAATTTATTACTCATCCTCATCCTCGTCAATCACAGCACGGCCGCGGCGAGCGGGCACACGTGACTGCTGTGTGCTAGTCTCGCTTTCGCTCCCGCTCAGTGAGCTCTCCTCATTTTCGCTCAAGTCTACCATGGTCCTCTGCTGCCCGCCACCGCCCAGAAGCCGCTGGAACTGCTCCGGACTGATCACGCCGCCGTTCGCCTGGATCAGCGCCTGCAGCTGCTCTTCGCGCCGGAAAAACTCGGCCTCTTTCTCTGCGTCCGACGCGTCGTCGTCCGAGTCAACGTACTTGGACGACAGATGCTGTTTCGGCTCCTCGTGCTTCGGCGCGCTCTTGCGCCGAGCCGTCCTGCTAGCGCGTCCCTTGCGCTTGCGCCCGGCGGCCGCAAACCGCACGTCGTCCGCCTCGGGGTCGCGCCGTCTCTTGCCTGTGTTTTTCTCCAGCGCCGCCTCCAACACGTCGAGCCGGTCTATGCTCTCGGAAACGCGGTTCAGCGTCTCGAGGTCGTTGTCCGAGCCGAGATCGTCAAAACGCGCCGTGTCCTCCGCGGGCTGCTCCCGCCGCTCCTGCCGCTCCTCCACCAGCTCGGCCTCCACCTCGTGGCTCTCCAGCGGCCGCTCGCGCGCCTGCTCCAGCAGCTCCACCGCGGCGGTCACGTGACCCGCGTCGGCGTCGCGGGGCAGCACGGCGCGGCCGGGCGCGAGACGAAAGCCCACCGTGGCGAGCAGCAGCCGGAATACGCCGCTGCGCAGCGCTGCGCGGTCGTCCAGCACGAGCTCGTCGTCGCCGCGCGTCCGCAGCAGCGCCGCCAGCGTCTCCAGCAGCCCGCCGTGGTCGCGGTACACAAGTGCGCTCGCAAGCACGCTCACCTTGTGCGAGTACGACAAGCCTGGTGTTGCAAACGCCACGTCGGCGCCGCGTTGCGCGTGCTCGCGTGCACGCCACTCCTCCAGATCGCCTGTTTCCAGGTATGCGCGCACGCCGCGGTCGTGGTCCTGGCCGAGCGTCAGCAGGTCGAGCAGCACGGCGTCGGTCTGGGCCCATTTTTTCTCCAGCGTGTGCATGTAGTGGCCGAGCAGGCGGCCGAGGTCGCGCATCACGGCGGGGCCAAACACGGCGTCCTTCACGTCGTGCAAGGCCAGCATGAAATCAAGCCGTAGCAGCTTCAAAAAGTGCTCGTCTTTTTTCAGCATGATGCGGTTGAAATAGGATATGCATCTGCGCATTTGCAGCTCGCTCAGCTCACCAAACTTGGCAAACACAGACACGTAGCAGGCCACCGCGCGCTCGTGCAGCAGCTTGCGCTCGTACACCTCGTAGCGCGCGCGGTCGAACTGCAAGTAGCGTTTCAGCCGCGCGTCATCCATGCTGTCAGAGTCGGAGTCTATCTGCTGCTGCGGGCGGCCACGGCGCTTTCTGCCCATCGCGAGCGGTGTCGGTAGGTCGGCAAGGTACTGTAGCACCTTGAGGAGCACGTGGGTGTGCTCGATCATGTCGAGCGCGTGCGCCAGTGACACCTTGTGTGCGTCGTGGATGACGTGGAAAAGCACCTCGATGTCGTCTTCGGCGGAGAACGTCAGCCGCAGCAGCTGCTCGGCGGCGGCCGTGTACGCGTCGAGCTCGTACTGCTGCTCTGGCGAGAGGCCGGAGTAGTCCTCTGGCCGCAGTCGGTGCATGTCGACGACGGTGAGCAGCATCTCACGGAAACAGCCGACGGCGACGCGCAAAAGACTGTGCTCGCGGTTTTGGACGTACAGGGGCAGGCTGTTCTTGACAACGAGCCGCAGCATGTCGTAGCTCAGCGCGTCCTGGACGTAGCCGAGCCGGAACACGTGACCGGCGTGGTGTTCACGGAGCAGCCGCTCGTACTTGAGCACCCACGCGACGAGGTAAAAGAAGTGGAACTCCACAAACGCGGCAAACGGAGTGCGCTCGCCTAGCACGACGCGCCGCATCGTGCGCAGCAGCGGGCCGAACCCGGCCTCCACAAAATCGGTGCAAAATTCACGGACAACGCCATGTGCGTTGCGCGAGAGCTGTTTTGCACGCTCTGCGCCCAGGCGCCGGTCAAAGTCAGACCGCGTGCTCTCGTTCTTGTTGGTCGTGTGCCGCGTCGCCACGGCCTTCTTGGAAACGCCGGCGTCGAGCTGGTCGAGCAGGTCGGCGTGGATCAGCCGTTTCTGGCCCGACACCGTCAGCACGGGCTCGTCGCCCTGCCGAATGCTCAGCAGCGTGCCGAAGTTGGCGTGGCGCGTCACGTTGTTGCTGAGCAGTTTTTTCTTGAGTAGCTTCTCGTGCTCCAGAGCGGAGCCAAGACTCAGCACGGTGGCTGCACCGCCGCGCGCGCCGTCGCCCGGCTGCACCGCCACAGTGGCGGGGTCGAGGCCGTAGAGCAGGTAGAAGTAGGTGTCGAGACACACGGTGCCGAGCACGCGCTCGTCAAACTCGCGCCCCAGCCCCGCTGTGATCGTCTGCACAAACCGCAGCACCTTGTTTTCGCGGAAAACGCACACCGTGTGCGAGAAACTTATATCCTCCCTGCTCACGCCGTGCGGCATGTTGTCGTTGACTTGCTGCGTCTTGGACGTGCTGCGCCGCGTCCCCACCGTCGCGTCCGCTGGCTCGATGCGCAGCACGTTGCGGAAGAGATTCAGACACAGGTTGAGGATCACCGTGTCCTTGGGGCTGCGCTGGTCTCTGGGCGTGCTCAGGATAGGGATTGTCAGCCCCACAACGCTTTTCAGACATCGTCCAGCCTCGTAGTTGAGAATGCGGTCTTTGTATCGGACGTGCGATTTTTTCAGCTTGATGTACAGGTCGATCTTCGCCGCAGAGGCCCGCTCCGTGTCCAGGACCAGCGGCCGTGTCAGCGCCACCAAAAGCTCCAGGGCCGCCAGCAGGATGTTGTGGTAGAATGCTCTGTTCGCGTCCACGGCCCGGGCCGGCAGCTGCACCAATATCGGGACCAGATCGTTCACCACCAGGCCGTTGTCGTCGCACGCAGAGGCAACGTTCCAGCTGTCCGACGCGTCGTCCACAACCTTTATCCAGCGCTTGATATCCTTCAGACACGCCAGTGCGTCGGCACCAAGCACGTACTTGCCGGTGTCGTCCGCCCCGCCCAGCGCAGAACACAGGATGAGAATCTGGGACTTGAGGGCCTGCTGGGCCTCGTGCTCGAATTTCGCCGCGTCAAACTCAGCAGACTGCTTTGTGGCCTCGCCAGCATCGTAGTCCGACAAGGGCGTGTGCTGTAACTCGTTGTCGAGGTCCAAATCGTCCTCCAGGCCTCGGTCTGAAGATGAATCCATTACGCGTATTATTTGTAGCACAGCCAGAGATGGAAAAAATATTTTAAATTACATAACTGCGGCAGAGTCGTGGCTGACAACGACGGGCTCGTCAGGCTCGAACCGGCTCTCGGTCTCGGAAACGTGGATCTCTTCAAAGGTCTCGTTCGCGCGGTCCGGGTCCTTTTCGAGGATCGAAGCGTCTTTGTCGAAATGGATGGACGCATCGATCTCCTCGGGCTCCTCAGGGTCCATGGCCACCAGCACAGGATGCGAAAACGCACGCTCCTTGCGCAGCAGCGCGCTACACGTGCCCGCGTCGCAGTCGTCGATCGCGTCGTACTCGTTCATAGACAGAACGCCAAGGTCCACAAACTCGCTCTCCTCGAGCCCGCCAGAGCTCTTGGCCGCAAGCACGGGGCGAGAGTCGTACACGTTGAGAAATCGCGACCCCTGATCGTGCGAGTTGATGCTGTGTTTGAGCGCGTCGTAGCTAGCTCGGTTCTCCACCAGCAGCCCCACCAGCATCGAAGGGTCCATCTGGTCCAAATGCAGCTTGCGGATCTTGTTTGTGTGGACTGAGTCCAGGTCCAGCCCGGACTCCACCTCCACGTAGTGGTTTGGGTCGGGGCTCTCGTGCGGGGCCTCGGATGCTATTAACAGTGCTTTTTGCGGAACGTGTGGGTCCAGGTAAAACAGGTAGTCGCCCTGGAACCCAAAGAAGTAGTGTGACGAAGACGGCCTACCGCCTGCGATGCCCACCGACTGCGGCCAGCCGAGCGTTTTCTTGAGGAAGTCCCAGTACAGCGGGTTCACGTTTTTCACTCCAAGTCGTATGCCAGCAAGGATCAGCACCGGTCGCAATTCGGCGCCCTGCTGCGCCAGCTCAAACAGCTCGTCCTCGTAGATATCTCCACTCGCGGTAAAGTACACCTTGAGCCCTGTTTTGTCGTAATTGGCCTCGCACAACACCTGGATGCTGCGCGCGGCAGCAGAAGGCCCAAACCACTCGCCGGGCTTTTTCCCTGCACAATTAGCTCCCTGCTCGACAAAGTTGTGGATCGAGAACGGCGCCGTGGGGATATCGACGAACCACGACACAATCTCGGCGTGTTTCGCGCACTCGCGGGTCTGATCGTATCTCCAGCCTCTGCCGAGTCGCAGCTGGAGCAGGCTGTTTGCCAGCAGAGACTGCGACGTGCGAATCATGCACCCCCAGCCTGCGTCTGTAGTGAATCCTTTGGTCACCGTGGCGAGATCAACGGTGCCTCTAATGAGCGAACCAAAACTGAGGGGGCTCGGCCCGTCCTCTGCACGCTTGATGAGCGGGAACCCCGAACGATACGTAAGCCATATTCTCGAATGCACATCCCTGAGAAACTCGCGCGGCCAGCTGGCCTCCGTGTCGGCGGCCTGGTCCGGCTTGAACTTGTGAAAAAGCGTCCTCAGGTCCGGGGCCTTCTCCTGATGCGGAGGCGGGCCCGGCGCGTATGTTCTGCCCAGAACTGTGAGCGTGTTCGTGAAGTCGTCATTGGGCAGCTCGCGATCCCAAATGTATTCAAACACAGTGTGAAGGGTGTTCAAGCTATGGGATGCCATATAAAAGGAAAAAGCATAGACAAAGAAATATTTCCTTCTTTGCCCTTGCTTTTTGTCACGGAAAATACTTGACAGTATGGCAAAGAAAGGACACCGGGCGCAACGCAGCGCGAGGAGAGGCCACAGTGGCCGCGGCGGGCGCCAGGGCTCCCGCCAGGGCACCAGGACTGCGCCCGTGGTGCGCAGTGGCCGTTCGCACGGCGTGTTCCCCGAGCTGATGGATCTGCAGGCCGGCCACATGGCCATGGAGGTCGAGTTCACGGGCCGCCACCGCGAGCAGATGCTGAAACGCCCGCTTCGCAAGCTGCCGATGGAGTTTGTGAAAGCGAGCGAGGTGTATGACCCGCGCCAGTTGCTGAAGGGGGTGCGAGGAATGCACTTGGAGGAAGAAACCGAGGAGACAGAGGAGGAGGAAGAGGAGGCAGAAGAGGAGGAAGAAGCAGTGATAGAAGGAAGTGAAGCCGAAGAAGAATCAGGAGAAGAACTAGAGGGACAATTAGAGGAAGAGGGGCCAGCAGAGCTGGACGAATCAGATGAGAGTGAACGAGAGCAGGAGTTAGTCGATGGAAACCACCAAAATATCTCGCATTACCCGCACACGCCCCCACCCGAGACCCACGGAGAGCTGCCCGAGTCCGACAACGAGGGGGAGGAATTATACAACATAGACAACGACGAGGGCTCGTTCGTCGAGTCCGTCGCCGACGCTTCAGACATATCCTCTCGTGGGGGCTCCCTGTCGTTTGGCTACGACCCCGACGATTATGCGTTTAACGTGAATCTCTTGCGTATTGACAACGTCCGCTACGGCGCAGCTACCACGCAGTACTATGCCCACTGCGCTTTTCTGCACGACGAAACGCAGTGGTACGACAAGGAAGACCTTGCTGACCTGCTTGTGGAGCAGGGGCTACCGGAGCACCGCGTGGATGCGTTTTTTGAGTACGCCACAGAGCACCTTCGCGAGCCTGAGCAGCCGTTGGAGCAGGTCTCGAGCGACGACGATTCCGACGGGTCGGGCGTCGACGAGATGGTGGCGTTCTACTCGTCGCGTGTGATCAACGACCCAATCGAGCTGGAGACGCCGACGGCGTCGTTGCAGACGACCGGCAAGGGCCGCAAGAAACGGCTGGTGCTGGACGAAGATATGGACGAGGATCTGCGGCAGACGCTGCTGGAGAGCTTTTCGAAGCGGCACGGCTCGAAAGAGAAGCCGCGAAGCGTCGCCAACGGCACCGGCGAGCTGCTGGCCAAGTACCCATTTGAGGTGCACGTGCGCGACATGAAGCACGAGTACGATCTTTTCTACCACGATGCCGGCCGCGAGACGCTGCAGTGGCCGCCGCTGGACCCGCACGGTCTGCGCACGCTGCGCAAACTGGCGGAGTGCTACAACCTGAAGCCGCGCAGTTTGGGAAACGGACCAAAAACGCATCTGGTGGCTATCAAGACGAAGCACACGTACAAACGCATGCCGAACTACTCGCAGGTTGCACGGATATTGAAACAGAGGCCGATTTTCCGGCGTACAGACGTGCACTTATCGAAAGACGAGATCATGGAGTTGAAGAAGAAGCGCAAAAAGAGCAGCAAGGAGCACGGGCAGGGTCGCAAGTGGGCGCCGCGCGAGGGCGACGTGGTGGCGGCGGCAGCGCCGGAGATCAGCCCGGACAACGTGGGGCGGCAGCTGCTGGAGAAGATGGGGTGGCAGAAGGGCAGCGCGCTGGGCAAGACAAACAGTGGCATCATCGAGCCGATCCAGGCCACAGTCAAGCTGACGAAACAGGGAATCGGCAGCGCTCACGCGCAAAAATAGCAAGCAACGGTGTATTTTGGTATCTATATAGAATTAAAGGCCTATCTCTGTTTGTTGACGAGATTCTCGATGGTGAGGATGCCCGAACTGCTGGAGTTGTCTTTGGAGAGCACGGGCCGTGGCGGAGCAGGGACTCTGTTGAGGACGTCTTTGGCGCGCTCTTCGGGGCTGTTCAGAAGCTTTCTATGGAACAGCTCCTCGTCGAGCTCTGCAATGCCACGCACCATGGAGCTGATGGGCGGGAGATGTATGTTCTGAGAGCTGGCGGCGGGTTTGAGGGTGGGCGAGTGCATCGGGGTTGTGAGGGGCGTTTCGGACGGCGAGGTTATGTTGAAGATGGCCATAGAGCGGTCGATAGAGTCTGCCGAGTTGAAGCTGCTGCTGTTGCTCTGGAGCGTGGGGGAACTTGGTCGCGATTTTTTCTTAGCTGGGGTGTCGTCGTGGACAAGCGTCGCAAGTGACGCAGACGAGACAGAGCGCGACAGCAGCGACGAGACACGCGGCACAGAGCCCGAGGACGACATGCGGATAGGCGTCATGCGCTGCAACGATGACAGCGACGACAGCGGCGGCACTGTGCCCTTGGCGGCCGGGGTGCCGGAGGCGAGCGTGGAGGAGGACGAATCCAGCGAGCGCAGCGAGTTAGAAGAGTTGGTACGCGACGACAGCGTCGATTGCGGCGGCGTGAAGTCTGGCGCGTGGTTGCCAAAATACGACTGCAGCGACGGCGTCGACTTGACCCCGGTCAGCGGCCGCAGCTCGCCAGGATGGTGGAGCCCGGGACTGGTGGGGCTGCTCTGTGTGGTCTGGAACTGGCCTGGCGAGGACCCACTGACCACGATCTGTGGCGACCCGTTGTTGTTCTGGTACGCGGAGAGCGGGATAGCGGTGCCCTGCGGAATGATATAGATGGGAACGGGCTGTGGGTAAATAGGCTGCCCCATCATATCGTAGCCAATGGGCATGAGTATTTGGGGCTGCTGCTGTTGCTGGGACATTTGGACGCTGTTTTTCATGTTTTTGTTCTGCGAGCGTCTCTTGCGAACCGTTGGGTTGGTGTGTATACGCAGATGGCGAGTCAGCTCATCCGACCTAGAAAATTTTTTGGTGCAGCCCGGGAAAGTGCAATGGTGGGGTCTTTCACCGGTGTGGGTTCTGATGTGGCGAGTTTGGTGTTCTAGCCGGTGAAACGCCTTATCGCACATCGGACACTTGTAAGGGCGGTCGTTCTCTTTCTTGTGTTCTTCCATACTGAAAAGAAATAAAAAATGCACCAGAGGGCAAGACGCATCTTATTTAACGCTTGTCCCGGAATTTTAGGAATTGTAGGCCCAGAGTGAACCCACATTTCCCACCGCGCGGATTTCGTGGGGGAAGAGGCGGGCTGCGGGAACTGGTCCCACCAGCATGAAAAAGTTTTTCCGGTGGCAACAATGGGAAAATTTTCCGTGTGCTGGCTTTTCCTCTTTTCTTTTGCGCGTCCTACTGCTCCGATTGGGCTCAGTTTAATACGATGTGCAGATCCAAACTGCGCCGCAGACAATCCACCGTCCCTCTTGTTACCCCATACCCCGGCTTCCTGCAGTATACTTCCCGTCCATAGGCAGCACCGTACAGCCTACAACGACCGATATATCTAGAGACGTGCTTCCATTTTGCACTTCGTTTTGCACATGCCAGTTTGCGCCAACTTGGCGTTCCTGTCTGCATCGCTCCACCGGATGCCCCGCTTGCCTTCAACCGAAACTCCCCTCCCGTCAACAGAATACTCAACACAACCCTTTTTCCTGGGTGCTTACGTAATCCCAACCAAGACCAGTATTCAACAAAATAAAAAATGCTCTGGATAATTTCGGACAGAAAACTTTTCCTCGATCCCTGTTTTAGTTTGCTCTCCTGCCGGCTCCATCACAATCCCCCATGAACATTATCGAGCAGACTCTGCCGTACAAGCTGATCTCATGGAATTGGCTACCCAATTCCGAGGTGTTCCATCTCCCAAGCATCGCCAGCTCCCCCATCAAGGAGTTCCCTATGGACACTTCCAATGCCTTTCTGAAGGAAAAGTTCTACCCAGCGTCGCTGCACTATCTGACCCCCGTCTCTGTGGCGTTTGTTTACTTCATCTGTGTCCATTTGGTGAACAAGATTGTTGTTCGCAGACAGTTGCGACAGTACCAGAGCAGCAACCCGGGAAAGGCCGTTCCAAAACGCCTTCCGTCGGCTCCGTATGCCATTGCCAAGCACCGCTACTTCAAGCTTTTTGTGCTGCTTCACAACATGGCGCTGTGTGCATACTCTGTGTGGACTTTCCTCGGCATGACCACCACAATCTACTATTATTCGCACGAGCTGATCCCAGACCTGATTGGCCGCTACTACTCCCTTTCCAGCAAGCTTTCTCCGGTGGACCTGTTCTGGCAGAGCGTCTGCGATGTGGACCACGGCATCTGGTACAACCAGGGCGACTCAATTAAGGGCCTGGCTTTCTACTCGTACGTGTTCTACCTGTCCAAATACTACGAGATTTTGGACACGGTAATCATTCTTCTGAAAGGCAGGCCGGCGTCGCTGCTGCAGAGCTACCACCACTCGGGTGCCATTCTGTCGATGTGGGCCGGCACGCGGTTTGCATCGCCACCGATCTGGATCTTTGTGGTGTTCAACTCGTTCATCCACTCGATCATGTACTTTTATTACACCTTGGCGTGTGTTGGGGTGCGTTTGGGTGGCCTTTTCAAGCAGACGCTCACATCGCTGCAGATCTGCCAGTTTGTCCTTGGCGGCTCGCTTGCGGTGGTGCACCTGTTTGTGCGGTACCTGGACGTGCTGAGCGGCACGTACCGCAGCTGCATCTCGACGAGCGAGGAAGCCCTCGCCCTCTTCATCAACGTGTTCTACCTAACCCCGCTGACGATGCTGTTTGCCGCTTTCTACATCGACAGCTACAAAAAGAAGGACAAGCTTAAAAAACCGTAATAAAGCCATAATAAAAAATTATATTTCATCAGCCTGTAATTGGCCTGAGGTGTGAAAATTTAATTCAATTCCATTTAATTTTATTTATTCGTCCGCATGGTGCTCTACTTCCACAACTCTCACACGTTCCCGCACACCTTCGAGACTGCCACGCTGGCGTACTTTAACCGCTACCCGAACCCGTACGCGTCGCACGTGCTCTCCATCGACACAATCGACCGCCATATCGACGCCGAAGGCCGTCTCCACCAGACGAAGCTCATCGTGAAGACCGGCCGGCTGCCCAAGTGGGTCAAGCCGTTTCTGGGCAAGATCTCCACGTCCTGGATCATCGAGCGCACCGTCGTCGACCCAAGCAGCCAGACAATGCAAACGTACACCCGCAACCTCGACCACACCAAGATCATCCAGATCCAGGAATACAACCAGTACACCTTCGACCGCGAGCTGAATCAGACCACAAACAACACCACGGTCACGTTTTCGTCCGGGTTCCAGGGCCTCGGCATCAAGAACCGCATCGAACGGTGGTCGCAGTCGAAATTCGCCGAAAATCTGAAAAAGTCTCGCCAGGGCCTGCGCTACGTGATGGACTCCATCAGGGATAGACTCCATCTCCTGCAAAAAGCATGAGTTACTCTATTCAGGCAAAGCTCAAGTCCCAGCCTAGTCGGCGCACAATCTCGTACCAGTCGACCCACCGCTCGCCATTCGAGTTCACCTTCCACACCTCTCTCATCACCAGCCGGCACCGCACAATGTTTTTCCACCGGTATCGTTTCACCACGTCGTCGATGCGTGCCTCCATCTGCTCCCGGTCCGCGTACACACAGTTCATCCCGGCTATGAACACCGGGAAGCAGATGCACGCCTCCAGCCGCGTCCCCACCAGGATGTCCAGCGACGCCGTCAATTGGTACACCAGATACTGCATTTCCATCGAGCCCGGGTTCATGCGCAGCACAGACTGCCGAAGGTGGATCTTGGCTGCCAGCTGGAACGCCTCGAACATGGTCAGCTGCAGCTCGAAGTCCGACGGGTCCATGTCGTTCATCAGTATATAGTTTGGCGAAGCCTCGTTCAATTTGGAGTCCAGAGCGTAGCACTCGTGCATGATTTTGTCGTAGACCTCCGCCATGCGTTGCGGCCGTTTTTGCGTGTCTCCGCAGTCCTCGCTCAGCGGCACCTCGTGGTCGTGGTATTGTTTTAGCGTCTGCCGCGTTTTCACCGCCAGCTGGTTGATCTCCGCCAGTATCTTAAACACCGGCGACGAAAGCCCGTGCAACGGGTCCAGAAATCGGATCCGGTTCGAGGCTATCCACATATCCTCGTATTCCTCGAGCGCAAAGTGCAGCTGGCGATCTTCCACAATCGCCGCAGACATCATGTCGTGGTATGCGTAGTTGGTCACCAGAAAGTGCTCATCCTTGCACCCGTTGAAAAACCGGATTCCGCCCTTCTTCTTGATCAAACTCGCGCCGTAGTGCAGGTACTTGGCCCATTTGCTCACGTCGCCCTTGCAAATTTCCACCCCGCAGAGGATCATCAGCGCAGCCAGCCGCAAATTGATCATGTCTGAAAAATTCAGCTTCGACATGGCCATAGAGTCGTCAAACTCGTCCGTCTCCTTCGTCACCAGCTCCTCGTCCTCCACCTCCTCTGTTAGAGCCATGTAGCTTTCTCGCGACTCGTTCGGTAGCAGTGGCCGCTCGCCAATCACCTCGATCGCCCGGTTGATATAGTACTGTCCCTGTTGTTCCATCCTATTGCCGCCCAGATGGAACGCGCTCCAGGCCAGTATCCCATACAGAACGCTCTTGTCCATGTGTGCCATGGGCAGAAACGTGCGCAAATACATGTTCTCGTTCTTGCGCACCACCGACACCACGTGACACAAGTTGTCGCGGTAGTACTCGTACAGCTGCTTGCCGACGCTGGACAGCGACGCGAGCGGCGAGTTTGTCACGATCGACGGGCTCGCGTATAGCGGGCTCGCCACGGATGGAGGGGTCTCCAGCCGCAATGGAGTGATGCTACCACCAGCAGGCGACCGTCGGCCCTCGTCCAGCGGCAGCTCGTTGAGGAACTTGGCGAAATTCGGCGAGAAGTTGGCCGCGAACGAGGACGGGCTAAGTTGCGCACTCACCAGCTGACTCGGCTCGTCATTCTGCTTCATCTCCAGCTGTTCTGCGTCGTCAAATGCGTTCCACACTGAAACGGCCGCCGCGTGCGGGCCGGAAACGGTGCTCATCACCGAGAGCGGGTTGAAAACGACTTTGTTCCCGCCCAAGGGCTCGGCCACAGACTCTATATTGGGTTTACGCTGCTGCGGCTTGCGGCGGCGACATTTGCGCTCGGCTTCCAAGATCTTGCACTCTCGCCGCAGGCGCTGGACCTCCTCCTTCGTCATCTCCTCACTCACGTACTTGCACTCCTTTTTGAGCCGGATACATGCCCCACAGCTGGGCCTTTGTTCGTCGCACCGTTTCTTGCGGATCTTGCACGTCATGCACCCGTTTTTCGACCTTTTGTGGCTCTTTCTATCCAGAGAGGTGGGCCCCGTCTGTGACAGACTAAGCTCTATAAACTCTGTCATAAAGCGAAAAGTTTGAACAAGACTCTATCTCACAAGATAAAGCTACAATTATTTTTATCGTCTTTTCACTGCAGGTCGTGCACATGTAAGATAAATAATATACACTATATGATGGACTGGTAGTACAGCACAAAGTCCTTGGTGACGTACTCCCAGGAAGTCGGATCGAAAAACACGTAGGTGCCGTTCTCGGAGCCTGGCCCGTTGACCGTCGGCTCGACGCTCGAGTCCTTTGTTAGCCACACCTGCAAATCCTTGTGGTATCTCCAGTTTCTATTGTTGAGCTCCCTGGCCACCAGCTCCTGAAGCACGTCTCTGGGCTTGGAGTAGAAGATGAAAAATAGCGTCTCGTCGTTGAACGAGCTGATTCTGCTCTCCACAGAAACGAGCTCCTCGTTATTAATGTGGAACGACTCCGGCACAGAGAACACAGGCTCCACCTCCGACCGGCTCGTCTCGAGCCACGGAGACGCAAACGTCTTGGATATCTGCACGTCGTCGTTCTTAGGGGTCACATCCAGCCCCAGCATGTTGAGGTCCAGCCCGGTGGTTATCGTGTTGAGCTCGTTGTTCTGCATTTTCAGCACCGGCAACAAACCCTTCAGCCCGTACTTGTCGATGTCGGCCATTTCCTGCTCACTTTTCGTCGTGCCGTTGATCGAAGAGCTCAGCCCTGACAGCAAGGACGCCTTGTTTCTGCTAGCTTGTTCAATGGCATTCAAAACCGCCTGTGTTTGGCTGATCTGCTGCTGAATGTCCGTCACGTCAGGTCGCTGCTGGTGGTTGTCCTGTGTTTGTGGTGGAAGAGCCCCGAGAACCGGGAATTTATCGTTGTTTCCAGCATTATTCGTACCATGATCGGTACCGGTATTATTTCCCCAAGCAGCTAGCGCTGTTAGTATTCCGGGGCCAAACGGCGTGTGCAGGCTACTTACACATTTGCAAGTTGTCTGATGCAAATTCGAAGGCCAATCTTGTGTGTTCTGCGTGTTGAAATCCACCCCAAAGACTGTTTTTGGTTAGCTGTGGTGATGAAGCTTTTGCTGAAATAGACTATGCCGGGTAACAGTTAAGTATCTGGCCTCGGAAACTAAAAAATAAAAAAATATTTAGCTGACTGATGCCTCGAAAACTGCCCAATATCATCATCACAGGAACGCCCGGCTGCGGCAAAACGTCACACGCAGAGGCACTATGCGAGCAGGTGAAGGGCTTGAGACATATAAATGTCAGCGAGTACGCGAAAACCAAGGGCTGCATCGATGGCTACGACAAGGAGAGAGACTCTGCTATTGTTGACGAGGACAAGCTGCTGGATTTGCTGGAGCCCGAAGCTACCAAGGGCGGGCTTGTGATTGACTGGCACTGCTGCGAGGTTTTTCCCGAGCGCTGGATCGACCTGGTTGTGGTTCTGCGATGCAACAATACCCTGTTGTACGACAGGCTGGCCAAGAGAGGGTACAAGGAGGGCAAAATCCGCGAAAACATCGAGGTGGAAATCATGGAGGTGCTTCTCACAGAGGCCAGAGACAACTACGACGAGCACATCGTGATAGAGTTGCACAGCGAGAACGTCGACTCGCTGGACGAGAACGTGGCGAGACTGGCACAGTGGGTTTCGAACTGGGTCGATGACCATCCTGAGGGTGTCGACACGGAGCTGTGATGTTGTATAGTAGGGACTGGTTGAAATTATGTACATTTATTTACCGATCTTGATTCTGAGAGCTCTTTGGGCCTTTCTTCTTTTTCTGAGCTTGTGTTTTTTCATTTTCAATCTTCTTTTGCGGAGCACCGAAGAGAGCACGAGCTCGCGGGATTCTGTGAGACCGGCAACGATGGGAGTGATGAATTTGAAGCCTGTAAGCGAGATATTTTGAGGATGGGCGATCATAGCCGGGATCTGTCTGGCGGCCGGCACTGCTAGCGTCGACGCGAGACGAGTGTGTATGCGCGGAAATGCTGAGCCGAGAAGTCTGAACATGGCGAGGGGCGGGCAGTGTCAGACTCTGTTGGATTCCAGTTGTTTTTCGACTACTGCTGAACGTTGAACATAGAAATTTTTTCAGAGTACTAGCAAGCAGAGCGACGCGTCGATCGGCTACTAGGAGAAAGCCGAACTACAGCAAGCTCCAACTCTGCGCGGTATATATATGTAGCAACAGTTTCGTAAGGTCATGGAAGGCAGCAAAACAAAGAACTCTAGTAGTCCACCGGGAAGATGCCTTCGTCGTCACAGGCGGCCTCGTGCGACTCCCGACCGCCTTTGGTCTCGTGACCAGAATCTTTCTGCGATCCGGCCCGGTTTTCGGTGTCTGTGTCGTCATCCAGAATGATGTCTACCACCTCGACACTCTTAGAGCCCTCTTGGAACTCGTCCGGATTGAGGCCTGCTCTAACCTGCTGGTACGACGATGCGAACAGGTCCTGATTCCAAATGAAGCCCTGTGATTGTGTGAGGTTGATGGAGAAAGAAGGGATCCTGGCCCGCGAACCGTTCTCTTCCGACACGAAGCACGCGGACGGTGCAGAGGACGACAGCTCATATATCTGGAAGTTATCGTTTTCAAGCATGGATTTGGACAGAAACGAGCGTCTGCGTGCGTACGGCGAGGATGAGGTGGTGAAGGAGGACTTGCGTCTGCGCGAGGGAGGAGAGTGGGAAGATATAGGTTGTCTGTGGCTGAAGCTCAGGGTCTGTTTCTCACGGGGGCCGGATCCGGCCGCTTCCATGGTGTAGCTTTGTTTGAACACTGTTGACGATGACATAATATAAGACAAGATATAATTGGTAGGATGGAAACTGGGGTAAAGCAGCAATGATGAGTCACCAACGAGTCCAAAGAATCAACAAACTCAGCAAATACCAATATCGGCAGCTTGCTGAATGCAGTGGTCAGATCTATAAGAAAATAGGGTGATAAAATAACCAATCACCAAACTTAGGAGCTTATAGATAAGAACAAGATGGTTTTTATTTTTGAACCCTCTGGTGACACAATTTCACGCTTCTGACATAATCGGATGAAAAATTCAATTTATTTACGTTGCTCTACCTAATCAGTCTTTGGACTTCTTCTTCTTCTTTTTCTTCTTTTCGTCCTCATCACCGTCCTCAGCGTGTCTCTTTTTGTCTTTCTTCTCCTTCTTGTCTTTCTTCTCCTTCTTGTCTTTCTTTTCCTTCTTCTCCTTTTTCTCCTTCTTTGGCTCTTCAATCAGATCAGCCACACCAACAGTCTTGCCCGAAAGCTCAAGAGCCTCCTGGATGGCCTCCGAGTTCTTCATAGGCGACTTTCCCGTGTCATAGAATTCGAGTCTCTGCTCAACCTGCTTCTTGAGAATTTGGCCAAAAACGTTATTTGGCTCGTCGGAATAATTATCTATTCGAGAAGCAATCGAGCACTTGTTGGCCAGGTATCTGGAGATTCTTCCCTTGTTCTTGGCAGAAGCCTTGCCGATAAACGAAGAATGGTAGATCAAACCGTATTTGGGCGTGTTTCCCTTCGTCTTCAGAGCTCTGAACAACGCCTTCTCTGCTCCCAGAATTTGCACCGTGGAAGCGGCCTGTTTGGACAAATTAGTAAGCGAACCGGCGTGCGAAATGAGTCTGGCTCCAACAACCTCTCCAATCAGCTCGGACAGGTTTGGCGCAACAGTGTGCATCTTATCGGTCAGGTATCTGTACAGATTCTTGCGATATTCGGAAATGGAGACCGTTCTTTCTGCAAAAGTGAGCACGTTGGCCATATCCTGCTCAGAGATGTCCTGACCCATCGAAATCCGCGCAGCGTCGATGATCTGCTGCGCAACACCCGCGTCCTCGTTCACAATGGCCGCCAAGTCATGCAGACTGTCTTCAGTCAGTGAGGTCTTGTCCTTGATGTACAGAACGAGCTGGGCATATTGGTGGTTGTCGTTACAGATCTTGGCAAGCTCTGGGAAGTGCCAGCCGTACCACTCCTTGACTCTCATCGAATAGGTGTTGATGTCCTTGTCTAGCTGGTCCAGCAGAGCAATTGCCTGGATAATGTGGTTGTCGTTCTTCTGGACAGAGAACTTGACCTTGGCTCTGGAATAAGCGTGGCCCAGACCAAGCTGTGCTCTCTCAAGATCGCCTTCTTGCAGTCCCTTGAGTAGTTTGGCTCCAAAAACACGGATTCCTCTCAAAAGGTCCTGCACAACCTCGTTCGAGTAGCACTCAATGTATGGGAACACCTCCTTGATGGAAGGACCCAGAGCCTTGTCGGAAATACCGAGAGCGACCTTATTCTTCTTGGAGCCCTTAGGGATGTTAAGCTCGAGCACAGACTTCAGATAGTCCGAAACAAGACCTTCGCTGATTTCGTTGGCATTCTCCAGAGCTTGCGCTGCGCCCTGGAATGGCGCAAACGACACCAGCTCCACCAGCTTCGAAAAGGCCGCCAAATCGTTACATGCTGCCTGGACCTCCTTGAGTCGCGAGCCGATCTCGTCCTGCTGGAGTTTCACCTTGAAAATGGCATATCCAGTGGCCTCCTCAAAAAGAAGGTAATCTAGTCCTGCCATGGTGGTTGTGAGTATTAAAGCCAGGATACAAAGATTAGCTCCTAAGTGTAAACTTGAAAAATTTACAGGGAAAATTTTTTTAATCATAGGCAGTGTACAGGTAGGGTAATCGCTCTCAATCCGGCCGCTACACTATATATACAACGCGTTGCTGCCACTACTCGCTTTTTTCACCTTTGCGAGCTCCTTGACAATTTGGACGTAGTCTCCTTTGAGACCCAGGTAGTCGTCCACTATGACAGCCAGATCCACCAGCCCGGAAATGTCAAATTTCTCCATATCGAGCTGGAATGCGCCCTCTGCAGAAACTGCAATGGCTGCCACCTCCACGTTGTAGATGTTTGCGTGCGACACCAGGGCTCCGGCAGCGCCCGTGATGAAGTTTGGCGGCTGCATGTCAGGCACCTGTTTCAGCAGCAGCGGTTTTTCCGGCAGTCTGTAATTTTGCGACACAAGCTTGTTGAGTGTGTGCAGTCCGCTGAGCTCGCTGGTTGCAAAACACAAGAGCTTCGAAATGGCAAAATGCTGGAACAATGTGGACGCAAAAAGATTGTAAATGAGCTTACTTCTGAACACAGGAACAAGCAGGAAGTTTATGTTCTGGTTGTTGAGCGTGGTTTGGTGCAGTTCGATGGTCTTGGAGTCCTGTTGTGCCAGCACCGCCTTGGACGACTTGTACAGCTGCTCGTCGTCGTCGAATTCTTCGGCCTCGTCCTGCTCTTCCAGCTCTGGAAAGCTGACCCTGATCGAGGACACCATTTTGGAGGGCGCAATTTGCAACAGCGCGTCGTAAATTGGCCTGAGGAGCTCGGGAACGGCAATAAAGTATGTGTTCTGGGTGTGTATATGATGATCCACCGTAATGGTGGGTATTATGGGCTCTTTCTCCAACAAGAGGTCCTCATCTTGGACAATGTGTCTGGGGGTGGGTAGGTCCTGGAATGGTCTCAACTGAGCATTAGTTTGTTGCAAATGTTTGACTTACCATGAAAGGCAAATAATGGAAAAAATATTATAAATTATTTTAGTCCTGGAATTTTTTAATATGTCCACCAATCTCAACATGGAAGATCTGTCTAAACAGTACACCAAACTGCAGGCCGAGCTTACAGAGCTTGTGCGAGCCAGACAGAAGCTTGAGACGCAATTCCAGGAGAACAAGATTGTCAAACAGGAGTTCGACACCCTTGACGACGACGCCAAAATCTACAAGCTTGTGGGGCCTGTTTTGCTGCCGCAGGACAACGCAGAGGCCAATCTGAACGTCGACAAGAGAATTGAGTTTATTAGCAGCGACATCAAGCGTGTTGAGGAGAAAATTCAGCAGCGCCAGCAAGACCTCTCCAAATTACAGGGTGTAATAATGAGTGCTCAAAGCGCATGATCATGCCTATATATCACTGAATAAGTTCACCCCCGCGCCAACTGGCTTTTGATGAGGTTGACAAGACTGATTCCGTTGAAAATCGCCCACTCCTTCATCGAATTGTACGCATATCCAAGCGTGTCGATGTCGGACACTCTATCGTTCATGAAACTGATAGTAGCAGAATAGTCGGGCGTGGTGTCGCCCAGCATAAACAGCTCTGATTGCACAAAGACGCTTGAAAGAGCAAACCGTTTGGAATACCAAGCAAAATCGTTCGATTTGTCTCCTGAGTAGTACGTGATGTCGTCCGAAAGATTGTGTAGCTCTGTCAGAAAGATGCCCAGGTTCGTGGGCAAAATCATGCGCCCGAGTGCCTGGTGGTAATACTTGATAATCGGCACGTTGTCCAGCAGCCTCTTCTGCATGTAAAACCGCACTTTTGCTCCCTCGGTGGCCAGCTTCCCGGCCTCGTCGTGGTACCTGCTCAAATTGGCTCTAGTGTGCTTCAGATGGTACATTATCAGCTCATTGACCACATCCGAAACCTGTAATCCTATTCCAAACAGCCCTCCAAGGTTCTCCGGCCTCAATTGCAAATCAGCAATGGCTAGGTCCACAGACTGCTTTGTGAAGCCGTGCGTGGGGACAAACTTGTTGTATGCGCGGCCCAGAATCCTGTTCTCCAGTTTTGAGTCGTCTATGATCGGACTCTCCACATGGTACACGGACTGAAAGCCTCTAACAGCCGTGGTGGGCGCAAAAATAGGCCGCACACAGGCCCGTCCAATCGGTCTTCTAAAAAGCATTTAATTTATTTGCACACCCAATCGTCTGATATTTTAGCATTTTTCGTGCTTATGTAATCACACTTTGATGGTGAGTAGTTTAGGATACTGGAACTCAGAAACCCCCCAGTGAGAGTTGAACCTGCCGTAGCCGGACTTGTTGGTGCCGCCATGAGGAAGGTGCGGCTCATCCAGGACGGTCGGCCTGTTCACATGGACAGATCCGCAGTCTATCTGGCCGGCCAGTTTGTATGCTGCGAGACCCTGGCTGGTCCAAATAGAGCACTTTAGCCCGTGGTCCAGCGCATTGACCTTGTCCGCGACCGACGCCACGTCTTTGTATTTCACCAAGCACACAACTGGCGCAAAAGTCTCTGTGGTATATATCTTCATTTCCGGCGTGACGTCCGTGAGAATGACCGGGGCGAACTTGTTGGTGGCAGAAAAATCTAAGGTGCCAGCGAGCAACTTTGCGCCCTGTTGCAACGCCTCGCTGATCAGTTTTTTCCCCGACTCCGCGTGGGCAGCCGTTCTTTGTGGCATCGCCAAGGTTTTGTCGTTGGCGATGGTTTCGGTTGCAATTTTCTGGAGAATCTTGACAGTCTGTGGATATTTTTTTTCTGAGACGAAAATCAGGTCTGTGCACATACAGATTTGTCCCTTGTGGGCCCAGCTGGCCCACAGGCTGGACCGAAGAGCATTTTCAAGGTCTTCGACGTCGTCCAGGATGATGGAGCAGTTTTTTCCGCCGAGTTCCAGCAGCACGGGCTTGATATGTTTTCCTGCCACGGCTGCTATTTCGGAGCCAACACGGGTGGACCCGGTGAAGTTGACCTTTTTCACGTTTCTGTTTGCGATGAGCGCTTCAACTATCTCCTTGGATCTTGACGACTCGCAATGCACCAACGTCAACACGTCTTTGGGGACTCCAGCGTCCAGCAATGCCTGGACGATGAGATGCGCGATTCTGGCAGACAGGTCGCTGGACTTGACGATTACCGAGCATCCCGCCGTGAGTGGAGCAAATATTGCGCGCGCGGCAAGAATCAGCGGCGCATTCCACGCGGCTATGCTCAACACTGGTCCGAACGGTTCGTTGACCACCATAGAGATTTCGTCAGTACTCTGTGAGCTGACGTTCTGAACAGGCATTTTTCCGGCGGGCCTCGTGTCCAGAATTGACCGGTAGTGGCGAATATTGTCCAGAGTTCCATAGTAGTTGAATTCCGCCATGTACATTGGGTTTCCAATCTCCACGTGGGCCTGGATTAGTTCGTCTTTCAGAGCCTCCAGTTGACAAATGATGTTGTCGTAAATGCCCAATTTTTCCTTCACGCTCATGGCCTTCCACAAGAGAAACCCTTTCGTCGCCCGCTCGCACAATTGGGCGACGACCCGCGCGTCCTTCACAGCTAGCACTTTATGCAGGGGTTTTCCGGTGGGAGACGGGGAAATGAAGTGGTGGTCTGTAGGGGCGCCCTCAAAAATCATCGGCACTGTGGTAATATGCCGAAGATGCGCTCGGGCCACCGCAGAAGCTCTGGCACCAATGATGTAGTTCATGTTGGAGAATACTAGATAGTCTGCAACTTTTTTTGGTGCACAGCCTGAATAATGGCAAGGGTCCGGGCAGGAGGCAAGTACGGCAGGAACGCCGTGAAAATGGTGTGCGGACCACCACTGTCGGCCTGTAGTCTAGCACAAGCGTGCGTGAACGCGCTTTTTCCCCACGACCGTGTTTTGGCCACACCAGCCAGCCTGCTCCCGAACGTGCTTCAGCCTTATGTAAGCTATTTTCTAAAAAATTGTTGTTAATATTATGGTCAAAAGAACAGAACAGGAACAGCGGCTGCTGGAAATGCTGAACGCCCGCGGCAACCGCAACAAGTGCGGCGAGTGCGGCGCAGCATATCCAACGTGGGCCTCGTGGAACCTGGGCGTGTTCCTGTGCGGGCGGTGTGCCTCAGTCCACCGGAGTCTCGGCCCAGACGTCTCGCAGGTCAAGTCTTTGAGTTTGGACGACTGGACGATGGACGAGCTTGACGCACTGGAGTCTATGGGCAATAAGGAGAATCAGCGATTGTGGAATAGCCGCAAGGAGCCGTTTCCGTTCGACGAGGACGACAAGGGCGCAATTACTCTCTATTTGCGCAACAAGTATATAAAGGGTCTGTTCCGGACCACTCCGATCGATCCGGAGGACTACCGGTTGCACAAGAGCGACAGACGGCGCAGCCGGCGCGCAAGGGACGAGCACGGTTCTCGCAGAGGCTTGTTGCCGGGCAGTTCGAGCCGTGGCCAGTACGCCGATCTGTCGCGCAAGCTGAGATACGACTATGGGTTCGAAGACGAGGAGCGGAACTTGGACGCTCTGGAACGCAGTCACGGCGACATCAAGCGAGCACTGCGTATTTTGGCCAAGGAGAAGGATGAGACTCCGCCACCGCTTCCTCGACGCAGACCTACGGCCGGTGCGCTTCTGGACTCGACCAAGACCGGTGCGGCGTCTGTCGACTGGCTGAGCGGCGACGTCCCAGCTCAGCAGGCGCAGACTGGGGCCCCAGAGGTGCAGATCTACCAGTACATCGACCCAAATACCGGCCAGGTGTACTATATCGACTCGAACGGACAGCAGTATATGGACCAGAACCAGGCGCAGATGGAGGCGCAAATGCAGATGCAGATGCAGATGCAGCAGATGCAACAGCAGCAGCTGTTGCAACAAAGACAGCTGGCCAACGCTCAGGTGTTGTCGGCGTATAACCAACCAACCGGCCAGCCGGGACAAATGGGTATGGGCCAGGGCTTTTTCTGACTCACTCCTCCACAAGCACCACATATGTGTGCGGCCGCAAGTACAGCCAGCGTTGGTAGAAATATAGTATATCGAATAAGACCGTTCCGCTGCTACCAAGGATGTAGGGGAGCTCTTTCTTCAGAAAAGACGCTCTTGCACCGGCTGCGAGAGCTCCTGCGTTGCACAGAATCGACAGCGAGTAGGTGAGATTGCCCATGAGCGCAAATGCAAACAGCAGAGGAGAGATGCCCTGGACAGACTTTCTGTGGAAATTCTTTACCAGTTGCGGTATGCGAGACGAGAGGTAGATGGATGTGCAGATCCAAGCTACAGCAGTGCCGATTGATGTATGTTCTGTGGCTGCGGTGGTGTCAACGGCCCGCACGGGAGCAAATCTGGACATGATCAGTAGCAGCATTGCCGTCATCGAATGGGCCCTTAAACGGCCCCCATAGTGCAGAAATTGGTAAAGCAGCACCAGATCGTTGAACAAAAAGTACGACGAAAGGTAGAGCTGGAATGGGAGCTGGTTGGTGAGATAGCAGCCGACAAAGCTCGTGAGATCGCCAAAAAACCAGAGAACAAGAAACTGAGGACTTATCCCGTCAGTGCTCTTGTTCTTGTAGTTTTCAAACTGCTGCGGCACCTGTGCCATAATCCAGCATATTGTAGATATCACCGATAAGACGGTGGCCAGCACGTCAAGGGAGATCATTAGTGTTTTATCTGATAAGGAGTGACACAAAAAAAAAACAAATAGGGGAAAAAATATTTTTATTACTTAAGCAGAAGTAGCCCGTTAACCCTCTTATCAAGGGCAAAACAATTTAGTCACACCTTGTTAGTCTTTATTCTTGGTATACTGATTTATCGCGTTGAAAACTGGATTTGGTGCAGAATCTAGGCTGGAGAACGCGGCAGATCCTATAGACACGCTTGATTGGCCTCTTTACTACACGAAACACGATATATTACGGCACAAATCAGACACCTAGGGCACCTTGTAAGGCTTAGTCGACCCGATGTCCAAACATCAAACACAGGTCGTTGGTGACTTTACGATTGGCCCTGAAATTGGTCGGGGCTCCTTTGCCAATGTCTACAAGGGCTACGACAACCGGACAAAAGCGCCCGTTGCGGTCAAGTCTGTGTTTAGGAGCCGTCTAAAGAACCAAAAGCTCGTGGAGAATTTGGAGATCGAGATATCCATCCTCAAGAACCTGAAAAACCCTCACATTGTGGCATTATTGGACTGTGTGAAGACAGACCAGTACTTTCATCTATTTATGGAATACTGCTCGCTGGGGGACTTGTCGTACTTTATCCGCCGGAGGGATCAGCTGGTGCAGACCCACCCGCTTATCAGCTCAATTCTGGAGAGGTACCCTTCCCCTCCCAACAGCCACGGTCTGAACAAGGTTCTGGTGGTGAACTTCCTCAAGCAGCTGGCCTCTGCACTGGAGTTTCTCAGGGATCAAAATCTAGTGCACAGAGACATCAAGCCGCAGAACTTATTACTATCGCCGCCGGTGCATTCCAAGGAGGAGTTCAAGAGAAAAGGCTATTCTGGGTTGTGGGAGCTACCCGTCCTGAAAATCGCGGATTTTGGGTTTGCTCGGTTTTTGCCATCAACGTCTATGGCTGAGACCCTGTGTGGCTCGCCATTGTATATGGCTCCTGAAATTTTGCGGTACGAGAAGTACAACGCGAAGGCGGATCTTTGGTCTGTCGGAGCAGTTATCTACGAAATGTCCGTTGGCAAACCGCCTTTCCGAGCATCAAATCACGTGGAATTGCTTAGGAAGATCGAAAAATCAAAAGACGAAATTACTTTCCCCGTATCAGCAGAGGTTCCGGATGATCTTGTGAGGCTCATCTGTGGTCTTCTCAAGGCCAATCCGACGGAGAGAATGGGCTTCCAGGAGTTCTTCAACGATCCGCTGATTGTATATGACGTTCAATGCGCAGACGAGCCTTTGGAGTGCTCGAACGTGGATGAACAGTTGTTCATCAGCGAGTACCTACCTAATCTCAAGACTTCACCTCCTGCAAAACCTGCCCCGGAGACGATAAAGGAAGAGTCGGAGGAAGAAGAGAGAGCCGAAAGGGCCCCTACAGATTCGCTTCTAATTGGTAAGGAGGCCGACCTGAGAATACCTAGACCGATGGAAGGGTCCGGCAAGGACGAGGTGATCAAAAAGCTTATCAACAAGAGCAGTCCGCCTCCGGATACTGTCAAGGACGGACAGATCAAGAAAGGTGCAAGAAGAGACAAGGACGATTTTGTTTACGAAAAGGATTACGTTGTCGTGGAGAAACGCACTGTGGAAGTGAATGCCATTGCCGACGAGCTCGCAAAAGCCGGCGCAGGCGCAGTTGCCATTCCATCGCCTCATTTGGGAACCAACGAACACAGCGCGGCAAATCCATCAGGTCCAACGGAAACGCAGACCCAGCGCCGTTTCTCTCCCTCGAGTCGCACATCTTCAATAGGATCGAACAGAAGGCCTAGCTGGGGTGACCGCAAGATGCCTATATCCATCAGTCCTACCAATGCCTTAACCAAAGCCTTGGGCTACACCTCGAACAGGCTATTTGGACAACAGCAACAACAACCTCAACAAGCACAACAAGCGGCTATTGAATCCGCAATAACCAATGTGACTACAAACCTTCTTGCTACCAAGACACTCAGGCCTTTGAAGCCAAGCCAAGAGACCTCGCTTGAAGACACAGAAGTCATCAATCAGCTGGAGCTTTTGGCTACCATGGCACATGCCATCTCTCTGTTTGCAGAAGTGAAATTCAGCCAACTCATTCCGTTGCCACCATCATCCTCGTCGCCCGGATCTGCCGACTATGACGAGATGTATCAAAACGACGCGTTCCCGCCACAAATGGTGAAGTCGATCAGTAGCGAAGGTGTGGCTTTGTATGTTGAGACTTTGTCTCTTCTGGCCAAAGCTATGTCTATTGCTAGTGACTGGTGGCATCAGAACTCGTCTAAGCCGTCTACCTCTCCAAAACTCAACGACCTGGTTCAGTGGATACGGTCGCGGTTCAACGAGTCGCTTGAAAAGGCTGAGTTTCTACGCTTGAGGCTGGCTGATGCGAATGAGCAGCTCGTCGGCGAGTCTGGCTCAAGCCTGAACAAGCCGGTGGTTGCGGAGAAGCTGATTTTTGATCGAGCCCTGGAGATGAGTCGCACCGCGGCGATGAACGAACTCAAGAACGAGGATCTGCTGGGCTGTGAGCTCAGCTACTCGACAGCGATCTGGATGCTTGAGGCGTTGCTGAGCAACGACGAGGAGCCGGTCACGGGCAACGAGAAGCTCGATGCAGAGGACAAGAAGATCATCGAGCTGTTCATCAACAGCATTGGCAATAGATTGAAGGTTTTGCGGCAGAAGATCGATAAACAGGGAGTAAGAAGTTAGGTTTGGTTTGCATCTTTTGGCTTTATTTTTTTGCATTTTGGAGGCTACATATGGGTTCCTAAGGATATACTATGCTACAATAACGGAACATTTTGAGATTTGGGACGACATTCGATTGGATGGACTAGGTACAGCTGTTGCTTTTGCCTTGCCAAACGGATCGTCACTGGAGGCGAATTTATAGTTTCATGCAATAATGAAATGTTGTACATAAATAATCCATTTTAGGTAAAAGATAAATAATTTATTTTCCATTAAATCCAGTCTGCCAACTTTCTCCATGAACATGCTTGTTCTTCTTGTGCTGGCGTTGCTCGCCAGCGCAGACACCATCTATAACTATCATAACCGAACGGCCTATATACAGCATGATGACTCGCTGATTTTGCTTCCCTTTAATTCCAAGTTCAAAACTGGCCAGACAGTGACGGACCTTTGGAAACTTCCGGCCGACAACTGCAAAGTGATATCTGTCTCCAACAATCTATACGCTTTCTACGAAACCAACACCTCCGATTCGTCTGTTTTAACAGTATCCCAGTTCAACAAGACAACTGAAGAATGGAAAGACTTGGACTTCGAGTCGCCACTAGAGTACCTTTCGGGCAGCGCCTATATGGCGACTCCTGACTCTCCGGGCTCTGTTTATGTGTATGGAGGCTATAACTCGTCGTCTGGTTCAATTTCCGGACGACTGGTGCAAATAGATCTCAACTCCCTGGAAATAGCAGACACGCAGTCTTCACTGGAACCGACCAGTTTCTACGAGTCCTCATCGCTTCTGATCAACGACAACACTCTTGTTCTGGTCGGCGGAAAAACAGGAAGCGGTTGGGTAAGCCTCAAACAGCTGGCGGTGTGGCAGTACGAGTCGTGGGGCTTCAAGAGCGTATCGGTGGATAAATCAGACACCATTAACTCCAGGGCCGGGGCGCTGTTACTGCCTGTATTTTCAAGCAATATGATCACCCAGGAGTATCTCAGCAGCAACTACAGCGACTTCTCGGTCGATTCTGTGCTGATGGTGGGAGGGGGTCTCTCTTCTGGTTCGTACAGCTCGCCGAACTTTGCTAGATTGAACGTGGGGTCTTCTTGGTCATGGACCTCGCTGGACACCACTGTGAGTCTCGCGAACTCAAGAACCAACAATGCCAACAACAGCCAACTAAGCGTGAACGACATAGTGGGCGCCGCAGTGATCTACGACACGCTAGTCGTGGTAAATGGAGGCAGTGCCAATTACAGCCTGACGCTGTACAACACAACGAGTTTCGAGGTGCTCGAGTCGGTCGATTATTCGGGTCTGGCCAAAAAGACATCGGGCAAGTCCAACAAGAGCCTGGTGATCGCGCTGTCGGTGCTGATCCCTGCCCTCGCGGCAACAATCGTCGCCCTGGTGGCAGTTTGGCTCTACAAAAAATACAAGTCACGTGAGGCGGAAAAGCAGAAGGAAAAAGACCTCAAGGATATCATGGAGTTTTACCAGGCTGGAAACTCCTCGTCAACAACGTTTGCCTCGCATGGCGCGGAAAAGGAGAACACGTACTTCGGCAACCACGTCAAGGTCAATAATTACGACGACGGCGATAATCTTTCCATCAGCTCATGGAAACGCAAAAGATGGCAGCTAGAGTCCGAAATGGTCATCCACGACCAGGACACAGACCCCGAGCCAGCCGACAGAAGCCCCGTGTCGCCGCTCAAACGGTCGCTGTCCACGTTTTCGAACTCCCTGGGCCGCTCGCTCAGACGCAGCTTTTCGTACCAGTCCAGTATCCGTACTTTCTTCACAGCAGACACCACGCTAGACGATTCTGGCCACAGCCCAAGGCTCACCAACATTCCTGTTTTGCGGCCCGCAGAGGCATCCAACTCAACGCTCCACCTGATTCCCGAAGACTCCTCTCTCAACTCTTTCAAATTAAAGGCCGTGGCAGACTCGCGCTCAATGACCTCAAACTCCACCATCTACGAACACAGCGAGAGCTCAGGCTCTCCGCCGGCGTCGCCACCGCCAGCAGCACGCACAACGTCGCTGGTGTTTCACAACAGAGTGCCCATCATGGCGATGCCCGGCCGGTCTAAGGATTTCCTGCCTCCTCCTGAGTCGGACCTGGAGAACTTGGACGTGCAAATTCTGGTGAGCTCGAAACGACGTTCCAAACTCAGAGTCACCAACCCGGACCCAGATGGACCGCGGAAACGCACAGCCAGCAACGAACACGACGAAGAACAGTGAATAAATTGACGCTTATTTTTTTTTAGTACACAGAACCAAACGTAGACTCGCGCGATTTCTGGATCAGATACGAGTCCGCAAGAACTAGTGCAGCCATGGCCTCGACGATCGGAATGGCACGAGGAACAACGTTAGGATCGTGTCTTCCGCGAGACTTGAGCACACCATCGTCTCCCTCGTAGCTGGCGGTCTGTTGTTCCTGTGAAATTGTAGCTGGAGGCTTGAAAGCAACGCTGAAATAGATGTTTTCTCCGTTGGAGATGCCACCCTGGATTCCTCCCGAGTTGTTCGTGGCGGTGCCAAGCTTGCCACCTTTCTTCACAAACGGATCGTTGTGCTCAGACCCTCTCATCTTGGTTCCCTCGAAACCAGAGCCGATTTCAAAACCCTTGGTGGCAGGAATCGAAAGCATCGCATGGGCAAGCATGGCCTCCAGCTTGTCGAAAGCCGGCTCTCCAAGGCCAATAGGCACATTTCGTATAACACAGGTCACAATGCCGCCCACGGAATCGTTGCGCTCCTTGCAATCCACGACAAGACGGGTCATTTCGTCGGCTTTTTCAAGAATGGGACAACGAATAGGACCAGACTGGTCGACTCTTTCTCTAGTAATAGTCGACAAAAGCTCCATAAACTCCGGGTTCTGCACAGAACGGTCGATCTGGCACTCTCCAACACCAGAAACAAACGCCACGATCTCAACGTCGTTCACCTGTTTGAGGAACTTCTCAGCAATGGCTCCTGCTGCAACACGGCCAATAGTCTCCCTGGCTGAAGACCTGCCTCCTCCAGACGAGGCCTTCACTCCGTACTTGGAAAGGTACGTGAAATCGGCATGCGAAGGTCTGGGAAAGACATCCATTTCTGTGTAGTCCTTTGGTCTTTGGTCCTCGTTCTTGACAACCATGGCAATGGGGGTTCCGAGCGTTTTGCCAAATTCTGTTCCAGACTGGATCTCGACTCTGTCCTTTTCGTTTCTAGGCGTGGTCAACTTGGATTGGCCAGGCCGTCTTCGAGACAACTGAGGCTGGATGTCGTCCTCAGTGAGACTCATGTTGGGCGGCACGCCGTCCACAATACACCCCACGGAACGACAGTGCGACTCTCCGTAGGTGGTCACTTTGAATAGTGTTCCAAATGAAGACATGACGGCTAAAATCGAAACACTGGAATCTTTTTCAGATCTTGGTACGCCAGAAAAAATTTCGACCAGAACCAGAATTGACTAATTTTTGTTTCGAAATCGTGCATCCTTGCACCAGCCAGTTTCAGATGGTAGCTATCCATTCCCAAACCTTGAACATCTCGCCTCGAACCTCCATCATGTAGGTTTTCACATTGGAGTTGGTCTCTACATGTCTGCTGACCTCGTTCCATACCTTGGCTTTCTGTTTGGGGCTCAGGGATGCGTCTATTAGATAGTAGTCACGAAGCTGGATCTTGCCAATGTAAGGCTGGGGCGACTGGCCTAGTCGATACAGTTCCGCCTGTTTGCGTAGCTTCTCAATGGTTTTCGTTGTGAGGTCGTTTACCAGAATCCGTTTGTTCCTGTATTGGGTGAACTTGACACTGATGTATTTTATCAAGGAAGCAAAAAGCACCAGGGCGAGCAAATGCCATTTAAGACGGACAAACACGTCCATGAACATCCTGATAAGTCTGCATTTGATCGACAGTTTTGACAGCGAATTCGACCGAATGAAGTTTTCTCCAATAACGAGCTCCGGACGCTGTTTAAGCACAGCAAATGTCTTTTCCCACAAATAGTCGAAATCGTCGTCTTTCAAATCAAAGGTCTCGATGATATAGTTTTGCAAGTGTGGTATTGCCATCCCAACCTCGTGGTCTTCGCCTCTACCACACTTGTACTCGGCGTTTCGCCGATTAAGCAGGTCGGTGGCCACTTTGACCATCTTGTCGATTTTTTTCACTTTCACGGAGTCCAGAACGCAGGTCTGATATGTTGGGATCAGCCCAAATAACGACTTTAACGGTTTGTGAATGGTGTAATCGCGATCGCAGTACAATCTCGAATATGGGAAGCATTGTCCGTGCTCGGGACATGGAACGCAGGACAGGGTGAATATGCTTTCAATTTTGTCGAGGTGATGAGAAATCATCGGATGAGCTATTCTGTCGTATTCAAACAACGGACTGTATACTTCAGAGCCACAAAAACCGACTCGTATCCGTTGTTCGCGGTATGACGTAAATGCGTACATCAGACTCAGAGTCAAAAGCCAAGCAGTCACCAGTCTGTAGACGAGATTAGACGGCGGAGGCGCCCCGATCGACTTCAAAGCCTGTTTCGATTTCTCCTCTATCTGTTCTTGGGTGACATCTATCTCATGTTGCAACTGGGTCAGCACCTCCTCGTCATTGGTGCTATCTGGCGATTCTGGCTTTGACGACGTCTTTTGCTCTGATCCATCCAGGGCTATGGGCTTTGTGGGGCCGGAGAGTTTTTCGAGCTGCGCAGCAAAATCCGAAACATCGAGCGAAGGAATTGGTTTTCGCGGGCTGTCGAATACCATCGGCGTCGAAGAGAGTAGAGTAGGTACCACAAATGATTGGTCGTGCTGCGTATCTGCAGGCGGTGGTGATCGAGACGCTTCCTTCTTGGTGTGGATAATCTCAGTACCTTCTTGCTGATTGTCTTCCTTAAACGGCGTCCCGTGCTCGTCTTTGGAGTTTGACTTCTGGTCTATCTTGGGAGTTGATTCCACCTTGACATCGGTCTCTTTCTTCGGAGACACAATGGTTGAGTTATTAGGTGTGGTCGGTGCCGAAGACGAGAACACGCGTTTGTGGTTTGTCTGCTTCTTTAGAATCTTGGAGTACTCTTTGTGCACCGTAGCGTCCGCGTCGTCGTTAGAGTCTTCCAGGCTACGTTTCTGTGGAACACTTTGTCCCACCAGGCTCTTGAGCTTTCCTTTGGCTGGAGGAGCAGTTTTCGTCTGCGGCAAGTTCAAAACGCGCTTGGGCTTGGGAATCTTGGCCAGCGGCTTGGTCACCTTCGGTGGGGGGATTTTCGAGCTGGGAACATGAGAAGTGGTAGGTTTGTGTTTTGGCGGGGAGGACCGTGTGTCCCCCGTTTTCCGCTCGTCCTCTGCCCCAGAGCTTATTTCAGTCTCGTCCTCGCTTCCTTCACTTTGATGCGTCTGCTCTTGTGTTTTCTCCTTCTCAACAGCCCTTGTTTGGGCTTTAAGCAGCTCGATAAGATCTGCCTTACGAGCACTTCTGGGAATGGAGACGCCGCGTTTGTGCAGGATCTTTTTCAGATCGATCACACGCAGTGAATTGAGGTCGAATTCTGGCGTTAGAGCGCGCTGCCGCTATACTTACCCGTCTCACTCGGTGCACTCATAAACAAGACAATAACGTAAATAAATGTATGAATTTTTTGGCTGAATTAGGTAAGCGGGCGGACTCCAAGGGCACAGCCCGGAAGAAGTCGCGCATTTGAATGTTTTTCTGACTCAGGTGGTTATGTAAGCCCGCAGAAAATGGTGTGACGGCAAAAATCGGTACGGACCCATACTATCCATCGGTCGTGGCAGGACCTGCGGGATAGGAGCAATAGTGACCGAAAACGCCTTGAAGCTAAAACAGTCTCCGATGCTCACACGGTCGCGCAAGCCCGCTCCTCTGCGCTGCATCTCGCTGTGCCCGCTCTCCGGTCCCGATCTGAGGTCATGCTCCTTCCCCTCACTTGTCCTATACACAGCTAGCTGTCTTCTTTAATATTCTGCCACCCGTGCGGCTTTCGTGCATACAGGGTGGCATGGTGTAATTTATTTGCTGCACAGGTTGATCCGAAAACCATATAAAAGGTGTAGCAACCACCCGTACAGCCATTGCAAAATGTCTGAATCCCAACTACCTTCTAAAATTCCCTTTGGCCGCTACGTGTTTGAGCGTATCAAGCAAGTCGGAGTGAACACCATTTTCGGTGTTCCTGGTGACTTCAACCTGTCTCTGCTGGACCACATCTACACTGTGGACGGCCTGAGATGGGCCGGTAACGCCAACGAGCTCAATGCGGGCTATTCTGCGGACGGTTACTCCCGTATCAACGGCATGTCCTGTCTGGTGACCACCTTTGGTGTCGGCGACTTATCGGCAGTCAATGCCATTGCGGGCATGATGGCCGAGCACGTTGGATGTCTGCACATTGTCGGCACGCCTTCGCTCTCCAGTATCTCGAACAGACTGCTGCTGCACCACACACTGGGTAACGGCCGGTTCGACATTTTCGAGGAGATGTCCAAGCACATCACCCAGAAGACCTCCAGCATCGACGATATTAGAACGGCACAGGCTGTTCTGGACGACCTGATCGAGACCGCATACACCACCAAGAGACCGGTGTATTTGGGACTGCCTTCGAACTTTGTGGACCAGCTGGTCGACTCCGAGCGGCTCAAGACGCCATTGAAGCTGACCCTTCCTCCAAACGACAAGCTTGCCGAGGACGAGATTGTCGAGAGCATCTTCAACAAGATTGTCGAGGCCAAGGACCCAATTATGCTGGTGGATGCCTGCGCTTCGAGACACGATGTGCAGGACCTTGTGGCGCAATTCGTCGAGGCCACGAAATTCCCCGTCTACACCACGCCTATGGGCAAGTCGGCCTTCAGCGAGGACCATTCCAGATTTGGCGGTGTGTACATCGGAGTTCTGTCGAACCCGGACGTGAAGGAGGCGGTCGAGTCGTCCGACTTGATCCTCAGCGTCGGCGGCCTGCTGTCGGACTTCAACACGGGCTCGTTCTCGTACAACTACCACACCACCAACGTGATCGAGTTCCACTCCGACTTCTGTAAAGTGCGTGCTGCCACGTACGCAGACGTCAAGATGAAGTACGTCTTGGAGAGACTGTGCCGCAAGATCAAGGAGGCCAAACTGGACTACGTGCCACAGCCGCTGCCGGAGTCCGTCCAGGACTACAAGAAGGTGGCCAATATCAAGTCTGGCAAGCTGACTCAGGACTACTTGTGGAAAAAACTCTCCTTTTTCCTGCGCTCTGGCGACGTTCTGGTCACCGAGACAGGCACGTCTTCGTTCGGTGTGACCCAGACGCATTTCCCAGGCAACATCACGGCTATTTCCCAGGTTCTGTGGGGCTCGATCGGTTATTCGCTTCCTTCTGCCACCGGCGCGCAATTCGCGCTCGAGGAGATCGATCCTAACCGCAGATGTATTCTGTTCATTGGTGACGGCTCTTTGCAGCTGACCGTCCAGTCCATCTCGGATATCTGCCGCTGGAATCTCAAGCCATATCTCTTTGTGCTCAACAACAACGGTTACACGATCGAGAAGCTGATTCACGGGCCTAAGGCACAGTACAACATGATCCAGAAATGGGATCACTTCAAGATTCTCGAGCTGTTCCATGACAAAGTCGACTACGAGAACCACCGCGTGTCGACGATCGAGGAGCTGAACGCTCTGTTTGCCGACGAGGCCTTTAACAAAAACGACAAGGTCAGACTGATCGAGATCATGCTCGACGAGATGGACGCACCGGAGAACCTTGTCAAGCAAGCCAAGATCTCGGAGCAGATCAATGCAGCTTAATGATTACAGATTTACATTATGTTTATAGAGTTGACCTAAAACAGGCTTTAAAACAGGCCCTCGATCTGGCCGTCCACAACCTCGACGTTCATGTAGCCCGCGTGCGTGGCGAGTCCCGGGATCGTCATAATCTCGGCCGCGAGAGCGTACAGGTATCCTGCACCGGCACTCAGCCGCACCTCTCTGATCGGAACGGTGAACCCGTGCGGAACACCCTTGAGTTTCGGATCGTGCGACAGCGAGTACTGCGTCTTGGCGATACAGATCGGCAGCCGCCCAAACCCTTGCGCTTCGTACGCGGCAATCTGCTCTCTGGCTAGAGCCGACAGCTCGACGCCGTCGGCGCCGTACATCTGGCGCGCGATCGTGCTCAACTTGTCCTCCACAGACTTGTCCAGCTCGTACAAAAAGTTGCCCGCGTTCGGCTGTTTGGCAGCCTCCACCACGGCCTGCGCTAGCTCCACCGCGCCGGCTCCGCCCTGCGCCCAGTGGTTCGAAGGCACGGCGGCCGTGGCGCCCGCCTTTATGGCCTCCTCCTGGATCGCAGCGATCTCCGCTGCCGTATCCGTGACAAACTGGTTGATGGCCACCACGACCGGCGCGCCGTAGCTCTTTGCGTTGGCGATCTGCTTGGCCAGGTTGGCACAGCCACGGCGCACAAGCTCCACGTTCTCCTGCGTGTACGCCTCGGGCAACGTCTGGCCAGGCTTCACGTCCGGAGCACCGCCGTGCAGCTTGAGAGCGCGCGACGTGGCCACCAGCACCACGACGTTCGGCTTGAGCCCGGACGCGCGGCACTTAATGTTGAAGAACCGCTCACCGCCCATCGTGAAGTCGAACCCGGCTTCCGTCACAACGAAACCCTTGGTGGCGGCGGCAGAACCGGCTGGAGCGCTCATGTGCGACCCCACCAGCTTGAGCGCCAGGCGGTCGGCAATGACCGACGACGCACCGATCGAGATGTTGGCAAACGGCCCTGCGTGCACAAACACAGGTGTGCCCTCCAGCGTCTGCATCAGGTTCGGCTTGACCGCGTCCTTGAGCAGCGCCGTGATGGCCCCCGCGCACCCCACATCCTCCGCCGTGACAGGCTCGCCCGCCCGGCTCGAGCCCACCACCATGCGGCCCACGCGGTCCCTCAGGTCCTCCAGGTCCCGCGACAACGCCAGAATAGCCATGATCTCCGAGGCAACCGTGATGTCGAAGCCCGTCTTGCGCGTGAAACCCTTTTCGGTCGGAGCCTGCCCCACGGTAACCTGTCTGAGGAACCGGTCGTTGACGTCCACCACACGCTTGATCTGGATCGATTCTGGGTCGAGATCAAGTCTCGCAAACCGCGCGGCGTCCGCCTCGCTCAGCTTGTCCGGATCGGTTTCAGTAATTCCCAGTTTTTGCAACCGTTTCAGCATAGATGGAGTGAACTTTCTCTGGCCCTTCTTGACCGGAACAAGTCGCTTGTACAGTGCCTTGTCGCTCTGCGTGCTCTCGTGGAACATCCGCGTGTCGATGGCCGCCGCCAGCAAGTTGTTAGCTGCACCAATTGCGTGGATGTCGCCTGTCAGGTGCATGTTGAACTCATCCATCGGGATCACCTGCGCATAGCCACCACCGGCAGCTCCGCCCTTGACACCAAATGTAGGGCCCATCGATGGCTGTCTAACGTTAGCCACCGCAGGAATGCCCAGGTGAGCGCCCAGAGCCTGTACCAGCCCCATCGTCGTGGTCGACTTGCCCTCGCCCAGCGGAGTGGGGGTGATGCCCGCCACCAGCACGTAGTTGCCATTATCGCGGTCCTCCTTCAGTCGGTCGTACACGGACAGCGAAACCTTGGCCTTGTAGTGACCGAACTGCTCGAGCTCGGACTCTTTGATGCCCAGCTCCTCGGCGACTTCGGTGATGTGCTTTGGCTGCTGCGCCCGCGATATATCAATATCGGACGGCACCGGGTCTAGGCATTTGAGTGGGAGTGGCACACACTCGACAGGGCGCGACTCGCGCTCCATTTGGCGCTTGGCCGCCTGCACCACGTTGTCCACAAGCATGGCGACCGTCATGGGGCCGACTCCGCCAGGGACAGGAGTCAAAAACGAGGCCTTCTCGACACAGGAGTCGTAGTCGACGTCCCCCACAAGTTTGCGCCCACTCTTGGTGCCCGGGGCATCCACGTAGTTGATCCCGACGTCGATGACCACGGCGCCCGGCTTGAGCCAGTCGCCCTTGACGAACTTGGGCTTTCCAAGTGCGGCAACCACAATGTCGGCGTGGCGCACCAGCTCCGGGATGTTGGCCGTGCGGCTGTGGCACATTGTGACCGTGCAATTGGCCTTTTTGAGCAGCGCAGCAACAGGCGTCCCCACGATGTCGGAGCGGCCAATCACGACGGCGTGCTTGCCTGCCAGCTCAATGCCGGTCTGCTCCAGCAGCCTCATGCATCCATTCGGTGTGCACGGCAAAAACAACGGCTCTCCCTCCTTCTTGGCCAGCTCCCCCATATTGTATCTGTCGAACCCGTCCACGTCTTTCTCCGTGGCCACGCTGTTGGTGACCTTGACCTCCGTGATGTGTTTTGGAAGAGGAAGCTGCACCAACACTCCGTGCACTTTGGAGTCCTCGTTCAATTCGCGAATCTTGTTCAGCAGAGTCACCTCTGCGGTGTCCTCTGGCATCTTGATGACGTTGCACTGGATGCCCGACTCTGTTGACGCCTTCAATTTCATTCTCACGTACGCCGACGAATCTGGTCTGTTGCCGACCTGAATGATTGTCAACGACGGCTTGAAGTTCGGGTTGGCCTGTTGTATTTGCGAAATGGCTTTTCTTGCATCTGCACGGATCTCTGAGGCAAGCTTCGTGCCCGAGAGAACCTGGGCGGCCAGGGACCGAACAGAGACGCTGAAGCGTCTGAGTTGCATAGATTTGAACGAGCTTGCTCTGAGCATGGTGTATATAGAGCAAAGACTACTATGCGGATGAGTCAAAAGAATTAATTAAATCAATTTTTCAAGTCAAAAAAAAATTAGTGGAAGCACCTGCAGGAGAACTTAAAAAATATAAACGGCTAAAACGGGGGCAGCACGGTGTAATAGCGTACCGTGGAAGACTGGTAGGGCTCTAGCAAATCCTATAAGCAATGTACAGCCTCAGAAAATCTGAGAATATTCTTGGATTGTCCTATGCAAATTCTCTCAACCTGCCTTTTTTGAGCTTCAGATTTAAATTAGCTTTAAACTTAATTTTTTCAGATCTCGCAACATTTATATTGTCGCACTATATACATCAAACCTTCTTTCCACGCGGCCGGTCCTTCACCTTGTTCTTGTTCACGTGCTTGCCTGTTCTGGTTTTGAATCCGCCCTTCGCAAGAATACCCCACGGAGACATAGGCGGCTTGTTACTCTTCGACTTACCACGGCCTCCTCCGAGAGGGTGGTCCACCTTGTTCATCGCCACTCCTCTTACGGTTGGTCTGATACCCTTGTTTCTATTTCTTCCGGCCTTACCCAGACTCTCATTGTGGTGAGCCGCATTCGACGTCACACCAAGTGTGGCACACGCTTCTAGATTCACGTACCGCTGTTCGCCGCTCTGCAATTGCACCACGGCGCGCTTTTTTCCTGGGTCCTTCGCCACCACGCGAGCATATGTGCCCGCAGCACGGCAGTACTTGGCCGGCCCATTCTTGTGCTCGCCCACGTTGTACACAATGGTGCCCACGGGAATCAGAGATATAGGAAGACAGTTGCCCTTTCTGGAGATCCGCACAGCAAGAATTGCAGGGTCTATCTTACCTCCCATCTCCTGCATGATCCTGTCCGGGATTCCAGAACGGAACGACTCCACCTCGTCGCCTTCTCTGAGCCCCTCGCAAGCGATTATGTACGAGAACTCGCCCGTCTCGTTGTGCTTGATCAGAGCGATGTGTGCCGTCCTGTTCGGGTCGTACTCGATTCTCACCACCGTCTGTGGCCCAGCGGCCTGTCTGTAGTAGTCTATCAGCCGGATCCGGCGCTTGTGGCCACCTCCGCGATGTCTCACAACAATTCGTCCCGTGTTGTTACGTCCGGATCTCGACACCCTTGTCACGGTAAGTGGCTTGTAGGGCTTGCCTTTCCACAAATACGGGTACACCGGCCGTCTCCACCACCTCAAACTCGGCGAAACAGGCTTCATGCGCTTCAGCTGGACTCTTTCCTTGGACAGCTCGAGCTGTCTTCTCGTCATGCTGTCCTGCTTCTCGAGCTCGGTCTGCTCGATGCTTCTCTGGCCGAGAAACACCTGGCTCGCCGGCCTGGCCGCAAAGTGCGGACCAAACCACGGCGCAACCACGGCTCTTCTCGAAACCTGGAATAGAAAAGACATGGATGGGTCTCTTATTTTTTTTCATTTCGATTATTTTGAACGCAAGGCGCATAACCGTCGCGCACAAAGGCACTAATGCCCAACGAATGAAAAAATTCATTCCTCCAAAAACACTCTGTTAATCAGATTCCGAGTCATGTTTGCGTCCCGTCAATTCGTGAGAAGATTGGCATCTGCCGCCCCAATTAAGCCTCCGGTCCAGCTGTTTGGACTAGACGGCACCTACGCCACTGCATTGTTCTCCGCCTCTGCCAAGGACTCCTCTATCGAGAAGACGTTCCAGTCCGTCCAGAAACTCTCCTCCACTATCAGCAAGGACGCCAAGGTCGCTCAAGTGCTGTCGAACCCGGCTCTGTCACTGAATTCCAGAAAGGAGGTTGTCTCTGTCTTGTCCAAGGAGCTGAAATTGGAGCCTGTTGTGTCCAACCTGTTGACCGTGTTGGCCGAGAACAACAGACTGTCCTTATTCGACTCCATTGCCAAGCAATTTAGTGTTCTCAATGACGCGTACAACGGCGTGGTTGAGGCTACCGTTGTCTCTGCGAAGCCATTGGACAGCAAGATTCTTAACAGGCTGACCAAGTCCATCACCAACTCCAAGTACGTTGGTCCAGGCAAAACTCTGAAGATCAAGAACGAAGTTGACCCAGAGATTTTGGGCGGTCTGATTGTTGAGGTGGCCGACAAGTCGGTCGACCTGTCGCTTGCTTCCAAGGTCAACAAGCTCAACAAGGTTTTATCGGAAACTATTTGAGGATATAGCAATGAGATTCTAGATGTACTGTACCGGTAGCTTCAGCGGGTGTGTGTGTGTGTGTGTGGTGGGGTTGCTATGGCAACGATGTTTTTAAGCCAGTTTTCACCCTCCCTCCCCCACCCCCACCCAGCAGACTTTGAATAAATTCGTCTCCATCGGGCCTGTACTTTTTTTTTATGGACGTTGAACAACAACTCAGCCGTCTGAATATCCGCAATTATGAGGACATAACCAGCGACTTTTTTGCCATAACCTCCGCCATCGAGTACGGTTCCATTGTCAAATCGAAGCAATTCAAGCTTCTGGAAGGCACCCACGCTCTGGAGGTGTTAAACCCCAAGCTGGATACTGCGCTGCTGAAGCCTGAAATTTTACATCCAGTCGTCGAGACGCTCGACCAGGCTGCGTGGGTGATGGTACGCCTGCTTGGCAGTGTGTGTGCGTGGCTTGACAACAACTCGCTGAGCGTAAGCGTGTTGAGTTGTTATTTTGTCGAACAGCTTATTCAGCGAAAACCCGTCACTGGCGAGCTTGTGGAGCGGTGCGTGGCACCGTTCGTGAAGGGCGTGATCAGTTTTGTGAGCAGGGTGCTCAAACTCGGTGTTGCAGGCGTCATTTACGAGGAGGAAGACCTCAATACACAGACGATGGATCTTGATTTTTCCGTGTACGACGGCGAAGAAACGGTGCTGGAACTGCAGAAAGCGGTTACGTGGGTGCGCAGCCAGCCAGAGTCTGCATCGCAGCAGCTTTGCGTGGATCTGCTTCTTCTGATCGAGCACAGCCTGCACATTTGCGAAATCACAGAGATCTGCGTCGAGCTGTACGAAAACCGTCCGCAACCGCTGTCTTTCGCCAACGACGCGCTTGAGATCCTGGCGCGACTGGCACAGCCCGAGACCGTCGCTTTTGCCGGCACGCTGCCCCCGGTGGCCTGTTTCTCGGCAAACGTGCAAAAAACGCTCAATAACCGCTCGCCGCCCAAACCGTTGGCCCATTCAAGTTTCCCCAGCTCGCTCGAAAACTTCACAAAGCTATTTACAGACTTCCAGTTCATGCTGAACGTGCTGTCCGTGCGCGACTCTGTGGAGCTGTACGAGTTTCTGAACATCTTTATGTCGCGACGCCAGTTCACAACCGATCCCGATGAGATACTAGGAAACCACGTTGTTGTGCGTGCGCTGATGCAGCTTTTTCTCATCAGAGACGACCGCTCGATCTTGGGGTCGCGCCGGTGGAACATCTCGACGCTTTTGATGGACGTTTTCTCGAAAATCTCGTTGCAAAATTCCAAGCTCCAAAGCAGCACGGACGAGGAGCTCCGTGGGGGCCTGGAAAAACTAGTCACCCAGATAGAGCCGGCGTTTTACAACTTTCTCACGTCCATCTCCCAAAATCCGTCGCGCCAGCGCCAGTTTGTCAATAAGGAGCTGATTATATGGGACTCGATCCAGGTGGAAGCGGAGAATTTCGAGCTCGAGAGCCATACCAAGCTCCAGGACACGTTTGCCAACTCTGAGCTGCCGGTCATGCCGGTCTCGTCCTTTGTTTACTACCTAAAGCTCACCAAGATGGCGGAACTGCTGTTCAAGTCCATAGAACTGTGTCTGTTCAAGGACTGTCGCGAACTACATCTCGGCTATTGGCTGCTTGCAAACCAGCTGGACTACTTGGTGCAGCACCTAAAACGGCTGGTGGACATCAACCAGCTGCGACAGACACAGCTGACGGCGCTCTCCAAGAGAATCAAGAAGGCCAAAGGCGACAAGAAGGCCAGGCTGCGGGAGGAATACGAAACAAAAAAGCAGTCCCTGCCCCAGCTACTTAAAATGCAGCTCTATCTTAATATGCAGCTGACAAAGTACCAGATCCACAAGAGTCTCGCCGAAAACCGCGCCGCCGTGCTGCGGATGCTCGGAAAACAGGGCCTTATGGACCTCCCGAAGCTCTGCAAGGCTTCGGAGGAGACCTTGTACAATCTGCAGTTCAAATCCTTCCAGTCAATAGGAGTCCCCCAACTGCCCTCGTTCAGAGACTACAAGGAGATGATGAAACAGCAGAAATGGCTCTCAAGCCAGCTGTCTGCCGAGGCCAACGCCAGTTACCAGAAAGGCGTCCTGAAACAGAAGTCGGACGAAATAAATGCAAACATCAGCCGTCTGGAGGAGTTGGTAGCAGAACTGCAGTTCCCGGAATTCATCACTGAGCGGCTTATACAGGAAACCAGGCTGCTGAAGAAAGCCAACGTGGCAACTCTGCTGACGTTCAGCCAGACGCTCAAGGTGGCAGACCTGCCAAGATCGCACGTGGCGGTGGTGTTTGAAAAATACAACCACCACCTGTACTATCCGAATATAAAAGTGGCAGCGAAATAAATAGAAAGCAGCACTAAACAACCAGTCGGACGGTGGCTTCGGCATCCGCTAAGGAAGAAGGGATTCTCACCGACATGGAGCGCAGTAGGAGTATGACAGAGCCGAGTTCAACGGCCGTATCCGCCCAACCCTCACCGGAAGTCACGTGACCACACCAGGGCTAGGCCCGCTCGGCTGCCAGTTTTTGAAAAATTCAGGCAAAAAAAATTTACCACACCTTTTAACCATGCCTCCAAAGTTCGACCCTAATGAAGTGAAGTACATCTACCTGAGAGCCGTCGGTGGTGAAGTGGGAGCCTCTTCTGCTCTTGCCCCAAAGATCGGTCCTCTTGGTCTGTCCCCAAAGAAGGTTGGTGAAGACATTGCCAAGGCCACGACCAAGTTCAAGGGTATCAAGGTGACCGTCCAGCTCAAGATCCAGAACAGACAGGCCCAGGCCTCCGTTGTTCCATCTGCCTCCTCGCTGGTCATCACTGCTCTGAAGGAGCCACCTAGAGACAGAAAGAAGGACAAGAACGTCAAGCACTCCGGAAACATTCAGCTCGAGGAGATCTGGGAGATTGCTAGAACCATGAGAGAAAAGTCTTTCGGTAAGACTCTTGCTTCCGTTGCCAAGGAGGTCCTTGGTACTGCCCAGTCTGTGGGATGCAGAGTTGCCGGTAAGAACCCTCACGACATCATTGAGGCCATCGACGCTGGCGAGATTGATGTCCCAGAAAACTGATCAGATATGTACACGGCGGAATATATCATAATACAGAAAGAAGAGTTCATCTATTCAGTTTGCCAACACTCTGGTGCCAAGTGTCTACCATATTTGGTTCCTATTTTGGTGCAAACAAGATCAATCTGTTTCCTACTCACCATGGATGAACAAGGTGATTCCACTGGTCCATTTCAGATCCAGACATAGTAGTTGACGGTAGCTGTATGTAGTATTTTCCCCTGCACGACCTCTGCAGATAGCCTATGTAAACAAGAAAAATAATATTCTCTCCACTATGTCTGATTCCATCGATAGGGTCTTTGTCAAGGCCATAGCCACCATCCGGACGCTGTCCACGCGATCACCCAAGAGCTCGCTCCCGCGGCCGCCGCTAGCCAACCGCGTCAAGCTGTACGGACTCTACAAACAAGCAACCGAGGGGGACGTCACAGGGCTTATGGAAAGACCGATAGGGTCGCGGCCAGAGGACGAGGCAGCAAAGCGCAAGTGGGACGCGTGGAAGCTGGAGGAAGGACTTTCCAAGACGGACGCTAAAAAACAGTACATCTCATATCTTATAGACACCATGAGGAGCCATGCCAACGAGTCTGTGGAGGCTCGTGAGCTGCTCAGCGAGTTGGAGTATTTGTGGGACCAGGTCAAGGACCAGCAGGTGTCGCCCACGCTGGGCGAGTTCCATCACGATGTTCCGTTATCCACGCGCGCGCAGAGCCCTGCTCTATCGTTGTACCGGCTCACGTCGTCGGGCTCGCATGCGAATCTTGTGAGGCCTGTTTCGCGGCTCTCCATGACCAGCGTTCCTGCAGAAAAACAGTCTGCACAAGGGGCTGGGCCGCGGGCCCTCAGCACCACCGCGACGATATCGCAGATTGCAGGTTCTGGGGCCTCTGCGGGCGGAATAAACGGCCAGGGCGTCGACACAACCAAAAATCTCGACTTTGTGAGGTGGCAAAACGACATCAACGCGACGCTGACCCGTCTCAGTTACGAGATTTCGAGTTTGAAGACAATTGGACTGAACGCCCAGCTACACGAGTCTCCGCCCAGTAGAAACGTGCCGAGAAAAGAAAAGAGAAGAAGAACGTTTTATGCCCGCATCAGAGCCCTCGTTGTTAGCCTGCTGAGCAAAATGTTCAGAGCTTTCAAGATAGTGCTGAAACATGCGGCGCTAGACTCGGTGGTGGCTCTGGTTTTTCTGGGGTTCTTACACAAGATAAGCAGGGTGCAAGGGTGGGACGCCGATTTGGACCAGGCCCTGGGGTCTAATGCTGAGGCGATCTTGCGCGGCGTGCGGGAGTTCTACCACAGGGTTTTCAACGGTAAATGGACCATCTGGGGCAGCGAGCAGCAGCGGAATGCGCTAATCAGTGTTTAAAACGAGTACCATATATCCTGCAAAAAGTCTATTTTCTAGATCTTTTTTTTTTTTATTCTGGCTCTGGAAACCTTGTGCTTACTAATCTGGGCTTCGCGAAGAAGGAAAGAGCAGAGGCAAATTAATTCTGTAATAATTTGCAAAAGAAGGGACTATTGAGTCATACCTGGTGAAATTCCCACTGTTTTGTGCTCTAAACGAGACTTTTTCTACTTTTTATTGCAACAACAGGCCTTACCCTTAAATACGCTACCTAATAATGTCCACAGCAACCCCAGGTGGCTTGACCGATGAGAGCGCGCACTCAAAACCCGGCCGCAAACCCATCAACACAGAGCCGTCCAACAAAAGAACAGCGCAGAACAGAGCAGCACAACGGGCTTTTAGAGAACGGAAGGAGAAGAAAATGAGGGAGCTGGAGATGAAGGTCCAGATGCTTGAAAACGAGAAGATGCAGATTGCCAATGAAACAGAGTTGCTCAGAATCCAGGTGAACACGCTCATGAATAGGCTCATGAACCGTGGAGAAGGAGATTTCTTAAAAGAACTCCCCACACTTGCAGATTTAAGGCAGCAGAATACCAACACCTCTACAACACTGACGTCAACAGACTCGGAAAAGTCTACATCGAATACTTCATCTCCAAACAACTCGACCCACACGCCCGCCTCGTCGTACTCCTCAGCAGCAGAGAAAAGTACAGAATTCTTGCTTCCGTGGAATGAAAAGCGAAAACAGACCAACCACACCGATGTGTCGAAAAACTCTTCTCCCAGACCAGACTTGCACGATCTCAACCAAAAGAACTACAAAGGAGATTTTGAGGAGGAGAGTTTCTGCAACAGTTTAGGAACTGTGTGCGGCGATAAAAACTGTCCTGTTCCAAAGGAAAAGCGTCCTTCCACCGTCACTGGAGGCTCTACGCTTTCTTCGTGGCGTGGAATAGCTTCGGATTATTCGGCCTCCCCTTTTCAGATGCTTGCAGAGGTTGGGGCCGAGAAGCCAGAAAACAACGAACTGCCGTTCCTGTTCGACACTCCAACTTATGACACCTCTTTAGTGTTTGACCAGGTGAATCCTTCTGCCTTTTCTCCAAGCGATTTCGCTTTCTCGGCTATCGAGAATGAATTCCCCGTGACAACGGAAGCAGACCCACTGCAGGGATTGATAACCGAGGAGTCGAAGGACGACCCACTAAGCGAATTTTTCGCCAATCCACAGCAGCAGCAGCAGCAGCTGACGGTAAATAACTTGAACTCACTCAACGGAACTGTTCCACGGATCACCCCAGGAGTGTCTGTCGACGACAACGACAAGGATGAGGCTGTGCCGGACACATCTAAGAATCTGATGAAGTGCTCGCAGATATGGGAACGGATCACGACGCATCCGAAGTTCAGCGAGCTGGACATTGAAGGTTTGTGTTCTGAGCTCAAGATGAAGGCAAAGTGCAGCGAGAAGGGCGTTGTCGTGGATGGCTCGGATGTCGGCGAAGTGTTGACACGTGCGATGAATCGCTGAATCACGGGTCTTGTTGATATTGGTTTTATACGGTAAATTTACTGTGACGGATTACATTAATATGATTTGGATTACATTTGCTTTGTGACGATGGTGCTATTTTTACGGGACAATGTTTGGTGCCACTTGGACACTGCTGTCTGTTTAGCTGAAGCTCTTATAGTAACTGCTACGATGCTACATCGTGGTTTTCACCTTAAGGCATCCATCCAGTAGCTTATCAAACTTAGTGTACCCAGAATATCCATCTGGCTAAGGAGAAGCGTCAAAGAGCATGTCTTCTACGTGGACAAGACTCGGCACTCCAAGAAGGTTGTCGTCCTTGGACAACATCTTCTAGATACCTGGTGTATGGGTGTCAAATGATAATCGCAGCGCAGATTCTCGTTACCCTATTTCAAGATCGAATGAAAAAAAAGACAACAACGAAACAAAAGGGCAAATCTTGTGGAGCGATTTTATACTTTCCAGTGCGTAAAACAAGCTCTTAACCCTTCAAATAGAAACTTGCATTTGTGTGTGTTGATCCGCTCTTTTTCCGCCGATACCTGCAAAATATAAAGCTTAATTGAACATGGCGGACATTTACGAGATCGAAGACATCGATGGAGTTCGTTTTAACTGGAATGCCTTTCCTGTGACCAGACAGGAGGCCGAGAACATGGCAGCTCCTGTTGGGTGTCTATACACTCCACTTCTTGCGAGAGAGGACTTGCCTGTGGCAGCCTACGACCCACAGTTGTGCAGAAGATGTCGGGCAGTGTTGAACGTGTTCTCTCAGATCGATTTGGGATCTAAAACATGGACATGTACATGCTGCTTGTCCAGAAACCCACTCCCGATGCATTATTCCAATATTTCAGCGGAGAACCTGCCAATTGAGCTGACTCCACAAGCATCGACCATCGAATATGTGTTGACGAAAACTCCTTCGCCTCCTCCACCAGCTTTCATCTATGTCATTGACTTGTGTCAGGAGCCTGAAGATCTGCAAGCACTCAAAGACCTGCTGATCACCTCTTTGTCTCTGCATCCACCAGGATCTCTGATTGGTCTGATCACATTTGACTCGGTGGTAAATGTGCACGAACTGAATTTCGACGCCTGCTTCAAAAAATACGTTTTCAGTGGCAACAAGGAGTACGAATCTGTGCAAGTGCAGAAACAGCTAGGCATCTATGGAAATGGCGCCAAGAACTGGATACAGCAATTCGAAACTGGAGGAACCATCAACAAATTCCTTCTGCCGCTAAGCGATCCAGAGGCCGAGTTCCAAATCACCAGAACCATCGAGTCGCTCGAAGTCTCCAAATGGACAGTCGAACCGGGCCACAGAGCGATCCGAGTGACGGGTTCAGCCCTCAGCATCGCCTCCTGCCTTGTTGAAGGCTCATTTTTGCAATGCGCAGCAAAAGTGACACTATTTGTTGGTGGCCCATGTACATTTGGACCGGGAAAAATTGTGGGTACAGAGCTGAAGGAGCCCATTAGATCCCACAGTGACATTGACAAGGGCACAGCCAAGCACTACAAGAAAGCTGTTGCATTTTACAAGAAGCTTACTACTAAAGCGGCTCAGGTGAAGAAAGACGTGAAAGACAAATTTTTTGACCCTCAATCTACTGCCACTTTCAGCGTTGACATTTTTGCTGGATGCTATGATCAAACCGGTATCTACGAGATGAGATCGTTAAGCAACCAGACGGGAGGTACGATTGTGGTGACAGACTCTTTCCAAACCTCGATCTTCAAAAACTCATTTTTTGCATGCTTCAATAAGGATGAGGAAGGATATCCTTTCTCCTACTTCGACGGCTCTTTGGAGGTGTTCACCTCTCAAAGACTGAAGGTCGCAGGTGTGGTGGGTCTGGCCACATCTTTAAAGCAAGAAGGAAAGAATGTGGCTGATGTCGAAGTTGGTAACGGGTTCACCAACAAATGGGCCCTTCCGTCCGTGTCTCCACGACATACATACGGTATATTCTTCGACATGCAAACTGTCGGTGCTGCTGATCAACGCAACTCATCGGTTCCAGAGGTCCACATCCAGTTCCAGACTACCTATAGACACACCAACGGTACTGTCCGGATGAGAGTGACAACGTTGAGCAGATTGACGTCCAACTCTACTGAGCTATCAAACACGTTTGACCAGGAGGCGGCAGCCGTGTTGTATGCAAGACTGATTGTTCACAAGCTGGAGAACGGTGGCGAATATTCGGATCTTTTGAGGTGGATTGACAAGTCTCTGGTCAAGCTGTGCACCGTTTTTGGAGACTACTCCAGAAACGATCCTAACTCCTTCAGATTATCGTCCAAGTTTAGCTTGCTTCCGCAATTCATCTACCATTTGAGAAGGTCCCAGTTCCTGCAAGTTTTCAACTGTTCTCCCGATGAAACCGCGTTCTATCACCACACGTTGCTCAGAACCGATGTGAGAGACTCGCTGGTGATGATCCAGCCTACTCTTGTGAGGTTCATGGCCGACGGCTCGGAGCCGGAGCCTGTTCTGCTGGACTCTGCCTCGCTCAAGCCGGACGCCGTGCTACTGCTGGACGCGTTCTTCTACACTGTTATCTACTTTGGCAGCATAGCAGCCGAGTGGAGAGACGCAAACTACCCTAGAGACGAGTATCCTGGAGTTTATGATATGATTGAGAGATCGAGAGAGGAGGCTGCGTCGCTGATTGCTGACAGGTTCCCACTGCCTAGATACGTTACATGTGATGAGGGCAAGTCGCAGGCCAGATTCCTGTACTCGAAGCTGAATCCATCCGAGAACGACAACAACATCGGTACTGGCGGCGGCATGAGCGGCTACGTTGCCGACAGCGATCCCGCCAGCACTGTTGTTCACACAGAGGACGTGAGTTTAAAGACGTTTTTCCAGCATCTGGCCAAGCTGGTGGTCAACAACACGGTTGCCTAGACTTAGCTGCTAGAAGGAGCTCCATGTCCAGTCGTTAGGGACACCGGACTTGCTTGACTCGGAGTTCATGCGGTCTCTATTAGCGTCGTGTGCCTCTTTGGGGGTCTCCAGCTGGACTTCCGACTCGTAGTCGGTATCGTTCTGGAGGAACAAGAGCCAGTCTTTGAAACATCGGTCGCATACTTTACTGAACTTGCAGTATGTTGCGTTTTTCACGACGCCGCCTCCGGAATCGAGGATCTTGCCGTTCTCGAGGTCCGGCTTCTCGAACTTGGCCAGCACGTTGAGGTTTGCGCTGTTCTGAACACAGCGGTAGCAGAATATTTCGCCGCAGTGGCGACAGTGGTGCTTGCGGCGCACCAGCGAGAACAACATTTTGCAGCCTGTGCATCTGTTTGTGGAGTGGTTGGGTTTCCAATGCGAATGCGAGGGCTCCACGCCTTTGGACGGGATCGAGGAGTTGGACAGCACCTTGTGGAGAGCTATGTCTGATTTTGACGACTCTACGTTTTCGGACGTGCGGGAATCCTGGCTCGGCTCGCTTGGCTCCGACACAGACCGCTGTACCGTGTCCTGCTGCTCCGTGTCGCTCACGAGCGTCTGCCGCAGCACCGGCGGAACATATTTTATTTTGGGTTCACTGTGTAATTTAAGTCTCAACTCGCCCAACGGTGGAACACTGTTTCTGTCGTCTGACGACTCCGAGTACTGTCTTGTGGGCTTCGACAGGTCGAAGCTGGCTGGCTGGTACTCTGTGTTCGACTCCGACGTGACGTAGTCGTTATTTCCCGTCCTCAGATCAAGCTGTTGTGGTTCCTTGTCATGAGGCTCAGGCTTGAAATTAGGATTGATCAGCGACACCCGTGGTGCTCTGATCTTGTCGTCGTAGTTATATTCGAACTCTGGGTTGTGCAGAACCTCTTCCGGCGGCTCGTCCTTGTCCTTGAGTATGCCCCTGTACTTGGAATAAAATCTTTGGTGGTCCGGGTCGTAAGACGCCTCGTCGCACTGCTGCGACGGGTAATTGTCGAGCACGGGGATCTGCGACTGCGAGGTGTTGCGAAAGATGGGTCTTTTGCGGAACGAGAACTGTGAGTTGTTCATCGGTACCGGCTGGAGGAAGGGAACGAACGGTGTGGCAATATGAGCAGCAGCGTGAATATGTCCGTGTTTATCTTTGGAGATAAGACAGGGAAAAGCGAGCGCATTGTGCAAGGACAATAGGGGAGAACAGGAACACAATAGGCGGGGCTTACTATTGGCCAGCAGCGGGCGCACCTGAGGGTCACGTGACTTTGAGGGCGGGCTACTTGTGCTTCTGCTGCTACGCGGAATAGGCTTCCGAATCAGGAAGGAAAATTACATGGCCACCACAGACACTAGCTCTTTGCTTGCCCCAAAACCTACAATAAGTACGTCCATTTGGAGCCGCTGCGTATTGTCTCGCACCGTGCGCGCCTCGCAGATAAGATAAGTGTGCTTCGGACACGATAACGCAGCTGCAGGATGATATATTTGATATATCTGTTATCTTACAAACTGGATCCCCGAGGCAGCGCTACTCGAATGCCAATCGTGCCCGTGTGAATCTTATACTAATCCGGCAGTTATTTGATCTCTCTATCGTAGATTCCCTGGTGTCGCTGATTTAATACTATTGCAGCTACCCACGTAAAAATTTTCCTACAAATACCTCTGCCCTTCTTGTGCTCGAAGATTCCAAACATGACCAAGGACTTGGAAAAAGCTAATTTGCACACAACAGTGTCTCCACGTGTGACTCTGGACTCCGACGCCGCCAAGCTTGCCCATCTCGGCTACAAGCAGGAGTTCAACAGAAGCTACTCTTTTTTGGCAACGTTCTCGTTCGCCCTGTCGATTTCTGGTCTCATGGGAACCGTCGCCATCACGTACCTCTATCCGCTGTGGGCCGGTGGCCCGGCCGCTGCGTCCTGGTCGTGGTTCATCGGCATGTTTGGCTGCCTGGCTATCGCTTACTCCGTCTCCCACATCACCTCATGTTTCCCAACCTGTGGTGGAATGTACTATGTGGTTACCCACGTCGTGCCCAAGAAATACGTGCCTCTTGTCTGCTGGATCGATGGGTGGCTGTACTTCATCGGAGCCATGGCCGGAGCGTGCTCGACCGATTTCGGAGCTGCAACGCTGCTGTTGCAAACGGTTTCCATGGCTTCCGACTACAAGTACGTGCCGACAGCTGGCCACATAACCGGCGCGTCGATCGCCGTGATCATCACACACGGTCTCATCAACTCGTTGCCATCCTCCGTCCTCGCCAGAATCACCAAATACTACTGTTTCGTCAATATCGGCTCCGTCATTGCCCTCATCATCACCATGCTAGTCAAGTGCCCAAAAATTAATACAAAAGAGTACGTCTTCACCAAGGTGATCAACAACACGGGCTGGTCGCACGACGGATGGGCTTTCCTCTTCGGCTTCCTGAACGTGTCGTGGGTCATGACGTGCTACGACGCCACCTCCAGAATGTCTGAGGAGATTAGCAACGCCGCGTACACCACGCCGCTCGCCATTGCGTCTGCACTCACCGTGACCGCGTTCCTTGGCTGGATCCTCAACATCGTCTACACGCTGTGCATGGGTGACGACCTCGACGCAATCCTCAACACCTCGTCCGGTCAGCCAATCGTCCAGGTCTTCGACTATGCCATGGGCAGACAAGCTGCCACCGCGTACCTGGCCCTGTGCTTCGTTGTGCTCTGGTTCTGCGGCGCTGTCGCCGTCTGCTCCATCAGCAGATCGTTCTGGTCGTTCTCCAGAGACCGTGGCGTTCCGTTCGCGTCGTTCTGGTACAACGTCGACAAGACCACCGGTGTGCCGCTCAGATGTCTGTGGATGATCACCCTCATCAACTCGCTTCTGACCCTGATCAACCTCGGCTCCTCGATCGCCATGAACGCCATTTTCTCCGTCTGCGCCATCGCCACTGATTGGTCGTACGTGTTGGTGATTTTCTTCTTCATGGTCAACTCGGAAAAGATGGGTGTGTCGCCTGGACCATTCAACCTGGGCAAGTTCGCCAAGCCAATCATGTTCTACGCCTGTGTGTGGACCGTGTTTGTTTCTGTCGTCTTCGTCTTCCCTAACTACATGCCGGTCACCAAGGAAAACATGAACTACACCGTTCTGATGATGGGGGCCGTGTTGCTCTTTTCGTTAGTCTGGTACGCCCTGGACGCCAAAAGATGGTACAAGGGACCAGTCGCCAACGTTGACGAGGAGTACGAGGGAATTCTCGAGACCGTGGGCGACAACGGTTCCAGCGAGGAGTTTATCCAGGAAAGCGAGCCGAAAGAGAGACAGGAGGCATCCGAGTAAATATAGAATATTATTTATGATTATTTTTTTTTCGCACCATAATTTTCAAATCTTCACTTTTACCATGTTTGAAGTGGCCCCTCCCGATTATCAGAAATTTATTGTTTCGCTGCTGCTGGCGTTGGCCGTGCTCCTGGTCACGTCGGTGCTGTTCAACCGCAAACGCATTTTCAATGCTTCGAGGCCCGTGTTTGTCATCTCGGGGCCGAAATCTAGCGGCAAAACCAACCTGTTTGAGCTGCTCACGAAGGGCGACCTACCCGTGCTGACCGTGAGCTCTGTCGAGCCCAACAGTGCCACGCTCAATCTTGGTGACCAGATCGGATCTTACGACGTGTACGATTTCCCCGGTAACGAGAAACTCAAGTCGCTGTATCTGTATCCGTTCCTCAAGAAGAACCTCTCTTGTGTGAAGGGAATCATTTACATGATCGACGCGTCGCAGTTTTCTAGCGAGTACTGTACAGAGGTCGCGCAGGATCTGATTAGACTGTACGAAATCACGGAGAGTGTGCCGAATGGAATCGATTTCCAGCTGTTCTGCAACAAATGCGACCTGTTCACGTCGAAAAAATGGACCACCATCAAGTCGCTGCTTGAGTCAGAAATCGCGCAACTCCGCAAGCGCCAGATCCTCAACCTCTCGCAGATATCTGCCAAAGATGGCCAGTCCGACGAGGCCATCGTACAACAGCTAGCGTCAAGCTTCAGAGATGGGAAATTCCAGTTCGAGCTGCTTGAAGGCAACACAGAGTTTGGCCAGGGCAACGTTCACAAAAACAAGATCGAGATGGTCACCAATTGGCTGCACGAAAAGGCCATCAATTAAACACTGGCTGTGCAACAGCAGACTGGATTAATTTTTCTCTTCCGGCTGTGCTCGATATTTACTACCTGTTCAAAATATGTGGAACGAGGTATTGGGCGTCTGTCTTTTGGTCGTTGTCCACGCGATAAACTTCCAGGTGGCAGAGCGGCTCGTCCACCGAATTGTTTTTCCCTATATCTGCTCTTCAACCGGCATTTTCCAGTCCTCACAGTCCTTGCAAGAGACTCTGAGCAAAGACCTGGAAAAGATCCTCCAGAAACCCGTCCAGTTGAACCCAAATGTCGAACAGAGATTCATCAAGCCCCTGTTGGAGCCCAAAATAACCAACCCGGAGAATAGGGTCATCAAAAAAGCGGCACAGGTGCTTTTCAATGTGTCTATCTCTTTCTCTCTACAAATAATTGGCCTGGTGCTGTTTGAAATTATCGATTTGGGAAACTCTGCCGCTCGCCTGTGGGACTGGGAATTCACGCTGTCGGTGCTGATTTTTCTGTTAACGTACGTGAACCCAAGTGTGCTGCTTTTCATGGCCGTCTCCCGTCTGCCTCTTGTCTCTCGCGTGGCCCGACTATTGAGCACGAAACACAAGGGACTGGTTTTCCTGTTTGTGTTCATAACGTGGGCTCTGGTTTTCCGGACATTCAACATCTTAGCCACAGCAGCGTCCCAGATGGAGAGCTATTCGCTTTTCTTCTCAAACTCGTTGATAGAGGTCACCATGTTGGGTGTGACCTGTCTCGCAGCCCTGAACGGCATTGGATCTGTGTCCTCTTTGTACTACTCCTTCATTAAGAAACACAAACGTGTGCGAAAGACAGACGTTGCTAGAAGCGTTGAGACGTTGCGCACGACAACAGAACTGATTCACACCAGAACCACCGAGCTAGCACAGTCGCCCTCCAATTCGGACTTGAAAAACGAGCTTGGGGCCTTGAACCAGATGAAGCGCGAGCTGCTGCAGGACCTCTCAGTCTTGGTTGCTAATTACCGTTCCCAGCAGTATGTGGCCTCACTCCGAGGCAAGGTCTCCAAATGGCTCAACGTTCTCTTTTCGCTCTACTGTCTGTATAAAATTGTCAACATCATGGTCATCCGGCTGCCAATAATATATTTTGAGGAATTCGGACTCAAATCCCCCAAACCTGATGCCCAGTCTGCCGATACGCTATCTGTTACCATCGCACGAATCATCACCAAACACTACGATATAGGCGACTACGAAGACCAGATGGCCACGAACGTGAGCTTTGTTTTCTCATTCTTCCTGTTTTGCTGCTCGTTCCAGAGCGTGGTGACCACATTCCACAAGCTAGGCAAATTGCTACCGTCTGCTAAAGACCAGTCAGCTGTGTCTGATTCGTCTTTCTTTGTCGACCTTCTTGTGTGCGAGTTGACAGGCATCTATCTACTGTCGACCACCGTGCTGCTTCACACACATCTACTTTCCAGCCGTCTCACGCTCTTCGATCACGATATTTCCTTTATCGACGTTTGGTTCGATAAGTGTTTTGGGTTTGGCTGTACAGTGAGCATTGTGGGATTGTTCATTTCTGAGCAATTAGAGCATTTCTATAAGGATGAAGACGACCAGTTCGATCATCCGATGATCTACGACGAGGAGGCCCTCGTGGAAGGGCGGGGGAAAATCAATTAGAGCATGTACTAATGAAATACGAACGAAATACGATATCGACGCGTCGGCGTCAGCCACTAAAATTTTATGTGGTTCGTTTATTTTTTTTTATTACATTATAAATATAAAGCCCGGGCCAGAATCGGTAGATTTTCTCGACAAATGTTTTCTTTGGTGGATCGTAACGATCTCAAGATAATCGAAGGTCCCTTGAGGCCTCCATTCAATGAAACACCGAAGGCGAACTTGATAGAAGGGCTTCCAGATGGCTTGCTAGCGGTGATCGCCCCAGTCGTGGCGTATTGGGTGTACTCAACCTTGTACCATATAATCGACGTGTACGAGCTTGCCGAGAGGTACCGCATTCACCCATCAGAAGAGATGCTCAGGAAGAATACCGTTTCTCTTTCCATTGTGATTCGGGACGTCATTTTGCAACATATCATCCAGACCGTCGCGGCCCTAATTTTCTACCAATTTGATCCTAAGCCGACCACCGGCTACGAAAACCACACTCTTTGGGGATGGAGACATGCAGTTCCGGAGTTTATTCCAACATGGGCGCTTTACGTGATATATTGGTATGGCCTTTCACTTCTCAAAATTGCCATAGCATTTTTCATCATTGATAGCTGGCAATACATGCTTCATCGCGCCATGCATCTTAACAAATGGCTATACAGACGCTTCCATTCTCGCCACCACAAACTCTACGTTCCTTATGCTTTCGGTGCTCTTTTTAACGATCCCGTCGAGGGTTTCTTGCTTGATACGGTAGGCACTGGGATTGCCAGTTTGGTGACCGCACTAAATCCTCGAGAGCAGATTTTCCTTTACACATTTTCCACGTTGAAAACTGTCGACGATCATTGCGGGTATGCATTCCCATTCGATCCGTTCCAGATTCTGTTCCCGAATAACTCGATTTATCATGATATTCACCATCAGCATTTCGGTGTGAAGTATAATTTCTCGCAGCCCTTCTTCACCATCTGGGACAAGCTGTTTGACACTACATATCATGGCGTGGATGAGTACTCGGACAAGCAAAAGAAAATCACGTTGGAAAAGTACAAAATATTTTTGGAGGAACGCAGAAAGAAGAACGAAAAGAGAAAACAGGAGGAGCAAAACAAGTTGAAGCGCAAAGACGAGAAACAAGAGTAATAAGAGATGACTAATGACATGTGAAAAACATCTAATAATCAGGTTTGTAATAATATAGTGAGTAAATGGTTTAAATCGTGCTACTCGTTCTATTTACACGGCAGGTTGTGGTTGTTGTTCGGCCTCAGCAGCTTCCTGCTCTTCTTTCCATTTCTGCTCCACCTCGTTCAGCGCCACGAACTTCTCTCTTGGGCTCACCTTGTCCAGCTCGTCGTGCTCCACTTCCAAACCTTTCCAATACTTGTCGTCTCCTTTACGCCACAGAGAGTCCCAGTAAATTTTCGAGGAAAGTCTAAGTTCGTCTAGCACAGTGGTGAGGTCGCTCACGGACTCCTGAGCCCACGTTGGACGGTACTGGCCAAAGTACCAGATCTGTTGAAACTGGTTTCTCTTCCGCAGAGCCTCTGCCTCCTTCCGTTTTGTCACTTGACGCATGTATTTGAGCTCAACTAGCGCATTGTAGGCTCTGACCGCCTTTTCGTGTGAATCAAACTGTGCGACGGCCATCGGACGCCATAGATCGCGTCTTTTTGAGGGCTTTCTGTTTTCCCAGTTGGGTCTAAAACTCTGCTGTTCGATCTGGTATTTGGTGATGTGGGGTGTCTGGGAGTACATCACTTGGCCTGATTCAATATTGCGAAAGAGATAAACGTGCGGCGCAAACCCGTTGCTCTTAAGCCACTGAGGCTGTCTGAACTTAGTGGCCATGTTGAACAAAAGAGTGATTGAGTGTAATTTTCCAAGGTTTTTTTATGAATATTTCTACAGCCGGGTAATTCAACGACTATTAGACATACTTAAACAGCATCTATCATCTATTTTACAATAACCCAGCATATTCCCAACCCAATCATTCAGTCATAAGGAGTCATTTCACAGCAGAAACGTTGCCCTGCGAAATCTTCATTCCTGTGTGCGGATTTACAATTTCAAGCACCTTCTTAGTCCGGGGCGTGCTTGGCCGTGGAGAGGAACCACTTGGGGTTCCAGGCGTGGCCTGCGCAAACCTAGAATACAGAGATTGCACGCCTTGCGTGCCCGGGCTCAGGGGAGATGTCTGAGCGTGGGCAGCGGCCTCTGGCGAAGTGTTTGGGCTGAAAGTCTGCGACGTGTATGGATTAAACTTGCTCTTTCCCGTGTGGACAATCTCAGGACAGAACTCCATGTCGTCTTCGAAATCAAAGCCCTTAGACGACATAAAACGAGCTCTCTGGGTCGAGTAAAGAGAGGCCACGGAGGTCTGGGGCGACGAAAGCAGCAACGACTGGTATGTAGAAGAGCCCGTGGAAGAGTTGGAGGTCGACAGAGCCGTGTAGTTACCAGCAGAGGCGCCAGAAGCGGCTAAGTTGCTGGCCATGTGGTTGTAAATCTGGCTCGGAGATTGCATGTTTGGATTACCCACTAAACTTGCTGCCTGTAAGTTCTGTCCTGCAGGGTTCTGCTGGGCCTGCTGCGAAGCAGCGGATGCCAACAACGAGGCCAGAGATGTCTGTTGCTGGGGGTTGAGAGACATCTGCGATGGAGTTTGGGTATCACTGTTGTAATTTGAAGCTGTATAATAACTCATTTTAGACCGGTGAAAAAAGTGTCAAAGTCGATTATACTGAGCTTTGGTATGACAAGTTGTCAAAGTATAGGCCTGTGTGGGATATGGCTAGTATTTAGTATCAAGTTAAATGGGGAAACGACAAATTTGCTGTAAATTAATTATCTATTCCTAACTTCCAGCCTCCAGAAAATGTGTGCTGCACACGCCCCACAGAATCAGAGATTATATAATCATTCACAATGTTGGACATGGATGTCAACTTGTTGAATGTTTTAAGCTTCAGCTACTAGCAGAGATTCTCAAGCAGCTCACCGCCGTTCCATACGAATTTTTGGTAACTCTTTTATTCGTCTCGTAAATACCAATAAATAATATCATCATCATGCTTTGTTGATACTCTCCACCAGTTGCTTGTACTTCTCGGTGGAGAACGACTTTGGTCTCTCGATTGGCATTCCAAGACCTCTGTCGATGATGAGCTGTGGCAGGACACCAAATGCTCTGGAGACACCAAACAGCACAGTGTAGAAGGACTCCTCGGTGAAGCCGTAGTATTGCAGAAGAACACCAGAGTGAGAGTCAACGTTTGGCCATGGGTTCTTGGTCTTGCCGTGCTCGGTCAGCACCTTTGGAGCAACTTCGTAGATGTTCGAGACGAGCTTGAACAAATCGTAATCTGGCATGTGTTTCAAAGCAAACTCTCTCTGAGCAGTGTATCTTGGGTCGGTCTTTCTCAAGACGGCGTGGCCGTAACCTGGAACCACACGGCCCGAGTTCAGGGTGTTCCACAAATACTTTTCAATATTCTCCTTTGAGATGTCGCCCTTCAGCTCGGATTGCATGGCCTTGAGCCACTCCAACACCTCCTGGTTGGCTCTTCCGTGCAATGGACCGGCCAATCCGTTCAGACCGGCAGCCAGGGATAGGAATGGTGAGGAAAGCGCAGATCCAACCAGGTGAGTGGTGTGTGCAGACACGTTACCACCCTCGTGGTCGGAGTGAATGGACAGATACAGTCTCATAAGTTCAAGGAACTCTGGGTTGGAGCCGTAACCAAGCATGTTGGCAAAGTTAGCACTATAGTCCAGGCTGGTGTCCACAGCGGCGATCTTACCGTCCTTGAACACGTTTCTGTAGATTCTGGCGGCGATGACTGGCAGCTTGGCCAGAAGCTCGATGGAGTCTTCGTAGGTGTACTTCCAGTACTCTTTTTTGTTGACACCTGCTGCATATGCCTTGGCGAACTGGGACTCCGACTCCAAAGCAGTCACAGCAATAGAGAATTGGGCCATAGGGTGCAAAGTGGCCGGGGATCTGTCGATGATCTCTTCAACATGCTTTGGCAATTTCGATCTGGCAGCGAGCTCCTCCGAAAAAGCCTTGGTTTGGGCGGCCGTAGGGACCTCGCCAGTCAGCAGGAGCCAGAAAAGGGCCTCTGGAAGTGGCTGCTCACCGCCCTCGGCCTTAGGGAGCTCCTTCTGAATGTCCGGAATGGTTCTTCCTCTGAACCGAATTCCTTCCAAAGGATCCAAAACAGAGCCTTCCCAGACCAAACCCTTGATACCTCTCATACCACCATAGGCCTGTTCTAACAACACCTCGCCAATCACCTAACAAATATTAGTGCTGTTCAATATCAACGCAAATAAAATTACTCCGGCCCCGAAACGCATATTCGGTCCCGCGAAAATTTCAAAATATCTTGATACTCACAGTTTTACCGTATTTGGCCTTGAGCTCCTTAACTTGAGCTTGCTTCTCTGGCAAAAGCTCAGCGAATCTTTCCTTCAGAGTCGACTCTTTGGTAGAGTAGGCACGAACGGCATTGTACAGCGTAGATTTTCTTGAGGCTGTTCTGGTAACGGTTCTCAATGCAGACATTTTCTATACACAATTCAGATGTCTTTTGAAGAAAGCAAAATAACAAAAAAAGTGCTTCTTGTACATTCAATTTATATCCCAACGTCTGCCGGTCATCATTTACATAAACTCTATTGTGTGCCACATAGTAAATAATAATCGGGACACCCCATAGTGTCAGGGAGGGAGCACAAAAAACACGGCTGTGCAGAAGGTAGCTTGGCACGGAAACAGGTAATAACTCCGCTTCCAGCCGCCATGGCGCTCACCAAAGACGCAGAGCGTGCTTATGAGGGCTCGAATGGCTGCCTGAGCTTTTCAGCGGCACCTCAACACTGCGATTGAGTGCTCAAAGGCCCGATTCCATCGGTACGTGCGTCGCTTGCGACCTCGATCTCCTGCCTAAGCAACCAATTATATCCGTGCATTTGAGGTCATGAATTTTTTTTCATGCCCCGTACAAAAACTTATCTTTCGTCCGGATCGCCTCCTGACCTCGCGCACTAAGACCCTATTTACCCCACAACGCACCCCTGGCGGATTTCACCCAGGAAAATGTCAAGCTGGGCTTAAGTTCTCACTACTGCTCTCAATACTCTCTATGTGTTGCAAGCGCGTTTCCATGCGTGATATTACAATACAGGCGGCTGCCATTCGCTGGAATTTTAGATCCACCCGTACACCACCAGTGTCGGAGTCCTGCGAAAACGGCCCCGATTTGAAGTCAACCCCACTCACTAGCTTCTCACCCCTGGGGATCATCCCCACCTCCACAACCTGCACATATCGGTCCTAACTCGGGAGCAACTCCTGGCCCTTGTCGTAAAGTTCCAGGTTCAGTGCATTGAAGAAACAGCATGGTTGTTGCTTCTCCAGGACCCAGAACCGAATTAGGTTGTCGACGTCGACTTTTTGGAATCCGGCTTCGGCCGGAAGTTTCACTCGGATTCCGTCTCCATCCAGAAGATGGCCCATTTTGCTGCCGTGCCGACCCAGATCAACTTGAATGAAACTGTCTCTGTTGAACTTGGGATACATTTTGAGCTTTGTCTCACTGAGAAGCTCGATTTTGTATCCAAGCAGCAGAAACACAATCTCGTTGAACCGCGCCGCCTTGGAGCTAAACATCTCGCGTAGCCGGGTCATTCGCTTATTCATTGACTTTATCTCCTCCTGTAGCTGGTCCTGCTCCAGACAAACACGCTCATACACCGTTTTGGGGATCAGCTGGTCGGTTGCTAGCTTGGCATCGACCAGCTGTTGGTTCTCCTGCCGTAATTTCTCCAGCATTTTTCTAGTTACGCGTTCGTGTCTCGCGGCCGGATTCTCGCGCAATTCCAGTACCCGGACGCCCCTTTCGTTGCTGCTACTACTCAGCTTCCTCACTTCGCCTTCCAACTGGACCAACCGCTTGTTTTTTTCCTCTATAGTCCGCACTAATTCGTTATTCTCGTTGATCTTTTTCTTCAGCTCCTCGGCCAGCTGTGCAGCTCCGTTTGGCTGCTCTTGCTCGCTTCTGCGTCTTTTCTGTCCTGAATCTTGGCTCTGTAAACTCTGTAATTGCTGTTTGTATGACTCAAGAAGAGACACAAGCCCTTCAAACTTCTGCGCGTTCTCTGCTTCCACACCTTTATTTTTCAGCAACATTGTGTTCTCCTCAGTCACGTTATCGATTCTGTCCTTCAAAAACTGAATTTCTTGCGTCAACAGCTTGACGTTGTTGCTTAGCTTGGTGGTCTCGGTGTCTTTCTCAAACAGCTTGGACTTGAGCGCTGTTTGTCTATCATTAGACTTCAGCAGCTTTGATTGCAGATCGACCACCTCTTGCTGAGTGCGCGCAAGCTCGTTACGTAGAAATTCGTTCTTCTGCAAAAGCTGGCTGTTTGTGGACTCCAGCATGGAGCATTTATTGAGAATGATGGCAGGCGGGTCCGAAAGAGGCCAGTTTCCCATTTTCTGCTCCATGGCTGCGTATTTCAGTTTCAAGTCCTCATACTCGGTCTCGAGAGCCTCATACGTAGCCAATCTCTGGGACAACGTCGCCTTCTCCTCCTTCAGCACCTGAACATAATCCTGCTTCGACTGCAACGTACGCAATTTGTTGCTCAGCTCCAGATTCTTCTTTTCCAGCTCGCGGATGTATTCCAACTGGTTGCTGCACTCTTTCTCGTACAACTCGCGAGCCTTGGTTTCGTCAATATGTACACTGCGCTCGTGCATCTCCAAAATCTGCGAATCTTTGATACGCAGCTGGTCAGCAAGCTCGTCGATCCTGCTGCTCTTCAGGGCCAGCTCCTCGCGCATTGCATCCCTTAATCGCAGCAATTCCGAATCCTTGTGCCGCAATTCGGCATCTTTGAGTGCAATGACATCCTCCAGACGCTTTTCTATCTCCTGGAACTCGTCCAGATGCCTATCCAGCTTGCACGTCTTGGCATCCAGCTCTGTCCGGAGCGATCTGTTCTCGTCCGTCGTCTGTTCGAAGTTGTGGGCCAATTCTCTCAATTCACACTTCAGCTTGTTGTTCTCGTCAAACAACAGCTTCGAATCGCTGACGGCGGTCTCGTACTCGCTTGATCTGTGCTCCAGATCCCTCTCCAGCCTCTTCACTATAGCCTGGCTCTTGACCTTGTCTATCTCATAGCTGTTCTTCAGCTGGCTGTACTGGTATTCCAGAGCCGCCAGCCGTTTCTGCAGATCGCCATCACCCGGTAGTTCGGGCGGATGCGCTATAAATGGCGAGCTCGGCGTGCTTTGTCCAGACATGTAACGCGAATATTTTATTAAATCGATTTGTGGCTGTGTCAAACGGCAAATGAGAGGCTCCTAAATAAATAAACCTCGCACGCTTTAGCTTCCATCATGTCTAAAATGTAAGTGCGCCAATTTGTGCCGTCGCTAACAGCCAGTCCGAGAAACTTTAAGCTGCTAGAGGAGCTCGAAAAGGGTGAGAAGGGCCTGGGCGCTGAGTCGTGCTCGTACGGTCTACAAGACCTGGACGACATTACCATGACCCATTGGAACGGGACGATTCTGGGACCGCCGAACTCGTCGCATGAAAACAGGATCTACTCCCTCACCATAGAATGCGGGCCAGAGTACCCGGAAAAGCCGCCCATCGTCAGATTCATATCGAAGATCAATCTGCCATGTGTCGACCAGAATACAGGACTCGTGCTTGCCAGCAAGTTTCCTACATTGAGCTCCTGGAAAAGAACGTATAGCATGGAGATCCTGCTGCTGGAGCTCAGAAAGGAGATGGCCAGCGGTGCAAATCGGAAATTGCCACAGCCTTCAGAAGGCGAGACGTTCCAGTTCCATTAATGTACCTATCTACTAATTCTGCGACTCTTTGATGATATTCTCGTAGTACTGGTTCATTTTCTGGTGCAGCACTTTGTCCGCGCGCAAAAAGTCTGCCAGCAACGGGTCTTGGGCGCTGTAAGGGTTATCTTTTTCGGTGGTGATCTCGATGTTGCGGTACGTTTCCGTCTCTTTCTCGCCCCTCTGCTCAGGAAGCAGTCTGAACCCGCTCAGCTCTTTCCTGGAATAATACTCTGTGTCTTTGCACCGTGCGAAAACCCGCTTGAACGGCACGCATATAGTCTTGTCTCCGTCAAACGTGCACTGGTGCTGCGTCAGCGACCACAGCTTGCAGTTGTCCAAGTTGAGCTTCTCTCTGCCATTTTCGTCCACTATTCGCTCCGGAAACAGATGCGGGTAATGGTCTCGTAGCTCCTCTCTGGAATAGACGGGCAGCGACGGAGCCATTATATACCGAATTATTTCGCACAAGAATTACCTAATGAAATTTAAATCCTCAATTTTATTTATCTGTTTACATGACTAAGGACACTCTGTCTGCCGCCAGTGCGCGCCATCCAAAACCACCAAACACCACTTTTGCGTATGGGACAGCTGGGTTCCGCACTCTTGGATCTCTGCTGGACTCAACCGTGTTCAGGGTGGGCGTGCTGGCTGCTTTGAGATCTGCAAAGCTCCGAGGGAAAACCATTGGCGTCATGATCACCGCGTCCCATAACCCGCCGCAGGACAACGGCGTCAAGGTTGTGGATCCACTGGGAGAAATGCTGCCGCAGCTGTGGGAGCCCTATGCCACCCAGCTGGCCAACAGCGACAATCTCGAGGACGACGTGCGGGACATTGTCGCGAGAGAAAAGATTGACGTTGCACAGGCTGGACTCGTTGTCGTTGGTATGGACACACGGGAGACGAGTCCACAGCTGCTCAGAGCAGCCGTTGATGGAATTGAGGTGTTTGGACGAGCAAAAAGCTTTGGAGAGCTCACCACTCCTCAGCTACACTATTTGGTCAGATCGCACAATGATCCGGGCTTTGGAGAGCCTTCTGAGAAGGGATATAATAAAAAGATAGTCAGTGCGGTCGAAGAGATACTTCGTTTGTGGAATGTTTCCGAGCCGCTGGAAATAACCGTGGATGCTGCAAACGGAGTGGGCGCACCGAAACTACGCAACTTGAGCAGTGATCTTTTCAATATCAGCGTGGTGAACAGCAACACGCAAGATAAAAGTGCATTGAATGTTGAGTGTGGCGCAGACTACGTCAAGACCAACCAAAAACTACCTGCTAACGTGCAACCGAGAGACCACCAGCTTTACTCGTCCTTCGACGGTGACGCCGATAGGGTGGTTTTCTATTACACAGACAACTCACGCTTTCAGCTTTTGGACGGAGACCGCATCGCCACACTCCTGGCGAGCTTCATCAACAAACTGCTCCAGCAAGCCAAAGTTGAAGCTAAAATGGGAATCATACAAACTGCATACGCCAACGGAGACTCAACTAAATATATCCAGGAGACGCTTCAAATCCCTGTCGACTTCACTCCGACTGGAGTCAAGCATCTTCATCACAAGGCACAAGGATACGACATTGGAGTATATTTCGAGGCCAACGGACATGGTACAGTTCTTTTCTCCGAGAAGCTCATAAGTAAACTGAAATGTACACACACAGGCTTGCCAGAAGAGGAACGGGCCCTTAAGACGCTGGTACTTCTTACAGAAGTCATCAATCAAACAGTGGGCGACTCCATTTCAGACCTCTTTGCTGTTCTGCTTGCATTAAGAATCCAAAATAAAACATGTGTGGACTGGGGCAAAGACTACACTGAGCTTCCGAACAAGCTGTTCAAAGTTATTGTGAAAGACAGGTTTGTTTTCAAGACCACCGACGCGGAGAGAAGACTTGTGGAGCCGGCTGGCCTGCAGGCCAAAATCGATGCTTTGGTGGCTGCATACGTGCGAGGCCGTTCCTTTGTGAGGGCGAGTGGCACGGAAAACGCCGTGCGAGTGTACTCGGAAGCGGCCTCGGCCGCAGACTGTGCTGATCTGGGCGCTCGTGTGTGCCAGCTGCTCGAGCCGTATTGATTACGTAATGTAACTAAATGTAGCCAACTTTGGAAAAAAACACGAATCGTGTGAAATTCAGCCTTTCGCGTATATACGTTTCGTATCAACAACTGACAATATTACGCGTTTGAGATGTCGGTCATCACGCCAAACAACGAAAACGACGACATCCGGTTCACATTTGAAGCGCGTCCCGTGAACAAAAGTAAGTACTAGCGTTTAGCGACGCGTCCGTCGGTCACTAACCTATCCCATAGATATTGTCTTGACGCCAATGACCAACAACAACCAATATTTCGACAGTCCAGACACCAAGGCCACCTCTCCACTAAAGATTGGCCGCAAGAGTACAGCGCCACTGCTTGAAAGCGAGGCTTCCGGTACCCCTAGGGACAGACAAGATTTTAACTATCTTTTGGAACAGTTATCGCCGATGCCGGGCACCTGGGTGGACGAGGACGACCAGAAAGAGCCGGATTTTAATGAATACGTGGGGTCTGCTGGTAGTTCGCCCCAAAGCGTGAAAGATGTTTTCATGAGCCCGTTCCAGGGAGAGCTGGATGGACAGGGCCAGGTTTCGAGTCCTGTACCCCACGCTCCTGAGTCCAAGGATAGCGACCGGCTGAGTGCGTTTGGCAAGGTGCCGATTTTGGGCAATATTCTTACAGAGTCGCTGGGAATCACGCACGAATCCGGGGCCGACGAGCAGTATGACCAAACCTCCAACACCATTCAAACAAACGAATTCCTCAACAATACGATGGACGTGTCCAACAACAGCACGAGCATGTCGCACAGCGAGGACGACTCATCTGTGTCCGAGAGTAATTTTATTGATCTTGACAAAGAAGGGTACACGTCGCCGGTGGTTGACCAGGACAAGACGCCGGTGGTGTCATCGGGTGGGTTTGCTGAGGGAGACAAGACGCCCAATAACGAGGACGCTAAGCGGTTCACGAATCCTCTGTCCTCTTCTGACGTCAGACTTTCAAGTTTCCGCAAAGCTGGCTCTCCACTGGTGGAGACTCCGATTTTGGAGGAGGAAGAGGAAGATGGCGATCATGAGGCCTCCGTTCCTACGCAGCGCCCCGAGCGGTCGCCGCAGGTACCGCTGCGCCACGCAAAATACTCAGAAATACCCAAACACCAGAGCTACTCGTCGAGCATCTATTCTGAGGTGCCAGAGTCGAATGTTGCGCCGGCCGCAAAACCTCTGGCGGTAATTCCCGAGTTTTCAGCCGAGCCTGTGCTTCCCGAGAGATCGTCTTTGCGCACAACTTCACAGCTGGCTGAACCAGAAGGATCTGCTATTCCTTCGGTGCCGTTTGCAAAAAAGGTCGCCGTTCCCCGTGAGAGCACGTCGTCGAGCCTGTACGAGCCGACACGCGCGCCGCCGGCACCCCCTGTCGAGGAACAGTCCGACAAGGTGGTGCGACGGCCCGAATTCTCGTCAACACCTAAGAAAACGCGCGTCTCGGTGAGACAGCAGTCGCTGTACCAGGATACATACAGCAAGAAATCGGTCGTCTCAAGCAACAGGGACTTTACGAATCTCGAGTCGTCGCAACAGCTGCACGAGCTCAGCACGGACGCCAGCTCAGTAGCAGACGAGGACGCAGACGAGGACGACGCATCCGCGCTGTTTGTGACGGCATTATACCCGTTCGACGCAAGCACGCTCGAGTCGAAAAACGACGCGTCGATCTGTCTCTCGTTCAACGAAAACGACATTGCCTTCACGTACTCGCTCGACGATTCTGGCTGGGGCGAGGTGACGCTGCTCAACACGCTGAAACGCGGCTGGGTGCCAATGAATTATTTCCGAGCCACTCTGTCGGAAGACCTCGAGGACGAGCCGCATCTGAGCGAGTATGCCAGACTGGCTGCATCGCGCCGACCGCTGCGCAAACTATTCCGCCACGCCGGAATGTTTCTGCTCAACCCGCAGAACAAGATGCTCTACATCAAGAGCGAGTTCAAGGGATATACTTTTGACATCCGCTACATCAACGGCATCACGCAGGGCGTGAGAACGCTGCTCAAAGAGACAGACTGCATTTCGCGGACGAGCGACATTGTGCAACGCAAGCCGATCGTGCGCAGGCTGCGCAAGAAACTGCTGCGCGATTGGTCGGACCTGATCTACAAGGCCAAAGACTTCCTCAATACCATGGACGTGAAAAAAATCGAGTATCTCCAGCTGCTCGCGTACCAGGTGCTGCAGAAGGCCATCACGTTTTTGGATGTGTGGGGGCTTGAAAGCGACGATCTCGTCAATAGAGACAAGCAGCTCATCACCTCTTCGCAGCTCGTGCCCGTGCGCTACCTGTCTGCACCGCCACGCGCTGCGCCACGTATGAACGAGCTGTACAACCATCTGATGGGCTACTTTGCGCTCATTTCAGGACGGTTGGATCTTGTGGAGTACCAGGTCAAGGGCGGCCAACTGTTGGAGAACATTGTCAGCCAGATCAACCTGCAGGTCCGCGAGCTGCAATTCATCGGCTCGCTTATAAAAACCGTCGTCCCTCCTGGCTTCAAGCTGCCCGCTGTTGCGCGTTCAAATCTTTCGACTGTCGACCAGCTCAAGCTACTGGAAACCAACAGCACAGAGCTGACCGTCGCTCTTGAAAAGTTCAACCACAACGTGCGTGTTCTGGTGGACGTGGCTTACAACCGGACGAAAAACTCTCCGATGCTGACGCGCTCGGGCACTGCCTCGTCGCGCAGCGCCCTACCAACGAAGGACATGTACTTCTACTCGAGAGAAGGCGGAGCTGTGATCAATACCGCGTGCCGTCTCGTTTATCTGGTGAGCACGTCATACAAGATTCTCAAGACGTTCTTGGCAGCTACGAAGGATTTCGAGCTGCCAAACACTCGCGAGTATCCAGATTTCCTCGAGATGAACGTGTCGCCAAAATCCTTCATCAAAATCTGCTCCACAGGGCTCATTTCTGACAAGGAGATCACCAGACAGCTGAAACAGCACAAAACTTCCCGGAGCGACAAGCGGGCATCGAAACGATTCTCAATGTTTCGTGCGGGCGACGCCGCAGACATGGAGCTCACGGCAGACGGGCTGGACTTTCTAGCGGAGGTGACTCCCGGCGACAGCACGCCGTTTATTCAGAACGACGGCACGTTCGACCAGCTGCTGGACGAGCCGACCAGCGACGTGAGCTACGAGGACGAGGTGCTCCGCGGGCCGGACAAAGAGATCTTGGGCGCGTCGTTCCGTGCACTCGTTTGTCTGCTGACCGACGAGAACAATCCGCCCGAGTACTTTTTCGTGTCGACGTTTTTCCTCACGTTCCGGATTTTCTCGCACGGCGCGGTGCTTCTGGAAGAGCTTGTCGCGCGTTTCGACGTGAACAACAGGATTATCGAAAACGACAAGAAGAATGGCACCGGCAGCCTTCACATGCATTCGTCACTCGAGTCCAAGATGAAGCATCGACGCCAGCTCGTGTGCAAGACGTTTATGCTGTGGCTGGAGAGCTACTGGAAGGCTAGGACAGACTATAACCTGCTGCCACCATTGCTGAACTTCTTCAACGAGGCCGTCAAGGAGTACCTGCCGTTGGAGGCGCACCGGTTGATCGAGACAGCATCGAAGCTGATTGGCATGCCGCCTGTAGAGACCATCAAGGACAGACTCAACTACTATAACAACATCGACAACGATTCGCAACTGGTGCCACGGAAAATCTCGCCTAAGCAGCAGCACAAACACATCTCGCGACACATCTCTAACTTCTCGTTCTCAGACCCTGCAGGCATCATGAACGATCTCGACACGTACAACTCGCTGCTGGACGACCTCGACACTTACGATTTGGAGAGAACGGCCACCAAAGGCAGTCGCCAGTCGATCAACCTCGGCTTGGCGATCGACCTCAAGAATACCGACTCCAACGTGGTGCTGCTGAGCGACAAGCAGCTCGAGTCGATCCAGAAAGTGATTTTGTCGTACAGAAACATGCTGCGCGAGCACTGGCAGCGCGAGAACATGCGGCTCGACAAGTTCGTGCCCTTGGACACGCAGACGCTGCTTGACTCGTGGTGGAAAACTGCCCAGGAGAGCTGGAAGATCCTCAACCAGGACCTGGCCCTGCTCAACTTCAACGGGCTCGAGATCGCCAAACAGCTGACCCTTATTGAGTCCAAGATGTTCTGCTCCATCAAGGCCGAGGAGCTGCTCAACCAGAACTTCACGTCCAAAAAACTGCACCTCAACCTCTCGCCAAACATCCAGCGCTCGGTGCTCTTCACCAACCTGCTGAGCGATTACGTCATCGAGAGCATCCTGCAACCGAAACTCACCATGAAACAGCGCGTGCACGCGGTCAAGTGCTGGCTCAAGATTGCGATTTCGTGCCTATACCTGCGGAACTTCAACTCACTCGCGTCGATCATGACGTCGCTGCAGAGCTTCCTGGTCACGCGGATTACGCGGATCTGGGACGGTCTCTCCGACAAGTACAAGGAGCTGTTCCAATATTTGGCGTCCATCATCCATCCCGACAAGAACTACCACGTGTACCGCGGCAAAATCCGGGACTTCTTGCTGTCCAATCTAGAAGAAAACCTCGACATTCCCACGGTGCCGTATCTTTCGCTGTTTTTGCAGGACCTGACGTTTATCGTGGACGGCAATCCAAACTACAGAGACAACACGAAATCGTTCCTGAACCAAAAGTTGATCAATGTCGACAAGTACACTAAAATCACCAAAATCATTCTTGATCTGCAAACGCTGCAAATACCTTACAAAGACACAGGCGAGCTGGGCAAGGTGTACAACAAAGACCAGAAGATCGATCTGATCAGAAGTGCCACCATCAGAAATTTGCGGCTGCAGTTGCAGGACGAGTCGCAGAGTTTCGACGATATGTTTGACATTGCCGGCGTGCCGTGCTTGCAGGAGCTGATTTTGCTTGAGATCTGGAAAGTGAAGCAGATCAACATGAAAGAAGACGACCGCAGCTGGAAGCTGAGCTGCGAGATCCAGCCGAGAGACGAGTAGCCTTACCGAGCTTTATACATTCTATTTCTTGCCTCTATTTAATTCAGTTTTTTTTGCTCACCAATGTAATTAATAGCAGAGCCAGCTTTGAAAAATTCCACCTGGTCCTCACTCATGGTGTGTTTGCAGTCGATCACAAACTCCTCTCCATTGCGTTTTGTAACCTTGACCTTCAGAATGCCGCCGTTGTTGCCGCCTTTGGCGACCAGCTCAGGCAGGCCGACGGTGGTGAGCAGGTCGGTCGAGCTGATTTTGTCGTAGTCGTTTTCGTCCGCAAACGTCAACGGCAGCATTCCCTGTTTTTTGAGGTTGGTCTCGTGAATTCTCGCAAAAGACTTGACCAAAATGATCTTTCCTCCAAGGAATCGTGGAGATAGCGCAGCGTGCTCTCGGGCTGACCCTTCTCCATAGTTGTGCTCTGCAACCACACACCAAGGAACGTTCTCGGCCTTCCATTTCATCATGAGCTCCGGAATGCCAAACGGCTTGCCGTCGAAATCGTACGCAACGTTCACCTCGCCGGTTTCCTTGTTCTGCGCGCCAATCAGAGTGTTGTACGAGATATTTTCCAAATGGCCCTTGTACTTGAGCCACACACCAGCGGCTGAGATGTGATCTGTAGTGCACTTGCCTTCAACCTTGATCAGCACCCTGGTCTGCAGCTCCTTGCCGTCCCATGGCTCAAACGGTTCCAGCAGCTGCAGTCTATCGGATTCGGGCGAAACGTTGACCGTCACTTCTGGCTTGGGCTTGGGCTCCAAAGGAGGATAGAACTCCTTTCTTCCCGCGACAAATCCCTCGGAAGGGAGTTCTTCTCCGTGAGGAGGAGCAAACTTGAACGTCTCGCCGTTCTCGAGCTTAATGCTGTCCTTCATAGGGTTGAAGTTCATGTCTCCAGAGTAAATCATGGCTGTGACAATATCCGGTGACGTGAGAAAATTCATGGTGTTTCTGTTGCCATCGTTTCTCGCACGGAAGTTTCTGTTGAATGACGTGAAAATCACATTGGTATCCTTCGGAGCAGCCTCTCCTCTGTCCCATTGGCCAATACAAGGACCGCACGCGTTGGCCAGCACTATTGCGCCGTTCTCCTCGAACGTGCTGATTAAACCGTCTCTCTCGATAGTAGCACGGATCTGCTCGGATCCTGGGGTCACAAAGAAGGGAATCTTAGGTTTTAAGCCCACCTTGGCCGCCTGTCTGATGATCGAAGCAGCACGCGACATGTCTTGGTACGATGAGTTTGTGCACGAGCCAATCAAACCGGCGGTAATGGTTTCTGGCCACTCATTCTCCTTGGTGGTTTCCTTGAGCTTGGAGATCGGCGTGGACAAATCTGGAGTGAACGGCCCGTTCACGCTGGGTTCCAGCGTGCTGAGGTCGATCTCGATTATTTGGTCATACTCACAGCCTGGATCAGCAGTCATGTACTGGTAGTTCTGGTTCACAGACTTGGCTAAGTCTGCAATTGGGCCCCTGTTCGTGGCATACAGGTATCTGACATGGGCCTCCTGCATTGGGAAGGTCGACGTCGTGGCTCCGATCTCAGCACCCATGTTACAAATGGTGGCCATACCGGTACAGCTCAAGCTTTCGACTCCTTCGCCAAAATATTCAACAATATAGCCAGTTCCTCCCCTGACGGTCAATATGCCAGCCAAATGGGTGATAACGTCCTTTGGAGAGGTCCAGCCGTTCATCCGTCCCGTCAGCTTAACACCCAGCACCTTTGGGGCCTTGAGTTCCCATGGAGTTCCAGTCAGAGCGTCCACGGCATCGGCTCCTCCAACACCGATGGCAATGGCTCCCAGACCACCAGCATTAGGAGTGTGCGAGTCGGTTCCAAGCATCATCAGACCGGGAACAGAAAAGTTCTCCAGCACGATCTGGTGGATGATGCCCGATCCTGGCCCCCAGAACTGGATCCCGTATTTTTCACCACAGCTCTGCAAGAAGTCGAAAACTTCCTGGTTGGTAGCTATGGCAGACTTGAGGTCAACGTCGGCTCCCTCCTTGCCCACAATCAGGTGGTCGCAGTGGATGGATGCAGGAACGGCAGTGGAGGTCATTCCACAGGTCATGAACTGCAAAAGCGCCATCTGAGCAGAAGCGTCCTGCATGGCGACTCTATCAGGGTTCAGCTTTAGGTACTTGTTTCCACGGATGTCTCTGGACGAAGTCGATCCAGAAAGTTCTTCTGGCTCGACCAGGTGCGCGTACAGGATTTTTTCTGCTAAGGTGAGCGGCTGGTTGTTCAAAATATGTTTGACCTTGAATAGTTTGTTGATCAATTTTTCGTATGGGGGAGTTCTAGACTCGAATCCGGCTGGAGCCTTGATCTGGCCCAACGTGGTTGCCAGATGACGGCTCAGCTTTCTACTATGGCGAACGCTGGCTCTCGAAACTAACATGATGGGGCCAAACGTCCTAGTTCCTGATCCAATAATAAATTGTGTGTTTTTCTTTAGTCATCTGGAGAAAAATTTTCCATTTTTTTTAAAGCAGATCTCGCGTCGATCGACGCGTCAGAAGAGCTTATCAAAGTAGTCTACCGGGTCGAGATCAAACAATCTCCTGCCCCCGAGCTGGATTCGCACCATCTCCCCACGCGCCATTTCCTTGATGAATGGCTGGATGTCGGTCGAAAACACGCCCTTGCTCACGCGATTGAAAATACAGCCTGGGTTCTGCTCCAGATACTCTTCCCCATCCAGATATTTCGTAGCTCGAGATCTCGATCCGATTTGGTACAGTTTGGACGAGTAAAAATCAACCGTCTGTCGATGAGCAACAGACAAATCGAATGTGGAGTCTTCCTGACTCAAAGAGTCGGTGCAGTATCTCATTTCATGGTCGTGCTCTAGTTGTTGCAACGAAGCCAGCTGTGCAACTTCCCGACTGTGTTCTTGCCTGATCTCCACCAAACCATCTTTCCTACGGTCGCAGCAGCTTCCCAGAAGCTGGAGTTGCATCAGCGAGTGGCGCAGATCATAGCCACAAAGTTGCTGTAATAAATTATCGTCAAGTTTCATGCCCATTCGAAGACCAATCAAGTCCAAATACTGCGCATGTACACTTTGGTTTGGTTGCGTAAAGCAGTACACGGTGCTCTGGTTCACAATATTTGGCGGAATTTTTGAGAGCTCCTGAGTAGTGAGCACCACTGGCCTGTATGAGTACGTCAACAACTCGGTCACCGCTGGCCAGAAATCCTTATCGTCTTCGTCGTCAATAAGATCGACATCGTCAAATAAGATGAGACCGTAGTCCTGGCTGTTTTTCACATTTTTAGTGGTGCCGATCTGTCTCAGGTGAAAATTAATACTCTTACGAGCTCTGTTCTGACTGGAGTTAAGCTCAAAGACGTGGCCATGTAATTGTTCTTTCACGATGGAATAGACTGCCGACGTCTTGCCACACCCCGTCGGGCCTTCTATTATCAGACACGGAACGAAAACCTCGTCCTCAGTCTCGTTTCCAGAATCATATGTTTCGTCCACAAGGAAACCGTCCATTTCCCCCTGTACTTTTCTCTTCCGGAGTAGCTTGGTTCTTTTTTCTGTATCGACCTTGCGTAGCTTCACAAACATATTTTTCAGCCACAGATACAGATCGGTATTCAAGGTTTGAGGTTGCAAAATATGCTGATAGTTGGACGGCCTGAACAGATCGCACCACTGAGCACTGGAGTCGCAAAATTGCTCTATGCAAAGCCGGTCAAAGGGCGCACACTGTGCCATTTGGTATTTGCGGCGCACGACATCTTCCATAGTCTCCTGGAGATGTCTATATGTATACTGAGAGCTTCTTGGCTGGCCCTTCTTGATGAGACATTTCATTAACTTGGCATGCTCTTCTTGCGAAAACGAAAACTTCTGTGCGGTGTTCTGTACTGTTGTTCTATGTTGTAATCGTAGAGAAGAATGCTGAAATATGTCGTTTTTGTCGTAAATCATAAAATCTAGTTTTCCAAGGACGGGAATGTCCATGCTTTTAGGTTTGTCTTTTCTCGCCAGTCCGCCTGAGTCCACTCGTTTTGCACGCTCGGCAACGGCGCGAAAAAACGAATTCATAAATTGCGGTTTTTCATGCCTTACAACAGCTTCTTCCTGTTCGAGATCTACCACATGCGCTGGTGTTGGCTGGAGCACATTACGGAGTTTCGTCGAGTCCATCTTCAAAGTCACTTGAAACGTCTTGGGCCTCACACGGGGGGACTGGATTGTGAACCTGCCATTCTCCAGCAACGAGTCACCAGACACTTTCGGCCGTTTTGGGAGTTTGAGTACAACATTGTGGGGATCTATGGCTCTGTGTTGTTGCTGTGGTTCTGGCAAACGCTTTTTGCGTGGGGGCATTAAAATCGAGGCTATGGAGACAGCAGGACTCGCTGTCTCTGAGGCATTCTGTTGAGTAGTTTCTGATAATGTCTGCGATTCCCGTTCATCAGCTTGAGAAGAAGTGCGACGAGCCTCATCCTTGTGCCAGAACGACCTGAATATCTCTGTAGGAGTGTTATTCATCTTCTTGCCGCCGTCGGATTCTAAGCGAGACCCAGCGTCCACTATGTTCATCAGAGACGGCAAGCTAAAAAGAGTGCTTAAACACGGTTAAAAAAATGAGCGCGTTGAGTCGATCGACTAATTCCAAGGTCTCTCGTCCATATCATAAAGTGCACCTATGCTCTGGTGTGTTCCATCCTTATTAGCTCAGTTGGTAGAGCGTTCGGCTTTTAAGGATTCCAATTCGGAAGTCGACCGAAATGTCCAGGGTTCGAGCCCCTGATGAGGAGCGCACCATTTTTTTTTTGGGGCCTCTCCAGCCTGCAGGTCATCAAATTCGAAAACGCATATTGTTTTCTTCCTGTTATTTTTGCCCCTTCTGCAACAATTCGGCTTTACAATTCTGAGCATTGTGCGTGGAAATATCGGGAGATTTGGGAAAAAAAAGAGAGGGAAACAATAGGCTTGGCATCCGTTTACATACAATGTGGCTGAGGTGTTTCTCTCGCTCCCGTCGAAAATACCAAGAAATTTTAGCCAAAGCACTATTCGAATTAAAACCATAATTGAGCAAATTTTGAACTAAGATAGGTACTATCTGAATTGCATATAAGAAGCTCTAAATGTGCTTCCAAAAAACTGAGCAAAGCACCTTGGCTTCCTCAATGCTTCAGGCGAAGGCATTCCCGTCCAAATCTAGTCTTCTCCTATTGGATGTCGGTAATTTTGTTCACCGCCACACGCAGAGCTGCATATTATCAAAAAAATCAGTGCATTTCAGGTCAGCCAATAGCGTCCAGCTTAGGGCAGCTGAAAACCTCTTATAAGTAGCATGTAATATCCTGAGCTTCTTCTTCATCACACATATACTAATTTCGTTCTGGGGAGAATGAGATTGTCAATTCTTTCTTCCGCCTTTTTTGCAGCAGCTGCTCTGGCCGAAACTCATGTTTTTAACTGGACTACCGGCTGGGGTACTGCAAACCCAGACGGTACCCTTGAAAGGCCAGTCATTACTTGTAACGGTGAATTTCCATGGCCTAATATTAGAGTCAATAAGGGTGACCGGGTCGAGGTCTACTTGACCAACGGTTTTAACAATACCAACACTACTCTTCACTTCCACGGCTTGTTCCAGCACGGATCCACGCAAATGGACGGTCCACCGCTGATTAGTCAGTGTCCAATTGCTCCTGGTGACACCATGCTGTACAATTTTACTGTTCCTGATCAGGTCGGTTCGTTCTGGTACCACTCTCACACAGAGGGTCAGTATATGGATGGTATGAGAGGTGCGTTTATCATCGAGGACCCTGATATGCCATACGATTATGACGAGGAGGTTGTCATTACCCTCAGTGAGTGGTATCATGACCTTGTTGACGAACTGACACCTAAGTTCATGAGCCTGTACAACCCAACTGGTGCAGAGCCGATTCCTCAGAATCTACTGATGAATAACACCAGAAATAACACATGGATTGTCGAGCCTAACAAGACATACTATGTTCGTCTGATTAACATCGGCGGTTTTGTGTCTCAGTACTTGTACATGGAGGACCACACGTTCACTGTCGTTGCAGTTGATGGAGTCTACGTGGAACCGAACGAGACCAGTATGCTCTACATCACCGTTGCTCAGCGCTATGATGTCCTGATTACAACCAAGAACGACACTTCTAAGAACTATGCCTTCATGCAGATGTTCGACGATACGATGCTTGATGTTATTCCCGATGATTTAGTGCTTAACGCTACCAATTATATCGTCTACGACGAAAATGCTGATCTGCCAGGACAATACATGGTCGACTCGATTGACGACTTCCTTGACGACTTCTTTCTGGTTCCGTTGGAGAAAGAAGAGTTGTACGAGGACTACGACTACCAGATTACCATCGACGTTGTGATGAACAACTTGTACGACGGTATCAACTATGCTTTCTTCAACAACATCAGCTACCATGCTCCAAAGGTGCCGACTCTTGGAACTGTCTTGTCTGCCGGCGAGAACGCTACCAATGCCTACATCTACGGTACTAACACCCACACTTTTGTCCTTCAAAAGGACGAAATTGTCGAAATTGTGCTCAACAACCAGGATACCGGTAAGCATCCGTTCCACTTGCACGGTCACGTGTTCCAGGTTGTCGAGAGAGGTCCAACGTTCCCGGACGATGCTCCTGAGCCTTACAACGAATCTGCCCCGTATACTCCGCCTGAGTACCCAATGAGAAGAGATGTTCTTTACGTGAACCCAAACTCTTACTTTGTGATCAGATTCAAGGCCGACAATCCAGGTGTCTGGTTTTTCCACTGCCACATTGAATGGCATTTGACCCAAGGTCTGGCTCTCACTTTGGTTGAGGACCCTCTTGGAATCCAGGCTAACGAGACTTTGACCGACAACTGGAAGCAAATCTGTGAAAATGTCAATGTGGCCTACACCGGTAATGCTGCTGGCAACGACAAGGACTACTTCGACCTGACCGGTCAGAACGTCCAGCCCAAGGATCTTCCTGCTGGTTTCACTGCCAGGGGTATTGTTGCCCTGGTCTTTTCCTGTATCAGTGGTATTTTGGGCTGTGTTGTCATTTTCTGGTACGGTATGGCTGATATTCCAGACATGGAAAAAAGAGTGCTTGCTGACCTTAATATTGACGAAAGGGCCTTTCTGGCTGCAGAGGACGACGAAGAAGATGCGTCTGCTGATGCCATGGGCTCTACCATCAATGCCCTTTCCAAACAAGGAACTACCCATGAGATTACTACTTCTCATTAGGTGGCTCAATGCCTGAACGATCGAGCTGGTCTCTAACTTGTGTGTGTGTTTAGAGATGGCTGATTTCATTCCAGTCGTGGGCCGTTTATTCCCCATCGAAAGACGTGTATGTGTGTGTGTGTGTTTTTCCATTGAGGGTGACTTTAACTAGTTAACTCTCTCTCCCTATCTAGTTCAACTGTGTGTGAAATTAACTGGTAGCTCGTAATTTATTAACTTAAAAATATAAATCCTAGCGGAATAGCCACCCATCTCCACCGCCTTGCTTTCTCCACCGGGGTTGCAAAACGGTGTGATTTTCTTCTATCAACAGACGCCATGCTTCGCGGATGTGGTCTGGCGTGAGCTGGTCCCTGTCATCAGGGATCTTGACTCTGTAGTTTTCGAACGTGGCAGCAGGGCCGTCAGGACGGGGTATGTCGGTCAGCTGAGGCAGGTCGTCAGTGCTTTCGTTGTTCAATTTACGTCTCTTGAGCTCGTTCTCAAGCTCTGCCAGCTCAGTCTCATACCGTTTCAGTTCGCGCTTGTACTCTAGTTGTTCCTCGACACGAGCATGATTTTGCCGTTTCTGTACTTCCTTTGCCTTCTCAACAACCTCTCCCACAAACACTTTCCCAACACCAGCCAGAATCTTTGCAAAATCCGTTCCCACATTGTAGCCAATGGCCATGTTGACCAGTTTTTTGATACCTCCCGTGTTCAGGTTGGTTCTTCGGAAATACTCGTATCGATTAATCTGCTCGGCGTCCATATTTTCCAGCAGTAACTGTTGTCGCTGATTAAGGTTCATATTGATTGAGATTTCCTCGGCATCGATTCCAAACATGTCCAACAGGTCCTCAAAGTCCTCACCATCGCTTTCGCCACGAATTCCTTCGTCCTCCTCGCGTTTCCTCTTCAGCAGCTTTTCTGCCAGTTCCACCTCCTTGTACTCCTCTAGCGGCTCCTGAAGATACTCCATACCTTTCTTCATGTCCAGCGGGACGCCGTCCTCGCCAACAGCCTGTGGTACCACCTCCTCGGAAGGCGGCTGATTGGCTTGCGAAAAGGCGCGCAGTTGTGCTCTTATTCTGGTCCGCTCTTCAGCAAGTCGTTGCATCTCATCCGCACTCATCTGACGGTTGGTAACTGGCGGTGAAACCTCTTTCACCTCCTCGATGTCGCTGTTGCTCTCGTGGTCAGACATAAACACCGTTATCAAATTATTGCACTTTTTTCCACGTCGCACGCCGATCGACGCGACAGGCCGTAATTGATAAAAAATCGTTCAGAAAGTCTTTCTCCAGAGACTTCCACCCCACATCATGTCGTCGCAAGATTTCGAACTTCGCGAGCAGGACAGATGGCTTCCAATTGCAAACGTTGCACGATTAATGAAGAACACGTTGCCAACTACGGCAAAGGTGTCGAAAGATGCGAAAGAGTGTATGCAGGAGTGTGTCTCTGAATTCATCTCCTTTATCACCAGTGAGGCCAGCGACAAGTGTTTGATGGAAAAGCGCAAGACTATCAACGGAGAGGACATTTTGTATTCGATGACGAATCTGGGTTTTGAAAATTACAGCGAAGTGCTTAAGATTTATTTGGCAAAGTATAGAGAACAGCAAGCGCTCAAACAGGAACGTGGAGAAATCAAAAGGAAGAAAGTGAGCAAGAAAAACGGTTCGATGGGTGAGATGGTTGACCAGGACGACGACGTGGAAGAGGATGGGGACAACAGCGTCAAAAAGGACGAGGATGACTATCTGGAGTACCCAGTTGACGACTCAGAGAGCAAAGAGGAACAGAAATCGCAGTTCGAAGACAACGAGTATATGCAGCAGCTGTATGAGCAGGATTACGGAGATCACTCACACTACCCTCATAACCCTCAATACCATAACACACACGAAGACGATAATGGCATAGGAGTTTCACCGCTGAAGAATGCTCGGTCGGCAGAAATTGGTTCTTCCGCCGTTTTAAAACACAGTGATCATGCTAAACTCGAAGGTACAGAGAAGGTGATTGCCACCACAGACGACGCCACTCTGTCTTTGAGCTTGAACGACAATGTGCCTGAAGCAGTTTCTGAGAGCGAGGAGCTGGCGTCCTTAGCGAACGGCCATCATGGTGAAAATGTTCTGTATCGCTACCAGGGAGGCTTCTAAGAGACTGTTTGTAATCTAGGGAGATCATCTCCAGCTGTTGTTATATATACTTCTCTATTTATCTTGTATAGTTAAACCTATTTTTCGGCTGTGCAAGCAAAACATGGGGCTCCCAGTGGAAAAGAAATTGTGAACAGATAAACATAAGCTTGATCTGATTCAAACTTCACGGGAACAGCTTTTTCCTCCCCTGTGCCAATTTTTGTCACTTTTGATGGCTGCCAACAATCAAGTTGATCAGACTCGCTATGAATACTATGACTAATCCTGAGACTGCAAACAATTTGAGGTCTGCGAAAAAGGGAGAGTCTGTTGCTGGTTTTGACCTGACCCGCGCAGCCTGTATACTAATTGCAGGGCAAACATTAATCAAGCTCATGACATTTGCAATGAACCAAATGCTGATTCAACATGTCGCACCTACGGGTCTAGGACTTTGCAGCCTCATCGAATTTGTGATCAACACTGTACTCTTTATCAGCAGAGAGCCGGTTAGGCTAGCGGTGCAGGCTATGAATACTGAATTGCAGGACTACGACCAACTCCTGGTGAACTTTTCCTACTTGCCATTGGTTTTGTGTGCTATTATTGTTGGTCCCTTTGTGTATTGGCAACTTGGTTTTGGTGGCCTTTTTCTGCACTCGTGGCACTATCAGCTCTGTCTAGTTGCTATAATAGCCTCAATGGTGCTGGAAATCCTCAGCGAGCCTTACTACAACGCTAACCAGACAAAATTGAATGTTACAAAAAGAGCAAAGATTGAAAGTTTTGCCTCCTTTGTCAAATGTGTGGTTCAGTTTTCCATCGTAATGAACGTTCGCATGAAAGCCGGGAAAGATGCCACTTTCGTGGTTGCTTACATCCTTGCACAATTCTTTTACTCGCTCACTATATTTGTATGCTATTCGAGATTTAGGCTCGCTTGGCCTCGCGTCTCGTCTACAGGTGCCTTCCTCGAGCCATCCACATGGAATTATCTGTGCTCGCTTTTTCTTCAACAAATATTCAAACAATTTCTCACCGAGGGTGACCGATTTGTGCTCAATCAATTCTTTCCGATTGTTGATCAGGGATACTACGCTATCGTTCTCAACTATGGATCATTGATGGCACGATTGTTGTTCCAGCCAATCGAGGAAACCGTCAGAATGAACACAGCAAAGCTTTTTGCCTCGAACCAGTCAGAATCATGCAAGCGGTCAAGCCTTAACAACAACGTTTACAAAGTGGCAACCGTTTACATCTACATGTTGACTTTGCTACTTTTATTTGCTCCTCGAAATACCTCATTCCTCGTCCATCACGCATTTCCAAACATGGCAGACCCTGAAAAGCTTGTCGAGGTTTTCAAAATCTACTGGTATTACCTCCCTCTACTATCCATGAATGGTATACTCGAAGCGCTCTTCAACTCGGTCTATACAGATCCACATCACGTGAGTCTGTACTCGCGACTAATGTTCGTCAATTCCGCGTGTTTCTATCTGACGTCCGCCTTCTTCATCAAACGGTTTCAGCTTGGACTTGTAGGTCTGATTTTGGCGAACTCTATCAACATGCTTACTCGGATTCTATTTTGCGCGTTTGAAGTCAAACCTTTCCTCAGCTTCAAAGGCCAAAATTACACCAAATTCCTTTACTTCTGGGCATTTTGTGCTGTAATAGTCGCCATTCAAAACAAAGTCATTGCAGGAGATACGGTCACTGCGATCCAGTTTGGTCAGGATCTTGGACTCGGACTTGTTGCCTTGGCCTTTATCGTTATGATCGAAAGCAAAAATTTATTATCTAGCAATGACTATTAGCGAACCCTGCTCCGACAGTACGGACAAGTGTTGCAGCGATTATACCACGTTCCAAAACAGTCCTGGTGAAACACATGCCGACAGCCTAACAACACTGTATCCTGAGTTATCAAGTCATCCAAACAAATGAGGCACTTGTTATTGACTATTGTTGCCGCTCTGTAATCGAAAGTTGGCAGTCTCACCAACATTGACTGGAACTGGCGAATTCTTATACATCTTCTCATGCTCTGAATCGTGAGCTTGGCGATGTTTATGACTGTGGACGTTTGATATCTAGTGCGTGAGTAATAAATAAAAAGAATCACGCATATATTAAAGAACGTTGCCTTAGAGAACATCTTCGAGAATGCTGTTTCCACAAACTGCGGCGATATGTAGTATAATGATCCAGAAGTAGCAGCACCAAGCCCTAGCTTCTTGAAGTTAGAGTAGGGAACTTGGTCTGACCTGCTTCCTATCATTAGAGCAATTGATATATGTGGAACAAGCTAGAGGTTTCTAATAAATATTCTAAAAAAATGTGCACAAGACTTTACAAAAAATAGCATGTGTAACTAAAACGCAGAAATCTTTTTTGTGTATTAGTTCTCAACGCCAAATAATCTATATAATAGCTCATGAGTCTCATGCTTGTTGACCATCAGGTTGAAATTGGAGCGTCCTTTCCAGAGAGGCAAATACATATCCTCTTTATCTTGACCTCTTTTCACTCTGACGAAGAAGCATCCTTCAGGAAAGTCGGTGATTTTTTCGATAAATTCTGGATCTACTTTGTCCTCTCTAATCTTATTCACGTTAGGGAATGTTTCGCTCAAAAGAATCTTCAGAAGGTCTAAATTGATCTCGAATGTTCTACTGCTTCCCAAATGGTCCTTCAAAATAGGCATAGCTTCGTATTGGACTCTCCAAGGACATGATTGTTGTGAGTACTCTGCTCTTTGCGAAACGAAAACTTTGACTCCTGCGTAAATCAACTTGAGTTTGGCTTCGTTCGTTTGAATAATGTTTTTCACTATTGGGGAGACAAAATAAATGGATCTCAGCGGCTCACCTGTGCCATTTCTGACTAGCATGCTGTCCTTTGGAAACGTGTCCTTCACCTCGTAAAAGTCCCAGCATTTCTTGAGCTCTGTATTGTCTTTGTCCAAAAACACAAATGGTTCTTCGTTGGCGTCCCTTGGTAATCTTTCTTTCTTCACAGCATCAATTTTTTTCTCGCCCTCGTTGCTGCTTTCCAATCTGGGTTTCTTGGCAGCAGGTTCTTCGTCCTCGTCTTTTTTATCCTCATCTGGGTTAACTTTCTCTAAAACAGTAATAAAGAAGCCTCCTGTGTTTTGATCATGCGGATACACTCTCATACAGTCCTGCAAATTGAATGTGTTAGCCTCCTCTGCAGATGGAGGGAAGACACTGTTGGGAAGACCTTCATGAATGTCTTCTTTACTTCTCTCTTCCCAGTCCTTACCAAAAACTTTCCAATGGGACACTCCGGGACGTCTTTTGAGTCCTATCAGCATGTTATCACAGTTAACAATTTTCACTTTTCCGCCCCACTTGCTCAAAGCAGCAGAAACAACGGCTTCGTTTTCGATTGGATTCAAGGAACAGGTCGAGTAAACAAGCCTACCCCCTTTTCTGAGAAGCTGTAATCCTCTCATCAGAATATTCAGTTGCAGTGAGTGCAGTCCCAAAGCGTTTCCTATTCTCCAATCTTTCCAGACAGTCAAGTTCTTTCTCATGGTACCATCTCCGGTACAAGGGACATCACACAGTATTCTGTCGAATTTAACATAATCGCCTTCTGGGGTTAGCTTCATTTTGGGGAACAGCTGGGCATCATGGTTGACAACCACCAGATTCGGGGAGTTGAGTCGTTTCACTTGATGAACAAGCATATGAGACCGTTTGTAGTCCGAATCGTTTGCAACAATGAATCCAGGCGCGTGGACTCCTTCGTTATGCAAAGCTTCAATTAATTGAGCCGTCTTGGAGCCGGGAGCTGCACACATGTCCAACACGTAATGGTGCGGTTGCACCTCCAAAAATAAAGGAGGAATCATTGAGACGGCCTCCTGTCTGGAGATGTTACCTACCTCTGTTTCGACAACAAGGAATTTCTGAGTTGATGCGTACAAGGGGTTTTTTTTCACGACAGATTTAGGCAAATCTATTTGGAAACCCAACTTTCCAGGGTACCAAGGAAACGGAAATGGAGGCTTGGAGTTCTCATCATTTGCATTGGTCAGATTTGGCATATGTTTAGTGGTGAAGAGCTCGGAAATTTCATTCGCATGTTTCTTGAAGCCGGTAATTCTGAAGGTGAGCGGTAGATCTTGCTGACAGGTCGTCTTGAACAGGTCAAACTCTTCCTCTGGGATCAGACTCTGAGCCCTATAATATCTCTCCCATTGATCATTTTTCCGCTCTATCTCCTTCCAATAACCTCTGTTCTCGCGGGTTCCAGTCTGAGCACCGGTCTTATTGCCCTTTCTTTTCCCCATTAGTGTACTGTATAGACGAGCTCTCTGAAATATTTTTTCCATAAAAATTTTTGGTCGAGCGGTCGCTCAGGTCGATCGACTTACATCAGGATCAGGATGTCTTCTCAGTCTCTTCCTGCGATAATAATCCAAACGTCTTTTCCGCTTCAGAACATCTGTCAAATCTTCCACCTCGTCCAGCTCCATGAAGTGCTTGTGGATATCCCCTCGCTGTCCCACAAAGTCGTTAATCCATTTTTCAACCAGGACACCCATCGCCAGCAAAGCAGATTCGTCACAGAAGCGCGTGAACAGTGTGTCCTTCTGGCTATCAGCAATAGTTGGGTCGTTCTGGATACGTTCAGCGAAATAATAATGCAGAGATTTTAGTAACTCAGACGATGGAAGATCAACGCCAGTGTGTCCCTTGATTTCCTCTCGTGTCAAATACTTCAAATCATCAGGATTCACGTTGAAAACACCATACAGAAGCTCGTCTGGAGCGATGGCTCGCCCTTTAGAAATGTAGCCCACAGGAGTTTTGTATTTCTCTTTATCAACACCGTCTTTCAGACGAGGCAATCCTTCAAAGTCTACCAGTGCCTCTGGATCATTCAGTTTATATTTGAGTGACCTTCCCATGGTATAATATCCTGCACTGGACTCATATATATTGAGCGATCGGGCTTGTTTGGAGTTCAGGTTGACATTCATGTGAAGAAAATATTAATACGTAATTTTTGGGCCATCATATGAATAATCAGGCTGACCAACTAGCGACCGCAAATGAAGCAATTAGAGCACTTGCAGAGAGAATAGTACACAAAGAGCGGGAGCTCGACCAGCTGAAGACTGCTTACAAAGAAAAAATAGGCGACCTGGATCGATATCTGGAGAAGCTAAAAAATCTTGAAATCATTCAGGGTGGACAGAACGCTGCTGAGAGCGTGGTCAAAATCAAGGAATTTCGTTGTCCAGATTGCAAGTCGTTGCTGTATGATGAAAAAAAACAAACAGATTATATTCTCCTGCCAAACAAGGTCAAACTACAGTCCACAGAACATAGTCAATGCGATATGCCTGTGATGCCAAATTTGAGCTCAAAAAAGACGACAATGGCTACACGAAAAAGCAAAAAAATGACATGCTCATACTGCATGAAACAAGGACATAAGAGAGCGCAATGTCCTGACATTTTGTATGGAAAATCCGGCTAATAATGTACATAAATAGTAATGGAAAATCCGTTTTTTAGCACTTATCTGTCTCTATCTGCACCCTTCATTTTCCTCCAATCTTGTCACCTGCGCTAGCCATGGCCTCCCTTCTACTGGCATCTTGCAAAAGGTTGGTATCAACCAGGCTTGGATTTATGTGAATGTATCTGATGTTCGAGCCTCTGATGAACAAATTGCGCACTGCTATTAGATGAGGATATTTTGCTGTGTTCGCGGAGATGTTGTCCAGCTTCAGATTGAGGTATTGGTCAATGGATTTGAGAGTACCTTTTATTTCAACGTCGTTTTTTAGCTAAAAGTTAGTAACCAATATTGTCCCACCTACTTCAACAGTGATCTGATTGTTAGCTTCTCTAGCTTCTTCCGGGTATAACTTACCTCCTGGTCCACCAGGGTCTTGAAGAATGAGAAAAATAGCATTCTTTAGTCTCTTGCGTATATCGCACAATATTTTTGATGTTGGATTTCTACACATTTTTTCGGCTGAGGCCAATATTTAAAATGACAGAAGTAGTTCGTATGTACAGGTTATAACGTATGATATACAAAGACTTATTTCAAAGCAACATTGTTGGCCTTCGCTTTGTGGAGAAAGTTCTTCAGCAGCATCAGGTTTGTTCTAGAAGGTTTCTTTAAGTGACACACAGTCATCAAGACACCGGTGAGAAGGGCCAGAGCACCTCCCTGGTGTGCTGCTGCCAGCTCTGTTGGAACTAACCATAATAACGTACAAATTCCAAGTGTCAACTGGAGCGAGACCAATCCCATTGAGATGTTGAGCCATTTGTAGGCATGCCTTGGGATAATTGACCTGATTTTATGAGAGTACATGTGAAGAGCAAACACGGAACAGAAAGTAGTGATGGCGAGTATACGGTGATTTAATTGCACCGTAGCTGGGTTTTCAAACATGTTTCTCCAGAACAAATCCGATTGGTCAGCAAGTCTCGAAAAGACTGGAGACATGAGTTCATTCATCGATGGGATGTAGTCGTCTCCCATGTGAGGGAACGTGTTGTAAATTAGGCCTGCATCCAACCCTGCAACCATGGCTCCTGACATGGCTGTTAAAAAGACCAAACCGAGCAGTCCTTTACTTAACCGGCGAAACAGCTTGAGCGATGGTGACTGGATCTTTTGGAAAATCTCGAGGTAAGTTTGCGGGTCCTTCATGATAGCATGGTCTCTCAGAATTCCAAAACCTGTGGAGATCATAGTGCAATACACCAAAAATGCAGCAGCCAAATGGGCAGTCAGTCTATATTGCGAGACAGTTGGCTTCGATCTGCGCTCCTCAAGAAGTTTCTCGTCGATTCCTGAGTACACCATCCACCATCCAATAGCACCTTGAAGGCCAATTAGAGCACAAATGCCTAGAAGTTTGAATGCGACTGGTGGTGAAACTTGTCTGCGGGCTATGAAATAAAGAGTTGGAAGAACAAACACCATTCCAATGATTCTTCCTAACAAGCGGTGAGACCACTCCATCAAGAAAATAAACTTAAATTCCTCTAGCGTGATGTGCGAGTTCAGCAATTTGAACTCAGGAGAGTCTTGGTATTTGCGGAACTCTTCTTCCCAGTCCTCCTGCGACATTGGAGGAATGGCACCTGTCACGGGTTTCCATTCAGTAATCGATAAACCGGACTCAGTCAACCTTGTAAGTCCTCCAAGAATAACGATTGCAAACACCAGAACCGAAGTTCCTATGCACAAGTAACCCAGTTTGATATTCGAATTAGCGGGCCACTTGGATTTTTTGACCACTTTTGCTTCTTCCCAAATGGTCTTCGTGGTGCTGAAGGGTCTCTTTTGGGTGAACAGAGACTGTCCATTGGTGTGTTTCATACCGTAAATCTTTGATGTGATCGACGGAGGAGACGTCTTGAAAAAGCTTGACCCCAACACACTGTTCTTCGGCGTGGGCTGACTTTTGCCTAGAAGGCGCGACAGTTGCTTGCCTGTGCTGCCCTTAAGCCCCACGCTAAGTAATGAAGTGTTCTTCACAAAGAAAAATTGACTTCGACACAAGGACATCAAGAAATGAGAATTACTGATTATAATTTGAAAGGATTTTAGAGGTTTCATAAAATCAGCCCAACTTTTCAGTCCCCGTCTCTACACAGCCTTAATTCATTTTTTTTCTTCAAGTCGCACAGCCGGCAAAATTTTGTCTTTTTATCGCTCTTGCGTTTTTATTAGGCGGTACGATAACTTCTTTTCTCGGCAGTGTAAATCTCCCGAATTTGGATGCGCTACAAAAAAATTGTGACAAGGAAACCCCTTTAGTTGCTTACATTTTGAATTGTGAAATAGAAATAGCAGTTGAGCTCCGCATTTGAAGGAAGCTATTGCAAATTTGACGGTCATCACTTATAGGCAAAAACTAGACACGTTTGCTGGGCCTAATACATGTTTCTAAAATAGCCATGTCTCAAACACCGCCCTATACCCCGGTATGTGAGGTATCGTCAGCTACCTTTGAAGACACAAAATCATCATCCAGCACTTCTATGTCCTGTCTTGGAACAGACTCAATCACAGTTGATACCACGAATGTCAGCACGACGGGAACAACGGAGCCGTATTACAATTCGCCAACCTCACCTTCATCTCAGAAATTTGATAGCTCACAAGTTCTTACGAATATTCTTGATACCAGGCCGCAGATTCCCAAACATTATATCGGTGTACCAAAAACGCCATCGAGCACGAAATCCCTCACCCCATATAAATTAAAATCCAAATCGCTGGAAGACTTTGTACTCTCTTCGACAGTCTTCGAAATCAAGCTCGATAGTCTTCTTGGCAAAGGATCCAACTCGTATGTGCATTTGGCTACCCTTTCAACGAGAGAAACTAAAAACATGGCTATGCAATTTGCTATCAAGATCCCCACCGCCAAAAATAAAGTCAAACTCATTGAGAAGGAGACAGAGTTTTTGCTTCTTTTAAGAGATTATAGAGATAACACATGGTACCGGAAATATGGTGATAAGCCATTTCCATTTGTCGATGCATATGGATTGTACTATCTGGACAAAACACAGTTCCCCATGCTCAAGAAAACAGACTTACTCCCTTGTCTTCTATTGAAAAACTCCGATACAGATCTATTCAGATTTATAAACGAAAGGCGCGAGTTAACCAATGCATACGAACCAGCAATTGGCCTAAAAAACTGGTTTTGTTTATTCAACTTTTTACTGGACGTGCTCCAAGTCCTGAGAGACCTCGAAGCCGTTCACTGTGACATTAAAACTGACAATATCTTGGTGGAGAACTTATCCATTTCTGAACCAGCTTTTAAACTCATTGACTTTACGTCTTCCGCTAAAATTGTGGACATACATGAACAGCCGGAAATGACTCTGCAATTCACTGCCCCAGAATTGCTCAAGGATCAAAACAAGATTCCAGACTTCAGCACGGACCTCTATAGTTCGGGCTTGGTTTTATTACATGCAGCTACAGGTAGCGCTCCATACCATGGTTATGATTACGATCCCTACTATCTTATCACTTTAGTCAAGGAAGGAAAGGTACTTGAACTGTTAACTAGAGAGGAACTGAACAGAATGACGGGAAATTCTCAAGTGCAGGAGATTCTGAATCTTATATTGGTGAAAAGGTGCACATTGGAGGAGCTTCTTCCATTACATAGTTGAATACGTTATCAACGAATCTAATCTCGGAGTCGCGTCGATCGGCGAGTAGTGGATATGAAAATTTTGAATTGAGGAAAAAAAAAATAATTTATATACCTTGTCACAAGTGTTGTTGTATCTCGCATCATTTATCAAGATTTCAAAGCTCTTTAATTAACGGAGTGATTGCACTTTTACACGCGCTTTTGTGTTTTTGTGTTTCTCGGAATCAAGATTTTATAGAGGCTGTTCGATGGGACTATAGAACTATAACCAAGGATAATTTCAAATATGACATCAACAATTTCAGGAGATGATGCATTAAGCGATTGCAATGATTCTACCGCCTCTTCAGCGAAACAGTCCCAAGGTATTGACTCTAGTTTACAGTTTCCCATGGCAATGCAGTCCTCCAGGGGAAAATCTTTTGAGCATGGGGAGGGATCAGATCATATCCAAGCGTACGCTATGCTGGATTTTGAGAATTTCACCTTCTACGTACAAACCATGCAGATTTTACTTGGAAGACTAGTCGAAGGTGACACTAGTACCGACTCGCTCGACATTCATCTGGGCCAGCAGAAAGCTATTTCCAGAAGACATGCAAAGATATTTTACAATTTCGGCAACCAGAGATTTGAGCTTTCCGTTGTTGGTAGAAATGGCGCTTTTGTCGACGACATATTTGTTGAAAACGGGGTAACCTTACCACTCAAAGATAAGACTAGAATACAAATAGGAGAGACGAGGTTCATGTTTATCCTTCCAACGGATGAGACTGTTACTGATTCCAAAAATGGAAAACAAATCAAACCTATAAATCCTTCAGATGCAGTCAGCTTGAAAACTTCATTCTCTAATAACCATGCTACTAGCAGTGGAAGCTCGCGAGAAGGCTCGTCGACTCCGCAACATCCGAAAGTGAACGATAACAAGTCCTCGACAGTCCTCAAATTGGGTGATGATTTTGTCAATGAATTGAGAGCGAACGCGGAGGCTTCTGTGGTCAAACGTGAGGAAGCGGCCGCTGCTGCTGCTGCGCGAAATGGAAGCCAGGTTTCCTCGATGGATAGTATGAATGCTTTATCTGCGGCCGGACGCGCACAACAGTCTCTTCAGTCGGCAAAGGATAAGTTGAAAAAACCATTTAAAGCAGTCAAGAAAGTCTACAAGCCCGAGGAGATTCCTGAAGAGTACCGGACAAAGCCCAACTTTTCCTACTCAACGCTTATTGCCGAATGTTTGCGACAGAAAGGAACAGAACGGGGCATGTCTCTTTCGGAAATCTACAAAGGAATTCAAGAATTGTACCCTTACTATTATTACTGTCCAGATGGTTGGCAAAGTTCGGTTAGACACAATCTGTCTTTGAACAAGTCTTTTCGCAAGGTGTGCAAGGAAGGAAAAGGTTGGCTATGGGGTCTCGATGAAGAGTATTTCGCTGAAAAAGAACGTCTGAAACGAAAACAAATAGAGCTCGCCAACATCAAGGCCACACAGCACTTACAAACCCTGTCACAGCAGTTCCAACAACAACCAGCTCGCCCCGAGTCGTACTCATCATCGACTTCCCCTGCTCCTGAATCGAACAATTCTGAGTCTTCGAACTCCAAATTGTCTGGAGATACAAAGAAAGCGCTTTCGTATTTACAGCAGGAACTTATCAGACTCACCAAGGACCGCAAAATGTACGATAAAGAAACAACCACTCAAATTCTTACCCAGGCCCTTGCGATGACCATTGCACAGGTGAACCAAGCCGCAAAAAATGCTGGAATCCAGGGTTTCCCGTTGGTCACACTAATCGACAAGAACCCTGCACATATCACTAAGATTCTCTCCGCCGCTTTGAACGCTGCTACCATTCAGGTAACCAAGAAAAAAGGACTTCCGCCTCCCGATAACTCGCCAGCTCCGCCCGTCTCCAAGCCTGTTGAACCTGTTCCTGCGCGGTCCAACATCCAACAATTTGCAAGGCCTTCTCCTCCCGTCCCCAAACCGTTAGCCACCTCGGGATCGATCAAGTCCATTTCTTCAGCTCAGGCGGGAATAGCAAGCACTTCAGCAGGCCCCTCCTCCTCTTCTCCAATCCCTTCGATTAGAAAACCTCAATATTATGGGAAGCCACTATCCGTTGCACCTTCCAGCTCGAGATCAATTAATAAACCGGTCCAACAAAAGCAATCGCAATTTGACAACGAAAGCATACAACTACAGTTTCAGAAGTTTTCGCAGCCAACTCCTCCTGTTGCACCGGTTGCAAAACCTAAGTCTGACATGGAAGATTTGGATATGAAACTAATGCTTGATAGTATGGATCACGATAAAGACACTTCGAAGGAATTGGATTTGGACAAGTTTCTTGCTCAGCACTCGGGGGAGGTAGAGCTGAACTCAAGGAAAAGACCGCTAGACTCATCGGACTCGACCAAGAACCAAGAACCGGACCCCAAATCCTCTAAAATTGAATAGTACATTCATATACTTGTATATGCGAATATGCGTTGTATTCGTAATTCAACATACAATGAATTAGGCCTCAACATTGTTGAAGGATTTCTCCTTCTCTTTAATTTCCCAGAAGAGAGGGCCAACGTCGTGATTGCCATGGAACACCCATCCATTTTCGGTGACGTGGTATAGATTAATAGATCCACCCGAGTATGCATCTCTGTGAGCGGCAGCAAGAATGGCTCTTTTCCCCAAGTAAAGAGCGTCTTCGACGGACAAATCCCACTTGTAATTGGTGTCAAGCACACCATAGGCAAATGTTTGACCGGAACCCACACAGAACAAATCGCCCTTCAACCTCGTTCCATCGGAATCAACATAGTAGATAGTAGGTCCCTCTTTTGGGGTGTATCCGCAAATCATGGTACCCATTCCGAGACCCATGCCTTTGTAGCTGTAAACAAGATTGCACAATATTTTTGACGCAGCACAAACAGAAATTCGTTCTTTGTTTCTGAGCTCATGCAGTCTACATTGAGTTCCCAGCCACGTCTCCCAATACTGACAGTCGCAAGCTGTACCGGCCATAGTTCCCAATAACATTGGGTTGATTTCAATGACTTTCTTCACGGTTTGAGATGCGATCCAGTTACCGGCAGTGGCCCTAGAATCGACTGCCACGATGATTCCTCCTTGGAACCGGAACGCCAGCGTGGTGGTTCCGTGGGCCATCTTGATCTTACAATCTGGATTCGAGTCATGGTCGGTGTGTGCTCTCAGGAAGGCTGTTGGCTGTGATATAGGAGGCACTGATATACTTGGAGCGAGGGAATTCAGCGATGGTTGTATTCTTTGGTAGTCTGAAGCAGCCTCTTCCAATTCTGCCTCGAATTGAGTTTTGTGGGTGAATCTTCTCCCAATTTCTGTGATGGACATGTTTGTTAGATTTATTTGCCACTGTAACTAATATACTAAAAGCCAGTCTGTCTCGCAGGTTCACGGGTGTCCAACTGAACTCTCTTCATACACCCGTACACCGGTAAGGGTTTTTTGGAAAACTAACAAGTCACATGATTTTCCATTGCCCGTGTACTCTGCCAATTCTGAGATGGTGTGCGGATGGATGAAAAATTTTTGTATCAACTCTTGAACTAACTATCAGAATCGACATGTCGAGCCAAAACCCTATGAGAGAACTCAAGATTGAGAAGCTGGTTCTCAACATCTGTGTTGGTGAGTCTGGTGACAGATTGACCAGAGCTTCTAAAGTGTTGGAGCAGCTGTCTGGTCAGACCCCAGTGCAGAGCAAAGCCAGATACACCGTTAGAACTTTTGGTATCAGAAGAAACGAAAAGATCGCTGTCCACGTCACCGTCAGAGGACCAAAGGCAGAGGAGATTTTGGAGAGAGGACTGAAGGTGAAGGAGTACCAACTGAGAGAAAAGAATTTCTCCGAGACTGGTAACTTCGGTTTCGGTATTCAAGAACACATCGACTTGGGTATTAAGTACGACCCAGGTATTGGAATTTACGGTATGGACTTCTACGTCGTGATGGGCAGAGCTGGTTTCAGAGTTGCCAGAAGAAAGAGAGCTAAGGGTAAGGTTGGTGTTTCTCACAAGTGCTCCAAGGAGGACACCATTGCTTGGTTTAAAGCCAAGTACGATGCTGATGTTCTTCCTTAGATACATACTCGATAATTGTCATAAGATATTAATGCGAGCGTAGCAGTAATGCCTTCCCAGTCGTTATTCATCGAACTTTATTTGGTTCTCCAATTCCTGAAGAGCAGCCTCGACACCAATGTCGATCAGCTCTTCCATTTTCTCAGTCCATCTTGTTCCCAGGTATTCGTTCATAGGCTCAAAGTCTGTGCATTGCCGTTTCCGTTCCTCGTTAATTTCGTCCTTGTGTCGTCTCTTTCGTTCAATAGCGCGCTCTAGTACTTCTTGGTGCTGCTTCAAATTGTCCAAATGCGTCATCCACTTGTTTTTGTTGATCTCCTGTGCACTCTCCTGACTGTTGAGTAGGAGGGTCCTGTACCGTAGCTGAGTATATGAGAGCGCCGTCTTCATCTTGTCGATGTCTGGTTCGTTGTACTCGTTCAGCAGGTTGCTGTAGCTTGAAAGACTGATCCCTCCAATGCCTTCGTTGGTAATTGGTAAACTCCGGGACTCGCTGTCCAGATCCGAAGAATCGTTGCGCAACATCGGATGCAACTGATGCAAGTTGAAATTCATTAATTCTTCCTGAATCAGGTCGTCCACCACCGCTAAAACATCGTTGGAAGGCTCCTGATCAATATATGGTAGATAATCAAATATTATCTCCTCATGAGGAGAAGCAGATGATTCTGTCTCAGACGACATATTGCGTTTGAGATCTATGCAACTAATGTTTTTTTTTAAAAAAAATTACTTCTGGGGAGGTCTGCATCGAATTATTTACTCCTTACACCTATAAGATTTTATGTCGCTATAAGGGACTTCGAATAGCAGGCTGCCTGCCAAGCATGCAAGTACCATCAAAATCCCAAAAACCGCGTAAATAGTACCAACCACTCTGAACACACCTATGCGAAAGACGTTGTAAAATTCGATAATTCCCAGGCTCAGTGCACACACCGGAAACGGAACAATCCAGTAGGTACGGTTGAAAGCCGGTAGTCCATATACAATCCACATTGCCAGACCAAGAAATGTAAAGAAGAAACCAACAGCAATAAGAAACAGTGCCACCATTCCTGTCACGTACTGAACTCCAAGTCCCAGGAGCTGCGTATCAACAGAAAAAAGGTGAGCGTGGATCTCAAGATAGCGTTTGAGATTGCTACCATTGAGTAATATTCCCCAAACTCCATGTCCAATTAAACCAATTGGAGCAAAAGGGGTAAACATAAGTTGCTTTGGAGGGAGCTTGTATACAAGCATTTTCCAGATAAAGATTGCAATCAGACTGAACCCAAGCATCATGGAGTTGGCCCAGAGGAAATATGTCAAAATGATAAGCATCAGCTGAATTCGGCTAGAGTACCCTACAAAAGCCTCACAAATAAATGCTCCACTCGATCCGCACACGGTAAGTGGCAATACTGGCAGTATAATCTGTGGATTCAGTTGATGCTTCTCGATCTTACTTTTCCAAAGCAATACGAAGACTAGCAGCCAGCCGCACAACAAAGCCATGGCAAAATTGATAAACCACATGACTACAAGCCCAACCTTAAAACTTTTGTCATAATGGTCTGTAATCATGTGAATCATGTTAATAATTGTGCTAAATCCCATGGAGTAAGGCCCCAAAAATAAATTCAGCTGGATATCGGTAGCTAATTGATGTGCGAATCCACGAAACCAGTACATTTTCAACGATAAAAACACACTGACCATAATAAACAAACAGAGTGAAACGGCCCACATGATGAGCCCAAAGAAGCGAAAAACGCCTATTTCATAAGGAAAGCGAAATAGAACCCCCGAGCATATTCCCGTTGACATAAAAGCCACATTCCATATCGGATGGTAATTTTTGATCACTACATCCTTGAGTACAGAGCTGTTCTCTTTCACATCTTGATCTTCTAGATCAGCCTCCTTCATGCCAAAACAGATGAAATACGGATGTCGGCTATATTATTTAGTCATGTCAAATGTTGAGTTACCTAAAATGCGGGTTACATACATCCGTACACGGAGTTTTATCAAATTAGCGTTCTATCAAAATGTCGTCAATGATGTCGATCATCCGGTCTCTCTGAGCGTCCCCAGGCCCACTTCGTTTTAGTAATTCGTCCCGAAAGTCCCGAAACGCTGGCTGAAACTCTCGTAGCACAAAGCTCTGCGGCGTGCGACTGTACAAGACCTGGAAAAGCTGAAGAACCAACAGGGGATCGACTAGTTCCGGCTGTGACAGCCGTTCGAACAACGAGTTTAGTATTTCCTCGGAGGAGCACAAATAGTTATAGATGCTGAATGATTGAGTGTATTTTCTGTTCGAATGAACCCATTTGTCACGGTGTTTCTCGAGCACTTGGATAAATTCCACGAAAAATTGATCGAGGTCATTATCGAGTCTCATGCTTGCCACAATCTTGTTGAGAAGCAATGGCTTCCTTTTCAGCGCCTCATCAAGAATGTCGTTCTCTGTCTCCGCGAGGCACCTTATGTTTCGAATTGCCGTAAGTCGGTAATGGGGGTCGTCAAGAACATTAATCAGTATTTCAGTTGCCCCATATCGTCTGCATACCTGTGATAGTTTGGGATTGCCGGCCGCGGCTGTAAAGATATCAATCACTTGGTTCCTGATGTTTTCGTTCCGTTTTGAGTTGGCAAAGAGTTTCAGCAAGTGGTTGAAAAGCTCGATACTGCTAGTAGACAGTAAATCCACCTGCCTGTTGGAGTCCAAAGTGCATAGCTTTTGAAGAATGGGTATTGTGCATTTCACAAACCTTTCGTATGCTTTGGAGCACTCTTCCGAAGAGAGATCCTCAAGAAGCTGGTCAAAGATCTGCTGGATCTGTGAATTATCTAAATCTTTCAAAGCGCTATCCAGAAACATATCGCACTTGTTCACTATTCTAACCATCTCGAGTTTGGACTCGAGTGGCAGTTTTGCAAATCTCCTGAATAGACATGCAAAGAAATCACCCGTAAAGAATCTGCCTCGAAGGTTGTAGGAACAGTAATGAGCTACTTTAGCAAGAAGTTTGACGGTCCTAGCGGCCACCGCTAGTTGTGTTTCGCTCATGTGGCCCCGTATATTGCTCAAACTGGTGGCAAGCAGTCTCGGAACAGAATGTGTAATCAGGATCGAGGACATCCCTTGTTTCTCAATTTTCTCATTCCTGAAAAGTTCAAGCAGCAGCTCAACGCATGAATTTTGCCTCATAGAGTCTCCATTTTTCAATGTCAAAACAAGTACTTCACAGATATCAGTTGAAATAAGAGACAGAGTTGGCAAGTTGGACTTCACAAGCATGGACAAATATGTGAAAACGCTTTCCTCTTCGTAATATGCTTTGATGAGTCTCGAGGTGCACCCACAGTGATAAAATGTCACCATACTTTGAGTGTCGTGTCGGAAGAGCTCGACCGCAATCTTCATAAGCTCAATTTTGCAATCGTCTGAAACCTCCGTCAACAGTCTCGAGGTAAGCTTGTAGACAAATTTTTGATCTATAAGGCATTTGATCACAAAATTCACGCCTGCGTGTAGCTTTTCGTCCTCCTGGCCAAACTCATCATCTTCAGTCACAAACTTGTAAATCAGCTGCAGCTCTTCCAATGCCGCTTGCTCTGTGCGGTCGATCAAGTCTTGAATGTATGCTCTTTTTTGCTCCCTAATGTCGGTTTGCTTGTGGCCTCCAATGTCAAGATCTTTAAAATCTTCAATCTCGAAAACATCCATGAAATCGTCCTCGCTTTCCCCTGACATGGACTCTTTATAAATTTCAAGCCTTTGCTTCTTATTCATGGTATTGATAGTCATCAATAAATTTATGGATAGCTCTTCAAAATCGTTATCGTAATTGTCCTGGAATGTCTCATTGTATTGTTTCAAAAAGCCGGTCCTAATCTCGCGGTTGAGACTGGACCTATGTGACTCATCGTGTTTGATTTCTCCCTGAGTCCAGGGATGTCGAAGAAGCTGCTCTGCACTGAGTCTAGCTTTCCTGTCCTGTTGGAAACACCCAACTGTCAAAAACTGGAAACATTCGCGAGATATCCCGGATGGTATATCGGGGGGCTCCCCCGATCCAATCGCGTGACAAGCTGGGAATGGATCATGCTGGTAGAAAGGTGGCTGAGTGGTTAGCAGCTCCACTACCGTAGCTCCCAAACTCCAAATGTCGGAAGCGGTGGAAACTCCTTGCAGTCTAATGACCTCCGGTGCCATCCAATAAGGTGAACCGTTTGCTTCCTTTCTCTTGTCCTTCAACGTTTCCACGTCATCCTTAGCGTCAAATTTGATACTTACACCAAAATCTGCAAGCTTTATGACGCCGTTTTTGAGCAGAATGTTCGCTGCTTTAATGTCACTGTGGATGAAGCGTTTCTGGTGTAGATACACCAATCCCTCCAGCGTCTGTTTGATATAACCTATAACTTCAAGTTCGGGTAATGGTCCCTTTGCTCTGTAACGATCTCTCAAAGAGCCACTTTCGCAGTATTCAAGTATCAAATTCATAGACATCTCGTTGACGTGATAATGGAACAATTTAACGACGTTGACGTGGTCAAACTGCTTCATAATGAGGATCTCATTCATCAAGTGCTGATTATCATTCACTGCCAAGCCGCTTTTAGAGTAAGAGTCTGAGTGCGTGTGGTCAAGCTCAATGACCTTCATCGCATATATTTCTCCTGTGTCAGCATGTTTAGCCTGGTAGACCCCGCCGTACGCGCCTCTTCCGACATGTTTAAGCTTTGTGTACTTTGCAAACTCCTCGGGAGAGAGATCAGTCATAGCATAGGAATTGTGCTTTAGATAGCTTGGGCGATTAGACTGATTCGCCCGCTGAATTACATCAGGAGACGAGTAAGCGTTGCGATGACAGTGCGAATTTGTTGAACAGATACCCATTTTTTGCTCTTTAGTACCAGTCTGTTGCCCAAGTGTAGAAGAACGCCGGTTGTTGTGGTGCACATTGTTAGGATTCAAAACTTTTAAGGCGTTATCAATTTCGTACTGCTGCACCAGAAACTTTCTCGTTGTTGTGATGAGCTCCGCGGTTTCAAACTCGTCGGTATAGTTATCATTGTCATCATTTGTTTCACGGAACAATTCCAGTACAGGCTTTCCTTTTTTGTAAGGCATCCCGCAGGTGGTTTCCAGGCTCGCTACTGTTGATCTTGACAACAACTGTTAAAGAAATTGGATAAGCATATCAACCGAAGAAAAACCGTGGTGACGATCTTAACGCTGAATTCGTTTCCAATTACCTCTGTTTATTTGTTTATGTATCACATTTTTTTTATTTTAAATTCATGCACGTTAACCGCCATTATTCTTTATTCCATGACAACAGGCTCAAATCACCTGATCTCCGCGGGTGAACAACGTTCACAACTAAGAAAATGAGGGAAAGAACAAAACATATACCTCCTGCCACAATCCAGCTGATTCCCAAAAAGGAGTTCTTGCCTCCAATCACGCTTCTTGTCGACAGGTACAAATACTTACTACCATTGTAAGGGGTGACCGGGAAATGGTAGCCCACGTCAACCTGGTATGTACCCGCTAGAAGCACATCGTCATCGTTCCTTGAGATCATTTTGGAAAAGAGTGGAAGAGCCGAGGGTTGCATCCAATTTTGAAATTCGTACCACTCGCTTATGTCTGGCATGTTGGTATCATTGTAACCTTCTGGATACGCTTTATACCAGTTTGGCGGAGGAACAACTTCTGAGGCCTTATATTTCGTCTTCTTGAAGCGGTCTTTGTTGGTGGACCAGGCAATGCCCTCTCTGTAGAGCATGTAGTCGTTCGTCGTATCGTTAACAGCGGAGAAGGTGGAAAACGTGTCATTAAACAAGGAATTAGCAATCAGTCCACAAGGATAGTACTTTTTACCTTCCTCGTTAACCGACAGAGGTTCGCAATTCTGTCCCACGGTGTCTTTAATGGTGGAAACGGAGGCAGCTTTTCCGTTAAGCTGGTCTTCACTGAAGCTTTTCACATATCTTCTGTGGTTCGCATGGAAATTGTCTAAACGGTAGAAAAAGTACACGTGAGGACCAATATCGTTTGGAATCTGAAACTGTATTTGGCATATGTCACGTTCCTCGTCGAATCCATTCCAGTAAGAAGACTCGTTGGTAGCCAGTTTCCACTGTGGCTTTACTGTGATATCCTTTTTAAACTGGAATTTGTAGTTTTTCTCAGGGATTTCACTAAAGTAATCCGAACTTGCCAATGTCTTGCAATCACTGTAATCAATCACAAACTCCTGCACCTGATATGACCCGTACAGCATTCCAGCGCCGAGGGGAACAAATATTATGGCAATCACAAAAAGCAGGGGAATCACAGTTTTCGGTGTGAGGATAGGATGGTATGCTTTGAGCTTTTGTTGTGTGAAAGCGTTTTCTTTCGGTCTTCTGCTCTTCTTCTTTTCATTTTGTTCCGATTGGGAGTCACTCAAATCGTCATCATCCTCCTCCATCGCGTCAACTGGCGGATTTGGCTGGGTAATCGGATCGTCTTCCGACTGGTCCTCTTTGCGCCTTCTGAGTCCTGAAAGCATGACCAAATATCAAGTTAGTTGTTGATTATAAATTTGAATTTAAAAAAATCGATGGTGCAAGGGAGTCATACTCGGTAGCCGTTGAAGATATATATGTACATCATTATTTACTCAGTCTTCTCGGCTTCTTCGGTCTCTTCAGCAGATTTCGTCTTCCGTTCAAACTTAAGGGCCTCCAGCTTTTCGAGCTGAGTCTCCTTCTTACCAATTTTCTGCTGCAAAGCCTCTGCTTCCGAAATAAATGCCTCGTTCAGTTTCACAAGCTCAGAATATTTGGATGAATATGGCAGCTCTGGAGCCCTGACGACACAATGCGACAGATATTTTGTGATTGTATAAATATGCTCCAGACCGTAGTACATTTTGATCAGGTTGGATTTCTCAAAGTCTGCAATATTAAATCCAGCAAAGCCTTGCAGTCTATCAAACGTCTTTTCAACAGCCTTATTGACTAAAGCATCTGTCTCTCCAAGTACTTCCACCTGGGCTCTTTGGAGGTTAATAAATCCGCAAAGTTCAGTCAATAAGGAACTTGGCTCGTTCACCTTCTTTCGGTGTTTGCGGTCTGGCCTTCTCACAAATCTTGTCTTCACATTGAACCATTGTAAAGAAGTAATCTTATTCTTTTCAATCTCCAGAGCGCGCAAAAGAATGACAGCCTCGGAAACAGTCTGATTATATCTAAGACTGGATTTGTAAGTTTTCAGCTGGAACACAAGGCTCAACGCATCTGACAACCTATTGAACTCAGCTGCTTTGTACAAAAATGACTTTATCACCATTTCATTGAGAAGTTCAGGAGCATGCAAATCGAGCTTCTTTATCACAGGGAACAAGTCGTCGAGCTCGCTACGAACCAACAATCCGTCAATGAAAAATGAAAATCTCAATCTTGATGGTGCCCCTGGAACAGGTTTTGGCGTCAGCGGTCTTCCTTCAAGATCTAAAGCATTTCTGGACAACATTTCTGGCTGATTATGTTTCCTGTACACTATATCTCTCACTCTTGGGGTGAGGGACTTGTAGTAAAGATAATCGTCCACATTATCCTTGATTTCGTAATATCTATCGCCTGGAATTCGGTTCGCCAGTTGTGCGGTTGTGACTAGTCTTATAAACGACCGCAAGGGAAGCCGGCGAGCCGTTAAAGGTCGGGTCAGATTTTGCATGCTGATAGATGTTGGTAAATTTTTCAGCTTTTTTTCAGGACATAGATTTCAGTGTCCAATGACGTAAGCTGCGCTTGTACTTTTCTCGAATAAAAAATGGCAAATATACTCACATCAAAATAATTTCGATTAAACATGTCTGATTGGGATTCTGTTACGGTCATTGGAAGAAAAGCTAGAATCGGTGGTTCTGGCCCAAAGGAGAGAGTTGTCAGGTCTGAGTCTCAGCTTAATGCGGCCAGAAGATCGGGTGCGGTTGTCGCGGTTGAAAAGAAATACGGAGGTGCCAATGCCAAGGGCGATCCAGAAGGACAAAGACTTACCAAGATTGACAGAACTGATGAAATTGTTGCTCCTAAGAAGTTAGATCTTAGTGTTGGTAAAGCAATTCAAAAAGCCAGACAAGACAAAAAGATGACGCAAAAGGACTTGGCCACTAAGGTGAACGAGAAACAAAACGTGATCAACGACTACGAGGCTGGCAGAGCCATTCCTAACCAGCAAGTGTTAGCCAAGTTGGAGAGAGCCTTGGGTGTGAAGCTGAGAGGAAAGGATATAGGGGCTCCTCTATTTGGAAAGAAGAAATAGTCTGTGGATGTTAGCATGTAGATTTAATTTAATGGATGAATGGGCCATGAAATATTTTTTTCGATACAAATAACGCTAATATGACCACCATCCACAAGATTGATTTAGGCATCACTCCTGAGGAGAGCTTTTCTTTGGCCAACAAGGGAATTAAGTTTGACTCTTTGAATGACATCCAGCCTTATTTGGAAGAACTTTCTCTCAAAAAAGACCTTAAATTGATCGATATCTCTGGAAACACCATTTCGCCAGAGTGCTCCAAATACCTCGCTGCTGAGATCAAGAAGTTTTCTTCGACACTGCTCCATCTGAACTTGCAAGATATTTACACGTCTCGTGACAAGAATGAGATCCCAGCCTCTCTGAAGGAATTCTTTCCAGTTATTTTGGAATGCTCCTCTTTGAAAGTGCTAAATCTTAGCGACAATGCCTTAGGTCAGGATACCATTGACATTCTTGAAGAGTTCTTATCTTCTGCGAAATCTGTCGAACACCTTATTTTGACCAACAACGGTTTGGGACCGTTCTCTGGTGCGAGAGTCGGAAAAGCACTTTACAGATTAGCAAAGTTGAAGGAAAAAGACAACGCACCTACTCTCAAAACTTTCTGGTGTGGGCGTAACAGACTCGAAAACGGTTCTGTTGACTATCTTGCAATTGGTTTCAAAGCAAATTCCGATTTACAAGAGATCAGACTGTATCAAAATGGTATTAGACCGCAAGGTATTGCAAAATTAATTAATCAGGGCTTAGCACATCTAAATAATCTCAAGGTTCTTGACTTGCAAGACAACACATTCACTGTTCCGGGATCTTTGGCTCTAGCATCTGCCTTGCCAAAGTGGCCTGAGTTGACGGAGTTGAATGTCAACGATTGTCTTCTGAAGAGTGCAGGGTGTTTGAAGGTCATTCAGGGATTGGCAGACCTAAAAGACTCTAAACTTGAAACTCTTAAGCTACAGTACAACGAGCTTGAGTCTGATTCCTTAGAAGTGCTGGCCAGGGTCGTTCCATCTTTGAACGCGCTAAAGTTGCTAGAGTTGAATGGTAATCGTTTCGAGGAAGATTCTGAGCTGATCGAAAAAATTACCGAGACGTTTGAGAACAGAGGATTGGGTGAGCTGGATGAGCTGGATGATTTGGAAGAGCCGGATTCAGATGAAGAAGAAGACGAGGATTCCGATGAAGAAGAAGAGGTCCAGGAGGACGCTGATTTATCGAAATTGGAGGCAGAGTTGGCATCCAGTCACATTTAAGAACCTTGTAGGTGCTCTTTTGCTACTTCGTTCTTAAGCTTTGTAATAAGCCGATCCTTTTTGATCCATTTCCTCTCCAGCCATTTTTCTAATTTGTTTCTCTTTAATGGGATCCTGCTCATCATTTTGGCATGCACATGGATCTTGATGGTGATTTGGCCTTCGTATAGACCAAAGGCTTCAAGAAGGTTTGGTGCCTCAAACGATATATTCCCCTGTGGTGTTTGTCTGTAATACATTATGGATGTATCGTATAATCTTGTGAATTGTGTTTTGTGGAGCCCAGACACGGCGTTCGCAAAACTTGAGTATCTCGGATACAGCAGATTATTCAAGACTGGGAGATAAAATTTCTCGGACATGCCTTGTTGCAATTTGGCATCCTTCTTAGTAAAAATGTTCACCTCAGGGAATGTAACCAGCCATTCCACTACCTCTGAATCGAGTATGTCTTTGAATACAAATCCCAGCGTTTCGTCATTGAGTTCCCAATTCTCATCTGCCTGAAACACGTTCCTAAATACCCTAAAACTTGGAATAAACCAAATGGCATACCAGGTGAAGAAATTGATTCGAGGGAGCAGGATCGAAGAGAGATCCTTTGCGAATATTTTCTCGGGCTCGCCCTTCTTTTCGTTTTTTCGAGCCGCTTCCAACTCTGATGGTTTTCGAGTAGACTTGAGAACCAAATAAGGGTAAATGATATAATCGATCAGGGATGCGTGATTGCTAATGAAAAGTGCATTTTCGGTTTCCAGTTCGTCTCCTGAGATCTCGACATTAACGTTGTTCAACTCAAGAATATAAATGCAAAGAGTCCAAAACCCTGCCGCAAAATATCTCTTGTAGGAGAACCGTGTCTGAGGTATCAGGTATTTGACGCCAATTGTCGCCACTGAAAAGATCTCATAAACCACAAAATATGATATTAACATGGTCACAAAACAAAGGCACCTCGTGACCCTCATGTAGTTCGATGTTGATGACAGCTGGTGTCTTAGAGTTTGAACTCCAATATGATCTAGAAGCTCGCTCTTCATTGTAGATTTGGTGGGGACTGGTCCACTTTTTGTGATGTTGATAAAAAATCCTTACAATGGGGAAAAAGGGGTATAATATTTTTTACGCTTGGGAAGAGCCGTATCTAGTCCACTAGAATTAAAATTTTAAGAGTCAGACCACTTCAGCCTCTTTGACACTTCAACTGTGGCCTATATTGGGTGTTTGGTGCTTCCCTAGGGGAACCTACGCATTTGCGCGATGCAAGATGGACAAGGACTTACCTCATGCTCGATTTACACCCTTACACTTGATAATAGAGATTTAAAAAAAATTCCAAAAAATTTTGATCAGAAGATAATAGGGTACATATACTAGCATGTCGAGAATCATAGTCAAGGGCTTGCCTCTTTATTACACTGAAGACAAGCTCAAATCACACTTTCAAAAAAAAGGAGTGTTGACAGACGTGAAGCTTGTTAGGAATAGACAAGGTGAATCGAGGCGATTTGCATTCATAGGTTATAAATCCCAACAGGATGCCGAAAATGCGGTCAAATACTTCGACAAAACGTTTATTGACACCTCTAGAATATCAGTTCAACCAGCCAAAACTTTCAGCGATCCGACAGTGCCCATTCCGTGGAGAGAGAAGCGGTTGCAAGCCAAAAGACAGTTGCAAGAAACTGAAGAGAATCTGAGGAAACTTGAAGAGATACAAAACAAGCGCAGAAACAAGAACACAAAGAAGGGAGTCGATGCCTTTATTGAAGACCAGGTTAGCTCTGATCCGAAACTCCAAGAGTATTTAGAGGTCTCAAAGCCCAGTGTTCAGCAAAAATCTTGGAAAAACGAGGATCTTGTGAGCGCTCAGCCAGATGATTCAAGAGACTCGCAACTGGCATCCCTAGCTACAGATAATGCTAGTGATGATGAGTATGAGGAGTTCAATGGATTTCAGAGCGAAGAAGAGGAATCCGAAAAAATGATGACATTGGATGAAGCTGAAAATAGAAATACACAGGTTGAACCGGCACAAGACGATACTAAGGAGGATTCAAAGCAGAGCTCTGAAATAGATGATCTGGAATGGTTCAAATTGAGAAGGAAAAGAATCAAAGAAGACGAAGTAACTGAAGAGCAAGAAAAATCACAAGACATCACCAAAGCCAATGGTAGTCACATCGAGGAAGTTGGACAGAGTGCACAGCATCAATCAGATGATCAAGAAGAGCCTCAGCTCAGCGAGCAGGAGAAAGCCATACAGCGTATATCACAGACGGGAAGATTATTTCTACGAAATATTCTTTATTCTGCTACTGAAGATGATTTCCGCCAGCTTTTTGGTAAATATGGTTCTCTGGATGAGGTTCACATTGCTGTTGATACCCGAACTGGAAATTCGAAAGGTTTCGCATACGTAAAATTCACTTCTGCAGACGATGCTGTCAAAGCGTATCTGGAATTGGACAAACAAATTTTCCAAGGTAGACTACTTCACATTCTTCCTGCCGAAGCCAAGAAAGACCACACATTGACTGATTTCGATCTTGCCAATCTTCCTCTTAAAAAACAGAGAGAATTGAAGAAAAAGTATGAGGCTTCCAAAGCGCAATTCAGCTGGAACTCTCTCTACATGAATAACGACGCAGTCCTTGAGAGTGTGGCTAGCAAGATGGGCATTTCGAAGGGAGAGTTGATCGATCCAACCAACAGCAGTTCTGCTGTGAAACAGGCTTTGGCCGAGGCCCATGTTATTGGAGATGTCAGAAAGTACTTTGAGGATAAAGGTGTTGATCTGAGTAGCTTCAACACGAAAGAGCGCGGTGATAAAGTGATTTTGGTGAAGAACTTTCAGCACGGTACCACCAAAGAAGAGATTGGTGAACTTTTTTCGGCCTACGGACAACTCAATAGACTATTAATGCCTCCTGCTGGGACCATCGCCATTGTCGAGTTCCGTGACGCTCCCGCAGCAAGGGCTGCGTTTTCCAAGCTCGCCTTTAGACGTCTCGGAAAGTCAATTTTGTACCTTGAGAAAGGTCCTAAGAACCTCTTCACCAAAGAGGCTTCGACCGAAGAGCTCGAGACCGTCTCTAAAACTGAATCGAAAGCCGACACCACAGAGATCATGGATATTGACAACGAGGAGGATGTGGAGATATCTGGCCCTACTGTGTCTGTGTTCGTGAAGAACTTGAATTTCAGCACTACTACAAATGAATTAACTGCAACTTTCAAAAGCTTACCTGGCTTTGTCGTAGCAGTTGTTAGGACGCGTCCGGACCCAAAGCACACAGGCAAGACGCAAAGTATGGGATTTGGATTTGTGGAGTTCAAGACCAAAGAGCAGGCAGAGAACGCTATCAAGATAATGAACGGACATCTTCTAGATGGCCACCAGCTGCAATTGAAGCTCTCAAACAGAGTTAGTCAAGGAAAGTCCGACACTGTGTCTGCCAAGAAGGGCAAGAGGTCACCAAAGATCATTGTCAAAAACCTGGCTTTCGAGTCCACCAGAAACGATATTTTCGAGTTGTTCAGCCCATTCGGCAACCTCAAATCTGTCAGAGTGCCTAAGAAGTTTGACAAGTCTGCCAGAGGATTTGCTTTCGTCGAGTTTAGTACGCTCAAGGAGGCTGAAAGCGCCATGGACCAATTACAGGGAGTCCATTTGCTTGGCCGTAGGTTAGTTATGGACTTCGCTGATGCTGAGAGCAAGGATGTGGAAGAAGAGATTGAGAGAATGACAAAGAAGGCCAAGTTCCAAACTGGTGTCAGGAAAATGGCACAGCTTCGCGAAAGTCATTCTGGCAAAAGGAGACTTGATTTGGAAGACGAGTCCGAGATGTAATATATGTCCTTTATTATTGCTTATCCTGTTTAATGAGTCCCTCGTTTACAACATAATAGCTGTCCTGGTGCTGTGATGTCAGGCTTAGCGGGTTCCACGACTCTTCTTTTTCGCCTTTTTCGAGTTCTGCGCGGTTATTTTCAATCTGAGAGACGATATCATCGAAAGTAAGCTCTTTAGTATCCTCTACCAGTCTTTTAAGCTCACCGCAACTTGTAGAATCCTTCAGCTGTGAAACAAACTTTAGGTGGTCATTCAACGAGAGTATGAGTTCCTGTTTCTCCTGAGCCGAAATGCTTTGCGACAGACCTGAGAGATTCAGCAACTTGCTAAGTATGTATGGGTCGACTTCGGCATGCGAGGTGCAGTGTGTTGGCGTTGCGGGCGTGGAAAAAAGGTTGTCTATGTCTGACTCATTTTGCAGCTTTCTAATAATGGATGATTGGCGACGAATAGCTGTAATTTGCAAACAACGTTTCTGGAGATTGATTATGCGTAGCATCTTGAGTGACAATTATATTTGATCAACTTTATCTGCTGTGTACCAACCAATCTGAAAAATTTATTTTAATTTTTTTTCCCAAATATCTGCTTTGAATAAAGTATCATAGCTAGCCATGGGAAAGGTCAAAAAGAAGGGTACTTCCGGAAACGCCAAAAACTTCATCACCAGAACACAGGCGATCAAGAAACTCCAGGTTTCGCTGGCGGATTTCCGCCGCCTGTGTATCTTTAAGGGTATTTATCCAAGAGAACCAAGAAACAAGAAGAAAGCTAATAAGGGATCAACGGCTCCTGTTACATTCTATTACACTAAAGATATTCAATATCTTATGCATGAGCCTATTTTGGCCAAGTTTAGAGAGCACAAGACCTTCTCGAAGAAGCTTAGCAAGGCACTCGGTAGGGGTGAAGTCAGTGACGCCAAGAGACTTGAGGAGAACAAGCCGAAATACAAGCTGGATAAAATTGTTAAGGAGAGATATCCGTCATTTCTTGATGCCTTAAGAGATTTGGACGACTGCTTGAACATGCTTTTCTTGTTTAGCAATATGCCTGCTACCGACAAAGTGAGTGCAAGAATCACCTCGGAGGCCTCGAAATTGACCAACCAATGGATGGCCTACATTGCCAGAGAGCGCCTTTTGAAGAAGGTTTTTGTTTCGATCAAAGGAGTTTACTACTCTGCTAATGTCAAAGGACAGGAGGTAATCTGGCTGGTTCCTTTCAAATTCCCACAAAACATCCCTTCAGACATTGATTTTAGAATCATGTTGACATTCCTGGAATTCTACTCAACTTTACTGCATTTTGTGCTTTATAAGCTTTACACTGACGCCGAACTTGTTTATCCACCAAAAATTGATAGTACGAAGATGAAGGGAATTGGTGGACTTTCAGCCTACATTTTGGAGACCAAGGGCAGCGAGCCCGTGCTGCCAACCGAGAAGCCGGAAGAAACTGAGGAGACCGAGCTTTCGAAAGAAGAGATAAATAAAGCTTTAGCTGCTGACAGCGAGAAGACTCAGGAGACTCAGGAAGTGGATGAAGAAGAGGAGCAGGATGTCGAGCTGGACGAATTCAAGGACGTGAACAAAAACACCGGGGACATTTTGGCACAACCTTCCAAATATGCAAACAGTATAAGCAGCTTGATGTCGAAGTTTGTGTTTTTCATTGGAAGAGAGGTTCCTGTGGATATATTAGAGTTTGTGATCCTCTCTGCAGGGGGTAAGGTGATCAGCGAGGCTGCTCTGGATGAGGCCAAATTAAACGGTTCTAAGGTTGCCTTTGATTTGAGTGCTGTGACCCATCAGATTGTCGACAGGCCAAAGGTTGCTAACAAGGTTCAAGGGCGTACGTACATCCAGCCTCAATGGGTCTTTGACTGCATTAATAAGGGAGAGCTATTAAATGTGAATGACTACGCACCAGGAGAAACCTTGCCACCGCATTTGTCTCCATGGGGAGATGGTGGAATTTACAATCCAGATGCCTCGACCAAGGAGGTCGACGAGGAAGAGGAAGCAGAGGCCGAGAGAGAAGGTGTCGAAGAGGATGATGAACAATCTGAGGGAGATGAGGATGTGGAGGATGAAGATGAGGAAGACGAAGGGCTTGCTGAGCAGAGAGAATTGGAGCTTGAGGCTAAGGGTGTCAAGTATTCTGAGGCAGAAAATAAGAAGAAGAGAACCATTTCGGAAGCTGAGAAACAAGCTAAGGAAGCCAAGGAAGAGAAAGAACTCAAGATGATCATGATGTCCAACAAGCAGAAGAAACTTTACAAGAAAATGCAGTACGGCATAGAGAAGCAAGAGGCTCGTAAGGAGGAGCTGCAAGCAAAGAAGCAAAAACTGGACAAGACCAAGAGAAAGATCGACAAGCTCGACAAGAAGAAGAGTAAATAGATTGCGTAATTGATTGAGAAAATTTAGGCCGAATTTTAAGCTCGGGATTTTTTATGAGTACGCACACTGGCCTTCTAATCAACCCCATGGAAAGGAAAAATCTGACAATAAATTTCGAATCGTCAGTTTTAGGTTATATTAATAATATTATGGCTTTTAGTGTGCCAAACATTGATCAACTCCACACCATTTACTACAGAAGACACTGAAACTTGAGTGGTTACTAGAGACTTGTGTGCAGTTCACAGAAAGGTTTGATCCATGAACAACGGTTCAACTAACGGAGGCTCACCATCTCGGTCTCATCCCAGACAGCAAAATGGGCAAAATCAACAGGTGCAATATACTAATGTTGGTATTCCGTCGCAATATGATCCCAACCAGATGGGGACTCAGGTAAGCCATCCGCCAATGATGTCTTCGGGTGCGGATGTTGGATTGAATCCGTCAAGCTCTCATCCGTCCACCCCTAATGGGCTTCCACAAGAAGCATCTCTCGCCGCGATGCAAAAACAACTTGGCTCCACGGATAACAAGAGGCCCCAGCAGCAGACCCAGCAACAATGGAAGCAGATCCAGGGGTTGCATAATGGTGGCATAAGCACGAATACGATGGCCGCTGCTGCGGCATCCGCAATGATGGGAAGACCAGGTGTCATGTCTCAACAGCAACTTTCCGCATTACAACAGCTTCAGGCAACCTATGGCCATCTCCAGAATTCTTTGTATCGGCCGATGGAGGATCAGCCTAAACCTGTTCCTGGTATGCCGATGCAACCAGGAGCTGTCAAGGGACAAGCTCGAGATCAAAATGCTTCCTACCCTGCGCAGGGCCAGGCGTCATCTACTGGCCATGGGGCCCATGTGACTCATTCGGAGTTCAATAATGCCAACGATATTAAAAAGAATATTGCAAATATAGCGATCATTCGCCTTTTCGAATTGACTGAGAAACTCTGTGTTCGAGCCGATTCAGAGAACTTGGAATACTGGAGAAGAGTCATGGAAGAGTACTTCAGCGAGTCTGCCATGGCTACCTTGACTCTGAAACACGGCAATGAGGGAAGATTCTACACGTTCACTTTTTCACTTTTTGCGCGGATTATTCACACCATAGCTCTTTCGGGGGTGGGTTTCTTCGAAATTTCTCATAATCTTATACGGGCTAACGTTTTGCCCAACGGTTCGACTCATTTGGAATGTTCGCGATTGATTCTGAGGAACTGGTATTTGGACGGTTCCTACGTTACACTTTATGGAGTGACCAAAATACAATTCAGCAGACAACTGAAAATTGAAAGAATTGATATATCGATTTACCGTACTTCTGCAGGTCTTGAGCTCGGGACTATCGACAAGTTTTTGGCAAAGAACGAATTCATTGACTCAAAAAGCATCAGACAGAATTTTTCTGCTTTCAAAGGACTCAGCAACTTTGGTCTCCAGGAGAGCGTCATGCGAGTCATGCAAGTTGGAGACGTCATGACCCTCGTGAAACCTCTGATGCACTTCCATGCTCTATCGAGGTCGAACTCGCCAATAGCGTCTCTTGAAGCGTTCAACAAATCGACATCCAACGAATTAAGTACTCTCGAGAAGATGACTAGTCAGTTCCAGCAAGCTCAGTTGCGCTCACAACAACAGGCGGGACTGAAAAGGCAAAAATTCCAGCAGCACCAGTTCCAGGACCCATCTGCTCTGATGTCTAAAAGTGCATTCACACAGACTAACAAATCAGCGGCTCAAAGGCCACCTTCCCCTAATCACTTTTCAAAAAAGAAGCTTGACGATGTGGGATTAAACAAACTGGATTTGGCAAACTCGACGTTGAACAAACGCAGAAAAATGGTAAATGGTCCTGCTTCGAACTCGCAAACTCCTAACGGTCAGTCCGGAGCAGCCAACGAGAGTTCGTTCAACAACGCAGAGGTGAGCCCCAAGACTGTGGAAAGTGAGAAATAGATAATAATTTTGTAAACTTAGTGTGATACTAGTACTTGTTTTAATCCAAATGCATACTCGTTTTCGACCGTTGAAGTAAAAACATAAAATCTGAGGCCAACAGGAATCGAACCTGCAACCCTTCGATTGCACGAATCCGTAGATTTGACTGGAGTCGAAAGCTCTACCATTGAGCCATAGCCCCCGATTTCCAAGAATTTGGGACCCTGGTAGTCAAATATAAGAGCCTTTTGCAATGGTCATTCAATGCTTCAGTCAAAAACCACACCAAATCCCTCTGATGATGAGGTACCTCTGCTGAGGTTCAAAATAGCCTAACTCAGAAAGTATATTGTATGTTTGAATCATCAAAGTTACATTTGAAACTTCACTTGGTTGTATGCTATAGACTTAATTATAGGCAAATAATAAATCGGTTGAAATTAATCGTGATTGAGCAGCCTGAACTCAATTCAAACATGTATCATTGCTCCATATATTGAGACAGCTCTGCGCAAACTCACTGAAAACCACAGTTTGCCAGTCACTCATGATATCGTACAATCTTTGAATCACCTTGGCTAATTGATGGTTGACATTCTTTTCTACTTCGAGACTGATATACTTCACATCAAGCATAAGGTTCGTAAAACATGGAGTGAGCTTTTCGTTGAGCTCGAGGCGAGCCGTACAAATTTCAGAACCTAATTCGTCAGGGGTTAATTTTGAGACAGATTTGTGGCTAGACGTGGCCGTCGTATGAATCTTATTTGATGATGCAGATGATGACGTTCCTGCAATGGCTGTTTTCCAGTTCCCTTGACTTCCTTTGCTTAGTGTAGAATTATTATCGTGATCTTTGATGAAGCTTTCATCGTGGTCGTCCTTGTGCAGCTGCTCGTTGATTATAATAAGAGACGATTCATCTAGCTGTTTGCGTTTCTGCTTTTTAACTTTCAACTCATTTATTGCTCTGTTCAGGCTTGGAGAGTCGACTGAGTTATTGTGCAATACCTGATTGAGTTTGAACTCTGATGTCACTCGTTCTATCAAACTCTTCAGTCGGATCTGCTTTTTGACAATGATTTCTTGCAGATACGATAATTGCAACTCTTTAAGTTTTCTATAATGAAGGCGATGTAAAATGGAAACTAATGTGAGGCGCAAAATAATCAATGGTTCGTAGATCTTGACTGTGATAGACTTTGTTAGGATCTCAATATTGAGGAAAGTTAAATCAATTTTGTTTCCAAAATCTTCGATGTGTTTCTGTTGATCTTCCAGAATACTGAATATGTTGAAGAAGCCACCAAGCTCAACCATGGCTAGGCGGTTTCTTTCAAAATCTTTAATGAGTTTTTTGCTTGTTTGTTCCAAACCCTGGACTCTCTGCAATAAAAGCTTTGCCTTTTTCTCCAATGGTACAAAAATCCGTGAATTGAGACTGGAATCGTACTTTTTGGCCAGTCCAAGGGGCGGGACCGGTAGGTAGACCAGATAAGGATTGGGTATGGTAGGATTTCTTGGTGAGGTTAATAGGACAGATTTCGAGGATAAACTGGCCACATGCCCAGACTTCACCATCTGAAGCCAATTTTTTTGTGATGAATCCAGAAATTTGACAAAAACTTCCGCTTGTTTAATCTCTGGATCGGACATCAGCTCCGTGAGGAAGTATTGAAGTAGTCGAATTCGTCTGTATATTATTTTTGTGTCTGATTTGTAGGTGAATGGATTCTTGATCAGTCTCCCCAACGAATGTTTCTCGGGAATCGGCGGTATGACTTTTGTCTGAAAGATTTTGGTGAGATAAGAACGAAGGAAGACGAAATCTGTGTAGCGGCGCAATACGCTGTTGGACATGTATTCAATTTTGTAAAATACTGTGGTGATATTCTTGAAATCTCGCAGAACCTCATAATTAGTGATGACAACACTTGCACTATCTGAGTGTTGAGCTGGCATGTGACTGACAAGAGGCTGGCTATCCACAGATTGGACTCCTAAGCTGGCTCCGCTAGTGTCGCTGTCCTGTGGCTCTCCGGTTTCTGTTGTATTGCTTATTCCGTTAGAGTAGAAATGATTGGAGCCTGCAAATGGGTTGTTGTCATTGCTAAACTCATCGTAATCCATTGAAAGTTGTAAACAGGTCCATAAATTTTATTTTGCCTTCGCGGGGGAAAATACAAAAAGTATATCAAAAAAATACAACTATCTTTTCTAAATGAGCGATCTGGATGAAACCAAGGTGGACCGTAAGTTAAAAATGATAAATAATTAACAACTCAGCAATTCTCAAGTCTTCGGACATGGTAAGTGGTAGTATCAGTGTCTAACAACTCAGTCGGCGGACATGCAAGAAGTCGTTTTCAAGCTGACGGAAAAGGCCTTGCAATCTTATAAGAAAAATGCAGAGTTATCAGCATACCTCAAAAAAGAGATGGACAAGCAGTACGGAACTACCTGGCATTGCATAGTGGGAAAGAATTTTGGATCATTTGTCTCTCACGAAGCAGGAAACTTCATTTATTTTTACATTGGAGATAGAGCTTTTCAGTTGTTTAAGACGAGCTAGGCATACATAATCAATTAGCGGCCAAAAATACTGCTTTTCAAATTCTCATTACGTCGCTTCAGAGGACTGATAACTGTGGGTGCTGGGGCTTTGAATGAGATAGAATTGCGTTCTTGAGTCTGTTTGATCCGTTTGTAAATAGGCGAAGTAAACTCATCATCCGTTTGTTTTGACGGAGACGAATCATGCACAGATGTTTCCAAGTTTTTACGCTTTAGTTGAATTTTTGGGCGGACCACTGCTTTGAGATCGGGCAACGCGTCTTCCTCGTTTTCGTCGTCATCCTCGAAAATAGACCGTGTTCTGGCCGACACACTCTGAGGCGTCTTTGCGGCTTTGAGTAGAGTTTTACGCACACTAGATGGTGTTGACACACGTGCTGAAACAGGAGTACTTGTTCTGGATGGAAATCGCTTGATAGGGGTATTTGTTGGCAGGCTTGATTTGACGGCTGTTTTCCCGGCTCGAACAGCAAGAGGCGTAAGACCGGTCGGTCTCGATGTCAAAAACGGTGTTTGCTTTTGTTTCGATATCCGCCGCAAATTGTTCAGCTCCTTGAGCTTTTGGCTATGTTGCTGTTCCACGTCGTTAATAATCTGTATGACGTTGATAAGGTGCGAGATAGTTTTGATCCAATCGAGTCGACGCATGTTTAACACCTCGAGTTCCCAAATCTTGCTACAAGCAGCATGATAAGCGTGAAAATCTGCCAAGATATCCGTCTTGATGTCGATGAGGTCTTTGGACATACTGTTGGTATTGTTACCACAACAAAATAAAAACAAAAATTATACCACAGCCTAAAAAATCCCACTCGCACTATTCGAGGGCGATCTCTAAAACAAAGGCAATTGGGGTTAACATGGAGACAGCAACGCATACGAGAAACTCATGCATGAAAATCTGCCTCAAACCTCACAATAGCTAAGGCTGGGGCGGAGCCTTGCTATTATATCCTTATCTTCACTCATCTGCTATCTGCCTCGTGCATAACCGCACAAGGCTTTTTTTCTGGACTTCAAGGTGCATAGGTGTGCACCCTTAAATAAAATACCCGAAACCACAAGATCCACATTCGGTTCCCCACTTTTTGCTCGATAAATTGAGGAGATAAATACTTTTCTCTTTATGTTTAGACCATCAAAATACACATGGCTAACGCCAAAATCGCTCATTTTCAATGTGGGAACCAGAGGACTGCACTCATCCAAGCCGCTGCTGGCTTTCAACCTCTCTGCTGAGCAGAAATGTCGAGAATTACTGGACTCGTTCAAAGATTATGACCACATATTTCAAAATGAAGACGGATCAAGTCGAAAGCCTCCAGAGGAAGAGCTCAAGAAGATTGCATATTTAAACAGCTATGCAGGCAGACGGAATTTAGGGATTTTCGAGGCATTTAGCTTGCCAAAGGAACACGAAAGGCTATATTTAGCAAACGATAAGGACCTAGTCAAGCTAAAGGCATCATCGGGACTCATCATTGACAAGATTCCGTATGAAGATACTGCTACGGGAGAAATCAAGTGGAAGATAGTGAGGGAAGGTGACCAGAAAGAAGGGTGGGAAAATATTGCCCATTATCTATTTGTTCCTGGATGCATTGCCCTGCTCATTGCGATCATCTGGAGAGATGATATGGATGTTTCGGAATGGGCCAGACGTGAATTGTTATACCGGGTGCGCAGCAAGGCGGAGGAAGACAATGACACCGCTGTTTTGGATACATTCGAAAAATATGGCAATCCAGAATCGTACGAGTTTGATTTTGTTGGCTTCCAAAAAGACGACCAAGTTATTGTCGAGAGAATCTTGAGCGGCGAATACGATCGCCTCGCCAAATTGAGACGCAGAATCCCTCAAGACTAGCGGCGGATCCTTATTTATTTTAACTTTATTTATTATTTCAGCTCAACGGTACATTGTCGTAAAGATTATACTAGAACGCAGTTCGGATAAATTGTTTTAAGAGGGTTTACCCTTTCCGGACTTTCCTTTCCGGAACTCGCAATTTTTTCTCTAGTGTGCCCATGTGAAAAGGAGCTAAGTGGCCAACAGGTCGGCGTTAATAGCTCGGTAAATTGTTCGGAAAGCAACCCTGCTATTCTAAATGTAGATACGAAAAAAAAGTTAAAGTACCCAATTTGTCACCCTGATTATGTCGCTAATTGTTGGGTCACATATTAATCTCCACAAGTGAAAAAAAGAACTGAGATTAATTAAAGTAAGCAAAAAGAAAGAAAACGACTTTTAATTAAAGACAAGAAATAGAGCCATAGTTTTTAATAGTAGGTGCTCATGTTTTCTTCGGATACAACAACGTCGAACAGGGAACCCGTGTGCACTTCCATCAAGACCGAAAACGCATGGGTGCCTCCCATGATGCAAACTGGAGAACCACAATCTGACCAACTAGCGTTTGCCATGAACATGATCGATCAAACGCAGGATGGGCTAAGTGTATCCACGACTACAGAGGTCACAGACAGCACATCCCAAGAAAGCGGGATACCAAGCACCACCACCACTGCCACTGCCACATCGGAAGACCCATCCTATCAGACTGGCGCTTCTCTACTCAACTCAAACATGAAATCTGATAATGTCAGCCGAAGAAGCTTTGAGAACTTCCACTTGGACCCTAACGATATCCAAAATCTACTCATGACCAACCCTCCCATCTTGGAATACCCGTATCCATACCTTCCAAACCAACAAGTTCCTGCAGACAATTGGTCGCCTTCGCTTACTCAACCGCAGGCCGGTGCTTTGCCCCACGAAGTGGCTCCACCATACGCTTCCAACTATGTCCCTGCCAATGTGATGACCGACCCAGAATCGCAGAGCTCCACGCCTGAGTTCGCTTCCTACCATATTCCACTTCGCAGGAGAGTCTCTATTTCTAACGGCCAAATAGGACAAATCAGTATGATGTGCCACAAGAACGATCCCAAGAAAGTTAAAAAAGAGGAAGAGAACGATCTACGTGTCAACGAACAGGGAGTGCCGCAGCAACAGTTATTTTACAACAATGAGGTTATTTTTAATCCAAACGCAGGACCAATACACGGGACGACAGCTTGGAAGAAACAACGGATATTGGAAAGAAATAGAATTGCCGCCTTCAAATGTCGGCAGAAGAAGAAAGTTCAACAAGAGAAGTTGCAACAGGACAATGATATACTAGCTCAGAAAAATGCTGAACTTGTTGAGAAGAATAGACAACTCGAAAATCTGCTGCTGAAGCTCAAAGAGGAGTTGAGCAAGTGTGAAGTCACAGATACAGTTACGGACCTTCTAGCGCAGATCAATCTCCAGAACGGTCAACCTTAGCTATTGCCTAATCTCTACTTGTGGTGCAAGGGTGCACCACCTCTCAAAAGTCGAAATCACTCACTAATTCACGGTTTTTTTTATAGTGTAGAATAATTATAAATATAATGAGCTCGTTTGACGCTATCACTTTAGAGGAACAGCCATTGTATCAAGATGTACCCGAATTTGACGATATCAACCGCCAGATTAGTAACACTCTTCTCGATGTCAACAATGGTCTAAGCAATCTGAATAAAAACCTCAACTTTCTCCAGGATGCAATCGATAATGATCAGAATGCGCAAAAGTACCATCAAAATTCATCCAAGCTTATATCTAGGCTTTTTGAGCTGTTCAAGAGTGTTTCGGATGACACGCGAAGATTGAACCAATTAGATACTTCATTGCTCAATAAATCGCAAACTTTTGTGAAAGATAAACTGAACACAAGTTTGAAGCGGGCTTTACAAGATTTCAACGATCTGCAATCACTCTACACCTCTCTGGAAAAAAAGATGAATGAGAAAAGCGCCAGTCTCATCTCTCACGAAACAGAGGGCGGGTCAGAGCCATCGTCACGGGAATCGCAGCAGCAGCAGGTTGTCATTGAGTACGAACCTTTGAACGCAGAGGAAGTTGAGTATCAACGGGCTCTTATCGAGGAAAGAGAACGAGACATCGAAAATATTTCGCAGGGAATAGAAGAGCTCAATCAAATATTCCACGATCTGTCGAATATAGTGGTCGAACAGGGGGGGTTGATAGATAACATCGAGTCCAATCTATACAGTACATTACATGATACCCAGCGCGCGTCGAAACACCTTCATAAGGCAGACCGCTACCAAAGGAACAAGCGGAGACTTTGCTTCTGGCTCTTGGTAATTGTGAGTGTGGTATTCCTGTTCCTAGTGCTTATCGTTGTGGCATAGACAATTATATGCTCAGCGTCCACATGTTGACCGCTCCATCGTCGCCAGCGGTCAGGAGCGTGTTTTCGTTCCACCACTTTACACAGTTGATCTCAAACACGCCATGTCCAAGCTCCTGAACAGCAAGAACCTTCCATTCGCCTTCCTCCTCCGAATAAACGACTATTCGGCCGTCCGATCCACAACTGGCAAGCAACCCATTCGTATTCCATGCAATCCCGTACACAGGCATTGTGTGGATCTTTGGTAGAGTGGCCTCTAAGGCCCACTCCTCCTCGGACTTGAGAGTGGAGGGTAGTTTGCCGTTGGCGGTGCCCTCCTGGTCCGAACTGGTCTTTTTCCATATTCTTAGTAATGAATCGTCGCTGCAATTGGCAAATCTGAACGTATCCCTTTTCTCCCAATCGGAACACCACACTGTTCCATTAGCACCTTGGCAATTAGCCACACAAACCCATTCGTCCTCGTCGTAGTCGTCTTGCTTGAAAATACGACAAGTATCGTCGTACGAGCTGGAGCACAGAATATTTTTGGTCGGATGCCACGAAACGTTCTTGACGTCTTGTTCATGCTCTTGAATGACGCTAATACACTCAAACTCTTCATTACTATCGTCCGCTTCCCATATCCATATCGATTTATCCCTGGAACATGAGGCCAGGTAGAGTCCATCGTGCGACCAATCAACGCTCTTCACTTCGTTTTCGTGGCCTTCAATTATTGCCATCAAGACCCAGTCTTCGTCCTCCTTGCTCCAGATCGAGATTGTCGAGTCAAAAGATCCAATTGCCAATGATGGAAGGGGTCCTGTTGGCCTGAATTTCACGCTTCTCATGGTTTTTGTATGTGTGTTATCGTCCAGCACACCAACTAGTCGTTTGGTATTCAAGTTGTAAATACGACATGTTTTATCTGAAGACACAGTCGCCAGCAGGGAGCGAGTTCGGTCGATGTCTATCGACCAGCATTTATCGGTGTGCCCTGTGAAGGTATGCACTTTGGAAAAGGACATGAAAATTAATTTGATTACATCTTTTCGAATTCTGATCGTTTATTATGTTGAGAAGGGTGCGCCTTTTACCTCAGATTCGTCTTAACTCAAGCGTTAAAGGACGGCCAAATAGTTCGGGAGATTTGGAAAAGATCCCTAAACACTCAAATGTAAGCTCATCGGGCTCCATCCCGCCAATAAAGAAGAGCATATCCAATATGCTAGCGAAAAATAAAGTGGAGTACAACCCCGAGGACAACAAAGAGGGTGTCACGTACGAGTTTCATGCCCCCCAATCACCATTGGAGGCCCGCAGCGAGCAGATCCGCAAGTCTCATCAAGCATCAAAATGGAAGAGAATGCTCCCCTCTTTGGCTGTTGGAGGAGCTCTGATCTGGGGTTTCTATGCATACAGCTTTTTCACCGCCGATAAAAAGGAAGCTATTCCAGACTTACTTCTTCCCGACCAGTTCTTGCCTTATTTGGTGTCTTTCAAGTACCAAGTCGACAAGGATCATTATTTAATTGAGCTCACAAGGAAAAATAGAAAAGGCATATTGGCTCCCCATCAACAACTGTTTGATGGAAAAAGAATATGGAGTGTTGAGATCAGGCAGCCTGAAATCAACATTGTGCGCAACTATACACCCTTGCCTCTGTATGTTGCGGGAATCGATCCTGACACACAGGAGCCTCATCTGCGACTAGTCACCAAACCAGAGGAAGAAGGTAAGTTTGTACTTTTGGTCAAGCGATACGATAATGGTGAATTTTCGCGCTGGTTGACGAGCCGCAAGCTGCTACAAGAAGTGGAATTGCGAGGCCCGGTTGTGGAATATAAGGTTCCGTTCCACCCATTGGATAAATTCCCTGCAAGGCCTCAATTGCAACCACTGTTATCAAAAATTCAGCCTGACCCTGAGTATCCTGAAAATATGCCAAAGCCCGAGACGTGGGCGTTCTATGCGGCAGGAACTGGGGTTTTGCCTCTACTGCAGATGCTATACTCGCCAAACCCACCGAAGGGCTTTATCGATGCCTATGTTTCGCTGCGCAACGAGTCTAATCTTCCAAGCCAGCTGAAGACGCTCAACTATTTTGCTGAGAAGTGTGGACGCGCTAAGTTTACCTACCTTATAAGTGACAACGGAGACAGACTAGAGGCTAAGCATGTGTCAAGGCCCCAGCTCCCAAATTTCTCAGGCCTGATGGATGTGAAAATCAGCGAAGAAATTTACAGACAGAAGCTGCTTGCCCAGAAAAGACAAGAAGTTAAAAACCAAATACAAGGAGCGAGGATCGAAGAACGTCCATTGCAGCAAGAGGACGTTATTCCAAAGCTGGATATTCGGCTTCAACCCCAGAACGCATTCCAGCAGTTTAGTTTCTTCAGGAAACAGCCACCGCAAGTGTACCCGTCGTTTGCATTTATTTGCGGGCCGGAGGGTTATATCAGCTACGTGAGTGGCCGCCCGAACCTCAACAACTTAGAACAAAAAGACACGGGAGAACTTGGCGGTCTGCTTAAAGACAAAGGCTGGACAATAAATAACATTAAAAGACTTATTTAGAGTAATTCCACGTCGACCAAGTAACCGTCCTCCAGCTCAGTATGCTCCACATTCGCGTCCAAATCCAGCTCCTCGTAATCGAAAACTAGCCGAATCCGGGTTTTTGGGTCTAGGCCTACCTTGCTGAGATAAAATTCTGCAATCGTTTTAATCTTGGTTTTTGGGTTTACCTGAGCTCTGACTTCCTTTTGATCTTTTCCTTTCAATTTGATAGAGAAATAATTTGACTGTTCAGGCTCCATAACATCTTCATCGCTAATGACGGTGACTTCGTGCTCCTCAAAAGATTCCAAGTCTTCCAAATTGTAAACCACCTCAACGACATCATTATTTTTCAGCTGTAAGTCTACGGGCATTGTTTTATCAAGCACCAGACCGTCGCGTTTAAGCTCGATTTTCAAGCTATCCGGATAATTCATGCGCACTAAAAAAATATCCAGAAGCTCTTTCACCGTGACTCCCTTCTCTGCAGAGAGCGATGTCTTTTCGTTATTTTTCTGGGGATCCAAAATAATTACAATCAGTTCATCTTCGTCCAGATCCTCAGTTTGATCTTGAGACTGAGCCAGTTTATCCAGCGAAGCCTCTCTTCTTTGTTTGCGGGCCATTGCCTCTTGAGTTAGAACGGCGGTGATTGCAAACGCATCTCCAGCGTCACTTAGGGGTAGCTGTGCGCCAGAGAGCAGCAGAGACCCTACTCGCAAATCCTGGGTCAGAATTATATCGTGGTCCTGCACGTAGAAAACGAGAGATTCACAGTCGTCTGTCCATCCTGCAGGAAGCTTCCTGTTGTGTAATTCCAGTTGTTTGAGGATTTCGCGCAAAATAGTCTTGAACTGTGCATTGCTACGAACACGAAGATGAAACCCAATTTGTTCATCGTCTTCCAAATCGACTTCCACGGTGAGAGCGAATAGTGCCTGCTTTATGGGTATCTGTCTGCCGTTCAGGGTCACCAAATGCTCTGAAGAGCTATATTTTTGTAAAATTTTATCCAGCTCGCCGTCGGGCTGAGTCAGCTCAATGTTCTTGTCTAGCTCTTTGAGGAACTGATCATCGTTGTTTGTCTCAGTGGTCTGGATTTTCCTCATCTTCACACTGACGCTCTTCTTAACATTTTCCTCCACAGTCTGAAGCCCCAATTCCTCTATCAGGTTATCGTACTGTGCCTTGTTCGAGGGAGACTCAGATTTTGTAGATTCCTCCTTGGCAAACTCTTGGGGCCCCTTTTGGCGCTCATGGGCTACTATGTCAACAGTGGAGTTCTCAGACGTGGGCTTCTTATCCTTCTTCTTCCGTTTCTTCTTCGGTGGAGCTATAGCCTCATCTGAAAAAGCAAAGAAGTCGTCTTCCGCACGGCTCGCTAGATGAGACATTATATGAGAAAAATTAATGCAGTAAATAATAATTGCCAATTTATCGTGAAAACAATTTACCGCATGTTTCGCAGATTTGTCTCTACAGTGTGTGTGGAATATGTCAACTCTTCCTCGTTTAGTTTACCCCAAGGCTCGATGCTAGTGAGTGGCATCCAGCCCACGGGGTCGTTTCATCTGGGAAACTATCTCGGAGCTGCGAAGACCTGGCACACGATAGCCCGAAAACTCGACTCTTCGTCTCAAATGATTCTCTTTATCGCAGACCTGCACTCCCTCACTGTGCCCCAGAACTACTCTGTTTTGAAAAGGCAGAGATTCGAGGCATATGCGTCTCTGTTGGCCTGCGGCCTAGATCCTGCAAAAGTTACAATTTATCATCAAGCTGCCCTACCTGAACACACACAGCTGCAATGGGCACTGACCTGTTTTGCTGGTATGGGACTTCTTAACCGGATGACTCAATGGAAGGCCAAAGCAGGTGTGAAAACCGAGGCCGAGATACAGAATGAACTGGGAGCTGTCAGGCTTGGGCTATTTGCATACCCCGTGCTGATGGCTGCCGATGTGCTGCTATTCAACGCTACACATGTTCCTGTGGGCCAGGACCAGGTGCAGCACTTGGAGCTCACAAGAGATGTTGCGTCTGCCTTTAACAAACAGACCAACACCAAGTTTTTCCGCTCTCCAAAGACCCTGATGGCACCTGCCAACAAAATCCTGAATCTGAGAGATCCGTCAAAAAAAATGTCCAAGTCCGATCCCGACGAGCTCACAAAGATAAACATCACAGAGGACCCGACATCTATGAGAACGAAAATCATGAAGGCCACCACGGACTCTATAGATGGACCTTTGACATTCGATCCGGAGCAGAGACCAGGTATCTCCAATCTAATCACCATTTACTCGGCTATTGCGAACCAGACCATAGAGGAGACAGTGTCTCAGGTCAAGGATTTTTCCAAGAGAGATCTGAAAGAGCTTGTGGCTGAAGCTGTGGTGAAAGAGCTGGAAGAGCCCAATAGAATTTACAAAGAGCTTGTGGCCTCACCAGATTTGCTCCATAAATACAGTCTGGAAGGAGCAGACAAAGCACGAGCCGTGGCCAGCAAAAACTTGAAAGAGGTGTACAAAATCCTCGGCATGGACATGGAGACGTAATTTTGGTATATGTACATCATTATCTAGTCGTTACAGTATGTCATCTTCCAGAAGACCAGTGTTCTCTCCGTACACCACCAGTATTCTTTGCACCTCTCTATATTTGGAGCAACTGAGAATAAGCGTTTTCAATAGTTCTGCTGTATCCAAACCGCATATCTTTCCCTCTTTGCTAAAATAGAGTTCCTCGAACAACTCAATCAGGCGATTTTTGAGATTGAGCTCGCATAGTCTTTTCACGTAGAGAATCAGATAGCTTTTAAAACTCTTCGCGTCCTGCAGCTGTTGATACACTAATATTTTGTTTTCGAGATGGTTGAGTGAAATCACCGTCTCCAGGTTCTCGTATCCCTCTTTCATCAACATTACCTTGGATATTTTATTCAGAAGACGGCCCTTTCCTCGACGCAGAAGCTCTTCATTTGTGCGACTTTCCAAAACACCAACGATGGACTCATCCTCGATCTGCGACCTTGTGAAATCCCAGTATTGTGACCCGAACGCCCACCAGGAGTCGCTAATTAGAGACCATGAGTTCATGTTTTTGTCGTACAAGTACCCGTTGCCGTTGCTGAGAGTGACTATGGGAACTCCTGTGCTGGAAATTGAACACATGGTAAGGTTTTCAGACCGCGTGAGAAGATCCCCATTCACAAACACCAGTCCGTTGGCCTCTGTGATTGTCTCGTACTGATTGGCGCGGTATATCGGCTGCAATAAAGGGTACAGCGACGTTGGTCTGAAAAGGGCCTTAGGAACGTCCAAGTCCCAAGCGTACATCTCTCCCACGCTCGTGACGGCCAGCAGATACTGGTTTTTCATTTCCATAAAAGACAGAGGCGACCCCAAAATCAAGGGAGGCAGTACGCGGCGCCCCGAGCTGCCGTAAACTATTATCTGTCCATTGGTTGTCGACACGGCCCAATGCTTTTCGGTGGCAGCCACCAAGTGCACCTTGTGCGGAATAAAATCCACAAATATCTGCTTTCTATTTTCTTCTGACAGCTTCTTCATTAGTGCGATCCGTGTGGGTGACGACTCAAATCCTGTGCCATTCTTCACCTCTAAATATAAGGACTCATCCTCTGGCAAGGTGTAGAAAAAATTGAGTCGCACTTTGGCCACGGAAATCCTCACATTACTAAACGAGAGCTGCGGATTGAGCACCACAGAGCCAATAAAATCCAACGGTTCTAGCTCTCTCTTTTTCTTGCCGTTTTGGGCGCTGTCGTCCTTCTTGATAATTTTGTTTGCTTTCTGCGAGAGTTCCCGAGGAACTGACGTTGATGGTGCATCGAAATCCGCTGTCGAAGCAGGCCGTTTTTTAAGATCCACCGGAACCGTAGACACCTCTGGAACAGCAGGCCCATTGGATTCTTTTTTAACTGCCGTCTTCTTAGGGTCGGTAGCAGGGGCCGCAACGGGCTCCTTGACTGACTCATTTTCCTTGATCCACTTATCGCGTCTCTTCAGCTGTCCTGCAAGCGTTTCCGCCACAGCCTGTTCCAGCTGCATCTTTTTGTCCAGTGGAATGACTGCGGTTCCCAACTCGCCCTCTCCAAAAACACCTATCAACAGCTCGCCCGCGGCTGTCGATATGAAGAGTAGACGGCCGTCGGCACTCCAGCACATATCCTGAATCGCGCTGAGACTGACCTCGTTTGCAATAATGAGCGGCGCACTCGAGGCAGTGTTCCAGATCGCAACAGTGCTCTCTGCCGACGCGGTGGCCAAAATGTAGTACTGCTTGGCCGTAGCCGGGTTCATATCGGAAGGGTCTTTGTTTGCCGGGTTCGCGTACACGATTGGAGAAAATGCTGTCATAATGCACCGGAAATCAGAGGCCATTAAAGTGCACCAGCTATTCCAACTGGATCCGTCCGGGTTGTTGAGCAGAGCCACCAACGAGGACTTGCCCTTGCCCATATTTGGACAGGCGAGCACCTTGTCGTCGGCAGACCACGCCACCTTCCGCAAATTGGCCTTCACCTTGAGGTTGCTTGACAAGTTTGAAAGTTGTTGGGAAATCTTGTACTTGAACACCCTGCCGTGTTCCTGGTCCTCTTGCAAAGAATACTCGACGATATTAGCCAGCTTGTCGTCTCCCTGTGTAAATAAGTACTTGTTGGCGCAGTGATCGAAGGTGATCCCCTTCACGGCGATAGTGTCGTCGTTGCTATGTATGTGCAAGCTCGTGAGCTGTTTTCTGTACAGGGTGTCGTAGATGACAACCTCGTTATTCATCGAGGAGAAGGCCAGCAGCTGGTCGTCTGCGGACCAGCTGCAGTCTATTAATTGACCTTTCTTCTGGCGGTACAACAACACGGTTTCACACAGTTCTGGATCTTCTGGGTGCTCGACAAGGAAAACCTCGCCGTTTTTGCACAGAGCCACAAGAAGATGACTGTTCTGGTGCAGGTTTGCAAACTTCAAACATGAGATCTTACTCCGCGTCTTGAGCGTCACAACATTATCAGCCTGCTGCGCCTCGGTGAATTTGGCCTTGTCAATGGCCGGCGTTGTTTGCACTTGCGACGGACTCTTCGTTTCCAACGTCTCGGCATCGGGCACCATTCCAACAAACTTGGACATGGATCGCACCATTATCGTGGCATCATTTCCTGCGGTGGCCACGTACTCGTTTGTGGAGTTGACAGAAACGAAGTATGCTGCAGTGCTCGAAAACGACCCGCTCAGAAAGTACATGGTGTTGATACGAAAAAAAAACTTATTTTTTTCTTAATATTAAACCGTCCTGATGGCCTCTGCAGAATATATGAGCGACTCGGGCTCCGAGTATACAGAGTACTGGATCGACTGGTTTTTAGGAAGTCGTGGCAATGAGTACTTTTGCGATGTCGACGTCGAGTACATCACCGATAGGTTCAACTTGACAGGTCTCAATCAGTACGTGGACAGAATCTCGTTGCTGGTGGACATTATCACGGATCGAACGCAGATTAGCGAAAATGAGTCGGAGCAGACCCGCGCTCGGCTGGAGGATAACGCCAAGTTCTTGTATGCTCTCATTCATGCCCGTTACATCATTACTCAGAGAGGTCTCAACAAGATGATGGAAAAATACAAGAACGCCGATTTTGGATACTGTCCGCGTGTGTTCTGCAAACTGACACCTCTGCTCCCCGTTGGACTCAGCGATACCCCCAAGGTCGCTTCTGTGAAGCTGTACTGCCCGAATTGCGAAGATATCTACAACCCAAAGTCATCGAGACATTCATCGCTGGACGGCGCCTTCTTTGGCACCTCGTTCCCTGCCATGTTCTTCCAGGCGTTTCCGGAGCTTATACCAAGCCACAGCGTGGACATATACACGCCAAAGATCTTTGGGTTCCAAATTCACGACTACGCAAAACTTACAAGGTGGCGATTGCTTCAAAAAGATAAGCTCATTGCTCGTCTGGACGAGCAGGGCATTCCTCACGACAGGGACACACGTGGAGGCTTTGTGGAACCCCGTAAGGATCAAGACGACCTTTCCAAGAAAGGCCGCAGATAGCAGGCGTGCGTGCTTCTCTTACACAGCCATGAAAATTTTAATGTAAATGGAGTGTAACTATCGTAAAAACCTCTCTCTATTTCAAACTATCATGGGTTCTACGCCGCCCGCCGACGATCTGGTCACAGAGAACCCGGATCATGTCCACATCATGCCCCCCGACGATGCGCGCGTGATATGCCCTACAGACTATTTTTCGGGGCCGGGCAAAAAGGTACTTCTTTTGCTTAACCAGGAGATCAAGCTCCCGGTGGCTGCTGTACAACAGGTGTGGGATGCTTCGCAATTGAGGATCTGTGCCGACGGGGGTGCAAACCAGCTTTACGAGTATAGCCTGAAATACGGTCTGGACTGGCTGCCGGACTTTGTGATAGGTGATCTCGACTCCTTGCGGCCCGAAGTGAGTATCTTCTATAAATCCAAGGGGGTCAAGATCAAACAGCAGTCTTCGCAATATTATTCAGACCTGGACAAGGCCATCACGCTTTCTAACCTGGTTCTGCTCAATCCGGCAATAAATCTTGACGATTACGACGACTATGATGGCGTCAGCAAGCATGAGGAAAGCATCACCGATAGCATTCAAGAGAAGGTTTCTGTGTTCATGATGGGCTCAATTGGCGGAAGATTCGACCACACGGTGTCCACGATCAGCAAGCTGATAAAATTGCACCGTACAAAGCCCAATTTCCAGTTCATTGTGAGAAATAGCGAGTATAATGAGTATATTTTGTTCATTCCCAAAGGACGCAACTTTGTCACGCTACTGCAAGAAAAGGAGTACCACAGGGGTGAGAAGCTAGTGAAGGGAAAACTGCCGCTTGTTGGGCTGTTACCACTCGCGCGTCCTGTGCGATTGAGCACGAGCGGGCTCAAATGGGACGTTACGAATTGGGAGTCCTCGATCGAAGGCAAAGTGAGCGCGAACAACCTGCTAGTCGGAGACAACGGGTTTCTCGTCGACACCACTGGCCCCATATTTGTCAACATCGAAATTTGATTCACTTAAAAACGTATATACAGCGAATAATCAGTTCGAAAACATCGAGTCCTTGGAAAACTGAGAGATGAAATCTTGAAGGTTGATGCTCTTTTCGCCAGGGACTTCCTGGTCCAATGCGCTGATCTGACTGGCGTACGTGTCGAAGGGACTAACAATGTCCGGGGCTTCGAACGACATGACGTCGGCCCTGCTAGGATCTTCAAAAGTCATGTTTCCAACGGATCCACTCGATTTCGTAGAAGGGTGGTCGGTGGAATTTGAGTGGCTGAAAGAATCTGTTTCAGAAGGGCGGTTAACCGAGCTGGAGGACGTAGTCTGATATGATTCTGGACCCCCCAAAGCGTTGAAGTCGGAAACGTTGAAGAAAGAGTACGCACGAGCCGACGGACGATAGGCTTGGTCCTCCTTGAGCAAGTCGTCCAGATACTCGTCCCCATTGCCGTAAATGATCTGCTCAAATCCTTTGGTGGTCAGCTGCGTAGGCTCAGGCTCTAGCGTATTGGGCATATGCGACAAAGAGGGCCCGCTCTTCAGTTTTTCAGGCTCAGAGCTCATAATTCTGGCCTCGTCGTACGAAAAATCCTTTCTCAAATTCTGGTTTTCGCTTGCGAGCTCGTAGTGCGTGAGCACCTTCTCAAATCTTTCCTGCTTGGTGTTCTTGAAGAAGTTAAAGAAAATCTTGATAATCATCGAGACCCTCCAGCAACAGAAAAAGTCTGTCTTCAAACCAATACTGTTGAGATAATACTCCTTTAAATAGTGCAACATGATGATTAAAAACTGGTCGTTGGTATTTCTGTCAAGGTTGATGTTGAGCCAGTTCAGCACAATAACCGAGTCCACAGAGTTGCTAAATTTCTTCAAAAGGATTTCGAATTTCAAATGGTCAGAAGTGAAGTTTTGGAGGAAAATCGACATTGTCCACAAGATACCTCTGTGGAAACAGGCCTGGACTTTGCTTGCGAAAGGAGTCTCTAGGCCATTGAAGAATCGCTTGAAGTTCTGGTGTGACTTGCTGGCTCCGTGAATGGTGGACGACTCCGTCAAATACTTCACAAAGTCATAAGTGAATTTGAACAAGATTAGGGCTGGTTCAGACGCCTTCACTGCATGCTCCAGTTTTTCCTCCTCCTGATCCTCTGAAGCATACAGGAACAGCAAGTAGTGGAGACAATTCAACAAGGAAAGAAGAACCAGTCTCATTTCCAGCTTTTTGATCTTCGAAATATTGAAAATCCGCTCAATAGGATCATCGATTCTGAAACTACCTGGTAGCTCCCCACTGTCCAGCATCTCGTAAATGGAACTTAGGCGACTATTCAAGAAATACTCAATCCTTTGGATGTGGGCCAAGAATTCTGACTTCTTCGCACCGTCATCGTAGTTACGACACAATTGGATGGCTTTGCGGATCAGTTTGGCAACTTCAAACTCAAGCTCGATATCCCTATTGATGGCATTTTCGTTAATGATGGACTTGAGTTGCTTTCCGGTAATACTTATAGACATCCCACGCTTAAAATCGTCCAAAGTGGCCTTATCCTTGGCGCTGATTTTTGGTAACCTGGCATCGAACTCATCTGAATGAATCACAACCGGGGTTCCAAGATCGAAAGCGCTCAATGTGTCCATATAGTAGAGCTTGTAGAATATTCTTCTTCTCAAATTCTTCACTTTTTCGTCTCGGAACACCTCAGAAAAATGATCGGGGTCCCTGTTGATACCCAGAACTCGACACATCTGGATGATCAAGCTAAGCGAAATCGATGCTTCGTAGTAATCTTCACTCAGCTCAGGCGAGTAGCTCTGGTACCACCTTAGGAACATCAGCACCTGTATGTTGCGAATCGTCACTTTTCTGAAAATGCTTTCCTCGGGAGGCATGCTCAACAGGACGTTCTTTGCTAATTCGATATACTGTGGGCCGATAACGATACCCATTCTCAACATGGTTGCTAAGTTCTCGTCTTCTATCGACCGGGGGTTTTCGTCAAACTCTTTCACGTTGATGGTCATGTAGGCGTATCGAAGGATGATTAGGAGCAGCGAGACAATTGACGTGTTTTGGTTATGTACCACCTTGAAAGTTGGATTTCCCTTTTCATCTGCCAGCAGAACATACGTTAGCTCCTCCCGAAAAATTTCCTCGTCCACAAAAGGAACCAGATAGTAAGCATGGGTAAAAAAACGATCAATAAGAGCCTCGATCGCAAACATCGGAGGAAGCTTGCTGCTTGCTAATGCAAAAATGTCCTGACTTTTGAGAGGTCCTGAAGCGGTGAGTGTGGTAGTTGTCATGCCGCTCAGACTAGAGTCCATACAAAGATCCTTGTCTTGGTAAGCATGTTTGCGCACAATGTTGCTGTTATCAAACATTTTAGAGTCGTGCTGGACCTTGATCTTCTGTGCGCTCACATATTCCTCGTATTCTTGTTCATGTCGTTTGTTCAGAGCCTCAAAAAGCAAGCTCAGCTGCTTATCTGCCTTAATAAATGTCACGTAGGACGTAGCACCAGAACGCAAAATTCTATTTTCCTTGAAAATCATGCGATCAAATTTCTCTGATAAATCAAGCACCGGATCCTCCTGCTCCTCACTCATTCGGCTGATTGACTCACTAAACACAAACGACAAATCGCTATACTCGCTAACGCTGATATTATTAGCTTGTAGTATTTTCTCCAGTTTGTTGACTTTCATTTTCAGATTGATGATTTCGCTTGTGAGTTGCATCTTGTTCGTGTTGTCCAGATTCTGATTAGCATACTTACACGAATCCTGAGTCTTGTTCTTGACACAGCTAGAGCATGGCTTCGTGCGGTCACACTTAAGTTTCTTCTTTCTGCATGGCTCGCACGAAATGGGCACTCTATTACGGCTCTTCTTAACTCTCGAGTCCGTTCCTGACGACATTAGGAAGAAATAGAACGCACTAAATAATAGCTAAGAAAGACAATTACAACTATTAAACCCCTACGGAGATAGTGACTGCTAATTCCAGTAGATTACGTAAGCTAAATTGCCTTCCAAATGAGCCGACGCAAACCGACTCACAAATCGACGCTTGATAGGGGTATATAATATTCAAATACAAATAACATGTCAGGATCCTCACATTGAGCAGCAAAATTAGTCGACAAGATTCCAGGGCAGCATGCTTAGTATTCCTCCTCCTCATCCGGGAAGGTATCTGCTCCCAACTCAACATAGTCTCTCTCCAAGGCAGCAAGATCCTCTCTGGCCTCAGCAAACTCTCCTTCCTCCATACCTTCACTAACATACCAGTGGACAAAAGCTCTCTTTTTGTACATCAGGTCAAACTTCCTGTCAACCTTCTGCCAAGCATCAGCAATTGCAGTGGTGTTGGAAAGCATACACACTGCTCTGCTGACGTCTGCGAGCTCAGATTCCGGAGTCTGGGTTGGCTTCTGGTAACAAATACCAATCTTGAAACCGGTAGGACACCAGTCAACCAGTTGGACTGTCTTCTTAGACTTGATCACGGAAACGGCGTTCTGGACGTCTCTGTTGACAACGTCACCTCTGTACAGCAAACAGGTGGCCATGTACTTGCCCAATCTAGGGTCGCACTTGACCATCTGGTTGCCTGGCTCAAAACAAGCGGCAGTGATCTCAGCGACTGAGTTGGCCTCGTGTGTAATTCTGGACTTGGACATGACTGGAGCGTAAGAAACCAATGGGAAGTGGATTCTTGGGTATGGCACCAAGTTGGTCTGGAACTCGTTCAAGTCGACGTTCAAAGACCCATCGAATCTCAAAGAGGCCGTCACAGATGACACAACTTGCGCAATTAAGTTGTTGAGGTTGTTGAAGTTTGGTCTGGCAATGTTCAAGTTCTTGCGGCACATCTCGTAAATGGCCTCGTTATCAACCATGAAGGTACAGTCTGCATTCTCCAAAGTGGTATGTGTGGTCAACACAGTGTTGTAAGGCTCAACAACAGAGGTGGAAACTTGGGGAGCAGGGTAAACAGCAAACTCCAGCTTGGACTTCTTACCGTAGTCATTGGAGAATTGTTCCAAAAGCAGCGAACCAAGACCGGAACCGGTACCCCCACCAAGCGAATGGGTAAACAAGAAACCTTGTAAACCATCGCACTGATCCGTCATTTTTCTCAGTCTGTCGCTAATGTCGTCCAACAATTCCCTTCCCACCGTGTAGTGTCCTCTGGCATAGTTGTTTGCAGCATCTTCCTTACCACTGATGAGCTGCTCTGGATGGAACAGATTCTTGTACTTTCCGGTACGCACTTCGTCAATGACGTTAGGCTCCAAATCAACGTACAGAGCTCTTGGCACGTACTTTCCGGAGCCGGTCTCTGCAAAGAATGTGGAGAATCCCTCCTCGCCACCCTTAGGCCTGGTGAGGCCCTCTTGCAAGTATCCATCTGGGGTGATTCCGTGCTCCATCGAGTAGAGCTCCCAGCAGGCATTACCAATTTGGCAACCAGCTTGACCAACTAGAAAGGGTTAGATATGCGCGTGACAAATGCGTTCAACTTACCGTTAACACTGATAACTTCTCTCATATCTTCGGATAATTCACGTTTCTATCAAAACAGTACTACCTAGTATGTGTTTGTGGCGGGTGAAAAGCTAGGAGTTTGTACTTTTCGCGCAACAAATAGGTCGGTTGAGTGTTTTGTTTGCAAACTTTATCACTTTTGTTTACACTTTTTTGGCGTATGCTGGTTTTGTGCCCTGCTGTTGTTATATTTCCGTTTTGGGATTTTCGATTTTAATATTTCTCGGTGCGTCGATCGTCTGCACTTGGTGCCAAATCTGACCCGTTGCAGATTTCCCCGCCAACTTCCATATAATTATGCTTGCCAGACATTGTCGTCCCTGCAGATGCAGTCCTCCAGCCTTTACGGTATAAACAGTGACTTTTCGCCCAACTAGCTCCTGATTTTTTTTCTACACCGCCCAATTAACTCTAGCGCTTCTTCCTCGGCTAGCACTGAACTCTTCCGATGCCGTTTGGCTTCCTGCTCCTGCTTCTGGGCCTCACAATGGCCCAACCCGACTACTTTGACGACCAAACAGAGTCTTACTACCTTCTGGGTGAAAGAGTCCTCGGGACGACCAAATTTAACCTGCTCAACAAATACACCCACCAACCGTACGTTTCGAATGGGTACATCGGCTCGCGGATCCCCAACCTCGGCTTTGGCTTCAGCTACGATCAAAACGAGAACGTGACGAGCTCGGACCTGTTAAACGGCTGGCCACTTTTTAACCCCCGCTATGCAGGCAGCTTCATTGCCGGCTTCTTCGACGCTCAGCCAAACACCACGGGCGTCAACTTTCCCGAGCTGCGCGAAAACGGCTACGAAAGTGTCATCAGTGCGGTGCCGCAGTGGACGGCGCTTCAGCTTGCCGCCACGCTCAACGGCGTAACATACGTGCTAGACCCAAGCACCGCCAACACTAGCTCCGCTCACGTGACTGACTACCGCCAGGAGCTACGCATGGCCACGGGCACGGTTTCGACAGCCTACACCTGGCTGGGTGCTGTAACTGTGAACATAACAGTGATAGCGCACCGCGACTTCGAGACTCTGGGACTCGTGCAACTAGAGGTGGCCCCAGTGTCCGGCGCTGCGCCCCTGCAGCTGGACGTGGTGGACGTACTTGACTTTGACTCCACGCAACGCTGTGTTCTTGAGAGTATTGGCTACGATGACGCGGGCATCTTCATCACAGTGCAACCGGAAGGTGTTGAATACAAGCACGCGACACTGTACTCGCGGCTGAACGTTAACGCCTCCTGTATCAACGAGACGCTCGCGGCCGCGTTCCATAAAGTTACCAATACTGTGTCTGTGGTGCTAGAGCATCCGCTTAGTGTGACCAAGTACGTGGGGGTTGTTTCGGACGACCTGCTGGGGACCAACTCTAGCGACGCCACGCTCGCGGCAGCCAAGAGAACGGCTCTCGATGCAGCCAGGTACTCGTGGCCCAGTCTGCGCACCATGCACGATAATGCCTGGGCCGATGTGTGGGGAGACGTCGCCGTCGAGCTGGAAAATGAGCCGTATCTGACTCTGGCGGCAGAGGCAAGCATCTACCATCTGTTTGCCAACACGCGGTCCTCGGCACGCAATATGACGGCTGCTTTGAGCGTGGGCGGGCTCAGCTCGGACTCCTACGGCGGGATGATCTTCTGGGACGTGGATCTGTGGATGATCCCTGCGCTGCTGCCAATTGCTCCTGAGACGAGCGTTGCACTCAACTCGTACCGGTACTATTTACACGAGCAGGCTGTACGCAATGCGGCCGCCAACGGCTACTCTGGGGCAGTATACCCCTGGACTTCGGGTCGGTTTGGCAACTGCACGGGCACGGGGCCCTGTATCAACTACGAATACCATCTGAACGGGGCCATCTGCTACTCGGTGTGGAAGGCGTATTTGAGTGGGGCAATCAACGACGAGCATCTGGAGCAGTATGGCTGGCCGGTGTTGCGGGATGCGGCAGACTTTTTTGCCGGATACGTGAGATACAATGACACCGTGCAAAAATACACCACACACAACCTGACGGACCCTGACGAGTACGCCAACTTCAAAGACAACGCCGCATACACGGCAGTGGTCATCAGCCAGGTGATGAAGTGGGCTGACCGTGTGGCGCGGCATCTGGGCAAACCATCCAACTCCACACAGCTAAAGATAATGGAAAACATGTATCTGCCGCAGTCCAGTGACAACATCACGCTCGAGTACGACACAATGAACTCGTCCGTCTTGATCAAACAGGCCGACGTGGTGCTTATCCCGTACATCGATGACGAGGACGGCGCTCTGGTGCAGAATTTCGGTTACGATGAGGTCCGTGCCACCAACGACCTGTCCTACTACTCCTTGCACCAGTCGTCGCAGGGCCCTGCAATGACGTTCCCCGTGTTTGCCGCTGTGAGCCAGAAGCTCAACGAGTACGGCTGCGGCAGCCAAACCTACCACTACAAGTCTGTTGCGCCGTTTCTGCGGTTCCCGTTTGCTCAAATGAGCGAACAAAACAACGATAACTACGATGCCAACGGCGGAACGCACCCGGCGTTCCCCTTTAACACGGCGCACGGAGGGCTCGTCCAGAGCTACTTCTTTGGACTCACTGGAATCAGGTTCTCGTATGCGGTGACGCCAGAGCAGCGGCTCCAGCGAGTGCTCCATTTCGACCCGGTCGAGCTACCACTTTTTAGCGGTGATCTGAGAATTTCCGGGTTCAAGTACCTAAACCAGTCACTCGAAATAGTTATTGGCGAGACAAACGGAACGATCCGCCACTGCGGCACAGCAGAGTCCATACTTGTGTACGTGGACGACAGAAATGCGGCCGCTGGCTACCACACTCTGGAGCCCGGCGCAGAGCTGACAGTGCCGGTGCACGTGAAGCAGTTCAACACACCAGGCTCGCTCACAGAATGCCAGGCGCTTGCACACAGCTTGACTTCGGGCCGCGACGGCGACGTGATCATGTCGATCGTGGACGGCGACAACTCCACCACCTGGCAAGCCGAAAATAAGAATGATAATGCGGCGGTGTTGCTGGAGTTCGATACGAGCGAGACGTTCAACGCGGGGGCCATTGTGTGGGGGGACCGGCCGGCAGCCAATTTCTCGCTCAGTGTCGTGGCAGAGCCCGTGGACACCACAGGAACAAATATCGTCATAGACGAGACGAAGCTCGTGAGAGTGCTCGCCAACTACACCGTCCAAATAACCTCGCCCTACGATGCATCCAACACAGAGGTGCGAAAAACAGAGCCCAACAGTACGACATTTGTGCTGCCACAGGACTGCACAGCACAGTACGTGCTGCTAGAGGTTTACGGCACGCTGGACAACGATGACAGCAGTTACGGCGCATCAGTGGCGGAGCTGGGCCTCTTCTATAACTAGATACATAGATGTTAGCGTAAGGCAACCTCGGCGATTATACACAGGTGGTCACTGGGGTACTCTCCCTCGCGCGGCTGGCCCTTGTCCATTTCCGTGGGGTGCGGCAGCTTCAGCAGGCTCTTCAAGATGACACCGTGCCGGGCCTCAAAATCCTCAAGGTTGTCAGGTGCAGTGCAATCCGAGCCATCCCACTCGACCACAAAGAAGATGTAGTCGAGGAGACCGCGCCAGGTGTGTGCCCAGTTAGAAAAGAACGGTTCGTTGCGGTCGTTGTCTAGCCCGGCGTTTTTCGGGTCAACTAGATGGTAGCCCAGCGAGTACAGAGAGATAGCGCGCGCAGGGAGCGAGTTGTGCAGTTTCTCCATGTCATGGACCATTTTGCGCTGCTCCTCATTGGGCTCAAATTCGCTTGGGACAGGCGTCTCGTGCTCGTTGCCGTCCTGGTTGGAGTAGTCGTACGAGGCAGAGCATGAAATAACGTTCAGACAGCGTGCACTGTACGCGATCGGTTTCTGGACGATCGACAGATATGGCGAGTCATAAGGCTGTGAGTTGAAGTCTCCGGCAAAGAACTTGTATGTTTTGACGAAGCTTGGGTGCAACAGTTTGACCCGTTTCTCAAACTCCAGCATCGACTGCAAAACCACGTATGTCTGGCGTGTTCTTTCGTATGTGCCATACGGATGCCAGAAGAGATGCGTGGTACCGACCACAAGGATACTTTCGGGCCGGTTTTTTGGCTGCAATGCAACCAGCAGCCCTACGTTTTGTGTGGCAGTGCGCGGAAGAATGCCGTCGGTGGCCACCTTGTCGTAGTCGATGAATGATGAGTCAAAAAGAGTGAATTTGGACGTTTTGTAGAAAACAGCAACGCCGTGATTTTTGGTGCCAGATCTATAGTACTTGTTTTCGTAGCCCAACCGGGCTAGTTTTGGGTTCCAGTAACTGTTGTACTGGATATAGTCCATTTCCTGCAAACACATAATATCTGCAGCGTAGTACTCCAATTCTGCTAGCAGAGCCTCGGACCGCTTATTCCATTTGAGTATTGCGCCGTTGTCGGGGAAGAGACTGCGTCGGATCAGGGCCTGTGCGAGCAGGTTGTAGGACATGATGGTGAAGGTGTCTTGAATGGGCTGGGTGCGTGGAATCTCGACGAGGGGACGACGAATGAAGAGCTGCGCTTCTTTCCCTTCAGAATTCTCCTGCTCGAGCCGTTTCTGCTCCTTTTTCAGAGCACGCAGTCTTCTCTTCTCGTCGTCTGAAATCATATCTGAAAAAAAATAATACAACTATATTTCTGATCGATGGAGCTTTCGGAAGTCATCAAGACCAGAACCGAGATCATGCTGCTGCTGGAGCTGATCCAGAAAAAACAACGTCAATGCAAGGAACTGGAGAACGAGAACAACTATTTGCAGAGCTACGTGGGTGCCATTATGGCGAAAACCACACAGTAATGCAGCTGACGGCGGCTAATAAATATATAGATTGAAGGACTGCACATTTTCTTTATTTCAAGATATGGAGAACGAGAACACAGATCTGACAGCACGGCCGAAGCCAATGGCAGCTAACTCTCGGCTTTCCGTTTACGAGCAGAAGTTCGAGGCGTTCAAGACCCTCAAGTCAAAGAGAACAGAGCGGTATGGCTACAAGAGCAGTGCTGCACAGCTTATTATGTCGCAGAGAGACCCCAATCGCATGGTCAACAGCAAAGACGATACAATAGAGACATCGTCGTCGTATGTCTTGGGGGACAGCAACGGTGACTTTAGCGACAGCGAAGACGAGCAGAAAAGTGGGCTCCTGTCGAAGGAGCTGCCTGTCAAGACGGGAGATCCCATTCTGAGCGGTATTTCTGGCTCATTTCAGTACAGTGCTCGGTCCGTAAGAGCTGCAGAGGCTCCCGAGACGGATCCTGCCGACCACAGTGAAGACGACGGCGAGCAGGACGATGAGGAAGAGGATGATGATGAGGAGGAGGATGAGGAGGAGGAAGATGAGGAGGAGGAAGATGAGGAGGAAGACGATGAGGAGGAAGACGAACTGGAGTCGCGCATGAACGACTACTCGCCGAGTATCATGCCGTCTGGCGCTCAACCGGTCACAGAAGCCACGTCAAGTGTTCCAAACTGGGAGCTAAATCTGGTCTCGCCAAATGTCCCAAACCTGATGCACGACGACTATAAAAAGGCAGGACAGCTTAGAAAAACGTCGGAGGAGTCTGTAGAATCCGTCGCCTCAAACTCTACACAGGCCACTCGATATACCAAAGTGGCCTTCAAGTCCCACGGAGAGCCTTTGGCTCCAAACAACACTCCGTTGATGTTGCAGAACATTGCTCCCTTGCCAGTCTCCTATGCATGTCCTTTCTACAATACCATGGAATACAATCCAAACTGCCCAACCAACGAGTCGCTATTGATGACTATTCTAAACCATGAGATGGACAACCTTGATATCGAGCCAGCTAGCGTGCCTCTCAAAGAGCAGTTTCGTCGCTTCCTGTATCGTGTGTGGCATCTGGGAGAGATGAGCGCCAAGGAGTACTTGGAAAGGTATCCATGGGAGCGGTATTACGATCTTTCTGGCGAGTTTGTAAACGATACTGACGACAAGGAAGAGTTCAATTTTGACATGATGCCTCTGAGTGCCAACATCAACCCGTTCATTGCCAAGTCCGACTCCATAAGAAATAAGAAATTGCATGCGTTTGTTGCGAAAAGTGGCGATGAGTGATAAGTTCAATGTGTAATATAGTTTTCCCGTTTGATTCTGCCCATCGAGTTCCAATTGCCGTCCTTTGAAAGCACAGTGTCTGTGTATATGCTGGCGCCTGCCCATGCGCCCAAGGAGACCACCGACGAGGCATGGATGTTTTCTGCCTTCAAACCCTGCAAAATGGTTTGGATCAGCTGCTGGTTTTTGGCCAGCTCGCCGGCAAAGATGATGGTTTCGTAAAGCGGTTTGCGCAAGTCGATTGGTAACTCGTGGTACAACTCGACCAGCAGCTGCAATGGTGTTTTCTCATCGTTTTCATAAATGTCGTCATTAGTGTCAAATAGCAGATCCACGTCGGCATTGTTTAAGCTCAGCCATTTTGCTCCCCTTTTGGACCACTTGAAGTGGTTCCTTAGTACCCGGAGATCGTACACGGGCTCTATCAGCACAAAATGCCAGTCTAGATCTACCACAAGCGCCGATCTTGTCCCTGCGGCTAGCGTGGCCATCAATGGCTCTTCAAGAAACACAGTGCTTTTTGCATGCAACTTTTCGAGCAGTTGGTACCGCAGGATGTCTCTGTACTTTTTGTTAAGCATGCTGTTGGCCACGAGGACCACGTTCGCATTGACCGCATTGATTCGGTTTTTTTTAAACATGTAATGAAGAATATCGAATATATGGAGATTCATTGTGTATTCAAAGGAGTGTAAATCATTTCCTGGCCTGAAATCCAGAATATTGGGGTGGAATAGGTATTCAAGGTTTGATATGGCTCTGTTTTCCTCTGAAGAGTACTCGTTGGGAAGAACGTCTAGATGTCGTTTGTGGGAAAATTCACTAGTCTCTTGTGTGGTCATAGGCATGGACTCGCCGGCGAGTCCAAACTTGAAAATGCGAGAACCAACCTGGATCACAACGGGAGGCATGAAATCTTAAATATCGGGAAGAAGTTAAAAATCCACGGTAATTAAATAATATTAATAAGCCACTAACTAATTGATCAATTCAACACCACTGCGACAATGACTTGAGAACAGCAATTACTAATACTCCTAGGGCATAGAAACACTCTAGTTACGTCAAATGGGCTGTAGCTTTGTCCGAGTAAAACCTGGGCCCGCTTCTATGATATTGGGCTGTGCACCTCAATCTTGCTTTTATCTTTTTATTACATCCAATTTGTTGTACCATGGGCGCAGTTGTGTCTCTGCCACTTGCTACGGTTGGCATGGCCGGTAGTTGGCTAGCCTCCTGCTTTGGGGCATCTATGTGCTCTTGCTGTATGAATTCACAGCTAAACCCACTTGCCGGCACGTTTAAGTCGTCCGTTGCCACTAGAGTGACGTACGCTATCATCTTTTTACTAAACTCTCTTCTGTCCTGGGTCAGCCAAACGCACTCGCTGACCTCCATGGTGGAAAAGTGGACATGGGGACTGTTCAAATACGGAAACGAGTACTGCAAAGAGCACAACTGTGTGGGATTCACCAATGTCCAGAGACTGGGCTTTTCGCTCGGACTGATGCACCTGGTGCTTGCAAGTCTATTAATTGGCGTGAAATCGACGTCGAATCCCCGTGCAGTGATCCAGAACGGCTACTGGATGGTCAAACTGTTTGCCCTTGCCGTGTTCATCCTCCTAACGTACTGGATCCCAGACAAGTTTTTCCTCTTCTGGGGTAATTTCAGCTCAGTGTTTTTCAGCACCTGGTTTATTATGATTAGTCTGATTTTGCTGGTGGACTTTGCACACGAATGGGCAGAAACATGTATGGAGCGCATAGAGGAGGGAGAAATTTATTTGGACGATGCAGAGACCGAAAATAGCTGTCTTGAGGGTCCTTCATTCTGGAGATCGCTGCTTGTCGGGGGCACCCTGGGGATGTATCTGGGGGTTATTGTTCTTACTATCGTGATGTACATCTACTTCTCGCATTCAGGTTGTGCTCTTAACACGACGGCCATTTCGCTGAACTTGATTTTCGTGCTCCTCGCCACTGGGCTTTCTGTCTCGCCAACGGTGCAAGAGTACAACCCGAATGCAGGACTCGCACAGTCGTCTATGTGCTGCATTTACTGCACATATTTGATTTTCAGCGCCTGTCTGAGTGAACCAGATGACAAGCTCTGCAACCCGTTGGTCAGATACTCGGGCACCAGAACGCTGTCGGTGGTGTTGGGAGCATTTTTCACGTTCGGAGCCGTGGCCTACACAACAACGCGGGCGGCGGCAAACTCAGTATTCAGCCACAATGCAAACTCCAATTACTCAAGCAACGCAGAAACTGTTCTGGGAGTGGTGTCGCAGCAGCCATCGCGCAAAGAGATGAGACTCCAGGCTATACGTCAGGCGGTGAACGAGGGATCCTTGCCAGAGTCTGCTCTCGAGGACCCATCGTATTTTGACGACTCCGAGACCGATTTGGGCGAGGAAGAGACCCTGACAAAGTACAATTACGCGCTCTTTCACTGTCTTTTCTTCCTGGCTACGCAATACATCGCTGCACTGCTTACAATCAACGTGGTGTATGAGCCGGACTCCACGAGCTTTGTTCCAGTGGGCCGCACATACTTTAACTTTGGCATGAAGGTGGCGAGCTCGCTTATGTGCTACCTTCTGTATATTTGGACGCTGATTGCCCCGGTGCTGTTTCCTGACAGATTTATCTGAAAGTAGAGATCTGTTCAAGGCTGTGCAGGGAGCGGGCTGGAAAAAAAAAAATAACGTAGCAGACACTGTCTGCCGCGCGAAAAATTATATAAAGACTGCAAAATTCCCTGCTAATGGGGGTCAAAACGGGCCATTACGTAATCATGACTGAGAGCGAGGCACCAGCCAGTTACGCCAATATCAAGACTCATTTCCCTGCCGCGCGCATCAAGAAGCTAATGCAGACCGACGAAGATATTGGAAAGGTGGCACAGGCGACGCCTGTGGCCGTGGGGCGCGCGCTGGAGCTATTTTTGTGCTCGCTGGTGGAGAAGTCTGTCGAGACGGCTACCAACGACCAGAGTAAGAAGATTACGATCCAGATCCTCAACAAGACGATTCAGGAGAACGAGCAGTTTGACTTCGTGGTTGGAGTGTGTGACAAGTATCTGAACAAGAATTCGAACGCGTCGTCAACATCGTCGTCTGCCTCCGCCCAGCAAGAATGATCTGTATAATAATATTTTATTTTAGTGTATAATAAAATGACGTCGTGCGCATACGGAGTTCCATTCCAGAAATTTACAGTACTGCCACATTGTGGGGAGGGTGCACTAGCCACTGAAAGCAGGGATTTATATGTGTTAATTCCCAGCAGAACTTAATTGTGTTCCTGTCAATTATAGTGTAATTCTAATGTCAACGCACATTCATTCTGCAAAGTCATTTACTAATCCCTTCCACTTGTCGTTGCGGAACTTGCAAGTAGCCGACAAACAGGGTGACCCGATCTACTACGTGGGTGTTGACGTTGGCACGGGATCAGCGAGGGCTGCCGTTGTTGATCAGACCGGAGCGATTCTCGGTCTTGCCGAGCGGCCAATCACAAGAAACGAGCTAAAGGCCAACTTTATCACCCAATCGTCCACGGAGATCTGGGATGCTATTTGTTACTGCGTGAAGACAGCAATCTCCCAGTCGCACGTTGATCCTGCCAACGTGCTGGGTATCGGTTTCGACGCCACCTGTTCTTTGGTGGCCATTAACGAGAAGACCGACGAGCCAATGGCTGTGGGCCCTGACTTTACAGACGACTTGGAAAACATTATTCTATGGATGGACCACAGAGCAGAGGTCGAGGTGAATGAAATCAATGCCACGCACGACGAGTGTCTTAAGTACGTGGGCGGCAAAATGTCTATCGAGATGGAGCTGCCAAAGATGAAATGGTTGAAGAACCACATGCCCAAGGACGCAAACGGCGAGTCGCTGTTCAAACAATGCAAATTCTACGATCTTGCCGACTTCCTCACCCACAAGGCCACAGGCTCTGAGACCAGGTCATTTTGTAGCACTGTGTGCAAGCAGGGTTACATTCCCGAGGGAATCACAAACAGAAACGGCTGGTCTTCGGAATTTCTGAACAAGATCGATCTGCCTGAGCTGGTGGAGGACAATTTCAGAAGACTAGGTGGAGTCGACGGCGTGAACGGCAAGTTCTTGTCTGCGGGAGAAACCGTGGGAAGCCTTACAGAGAGAGCTGCCGAGCAGTTGGGATTAACGACAGATTGTTACGTCGGATCTGGCGTGATCGACGCTTACGCTGGGTGGATCGGAACTGTTGCTGCGCAGACAGAGACACCGATCGCGGATCTTGTGGAACAAGATAAGAACAACAAGGGAATGGCCAAGGCCAAGGGCAGACTTGCTGCTGTTGCTGGAACGTCGACTTGCCACATCTGTCTTGACGACAAGCCGATTTTTGTAGACGGTGTTTGGGGTCCCTACAGAGACGTGATGGCCAAAGGATTCTGGCTCGCAGAGGGTGGCCAATCGTGCACCGGTGCGCTGCTTGCACACGTGCTGTCTACCCATCCTGCCTACATGGAGCTTGGCGTGGCTTCCGAGGCTTCTGGCACGTCGAGATTCGACTTTTTAAACTCCAGACTTGAACAGCTCAAAAAATCCACCAAGGAGAGATCTGTGGTGGCCCTTGCGAAAAACCTGTTCTTTTACGGAGACTTCCACGGAAATAGGTCACCAATTGCAGACCCACAGATGAGAGCCTCGATCATTGGCCAGAGTATGGACACCTCCCTGGACTCGTTGGCTGTCGAGTACCTCGCTGCGTGCGAGTTCATCGGCCAGCAAACCAGACACATCATTGAGAAGATGGAGGTTGCCGGGTACGACATCAAGGCCATCTTTATGAGCGGTGGCCAATGCCGTAACGGATTGCTGATGAGATTGCTGGCAGACTGCACTGGGCTGCCTATCGTGATTCCTAGATACATCGATGCGTCTGTTGTGTTTGGTTCTGCCATGCTGGGTGCAGTGGCAGCAGAGGACGCGCTAAAGAACCGCAAGGGACCAAACTCCAAGTCCAGAAGAAACTCTGCAGTGTCCAACCTGGATAACCCGCAAAGCCAAACAGACCAGCCTCCTTCCCCATACACAGCGCCATCGGCCACGGCCTCCATGACGTCGATCAGCGCTCTGGCTGCAGGAAACGCACAATCGGCATATCCTTTCCCTACCATGACCCCGATTGAGGACGAGTCGAAGCAGCTGGGAGCCAATCTCGACGCATCGGATGACGACGAGGATGCACAGCTGTCGTTTGGCTCAAAGAGCCGTGCACAGGCCACTGCCACGAAAAATTTCATCTCCAAAAAGACTGGAACTGGTCCTGGCGACAAGCTGTGGAAGGTTATGACCGAGCTTTCGGGCGTAGGTCGCATCATCTATCCGTCCAGCGAAACTGACCCAGACAGGAAGCTTTTGAACACTAAATACAAGATTTTCCTGGACCAGATCGAGACGCAGCAGAGGTACCGGGCAATGGTCGCGAAGACTGAGGAAGCCATTAAAGCTTACTTGAATATATAGATCTAGACTGATTTTATTGAAATGTTTTTTTTGCCAAGAGTACTGCGGTTATTTAAATGTATGCCTTTGCTGCACTGCCCCAAGCAAGCAATTTATTAAGCCCAGATTTTTAAACCCTACACCCCAATGACACTCTCATCCCACATCGACTCCGACGAACTGGAAGGCAAGATCCTCGAGGCCGAGTCTCCGGCCAATAAGCTTGTCAACAAGTATATCAGTGCCAAGAAGCAATTCCACAATAAGCGTGCCGAGGAGAAGCCTGCCAGCAAGATTGTATCTAAGTTCCGGGGCATTGCCGAAAAATACAGGATCCAGGAGGATGGGATGGAACCAAGACAGGTGTATGAGATTCTACACGACGAATTGACCCTGGATGGCACCACGACACTCAATCTGGCCTCATTTGTCAACACCCACGTAGAAAAAGAGGCCGAACAGCTGATCATCGAAAATCTAACAAAGAACCTTGCCGACAACGACGAGTACCCAATCCTGCTGGAGATGCAGCAAAGATGCATTTCGATTCTGGGAAATATGTGGAATGCCCCCGTCAATCTGGAAAACGGGGCTCTCGGAACCGCCTGCACCGGCTCATCCGAGGCCATCATGTTGGGAGGACTTGCCATGAAAAAAAACTGGCAGGCCAAACGCAAAGCAGCAGGAAAGGATTACCACCATCCAAACATCCTCATGGCATCCTGCTGCCAGGTAGCCCTGGAAAAATTTGCCAGGTATTTTGACGTCGAGGAACGGATAATTCCCGTGTCCAACACAGACTTTTTGCTCGATTACGAACTGGTCAGACGCAACCTGGACGAAAACACGATCGGCGTTTTTGTTATTCTGGGTTCCACGTACACAGGGGGCTTCGAAAGTGTTGAGAAAGTCAATGATATTTTGCAGGAATACGAGGACGAGACCGGTCATTTTATCCCTATCCACGTGGACGCCGCGTCCGCCGGATTCCTTGCCTCGTTCGTGTACCCAGATCTTGTGTGGGACTTCAGAATCCCCCGCGTGGTGTCGATCAATACATCGGGCCACAAATTTGGTCTTGCTACCGCAGGTCTTGGTTGGGTCGTTTTCCGTAGCAAGGATTGGCTACCAGAAGAGCTCAAATTTCAACTACAGTATCTTGGTGGACTGGAAGAGTCTTTCACCATCAACTTCTCTAGACCAGGCTACCAGGTCATCCACCAGTACTTCAACTTCCTCCATCTGGGCCGAAAGGGATACTATGAAATTTTCGACAACTGCCTAACAAACGCACGCATATTGTCGAGATTCTTAGAGGAAACTGGAATTTTTGTCTGTGTCTCAAACCTGCACCTGCCTAAGGGTCACACAGCACGCGGCGCACCGCAGGAGGCCCCAAGTCCCGTCAGCCACCATGCCTATTTGTCGGACCACAACTACTATAACCCTGCACTCCCTGTTGTTTCCTTCCAACTTTCGAAGGAGTTTACCGATGCGTACCCGGAAATTCCACAATCCCTGGTGTCTTCTCTGCTGAGAAACCGCAAATGGATCGTTCCAAACTATGGTCTTCCAAAAACATCCAAACAGGACGAGAATGAGAACAACGAGATCCTCAGAATCGTGACCAAGTACAACTTGACGTCCCAGCTGCTGGACAAACTTATGCACGACATTGTCGAGGTTATGGAGGTTCTCATGAAATCTGTTGCACTGGTCAGAAAGAACGTCGAGAAGCTAAAAGCTGGATCCAAAGAACTAGACAATGACATGTTGTACAACATGCTCCTTTCTATTGCCAATGACGGCAATGAGAAGCTGATTAAACTGAAAAACACACCACCAGAGTCCAAACACAACTCATTCAGAGGCCCTTGCTAGAGAATACGGCCAATTTTCTTTTTTGCAGAGTTCATTTTTTGCTGCGAGCTGTCGACTTGATTGTCCAAGCCTTGAAGTAGTTCATTTTGTACACTGAGTTCCTCGTTGATAGTCAATCCGATCTGCTTTTGCCTATTGAGTATGCTGCGTAGCTGATCCAGATCTGTATCCTGTTTGTTCATCAGTAGCTGCTGTTGCTGATACAGTTGTTCGTTGTCTAGTGGTTTCGTGGCCTCTGTCTCCTTGGCTTTGCCTAAACTTCTTTTAAATGTAGGTTTCTCGGTATTAGTGGCCACTCCCCTTGATAAAACACGCAGTTCGTCGCACTCACGACGCTGCTGGTCCACAAGAGCCTTACGCCGCCTCACCTCGCCTGCTCCAAGCTCATCATTGAGCACATATTTACTCAGTTGGTCGATTTTAGTCTCACAGGTGTCCAGGATGCGCTTACACTCAAAAAGGTTGGCCTGTTTTGCGAAAAGCTTCGACCTTACACTTTGGAGTAAAGATTTAACTTCCTTTGAGACCTCCAACCACTCGACTGGTGACAACTTCGGTAATTCCTTTTCCTGTGTGAATGTGTTTTCTGGTAGATAGAGAAACTCGCCTACCAGCTTGTGCGTCCTGAGCTGCTCATCATTAAGAAGCCCGTTCAAAAACTCCGCCAGCCCAACTCGCCGCTGCTCTATAGTTGTTGCGCGGCTCTGATACAACGCGGTGAATTTGGAAGGCAAGCTATAGGGAATGGTTTTGTGCAAAGTGTCCTCCAATTCCTTCTTAAACTCCACAAAATCGCTGAAACGCTTGCTCAGCTTGTGCACATGGACACCAGACTCAAATTGTATTTCTATGTTGTAGAGATGGTAGTCGTTTAGCACTATGGTGCTGGGTATTCTGACCTCCACCATATCAAATGGATATATATCTAGTTATTTTTTGTTATCGTTAGTGTAGAGGTGTGTCAAATAAATAATTCAGCTAGTCTTAACATTTTTTCCTATGGGAAAACAATATATATCCACAGCGATCGTGGGGGACGCGCACCAGTCCGACATTCTGGACGTCTGCGTCTCCAAGAAATATACTGTCACCTGCTCTGCCGACGGATCCTTGAAATTTTGGTCCAATTCCTCTTCCGACCGGGCACTGGAAACAAAGGTGTTTGTCGACAAGTTTGGGCTACACCACGTTTCCCTGTTTGAAACGAGCGATTTCTTACTGATTGGCACAGTGTCTTTTTCGGGAAAGTTTTACCTGTACAAGATGAGCAATCAGCTCGCTGCCGTTGACGACCTTCCTGCAGAGCTTAAGAACGAAAAAAGCTCTTTCTGGGCACTAAAATTCATGAAGGATCTCGAAGAGGACAACAACGTATTGGCGATCACGATGGCTTCCGGAGAAACACAGATATACAACTTGCAGGGTGAAACATTGACCTACACTGCCACAACGTCCTCAACAGACAAATCGTTTGCAACGAGTGTTGATCTGGACCCTACATTCAAGAGAATGGCCGTTGGCCACCAGAACGGCAACGTGTACATCTACGACCTTGAGTACCTCAAGCCATTATATGAGTTTCAATCCTACGGCCTGAAGAAGGCAACGTCCTCGAGCTCATTGTCGACAGTGCGATGTGTGCGATTTTCGCCCGGGGGAACGTTGTTGGCGGTGGCGCGCGACTCGGGTGCATACGGGACTATTTTCTTGTACGACGTGAAATATGGCGAGGTCATTGGCACGCTGACAAACGCGTCGCACTCGTCAAATGTCGGGATCGGCGGTTTTGCGCACAACAGCTGGTGCATGTCGGTTTCGTTCAACGAGGACGGGACGCTGCTGGCAAGTGGAGGTTTAGACGACACGATCCGGATCTGGAGCACAAGTACGCGGACCAAGGAGGCCAATCTGGTGGTGAGCAAGTCCGATGTGGACGACGAGGCCCTAAGCCACGCGAACCAGCTGGACAATGCGACGTGCTGTGCTCTTTCATTCATTCCTAGAGGTTTGGTGGCAGGTGAGGGCGACAACGATGGGCTTGTGATAGTTGGGTTTGACAGGGTGGTCAGATGGTTCAGGGAGGCTGGAGGAGTGTAGAGCCAAATAAATTATTCATTGTTGGCAATCTGCTCTATAAACTGAAAATACCGGTATTTTTTTTGCCAAAAGGATACACCAGCATTGTGCTGAAAAACAGTCCGACACTGATTCCAATAGCGATCTCGATCATTGAGATTCCAAAGCTCAAGGTGCTGGTGCTGATGGCCGCTGCAGCAGAGGTGAGCGTCCCGCTGCTCCCGCTCGTTTGGTTGCTCAGCTGCGAAATCCCTGCTGCCAAAACGTTGCGCGAGGCCACTCCGCCGGGGACCTGGTCAAAGATGCCTGTGAGCATCGCGGTGAACGCAGAGTTGCAGTAGCCTATACGGCGGAATGAAGTACCTGTGCGAGAGTACAAGTTACTTAGCAGACCGATTGTGAAGGAGCCGAGGGCCGAGTTGAACTCTGTGATGCTGAAGTGTCGAGACGAAAAATACGACACCACGTAGCCGCCACATGCGATGACAGTCATGATTGAAAGCTGGTGCCATTGCGCCTGTGATGCCATCGATAGCGCGAGACTGAAAACGGGCACAAACACAAAGTTCCACCACGGCGAGATGTTGGAGGTGCATGTAGTGTTTGTAGTAGCGCGGTGGTCCATCCAGCCGTACAGAGCTGACCCAAGAGTGAGACCGAACCCGAGAAAAAGCGAGTATATGATGGCGTAGAACATGCGCACGGAGCCTGCCACGAGGGACCTGCTTTGTATCTCTAGGGCTCCGCTGAGGATGATGTAGCCCGGCAGAATCATGCACATACCTCCCTGGACGACAGCCGCAAAGCAAAAATACTTGCCGCCACCGATGGTGCCAATGGCACGACCAATAAAGCTCAGACACACGGTGCTGCTGACCTCGAACACTGACGAGTAGATCGTCGATTTTGGTGCCACGACGAGCTGCAAGAAGCCGAGCAGACAACCGAGCGCAAAGGTGGGCGGGATGTCTAGCCACGAGCCGCCAAAAGCCCAGCTAATCACGGAGCAGCTGGAAATCCCGTACAGCAAAATGCTCCACCAGGTGTTAAAATAATTTGGCCGCTGCAGCAACTCCTCGAGCCGCGAAGACGCCTCATCGACGCCAATCCGGTCGTGCACCACGCTCTTGTACAGTTCATGAGCCTCGTCCAATTTGCCCAAGTTGAGGCCCTGCGACACGCGGACGAGCTTCATCTCGGACGTTCTCGTGGACGGGTCGCCGAACGAAACAATCATCACGCCGGGGAGGTAGATAAACGAGCTGTCAATCTCAAGCACACGTGATGCAGCAGAGAGATACTCCTCCAGCCGGTGGTTGGGCGCACCGTACATCATGAACGCCTTGCACAGGGTGAGAATAAACCTTTGGCGTTGCAGCACGTCTGCGATGTGCACGGTTATGCGCGCCGCCGTCTCGCGCTTGCGCTTCTTCTTGAGCTTAAGCATGTCCTTTAGTTTCTTGTCCTTGTGTTCAAACTGCGGCAGGTCGACTTTTTCTGCCTGGCTGCTGCTTTCTCGGTTACCGAAAAAACTGACGAGAGAACTGCCTGAAACTTCCCGTTTGTGGCGCTGCTTTTTGTCATCTGTAGACAACACCTCATTTATGGAGCTGGAAGACGACCGATTCAAGAGCGACAGCCGTTTCCATTTTGTTGAACGAGCAACCTCGTCTCTGTCACTGTCCTGCACAGAAACAACGTTCGGCAAACTTGAATTGTACAACCGCATAATATTCGAAAATATGCCCTTTTTGTAGCGTTGCGGCTCTGCCGGCTCATGCGGTGCCATCTCATCGTAATCGTCCAGCAGGGGCGCTATAAAATACTCGTTGGGATCGGTGTCCTTCAAAGCCCCGCGGTCGAGCGAATTCTCGGATGACACAGAGCGCAAGTTCTCCATCGGAACGTGTGTTTCAACAATACCTTTCGCTTCATCATAGTGACCCATTTCCTCATCCACAGGGCGCTCTTTTGGAGCGCCAAAATGGAAAAACTTCGACTTCATCATACCATGTAACGGGTCAAGACTGTCCATTTCGGTGCCCTCTGAGGAGTCTTGTCCTAGCTTAGGCGGCTGTGAAGCATGTGTAGTAAACCGGCGGATCCAACTACGTACCTTCCCCGGCTTCGCAGGCTCAAGTTCTGGGGTTTGCTCGACACTATGTTCGCTCTCGTCTGTCGACTCGTCGAGAATCGAGTCCGGGTCGCCCAAATCGACCTGCTGCGCCAGCAGCGGCTTGCGTTGCATCGAAGGCAGGTCCGCAGAGTCCCGGTAAAATTCCCTGTCGAAATCTCCCTCAATTTCCTGCTCAATGCGCTTTTTATTGTCCACCGTTTGGGCATCCTTCGATATGCCTTTTTCGTCGCTGATACTGAAAACGGGCATTATCGGGAGACCGTGGTCATCACTGTTTGCCTCATCCTCTTCGAGGATGGGAAAAGAATCCACGTTCCGCTGCTTTCTAGGAAAACTCCGTATCGAGCCAGACTCTCGAGACATGCGAAAAATATTGTTATTCCGAGATAAGATAAGCGAGTGGTTGAAGTTCGATCTAGGCTTGTGGCGGTGATAGCTGGAAGAAACCTTAAGCACCGCCTTGGGTGCCCAAAACAGATGAAATAGGTTTAGAGCTAGACTAGCACAAAAGTAGACGAATTGAGCCGGACCGGCGACGTTGGAGTAGCCTCGAGTTTCGGCTGTCCCAGGCTCATAACCTAGTCTGGTTGGGGAAAAAAAAACCCAAAAAATACTGTAGAATAAAAAATTATTTGTTTACAAAAATACACTTAACACCAACACCCTCCTCACACAAACCCGATCACCGATAATCACACTCGCAGCACCATGGATAGCATGCTGCACCAACAGATCGCCCAGTACCCTGGTGCAGGGCCGGCACAATCCGACGTTTTTATCGATGCCACCGGAAAGCCAATGAAGTTCTACCTCTATCCGCCACTTGACAGAAATCAACAGCTAATCAGTCTTATCGAGAATAATGGCGGCCATGTGGTTGCCGGCGTCAGCAAGGACACAGTTATACTTTCTTCTGAAGAATTTCTGATGAGCGAGGATCTTAAGCGATTCCATGTTTACAGATACGAATTCGTGCAAAAATCGATCAGCCATGGCATCCAGAATCTGTCGGATTACGAGATTCACAACCCAGCTGAACCCTCAGCACCCAGTCCTCTTACCAATATCAGCAGTTCTGCCACAATGAGATATTTCACTCAGGAGGAGGATAACGTATTGTTTGAGGAAATCAGGAAACGGCCGTGGATGGGCTACAAGGGCCACCAAATTTACAAGGATATTGCCGAGCTAGATTTTTTCAAGGAGCGAAACCGCAGTGCTGCGTCATTGAGAGAGCGCATTCGTACGCTCAAGTACGACATTGAGTATGTTTACAAGGCTGGACCCAATAAGGAGCTGCTGAGAGACGCCAATGGTAATTATATTCGGGATTACGATATCAAGAAGAAAACCACCAACTTTTCTGCGTGGGAGGATTTCGAAATGTGCAGGACAATCTACATGAAGCTGAGACCGACGACAGACGATAAGGGGTTTGAGATTATTAATTTTCCTACCGGATTTTTTGACAATTACGCTAGTTCTCATCCCAGGCATACATCTGAATCCTGGAGACAGAGATACAAGAACTTTTTGAGTCTTTTTGGTATTGCCAACTACCTCAAGTACTGCATCATGCAGATTAGACAGGACAAGGAGCCTCAGCCAGCAAATTCTGCAAACAAGGACTGGCTGAATGCCAGAAAACATTTGAAAAGAGCATCTGGTCCAAAACTGTATTTCCCCAATATTCCCGAGGGAAATGAGTTTTTGGACGCAAATCTAGAAACAATGGAAGCGTCAGACCTCGTCGAGCCGGAGTTTGTGCCCGCTCCTCGGCCAGAGAACCAGTTTTTGCGTCCTACGCCACAGGAGCAAATCGAGCAATCGATCGCAATGGCAGCGCAGCAGGCCAACCAGGATTTGGTAACTGCTTTTAAGAATTTTAGACAAGAAGAGCAGGACGTGCCTCCGGCAAAGAGAGCGAAACGCGACCAGCGGAGCAGCTCTGCGAACATCGACCCTGCGATCGAGGGTATGCAGCCGCCTTTGGAGTTTGTCGACGAACCTACGACTTACTTCTCGGATCCACGCTTTGCGCTCTCGTTGAAGAATGACGGTCCGCCAATTGATCTTGCTGACGTGCTGCCACGCAAAGAGTCGTTTTTAGAACAGCTCGAGAAGACTTTGGATCCGCAGGTCACCGTCCCAACGAAAACGCTCTTTTCTCAATTGGCAAGCCTGGGAATCAAGGAGTACTACATCATCTTCCTCTTCCATAGATGCAACTCGAGACGCAATCTCGTTCTTGACTGTATCAAGAACTATCTCGACACCAACGGTAAAGAGCTGCTTGTTCAAAAACCCGGTGTCTGGTCTAACAAGGCATTGGAATGGCTGGGAAAAAATGACAGCCATCTTAACTCGCTGCTGGAGCTGTATCACGGAGAACATGACTACAGAACACAGCTGGAGAATATGCGCAAGATAAAACAGTGATTTTTTGGCTAGTATGTATTTGAGTTTGTGAATTACACTTTTCGTTCGTCCTCGTCTAAGTCGACGACAACGTCCCATTGGCTGTCACGGTCAGATGCGGTGTTGAGCTGTCTATATTTAGCCTTGGTCTTCCTTTTGGCACGCTCTTTCACCATCTTCTTGCGCAGAGCTACTATGGCGGCCCTGCTTTTCTCGCCGTTGCGCATTTCGTCGATTTTGGCCGCCAGCAGCTCACGCGCAATCTTACGGTTCTGTTCACGTGACCTTGTAGCCTGCGATGTGACCACCAGCCCTGTAGGAATGTGTGTTAGTTGCACTTTCGAATTGGTCTTGTTGATTTTTTGGCCGCCCTTGCCGGAGCCGCCCTTGATGAATTTTTCGGCGATCTCGTCCTCATTGAGCTTTGGACGCGGGGGTAGCTTGTTCGCTCGGGGTATTTTTGTCGCCAATTGCCGCGTGGCCTGAACACACTGACAGAAACGTCTGAACATGATTTAATAAAAGTTCACCACCAGCCACAGGCTTCGCCACAGCTAACTGAAAAATTATTTCAAGAAATCATCGAACATTAATCTTTCTCCATGTCCCGCTATTTCCATACCACTGCGCTAGTAGCAGCCAGAAAGCGGATTCCGCCTACCGTTAAACTGAGACCACCTATTTTGCCCACCATAAACAACATCACTGTGAAGGAGGACCATCCGCTGTGGCAGTTCTTCCACGAGAAGAAGTTCGTCAGAGACCAGTCAGAGGTCGCTTTCACTGGCAGAGCTTGGTCTGTGCAGGAGCTTAGACGAAAGTCATGGGAAGATTTGCACGGTCTGTGGCATGTGTGCTTGAAAGAGCGCAATAAACTGGAGAGAGAAATCCACATTTTTCGCCAGCAGGGAGACAACCCAGTGGGCAGCGATTACCAGAAGCTGAACGATGAGATTCATAAGTCCATGTGGAGAATCAAGCAGGTGCTGACGGAACGCGACCATGCGCTGAAAAACGCCCAGAAAGAGTTCAAAGTCAACGGAGACCAGTATCTGCAAGAGTTCAGAGAAAAGTACCTTACGGCGGAAAATGTTGAGACAAACGAGTGGTATGACAAGCTAGAGAGACTGCAGCAAGCTATTTTCGGCATTCCAGAGTTTCTGGACGCAGATTTCAAGGTCGATCTCAGATTTGTCCAAGGTGTCAAATACATCGGCCAGCTCAAGTTCGATAGGTTTGCCGAGCAAATCGGCCGCACAGACCTGGCGCCCCTCAGAGACGTGGCAGAGCTGTACACTCTATTTGAAGAGAGCGCGAGCGCAGAAGGTGTGGCTGAGGCATGTGCCAAGATCGACGAGTATAGAGAGAACGATATTGTGATTCCTGCCTCCAAAGAGGTCCAGGTTGTCCAGGGCTTTGTGCAGGAAAAGCTAGAGTCGCTTGAGGCCGAATAGATGTACATAGTTAAAATTATATCTCTATATGCTGTATCTGTGAGAGGACCTCGGAGAGCTTAGAAGCAAGAGCTTCCCATTTGCGCTTGCTCTCCTCGATCTGCGTCTTGAAATTCTCGCACTCGGCAATCTTTGCATCAATTTGGGCCGTCAGCTGCTGGAAACTCTGCTGGAACGAAGCGCTGCTAAGCTGGAACTCGTATACGTTATTACTGACCTCGCGACCATTTTTTATGATCGACGCCGCGTCGATCTCCTCGCCAAAAAGCGTCTCTATCTCTTCTCTGGTCAATGTGATTGTGCGTGAGCGACGTAGATACTGCTGGACAACAGAGTTAATCTTGCGACGGTTCTTCAGCAACTCCTTGGCATTTTCGATTTTCTTTGTGAGCTGCTTGCTTTCGTCCACTTCTTTGTCGATGTACGCGAGAAGCTTGGCGTTGATAGACATCTCCATCGCCTCGGCGTCCTTGCTTGCATTCTTGTACTTTAGCGAGTCCACCAGGAGGTTCAGATTTGTTCTGAACCGCGCTAGATCCAATTCGGCCTGCGATTTGCTCAGCTCCTCTGAATCCACAGAAACCAGTCTGTTCTCACGTGCAGCAGCAAGATACCCCAGTAGCCTGCTCTTAAGCTTCACATAGGTATCCACCTCCAGGTCGAGCACGCGCCGCCTGTTTTTCATCGCAATCTGCTGCTCGTACAATGCAGACATTGAATTTTATGTATTCCAATCTGTCAGCTGAATATCAAAAAATGACGGAGCTTAAATTGAAATTTCAAAGACTTGTCACGTGAGCGAAGTCATCCGTCTGCATATATGCAGACAACGTTATCTGTGAGATTATAACGCGCCAGTGTGGAATGCATCTATGCGAAGAGAAGTATGAGCACGAACCTGCAAAGCCTATTGGCCATGTCACAATTTTATTTGACAGAGATATAGCGAGGATATAGAGAGTTAGTGTTAAAGTGTAGTTAAGAGACTTTATTTCTGTCACTTTATCAGCAATTAGAGACAATGCCCACATGCACACAGTCTTACATGGAAGCCATGATATAGTATCAAAGTTTATAAAGCTACTGCTCGGAGGAAAAAGCTTTCACGGTGGTAAGGGAGTAAGAGCCAAAGTCTTTCTTCCGTAGTTGGGTCGTTGGCAATCATTTTGTACAAAACATATTACTGGTTCTTCCGCCTGCCATGGCGTCATCTAGTCAGATGTCCACCAACTCAAGAATCAAATATATAATTGGTTGATAATTAATTATCAAACAAGTCTAGCAGAGTCCGTTCTCCAAAAATCAGAAACTGAACTCCTCGGTGTGGAGATACACCTCGCGGACATTGCCCACTTGAGACTGCAGTCTGGCAGCTGCATTTCCGACCTGTTCCTTTAAGCTTTGCGAACCGGAACAGATAATACAGTTGGTACTACCCAGCTGGAAAGATTTCACAATGTCGGCCACCACAGGCTTGTAGTTGTGGTATTCGAAACCGAATAAGTTCACTTTCTCAGTCTCACCAGAACAGCAGTAGATGTGAATATCCAAAGCACCACTTTTCAACAGAGACCCATACCTCTCCCTGATTAAATCCAGCTCTTGTTCGATCCAGCACACGTCCTCCGCGTGTCTCAAAATCCAGTCCATCCGGATTGTCCGCAACGGCACAGCAGGCATTCCTATCAAATTTGCATAGACCATAATAAAAGGTAGACAGGACGTGATACCGGATCCGGAGCACAGCATATATATATTAGAGAAGCTGCGCACATCTCGCGCAACACCGCCGTAAGGTCCGTCCACCAGCACTTTCAGATCACGCGGCGATTCTAAAGAGTCATAAAGGTGTTTTGTGAACCCGTCGTAGGCGCGGACAATCAGTTTGAAGCCGTTGGACGAAGGAATTACCGAGAATGGATGCAGCTCTGCAACTTTCTTATCCAGTGTTTTCAGGAAAATATGCTGACCTGGATCACACTTGATAGGGACCTCAACAAAAACCTCCATACATTTCTGATTGGGTGTACCGACTCTGCGAGCTCTGGCAGTGGCAGTCCTCATGAATCTGGAGGGTCTCAAATAGCCCTTGGCAAACCATCTGTAAAATAACTGTGCGCACCAAATCACAATGGTAGCCACCATGTACTTGTCGGCGTTGAGCAAGCCATAAACATGGTAGAACAAGCTGATGTAGAAGCCAATCGCAAGCACCCAGTGCAACGACACGAATGCCTCATACCAGAACCGCCGCACGATTCGGAGCGAACCAACCCAAAGCAGGGTCAAAAAGATGATAGGGGGGATTCCTGAAACATAGACCGGTGTCGCATACATTTTCTGATGTAATCTGGCCGTTCCACCTTCCTTGGAGTTTTGTATGTAGAAAGGAATGGTGTGGACCCATCCAAAGAACAAGCACAAAATGGATGCTGTCTGATGGTATTTGTTGAGCTTTTCGTGCGAAATTCCCGTCAAGAAGCCAATGAGATTGGTTTTTCCTGACAAAATGAACACAAAAGGCACAAAAGCCGTCGACATCATACCAGATCGAACTCCCAGCGGCGGGGAGCCGAAGCCCAAACAGGCGCGATAGTAAGGGTGCGGAACAAAGCACCAGAGCAAGCTGTAAAGGGTGACAAGTCCTATCAGCAGAAGACTGCCCACAGAGGACGGCAGACCGAGACGGTGGCAGATCTTGGAAGGTAACCGACGATAGACAATGAATCGACTATAGGCAGTCAGTTTCTCCATGATCCGTGCGGGTCCACCTCTCACACGATCCACGTCGTAGTTAGAAAAAACATAGTGCTTTACGGTGCCTGCAAACACGATCCCAACGAGCAGATATGTGACGTACTTGCCATATAGTGCCATATCTGCCCAAGGAGTAGCTGCCTGGGACATATTTTTGAGCATCATGTAATGATCTGTGCCCATATCGGCAATGCAGTGCACCCCATCATACACCTCCAAATCTCTGGCGACCACCATTAGACGGTGGAAAAAGCGAGAAGGTGCATTATATATACCCAGGACGTAATTTGCTCGTTTTACCCAAATAAATGATAATATAATATGCACAGCCCGAGCAAATTATTCAAGCGAAAAATGCAACGCTCCAGGGTCCAAGATAATGCCGCAAAACAGTGTTTCTGACGGTTCGCGAAGGTGTGGCAAACGCAGAAACAGGAATCTCAATGCGGTTGGCTTTGAGCAGGCACAGCTCGGCCGCCTCATTATCTCCTAGCTCAGAGTACATGGTAGCAAGATTTTGGTAGCCGACTTTGGAGATTTTTGCGCTGTTTGCATTGTCTCGGGAGTACAAATCAGCCTCAAGCGCTGACTCTTTCGCAAATTCCAACGCGGGCCCATGTTGTCCTTTGTACCATAATATTTCACTGAGTTGCAGCTTGACAAGGGGGATCTTATCTGACTTGACATTTTTGGCATCTGGCTGCGAGCTCTTTGCGAGCGCGCGCGCCTCGTTCTCGAGATTTCTCAGCAGCGATACAAGCAGCTTGAATGATTTGTTCATGTAGATGGGCTCACGTGTCGAGGCGTATAGAACGCACAGTTCGACAATTGAGGAAACTAGTTGCGACGAGCAAGTTTCTGTTGGTGGTATTTCGTCGGGCCCTAACGAATGTGAAAACTCGTGACTCTGCATGACTCTAATGGCCTCAATGAGCAAATTTATTGCCTTATCCGCACGCTTGTCCTCTTTTTCGACATCTGCAAGGTAGCGAAGACCCAAGTTTCGAAGCGAATAAGCCCCCACTTCTGTTTGTGCTTGTTCTCCATACCTATCCTGTAATTTGAGCGCGTAAGTGATGCATTCCACTGCTCGGTCTCGGCTCTTGGAGCCAAGCGTCAACGCATAGCGCAGCACAAGATCGCTGTAGCTCGAGATATATGAAATGTCTTTTTGTTGCAAATGCCTGTCGAGCTGTTGATATCCAAGCAGCTCATCTTCTTCTAATCCATTGGCCTTGCTGATGAGCTTCAGAGCGTTAGAGTAGTGCTGGTTGGCCTTTTTCGGATCGTTGATAATCATCTCGTTGGCAAGGCCGTTTTTAAACTCGCTGTTGGCCCTAAAACCAAAGCCCCACGAGATTGTTTCCAGCTCGTTCATGTACAGGTTGGTCAGCACAAAGAGCATTGAATTAAAGGCCAGGTTGAGGCCTGCCACGATTCCGCCGAGATACAGCAGGCGCACGCCGAGAGACGGAGAGTCCGAGCTTCTCATTGCTTGACGGAAATGATTGATGTTGGCCCCCACGTTCCAATATGACATCGGTCGTCTGGGCCGGATGGCCGCCAAAAGCAGTCTGGGACGCGATCTAAACATAGTGGGGTAGAAATAAATCGGGCACAGCCATAATAATATGTGAAGCTAGAGTATTTTATTCAGAAGGCGTAGAATGGCAGCTTTTGTTTGTGCCAGCTCGGACGCCATTTCTGGCGACGTGACGAGAACAATGTCGATGCCTTTGTCTGCGCCGACGATGTTCATACCGAAATAGGGGCCGGTTAGCCCTAACGGCTGTGCAAAGGTGAGGCGCAACAGCTTTACAGGCGAAGTGCTGGTGACAGTGCCAAGGTTCGAAACTTCTATCGTGGTCGTGCGCGGGGACTTCAGCTTGGACTCCAGATAATCACGAGGACTAAAATATTTGAGCAGCCCGATGGCTTGCATGCTAGAAGAAAGGCCCTGGTCGAGCTGATCTTGCACCGCCGCAGCCAGGGGCCAGTTACACTCGTCCGCAACCAAGCCGTACTCTGCTGCAGGAAACAGCTTGACGTTGATCCCCCCCATGAACAGGCCGAGCTCTGGCGGGCCTGGCTCTGCAAACATAAATCGCCGCAAATCCACCGGGATTGAGATTTCTGTGTACTTGTTTCCCACGATTGGTAGCAATGACACATGCATCAGCATGGTGAGCATCGCGGTGAGTTTCACACCGTGATTGCGAGCCAGAGCAACAAGCTGCGCCACCTGCTCCTGCGAAAGCTGCACGAGTTCGAACACGTCGTTTGCCACCCGCGGCTGGCGCGCTAGGTCCGTTCGTTCAAACAGGTCCATAACCAACGGGAACTTCGAAAATGGCTGCAGCAACCTCTTGAGCCACTTGGGTGCAAACTCCTCAAAGACCACACGCACAGAAAATGCCATAGATGGCCGGTAATTAATAAAAGCCATCTGTTCGGGGTTGGTAGCAGGAAGAACATCGCGGGAACGATCAAATAGCGGCAAGGTAGTGTCGACAGCGTCCGTTTCGACCAGCGTCTCAACCAGTGCATCGCGTAGCAGTATGTGGAAGTTTTTGCCCGAAGTTCCGTCGAACAGCAGGTGCTCGTAGCAAAACACTAACCGGTTTTTACCCACGAGAACGAGCCTCCACAACGGAGACTGGACGTTGAGGCTGAAATGGCGTTTGTTGAGCTCCGAGATGAGATCGAGCATGTTGCAATCAGCGTGGATCTCCAGCACGTCGTCCATTGTGTAGCCATCCAGCGGCCGGATCTCCTGACGGCCTTCGTTCGCGAACAACTGCAATGACAGCTGTGAATACCGCAGCACGAGTTTGCGCAGTGCGCTCCACAGGAGCTCTCGCGAGAGGTCTACTGAGTATACACCCGCAACCTGGCAGCACGAGTAGCAGCCGATCTCGTTACGTAGACAATACAAATCTTCTAAATACGAGATTGGCCGAGACATGGGGAATAAAAAATAATTTATTCAAGGCATTTTGAGACCATGCAAACCGTTATATTTAACAGGCTGCGGCTCGGTCCAGTTTTGCAAAACTGAGTCATCAGTAAGTTTATAAACCTCAACACCAAGCGGCCTGCAGCACTCAGTCATGTCCACCCCTGCGCCATCCTCAGACTCACCCCAGTCCCACTGCGACAGGTCGCCGCCGGGACAGGTCGACAGAGCACATAGCAGATCTGTCTCTGCGAAAAATTCAAAGTAATCACCTTTCTTCGCAGGACAGGTCTCCATAAAGTACTGGTCGTGCTCGTTGAGTCCAGTGAGTTGGAACACGTTTAACACATCGTGGACATCGAACTCGGTCAACCCGTATGGCAGAACCGCACGCGTCAAGTTGGAATGGCAGTGGAAATCATTATCTTCCCCAGATAATAGCTTATCGACGTAAGGGTCGCAGCGGGTGCCAAGGAGATCGTGGCATCTTCCACCCCACTCATCTTGACCATACGCAATGGAGTCACCTGTGATGGTACAAAGCGGTCTCAAATATGGCAGATTGGACCACAGACGGTCGTACACAGAAACGTGGGCAGAGTGTAGCTGTCTGGTACGAGAAGCCCAAAGTCTCTCTCTTGGGTTGTTGGCATTCCAAATGTTGAGGTCGCCCACCTGCGGACCCTCCAAGGCAATGATCCGGCAAACGTGTCCTTTGGGAACTTTCCAAGCACGTCCCGAGCGAACAGGGACAGTGATCTTTTCAATGAGCTCGCGTTTGCCAGCCTCGTGAGTGGCGGCAATAGCATTGTACAGCTCTCTGTTGGCGTATAACGGAGAGTCCTTGCTAGTAGGAAGGTACGCAGCCTTAGGCTTTGGTAAGTTTCTGGTGGTTTTCTCGGCAGCCTGGGACGACATATATTGAGTCGGAGTACGTTTTTTCAACGACGAAAAGATTTAACAAATAGCCGACACCTGAGACCACACTAGACACCTTACTCCGTCACCCGGCGCATTTCCCCCGATCTTAGCGTAAAACTCTTGAGCGGGCTTGCAACAAGTGTCAGACTGAGTCTGCGTCCTTGGTGGGGTTGTGCTTCAGCTTTTTGTGAAAAATAACAGCCACGCTAATTTGCTTTGCTGCAACCCAACAATCAATATCGACTTGCCCCACGTTCCACCCCAATTCCTCTTTCTTACGTCAGCAAAGATCCTCTGCTCCCAATCAGCTCTATGCACCCAAACAGGGTCGCTTTCACGTGCCGTTGACAGGTATCCCCGTGGCATTTGTTGGGTTGGACAGGGAATTACTTAAAAGAAGAATGCTCTCCTATCTCACTCACCAATGATAGATATTTACAATATTGAGGACATGGTCGTCCATGTTACTTATGCATTTTTGAGTGCAACTCTTGCAAGTGCACTGCTTTTTGCTTACAGCAAAAGGTTCAGAGTTGTGCTCCAATTCTGTTACCTGTGTTTCATCAAGCCCTTCACTCCATCGTCGAAAACCGCCAAGAATACCGGTGCCCAACAGCAGGCTCTCGAGTCATTCTACCGGGCCCAGGCCAAGATCTATGACATGACCAGGTCGAGGCTTCTGCAGGGCAGAGAAACTTCCCTCAAGCTGGCAGTGAGCCACCTTTCAAAGAATTCTGATCTCGTGTGGATTGACGTAGGTGGTGGCACAGGCTACAATGTGGAGCACATGGATTCGATTTTGCCGTTGAGCAAACATTTTAAAGCAATCTACGTGGTTGACCTATCGCCATCTTTGCTTGAAGTTGCACAGCAGCGTTTCGAGGCTAAAGGCTGGAAAAACGTTTACTGCGTTCTTGCCGACGCGTGCAACTTCTCTGTTGCCAAGCTGCCTGCTGATTTAATCACGTTTTCCTACTCGTTGTCGATGATTCCAACTTTTCACTGTGCCGTGGACCATGTTGTTTCCATGCTGCACAAAAACGGAGTTGTGTGCTGTGTGGATTTTGGGGTCCAAACAATTGCCACCTCGGTAGCCAAGGTCAACACCCTTGGAGGAATGACGAACAGGCACAGTCCGTGGATTTTCCGCACATTCTGGCGCACGTGGTTTGAGGCCGACAGGGTATTTTTGGACCCGGCCAGAAGAGACTATCTGGAGTACAGATTTGGGACACTAAAGTCGCTCAACCTGTACAACAAACAGCTGGGCAATATTCCATATTACATTTGGCTTGGCTGCGACAAGGACCGCTCGCCAGCCCTGTTTCACAGAATCAATGCACTAGCCACAGAGTCTCCGTACCTGGCTCCCCAAGATGAGTCCGTCGATATTGCCAGAAGTAAGGGCCACGAGGCAGCTCTTGAATCGCAGGCCAAAAAACTACCTTATCCCTCCATCTACTACCAGAACGACGCCTACCGCGTCTACTACGATGAGCTAAAACCAGAATATGGCCAATTCAGAGACCAGTATATCTATGCGTTTACATGGGAGGACCCAAGAGAGGATGTCAGGATCCTCAAGCTCTCGTCCAAAGACACTGTCCTGGCCATCACTTCTGCCGGCGATAATATTCTGGCGTACGCTTCTCTGCCCGACCCGCCTCGGCGGATTCACGGAGTTGATCTCAACCCCTGCCAGGGCCATCTGATGGAGCTAAAGCTTGCCGCTTTCAAGTCTTTAAAAAGGGAGGAAATTTGGAAGATATTTGGGCTGGGCAAGATCGAGGGCTTCCGCGAGCTTCTAGTTACCAAACTGGCACCCCACATGTCTTCGAATGCCTTCCAGTACTGGTACGAGAACGGTGAAAAAACGTTTGACGTTAACGGCCGCGGCCTGTATGACACAGGGTTCTCGAAATGGGCCCTGCGAATGGCTCGCTACGTGTTCAAGATCTGCGGCGTAACCTCCGACGTAGACGATCTGTGTGCGGCCCAAAGTATTGAGGAGCAAAAACGCATTTGGGACGAAAATATCAAACCTACGCTGTTCAACCCAATCGTCTCGAAGCTGCTTATAGGAAACCCGCTTTTTCTCTGGAAAGCACTTGGCGTGCCGTCCAATCAGGCCGCCATGATGGGCCCATCTGTGGTGAAGTACGTGATCGATACGCTGGATCCTGTGGTTTCCCGCTCGCTCATCTCCAGCGACAACTATTTCTACTACCTGGCTCTTAAGGGAAGATACTCGGAACAGAACTGTCCAGAATACCTTACTAAGTCTGCATACAAAAAGTTCTCCGCTAAAGGCTCACCATTGGACAATATCCGTCTTCACACGGACTACTTGAACGACGTCTTTGCTAGGTTGACGAAAAAGTCTCTGACAGTGGCTGTAATCATGGATCACATGGACTGGTTCGACCCGGTCGGAAAAGATGCGGAAGAGGAAATTGCCGCACTTGACGAGGCCCTGGCTCCCGGCGGCCGTGTCCTGCTCCGCTCTGCTTCCACGCAGCCATGGTACATAAAGAACTTCGAGAACAGGGGCTACATCTGCGAAGCTGCTGCAGTACGCGAATCGGGAAAAAGCATCGACAGAATCAACATGTACGCCTCCACGTGGCTGTGCATTAAGCCGGCCACGCAACACATGAGCACGATCAGGATTTGAAAATAAATAGACGCAGGTGCTTATAAAATTAGTTGCACGTGGTGAGTCCGATTTTGGCTACCGAAAATCGAGCCACGAGTAGCATAAATATCAGAGTCTTTCCAAGTCTGGTAACTAATGAAGCTGATCTTTTTTGCTGCGTGCCTCTCGCTTATTCCCGCTAGCTTTGCTGCCAACTCCGTTTTCATTGGCAACGACGAGTACATCAACTATGGTCTGTCTGGCTACGGTTTTGTCCCCGGCGATGCTGTTGACAAATACAAGGACACCATCTCGTTTGGATCCTCTATTTCATTGCACAAGCCATCATTGTCGGTCTCCAATGGCGTGTACAGCTTTGTGACGTACAATCTTCCAGACAGGGGCTGGAACACCAATGGTACACTTAACTATGCTCCTAGAATTCACAAATACGGGGTCACCTTCACACCGAAAAATAGCTCTTCCTCCGCCAATCTGGTCTGGAACTACCAGGATACCATCCTGCTCAAAGACTTCACTGGCCAACTCATGACAGGGCTTGACTGCAATACCACCCTGTACCAGAACGGCCACACGCTGCCGGCTACCCAGTTTGTTGGAGATGGTTTTGGTGGAGGATTGAACACTAACCGCACCACTACACGGGTCTGTTTGGACCCTGAGGCTCTGAGAATTGTCCGCAACGATATTTCTAATGGGTTCTGGATCACCGATGAGTATGGCCCTGGTATTTTCAAATTCGACTCCAACGGCACTCTGGTCGACTACACCCTGCCGCCAGATGCCATAGTTCCCTTCAGAAACGGAACGATGTCCTTCAGCGCCAACTCGCCTCCGCTTTACGAGGATTACGACCTTGGTGATCCAGATTCTGGCCGTGCCAATAATCAGGGGTTCGAAGGAGCAGCTTTGTCACCTGACGGGAAGCACGTGTACGCCTTGCTCCAATCTGCAGCCATCCAGGAAGGTGGCTCCAAGAAGTACACGAACGCTTATGTGCGCCTAGTCAAGTACAACGTTTCTGGCTCGTCCCCGGTGCTGGAGGCGGAGTACGTGCTCCGACTGCCCACCTACGAGGACCCTGAAAAAGATGCCGCAAAGAATCCTCGCGTTGCTGCGCAGTCCGAGCTTGTTTACCTAAGCGACGAACTATTTATGGTTCTGGCTAGAGACAGCGGACGAGGAAGAGCACAGGACAACACCACGTCAATCTACAGACATGCTGACCTGTACTCCATTGCCAATGCAACCAATATTGCCGGCAGGTACGACCAGATGGGTGACAAGGTCGCGTCAAAAAAAGGCAAGCTGGAAGATGGAATCACAACTGCTACCTACTATTCATTCCTTGATTACAACAACCAGACTGAACTGAGCAAGTTTGGACTGCACAACGGCGGCAAGGACGACCCCATGCTGCTGAACGAGAAGTGGGAAGGAATCACCCTTATTCCAGTGGAGTGCACCACAGACGAATATTTCCTCCTCACAGTTTCCGACGACGATTTTATCACGCAGAATGGTTTCATGAATTTTGGAACGTTTCCGTATTCTGACGCATCCGGGGCCAATCTAGACAATCAAGCTCTCGTGTTCCACGTGAAGCTGCCGGCTCTCACCCATGAAAACACGTGCACTGCCCCGAGCTCGCAGCCGGCAAATTCCATGGATGCAACTACTTCAAGCACTTTACAATCATTGCTGGAGACCCGGACAACGACAGCAAACAGATCTACATCTGTGGCGGTGTCTGTGGCAAGCGATGCCGGAAGTAGCCTGAGATCAAGTGTTCTCGGCTTATTACCGCTCGTGCTTGCCCTTCTGTAATATACATCTATATAGCAGCTACCAAAATAAAATAGATTAGGGCACGAGGGTTAAAATCCCCAATCACGTGATAGGGCATATTATAGGAAAAATATTCACTTTTTTTTTCACCAAGGAAATAGTCTGCCCTTAGTGCTTAAATCGATTATTCCAACCAAGATGTCCACCGAATCTGCCCTTTCATACGCTGCTATCATACTTGCTGACTCGGATGTCGAAATCAACCCTGAAAACCTTTTGAAATTGACCTCTGGTGCCAACATCGAGATCGACAACATCTGGGCTTCCATCTACGCTAAGGCTCTGGATGGCCAGGATTTGAAGTCTCTCTTGACCAACTTCAACATCAGCGCCGCTCCTGCTGCAGCTGGTGCTCCAAGTGCTGCTGCTGGTGGTGCCGCTGACGCTGCTGCTGAGGAGGAGAAGGAGGCCTCCGCTGCTGAGGAGGAGGAAGACGACGACATGGGATTCGGTTTGTTTGACTAAGTATAGATAATAAACTGACTAGTGTTGAACAGAGAGTAAAAAATGTATGGGAGCTTTGGTAATTTACGCAAATTACAATGTAATACGATACTTCTTCAATTAACCTATTTCTTCTTCTCAGCCTCAGCCTCAGCCTTGTCCTTGGCTCTCTTCTCTTTGATACCCTTGTATTTCTTCTCGGATCTGGCCAGTCTCAAAGTTCTGAATGCGGTCTGCTCAGGCACAACAACAGCTCTTGGCTCGGTATCAGCAGCTGGTTGCTCAACAGGGAAAGTAGCACCGATGGAAACCTGCTCACCAGAAGGCTTGGTGTTCTTGTCGAAGATGATCAAGGAGTCCTTGTATTTCTGAAGTCTAGCAACGTTGGTCTCGAAAATCTCGGTGGATCTGTTCACTCTTCTGTGGTCGACGGAAATTCCGATGGTTCTGGCGTATTTAGGAGTCAATCCAACGGCCTTCAACTCAGCAAGAGAAAATCCCTTTCCGGCTCTGACTTTTCTGTTGTATCTGATGGTTGGGCATCTCACAGCTGGTCTAAGAGAGTCGATTGGCTTTGGTGCCAATTTAGCAGCCTTGGCAGCTCTGGCTTGTCTTCTTGACACCTTCTTGCCGGCTTGGTCCAAGTGGACTCTGACTCTCTCCTGCCAGTGCTTTCTGAAGTGGTTCTTAAGGATTGGGAGGTTCTTTGCGATAGCCATTTGTGATTAACCTTAAGATTATTTTTTGCTTCACAGGAAAATTTTCAAGTCTCTCAAAAATTGGCACCTGCACGAACAACCTGGATGGAAAAAAAGCAGTCACAATATCCAAAACGCAAACCCCGTGTAAGGGTGCCTAAAATTTTTCACACACAAAAGTTAGCGAAATAATTAGTTATTCATTCAACATTATCACCATGTCTACCCAGCCTACCAAGTCCGTTCAGGTAAGTTAAATAACACGTCTTCTGGGAGCTTGCTAACATTATAGACCTTTGGTAAGAAGAAGAACGCAACTGCTGTGGCCCACGTCAAGTCTGGAAAGGGCTTGATCAAGGTCAACGGTGTTCCAATTACCCTTGTGGAACCAGAAATCCTCAGACACAAAGTTTACGAGCCTCTGCTTATTGTCGGTCTCGACAAGTTTGCCGGCTTGGACATCAGAATTAAGGTCACCGGTGGTGGTCACGTTTCCCAAGTTTACGCTATTAGACAGGCCATTGCTAAAGGTTTGATTGCCTACACAGCCAAGTACGTCGACGAGTCAAGCAAGAACGAGCTGAAGAAGGTTTTCACCTCTTACGACAGAACCCTGTTGATTGCTGACGCTAGAAGAATGGAGCCAAAGAAGTTCGGTGGTCGTGGTGCTAGAGCCAGATTCCAGAAATCCTACCGTTAATTGGATACATGTGGTAATAAAGAAGAAACAAGTGATTGTAGAAGACGAATTCGTAACTGTAGACTTGCTCGAATGTGGCTGCTCCACCCCCACCTTTTTTTTTAAATTTATTTTGTCCTCTGCTCTTCTTTTTTCCTGTCACCTTAATTAATTATTTTTCATATTAATTATTTTAATTCTTCTTATGCCGTACGCTCTTTCCCCCTCCCACAGACAAATGGTCGAAGGCCACTTGAAGGATGTTGATCCAGAAGTTGCATCTATTATCCAGGACGAGATCGAGAGACAGAGACATTCTATAGTCCTGATTGCTTCCGAGAACTTTACTTCTACCGCTGTTTTCGACGCCTTGGGATCTCCAATGAGCAACAAGTACTCTGAGGGTTATCCAGGTGCCAGATATTACGGAGGTAATGAGCACATTGACAGAATGGAACTTTTGTGCCAAGCCAGAGCTTTGAAGGCTTTCAACCTGGATGCAGACAAATGGGGTGTTAACGTACAATCTCTTTCTGGCTCGCCAGCCAACTTACAAGTCTACCAGGCAATCATGAAGCCACATGAGAGGTTGATGGGATTGGACCTGCCGCATGGAGGTCATCTATCTCATGGCTATCAAACCGACACAAGAAAGATTTCTGCTGTTTCCACCTACTTTGAGACCATGCCATACAGAGTCGATCTGGACACCGGAATCATCGACTACGACATGCTGGAGAAGACCGCTGTTTTGTACAGACCAAAAGTTCTGGTTGCAGGAACTTCTGCCTACTGCAGGCTGATTGACTACAAGAGAATGAGAGAGATCGCTGACAAGGTTGGTGCTTACCTGGTTGTCGACATGGCTCATATTTCTGGTCTTATTGCTGCTGGTGTAATTCCATCGCCTTTTGAGTACGCCGACATTGTGACCACCACTACCCACAAGTCTTTGAGAGGACCAAGAGGTGCCATGATCTTCTTCAGAAAAGGTGTGAGATCCGTCAATCCTAAAACTGGAAAGGAGATCTACTACGACCTGGAGAATCCTATCAACTTCTCAGTCTTCCCTGGCCACCAGGGTGGTCCTCACAACCACACCATCTCTGCCTTGGCGACTGCTTTGAAGCAGGCTGCCACCCCAGAGTACAAGGAGTACCAGTTGCAAGTTTTGAAGAATGCCAAGACTTTGGAGACCGAGTTTAAAAGACTCGGCTACAAGCTTGTTTCTGACGGAACGGACTCGCACATGGTTCTGGTCAACCTGAGAGACAAGGGCATTGACGGAGCCAGAATCGAGTCTGTTTGCGAACAGATCAACATCGCCTTGAACAAGAACTCCATCCCAGGCGACAAGTCTGCCTTGGTTCCAGGTGGTGTCAGAATCGGTGCTCCAGCCATGACCAGCAGAGGTCTTTCTGAGGAGGACTTTGTTAAGATCGTTGGATATATCGATAGAGCCATTAAGATTGCCAAAGATGTGCAAAGCAGTCTTCCTATTGAGGCAAACAAGCTGAAAGACTTTAAGGCCAAGATCGGCCAAGGATCTGAAGAGATCTCCGCTTTGAAGCAGGAGATCTCTGATTGGGCTGGCCAGTTCCCATTGTCTGTTTAATAATGATAGAAAAATAAAAATATACATATTTCTATTTGGACTCTTTAAGTGCCTTAGCAATAGCTTCAAAACACTGATCTAGTTCCTGTTTCCGTTCGCCAACGGCACTGACACCCATGTGACCCACTCTGAAGTACTTGTCCTTGTAATCTTTATAGATTCCGGTAGCCAGAGTGAAGCCATTGTCTCTCACTTTGCTTAGGAACGTAGGTCCGTCGACACCGTCGGGATAATAAGCAGTGGTCAGCCCGTGAGCGGCCACGTCGCGCGAAACGGTCACCAATTTCACACCTAGAGTCTCCAAATTGTTCTTGAACTTGTCAGAAGCCTCGGCATGGGCTTTGATTCTTTCTTCCAGCGATGGAGACAAAACCTCCTTGAGAGCAACGTTGTAGGCATGAATCAGCTGAACTGCCGGGGTGGCAAAATAAGCAGGGCTGCCGTTCTCAAAGGCGCGCATGACGGGCAGCCACCGTGGAATGGACGCATAGTACGAAGCAGGCTTGTGGCCCAAGGCTTTGTCCAGGGCACGTTTCGATGCATACGAGATGGACAGACCGGATGGACAACCCAATGCCTTCTGCGAGCCAGTCAAAACAAAGTCAATTCCCCAAGCGTCGAATTCCAATTCCTCACACGCTGTGGCGCAAACGGCGTCCACCACAATCAGGGTATTTGGTGACACCTTCTTGACCAGGGCAGCAATCTCCTTGACATTCGAAAGAACCCCCGAAGAAGTATCTGTCTGGGTGATAGTGATCATGCCGTAAGACTTGGCTTTCAGTTTAGCCTCTATGGCCGGCAATTTAACCGCGTCGCCAAACACCTCGGCACCGACGATGTCGACATTGTCAGTGTAAACTTGCAGCGCCTCAGCAAAGTGCTCTGAAAAGAAGCCTGTGGACACCACAAGCACCGCGTCTGAGCACGAGACCAGGTTGGCACCAACAAGCTCCCAGCCAAGAGTGCCCGATCCCGACAGAATAAAAGGCTGGGTCTCGGGGTCGGTGGACTTGAACACCTTTCTAGTGTTCTTGAGCGCCTCCTGGAACACCTGAGTGAACTCAGGCGAGCTGTGCGACTGAGACGGAGTGGACATAGCATTCAAGACGGCATCGCTGAACTCAACAGGGCCAGGGATGAAAGTAAGCTTACGGGTCATGATAAAAGGTGGAGAGAATTTTTACCCCGGGTTTGAGTTAAATAAGCTTGGGTGCAGTCGATCGTCGAGTCGACAAGAGGCCACGCAAAAAAAACCTAGCCAAACAATTTTAGCGTGAAGGCCACGGACCGCGACCAGAGTGTGACATAGAACTGGAGACAGAGATGATCACGGACACGGAGCTAAACACTATTGCCATCACGTTTGGCATTTTCTCAATGGTGCTGATTCTGTGGTACTCGCTGATCGAAAACAACGTGAAAGCTACAGGAAAAGAAGAATAAATTACGCATTGTTCGCATTACTGGTCCATTACAACTATACCATTACAGCTTTAAACGTGTCGCCATGATGGTTTCATAGCTGCTCACCGAAAAACCCACTCAACAGCTCCTTGCTCTTTTCATAGTTATCTAGCGCATTCTTAAATGCGGCCTGAATACAACCGATCCAATCGTTCACTGTGCTCGCCTTAGCCGCAGGCTCATAATCGTCAAGATTGATCTTGTTACCGTAGTTTTGAATTCTTTCGCACTCCTGTTGCACTGTATGTAATCCCAACGCCGCGGCTGAACCCTTCAAATAGTGGCCCAACGACGCAAGACGTTTGAGATCATCCTCGGACGGGTCTTGTTTTTCAATAAGGGCCTCAATTTCCTTGAAAATGCCCGACGCCTGATCCACAAACGTTTGGACCAACGAAAGGGCAAAACCCTCCTCATCTTCGTCCATGAGCAAAAGCTCTTGGAAGATCGTCCAGTTGATCAACTCAGAGCTTTCAAGCGTTTCCTGAGTAACGGACATTATGCACTACCTGCCACTATGTTTACGAACTGAAATGTCGATCCTATCTTGGCCACGGTGTCTAGTAAATATAACGATGATATTGCTCCAAAATCAAAAAAAGAAGAGTCCGCTGCGTCGATCGGCGCGAGGCCCGCTTCAAGACATTATTTTGTCCAAGTCGCTATATAGAGTCTATTGCAGCAATTCATACAAATCGCCCAGCTTGTCGGCAAAGTACGTGGGTTGCTCATCTTTGCTAAGCTCACCCAGCGTCTCAACGGTCTCAATTCCCGTCAACACCAGCAGCGTTGACAGTCCTCCCTCTCTACCAAATTTCATATCGGTGTTCAGTCTATCACCGACCATCAGTGTTCTGCTTTTGTCTAGTTTGTGAGCTCTTTCAATTGCGTCCATCATGCCCTTACTAGGCTTTCCGCAGCTGGTAATTGGCTGCCTTCCGCTTGCACACGTCACCGACTCAACGCACGAGCCTGCTCCAGGAAGCTTCATGCCTTTGGAGGGATATGTTGAGTCGATGTTTGTAGCAATGAATGGAACTTTTGGGTCTTTGAGGTATTGCATGGTGACAGCAAGCTTGTAATAATTGAGTTTGGTATCAAGCCCAACAACCACCGCTCCGACGTCCGGATCAATCTTGTAAATCATCGACTCTGGATCGTTCATGTCTAGAAGACCGTCGTATCTAGGATCAACACCTCCTAACGATTCGTAGCCAAACAGTTTAAGCTCATCGACAATACCGGATCCCCCCAAAACCCAAACCTTCTTGTTTTTTGGGAGCTGCAAAATACTGTCCACATACACTGCCGTGGCATAGGAGCTGCCAAAAATCTCCTCTGTAGTGGCGACAATGCCAAACTTCTCAAATTTCTTGACGTAGTCGGCTCTCGATTTGGAGGAGTTGTTGGTCACAAAGATCACCTTCTTGCTCTTGGAACGTAAGAGGTCCAATGTCTCAGCAACATTGGGCAGCAAATGATCGCCGAGCCACAAAACACCATCACAATCAAACAGAAACGTGTCGTATTTGGACAGAAGGTCTTCAACCTGTGATTTGGATGCGATCTTTATAGACATGCCGGATGATAGAAGAGCGAAAGATTTAAGATATATCTTGGGCGATCGACGCGAAGCGTCCCCACGATAATTATTTTTCCCCTAATATATATTTCCCCTCAATGGCTACCCAAGATCTTCCTCCTGTTGGGGGGTACGAGAAGATCCAGTGGAAGAGAAACCTGCCTTCAAGAGGGTTTAGACCACTTGTCTGGTTTGGATTGCTGGTTGCTACCACGTCGTATGGCTTCTATAAGGTCATCCAAGGCAACAGGGAGAACGTGGAGCTGAAAAGAGAAAAATTATGGTCTCGTATACATCTAATGCCTCTTTTACAAGCTGAGCAGGACAGAGACATCGTCCGCAGAACTATCGCATACTATAATAGAGAGGCAGAGATCATGAAGGACGTTCCTTGGTGGGAAGTTAAGTCCACTTACTCTAACCAGAAAGACTTCCACCCTCCACATACAGTGCTTGTGGGCAAACAACTTGATAAAGACTCATCGATTTTCAATCAAACCACTAGGGACAGAAAATAATTAGCTTGTTCCTATATATCACATATATTTATTTGCAATATTTATTTATTTTATTTTGTTATGCCCTCCTTGATACCAGTACTCATATTATTGTGTTCCAGAACGCTCGAGGCCTTTTACGGCATCATATCCGATTGCGATGAGGTGTTCAACTATTGGGAGCCTTTGAATCTGCTTACGAGGCTTTTTGGGAAGCAAACGTGGGAATATTCGCCCGAATATGCTATCCGGTCGTACGCTTACCTTCTTTCCTTCACCATTTTCAATAAGCCGCTGAGGATTATTGCAGCATTGGTACCAAGTGTGCAGATTCCACCATATTTACAATTTTATCTTGTGAGGCTTGCCATTGCCCTTTCCACAGCATCTGCCGAGATACATTTGGCAAACACTCTGGCATACGTTTCGCCTGATGTGTCCAATTGGTTTCTGATCTTGCAAGCAGTGAATCCTGGTATGTCCCACGCATCTATAAGTCTTCTACCCAGCTCGTTCGGCATGATTTTCACGCTTCTGGCTACCGCCTCAATAGTCAACTATTTGAAATATGACAGGTTTATCTTGAAGATTCAAAACAACATTAACGAAAAGCTGCGATCTTTGATCAAGACAAAGGCTCCAGAATATGACGAGAGTCTCAAGCTACTGAATCACATGTATACGGAATCTATGATCGCAAGAAAGAGACATTTCACTATGGCAATTCTTTTCTTCGTGGTTGGAGGTCTTGTAGGATGGCCATTTTGCTTTGCCCTGGTCGTTCCTTTTGGCCTCTACGTTTCATTCGCACTCATATCCAGAAGGTCGTACTCCCAGTTACTCACTTTCGGTGCTCTAGGGTTTGCTGCAATCTTATTTATCTCTATTGTCATCCTGCAAATCGATACTTTGTTCTACAGAGAAACCACTTTTGTCCCATTGAACATTGTGCTGTACAATGTACTCCACTCGGATGAAAAGACAGGTCCCAACATATTCGGAACTGAACCATTGACTTACTACGTCCACAACCTCCTACTTAACTTTAATCTCGTGCTGCCTTTGGCCGTGTTGGGACTTTTGTCGCCAGTCGCATTCGAGAAATTTAACCTGAAGCAGATAAAGACAGTGCAGACCCCCATTATTCTGTGGTGTGCCATTTTCTTTTCACAGCCCCACAAAGAAGAACGCTTCCTCTACCCAATTTATCCTTTGGTCACACTATCTGCCTCGTTCTTCATTTCTCAAATCACCCAAATATTCGGCAAGACGTACTTTTTCGCTAGAGCCTACACTTTCCTGTGCAAAATCGTCTTGTTCGCTACCATTTTCTCTGTTTCAGTTTTGCGAATTGTGTCCCTGGTGTCAAATTATAGCTCACCCCTAACGGTCTTCCGATATCTGCCTGCATCAAATACCGATGTCCCAGAAAATGTCTGCATAGGCAGAGAATGGTATCACTACCCTTCCTCATTTTTCTTGCATCCTAACCAGCGGCTGAGATTTGTTGAAAGCGGGTTTAGGGGCATGCTCCCAGGTGACTTTGTGGAGCCAACATCCAATTCCTGGGCGGCCCTATTCATTGCTACGTCAACAAAGCGCCAGGGATTTAACAATGAAAATCGGTACAATCCAGATTTGGTTATTCCATTAAGCGAATGCGATTACTACATTGATCTAGATATGCCTGTCAACCCAGAAATGGGTGAGATTCAAGTGTTTGAAAAAGCCAAGACGGCTGAAGACTGGGAGCTTCTTGTATGTGACAAATTCCTAGACACGGAAAACAGTTATGGTATCGACAAGATCCTTTATATCCCAGATAGAGAAATTACTATTATCACTGAGCGGTTGGACTCATTATACAACAGAGCTCAAGGCCATCATCATGTGCAAAAACTTCTGTCGTGGGTGCAGAAGAGATACATCCTTATCAGCAGCTTACTAGGGTCCAAATACGAAACCTTGAAACAGCACCCCTACGCACAGAAGATTTTCAACCACCAAGTGGTCGTCTCTTTACAGTCACTGGCAGGGCAACTCAAGCATTGGATAATCAAAAACGCTTCAGAGTTGGAAATACCACAGCCTGTGATTGAGTTTTTCACCAACGGACAGCTACAATACCACCAACTGTGTCTGGCAAAACACAAATAACTCATCTATTAACCAAAGGTTTTCAACTTAATGTGTGAAAACTTCTCTAATACCGTTTCCGTCTCAGTCTCTGGAGCGGTTGCTAGTTTCACCAGTCTTTCAAGGTTCTGTTTTTGGTCTTCGGAACACGAATCCACAAATGACTTAAAGTGAGCTGGCGAATGTTGAATGAGATCAAGAAGTTTGTGGTGCAAATAGTTCTCGTATCGCCGTGAAGTGAATTCATCGAACCAGAGAATGATCGGAACGCATATCTTGAGGCATCCCTCGATTTTGTCCGACGAGACAGATCTAGTCAGCACAATTAATATCTCGAGAATGAGCCTTGGCTCTTTCAGCTTCGACTGGTACACCTGATCCACGAGCCGAGGAATTAGTTTTTCCAGGATGAGACCGGTCTTCTCATTATTCTTAATCAGCGTTTTGATCGCCTGTATAGAAATCGTATTCAGGCTGGTTTCTTCGGAAAGCAAGCCATTAATGATGAATTCTGAGACCTTCCCTGCTTCTTCCTCCGTTAAGTGCAATTCTTCGGTTGTAGTGATCACGATAAAAACCGTGAGAATCGAATTTTTGTTGCTAACGTTCAAATGTTTCCAGATGGACTGGAAAAAGCGAGACGTGGTGGAATTTCTAGAGTCGATATGTGCAAGACTGGAAATGACCCTCTTGAGAGTTGGAAGCAGAATTGCAATGATATCTGAATTATTAAGCTCGTAAACCAGAGTGAATGCAAAAAGGAAACAAGTGAGCAAATCCAGCTGTATGACTTCAGGAAGATATGCAATCATATTCAACGACAGATCAAATGCCTTCTTCAAAAGAATTAGATCGTGGCTCTCAATTGCTTTGAGCGGAGTTCTTCCTAACTCCCGGTCTCTGATAAAAGGAAGGACTTGAACAATAGCCAACATGTTAATCCTGAGGAGCTCAAAAAGTTTGTCCACATCGCTATGAAGCTCTTCCGGACTCTTGGCGTTCGAAGAAGTCTTGAAATAAGACTCGAAGACCCCAGATGCCAACTCCAGTATCTTTAACTTGAACGAAGGATCAGAAATCATAACGAGCCTGTCTAGCAGATCAATGAATTCGACAAAAATTGAATCATCAAAAACCAGTTGTAATCCTGATTTGAGTTTCAATATTCCTGCCAAAGCTTCCAAAACACGGAAATCGTGTGCTGTCATAGCCTGTTTTGTCTTGGATGAGATCTTGATCAAGTGCTCAATGCATTGACCAAAAAGGACCAAGAAAAAGTTGGATCCATCATCACGTAAAAGCTCATTCAGATGCGCAGAGTTTTCGTTTGCAATCACACCAATGACCTCAACAAAGTCCACCCAGCACTGTTCATATGTATTGATGTCCACATCGTCGGAATTGGTAATCAAAAACTGGCTGCCGTACTTCATCATCGCGAAATCGCGCAGCGAATACAACCAGAGAGGTGTAAGAATGTTTATGTACTTGTCCACCAACTGGCTTGTATCTGAATCACCCGCGGCATTCACCTTGATTTTTGACCACGCTTGTAGAATGTACACCAACAGTTTGTTTTGAGATTTGGTTGTGAGAACAGAGACCTCACCAATCTTCAAATGTTTAGGTGCTCCATTGGACATCTCATTGCCGGAGCCCTTTGCGTGAGCAAACTCTTCTAAAGATGTGGTCAAAACATTGACGATACGCTGCATTCGACTCACTTGGCCAATATTACTGCTCAGCAGTTTGGAAGCCAAAACAACAGCAGTACATGCAAGTTCGATGTTAGAATCTTTGCTGAACGCCGGAACAATAGCCGTCGTGATTTGGGCGGACTGCTGTCCAAGCAAAGAGACCTCTGGGTACAGGGGGTCACTCATGTTGCCATAAATGTCAATGATATGCCCTATGAGTTCCAAAGAGGAGATTCGAAGTTGAATCAGACTCGAGGTCGAGCAAATAAAAGCAATCTCAACAAGCTCAGATATCTTGGTGGAGATGTATTTTTGCAGTCTAGAGTCTTCTCTTGCACTTGCAACAACAACAGTGAGCAGTTGAAGAATATATTTTTTGAATTTCCATTTTGTTGTCTCATTTTCTAGTACCATCGACTGGACCATCGCGGCATGCACCGGGGGCTGCCTGACCTCCTTTCTTGAAGAGTCTGTAGTGTCTTCGCGCTTAATAGACGACTCATCTTCAGAATGAGCAAAACTTTCACCTTCTTCATCCATCTCTAAGTCTGAATGCTCAGGTTTCGGGGTGGGAGCAGGCACTGGGGTGCTTGATTTTGATTTAGTCTTTGGTTTGACAGAAACAGGCTTCTTGAATCTCATAGGATTAAAAAGAGCACCGGAATGGTTGATTCTCTCTCTGTACTTGGAGAGTAACGGCTCATAGAGCACATGTTTGCTCACATTGAATAGCTTCACAAGTTTTTCAAACCACTGCACCTTCTCTGCAGCCGAGGAAAACTCCAAAAGGTTGTTAAACACCTCTTTGACTGTGGAGCTATCAGCATACTCCAAAGAAATCCACAAGAATTGCTCCATCTCGGTATCAATGCTATTGCCTAGCTTCAACAACTGGTTATATGACTCCAATGCGAGCCTCCAGTTAACATCACTGGTTGTGACAGGGTATATCTCCGTCGAATCCTCGCTAGCAATGTAATGTCCATCAGAGACACCCACTTTGATGTTGTTGATGATTGAAAATTTCGCAAAATTGATGTAGGTTTCCATCGAAATAAGTGAATTGTCAAAAATCAACAGTTCCTCCAAAGCCTTGAGCATCTCCCTCGATATTGCTTCAACCTCCTTCTTCTCGAGACTGATCAGTCCGAAAAGTATGTTTTTGAGTTTTTGCTTTTGTGAGATCTCCCAGAGTCCAATGGTAGGGCCTGAGCTATTGATAACCACACGAGCTAGTCTGGCCAACAGGACATCAGAGTTTTGGCCTGCATGGTAATTCAAGTTCGAGGACACAGTGATAGGCGAGCTAAATCCAAATTCATCAGAGTTCAGTACGTTCTCCATTGCCGCAAGTACATTAGTTAGCAAGGGCCCAATAAGTTCAATTTGTCGCTGACTGGAAATAACAGTTGTGAGTGAATCTAATGCAGATGCATGAACCAGCGGGTGAGGATCCAATACCAAGGTCAAAAGTACGCTGAAGATGTTCGTGGTGTTCATCAGATTGGAGTATTCAGAGATTTTGGACAACGTGAGCGAGTCGAACGAGCGTGAGTTGGGTTCTGCATTTTCCACAATCGATTTGATGAAAATAGCAATCTGATCTGCCAACATACCGTCCTTTGATGCTGTCAACGAACAAATAAGGCCTATCGCGTCCGAGTTAAGTTCTGCGAGTCCAACAAAGTTGGAATATTCAGCGTGAATTCTTTTCAAGAGATCGATCAGCAGCACGCTTACAGAATTGGAAAACTCCATCTTCGAATGCGAAGCTGACTGCTTGAAAGATTCATTGTGGTTATGCATATAGCTGACAATGCTATGAATAGAGACACAAACATTTTGCACAGTGATGTTGGAAGCGTGTCCCGAATTGGGGAACAGAATTTCTTGCATGTTCTCCAAGATCGAAATTTGCACCTTGCTAGAAAGAAAACCAAACGAAAGAGCTAAAATCTCCACAGAAATATCCACGAGCATCGTGTCGAGGTCAGGTGGCAATAATGAGAAGTCGGTGTATCCATAACATTTTGAGCCTTGATATAGATACATCAGATAATCGTTTAGGAAGGACGATTGGTCAATACCAGCTGAATCAAACACGGTCAACGGTGCCAAATGACTTTTGATTCTGTTTGACTCAACTGTGTACAGACTTTGGAATGGTAGTTCGTCGATGGTTTTGATCTCATCTGATGGTTTCTGTTTACGCAGAGTGGTCGACTTGACCAATAGCTCATCAACCTTGAAAGTATTGAGTTTTTTGGTCTTGAAACCTGATTTGCAGATGTTCTCCACCACGTCCAACAAAAGGCTAGAGTTAGAGTCAGATTTAGGGAGGAAGGGTTGTAGCTTAATGTGATTTTGATAAACACGAAGCTTATGAAGCTTAATGGTTCTCTCGAGCATTGGTGGCACAGACAGGCTAGAAACCTGCATCTTCAGGTTTGAGATAAACACAAAACTTTTGTTAATGATCTGGTTGAGTGATATGGCAATCTCGGGCGTCAGCAAGCTTGACTTTGATGAGCTGTCAATGGAGGAGCTAGTTGACGACAAATAGTTAGTATAGCTCAGAAGACACACCAATGATTGATTTTTGATCTCTACCAGCTTCATTATCTCGTTCAAATTCGTAATCTTAGTGAATCCATCAACGGTTGATGTTTGAACAAAGTCAGAAGGCATGGAATGGGTGAGAAGGTTTTTCCAGATTGTAAGAAATTGCGAGCTTTCCAAAAGGAAGAAATTACTTCCCGAACTGCCATCGTTCTCAGTAGCGTAATTGAAAAGGCCCATAAGTATGATCCAACTGACAAGCTGTTTTTCGTAATTGACGTTGGAGACATAGTTTCCCGAACCTGATCCAAAAAGATTACCCATAATGACGGTTGAGTTGAACTTTTTCAAAAAGTTGGTTGACATGGAAAATACTTGAAGAACAAAGTCTGCATTGATGTGCTCTTTCGGGCAGGTGGAGAGAATCGAAGCAATCAGGAATGCAAGGCCATGGTTCTCGTTGAATAAGAAGTTCATGTCTCCTTTACCCTCGTTAAAAGATGCCAAAAGAGTGGATAATGATTCGTTCAGGATATTGAAGGAAAGTTCGGGCTTGATAGAAATAAGCCTTGTGATTGAGTCCACCGCAACAACTCTAATCTTGAAGTTTTTATGTTTGCAAAGCTCAAACAATGTACTGCATAGCTGTGATGCAAACGAGTCATGAGAGTCAGAAATACCATCTTGCTGAGAAAGAACATATTCGTCAAGCTGATCAATAAGCAACTGAGATAGTTGGAGAAGGGAGAGCACGTAATATTGATTGTCGACGTCGTGGTCTGGGGCAGGAACAGCCTCGATCAGGGAAGGAAACTTAACCACCTTGCTTTCGGATGTACTTCCGTACACAATTTTCGAGAGAATAATGAGTCTATTAATGTCCGAGTCTACCTCTCTCAGGAAAAAGGAGTAAAGAGAGTCAATTTGATTCAGGATCTCCATTGGATTGTCGAAATCATCAGTGATTTTGAAAAATCTGTCATCTTTTGAGGGTTTTAGCTGATTGACGGACATGCCTTTGCCGAATACGTGATAATAAATGATATTCAACGTGTCGAGGAATTTGAGACTCATGTAATTAATGCCATTTTTGTAGCCCATGCGAACGCTATTTGTGGTGTAGTACAGATTCATTTTCGACATCAACAGAACTATAGCTTCAACAAGACCGGCGCGGATCTCTTGGGTGTGCGACACTTTTGTATAATTGGCAATTAAGTAACTTAAAGTGTACTCAAAACACTTTTCCTCCTCACCGAGGTTTACACCGAAAACAATGACATTGAAGACAAGAAGATCAGCTATGCTTTTTGATATCACAGTTCGAAGCTTGTGTTCTTGTGTGGACAGGGCCGCTGTTAAATCGTTCAAATAAGGCGTAATGAATGTGAGGTAACTGGTGACGGAAGGAGTGCTTTTTCTGCTTATGATGGAGAGTACATATCTGTCCGATTTCAACAAGTGGACCAAGATGTTATATGCATACGATACACTAAGGAGTGGGTAAATGTATGTGTGAGAAGAGTTTTTCTGTGTAAGATATTTGGTAAGCTTCAAGAGTCTTCCCAATAGCTTATCGTCCAAGGTATTGGAGCTGTTGTCATTCCTCAAGATAACATCCAAAACCTGCACCATATCTGTAAAATAATTTGCCTTGAAGATCCCGGAATCGATTGCAGTATTGTAGTTGTCATGGCATTTGGTGAGGTATTTGTAAATGGTTGTCAGCAGCAGGTTTTTGTATGAATTGAGGAATCCGCCAAATTGCGCGAAAGTTAACTGTAAAAAAGCCAATGCCATGTGTTTCAGCGAAGAGTACCATGTTGACTTGATTGACAGCTTTTTGAAGTCTACTAATATATTGACCATTTTATTAGTGACATCAATTAGTTTGATGTTGAACCTGTCGTGTGCATTTTTTAGCATCTGTGACAATATCAATGTGTAAGTCTTCGCTAAAAGCGTGTTAACCCATGTAGATAGATGATAAACTTCGGGAACATCATTAAAGGTGTTTGTGAAGTGATCGATCAACAGATCCAACTGATTGCTCGCAAATGTCAAACTTGGATTGTCCAAGTTCTCGGACTCCAAATAGGTATGGAGATTGGTCAAATATGTTGCAATGCCCGCCTGAACATTCTGACCAGACTCCTTGTCATTATTTTGCAACAGAGTTGGCTGCAATTGGGTGAAAGCAAACTTGTCCATAATCTATCTGATGGTCAACTTTACGTGGAACAAAGAGAAATGTAAACCCAGGAAAATATTTTATTATTTTCTTGTGCATCTCAACATGGTTCTCTCAACAGCTGAAAAATCGTACATTTACGATTCGCTAGCTGGCGAAAACGCAACCAGAACAGACTCCAGGAGAACCAACGAATTCCGACCTTTGAAAGCTGTATGCTCGTTTGTGCCTAATTGTAATGGCTCTTCTAGAGTGTACAACCCGGATGGAATAGAATGCATTACCAGTGTGAAAGCAAAAGTTATCAGAACAAAAGACATATCCGAGTTAATAAACGTCGACGTTGATGTCGAGGGTCAGCGAGATAACTCGACCCTATGTCTGACTTTATCAGCAATGATACAGCGTGCGTTAGTCAACAATTTTGATTTTGAAGTGCTTCGACTGACAGATAAATATTATTTCCAACTATATGTGGACATACTCGTTCTTTCTGTTCCAGGAGACTTCAAGAACTCATCATACACGCTGTACTCGCTTCTCTCTCTCATCTCTATGGGTACGTATCTGGCTTTGAAGTCTGCCAAACTGCCGTTACTCACATCGACCACCAACGATCGCGAGATTGAGGAAGAGCCTTCATTCGCAGACGATTGGGAGCTTGCCACAGATCTGATACCTATAGACTCGAAATTTCAACCAATGCTGATATTCGTCGTTGGGTTGGTTGGATCGAACGTTCTGGTCGATCCCTCTTTGGATGAGGAAGAAGTACTAGAAAGCGGTCTATGCATAGGGTACTGCCAAGGGAATATTGTTGCTCCAATTCAATCGGTGGCACTGTCCACAGCAGACGGAAAGGCATTCAATCGCAAAACTCTCATTAAGGCGCTCGAGACGGTGAAGCAAATTGGCCAGCCTGTGGTAGAAGCCCTAGAAAGTATTCTCAGTACCGATGTGGATGAACACGGAAGTTTCTTTTAACCCTCCGGTTTCAAGGATTTTTCGCTGCGAGACAGCGCTTCATTCGCATCATTCAGCACCTCTGCCTCCTGCTTGACCCGTTTCATCCAACGTTCGATCAAGGACTCGTTCTCTTGCTTCAATTTAGCCATCCTGTCATTCAGCAAGTTATTTTCGATGTTCAACGATAGTATATCATCATTTAATGACTCTAGATTCTGGAACTTAATTTTGCTCTCTTCTTGCAGCCGCAGATGGCGCTCCTGTAGTTTCTTGTATCCATCTGTCAATATATTGAGATTATTTTTGACAGTACTCAACTCTTTGACCAGCTCTTTATTCTTCGCAGTTTCGTGCTTCAAGCTGTCTTCTGCCAAGTCCAGTTTCTGTTTCAGTTGGTCGATCTCTCCCAGCAGGTCCAACACTGTTTTCTTGCTATCATCACGCTGTACCGTATCTAATTGTCGTTCCAGCGACGCAATTCTGGTACTTAAAAATTGAACTAGATGTCAGTAATCAAATCTCTATACTCACATGACAAAAACACGTCTTTCTGGGTCTCCATTGACTTATCTCGCTGTGCCAGTTTTGCCAGTAAATCATTTTTCCAGGACATGAGAAACAAAAGTTAAAACAAATAAGAATCTATTAGCACCAAATTTATCTTATCCCACAAATTATGGGAAAACCCGAATCTCCCCAGAAATCATCAGTGGAGAGGTCACAATCGACAAATTCGATATCATCGCTGCTCAAAAATCGTTTTAAAAAGAACCAACAAGATGATAACAAGCAATTGAAGAGCCCACAGACAGATATAGCAGAGACACCAGAACAAGATGGCAATAATTCTCAGACCACTGAGGAGCAAGACCTGACTCTCGAGCAGTACCGTAGCCAAATAAAAGAACAATCGGGAACCTCCCAAGAAGACCTTAGCCACGCGCAGGACGGGTTTCTCAACAGATGGGGGTTATGGGGCCAAGAGCAACAGTCGTCTTGGTCTAGCTGGATAGGAACTTTTGGACGACAGACAGCAACGCAATCACACACTAATGCTGCCAGTAATGTGGCTGAGAGTGAAGTGCGCGGATGGTGGGGGTGGCCATGGTCGGCAGCTGCGAACGAGAATTCGAAAGATCAGGCATCGTTGCGAACGCGCGAGGATGAACGAGTGAAAGCAGCAGTCGACCAGTTATCTGTTTTGGGGCCACAAATACAGCGAACAACATCATGGGCTTTCGAGACTCATTATGGGAACAAGGGAGGTGAACTGAGCATTTTCGGTACAGCGACTTCAAATTCGCCTGTTCATTGTGAATCGCTACCAAAAACCCAGTATGAAAACCAAGAAGCTTCAATCGACAAGCTAGAAGAGACATTCTCTGATGTGGTACCAGATGTAAGCTACAATTACCGCGATTTAACTAGGAGGACCAAACTGCGACTTCTCCTATCAAAGATATGCCCCGTTCCATTGGTACCTCCAGAAATGCACCTGTATCACGACCCGACATTCAACGAGCCCTTGTTGGGAAAGACAGAGACCAAAAAGGCTCTTATAATATCTATTCATGGATTCCTTCCTTTCAAAATGATTAAATCGCTTATCGGACAGCCTACAGGATCAGCTACTATAATGACAGAAAAAATCACGGATTGCTTGCGAGAATGGGGAAGAAATCACGGCGTCAACATGGATATAGAAACAATATCGATGGATGGCTCGGGAAGAATCCTCGAAAGGGTCAACAGCTGTCTATTTTTGCTGCTAGATAATTGGTTAGACTCGATTTTGAACTGCGATTATCTATTTGTTGCATCGCACTCTCAAACAGTACCCGTGGCAATACATGTGATATCGCGATTGATAACGGCAGGCTACATTGACAACATTGAAAAGGCAGGATTAATAAATATTTCAGGGGTGTGTCTTGGTCCTTACAAAGGGCTCGACTCGAAGCTTTCCGTCAGAGCCTACACTCCTTTCGAAAATGACGTTTTGATGGAACTCTTTGATTTCCAAGACGACGGAACCGTCCAAAGCAAAGAACTCGCTCGACATATCGAGATCCTTTTGCGCAAAAATGTCAAGCTGACTTTTGTTGGCTCAATGGATGACCAATTTGTTCCGCTCTATTCATCTATGTGTGCTCATCTCAATCATCCCAACATTTATAGATGCGTTTACCTGAAAAACAACACCCCTGAATTTTTGAGGCAGCTTGTGACACTGGTGATGATTGTACGAAATTTGAACTACGACGATCACGAATTGCTAGTCGAAATTAATAGCTATTTACAGGGCACTTTGGGAGCAGGAAGTCATGGCAATATTATAACTAATAAAAACGTTTACCGGGTGGGTATCGCAAATATTCTAGAAACCTCAAACCCTGTCGCTCATCACCGTCTAAACGTGAAACCTATCAACGTCAAGAAATTCTGCTTCAACCAATATCATCTCCCCTGGTGTTTGCGAGGATTTTTGCAAGAAGTGTTGAAATTGCGCAATTTCCCCACCAGGGAGCTATTGCAAAATTTGTTTGACGCCTACAGACAATGGGACCCCCAGTCAAAACAGCACAAAGACCTCAAGTATACTATCGAAGTTTTAGGTAAGTCGCCTATTGGGGAACTTTGTATGGATTAATATATGCTTTCTGTAGGATTAGAAGCACACCCTAACACCAATACCTGATACAGTAATTTGCAAGGAAAAAATAAAGAAATCGAATTTATGTATTGAATAAATTAGTCAACAAGTCTTTGGGTACTCTAAGAATATCGATACAGGTTATTTATTGCACGGAAATCACAGGAGTCTCAGAATCAGATCATAAGGCGTGATTTTCATTGTTAGTCATGGCTTTTCCCAGCATTTCAGGCACGAGTTCAGGCAGATCGTCCATCAGTCTTGAAAACCCTCGTTCGACTCAGGTCAGACGTAAGCCAAGTGTGGGAAACGTGTTTTCTAGCATTGTGAACACAGTCCGTACCTCTGTGATCAACAGCACAAATATAAACTCACATCCGACCGCGGAAGAGTCGCCAAATCCGACACGGGCGGCTTCTGCTGGACAATCTTCTATTTCCCTGCCTTCGTTGTCTGCCGATGATAGCTCTGGTCCCAACTCCGAACGCTACGAACAGGACCAGACGCAACACAACCAGCACAATCGGTTTGATCGCCACCTTTACAACCTTAACATAGCGAATAGTCCTACGGTGGCCAATTTGAGTGCCTACGTTGAGAACTCGCAAACGCGGCCAACGTTGGAAGCGCCTGTTCCAGTTACTAGGTTACGCGAGACAAATAGTGCTCCACCAGAGAGTCCTTCAACCGACCCACCGGCAAATTTGAGCGCAATAACGTCGGAGGCTGTTGAGGGGGACAGTGATATCAATATGGAAGATCTGGCAGATTCCATGAGCGAAGGTATCACAACACCTCTCGATGCCCATGGGGCAGAGATGGAGGCGCCTAAATGCGACGAGAATGGATACTACGCGATTCGTCTCACACCATTCATCGACCATTCGTCATCGACACCGTTTATGTATTTTGGGCCTCTAATTCGCAAAATCAAGCCTGGAATGTCGATTATGGTGGGGAGATACACAGAAAAATGCAAAAGTGCCGCTACAGCTCCACAAGGTTCCTCAGCAGCTGTAGTTTTCAAGAGCAAGGTTGTGTCGCGGCAGCATGCTGAGATATCTGTCGACCACAATGGTACTTGGTATTTAAAGGACGTGTGCTCTTCGTCAGGTACATTTCTGAACCATGTCAGGCTCTCTCCAGCAAATACGGAAAGCAGGAAGTACGTTCTAAAGGACTCGGACATATTGCAATTGGGAATGGACTACCGAGGAGGATCGGAAGATATCTATCGATGCGTCAAAGTGACGGTGGAGCTGAACTCTTCATGGTGCAGGAGAACGCAGAAATTTAATGAGGAAGCACACGAACGCCTAAAAAAACTCACGCTTATGACATCAGAAGAAGAGGTCTCACCATGTGCCATATGCTTGAGTGCCATCAAACCGTGTCAAGCGGTTTTTGTCTCCAGCTGTTCGCATTCGTGGCACTACAAATGCATCAGGCCAATCGTGGTCAAGACATACCCCCAATTTTTGTGCCCAAATTGTAAAGCAGTCTGCGATATGGAAGCCGATTTTGACGAGGACGAATAAACGTGGAGGAAAAGCCAAATTGTTGCGGCCACGTACACGCATCACTGGAATATGCACACAAGTTTGTACTTCCGACGAACATTGCAGATACGGAAGTGTTGAGTGTAGCGTAATTGTCGGGCAGCGAATAATTTTGTCCCAATCAGGTTCGCGAAATGTCCGAAATAATAGCTTTGAGACCTCGCACTGCATAATTTCAGCACCTTTTATCTAAAAAATCTATCACATTGTCCTTTTTTTTTTTTCGGTATTTTTAGCACCTCCCTCCTATAAAAGGCCTTCGTATCCTCTCAAAAAAAACCGCTTCACTGCGAACGGTTTATACTCTCTCCCCCGTTCCAAAATAAACAAAATAGTTGATAATTCCTATCAATGGCAAACAGAGTTTTTACGGTCCAAATCTTCTTCATTGTTTTGAGAGAGACTTTGGAAGCCGTTATCGTCGTTGCGGTTCTTCTTGCTTTCTTGAAACAGAGCTTGGGAGCTCGGAGTCCTGCTGTGCACAAACAGCTTCGGAAACAAGTTTGGTGGGGTGCAGGTCTGGGTGTTCTTATCTGTTTGATCCTGGGAGGTGCATTTATTGGTGCATACTATTCTCTAGACAACGATATTTGGTCCAAATCTGAAGACTTATGGGAAGGTATTTTCTCCCTTATCGCCACTGTCCTCATTTCTTTTATGGGTATTGCCATGCTGAGAGTCAACAAGATGCAGGCTAAGTGGAGAGTCAAAATTGCCAGGGCCTTAGTGACACCACCTGCCAGCAAGGCCGAACGGTTCAAATTCGGCTACCTCGTCAAAAAATACTCCATGTTTATTCTTCCATTCATCACATGTTTGAGAGAAGGTCTAGAAGCCGTTGTTTTTGTTGGCGGTGTCACTATGACTTCCCCAGCTTCTTCATTTCCGTTGCCAGTTGTTTGTGGTTTGATCGCTGGTATCGCTGTCGGTGTCTTCCTGTTCTATGGAGGTTCCACGGTTTCACTGCAACTATTCTTGTGCATCTCTACTGCTATCCTGTATCTGATTGCTGCTGGTCTATTTTCTAGAGCAGTCTGGTACTTCGAGACCTACATCTTCAATCAACAGACTGGTGGTGATGCCTCCGAGAACGGTTCCGGTCCAGGTACTTATAACATCAAGAAGTCTGTTTGGCACGTGAACTGCTGCAACCCAGAGACAGATAACGGTTGGGATGTTTTCAACTCTTTGCTCGGATGGCAGAACTCTGCCACCTACGGTTCCGTTTTGTCGTACAACATCTACTGGATTGCAGTCATTGTGACCTTGCTTTTGATGTATTACGAGGAAAGACACGGCCACCTTCCATTCACGAAAAACCTGACCCTCAGAAAGTTGAACCCAATGTGGCACATCAAGAAGAAGGGTAAGAACGAGTTGTCTGCCGAGGAAGAGGCCCGTCTTTTCAAGGAAGCCAATAGGAAGCTTGTTGAGCAAGCGCAGAATTTTGGCGAATCGAGCGAATTAGGGGCTGCCAAAGTTGAGAAGGTCACTGCCGATGATGAAGCAACTGCTTTGAAATAAGGGCAGACCGAAAATAAGACTGGCTATGTGAGATCATCGAACACACACACACACACTCCTGATGATTGATCAGAACCGGTCGCGTTGGAGGTGCTGCTCATTTCTTTTAATATTACACACACACAGGGGAACTAGAATGGGGGAGAGAGTCCGTTCAATGGCCCTTGATGGAAAATCACACACACACACACACCGTATCTTTCAGTCAGTCAAACTTTCCTTGAAGTTTTTGAGATTTGACGTTATGGTATCTGATTTGACAGTTAATATAATAGTTTTTTATGCTATTAAAATTACGCGTATGCAAAGTCATTCCGATTTGAGCTTCTCAGTCCTTTAAACTTTTTGGTAGGACTTGGGATGGGATCCAGGGCTACAGAGCATTTGCGCTTATTCTCTGCAGGTTTTCCAGGCAAAGTCTGTCCATAAAGACTGTTTTCATTACCCACGTGGCAGCAAATCATATCCCACACAAGTCTCATTTCGGAAACTTTCCAGCTTTCTGGAAGCCGCGAAAGCAATGGTTTGATCTTTTCAGAGACTGCATCAAATAAATACAAGTCGCAGCTTAGTGCTTGCAAGTTTTTAAGCAAAACCAACTTTAGCAGTTCTAGCTCCACCTCGTAATCTGGGGTCTCCTTAACAAACCAAAAATCAAATCCCTCAATAAAATCCTCCATTGCCACGGCCCCCAGCGTCGCATACAATGTTTGTACGCCGCAGCTATAGGTTTGATTCTCCGATGCTGATCTTGTGGCCCCAAAAATGCAATTTATAAGCAGTGCAAAGTGTTCAAGGTCTAAAGAGTTGTCGGTTTCATAAGTGATAAGGTCCTTCACAAATCTGAACATTAACTGCTTGAAATGAGGATTGGGCGTAGTCTGAATAAGATAGCAGATGAACGGAGTATGGGCAACAATGGTTGGATGAATGGACTCGCCGACATCTTCTAAAGACATGAGCTTTCTAAGAATATTGATATCTTCAAACTTATTAGGTTCTTTGTCTGTGAGATAGTAATCTAAAGTAAGGACATCAAAATTGGGTTTCAGCTCTGAGTAATCGATTTCTGCGTTTTCATCTGCATCTTCCTCTTGATAATCAAATGGACCGTAACACACTGTCAAATATTGGTCAATGTCAACAGGCTCTTTTAGTAAGTACTTGGTGGTAAGGGCCATAGTGTCTGTTTTCAAACTTTCCCGGTCGAAAATGTAGGCATGAAGATTATCTGATTCTGCCTTTTCCACAATAATTCTTAAGTCATCCGACGCAGTAGCACTGGTATGAATCTCAGGCGAATCAAATAGGTGGTCGGTAGTAGACGATAAAGTTTCTGGCTGAAATTTGACCAATTCACCAGAAACCTCGTCCATACAGTATTGAAGTTGATATGAATCGTCCTCGTAGTATTGATCTATGATGGCGTCGTTGTAATATCTATCTTGGTTATCGTGATATCCAAACTTTATTGCCTCTGAGACACTTATTCTTAGATTCAGGAGTATGTTGACCATCGCTTGCCGAAGCGTCTGTGGGTGCAAAAGAGGTTGAGGAATTACAGACGCATTATCCTTGCTGTATTGTTTCATGTTGTAGTATAAGGTTATAGTCAATGTGCTCAGAACACTGATGACCAAAGCCATTTTGAAGTAATATATATCGGTCTGGAGCTGATGTAGCCGCTGATCGCAGAATTGAGCATAAAAATCGCTCGACAGATGACCGCCCTCTGAGAAGTAACATTTTGTTGTTTGAAGGTCCATTGGCTCTGTTAAGGATGGATTATCTAGAGTCAGTCAGTGACCAAATAAACTTACTGTAATGCGCTGGTGTCAACCATGACAGCCACTGGTCTACTATCGACGACATTAATTATGATGGGAAAAAGGGGATAAAAAAATATACGCGGAAGCAGCTTGTAGGAAATAAATATTTCGATCTTGAATCAATAAATAGGTGGTAAACTAATAAGTAAGCCCAAGAAACATAAATGTACGCTAGAGCTCGTTGCTGAATGGTACAGGTCCTGAAGAATACCTTGGAGGAGCGTTTCTGTCGTACATGATACCTCCTGGTCTTTGAGGGGGGATAATTGGGTCTGGGTGTTTGAATTTGTTGAGCATGAGTTCAGTCTTGTCAATAATGGCCTGTAACATTAGTATTGAATTTCTAGAGTAACTTACCTTTAGCTGTTTCGGGTCTGAAACGTCGCGGTTCTGCTCGAAGCGAAGCCTGATCTCTGCTGCCTTTGCACGGTAAAAATCACGTCTGTTTATCCAGTCAGCAGCAGTCCTCAAGGACCGTCTATACAGTGAGGCAACAGTCTTGATATTCTCTGGCGAAAAAGGCACAGGTGTCTTGGACATGAAGAATAAAGATTGGGGAGAATTAATAAGGATTGAAAATCGTCAGCTACCCCACATCTGTTGTCAGACGTCGATCGACGGGGACGATTTTATGTATTTGTAAATACAGCAAATAGCAACAAAAAATAAAATTCAGTTCTACCTGTTTCATTCTATATCATGACTCAAGAGATACACTCGAGTGCTACAGCTACAGGAGAATCTTCCGAGGTCAAAAATGGATCATCTGGATTATTATCGGATCAGCAAGAAGAGCCAATTGGCAGCTTGCAGCGTTTACAACCAGACTTTGTGCTCAAGGTTTTATACCTTGCTGATCCTAGCACTTTGGAGCCTCAAACTGAGTCCGATACCAATCTTCAGAGACTGATCAAGGCATTGGACCTCAACGGATTCCAGATAAGCATCAGGCCCCATACAGATTCCAACCATCTGCTTGTTTTTATAAAGCTAAAGGACGATTTATTTGAGAAGCTAGCAAAGAAAATTAAAGAGGTTGAAAGCTTCTATGGAGTCGTGGAACTTTCTGACATTTCCACCGCAGATAGACTCAGAATAGTGTACAGTAAACTGACAGGAGAAAAGATTGAAGGTAACGCAGAGATGACTCCCGGAGAAGGCAATTGGAAGTTTGTCGAGTCTTGTGTACCTGTTGCCAACCACGACGCTATTCAGAAGGAAGCTCAAAATATGAAAAGCAACCTGCTGAAATTCTTCAGTGAGCCTTTTTCCTCAAAGCAGTCCGAGTTTCTGTTTAAAAACTTTGGTTCATCAACAGCTTTTTATTTCCAGCTCAGCAATCTGTACATCTACTGGCTAGCATTACTGTCCGTCATTGGAGTGATTTGCAATCGTGTTTATGGCAGGTATTCGAAGGTTTTCACTGTTCTTAACCTTCTAAGTGGTCTTGGGTTTTACCTGTCCTGGTACTTCAAGGAGAAACAGCTTTCTCTGAAGTGGAATCTGACCAATGTGTCAAAGCTGGAGTTCAAAAAATCAGGATCCAAAATCAGGCCCCACCAGGTACTTCTGCGCAAACTATTATTCACTCCAATAGCCGTTGGTGCTGGATTGACTTTGATGTTTTATCAACTGGGTTGCTTTGTCATAGAGATTTTGCTGACAGAGGTTTACCAAGGTCCTCTCAAAAGTTACCTCTCGCTAGTCCCTACCATTTTGATCTGCTCCATTGTTCCTATATGTACTGCCATCTACACAGTGGTGGTCAATGGCTACCTTTCGTTCGAGGGGAATGCTGACAGGAGCACGAAAAGGAAATCGTTCTTAATCAAAATGTTTGTGTTCAACTTTTTAGCAAGCTACATGGCTCTATTTATCACGTCATTTATCTACCTGCCCTTTGGATACAAGCTAAACGAATATCTCCCTCACATTGGCTCATACGCCGAGAAGGTGTCCACCTACAGATCGTACATTCCAAAGATACCTCTGCTACAATCTGACTACGAAATCAACAAGCTGAGACTCAACACACAATACACATATTTCATTCTTACCAACCAAATCGTGGGATTGCTGCTTGAGTTCGTGCTTCCTCAAGTGCTAGCCAGGGTTTTCGCTCTCCCGTTTATGAAGTCCCTCATGAGTCCTGCCAAGTTGCTGCCTGTCAAACTCACTGATCCTCCTCAGGAGAAGGAGTATCTCGACAAGATTCGTAAGCTGGTGGAGTTGCCCGAGTTCTCTGCAGACGACGAGTTCAGACAGCTTGTCATCCAATTTGGGTTCCTAATGCTGTTTGGACCAGCCTCGTCGCTCGGCCCAGTCATATCCTTGGTTATAGAGCTGATTCAGGACAAGGCCGACTACTTCAAGCTTCTCAACCTCACCAGGACCCCTATTCCCGAACGAGTCGAGAATGCTTTCCCATGGACGGTCTTCATCAAAGTTTTGCTGATCATCGGCACTCTCACCTCTACATCTCTCTCTTTGATGTATAATGGAGGAGACATTGTTGCATCGGCATCTCATAGCTCGGTGAAAAACAGCTGGTATTTGATTCTTCCCTTTATTGTTATTGGAGGCATTCTTGTACACTCAATTGCGTTCTTTGGCGAGATGATCATCAACGAGTATTACGCCGAATCGTCTCCAGAAAATGCTAAAAAAGAAGAAGCTCTGGCAAGACTACTAGAAAGAGAGGAAGAAGAGAAACCTTCGACTTATGTTAACAATGTGGACGAATTGCTCAGATTTGCCTCGGTTTTACCGAAAAGAATTATCGTGGAGGATAAAAAGACTAAATAGTCTCAATATTTTAGATATATACCGCTGTTGGCCTTATGTTCGTCTGACATCCACTCGTGCTCTTTTCCACACAGTGTGCAGATACAAGTCGCCAACTTTTTCGAGGTCATCAAGCTTTGGTGCCTTGAGATTCACCTCACAATACGAGCCTGCTGAATTCTGACGCATAAAAGTGCCAGGATTGACCACTAACACGTTCTGCACAATCTTGCTGAACGCCTTGAGCTCCGAGGGAATGACAAGAATGTCAGGCAAAGACGTATTGAATTCAGCTAGTCCCATATAACTCACATGCAGGTCCGCGCCGCTGATATGCACAGACTGCTCGTACTCCTTGAGACTCCGCTTCTGTTTCAGCCCGCCAGGAAACACCGGGTAGTATCGCCGCTGCTCGATCACGTGACCCGAGATTCTGTCAAAACGCGACGCTTTCAAGGAGGCGCCTACGGCCACGTCCTTGAGGTCTTTGAAGATGTCATTGTTGGAGCAGCCGATGACGAACTCGTTCAGCTGGAATGTAGCAGGATTCGGGAAACATTTGACGTTTTTGGGTATCCCCAAAGTTTTTCTGTCAAACGAGTCCTGTGGATACGCGGCGTGCTTGGTGGTGGCATCTTTCGTGGAAGGAACCAGAATAACGAGGCATTCAAGTTTCCGCAGAATCGGTGCCACCACGGCACGAAACACGTCGTCTAGCGTAGCCGGCTGTTTTTCGAGCCCGTCGAAGTGCAGCGTACCGTCCGCTACTTGTGCGTGGTTGACGTCCAAAAAAGGCCCAAACATCACCACTGTGTCTGGACGCACCTCATTATTCATTTTGTCCACAAACTCTGCCAGATGGGTGTAATTGAGCTCCTTCTGCGGCGTGTATGGTCCTGCAGTGAAGACCACCTTCATGTTTCCTGCTCCGTACTCATACGACTGCAGCTCCTCAGCGGATGAGACAGGCGATTCTAAAAATGGGATTTGGTGCATTTCGGTGACTTTAAAGAACTCTCCTGTCAAATTTTGGCCCCGGAAACAAACAATCTGGCCAGGGAAAAAGGAGTAGTCGTGGAGCGAGGAGAGGTCCAACTTGATTCTTTGGCCTATTCCTCCAAGTCGTGACGTTTCCAGAAACAGCGAATTAGCGTTCAAGTCGGCATCTGAGGCAGTCAATGGCGAGTCTGGCACGATACGCCCCACGGTGAGGATCTCATTCTGGGACTGGATATTTGGGTTACCAAACTCCTCGCTGTCGAATTTGTAGTGCTCAAGCACAACTTTGGCCATGCTGTCAATTTGCTCATCCAGATAGTCTGCCACTTCGAGGAGTTTCTGATTCATGGTGCGGAACTTGTATTTTTGAGGATTGAAGTTGGCCAACAACTTTGGCTTAATTCCGCTACCAGGAAGCACATCAAGATGACCGTTTAGCGTTTCTAGGATTTCGCCCGAAACGGCAGATTTTGTAGGCGAAGTTTGCAACGGCGACGACACCAATGCAGTAAAACTGACATCGGCACTCTGTGGTGTATCTGTCCTGCGCTTCTTCGAGGACGGCGTCGATGGTATTAGGTGCATGTTTGGCGTTCTCATCATCGGACGCTTGACTGAAGAGAGGGGTGTCTTTTGCTGGCTTTTCACAAGCTTTTTCTGGAGATGTTCCTGAAGTTTCCCGAGATTCTCAACGTTCAGCTGCAGCGGATCGTCTGCTGTGCTCGCGTTCATCACGTATGTCTCCCATTGGACAAACAGGTCTTCTACGCTCAGACCAAATATAGCCATTAGCTCCTCGCACTTTGATCCAACATCGGAGTCCTCAGGCTTCAAATTGAACTGAACCAGCACGCTTTGGGACGCCATATCTTAAGCTTTTTTTTAAATCGCGTCGCGTCTCAAAAAATAAAGTTCAATAGTGTCACCGTTTAGCATTATGTAAGCACATTCAATCTAGATACGTAGTATACATTACTCTTCCTTCTTGTCGTCCTCTGGCTCTTTTTCCTCCTTCGTGTCATTTCTGTCTTCCTTCTCGCTTCTTCCCTCTCTTTTTGGAGACTCTTCCCTCTTACGGTCCTTCTGGTCGTCTTTTCTGTATTTTTCCTTTCTGCCACGGCCGCCTCTTCTCTCACCAAACTTCTGAGCCTTATATTCGTCATAGCTGACCTTGCTAATCACATTGAGCTCCTTGTCGTTGTACTTTGGCTTCTCCTCGGCGGCCACGAATTTCTTTGCGTCCTCTTCCTTCTTGAACTCAACAAAAACAGATCCAACAAACTTTTTATCCCTTTTCTTCATTCGGACTTGGTTCACAGGGGCAAACTTTCCAAAGAACTCAATGAGTTCGTCCAAAGTGGCATCCTCGGGCAAATGCTCGACAAAAACGCTTCTCTTGTTGATTGCAACCTGGACCTCGTTCTGGTTTGCTGGCAATGGAGTTTTCCTTCTCACCATCTCACCATTCTCAGAGACCTCCAATAGGCTCTCAGACTGTCTCAGAGCCTCGACAATGGTCTCGATCGGTCTGTACTTCTTCATACGCTCGAATTGCGAAATGACGCTAATTGGAACCCAGCCGTCGTTGGCTTGTTGAGTGGTGAAGAGAAACTTGTCATTCAAAAGGTTCGAGTCCGAGAAGTAGAACTCGACCTGCGAAAGAATCTTGGGTTTGAGGTCTTCGGTGGCCATTCTGTCCAAATGATTTTCTTGATCCGTATGTCGATCTAAAAAAATTTTATTCCAAGATAGTTTGCGGTGTATGGGTGTATAAAGCATGTCTTATTCGAAGAGACTTCGGCTCGACAGAACGTAGCACCCGAGTTTCGAGGATAATTGCCTGCATACGCGATGGAGCTCGGCAAGTTCATCAAAGTTCTCCTTATCGCGGAGATTCCAATAGAAAATCGATGTATTGGAGACGAGTATGCAATTTAGAGGTCGGTCCTGTAACTGTGTCGGTATCATATCCAAGATGTTGCTCAGCAACCTGTTCACGTCACCAAGGTTCTCAAAATCATCATAAACAACTACTCGGCTTAGCAACTCGCCTAGTTCCGTGCCTGAATTATCTTTTTGCAACATTTCTTTGATCTGATGAAGACCAGAGTTCACTATATCAGCAGACCCGAACTGGTAAGCACAATCTAGAATGGCCACAATTCCTAGTGCATCGCTCTTTTTCAGAAGTTCACAAACGTAGTTTATCCATTCAGGGGTACTTTGCACGTTCAATTGAATATATCGTTCTCCCTCCAGCTCGGTGTTTATCTGCTTGATCTGGTGGTAGCCAGCCAGATCCGGCAAATCAAACGATGGTTGGGGCAATTGTGCAACCTAGTATTAGCAATTCAAATGTTAGGTCTTACCTTTGTGAATTCGACCCCTTTCAAGAACTCCAAGTCCATGTCAGTTTACTGTATATATCTATTAATTTTTTTAGAGTGGCGGTGGAGGCAAGGCTAGAAGTGCTTGAAGACAGTCAAACACAGATAGGTGAATATCGGCACCAGTAGGTTATCGTTCATTGTAGTACACCCCTCCACCATTGCAGAAAGCATTGCTGTGCAAAAAATGTTGGAATAGGAGAAGTCGTTCTGGCCTAACTGCTTGAACAGAGCCAAGCCACCTGCGGTAACTGTCGCAAATGCAACGGATCCTTCGACCGTTTTCTTCGTTCCTGGCCAGAAATTGGCTCCTACCCGCTTGCCCAGAAGGGACGCAAACGAGTCGCCGAGACCAACTGTAACCAGGCCTGCGATTGCCTCCGGAGCCTCGGGGTCAAGCCATATAGGCAGTGCAACGCCCAGCACCAGAAATAGGTATGACGAGACGATCTCACCCTTCATGTCCTTTTCATCTAGGAAATCAGTAAACTTTTGTTGGAAAAAGCTGCCGAATGGCGGGATTCGCAAAGCTCTTTGCAGTTCCACCAGCAACAACAGGCCAAATAGCCCGATCAGTGCCAGGGCGACTATCTGAGGATCAACGAGCAGCGGATACGACAAGGCTGCAAACAAAACGAAATGCCACACTTTACGGCGCACATCTAACGGAAACACTGGCGCAATGATGAACAGAGAAGGCAGAACGATGAAAAGCCCACAAAGCCAGAGTTGGAAGATGAACCATCGGGATTCTGTTTCCTGGATGTAATTTTGCAGCCACAAAAGAGGGTTTTCCTTAAGTACCGGCGTCAAAAAGTAGATGGAAAGATGAACCCCTATGGTGTAGAATGCCGCCTGCAAAATCGCAAGAACGGCCCAATTCCGACCGGTGTTTTCGTACACCAGGTAAATTGTGTAGCAGACCCCCGTGGCCGCAGAAAATGAAACCATAAGTTTCTGGAGAATTTGGAGGTGTACTAAAGATTGCGTGTTGATGAACAGAACCAGAGAAACGGCAAGAGTTCCCAAAATGTTTCTTTCGCTTTTGGAGAACGAGTTCGGAGCCACATACTCCAGCAGGGACGTAACGGCCACGTGCCACACTGGACCAGCGAGAACAAAAGCGAAGGGCAAAGAGTCGGTATTTTCATGTGATGTGAGCAGCTGAATCTCCAGGAGCATAGCTACTCCAATTCTCACAAGCTCCTGCAAATCAGACACCAGCGCCACAGAGCCAGCAACTAGGACCAGGTTTCTTGGGCTTCGCATCAGCGCAATGGCAAGTGGAATGAAGACAGCGTAGATGAGTTCCAGTTCCGGGAGTTGTGGAGCGTTTTTGCCCGTGACTTTATATTTTTTCCAAAGATGATGGAAGACGACGACCACCTGAGAAACAACACACAGCAATGTGAAGATAGAATCGTACAAATACTGTACATTGAATGAGTCACCCTTCGATTTGTCGTTGAACAAGATGTATATCACGTTCGCAACAAAGACCAGAACAAACCACTGGATCCAATCTGCTATTGAGGCCTGTTTATCAATAAGCTCAAAAACATATTGCGTTATGCCGATCGATTGCAGCAGGCCTTCTGACGTAGTAGGTGCCGACAGCACCCGTTTCTCTTCTTCGACGACAGGCTCAGATTTCTTGATTTGTGATCTCGTGGATCGGCTGTTGGCCTGTTTTCTAGGGCCCATAGGAAAATACGAAAATTGAAAAACAAATTAGAATTACATCTTTATTTTGTAGGTCTGCTACCGAATATATTCGATCCAACTCTCACAGAGCTCGAGCCCTGCCTGAGAGCCTCTTCGAAATCGTTACTCATTCCCATACTCAGCTCCAATTTTCTTCCGAGCTCGGCCTCTAGCTTCTCTCTAACTTCCACAAGAGTCTTGAAGTCCTGGTTCTCGTCGCTCGAGATTGACTGCATAATCGACCCAATGGTCATCAGACCCTCCAGATTGAGCTTCGGACATTCGTTGACGATGATCTTCGCCAGCTGCAAACACTCTTCCGGAGCAATGCCCGACTTCTGTTCTTCCCCTGAAGTGTTCACCTGGATATAGACGTTAATTATCGGCTTTCCAGACTGCTCGCGCACATCGTTCAGCTTGCGAGCTTTTTTCTCGGTGTCGATCGTTTCCACAGCGTAGAGGTTATCGATGTTTTTCGCAAGGTCCTTGGTTTTGTTCGTTTGCAACCCGCCAATGAAATGCCATTGGATATCTTTTGGTAGCACTTTGGCCTTCTCCAAAAGTTCTTGAACGTAATTCTCGCCAAAATGTCGGTATCCGGCGTCGTACAGTGCCTTGATGTCGCTAGCCGGTTTGAACTTCGAAACACACACCAGTCTTGCCTTATCGTTCAGCTCCTTGACTCTCTGAGCAATCTTATTGGCATTAGAGACCAGTTCCACGCCTCTCTCGGATGTGTACTCCAGACTCATGGATTGAAAATGCTTAAGCCTAATAAGAATTCGAGACCTTATCAGAGTGAACATTTTTTTTTCTAGTAAAAATCACGCTAAAATCATATACTTCAAATGTTATTTAACAGATCTGTCAACGTGCCCACCAAAATGTCTGCAAGCCCAGACACGGTGCATCGCATAGTAATTCGGAGGACGCGAGCATCCTGAGGATTTGTCTCTATCCGCATCAAGCAGCCTGCTCCCCCTGCTGCCATGCTTAAAATACCCGTGCACACGATATTGTGCATGTTGTAGTCGATGTTTTTGAGCAAGTTGAATCCAAAGAGCTGCATGGTCCGGCTCAGAATAACCGTCTGCATCGGAGAGGAAAGCCGGATTACTTTCTGGCACTCTCCACCAGGCAAACTGCTGATCTGACTCCATCTAGTGAAGAATGACTCCTTGGATAGCGGTGTACCTCTGACCATGATCTTCCCAACCACAGCTGGAAGCCGTAGCTTGTATTGGCACAGAGTGCCGCACACAAACGATATATTGATGATCGGTACCTCTGTGTCGAGATACGGCTTCCGCACGCTAACGTCGAAGATCTGGACCGATTTCGAATTGGCGGTGATGGTGGACTCCGGATGTTTGATGACTTTGATCACGTAGCCGGGATCCTCGGTATTGCTCAATTTAGAAACCACCTCACTTGTCAGGCCGCTAATTGTACTGGGCGATTTATTGGAATAAAACAGCTCATAGTGCAGCTGAGCGTGATTTCTTCGGAGTCTGAATAAAATCTTGAACAACGAGTCTTCGTAAAAAATACCCTGGTCGTAATGCAATAGACGGTAGTATCCCTCTTTCCAGTTGGGGCTAAATGCTGGAAGGTGGTCAACAGACGGGTTTGCCGTGGAATTGTAGGAGAACTGCGAGTCCGAGAAGTGCGACATGGACCGCGACGAGTCGTCTGTTTCTGACCGGCTTGGACTGGCAGAAGCAACGTTCAGCGACAGAGACATAACTGAGTTGGTGTTCTTCCTGCTTCTGGGGCGAGGCGGAGCCGGTTTTTTCGGCGACTTAGGTCTTTCTAGCGACGACGATGAATGCGCAGCATATGGCAGGTTCAACTGGAAACTCTGCTGCAACTGTTGGACGTTCCCCAATCTAGAGATCAAGGGAGAAATGTTTGACTGGAATGGAGGCATGTCAACCACCACCAGGCTCAGCAGCGACTTGTCTGGCAGGGTGGCCAGCTTAGAATACTCCAGACACCGCTGCTGGATCTCTGCAATGAAAGAGTTGGATTCCTGTTCGTAGAGGTCCAAAATTCGCGGTCTGAGCTGTGGCTCGTGGACGTAGAACTTGAGGAAACTCGAAAGCAGAACACATCTGGCCATGACAGAAGTCTGGAAGTAGCAGCTGTGCAGCAGATCAAACTGTTGCACAAGCGGGATATCCAGCTGTGTGCCAAATTCGCCAAGTAAAAACGCAGCTACCTTCACCATAGACTCCGGATAAGTACCCGATTTGAGCGCACTGTAGCACAGACGGCACGCAGTGGCCTGAATGGAGTCGTTGTTAACAACGATCTGGATCAGTCGCTGTCTCACCTCTTCGTCGAGATAGTTTCCTGCCACAGAGATAAGCTTCATCATGGTGGTGACGTACCAGGTAGCATTAGTGGCGTATTTCTCTGCAAGCACGGCAATTTTGACGGCAACCTCGGACTTCATGGCGAAATCAGTCACAGAAAGGTATTCCAGCAACTGTTGGCACATTTGCTGGACAGTATTCGAGTTGCAAATAATATACATGAGATCCAAAGATAGTCGCCTCACAGAAACGTCTCTGTCGCGAAGAAGAGAGGAAATATGCTCTATGTGCTTGTTGATAGTCATCAAAACGGGGTCGTCGTTTCTTGCTGCGAGCTTTGCCAAAGCGGCTAGGCTTAGGTAGCGCGTGTTAGTTTCTGTGGACTGCAACAGCTGGCAAAGCGCGTCGGCTGCAATTGTCGACTGATCAGGAGACGGGTCCACGTGTGCGGCCAGCGACACGGCGCCCAGCAGAACAAAGTCCCTCGTGTGCCGTGCTTCGGCAGACATCAACGGGGTCTGCGACAGGGCTGTGGAAATGGCCCGCTGGATTACGGTCTTGACCGTGTGCATGTTGGCCTGGTCCAAGGGCATTGCGTCGACGTTCGGGACCAGAGTTTCGAGCAGCTGGAACAGCTTAACAGTCAGCCACGGTGCGGGAATGCCGTGGTACATATGCGAGGGGGGACATTCGTCCTCGACAACGATCTTGTGTAGTTTTTCAAGGGCTAGCGTGGTGCAGCTGTTGCACAGATTCACGTCCAGTTTGGCGACATGCTGGACCAGCGAGACGGCAGCAATACTTACCCCGAAATCAGTGTCGTTGATAAGCGGTGCAACGCGGGATATCAGATTTGGGTGACGGGTGACCAGGAGGGGGTCAATTTTGAGCAGCTGCAGCAGCGTCAGAACGGCTTTTTTGCGGACTAAAGCCGATGAAACGGGCGACCTTATCAGATTGAATACATCGTTCTCGAAAGCTCTGCTGTATGCGTCCGAATCGGCCACAGAAGAGAGAAACTGAAGCGCAAGACAGACGAAGTCCTCCTTTGGATGGGCGAGATCGTTGTGGATAGTCTCAAATATCGCGTCGACAGCCTCTGTGCGCGTTTGGTAGAACAGCGACAAAGCGAGGTATCCAATGGACTTTTCAGAATATACCTTGGAGCGTGCAAGGGTCATTGCCTCGCCCAGGCCAAACGTGAGCTCGTGGCCCATGAGGTAGATATACAGAAGCTTGCAGATGTACTTCTTGCGATGATAGCCGGAAAGGTTGGGCTGTTGGAACTGTTTTTGAATGTGAACAAGCTCAGATTGGACACGCCTATCCTCCTGCTCTTGTTCCTTGGAGTTTCGAATGTCCGTAATGAATTGGACAAGGCCCTTCATTTGCGACATGATTTTTATTAATATATATATCTCAATTTTTTCTCAATATTGAACTAAACTATAGGTTGGCATTGTCTACATATTTTCTAAGATCGGCCTGAGAGCCAGATTTCGGAATGAGGGACTCAGAACCGACTCTGGTCATTGGCCGTGGCATCGTCGGGTCGTCGTCATATGCAAATCCGGGAGACGTTGGAGAGAAGGACCGCGCGCCAGGAGAAACTTTGCGGACCTGCTCTGCTAGCGTTCCGCTAGGCTTGTAGGTCTTTTTGTAGTTGATATCCACAGGGTTGAACATCACAATCGAGTCTCTGATCTGGTGAGGCGAAGGATGCGACGAATTTGTCTGGCTCGGTCCCCATTGCGTGTTCTCAATAGGACTGAAATTCTGCTGCATCACCACTGGAGACTGGCCCTTCTTGCCGGTGTATTTGCGTTGCTTCTCAAACTGTGTGAACGTCTCCAAAGTAGAGTTTCGGTTGTTCAGTTCGTGGGGGGATGGGAGGTTCTCCAGCTTCTGCTCGACAGGATAGTGCTGGGGCTTTCTTTGTTGTGCAGCCATTTGACGGTAATAATGCGCCTGCGACTGTTGCTGGTTCAAAATGTTCTGAATATGCTGGTGAGGATAGAAAGGGTGACCCTGCTGCTGCACCGGAACTGCCCCATTGTCCAAGTAGATGGAGGAAGCATAACTTGCACGATGATCGTTTACAGAAGTGTCCAAGGTCAGCTCCGGTCTGCCGTTACTGACACTGTGATCTATGTTCTCCTTTTCATCCTGTTGCTGTGCAGAAACCTCGTCTTCTTGGCTTGGATCCATTGTGTATTCTGGCTGGCGTGGTATATCATGCTCCTCGTTTTGCGGCAGGTGCGGCAGAGGCGGCATATCCTGGTCTTCGAAAAACATGTGGTTTGACTTCTTCGACTTCAAAGAGTTTTCTCTTGAAAAGTAGACTTTGTAAACAGACTTCATCCTGTTGATCTGTTCCTCCTCTTCAGGTGAAATCGGTATATGCTCTTCAACAAGAACTTCATTCAAGTCGGGAACTTCCTCAGCTTCAGGCTCTGGAAGAGCTTTACCCACTGGAGAGCTCGATACATGGCTGTTCTCTGGCACTTCAGAATACTCATCCACTGGTGCCTCTTTTGAAACGGAATCGGATGCAAACTCATCACGATTTTCATGATCTGGCTCAATGTTTTGAGGCTGAACAATTGCATCCAAATCGCGGCTGTGACGCTGCACCACAGAAGCGTCTGTGTCATCGAACGAGTATTTGTGACTATCGGCAGCATCGTAGGACACCCGGTGCCCTGGATCAGTTGTCTCGTAGAACTTGTCATCGTCGGACTCCTCTTGGTCACCAGGCGGCCCAGAAGTTGGAGGGGAAAATGTATTATCAGGTTGAGAGTAGACTGTTGAGGATTTCTGAAGAGTTTCAGGAGATTTGTCGGAATTCTGTGGCCCAAGAGTTCTGCCCAAGTCCTCGGTAGATCTCTCAAAACCAGTGAGGTCTCCGGAATTCTCTGAAAACAAGGACTTTCTGGAATGATTATTCGAACTAAACCTGACATTCTCTGGAACCTTGTATCCTGGGTACACACCACCAAGTTGTCTTGAAAGCTGGTCCAAGGAATGCTTGGAGGTAGAGTCGTCGACACGTGGCAAAACAAAAGACTCCATGTGGCCGCGAGGTGTTCCCAGCATGTTATCTGTTCCAAGACTTAATTGAGACGCGTTATAATAAGATCCTGCCTTATTACTGAAGCTCTGGTCTTTCTCATCAAGTACTGCTTGGGGATAACGAGTGTTTGACGCGTCAAATGGGTTTTCGCTCGTGTTTCTGCCTGAAAATATCTCTTCTTTGGTTGGATAGTCCGGCAACACTGTGTTGTCACCGTAAAAATCGGGATCATTGTCGTCAAGGGCCTCCTTCTTATTACGTTTCCAGGCTCTCCAGATGAAAAAGGCAACCACCATTGCCACAACAGCGACGGGTATCACCACAGCGAGCACAATACTCGTAGAACTCAAGGCATCACTGGTCTCGCAATACTGCGTCCCCTTTGAGCATTTGTCTTTTTTGACAAGCATCATAACCGTTGTCTATCACGTGAACTCGGAGAGCGTTGGCTAATTTATAGATGAAATGAGAGACATAAACAGATTTGACTGTTTAGAAAGGATTTGGAAGTGATGTTGAAGCGTTTTTTTTACGTGAAAATAAATGCCAGTTATCGACAAAAAAAACAAATATGGATCTAATTTGAAAACATCAACACGATCCACAAAAATTTTCATTCCAAATTCGGCAGGGGCTATGTAAAAGCCCTTGCAAAAGTTTGCGAATGGGATCTCACCACCACGGAGGAGGAGTGGATGAATCCAGAAGCATTAAAACGTGTAGATAAGAAGATTCAATATACTGCATCCGCCAGTACTAATCTGGCTAGTCTCAATGCAGCTATCACGCTAATTTAGTTCGCGTATATACGGGTTACGTGTCCCCAAGATCTCTAAAGAGTATCTATAGGGAGTGATTTCCAAAAATTCGAGTAATGCCTTTTCAAGTAAAGACAGATTCCGGATGGCTCTGGTAAAAGGCAAGAGCCATGTTCGAAGAATCTGATCTTCAGGCGTTCACTAAAGAAAAAAAAATATCTCACCTTTCCCAGCTTTTATAGCTTGTTTCTAAAGGCCGGGTAATTGTCACCACCCGGTAAGGTTTGGTAGCCGGCCAAGTGTTCACTGCTGACGGTATGAAAAACCTCACGGATTTGTGCTCCATGCTACAATGTGCGACAATGATACTGGGTAACAATTTCTGGTGACCTGGAAATAGTGAAAGGGGCTTTGGAATCTTCATAATTTCTGCTAGATTTTGTTCCTGGAATTTGGGAAGAATGGATAATGAGTTCCATTTAAGTGAATTCAAGAGCATCAAAAAGCTTGGATCGGGCCGCTTTGGCAAGGTGCTATTGGTTGCCACATCCAGAGACCACCATATTTCGGATTTAGCCAGTGTCAATGGAGAGTTTTATTATGCAATAAAGATAGTAGGCAACACGAAACTGGACAAGCCGATTCTCAATCTGTCGAATGTATCCAACATCAACCGAGTAAAGAACGAGGTTCGCATTATCAAGCTACTGCGCAGTTTTCAACATCCCAACATTCTTCAATCGTACAGCATAATCAACCACTCATCCAACAATCGAGTATACTTTATCAGTGAATACTGTTCCATCGGAGAGCTGAATCGCACTAATTTTGCAACCTATCCGGCAGCAAAGGACAAGATGGAAAACGTGCAGACCAAGCTCCGAGACGTGGTCAATGGTTTGGAGTTTCTCCATCTGCAGAGTATTATACACAGAGACATTAAGCCATCCAACTTACTGGTTGATCACCATGGCAGGGTCAAGATTTCAGACTTTGGAACATGCTATAAGCTCACAGGAAACGCATTAGAAGACAACTTCGAGGTGTTCAAAAAGATTGTGGGGACGCCGCTGTTTATAGCGCCCGAGATCTGCGAAAATGAAAATACAAAGGAGCAGACTCGAGGTAAGTCTGGGTTCTCGCTATTCAAATTCAAAAGAGAGAAAGAGTCCGATCCGGGATACAAGATTGATGTTTGGTCTTTGGGAATCACTCTATTTTATCTCTTCTTCGAGACATTCCCTTTCTACAATGAGAACGAGTTCAAATTGTTCCACGATGTGGTTGAAAAAGACATTGTGTTCCCCTCGTTCGCAGAATGCTACACGCTAAAAAGACTTATTGATGCTAACTACGGCTACGACTACAACTCAAAACTCGTGTCATACTTTAAGTCTCTCATTGATCTGTTGCGCAAAATGCTGGAAAAGAAGCCAGAAAATCGGGTCACATTAAAATCCGTCAAAACGCACAAGTTGCTGAAATATTTTGTTGATTCGAAAACCCATCAAGCATATCTCAAACTCAACGATAATGTGCTCAAGAGATCTGGCAGCTCGGGCCACCTGTTGCGCAATTCTCGCTCCGGAGACCTGCTCAGCGATTTCGACGAGGTGGCAGACACGTCGCGTTTCAAAGGATTTTCCAGGTTGTTGAATCTGTCGGGCTCTGGGACGCCAGAATCAGACTTGTCAGAGACCTCTGTCATCAACAACTCTGTTGTCTCGCTGCCTATCAACACCAAACACCACCATCTTCAGAATGCCAACGAACACCAAATCAATAAGCCTGTTGCGCCTTTCGTTGCTCCACAAGCTGCCAAAAACAGAAATTCTGTCAACACAATCAACTCTTTACCCACCAAGCTCACCGAGGTGGTCACGCCCGACCTCCAGAGCCCGCTTCTCGCACAACCAACTTTTGCTCCGCCAAAAATATACTCGACAAGCTCTGCCGCCTCAACAGGCTCCAGCACGACATCATTGAGTAAGCTGAAGGTCAGCAATAGAGTGAACTTCAAAGAGGTGCTCGGAGAAAACTATAATTCGCGCAAAATGTACACGATGGACCAATATTTAAGTAAGGATTAATAGAGCATGGGTGCATAGTTTTATTCATTCACGCATAGAATTTACAAAAAATGAATTCTCGCAGCACACTCAAATAATCAAGTGAGAGCCACGGTACTGGAACTTAGAGCCAGCCTGGCCAAGAGCATCCACCGTCTTCTGTCTAGCAGGGAAATCATCCAGAGACTTGGCGTAGGTTGCGACAGAGTGCGCAATGAGCTTTGTGTTGACCATAAATGCATCGTAAGCAAGGTTGCTGAGATTGTCACACAGGCTATGGTAACAAGGGTCCAGGACCTCACCATTGAACGCATTCTTTTTCTCTGCACCGGCAGCAATTCCTCCACCTGGGATTCCATTTTCAATGAACCCAACATAGTCGGATCTGCCATCAAATGGAATGAGAACATAATCCAGCCCCTTCGACTCGTAGTAATCGATGTACAGATTCTTCAATTCCTCCGATCCAACTGGATTCACAGCGTTCGAAGCATTATAGACCTCGTACTCATAGTTTGGAGATGCCATCATGTCGTAATCCATAAAAAGTCTAATTTTGAAGTTCTCTTCGGGGGAAAGTGTCTCTGCATAGTAGTTGGAGCCAAGAAGTCCTTCTTCTTCAGCAGCCCACCATGCAAATCTCACCTTGTTATTGACCTTGAATTTAGACAATTGCTTGGCAACCTCCAACAAGGAAATCGTACCTGATCCATCGTCGTTAATCCCTGGGCCAGCAGCAACGCTATCAGAGTGAGCACCAAGCATGACAATATTGTCAGGATCACCCTCAACTGTCTCTGCAATGACATTCAAGGTATGGATTTCTCCAACAAACGAGTCGACCATCACAGAGGCGTTCAACGAGGTGTTGCGCAAAAGGGAAGCATACTTTTCACCCTCTAGCTTGGAAATCCCAACAGTGGGAGCAACAACAACTCCTTTAGGAGAAACGCCCAAAGTTCCCCTAATACTTCCTTCCTCATTGTTGTAAATGATGGCGGCCTTGGCACCAAGACTACCGGCATTTTGGGATTTCTTGCCGAACGGACACTCACCTCTTTGAACTAGAACAATCGAGCCCTCGGTGTCTTCGGGAAAGTCCGAAAGATCGCATCCATTGTTGGAGACAAGGACTAAAGGCCCGCTCACATAATACTTGTTTGGAGTAGGTGGGCTCATATCCATCTCGGTTAGCGAATCTGGTTTCGTGCCGTTAATAAATGCCCCCAGGCTGTATATCTCACTCATATAAGCGGGAAATTTTTGAACGGAGACATTGTAGTATCCGCCAAGTTTGTAAATCTCCTTCTTGATGTAGTCGATTGTTTTCCAGTGGCCCTTCGAACCAATGACTCTTGTTGGATGTCCAAATTGAGCCACAGAGTGCTCAGCAATCTTAAGAAGGTCCTCCGCTCTGCTTCTTAGGGCATCTTCAATAATGAGTCCTTGCAATGTCTCAGAGTCGACTTCTGGTAAAACGTCTTCCTGGTGAAGGTCCATATTGAGGACTTGTTGCTCCGTTCCCACAAGCGGCACGGCAGCTGCCACAGAGGCTGAAACTCCGGCTAATAGCAAAGTGGACAATCTCATAGCAAATAATAAAAACGAATGTAAAGTTCCGAAAGAGAGATAGCGGCTGTGCAGCTGAACGAATCGCTTTCCAAGGGCAAATAGGTGCTTCTTTGAAACTATTTTATTATCAAAAAAAAGTCAGTCATACGCCCATTCAGATAAGAAATGTGGCTCTTTAACAACCTTACACCGTCACAATATTTAAACTAATAGCACTGCGTTCACGACTCCGTCTCTATCTGGTTCGTTGGTGATTTGGGCGTATTTACCCCAGACGACCTTACCTCCTGCGGTCACCATTCCCATTTCAGACACGTTAACTTCGATAATGGTTCCCTTGGTGAGCACACCTAGGGTGGTGTACATCGGCGACTGAGGATTCTTCTTGACGGACAAAATAGGTAGCAAAACCGTTACCTTCAGCTCTGGATGCGTCACGTTTGCCTTTTTCTGTCTTAATGCGGATGGGCGAATAATTCTTTCCAGCTTCACTGGTCTTCTAGTAAATCCTTCACCAACAAATGTGTGCTTGGTAATCATTCTCTTCCACGATTTGGACTTGGACTTTCCGGTCTTCACCACCTTGAACATCTCTTCTTCACTGATACCGCGCACTTTCGGTAGCGGAACAGAAAATTTGTCTGCTTTCTCCATTCTCTTTTGTTTAAGCGAGGATGTGATGGCCTTTGCTGTAGTCTGTTGCTGTCTGTCTAACAAATATGTAGGTAATGCTTCTCCGTCGTCCTCCTTTGGTTTCTTTGGACCCTTAACCTTGCTCTCCTCGTGGGCCTTGATCTTCTTGCGCATAGCCACCTTCTCAGAGTAACGCTTCTTGGCAAATTGCTTTCCCTTCCATCCCTTCAAGGTCTGGGCATTTTCGGCAACCTTGTGAAGCTCTCTGGCCTCTCTCTTTCTTTTGCGCTCTTCATAGTCCAGCCGCCTTCCGTGCTGCTTAATGTGTTGCTCAATATACTCGTTCTGAGGCATCTTGAATAATGTATATCAAGAGATAAAAAAATACACTTAAAAATTTTTTTGTCACGGCGGTGCATAAAATTTTAGATCTGAAAAAATACTTAATCCCATGTCTGTGAAAGAGCTTCTTAAATCGATCACGGAATCGATCGAGCTAACGTCGTCCTCCTTGGACAACGTGGTGTCATATTTGGAAGATTCTGAGAAAATCCCAGATCTTGTGCAGTCGCTGGTTCAAGAGTCGGAGTCTTCTCAGGAAGTGGAAGGGGTCTCCCTGCTCTCTCTAAAGAACAACAGCATGATATCATACATTAATAATCTTTTGGTCATTCTTGGATCCCGCATCAGCCTAATCAAAGATGGAGACACAGAGATGTTTGATAAGGCTGTTAAGAATAGCATAGTTCAGAGAGTTACCTTAGATAGAGGTGTCAAACCTTTAGAAAAAAAACTCAACTATCAGCTCGACAAGTTGGTGAGTGCATACCAGCGTCGAGAGAAAGAGCAGAATGAAGTAAGGGAAAAAGTGCATGAGATGGTGCATTACGATTCCAGCGAGGACAGTGAGGACAATGAGGATGAGGACGAAGGGTTAAACTACAGGCCAGACGCATCTGCGTTCATGAAGAAAGACTCAAAGCAAGAAACATCGGAAAAAGAAGAGGACAATGGAAAGTACCGTCCACCGAAAATTGCTGCCGTTTTACCTCCACAGACGTTCTCCGAATCCGACACTACGCACAAACGCCGCCGAAACCTGCAATCCATGGATGAGTATTTGGAAGAGCTTAGCGAAGCACCCGCTGTGGAGGCTTCCATTGGCTCTACGATCGTGAACAAAGGACGAGACATGAAGACGAAGCGCCAGTTGGAGAAGGAGGCCGAAATTCAACGCTACGAAGAAGAGAATTTCACTCGTCTTCCTGCTTCGCAAGTAAAGATGTCCGCAAAGGAAAAGCGCAAAAAGCAACAAAACGAGTTCTTTGGAGAAGACTGGAGCATGTTTGATAACTCCAGGGACGTGACGACCGAGAAGAAGCGCAAGAGACTCAGTGCATGGGAGCGTGCAAAGCGTAGAAAGGACTAGGATAGAGTTCTAAATCTCATGTTCATACAAAAAAAAATACACCATATTCCAAAGTAGTCACAAACCATCTCGTCTCGAGTCATAAGCCATGTATCATAAAAATCTTTCCGCGTCGCTAGGACGCACGCATTGCAAATCGATAGGAGGCAACAGTTGAGATGTGCCCTCCAAATTCTTGTCGGCATCGTTGAGGATGCCCATAACCTTATTGTGGATGCGCTTACCAAATGATGCGTGTCGGACCATCGGCAGCATTGGCTTGATGGCGAGTGCGAATCTCAGTTTGTTGTCGGGCGAAGAATTGTCCATGGCGGTCTGCACCACGTAGTTTCCAAACTGGTCTTTCACCAGGACTCCCAAAACCTGAGGTTGCAAAAGAGCGTCCACCAAAGGGTTGAAGCCGTGGTCGAATTTAATCTTGAGACACTTTTCCACCACGTTTGAGGAGAATTTCTGAGTGGAAAGGTCGTTAATGAAGGGCACCATGATTTTCACGAGCTCAGAGTTCAAAGACGGGATGTCTAACGAAATCAGGAACTGGACCACGTAGTTGCCAAATTGGTCCTGCATCAGCTGGTACGAGTTTGCGACGATCTCAGAGCCCAATTGCAACACCTGCTGGTGGTTGCACCTGTTTAGCAATTTCTGCAAAACGCAGCAGCCGTGCTTGTGGGTGGAAATCTTGACTATGTTGTTACAGATAGCGTCAATAATGAACTGCAAGTTGTCATTCTGAAACTTGGCGATGCATTTCTGGACCACGTGATTGCCGTTTAAGTCCTGAATTAGATCGACAACGTGCGGAGTCAAGCAGTTCTGCAACAGATGATAATGGCCAGAGGTCGAAAGACAGTCAATGAGCTTCTGGCAAGCACGAGTGCCGTGCTGATTTCTGCAGATGGTATGAATAAGCGGGGCGATATTGGTGAGAATCAGCTTGAGCTCTTCAGCGCTCGCATTGAGAATGATCTTCTGTATGAGATAGTTACCAAAAGGGTCCATCATAAGCTCTATTGAGTGCTGGTGGACCTCTTTAAAGATCAACGGGTAGTTTTCTCCAAAATCCTCGTCAATTTTCTTCTGCAAAAAACGACAGCCAAACTGGTCTTTCGACAAGGCCAGAATATCGGTGGAGTCGTCTAGCACCGTTGGGTACGAGGATATGCTTTTGCGAGAACTCTGTTGTGGAGCACCTTGTGGTGGCGATATAGTCAAATTTTGAAATTGTTTTTCAAACGAAGGCACGCCGATCGGGCCTTGAAATGACATGAAGCGGTTTCTGGTAAGCTTTTGCTGTTGTACAGGCTCCTCTGGAGCCGGGACATAATTGGAATCAATGGTGGCAGGAAGCCCTAAGCTGTCGAGCTCGGGGATATTGTAAGCAGCGCCCAGCGCATTGGTGCTAGAAGACCCCCATGGAGAGTAGAGCTTAAAATTGGGAGGCTGATTCCAGATAGTGTTGGAAAATGAGCTCTTCCGAGACTGCGAATCCATAGTGCCAGGCTGTTGGGTGAAGTAGTCCGGAGGAGTAAGCGGTTCTGCTGTGGCATTTGCAGCGCCGATATATATATCCGAAATTGTAGTACTGCTTCCGCCGACGCCATGGGTCAGAGAGCCAGGGGTCGGGTTCAAGATCGAAGAGTTGAGAGAGGAGAGCGAATTGTGATGATGATGGGTGTAATGTGTGTAATTGTCTGCTCCTTCCGGAGACATAAAAACTTGCGCCGTAGGGGTGGACATTAGGCCAGGGGATAGCCGGGGCATTTGACTGAGGTCCTTGATGTTCTTGGAGAACTCGTTCAAAGAGAGGGTGGACGTCTTTTCGCGTGGAGCGGTGGACTTGTCATAGTCGAATTGCTTTGGAGTCAGCGCGCAATTATTATAATACTTACCATAATGTGAGCGCCAGGAGATACGATGGATCAGAGATGCGAATTATACTATACTTGTAGCAACTAATGGGCCGTTCTAAAAAAAGGAAGATCAATTAATGTCTCATTGGACTTTTTCGTTGTTGAACACTCTGTTCTAGCCTGCACGCCTCGCCTAAAAAGAAAATTCCTGTTCCCAATAGCCGGTTTGCACGGGTGAGTTAAAATATTACGGATCATCTTGATCTCAAATTATTGTTGCAGGGAGGAGTGGATTCATGCACATCCGTGCACCGCGTGACCAGTTCCCGTACAACCTTAATCTTCTTGGGATGGCTGCTGCATATGCATGACTGGGCTAGATTTTTCGTCTTTTGGGTACAGCAATCCTTGAGGAAGGAGGCAGTGCAGGTGCTTGTCGTTTCCATGATTAGATAAGTGAAAAGCGAAACCAGTCGTGAAAATAAAAAAAGAAAAAAAGCAGGCAGTGACACGTCGACCGACCAACCGACCTCACGTCCGGAAAGACCACTGCGTCGATAGTCGCTGTTAATGCCTGCAATTTTGGAAACCCCCTTTTAAACAACTGGACCTCAACCTGTACTATTAGACATAAAACATGGCCTCTGTATTTTTGGGAGTCTATGTCGCTCTGTACGACTATCAGGCTCAGAACGATGAGGAGCTTTCCATACAGGAGAATGATCTTCTTTATCTTCTCGAAAAATCCGATATAGATGACTGGTGGAAAGTGAAAAAGAGAGTCGTCGACGCAGACGTCGAAGAACCCTCAGGGCTGGTTCCCAGCACCTACATCGAGCCGGCAAAGGTGATAGGTCATGCTACAGCCTTGTACGACTATGATAAACAGACAGAAGAAGAGCTTTCTTTCACTGAAGGAACCCAATTCGACGTTTACGATACGTCTGATCAAAACTGGACTCTTGTTGGCTCGAATGGTCAGCAATTCGGATTTGTGCCTGCTAATTACATAGAGATGGGACAGACTCAGCAGCCTACCTCTCAAGTGCCACAGGTGTCTTCTTATGGGTCTAATAGCGCTCTGAAAGACTTCCCTCCTCCTCCGCAGAAAGCCGACTTACGTCAAGACAGAGCTCCATCGATCGAATCTCCTGCTCCACAGATGCCTGTCAGACCAAATCTCACCGGGTCTGCGCCTTCTCCAGACGAGGAAGCGCCTCCTCCAATGCCTTCCAGACCGAGAAGCAGCACCGTTAATTCCAGAAGAAGCGTGGTTTCCGATACCTATGCGGAGTCTCGGTATTCGGATGGTGCGCCGACCACTCAGGAGAACGATGCATTCGTGAAGGACGACTTTTTCACCTGGACGGTTTATGAAATTGACGGTAGGAAGAAAAAGAAGGCCACGTTTGCAATTGGCAACTCGTCGATTTTTATCACCCCTAGTGGATCATCGGATTCTAGAGATTGGAGCATCAACGATTTGATCAATTACAGCCATGAGAAGAAACATGTGTTTCTAGATTTCAAGAATCCAAGTGCTTCTTATGAGTTACATGCCGGAACGAAAGATTCCGCCGAGGCCATTGTGTCAATCTTGGGCGATCTCAAGGGCATGGCCTCTATGAGTGCCCTGAAAGATGTCAAGGAGGCATCAATTCCCAATACGAAGAAACAAGGAAAGATCATATACGACTTCGAGGCCGCCTCTCCGGATGAGCTTACTTGTTTTGAGGGTGACACCGTCAACATTATCAACGACAAAAAGAGCAAGGACTGGTGGATGGTGCAGAACGCAGAAACCGGAGAACAAGGCGTGGTCCCTTCAAACTATGTCAAGGTTATCAGTCCAAGCTCTGGATCTGCTGCGGCAGCTGGTCTGAGGTCTCTTTTTTCCAGAAAAGGCTCCTCCTCGTCTTTGAGTCCTAAGAAGAAACGTGCTGAGAAGGAGAGGAAAAAGGAGGCAGAAAGAGAATTGGCTATTGAAAGAGAGGAATTGGAAAGACAGAGACGCCGCCAACAACGCAAAGAGAGGGAGCTTAGAGACCGTTCTGAAAGAGAGAGAATCAGAAAAGCGGACGAAAGGGAAAGAGAAAAAAGAGCCAAATCCGGGTCTAAGCACAAGGACTCCTCAAAGCCCAATCCTTACCGTGTTCGTACTTGGATCGACAGATCTGGTGCGTTCAAGGTTGAGGCCGAATTTCTGGGATGTTCTGATGGTAAGATCCATTTGCATAAAGTGAATGGTGTCAAGATCGCTGTTGCTGCTCAGAAGTTGTCTGTTGAGGACTTGGAGTTTGTGGAAAGAATTACAGGTATGTCCCTGGAGTCTTACAAGGACAAAAAGCCATCACCTCCTCAACGATCAGAGCCTGCTCCAGCTGTGACTGCAGCTCCAGAAAAACCTAAGAGCTCAGCAATACCTTTCAATGAAAAATTGTATGAATTTTGGTTCGACTTCTTTGTCACTTGTGGCGTGGACGCAAACGTCTGTGATAAGTATGCGAGAAATTTCACTACAGAGCAGATGGACGAGGCCATCATGGCAGACATCGATGCTCCTTTGATGAGGACACTTGGACTTAAAGAAGGAGACATCTTGAGAGTTAACAAGTATTTGGATAATAAGTTCAACCGCAAGCCAGAGCCTCTCTCGACTCAGCCAACTAATGGCGGCCTTTTCAGTACCAATGACGGCTCGTTGAAGACTAACAAGGCAAATGCATCGACAGACTCTGTAAACGGCCAAAATCTGAAGCAGCAATTTGAGGACGACGCCTGGTCGCTGAAACCCGCTGCTAAGACGGGCGAATCCAAGACTGTGACGCCACAGCTCACCGGGTCGATCCAGGACTTAGTCAACATCAAGCCAATGGAACCAACGAAGAGTGGCGTTACCGACTCTTCATCTTCAGGTCCTGCGCCTCAAAAGCCTGCTTCGACAGGTTCGACCAGCACCCTTCCAACTGTTACTCCTCAGAAGACTTCTGGCACTCTGAACCCACAACTGACAGCCATGCAGACAGGCGCCTTGATGGCAATGCCTACAGGTTTCATGCCTATTACCATGGTTCCTATGCTTACAGGACAACCCACAGGCTTGATACCTTTGCAACCAACAGGAAAGATCATTCCACCCACTACTTTTGCTCAAAAGACCGGAGGCGCCATGCCAGCCACTACCTTTGCTCAAAAGACAGGTGGTTTCATGCCTGTGACCACTTTCGGTTCTCTTGCTCAGCCTCAGCCCACGGGAGGTTTGGTGCCTCTGCAGCCAACGGGTCTGGTGATTAACAAGACAGGAGGAATGCAAAGAACTGGAGGTAATCTGGTGCCTTTGCAGACCAGCTTCCCGGCTATGCAGGCTACTATGAGAACTGGCGGTTTGATGGGTCAACCAACAGGTGCTTTTGGCCAGCAGACGCTCATGCCAAGCGGTGTGATGGGACAGCAGACCGGGTTTCAGAATGGTGGCTTGAGCCAACCAGCTGGTTTCCAATCCGGATATCAGCCAGGTTTCCAACCAGGCTTCCAACCAGGCTTTCAACCAAGCTTGCAAACCGGTCTTCAGACTGGAACATTGCCTACACAGCCTGCCGGATTGCAAAATGGGCTGACCGGTCAACGTACTGGCTTTGTTCCTCAGAGCCAATTCGGCATGAACCAACTCAGCAACATGTTTGCGCAAACTTCGCTCGGTGGCCCAACAGGTACGAATTACATGAACACGGGCCTGAATATGAACGGTATGAATGCTGGATTCAACACCATGTCCAACCCAGCTGCGAACTTCAGCACGGGCATGAATATGAATGGCATGGGCCAGCTCCCACCAACCAGCTTCAATTCTTCGTTCAATGAGCCTTTAACGTCGCAGCCAACTGGAGTGGGCTTTGGCAATGCCCCTTCCACATCTTTTGGGCTGCAAAGTCAACCTACTGGCAAAAGAGCCAATTTGGCTAATGCTACCGCAGATAATCCGTTTGGATTTTAAAAGTTCTATAAGTACAATTAGTCAATTCGTATACACTTCAAAGCCGAAATAAATAGAGAAAATTCAAGCTGGTGGATATTTAAAAGGATCAGTGTTTGACTGAGGCGGCCGCAGCAGCAGCTGCCACAGCGGCTGCTGTGGCCTCAGAGTCGTCGGTCAACCCTTCGTCTTTGGACTGCACGTCATTTCCATCTGGGAGGAACTCGATAGGTTCTCCGTTGGCGTTGAACAGGTGATTAGGAAGCGACCCGTAAAGCCAGAATAAACCTTTGTTTTTCTTGATCCGGTAATTCTCCAGCAGCCGAACAACATCTTCTTCCGTGACGCCAGGGTTCCGTTTAGCCTCACTCTCAATGAATTCGATCACCTTCTTTCTTCTCTGAGCACTTTTGGCAATCCTTCCACGTCTCCACCTAGTACCGTACCTTCTTTCGAGCGATTTCAACGGTTCCTGATTTCTGTAGCCTATATTCCACTCCTCCCAAAGATCCTGGACGGATTTTGCTCTAGAATTGAGATCGACCTCGGGCAAGTTGGCGTCGTTCGAGTACGACTTCCCTGAATGGTCCAGCTCGTCATCTTGCAAAGATTCTGACATGGTCTTTTGTTTTTTGACGGCACCGAGAGAATCCTGCTCTAATCCATGTTTCGGAAGACCGTTCTGTGCCTGCTGTGCGACCTGGAACATCATCAGTCTTGCATCAATATCTTTCGCCGATATCTTTGAATCACCTCCATTTTGTTGTTGGTTGGACTCGTACGTATCTGAGAGCGTGGCAGCAAGAGTTGCAATGGAGCCAGCCTTATTCCTCAGCTCTGCCAAAGAGTTTGAAATGGAGTCGAATGAGGTGGCAATCGATTCCGACAAATCTTTGAGTTGGGTCAAGAAAAGTGTGTTGAGGTGTTCCGACGTGTTAGGCACGTTGGGCTGCGCAATCCTTTCGTCTTCATTCGACATTGTTTGTTTATGTTTTCAGTAGTCCCGTCGATAGTCGAATTGAAGAAATAATACCAGTTGATGGTAGCGTGTTGAAACAAGTTTGTTTGTGACTGCTTTGCAAGCTATAACGATGATGACAAACAGCTAAAGCGGTGGTTCGAAGGTCCTGATAAAAACAAAAGCCGGAAGATATGCTGGCGACACTAACAAGCGATTAAAAATGACAAAGGGGGAGAACGTCCGACGCGACGATTGGACTACTGGACGATTTTCATTGGACGAAATTCCGCAAAAGAAAAGCGGTGGGGCAAAATTGCAGGAGAGCAAAAAAAGGGGATGCATTCGGTAGCACTAAACAAGCACATCAATTGAAGCTACGGAAATGATGAGGAGAGCTATAACATTCACATCTTCTGAAAAATAAGCAAAGACAGAGGTTCGGACTGGTGATTCTTTATTTGCCCTTCTCAAAGGCCTAAAAGACTTGAACTTGATTTCACGATGTGGCTCACCTTGCCGATTTTAGTCTCTCCCGCTCCACAAACGTATCCACAGGTCTCTGGGCTTATGCACATGAACTCGCGGAAACTTATATGCTGGTAAAAGCTTTATTCTCCTGCCACAAAAATCTGGCCTCACCAGCCACAAACGCGTTTATCCAGCACCCCAAACAAAAACAATATTTATGGACTGGTTTAGGAAAAAGAACGACGAGGACTCGTTAGAACTAAGAAAATCTCAGGCGGCAAACGCAAAGGTGAAGCTAACAGATATGCTCTACAATGGTGGAAAACTCCAGCCTGATCAGACAGTTTTTTCGAGCGAGGGAGAAAAGAAAGCAGGAGAGTTCAGCGCGGAGCTCAATCGCCAACTCAAAGAGAAGGAGGAGCGGATATTGCGAAATAAGCGAATCAGAAGCAGGGAAGAACCACTAAAAGAGAACGTCAATGCTCGTCCAGGGCTCGAACTAGAAAAGGTCGAATTGCAGGAGCTTAGACGCCGAGTGAGCAAGCTGGAAGGGTTATTAGAGGACGAGCGGCTCCGACGCGGGCTCCTGGAACGGAAGCTGGGCGAGGAAAGAAGAGAATTGGAGATGCAGAGAGACGAGCTTGAGAGACGTAAGCAAGATTTGAGTGCGAACGAAAATGAGCAGGGGTCGCGGATCGAGAGGCTCCAACGAAGATACGAGGAGATCATACAGGAAAGCGAGTCTTGGAAAATTGAAAAGAAAAGGCTGGAGGCCAAACTTGATGCTAAAAATAGGGAATACAGACAGTTAGAGCAGAAGTTGGGAGACCAGCGGCTTTTGCAGCGCAAGACAGAAAAGCTGGAATCCGTAATTGAAAGGCAGGACACCGAGATCAGAAAACTTAAAAATATGCTCAGAGCTAAAGAGGAGGAATGCGAGGACTTGCTGGTGAAAAACAGACAGCTGAAAAGAAAAGTCCAGAACTTAGAGAATAGCGTCCCATCTGCGAGAAAACCAGAGCCCGCAATAGAGTCGACCCTGGACACAGAGCTGCTACACATGCTTTCCCTGAGCGAGATAATCAGGGATGCCGGAAAACAGCGCCAGTCCTCCGATGTCAAGGAAGCAGACTACGACTTACTGGAAAGTCCGTCACTGTGGGCTCAATCACCATCCACAACAACTCTGTTCCGTTCCAAGCCAGCAGAAAACACGGACTATTTGCTAAACTTGTAATGTACATTATAATGCAAAAACCTCGTTACCCGGCCTTTAAAGAATATACGGGGTCACATATATGCGAGACATAACACCTTATATACTTGTATTGTCAGTGTATGTCGATAGTACGGTATAACGACAAGCTATTGAGCGTTGTTCACCATAATAAATCGCTGAACTCGGTTGTGATATACAATTCTGAGACTGAGAACCTGGAGCTTGTCAAGCTGGACCACGATGAATCTAATGGTTCTCACAGCAGAAGGCGTAGGTCTATTCCGTCTCAATTCGAGTTTGTTTGTCCCGACTGCGGCTACCAATGCAATATCAACCCGCCCTCTTCGAATGAGTCTCCTCGAAGGTCGTCAGGGTCTGATTTTCTACGAAATGATTATTTCAGGCTCCTAGCTCGAGCAGACTCCGGAAACGAATCCAACAAGGAGCTGATATCTACGTTAATTCACCAGGCTCATCCTGCTGATATAGACCAGATACCTGTGGAGCTGATCAACCAGGGCTATTTCAAGAAGTTTTTCTCTGTTTTGGGAGATCTAGGAAACGGGTCTAACGGCAAAGTGCTCAAAGTTGAGCATAAACTTTTCAATCTGCAACTGGGGATTTTTGCCCTGAAGAAAATAGCCATTGGCAATCATTTCGGGAACTTAGTACGGATCTTGAATGAAGTCAAGTTTCTTTACAGTCTTACAGAGTCATCCAATACCACTAATGCCAACATCATAAAATATAATCACGTGTGGCTTGAGGTCGATCAAATCAGCAGTTTCGGACCGCAGGTTCCTGTTGTGTTCATTTTGTTTGAGTACTGCGATGGAGGCACACTCGAGCAGTTTATAGAGCACCTTTTGCAGCCTAAATTTGACATCAAGCTGGAGAAAATGCGTCGTCGCATGAAAAAAAAGGGAATAAAGGGAGCAGTCACGGACCGGCGCTACCTCAATAACTTTGAAATCTACAAGATCTTCAAAGATGTCCTTAATGGACTGCATCACTTGCATGAGCAAAAGACCCTTCACAGAGATCTTAAGCCCTCAAACTGTTTGTTTAAAACTAAGTTTCCAGACGACTACCAGCCGATCGACTCTGTCGACGATCTAGGACAGATCCCAAATCTTGTGGTTAGCGATTTCGGCGAGTCAATCATGGAAAACTCGAAACGAAACTCCACAGGATGCACAGGTACACTAGAGTTCTGTGCTCCAGAATTGTTTGAGGAGGTCGATCCAGGACAGCTGCATGACTTTTCCTATTACTCAGATGTTTACTCATTAGGAATGATACTATATTACATATGTTTTGGAAAGCTGCCATTCAAGTCTTCTGACCAAAACGCGATTCGTGAGGAAATTGTGAGTTGCAATCTGTTTGAAGACATGGACAAATTGCGCAGAGGCGAGTTGTTGCCAGATTATCTGCGCTTGATAAGACTGATGTGTGACCCTGACGCCAAAAGTCGGCCAACCTGCGAGCAGGTAATGTTACAGATGGAACATATCCATAACAAGCTTGCCAAGCAAAGCTACAAGAAGTTTGCTTTGGCAAGAACGTTATGGCAAACTGGCCTAAACATAGCTCAAATTCTGCTCAACATCTGGCTGTGTCCATATCCGGCGCTGAATAATCTCCAGTTTGTCTTGGTGGGAGTGCTGATATCCCAAAAGAAGGTTCGATATCTGATGTGGGTCGAAATCTCACTCACAATTCTGTTTCTTGCTCTCAGCATTGACAGCTACTGGGCTGCTGTTTTTTCAAGCTCAGATCAATAATTCCATTGTTTTCTGCCGAGAATTCATGAAATAGCTCATCGTCAACACTATCAACAACATACTCAAAAAGTTCAGCCAGGCCAACATTCTCTTTCGCACTCACCTTGAAATATTTGGAGATCTCGGGGTTAACATTGAGAAACTGGCGTATTTCGTCTTCAAAAGCACATCCTTCACTCTTCACAAGATCACATTTGTTACCCACAAGCACAAGCTTGAGAGAAGAGTTGTTGTCATTCTTGTAAGTTTCCAAATCTCTTATCCAATATTCAGCCTTCCTGAAACTATCTATACTAGTCATATCAAACACAATAAATGCCATATTTGAATTCCTGTAGTACAGGGGAGTGAGATTGTGAAACCTCTCCTGTCCAGCGGTATCCCAAATCTGCAGATTAACCATCTTGTCGCCGTTGTCTTTGCTGACCTTTTTGGACACAAAAGCGGCACCAACAGTGGAGGCCTTTGTGTCGTCAAATGTGCCGTTTTGTACGCGTTGTAGTATTGACGACTTTCCTACAGATGATTCCCCAAGCAGTACCAGCTTGAAATCAGCGCTGAGTCGCGGGCTCGCGACATCGAAGTCCATATGAGGAATAACGGTTGTCATTCAATAGATAAGATTTTTATCTGCCAGTCAGGAAGTTTACATAAGCCACGAGGATTTATTTAGGGGAAAGAAAAGGGAATATTCTTTATCTAACGACAGTGACATGGCTCCGTTTTGTAAATTCACCTTGGACCTTAAACCGTCTGAAGGGCTTGGATTTATTGAATTGGGCAGGACTCTTTATCAGATATTCTTGTTACTTCGTGAGCATGGTATGCACAATGACATTCGCTTTATCTATGCCAACGATTCAAAAACTACAATTCTTCAGCTGACCAAGTTGAATATCAACCTCGTGTTTGATGCATGCAGTCAGGTTTTGCTGCTTATTGAAATAAACCAAGTGGGCAATTATGGAGTTGAGTACAAATATAAAGGTGAATCTATGTCTTCCTTTCATTTCAAGCATATATACAACAAGATATTCGGTCCGACGTATCCGGGAACTAAAGATGAAGCGTCAAAGAGCTACCGACTCTCATATCCAGGCATTGCGTTTTTGTTCAATATCGAGGGTGTGGCTCTGAATCAAGGCAGCGACGACCTGATTAGGACTCTTAATAACAACAACTATGATATTAATTGCTATTCCATCGCCATCTTCAAAGGAGATAGCTGGCACGAGGGTGCTCAGAAAATTCGGGATGTTATCGAGGATACTAATATGACTAGCAAAGTCCGTCATTTATCTGAACTGTTCCCGTCAAGTCATGCTCCTCAAAACACCATGGGCTACGCGTCCATTGATTTGCAGGCGAGACCCAGCGTGTCAATCCCCGAATATGCCCAGGTTACTCTTGTTATTGGAGTTTCTACTATGCAGGAGATTACATCCAAATTGGGGCCCCCAGACGATACCCTGCTAAAATACAGAGAGATCACCAGCTATGGCTCTAAGGGAATCAAAATATACAAAATCCATAATTACTTCCGGTACGGACTGGATTTAATTTATGTGCTTGACGAGATAAAGAATGGGTCAAGTATCCTCGCAAAGATTACAATACATTGCAATGTCGAGAACTCTCTAGAGTTTTTGAAATATGAGAAACTTAATTTCAAGATTGAATCCCTGACCTCAACGGACACAGTGTACAGCCATCAACCATTTGACGAAATCCAGAAGCTTTTACCCCGTGAGTTGAAAAACAAGTTTGTGTTTTTAAACAGGAAAGAGTATGAGATCAACTCTTTCAGTATAAATTCTGATAATGCCTTTGAAGTTATCGATTACGAGGACAATTTTGACAGCAGCACGTCCGTAGAGAACGAGAGTACATCCAGCACGAACGCAGAAGAAAACGAAGAATACAAGAACTGGGGATTAACAAAGCTTTTTGGATATGGCAGGTGTCTCTTTGAAATCCTCATTGATGGCAACAGGATTAGCTCCATCACAATAGTTTAATTTGTTCTTCACATTATCCTTGGTATATATCATTATTAATAAGTCATATAAAATCCCTAATTATATCCGTATTCTTCCCACCTAGTATGCGTAGCCGATATAAGAGTCGATCGCGACGTTTCTATTAAATAGGGCGATTTCAGGAAGTTCGATGTCCGTTCTGATATTTGGCATCTGCTGGAAAATCTGAGAGTAATTGTAATTAAGCCTGATATCTTTGTACATGTAGTTCTTGAAGTTTGCCAACGATATGAAGTATGGGGCACACAGTTTCCAAAGTTTGAAGTAAATATCAATTCGGGAGTTTGGATCACTGAAAGTGTACAACTGTTGAGAATTGATTGTAGCGTCTCTCAGTGCGATCCAGTCTGCATGAGCAATATACTTCATTCCAGTGGAGGCATTCAAGCTGAGTAACTGTCTGAATAATATTAAAATCTGCTCAGCACCAATGTCAACCGTACCGCATGCCTTCAGACAACATCTGTAAAAGACGTTCGTTTTTGAAAAGTTATTGTCCTGTGCTATTTTGAAGATGTATTCTAAAGTGCGAGCATTGCGCCAAATGGTACTTTTGGAGAGCAACACGTTAATAAAAGGCTCGTCAATCTGCCTTATCGATGTGTAGTCAGCAATGAGCTGTTGCAACTCGAGGAAAACCGGCTCAGAAAATTCCGGATTCTTGGCAAAAAAGATCGATAAGAACGAGTCATTCAAGGATGATGAGACAGAGGAGTTCGAAGTCTTTTTTGTTTCGTAGTCCTTCCATGTTGTGAGCCAGATACTTTTGACTCTCTCAAAATCCTGGGTCACCTCCCAGGTGTTGGCGAGGTACTTCTTCACAAAATTCAGTTGGAGAGGCGTCAAATAAGGCATACTTTCATTAACGGCATCTTTGAAAAACACATCTGCAGTATCAATATCTTTGCTGAAGCCGATAAATGATAAGTGAGCCATCGTCATATAGCTCTTCACATTGATAGGAGGTTCGATACCTTTGGAAATAAACCTCGAATAGACGTCGGAAGACAGCTGTTGAAAAATATTCAGTGCATCCTGAGTACGTCCCTTGAACAGGCAAACCCTGATCATGCCCACTTGCAATTCGTTGTGCAGTTTTTCATTTCGGCCTTTGCCCGCCTTAATCTTCTCGTACATGCTCCAAACCTCCTCGAAATTAAAGTCGCCACTCTCGACCAAGAACGGAAAAATCGATCCCAAGACAGGCTCAGAAGTGAACAAATGGTATAGCTTTGGGTTGCTCTTACCAGTCTCCCAAATATGAACAGCTTCAAAGGTAAAGCCCAGATCCTTGTAAGCCTTGAATAAATGGGTCAGGCCATGAGCATTCAAGGTAATGGAGCCGTCGAGTAAGTTGTAAGAAACTTCTCTAATGGCACATGTAAGAAGGTAGTGAATATTCTTGATCGGGTTCGTGGAATCTTTGTCCAAGTTCTTCTTGAGCTTCGAAAGTTCAAGTCTATGGATTCTCAGTCCGTTTCTAAGCAACGAGACAAACTCGCCCATTCTCTTCTCGTCCAGCTCCCCGGTGTGAACGAGAGACCGGTACAAGGGGATGATTCTTTTAACAGCTGCCCAAAAATTGTCAACCCCACCGCTTATGCGGCCGGTAGCCAAATCGTAAGTGGAGTTTTGCAACAAGCACTGGTCAAACGCAAGCAGATCCCGATGAGTATTCGAATCTTCCGGAGTATATGAACGCCAGCTGTTGTTAGAAAGCTCGGGAGGAGCCACGGTGTAATTCCCCACGTTTCTCTGTTGGTGTGGGATAACAGTGGAATTATATTTCTTGGAGCTAAACGACTGGCCCGAGCCCTGTTGCTCGACAAGACTATTCAAGAGTCTTGTCTGAGGTGTTGGCTGATGCTGTAAGGCTTTGGTCGACACCCTTTGTCCCTGCTTAAGGGAATTAGAGGTGAGCGATCTAAACATGTTGCTGAAAATAAGATGCACAAGATTTGATGTTGTATTTATTCGCCCCCAGATCACGCTATAATTTTTTTACATAGCTCGTATCGGAAATTACTGGCTCGAGGTGTCTGCGCCCGAAAAGTTACGATCTAAATGTTGGCAAATATTTCAGCCCCTACCGCCTTTTCTCTTAACTTTGTAGCCGCGCTTCGCCCCATTCTGACCAAATGAGTCAAAGTGGAAATTAAATCCGAATGGTTCCCCTTGAAAGAAGGCGCCGCCGCCTGCATTAGGGGGCCGAAAATGTTGACCTGCAAAGCCCTGCCCATGGCTTGCACTTGATTGCTGGTCGTATTGTTGTTTCGATTCCGCATCCGACAGAATCTCGTAGGCGTTGTTGATCTCCGCCACCTTCTGCTCAATTTCCTCCTGCGAAAGGTTGGAATTTTTCATCTTATCTGGATGATTCTGCTTCATTTTCTCTCTGTATGCTTTCCTAATTTCTGCATCATCAGCAGTTTTTGAGACTCCCAACACTTTATAAGGATCCATGCCATCCGGAGCTTTTTGTGGAGGCGGCTGTTGATTCTGCTGGTACTGATGGTGATGCTGATACTGTTGGTACTGCTGGTACTGCTTTTGTTGCTGCTGCCTGGCCCGCTGTCTCTGCTCATTCTCCCTGAACTTGAGCAGCTGTTCGTTTCTCTGTTTCCATAACGAGCTCTCTTTGAACCCGCCACGCATGGCATCCAGCTTGTGCTTTGCCTCGGCGTACTTTTTTTTGCGCAGCAACTTGTCGACTTCCCCAAGCTGTTCCGGTAGAATTTCGTCCTTGTAGTCTAGCTTATTTTTGTACGGCTTTCCTGTGCGAATACAAGACTCCTTGGCCATACGAACAAGTTCGTGGAGGAACGGCGAGTGATCCAGGATTTCCTGCTTCGAAAACCCAAACCGTTCAAGCGCTTTCACAGTCAACTCCACCAGCGTATCCAGATTCGTACGGTGTTTGGAAATATCAACACCCAGCAAATACTCCTGACCCCGCATCTTGATTTTACCAAATATCAGCTCATGCAATTGCCTCCACACATCCTCCGATGGCTCCAAGTCCTCCAAACGCTTCAAATCTCCCTCGTCTAAATATAGATACGAGTAATAAATGGAAATCTGCTCATACAAGTCGAACAATTTGCTCATTTTGACCGTCATCTTAGTCCGCTCACGACATTCCTTAAAATCATTGTCGTACTTGAGACAAGTTTTCAACACTTTGGAGCAGCTGCTGATGTCCATGGCCTTGCCGAAAAATTGTAAATCAAAGAGATCCACATAGTTTTCGAGAGACCTATCGTTGTTGACGAGTACACCATATTGATCCGCTAGAAGCTGAACCTTCTGTGTGAAATCTAATTTGGATTTTTTCAAGCAGTCAGTAATTATGGCTCTAACCCGCATGTTCATTGGGGAGATGTTGATGAGCTCCTGTGCCTTTTCTATGCTTTCTGTGTATCTTTTCTTGTTGTGTAATGTCACCACAGCCTGCTCCATTTGCTTGTAGTCATCGACATTGAATCCTCGCGCCTCTGCCTCATCGTACTCGCCCATCTCGATACACAA